CAGCCCGAGAATATTATGGCCGACCCAATGGATGGCATCAATGAGCTCTTGGCTCGCCACCGCGGTCAGCGCGTTCCGGATAATGCAACTGTAGAGATCTACAAAGACGTGAGTTACTTTCCTGCTGCGACTTACCAATCCGCTCATACTCTCTGACCACCACCAGGAGCTACGAGCTCGTGACCAGACAGTAGAAGACATGCGAACGAAAATCCTGCAGCTGCAAGATCTCATTGATGAGCTCAAGGACCAGGTCACAGAGCTCAAGTCCAAGAAGAAGCGCTCCAAGGGGGCTGCGTCCAGCCCTGCTGTTCTCGAGCATGCGACCATCATTGAGTCACGCGCCCGGCTGTATCTCAAGATGTTTGGCCTGTGGATCTCTACCGCTGCACTCAATACCCCTATCACCTTTGATCCCAGGTGTGATTTGTTTAGAGAGAGCCGCTTCACTAACGAGGATGATGAACTTCAAGCCGAAGCGGAGCAAGTGCACATGGTATATCATCTGTTACCCAGTGCTGCAGACGGCACCAACGCGCAGCGGGACGCAATCACGGCACTTATTGGGCAGTCTCCAGGTTTCACGGACCTAGTACGTCGTTCTGAATCTATTTTTGTTGTGCACTTTGAGACGAAATGCTGACGGCAACATAGTTCTCAGCAACTATGAACAGCCACCGGTATACTTTCACTAATTCAATGGGAAAGGCCATGGCCCTACGCCCACCTCCTGGCATCGGTCAAGCCGCTTGGACGAACCGAGCAACTATGGCCAGCGACCCTGTTGCACAACGGCTTCGCGGGGATGTGCAAAACAACTGGCCACTGGTTCTCTTCCGGGAAGACCACATCAATCAGATCAATGGCTTGTATATGGACGAATGGCTTCCGAAGGTAAGTACGTGGCTTGCGTAAATTTGTACAATCTCAGTTGTTCTCCAGTTGGCAAGGTTTTGTCTCTTCGGACCAACCTCTGTTGATAGCAACGTTCCGGGTAATGCTAGGGCGTTAGAATGGCGATGGTGCTGGATCACGCCACAATTAATAGCATCAACTGGAGTACTAGTAAGTCATGAAATGCTTATTAGAACAAGAGCAATTCTTACATCAAACTGATTAAGGTCATTTTTTGGCTCTCTGGAGATGCCCAGCTGCTCCCCATGGGCTGTGAACCAGTGAAACGGATGTATCAAGACATGTGGAAGGCACATTGCAAGATGCTCATCAAGGAGTGGAATCACCAGCTATTGCCAGTGCGTCGCCTTTGGCAATCCATTGTTTTCCACGGTGTACGGGGCGCTGAAGCATATTCATCATCGCAGAATGCTCAGACTTCATCTGGCTCTGAGCCGGATCCTGATTTTGGTTCGAACAATGAATTCCTCAAAAATTATGAGCGATGCATGTCGTTGAACGAGAGCAATATGTGGAACACCAGCAGGCCTCCAAGTCCCACTCCGCTGCGTATGCCTATATTTAATTTGTTCGTATTTGTACTGACAACTGGCTTTTCGTACACTCTCAGCTTCCCATTTGTTCTCAGCCTCCTGCACATCATCGGCTTTACTCTCCTTGGCAGCACCGGTGGTCAGCCGGAGTGCACTTTCACATGAGTCAGCTGCCTCCCAGCCCCAGGCCATAGCCGCCACACCAGTCTCCACTGCAGCAAGCGCCATGTCAGGGCGGCGTGCCCCCTCAACTGTTGCGGCATTGCATCTCTTGGCTCCTGATTTGAATGGGGAGGGCGATGGTGAAGCAGGCTGTGCTGAGTCCAGTTTACCATCGATGGAGCATGTCACCACTGATGATGGAGTTGCTGCTGCGGAGAATAACGGTCGCATGAACCAGGCATCAAGTGACTCTACCCGTCGCAGCATACGTCTGACCCATCGTACTTCTGAGGACCCTGAGACAGATGCAAATGACAGCACAGATGGCCGCGGGGCTGTACGTGGGAGAGGAGCTAGAGGTCGCGGTCGTGGCCGTGGTGACCGCGGCGGCCGTGGCAGCCATGGTAAGTAGCTTGCGCCACATGTGATGTACCTATCTCTTGTATCATTCAATGGACAGACCCCCCATGAGACAAAGACAATGTGCCCTGTGGTGCTTCTGTTCTTAACTTCTGTAAATATTGTACACCTTTTGTTGTCTTGTCAAATGGTGCACTAAGCATATACACCGCACCTCGAGATCCCAGACACTTGCAAGGGGCTGTAAGGTGCAATAATGGCCTTCATATAGATTTGATGATGAGTTGCTGTAACAGACATAGGGCTTAGTAGTTTTGACGTCAGTCTCACTTAGTAGCGCCCTCAGAAAGTGCAGAGTTCGAATCTCTCCAGTAGCACTCTTAAATGGGCTAATAAACATGTAGAGATAAATAAGTAGGAGTAAAGCAGATAGTAATATGGGTGTAGTAAGACTAAGTAAGCAAATAGTAAGATACAGTAAGTAAAGCGGTAATATACAATAAGCCAGCACAGTAAGTAAATACGGTAAGATAAAGTGACAGCAATAGTGAAGCTTGGTAAGTACAGTTGATAAGGCTGCCTCAACTGCTCTTCAAAGCTTTGCGGTGTCTTGCAGGGCCTTGAAACTCCTTGGACGGTTTGTGACGATATCAAGCACTATCGAGAATCTTCCTAACTTGGTAGGTAATCGCCATCTTTCAAGCTACTTTAAGAATTACCCTTGATCTCCGAACAGCTTGTGAGAATTTCTTTCCCCTTGAAAGCCCCCTCAAGGCTGGTTCCCTCCTTGACGCCTTAAAAGCGCTTCAGCGCCCTTTCGACGCCCAAACCCTTTTTGGGACACACGTCGTACTCAGGATAACCATGTGCACTGCGCAACACGTTTAGCGCCAGCTATGGTAGGCCGGGGCACGAATCCAATACAAACACGACCTGGTCGAGCTCCAACGGAGCAAGGGATTACCAGGGATCGGATAGGGAAGTGGTTATGTGCAAGTGCACGGAGAAAGGTTCCCGGGGTCTTGATGCGGTAGAGTCGATAGGGTTAGGATTGGGGTGAGATTTCGGTTGGGTGATATGAGATGGATTGTCGTGTGGAGATGTGTGATGGTTGGTGTGAGAGTGACGGGGATCGTCGTAGGGCAGTTGGTGGAGACTCGAGCTAATGTCAGCAACTAACAATCCAGCTGGACTGAGCTACGACAAAGCTGAGGAGACAGACGAAAGGAATGTGAGTGAGGAAAGACCAGCTCGAGTCTGGCTTGTTATTGAGCAGTACGAGCTCCTTATATACATGTCAGACTGAATATCTAGAATATCCTACAAATATACAAAGGTGTATAGAAAGTGAAAGAATACTATGGAACCCGGGAGAACCATCCGGGATGTGTAATATTCATGACAGAGGTGTTGCTGACTGTCACATCTGTGTTGACTGGCCAAACGAACAACAGTCTCCTTCGACCTCCCCTAAAGTTGCTCTGGTGAGTTTCCTTTTATGTCTTCATCCATATAAGGCCGTCGAAGGCCATCCGCTTTCCATGCTCCTTCCTTCTGCCCACCACCATGCCCCCGCCCAATAGACAGCCACCCCCGGACGCCATCGTCCTCTGAGGTTCTTATCCCCACTTCTACTTTCCCCTCGCTCAACAATGGCTCCACTGCGTGCTCACTCAGCGCAGTACGTCCCAAGGTGCGTGAGCGGTGATTTCTCTCGCGTTAGCACTGCAGTTGACGACTCACATGCACGGCAGCCGCAGCATTGACTTCCACCTGTCTACACGGCTATGCAAGGGTCCTGTGATGCGGGAAAACAGCGCAAATATACAAGGCCCGTTGATATTGTCCTACCTAAAGCGTGCCTCAGACTCAGGCTCTTTTTGTCGCTCGCAGACCTTCGTATATAGTACGTAACATGCATATATGCGCTCGATTGCCTATAACTGACATGCATAGGCCCTCGTAAGACATTCTCGCTCACTCAGCAAGCAATACCTGTTTGTATCGTGCTTCTGCCCTATGGTTTCACTCGCATACTAACGCCATTCTTAGTAGCCGTATATGGCCCACTCTCTCGCGCTCCGGGATCCACACAAAGCCTTCGCGGTAAGCATGGCGGTCTGCAGGTAGTTGCGTACATGAGTACTTATGCACACGACTTGTTCATGGTTCGCTTATGCGCATCGTGCGCCAACTATGTAGCCGTTGCGCCGGGAGCCGCTTGTTGACTGATAGCATGTTTACATGCGACGCGACTCGGAGGGCATTCCCGTCTCGATACTACCATTCTATGCAATACACCTACTTTGTATCTTATGAACCTCTATGAATATATTTCTTGCCACTCCTACTTTCAATGTGTGTATCGGTCCCGAATATTTCCGCAGTGCTACCCAGCCTGGCGCTCCCTGGTAATGCATTGCCAACCTTACCCGAATGGTAAAAGTCACCAGACTGGTAAGCTTGAATTAGCATACAGGTGAGGTATCCACCTTGGTAAGCCAGTTCTCATAATGATTACCTTTATAAGCAAGATTAGCTTTGCCAGGGCTGTTCAGGCTAGGTAAGCTGCCGATTTTTTTGCTGATTGGCAGGCGACCGCTTTCTCTTGACTTGATTGCACCACGCCATAGACTCGCCAGCCGTGTCTGATCGCTGCGCTCCGTGGGACCTGATTGCATCCCATTTAGTTTCACCAGAAACCGGTATGTGGCCACGCCGGTTTCCGCTCACGCCAATTCACGACGGCGGTGGATCTAGGGAATCTAATCGTGATACACGCTGAATCTAAGCATAATCTAGGACTGCGCCGAGATTACGCCCCGGCATAACCTGCCGTTTTGCGCGGGATGCTACTGAGGCCGGGTGCGGCAGGCAGAACGTACATGGAGGAAGCGGGAAAGTAACATGGCAGATTCTGATGGCGACAGCGAGCATCGAGACACTCTGCCTCCTTGGACAGAAATAACACAGGTGTAGAAGACAGAGCAAGGGGCCGTCGTCTGCAGCTGAAATGCCCCGAGAGTCAGTGGCACTTTACAAAGCTGGCTACCGAAGAGAGCGAACGACGGATGCTTGCTGGGAATGCACCAGAATTTTAGTTCCTCCTCCAGGCCTAAACGTTTTTGAATAGCACACCATCCCGCTCTCGCTAGCGCCTGCGGACCTTTCCCAGGCCCCAGCTACCACCTAGTGCGCTGATGACCGTCGGAACAGCTGACAGTTGCACATGCGCACAAGTCTCAGTGAGGCAAAAGATAATGATAGATGCCGACGGGACTGCGGCTTGTGCTTTAAGAGACTTATGTATGTAGGCATGGCTTGGGACTGAGCACATCCGGCCGCACTAGTACTGCCCCATGACCACGTCCTTCAACGGTACAGTTGGTGCCGTTCTAATTGGCGTGCTCATAGCAACTTTGTACGTGTTGCAACCGCTTGACGTCGATCGGACCGCTTAACGTGCTGACTAAAGGCTCTACGGCATCTTGTGTCTACAATGCTTCGCTTTTTTCGACAAGGGCAGGAATGAGAGGAAGATACTAAAGTATTCGGTAAGCCTAGCAAAAAATGCTCTGGGGCCGAACGCTCACGCCAAGAATGTAGATCGCCGCAGTGTGGTCTGTGACGAAACTTCCATGGCCCGCCAATTGTCGTCTGATCCAAAGCTTAGGGTACTACAAACCCTACACACAGCCGTAATGTGGCACGTAATATACTTGTTCGTACCTGTGCTTTTGAACGTTAGCTCATGCTCACATACACTCCTCAAGTTATGCAGTAATCAACTTTGCCGACGTCAGAGTACCGTTTGGCATTGCCATGCCCTGGTGAGATGGTCCATGACGACTCGCTGCGTATGCTAACACAGCTATAACGTGCCCAGGAGTGTAACGGTGTGTGCTATCCTTCATGAACCTCGTAACGCCTGATTCTAAGGGTTAACACTCTTTGTCTGGTTTGAAAGGCGTCAGTATGCGTCACGGTCAGTGTTTGCATGTGCTGTTATATTCTTCGCTTGATAACCAATAAAACGTAGATATTCATAACCGTGATTGTTCAAGGGTGCGTGCTCCAATTAAGCATGCTGAAGCTGATCTGAACGACTGGAACAAGATGGTACTGTTGTCGCGTCTGGATCTGTGAGTTCTTCAGAGTCTTTCGTGGATTCCATGCTTATCCGAGCATTTAGTGAGTGATCGCAGCGGGCTCGTGACCTATCCCATGGTTAGCACATACAAATCTTTGTGGCGCATCCCGACGCCGTGCTCATACTTTGCTCTGCGTAACCTGCTTACTCCCATAGATCGGCCTTATAGCCATTTCCTTTGGTACGGAACTGCTTCATCTCTGTCGAGTTATGGGATCCTCAATGACACCGTGCAGGTTTTGGAATGGGTGAGTAGCCACGATCATGGATAGCATCGAAGTCGAACTTATCACGGATATACTGCTTGAAGCCGGATTCGCTCAGCTGTCAGGTTTCCCCGCCACGCAACCTGTTCCTTGTTGTGTTGACAATTGTGAAACTTTAGCTTACTGTTGCCGTTATGGACGACCATCAGTAAGCTTCAGGTGCGTTACTCGAGGATTAGACACGCTTCAAGCTTGGCTAATCGGACGTCATAGTGGCTATACTCCTCGGCCCTTGGTGTGGGTGCGCTCGTGGATCTCTATACAGCGGCATCGTTGGTACTCCTGCTGCTTCGAAGTCGCGAGGAGATCACGCCTCGGTGAGCGTTCCCTTGGATAGATTACCCTAGACGACGCATTCACACGCCGGCAGCGGGTTGTCGATGCTGAATAAAGCTGTCATGTATATTGTTGGCACAGGTGCCTTGACAAGGTTTGCTTTCCGGGCTAGACATATATGCATAACTACTAACTTTCCGGCATATCTCGCTAGCTTCATTGCCATCAGTGATATGATACTTGTTAGTCTTCCCGACCTGTTTCGAAGACGTGTGTCTGATCATCTCAAACAGGTGCTGAGCAATCCCGGTAACTTGATTTTCTTCGGAGGTGAGCTTCGAAGTCAGCAGACAGCCTCTTTTCTTCTGGCTGATGCGATTCTAGTCTTCTGCGTTTATGGTGAAGGCAAGTCTTCTCTGTCTGGCATATAAGCACCCGGCGCTCAAATTCTTTTAGTGTACGGAAACTCCTTGCTAGTATGGTGCGTCATCCGCCGGCAGCCCCGTCGCGAATTTGAGGCTGAGGTCTCGTTCAGGCTCAACGCTCGCAGCCATATACGCAACGACTCAAGGGTACCGAGCCTTTCGATCACCAGCGTCCGGTTCCAGCGAAGGACCCGCGATACCTGTTTGAGTATGGGCTCTACTCAGCTGTCCAGCGAAGGTGATACGGCAATGTCATTCGGCTCTCAAGTAAGGCCCTGTCCATCACATCCGCCCACAGAGCGTGAAACTGACTCACATCTAGCGGTATCTTCAGGAGCGGAGCACCCCCTCTTAGGCGGCTTGTGATGGCAGTCAAGCTCGAGCAGATCCTTTCTGATGTGAATAGATACGGGAAGCACTGTACGACTAACACCATTAACCCCTGTCTACGAAACATCTAGAGAGAAACACGGCGAGAGCGTGATAGCAAATAACACAAGTACACTAGCAAGTGCATGCAGCCCATATTAGTACGAGACAATTAACCCAACATATACCACGCCGGTAGCACCAGGCTACCGGAGCCCAAATCTAATAGATATCCCACTTCGCGCCATCTAGATGCATGATACCCGCAAGGTGCCTCTACTCTTAAACCCAGGGAGGCGTTCCGTGATCGCATCCCGGATATCGTCCTCAACCTTGCCCCCGCGTGTCCAAGAGTCGCAGTTTACGTAGAACCTGACGGTGAGGCCGCTGAACTCGCGCTTCGACAGCTCAGCATCGATGCGCGGCCAGTCGAGGCCCGTGAGTCCCTGGATGTCCGGAGTCTCGAGCTCAAAGGTTACCTCCCGGAGGAAGGGAGACTGCAAGTCGTCCAGCATGAGTGTGACCCAGGGAAAGAGGTGAGTCGAGAGGAATGTCCGCGAAGAATCCACAGTAACGTCCAGGCCACCAAAAGAGAGTGAACGCAGAGACGTATTATGAATCAAGCTGACGTGATTGTGCAGGACGGCTGAGAGCATGATTAATTCGGAACTCGTTGTCTGTGGACATCGCACTCACTTTCCTCTGCTATGCCGGCTGGAAACTCGACTTGCAAGCGTTCGAGGGAAGAGCCGCTTGCCTGAAGAAGATCTCCCAAAGCCTTGGTATTGTCGAGTTCCCTCCAGCATAGCTGGATAGTCCGGAGCTTCTGTTCCAACGGATGGCTGAGAATCCACTCCGTGACCAAGGTCGGCGAAGACCTCGGATCCAAGAACAAGTAGCTCAAGTGCATCTTCTTGTCGCTCTCTAGTAACTGTGCCCGCGAAATCCATTCTACCGCGGACACCGGACTTGCGGGTGCGGCAGATTCGAAATCCCAGGACACGGCGTGGAAATAGAGCTCTTCGAGGTCGGGGAACGCGTCGAGGAACTCTAACACGTCACCTGACGCGTGGAAGCGTACCTCGAAGAGCAGAAGAGTCTTAACCCCCCTAAACACCGCCTTGTACGCGTCTCGCGTGCACTGTTCGAGGGATGTCCACCTCAGGCGGCTGAGCGCGAGAGTGTTCACCCTGCCGTGCACCCCAAGCGTCCGCGCTATCTCTGCCGAAGCGTTTACCCACTCGTCGTCTTCTATTCCACGGCTGTCCGCACCGACACCGGAATATTGTGCGCTGATAGTCAGCTTCCGGACGCAACGGGCGATGGCGGGACTGTTCTCCGAGAGAGCGGAGAACTCGGTGCAAGCTGTCTCTGAGGATAACCGGACGGTGCGGAAGAGGTGTAGGCGTGTGGTGGGAACCCAGTCACGGCAGACTAGGCTGCAGGTTCGGAGGGCGTTCGTGTCGTCCCAGAGGTGGTCGAGAGTCTCATCGAAAAGCTCTGGGGGAAGCATCGGTCCCACTATAGACATCTGAAAAGGTCGTGAATAGGCTTCAATGCTATATGGCGCACTTTGGGCACAAACGTACCTTCTCCGGGTCGACGATAGCGTCGAGCTCCTCGTCCCTACCGAGGTGTGTTGGCGGAAGATAGCCAAGCGGTGACTCCGGTCAGACTCCAAGCAGGACATCGTTTTGGGGAACAGGCGTGTTTGAGATCAAAAGTGATGGGATCTGTCGGTTCGATCTGCCAGACTCCTTCGCAGTCGCTCACGGCCGCACTCGGGCTTTCGCTCATTCCCGCTGCGTTCACTTTGAAGTACTTCAACTATGTCCCACCCACCAATATTACGGCCGCTTACGCTGTCGCTACGCGCGACATGCCTCTCGTCTAGAGGCTCTTTCGACTTGCAAGGCTCCGCTAGCCTGCGTTTTGCTCGCTACAAGTCAAACAAAGCTGCCAAAGCGTCGGCGAACGTCAAGCACACCCCACCCTCTACAAGCCAAGTAGAGGCGGCACTTAAGCATGCAGAAAAAGGCGGGCCTACCGAAGTTGAGAAAGAGATCCTTACCTGGCCCGAATATCTTTCCATTCGCAAGAGCAAGCGGCGGTGGGAGACGGTGCGTTAACGCGTCGCCTTCATACGTCCCGGGCTCGCCAATCATTTTCATGCACAGGCAATGTCAATACCCCTTACTTTCTTGGGCTTTGCGGGAGGCGTCATGTTCTTCGGCGAGATGCAGATGGACCCGTCAAAACCAATCTTTGTGAGTACCAGTGATTCTATATAGGCCATGTGCTCAATTTACTGCCTTTGCGCGCCCGCGTCACTAGAATCTTGACCCTATGATCGTATATGGTGCCGGCACACTTGCCTGTGCAGGTTAGTGAAACGATGCCTGTCTCTGCACTTCATGTTTATACTATGTCTCTTAGGCTTTGGATACCTCCTGGGGCCTATGATTGGTTCAACAATATGGCGAATGAGCCATCGCAAGGCAATGAGGCTCGTTGAGGCCAAGGACCGCGAGTTCCACCAGCATGTTGTCAAGAATCGTGTAGATCCAACTGCTCAAAGCGCTACGAATCCTGTGCCAGATTTCTACGGTACGCCTGGTACACGTTACTCAAAGCGATTTGTACTTACGCTGGCTGTTGTCCAGGCGAAAAGATTGGTTCACTCCATGAGTATAGACAGGTTCGTTGTCACTAGCAGCTTAGAAGTAGACCCACGGATACTGATGTACATTTTACAGTGGCTGCGAGACCAAGCGAGGTTTAAACGCAAATCAATCCTTCCTGAAGACTAATATGTCTTCTGTTGATGACTAGCACAGTCTCCACTCCATCCACACATAATTATCTACTAGCATCGAACTTGCGATAGGCAGTCGTTAGTCACCATCGGTTCTACTCGGAGTAGGTATGTCCGGTCGAATGAATGTCGTTTGTAGCAGATTCGTTGGCTCCCGCATGACAAAATGATGTGGCGAAGGCTCATTTGCAAGAGATCACGTCGCTGTTTATTCTGGCTCCTGCGTATGTCTCGCACCGCGCTGTGTTCCGCTGTGAGAGCGCAGACTTCTGTTTGAATAGGTGGATACAGCAGAGTCTTCTAAGCGCTCGATGTGTGGTGGGTATGATTCGTTGAGGTGCAGTGGTGCGTGTGACGTCAAGTTTTCTAGCAAGACGCAGCACGGCCGTCCCTACATAAACCAACAGCCCAACCCCGTCAAGCGACCTGTACTCACTTCTGATAACGACAACGACAAGCTCGCTGCGTGGCACGACGACCGAAATCACAAACATGATTTTGAACGCCCTTCGTGGATCTCTGCGCACCACAGCACCTTCTCTGCTCCGCCGCAACATCACAACCTCGACTCTGAAGAGCCCGCTCCTTGCTGCTAAACCGACACCACTGCTCCGGAGTGCGACCCCCATCTTCTTTAACCCGACCCAGTTCGCTATCCGTGGCGCTGCCAGCCATGTGTCCGGACGTCCCGGGTCGCAAACTATCGAGCACGCGGCAGAGAATATTCGTGAGGAAGTTGGCAACTCTGCCGCTGACCTTGCGCGCACTATCGCTGGAGGCAACTACTTCGACGACTCTGTCAAGCCTCCTTCGAAAGATACTTTCGTAAGCATTTCCTTCGCTTTTGCGCATCATGTCACCAACGCTTTAATAGCTTGGCATCACAAATGCCGTCGCCCATGCTGTTCCACAACCCTACGTTGTTGTCGGTCTCGCAGGCTCCCTCCCTTACCTCGGCTCTACTCTTACAACCATCTACCTTGCCCGTCAGGCCGGGGAGGCTGCAACCGGTATGTAGAGGCCAAGTCCAAGGATGCGTCTTTCTGACGATGACACAGCTGCTATCACTTCCATTGATCCCGGTGTAGCCATCACCGTTCTTCATCAAGCGCTAAGCATTCAGACCACCTACGGTGCTGTCCTTCTCTCTTTCCTCGGTGCTCTCCATTGGGGTTTCGAGTTTGCGGGTTATGGTGGTCAAAAGGGATATAGCCGACTCTTCCTGGGTGCAGCTCCCGTTGCGTACGGTTGGAGCACCCTTGCCCTGGACCCTATGAGCGCGTTGATCGCGCAATGGGTTGGCTTCACTGGTCTCTGGTATGCAGACCTTAAGGCAACGGGCGCCGGCTGGAGTGAGTAGATTGCGAAGCTGGGTACGTCATCATGTGCTGACATAGTGATTTGCGTAGCTCCCAAGTGGTATTCTCAGTACCGTTTCTACCTCTCAATCCTTGTCGGTACTTGTATCATCGGCACACTGGCCGCAACTTCATACTGGGGTCCAGTTGGTGGCCACGGCTTTGTGAGCCACGACTTGAAGATGATTCGCGACGAGCGTAAGTCGATGCATCCTGACAATCGCGGTCTTATCCCTGGAAACATTGAGGCTGTTCCCGCTCCAGCGGAGGCAGACAATTACGTGATCGTGAAGAAGAAGGACGCTGGGAAGGGAGAGGGCGAAAACAAACAGCAGTAAGCCGTGTATGCATGGAACGGATGTAAAGTAAAAGTCAGCATGGGACTCTTGTACATATGAGTTGTAATTCTAGTCTTACTTCCTGTGTACGTATCCATCGCAACAATAATTTTTCTTCATGTTGTCGCTACAATTTGTCCAAAGCGCGTGTGTAACACGCGACGCGAAATGGGCGTTTGTCTATGTTGAACCTGGTTCGACGTTCCCGTCATGCTCGCGGTCTGCACAACCGCCTCGCTTGTTCTCCTCGATCCGCCAACGCTCAAAAAGGCGCCATCGACTGTTCCCCCGACTTGCACGTTCTCTTGCGCACCCGCCACGAGCTGCTGGGCCTCAGACAACAGCACCCTCTTCGTCGTAAATGACAAGAGCATCCAACGATATGATCCCATGGGCGCACTCCTCAGCACTATTCCCCGCAAACACCCCGTCACTGCGCTAGTCAGCAAAGATAAAGGGGACACGCTTATCGCGGGTATTCAGGACCAGGTCTCGGTGCTCGACGCCAACTCTGGCAAGATCGCGTTCAGCCTCGAGACGCACAGCGGGTCTGTGAGCGGGCTGGCTCTCTCGCCGGATGGGACCCTCCTAGCGTCGACATCTGGCTCTGTTGTACCTGAGGTGCATGTCCACAACCTCTCTGGGGCCTTGTCACACGTCGAGCTGCAGAATTTGCCGCGCAGGGGCGACGTGACAGCGTGCACGTTTCATCCGCACTCGAAGTCGAAGCTGCTGGTCGCTGTTGGCTCCCAGCTGCTTGTATACGACATTGCGAAGCCAAATGCGCCAGCGAAGACTGTTCAGCTGGACAGGAGGTCTGGCGAGATCGCTGCGATAACGTGCAGTCCGTTCAGCAGGAGCCTCGTCGCGGTTGGATGCAACACAGGCGTGGTTAATTTGGTGGACTTGGATAAGGAGAAAGGGTGAGTCTATGCCGCCGACTTGCGACAACATAGTATTCACAGCAGCCCCAAAGCCTCTTCCGCACCATCCCCCTAGAGGCACGGCTGTCATCCTTGGTTTTCTCACCTGAGGGAGCGGCCCTCTATGCAGGGACAGATGACGGGAAGCTCCTCATTCTTGATCTCCGCGCTTTGGACAAACCTGCCAGAAGCATCTGTGTCGGCGGGCCGGTTGTGTGCATATCTGTCCAGGTCGGTCCATGCATGTATGCATGCGTGACCGAAGCTTATTCCTCATGCAGCGGAAACTGAAACTACATGAAAGCTCTTCACGCCTACGACCGTCCGTGACTGCTCTTAGCAAGCGCAAAGCGGATGCCGATGCTACAGAGAAACTAGCCCGACCCCCGGTGACAGGGTCGAGCGCGGTGTCATCACCAACTTCAGTACCTTTCTCGAAATCCAAGACATCCACCACTAGCAAGACTGCTCTCAGCCCTGGGCCATCACCCGGACGCATCGTGCGTACTAGGACCATCTCTGCGACTTCGACCCCGTCCAAGTCTGTCACGAAACCTCGGATCGACAACAGTAAGAGCACGCCACCTGAACCGAAATCAAGCGGTGGATCAGCTGCACCCGAGAAGGGTGAAGAACCACCGCTTCCGCCTGTACCCTTGCCTATGCGCGCTCGAACCGTGTCCGCGGCGACCAGCGCGAGTTCACGTGCCACAGCGAGCAGCACGACCTCGAAGATTACACGTGTATCGAGCTCGACGAGTGCGACAAGCGTGGAGGCCGGCAGCCCACGCACACGGAAAATCAGCAGCGGAGTTAAGAATCCACTGTCTCCCCTTAAATCTCCTTCGATGGAGGCAGAAAATCGGTCCGCTACACCTGGTAAGCCTTACATTGTTAGCCAGGTATGATCAGCTGAACTGAGGAAATTATTTGCGGGCCCAGCTGAGAAACCCACTTCGAGGGTGAGAAAGACGATTGCTATGCTTTCCGCCGCGAATCAAGAGAAGGCTGCGGGACCGAGCAGGGTGCGTCCGCGTACGGTCTCCACCACTTCTAGCAAGTCGGTTTCCGGTCCTGTCGCTTCAAACTCGAGCACAAGCCGCGTAAGTGCTGGTGCGAGTGCGAGTACAAGCACTGTCTCTCCGACTACGGCGAAGACACACGTCAAGTCACGCACGCAGCCTTCGCGTTCGTCTGTCAGCAATGTCGCATCGCGCTCCCCTAGGGTGGAGCCCCGCTCTGCTGCATTTGTCTCCCCAGTTCCCCCAGTTCCCCCCTTGCCTGAGGCCTTTAAAGACCAGGAACAGCTCACGGGCATCGACATCAAGTGGACCATCTCACGCACACCAAGCCCTGATCCGCACGATGACGATGATATGGTGAACACACCAGTGCCATTGGCGAAGCGCAATAAGGGAAAGGGCAAGGAGCCGATGTCACCAGAGGCGCCGAAGACGAACGTCCTAGGACTCGGCACGCCCGAGCTCAAGCGTTGGATCCAGTCCGAAGCAGAAAGCCGGGATGGTGCGCTCAACGACGATGCGGACGGCCACCGCGTTGAGTTCCTCCAGGTCCCGGCGAACGAGGTTCAGATCCAGAGTATTCGGGTCGTGGGCGACGACGCGCCCGAGGTAGGATCCAGCCCACAAGGCGAGCCAGGAAAGGCGACGGTGCAGATGATGTTGCAGATATCGCCACGTCGCTCGTCCGAGAAGCTCTCGCCAAACTGGACGCCGATCCCATCGCTCTTCAGCCCGTCGCGTACGAATTCAATGCACGGCCCGGAACAGGGCGCGTCGAGCTCGTCTGGCGCGCCGCCAAGCCCCGCGCATGAGCTTCTGCAGTCGCTCGTCCGGGACGCGATGTATGATTTCCGGAGGGAGACGAAGTCGGAGATTATCGGGCTGCATTTGGATCTGGTGAGGATGGGGAGAGGGTGGAGGAAGGAGCTTCGCGAGACACTCGAGTCGTGGAGCGAGGAGCTGAAGGAGATTCGGCGCGAGAACGAGCTGCTGAGGCAAGAGAACGAGAGGCTGAGAAGGGGTTATTGATGAATATTTAGAGATGTTATTGACGTCTCATATCGCTCATTGTTTATTTTAAGCTACCGTGTTCTTGTATGTTCTGTACTCACGGCTTTGTTCACGATAATTACGAGAATAACACGACTGTTTCGATGATCCTGAGGAGCTCAGCTTTAAGTCATTATATCACTTTTCGTCCGAGGGTAGCCTCTGTCGACAAAACCAAGTCTAAAGCTTGCTGGGCTAAGTCTCTATGTTGCGGCAATGTCAACAGAGGTATTGCACGTCTTGCCTCGACAAACTGCGATTCATAATTCTCCGATGCCATCTGCGTCCCATCCACCTTCTCTGCGCCGTCCTTCAACCTCGTCACGTACCACATGATCAACTTCCCGCCCCTCTTCCCTCTGTCCATAACTGTCACGCCGACGGGCTCCGTCATTCCGTCGCGTACAATAGAGATGTCGCGGCCGTGGAGGTCGCCAGGCTGGGTGGCGCGCGTCGCCATGCGGAGCGAGACGAACTCACATGGGTAGCCTGTCTCTTCGTATGTCTCGCGCAGACACGCGTCCTCGATCGTCTCGCCGTAGTCCTTGCGCCCCTTGGGCAGAATGTATTTCTTCTTGCGCGGCTGGTACAGGATGCAGAGCTGCAGCTCGTTCAAGCCTGGCTCGCGCCTGAAGAGCGTGGAACCTGAGGAGATGACGAAGCTGCCTGCCAGGTGCTGCACCATAAGCGTCGATGTCTTTAAAGATTGTGCTGCTCCGTCTGTTTTCGAGGACGAGCCTATGCAGGGGCGTCGGTGAAGCTTTGAAGTGCTCGTGTGACCAAGAAAACGCACCTTGCGTTTGTTTACCGGCTGACATCTTTCCCGCTAGACAGTATCAAGGCGAATCGCAAAGCACCGCTCTCTTCTTTTCTACTAGTGCTATTCCCTCGTTGTTGGCGGCAGGTTCAGTCTGACACGGATGCCATTGACGAACAGTCGGTAGAAAGGTGTACTAAGAGGGAGCAAGTAGGCGCAGCATCAGATTATAAAAGCAGGAGAAACCACCTGGGTAGAGACAGTACAGATGCGCTAGGCTCGGTGCCGGCGCCGCGGCGAGGAGGAAACTAGTATTATTTTGGGTGGAGATTGCCAGGAGCTCACGAACGTTCGTCGTGGACCCTGAAACCGAGTGACATTTAGCTGATTTTCAGCTATGAGGCGGTGCATGAGCCTCCCCGACCACACCGTGGCGAGGTGGAAGTGGATGAAGCGCCGAGCCAGGCGAGCTTGACAAAACACCACGACCACCAGCCAGAGTTCCACTACAGAGCAGCATTCTTATAAGGGTGCGATATTATGTATATGCTGTGAACGACTCGGACATACGGCCGTCTGGCTCGAGTCCAGGAAACAGTATCTAGCGCTGACTCCGAGTTGCCATGCCTTGGCCCTTGTGTCCCCCACAGGTACGGTGGTTGCCGAAATCAGTGGCCACACTTGCGTAGAGGACGTTTCTTGCTGCTGCACACTGAGCTGTCAGCACCATGCCATACGATCGTTCCGAGTACAACTGGGAGCTTGCGCACGTCGACCGCTGCCAGCCAACTTTCCCTTCACGTCCTCCACGCCCACCAGGGGTCTGTATGCAGATTCTGGATTCGGCCGCAAGGGAAAGCTGACCTATCATCCTAGAATAAATACGATTTTGATGCCGCGCTAAATCCTATCCAGCACTTCGAGTGCGATTGCCACCCATTTTTTCAAGACTGGAACACAGAAGCCCCAAAGGCTATCCGTGAAGCTTACGCGGCCGACCCAGACGCATTCCTCCGGAAGGCTTTTGGCAGCAGCGACGAGCCAGCAGATCTGCGCTATCTATGTGTCCTCACTTCTGACCTCGTCGAAGACCCCGATGTCCGAACATTGCCAGTGCTCGAGAAGTTCATCGACATGATCTATCACGGGTACAACGTCCCAGATTATGGTCTTTGCCCACAGCTGAAGACATGCCTTTGGGAGCGCCCGATGATAGGGATCGTCAACTCCCTCCAAACCCTCTTGCGTCCTGGTGCGAATAAGAGAATAGAGGAGCGAGCAAGTGCTAAGATGGTGCACGGCCACTACAAGAAGATCCTCGACATCATTAGGGACGACTTACTCAAGCTTCTCCCAGATACCAAGCATGCCAATCATCTACGCCTTACGGCCATGAAGTTCATCGCAGTAACGGGTGCTGCTTGGGGCTTAGATGAGTAAGTCGTACTTATCAGACGTTCATGGGTGTCTGCTCAGCTACTTTGCAGTAGGCTGGTACGAGACGACGAGACGATGGAGATATTCCTTACCCTTTGGATTCACATGAAATATCCATATCGTACGGACGCAAATCACTTCGTAGATATGGTTTATGGTAGAGTAATCGACCCGTGCCTTGAAAACCTTCCCGCAGACTTGCACAAGCACGCTGTCGAAATACTCGGGATAGAAACCATGGTCATGAGATTCCGTGAGTGGCTCGTACGTATTCCTGTTCGTCGTTCGTATCCCTTCGCTAATTCGTGCCTCCACCCTAGAGGGACGAAGACATAGTCGATGAACATCTCTTATCTGACCTCAAGGCGATTGAGGCGTTCGGAATGAATCGCGACGCTGTCGGCTGCGCCTTTTGCGACGGCAAAGTATACCGGTCCATTGCCCTGGCCCTGAACCGTCAATACAGACTCACTCGTGGCACAGACAAAGGCTTGATGGATTGCCTTGTTTTCGAGAGGGGTCTTGGAACGATCGCGTAAGTCATCGTGACGATACATTGGGAAATACCCTCACTCCGCCTTGAACCCTAGCCGCATGGGACTGTGTGTCCAACACTCCATATGTCGTCTGACCGAAACTCTTCAGGGTGGAATGCTGGTGCTTGCGCTTATGGCTGTAGGGATCGAAATCCGCTTACGGTCAGGTATGTTCATGATCTCGCCGATGTTCTGTTACATTCTTGACAGGAGCTCTGCAGAGTGGGACGTGGAGGAGCAATTCCAGGTAGACCCGCTATTGGACGACGCCGGGTACTTTCTGTATATCAAGGATCTCCTCCACCCTGTCGAATGCAAGGAGCCCCACTGCTACCGCGAAAAGACCGACGAGTTCATGGGCATCTTCAAGCCCAGGCTCGAGGCAATGTGGATACCGTTCAAGACGACCATCCTCATAATGGCTGACCGCTTCTGTGCGCCCGACGTCATCCGCCGCATGATCAATCTCTGGGATCGACTGTGTAACCTCATGCATACTACGGAGGACAGCGTGCGCCTGAAGCGGATGAAAGAAGGTCTCTGCTTGAACTGGATGTGCGAGAAATATGATTATAAGAATCCTTACTCCGGGGCAAGGAAGACGAAGGGGTGCTCGAGGTGCAAGCTGGCTAAGTACTGCTCGGTAGAGTGCCAGAAGCAGTAAGTCATGTCGTCCTGGGATTGTCAATACAAGCTGACCACACGTACGTCCCGATGGCAGAGATTGGGCGACTCACAGGGAAGAGTGCAATCCTTTGTCCTTGCTTGCGGAGTAGCGCCTGGATTAGAGCAAAGTGTATCATTGAATTGACTACTGGTCTATAAAAGCATGTTCCAGACCTACCCATGATGCCAGCACTGCAGTCACGTAGCCTTATCGGGAGCAGGTGAACCATTGATCCCGTTCACAGCGCTAAGCGGCACATCGCAGGCTTCAAGTCTCCCCCTACCTTTGTCAACACTCCGCCTCCTGCAGAGCATAGTTTCACCAAGCTCTTTGGCATTTAGAACGAATCGGACGCACATCATGCAACAAGAAGACCAGAAACAGACGGTACGTCCTCGCCGAGTGGTAGAGTTGCTACTCTTTGCCTGATTTTGCATTTTTCACGACGTAGGACGAGCAAAGGGCCCTGAATACTGTCTGGTATTATGACTGCGAATGCGGGCTCGTTCCGCGTAATTGGTGGGTGGGGGAGCCCAAGAACCTGCGCAAATCTTATACGTCGAACCCGAACCTTTTCATTCGCAAAGCCTGCGGAGAGAACGGCCGAGCAGTTGACGCCCACCGCCTCGTGGCGTTAACATCGTTCTTGGTCGAGCAGCCAGAAGTTCGGACGGCGTCGCTCACTGAGAAGCTTATAAGGATGGTGTTGGACGGCTACACCGTCGCCACTCCCCCAAACTCTGCTGGCCCCGAGATAAAGAAGAAGAGCTGCCTTTGGGAGCAGCCCTTGCTCGGTGTGGCCAACAGTCTGCTTGTTGCGAAACAGGATAGCTTCGGTGGACCCGAGGACGCTGCTATCAAGGACAAGGTCCGCGAGCACTACAAGGCGATACTCCGCGCAATCAGGAGAGACCTGCCGAAACTCCTTCCAGCGACAGAGCATGCAGATCACCTTCGTTATACTGTCATCAAGTTCCTCGTTGCGGTCGGCGAAGGGTGTAAGCTGAACGAGTAAGCCACCCTGCTAGTCGCGGCTGACAATCGCTCACGCCACCCTAGCGAGCAGATTCGAGACGACGAGACGATGGAGCTCTTCCTTAACTTATGGACGCATATGGTCGGCCCTTTCCGCGCCCAGGTCCACAAGTTCGTATATGCTCCGCACGCCGGTGCGCACTACACGTGCCAATGCTCGACGTGCAGCACCTTTGATTTCGGGAAGTGGGTTGGCCGCATGTACGACGTTATTGGCGCCAAAACCATTGCTGGGGCGTTCAAGTTCTGGATAAACGTGAGTCGGCAGGCCTCGTACTTTTACAATGCTGACATTTCCGGCTCACGTCGAAGAATGTGAAATCTTTCGACGAACCCCTCGTGTCCGACTTGCAATGCCTCGAAATGTTCGCTTACCATCCCTCGCATGCACACGCCTTCTGCAACTACTTCTTCATTAATGAGCTCACCGTCAGCATACAGCGTCAGTATAAATGGGGAAATGTTATGGAGATGGATATCGAGGTTTTTGACCGCGTCAGCCGGCTGGTCGTGTATGTCATCATCGTTGCCCCCTTGGTCCTTCATATGTTCGCTGAATAGTTTGTTTACAGGCGTATAGGTCGCTGCGAAGAGCACGAAGTCGAACGCTTACTCGAGAATCTCAAAATTGATAGGATGACGGGTGTAACTTCCGGGTTCCTAGCTGATATACAGACTCGTATGAGTTGAGTACTCCACTCTCAGGAGGCGTGTTCGACCACTCATGTACACTCAGTGGAGCACGACGTGGAAAAAATGCGCTGCACAGGAAACTGGATATTCTTTGAGGCTCTCGTTCACCCCATGGAATGCAAAGACGAAGAGTGTCCGAAGAAGGTGACGGAGGACTTCGAGCGCGAGCTCCGCGGAACCTTCGAAATGCATTATATCAGGTTCAACCGCGAACTCGTTAGGTTTGTTAGTGAAGGCAGCGTGTACGCAAAGCACGTCTGGGTGCTCTGGCAGAACCTCGCAAAGGTGCTAGGCTGTACCGAAGCTGGACTCCGTCAGAAATGGTTAGACGAAGGGCAGTGCTGGAACGCGGCATGTAGGACCCGCATGGAAACCGCAAAGGGCAGGCATAGAAGATGTGCCAGGTGTCATAAAGTGCGTTTTTGCTCTTCGGAGTGTCAGAAAGAGTGAGTAGCTTATGACCCGGAGCTGCTTGTACCACGTCTTTCTCTAATGCCGGAGAACCTAGGGAATGGACGTACCATCAGAAAGAATGTCAAGCAGGTGTACCACAACTTAGCAAATAGTGCAGCATATTGAGATGCACCACTCTTTTAAATCTCACTACAGGACGATTGTCCGTCTCCTTTGTCGTCGACTTAAACAAGCCAGTGGCGCAAGCGCCCATAATGCCAGGAGGCGCCTGCCTCTTCCTCTTCCAAAAACGAGAATCGTCTTCTCAACGTCGACGTCAAGACTGTTTGTTCCTGCAAATAAAATGTCATCGGAAACCCAAGAGATGACGACAAGGACCACTCTGAGTGCTCAACCCCTTGCCCCGAACCATCACCGTCTCCGTCTGCAGCCTCTTCCCCACCGCCGTTCAACTCACACGTTCATTCCACCTTCGTCTGGTACCTTCAGGTGCGTCCCGCCATGTGCTCGGTACTGTTAAATTTTGGATGACCTATCCTGTGAAGCTATGTGTCCCATAGAAGCCTTGTCTAATTTCGAGTTCTTCCGACCGGACTGCGAGTGCAACCCCGTCGACAGTCAGGACCGCGACACCCTTAAAGACTACTATACCGAGCCAGAGAGGGCCATGTACCAAGCCTGTGGCTGCAACGGGGAGTCTGCAGACGTTACCATGCTGCATACGATCACGACTTGTGTCGTCCAGAATACGGGTGACCGCAACAAGCGCCTCGCTAAGCACCTCATCGAGGCGATCCTCGAGGGATACATCTTACCAATCGAGAATAGGGTCAACGATGAAGATGCTGCGTTCCGGCTTCAGCGCTGTTACTAGGGGCTGCTGAACATCCTCGTCGCGATCCGGCGCGACGATGGGAGCAGGCCAGACGACGTCACCATTGTCGAATCAGTCCGCGCCGAATACAAGAAGATATTGGATGTTTTCATCAGAGACGTTCTCAAGTTGCTCTTCGCAGGCCCGCACGCGGGCCATATGCGCAACGCTGTGGTGAAGACCCTCCTCATTCTCGCGGGCGCCGCGCCGCCGTCGATAAAGGACTTCAAAGAGTGAGCCATCCGCACCATGCCCTCTCGCAATGGCCACTCATTCGGTTGCCCTAGGACTCTTATAAACGACGATAAGGCGATACAGCTCATCCTCACGTGTTGGACGCATATGTCCGTCCCCAATCGTGTCGACGTCAGCGCTCTCGTCCACACTTTGTACAAGGACTGCGCCGCGTGTAGTAAGGAATGCGCCGCGAAATCGACAACCAACACTCATGTTCGCGCGGTTCACACCATCGGCGTAAAGACGCTCATACAGAAATTCGAGAATTGGTTATTGGTATGGCCCTTTACGTAGTCCACTTCGTACCTCAGTGCTAATTTGGCTCTTTAGCACCCTCTTACTTTGAACGAGGCGCTTTCAAGGCTCGAGCTAAATACGCTCCTTGACTTCATCCTTGGCCGTCCTCTGTATGGCGAAGATTTTACAGCAGTAGGGATGTGGAAGCACGTTATCTCTGCCATGCAACGGCAAAAGGAGCATGGAGACCCCGCCAAGAGCCTAGATATAATATATATAACGCAGGTTACCACGTCTTTGGATAAGTCTTGCTCCATTAACTTGACTTGTCACGAAGAAGATAGCTAAAGCGCCGCCAGATTGTTGACCGCAGATCCCGGATATAAGGTGTTCGATGTCCCTGTCGAGCTCCTCGCGAGGATCATCGAGCTTGCCGTGGCGGCAGTCTTGGAGTTTGACACTCTAGAGGATGGCCCACTTGAAACAGACTCCAGTCTCGACCATAGCGACTCTCCACCAACGCTAGGGCCCGGGTACATTCAGTTCCTCCTGGACGTGGAGCACTCTTTTGCTGGCTGTGGACAGGGTCGGCTTTGTTGTCGCGGCTCTATGGAGCAGTTCAAGGACGCCCTTTGCTTACATCTCGGTCAATCGTTCGCTGCTTGTCCGAGCCTTCGAAGGAAATTATGCTGCGAGGCACGCCCTCGAGGTATGGAACGCCGTGGCGAGGGCGATGAAAGTCTCGGAGGCAACCATATACACCAAGTGGATCAAGGAGGGCGAATGTTGCAACCCGTGGTGTTCGAACCGTGGCGACAAGACGGTGAAGAAGAAGAAGAAGAAGTGCACACGATGCCAAGCCGTCCGCTACTGTTCTTCGGAGTGCCAGAAAGGGTAGGTCTCATCGCGTCGTATTGTGGTGGCCTCGGTCTGCTGACACCAGCTCATAGACATTGGAGAGAGCACAAGGTTCTCTGTCGTCGGGTTCAGCAACAGCAGGGCCAGAGTTCGGGAGACTCGAGTTGAGCATCCATGGCGACTTTCCGTACCTTCCGCGACACCTGAATCACTCTGCAAATGATCGCCCCGCTCTGAAACAGTTCTTTATCCATGTTGTAAGTCTTTGAACAGCTACCTTTTCTTCAGATGAGTGTATCAGCTAAGTACCTTATCGGAGAGTTTGTGTGACTGCAGTCCCAGTTCGAGGCCCTTGTAATGCCGTTGCCGACTCCCGCCACTCCTTCCTTTGTTCGACATACAGTACAGGTTCCATTTGAACTTTGGTTGGCTTCCATTATACCTTGTGTAATTTACTTCCACCGTGTTTACGTAGTATCGGAATAAGCGAAATATACGCTCACGAACGGAGAATCACGACGGCGGGATCGACATGTCCAAGCGACGGCCCGGGCTGTGCTGAGAAAAAAGTGCCTCCACTGCTCGTAAAATGTCCGCTCATTATAGTCGCAGAAGAGTGTTCTGAGAACGTGCATACACTCCGCAACGTGAAGGTGGAATTTGTGGCTGCTCGCGAGAGCTAATGAACATCATGCGACGCGTCCAAGCGTGATCTATCTGTACGGTGTCGCCCGCCCATATGTCCACCCACCATTGTGAACAGTTTCTTCTCAGGCTATCCCTTGCTCGCTGGAAAGCAAGGTAGGGCCAAGCATCTTGCTGCACGCATTTCCACTAATCTTTTCCACCTTCGTGCCACGGGTATGCCGAGCTCGGTGTGATTACCCAGAGAATGTCGAGGTAAGAAATGTTGATCATGAATTCATATGCACGCAGCAGGTTTTTTTTCTCGTGTGATAGGTTCGAGAGGAAACATTCCCAAAAAATGGGCAGACGGTGCCGTAAACGAAGTTACGAATCGCGTTTGGACGCGTAGCGTAACGGTCACGTGGGCCCCACGCCCGTGATTATCTCACGAGTCACGAGCAGATGCAAATCTCGTCTTCGAGCGGTCCGCCACATCTCTTATACTTGTCATCACACGAGATGCCATGGATTTCACGTTCACATCGCAGTCGCATGCGGTGACTGGAGAATGGGACGCCGCCGAGGAGACGAAGGCCACCTTCGAAGTGACGAAAGAGTACGAGTGCAACCCCGAGTACTTCGTCGCGCGCGCATGCGGGCTGGACGGCAGGCCAGCCGACAACTTTTGGCTCAGCGCACTGACGTCAGTCATCACCTTTAATCTGCAATACCGCACGGCGGAGCTCGTTGACCGCTTCATCTCAATGGTCGTAGACGGCTACCACTGTGGCCCCGTGAATCCGCTGCCTGTGGAGGCACAGATGCGCATGGATAAGATGCAGCCATGCATCAGGAAAAAGACTTAGGTCCACAATGCTACAGAGTGCTACAGGAGCATTTTGGAGCACTATGGACCCAAGTCCTGTTTCCTGATGTGGTACATGCCGCTCAACGGCGTCATCAACGCGCTCAATGCGATGGGCAAGGGACCGCTGGGCTTATCAGACGAAAATTTTGAAGGCCTGCGCTGCGCGCCGGGGCCAGAGGACCATCTCATTATTGAGCGTGTTAGGGCGAAGTGGAAGCCCATTCTTCACACCGCCGCGCACGACATTATGAAGCTCATTCCTGCGGGTCCGGACGCGGACCGACGGCGGAATAGAATCGTGCTAGCATTCCGGTGCTTTATCTCGCGCTGTGACCTTGGGTGGTAAATCTCCTTTACCTGAAGATACCATACCATGGCTCTAATATGTCTGGTAGTGAGGTGTCCAACGACGAGACTTCGTGGAGCTGCTGCTCACATGCTGGCTGCACATGCATCGGGACCGCGATAGTTCGTCTGGGAGCTGCCATTCGCATAGAGTGCTCGTCCGTACAGCATGCCTGAAGATCGGCACATCAAAGCTGTTCGCACAGTAGGAGTAGATACACTCATTCGGCGCTTTAAGCAGTGGTTAGATGTGCGTTCATTTGCTCACGCTTATTTGTCATCGTTCATCGGCCCAACCCAGGACCCTGAAATATTGGACGACCCACTCGAGGGAGAAATCGAGGCGATACGGCCTTTCTTGGACTATAAACAGCCGTTTTGAGAGCATATGTACAATGCAAAGATCCATGTACACTTTTTGAAGGCCATGGACCGGCAAAAGAAGAAGGGTAAGGCATCTGATCTCGAAGGGGTTTTGAACGCCGGATGCATGGTTTTCCTGTACGCGTACAGCTACCTGCTGCTTTACTCTTTGGCCCACGGACAGACGCATACGGGCAGAACTTCCACGACGTGCCAAAGTTTGCCCCAGAAGCGGTTGACCATCTTAAGCACGGATCGATCCAATTTGCGGCGCTGGCGTGCTGCCTGGCGGTAGAAAACGATCTCCGAGGTGAATACAACTGTTCATACCTCTCTGGTACTCGTGACTGACCTCTCTGACATGCCCTTCAGACGCAGAATGACTCAACAACAGCAATTACCACCAGTACCTCCGCGTCATCATGCACATCTATCAGTGCCTGGGCTGGGGAGGCGTCGGCCCCTGCCAGCGTGGCTGTCAAGGCGCACGAACACCCGAGTATATGCGTCTCATACGCGTGAAAACGGAGAAATGCTGGATTTCGATCGCGCGGCGCATGAAGAATGTTCAGAGAGAGAAGGAGCCTGCCGCGGACACGGCATGGTGGACCTGGGACGTGTACGTCAAGGAGCTCGGGATCTTCGAGGAGAGCCTCCAGGCAAAGTGGCTCGCGGAGGGCGATTGCTGCAATTCAAGCTGCGAGACTCCCGGGGAAGAGGGACTGAAGATGAAGAAGTGCATGAGGTGTCAAGCGGCGAGATATTGCTCGCCTGAGTGCCAGAAGCGTGAGTTTTTCTGATGTTGATCGGAAACGGGCTGATAAGTCGTTGTACAAGCACTAGAAAGAACACAAGCCACATTGCGCTCCGCAGAAGAACTGAACTGTCTGCAGCTTGATCCTGTCCTTTTCGACTTAGTTAAACACTCGCGAAATGTATCGTAACGTCAATTCAGCGACATATCTGTACAATTGTCCACTTATGCAGCCTCCCTCCCCGACGGTGACGCATATTTTGACGACGATTAACGGTATAGAAAAAATTGAAAACCGGAGGGTTGAAAGCAAGCGTACCAGGCAGTCACCTTGAGATATAGCAGACTGGCTGGTATAGTAGCCATTCAAATTGCCGTCAGAAATGTAAGTGCAAACGGGCCGTTATACATTTTATCCTATTTTGCAACGCTGACTACTACTGTTGATATCAAGCTGAGATATTTGTAAGGATAGACATGAACAAAGAACAAGAGAAATGGGAATGAGGAACCACCAGTGAAGATGGCGTCCTGCACAGAGTCAAAAGATGTGTGAATGCAGAAACAACAGGAGAAAGGCATGGATGCTAGAGCCCCTTCATCACAACGACCTACGCCATGCGCCACCCTCTTCGGCACACCAAAGTTACAAGCCCCAGATCCCAGTCAGCCACGCATTGATGTCCCTGTACACCTGTGACCTCTCTGGCTCCATCCAAGACATTGCAAGCCAGCCATGGTACATGTCCTGATACTCGGCGTAGTGCACTTTGTCCTTCCCGCTGTCGTGAATCAGCCGGTCGCGGAAGGTGCGCTTCGCATCCACCGTCTGCTCTGCCTCGCCTGCAAGGATGTATGTCGGCGGGCAGTTCGCGAACAAACCATCTGTGCGCTCCAGCTTCAGCGACGCCGGCGACATCCACGTATTCTTCTCGAACTCGTGCTCGGACAGCGAACCTCGAATGCTGGTGAGAGTGTACCCGCTGAGCAGGTGGGGGTAAACATAGTCCGAATTTTTGTTCACGTTCATAGTCGATGCCGGCGTGTTGAGGTGTGTGTTGGTCCAGTCCAACGTGGGCGACACTAAAACGAGTGCACCAGGCAGAGGAAGCGAAGGGATGCCGGGGTTGGCGAGATGTCGCACAAGGTTGCTGGCGAGATGGCCTGCGGAGGAGTCGCCCCACACGATGATGTTGCTGGGCTCAAAGCCGAGGGTCTCGACAAGGTATTAGTAGCCCGAGATGATATCAATGACCGCCGCTGGGAACGGGTTCGCGGGCGGGTAGGGGGCGGAAGAGGCAAGACGGTAGTCGAGGCCGAATACGCGCTCCGCAACCTTGGGGCGTTTCTCCAAGGAGCCGCGAGTGACATCTGTTGTGACACTGGAAGGATGCGACGAGCCCATCTGAACGGCTATGAGTGTTGGCACTGTCACTACTAGTAGCTGCGAAAGACGATGCTTACGATATGAGCTCCACCTGTAGGCGGCAACGGTCACAAATATGAACTCAAAGACATGTACGCGCAGCGTAGGGGACATACCGTGTAAATAGTAGAGCACGCGTTCGCCCTTTGTGGCGCGCTGACCATGCTTTCCAGACTCGTCACGGGCACCATGCCAGTACCCATAGACATCAACGGGCTTGACGCCGTTGCGGTGCGCAAGGTTAGCGATCTCGCCGGTCACCAGCTGAGACGGGACGGAGTCGACCCAAACGAAGCCTGTGGCGCCTGGGTCGCGCGAATCCTTGACCGGGTTGCCCTCTGGCGTGAAAAGGCCAATCTTGTAGTACATTCGACCTCTGGTCTCGGAGGCATAGCGGGTCAGAGTCTTCACCATGCTTTATGACCTTCTGGGCCTGAGGGCGGGGATGGAAGCTACGATGAGCCAACAGGGCAGGTGGATGAAGAGCAGCACTGGCACGGTGACGAGGAGGTAGGCAAACTTGAGCGGCTGATTCTTGAATGCGAACATGGCGTGCAGAAACGATAGGTGACGTCTGCTGGCAGACCGTACAAGGTTGAACGATGGATGTCTGAAGAATGTCTCAGCTATCGGAGACCGCTCGGACCGTTTGGACACCCCCGTATTATGGTAGCACGCTTCGTTTTTCGAATCTCTGACACGGACATGATCTGTTTCACCCGCCGTAATATATAGCCTTACCCTGTCTTAATCCATTGTTTGCAGTAGATATGATTTTCCAGTGTCAGAGCGGAATGGGCGACCGACTATGATCTCACCTGCACACAATGAACAGAACACGCATGCTTGTGTACACGGCCTTCTGTCAAGCAATACAACTGTTCAAAAGAACTCGAACCCAGAGCTATCGTAGCACCGAGTACACAGGGGCGAAGGTGTACTGTTCCCTGACTAGGACGGCCTTCAACGCAAACCTGGTCCTATAAGTACAGATCTTCAAAGTTCCTGCCATCACCCTTGGTCCTAGGCGAGCTCCAGACACCTCTCCACTAGAGAACAGATTCGTCAGCGACAGCAGAATACTCGACCGAACCACCTCACCTTCCCAGTTCGTCATCTCCTCGTTCCACAGCTTGACCTCGTGCAGTCTTGTCCCGCCGAAGTGACCTGCAAAATCATCTCCAAAGACGCCCTCCTCACGCGCTGCACTGTTTTGTGTATCATCCACTCGGTGGCAGCCTCGAGCGAGACAGGCAGCATCTGCGCTTTCCCCGTCTCCTTGTCCTCGGATTTCAGTTGGCTACGGATGGCTGAGAAGGAGATGGACGAGGGAATAGGAGTGACGAGATTAGATCTTTAGATGAGCGCAGATAGATAAGATAGATGAGCTGACGGAGATGCACGGAAATGGCGGATTAAATCGGGTACGTGGTTTGATTATGCCTGTCATACGCACCATTAGGGAGGTCGTCAATGACGCATTCTTCGCGTTCGGGCACATACCAGTCAATGTTGTATACATACACGGAGTATGCGGCTTACATTTCTCCAAGGCTTCGCCATGAAACTAGGGCTCATGGGTACCTGAGTTCAACCTGCGCAACTCTCAGTGAGCCATCAATACTATGATAGAGCCGAGTTGATAGAGAACATTTATGTTACATACTGTGTGTTATTATGCAAAATGCGGCATGCTGGGCCTCTTCATTAATACACGAGTGCAGGAAGTGAGGCCGGTGAGGCCTAGAGACAGAGGCGATGTGACGCATTCGTCACTCCTATCATCATCGCGATCACGTGTTACGCGCGTTCAGCTTGATCTTGAAATTCTTACACCAGTCTCTTTAGATCCCCTCTGATACTTTATTTCACTCTCTCGTTTTCAGAGGCTACGCTTCGATGGAACACATCTTGAACCATTCGGAGGGATACCACTACGTACGAGAGCGGTCCGCTATGCAATCCTTACAACGCAGCCCGGAGTACTTCGAGCAACGTGCGACCGGGAGCGACGGGCAGCCCTCAGATTAATACATCATGAACGCACTGACGATGCTCGTGCCTTGGGAGCCAAGCGAACGGACGGCGCGTCGCGTCGACCACTTTATGACTATGATTCTCGAGGGCTACCCAATGCCTGTGCCCAAGGAAGGAGAGGAGGAGACCTTCGAGATCAAGAAGCGACATTGGGAAGCCCCACTCGTTGGCGTCGTTAACTACTTGACGGCTATCATGAACGCATCGATTGCTGGCACGGAAGATGCTGTGATCGTAGGGAACGTTACGGCGAAGCATCGACAGATATTGCCAGTGGACGTCGTCGCACGAGATATCATGAAGCTTTTACCCACGGGAGAAGAGGCTAACCAGCGGAAATCCATCGTAGTCAAACTGGTAAACGTACTTTGGCAAGTTTGCAGCCTCGCAGAGTAAGACCATTCTTTGCATAAGAGGCTACCACTCGACGCCGTGGTTGACGATGCACACAGAGAACTATTCAAAAATGAGACTGCTATGCAGCTCTTCATGACGTGTTGGACGCGCATGACACCTCCAGGCCGTGATGAAGTCTGCCGCATCGTACACAACCTGTTCAGTCCCACCGCTCGCGACTACAATTCTCTGCTTACCGGGCGGCACGAGCTCGCTGTCCGTGCAATAGGCATTGATACCCTAATCCAATGCTTTCGTGAATGGCTGGAGGTATGGCCCCAACAGCTCCGTATTCTTAGTGCCCAGAATGCTGAACCTATACACTGCCAGAACCCTGATTTCATCGATGATAAGCTGGAAGCGAGATAAATGCTATGACTGGCTTTGCAGCACCTCACAGGATCTTCTCCAGCGCATTCACGGAAGCTCAGATCTACCAGCCAGTGCTCACAGCCATGAAGCGGCAACGGACTGAGGGCGCCAACGGGTCTACTACAATGAGTATCCTCGAGGTAGGCTCCTTGATACTTAAGTGCGTTGCCTGCCCCTGCAACAATACTTGCTTTGACTTGATCTTGATTGTAGGATGACTTCCCCTAACAAGGTCCTATTTCCGTCAGAACTCATCCATCACTTTAATCTTGGTTCCGTAGAACTTGTCCTACTGCTGTTAGGCAAGTTCATCACTGAACTGGGATTCGGTGGGTAATGTGCACTCCTTGCTCTGAGGCGACTTGTTCACACTGGTACACAGACTCAGAGACATACAAGAACACTGCCGAGTACACATATGTCGACATGATCTGCCACATCTTGACGACGGACTGTTGCCGGGCGTATCGCACACTTAAGTTCATGGGCGCGCTGCAAGCACAGATCGAGAAAGTATTCGTTCCGACGTGGCGGATGCTGAAAAAGTTTCGCACTGAGCGGCGGTCCGCCGCAGAAACGGCGACTGCGCAGTGGACAGAGCTCACCGGTCGCTTCAATCTGACTGCCGAAGGCTTGCAGCGCAAGTGGAAGGAACGAGAGGAGTGTATTAACCCGGCGTGCGACACTCGTGGACAGGACAACCTGCGAATGAAGCGATGTTCCAAGTGCCGGGCTGTCAAATACTGCTCGTCGGAGTGCCAGAAAGCGTGAGTCGCTAGATCGCTACCGGGAGATTCTGTTGGCAGGGGTTAATTCGCTTGTAGGCATTGGAAAGAGCACAAATCGCAGTGTATCTCGGACACAGCATAAATAAGTCGAGAAGAGGAATTTGCTCTCGCCAAGTCTCAGACATTACATCTCCTCGAGGTACATCCACCGTACACCGCCCTGCTTCGCGCTATCTTGTTCTTTCGCCTTTCTTGCTATTGTATCTCATTCAGACTGGTGGCGTTCAAGATCCCACCCGCGCTGTTCAGCTTGGGACGCGCGCAGGGACAGGACGGCATGTGCGTCGGCGCCGTCGCGGGATTTACTTTTCGGACTTACGCTAAGGATCGCATTCGCACTCTGGGAGATGCGTAAGGTGTGAAGAACTTCAGATAGCCTGCCCTCCCCTTGAGAATTTTCATTCTCGGAGCCATCTACATCTCAATGTTCGCACAGGTTGAACGGTACAGAGAACACTAACTCGTCATTATCCTCCGTCATAGCGCTGCGCTCGTCCATCAGTTCCAGCCGAAGTTCTTCTGCCTCCTGCCTCGACATCAGCCAATCTGCCTGGTCGATAATCATGTCCACCATTTCAACAGGAAGCTTCCCGAGCCCCTTAGCCGTGATATCATCCTTCACGCGCTGCTCGGCAGCGATGTCCTGCAGAAGGGCCTTCATCCACTCCTTTTGTTGTGGGGGTACATTGCTCGTCGATATGCGCGGCTTCGGGAGTGCGGGATCCACGAGGAAGAGCGCCACAATCTTGCGATGCCCTGGCCTCGATTTTTCGACGAGCTCGAAGGGCTGAACTTGGTGTTGATAGACATTCGGAAACGCGATACACCGTCCCTGCTTCGTCACTACGGATCCCAGATGCTGATTGAGTGGTCCTTCACTATGTATATCTGTGAGCGGGTGCTGTTCGTCCAATCAAAGTTCAAGATGAGACTTACTTCTCAAGGCCGTAGACTGCCTGCATGCCCTCATCATCGCTTTGATTGTAATATGGCTCGCTCACGGCCATGCGAAACGCCAGTGCACTATCGGTAGTATTCTCCTCATTATAATAATATATGCCCGTTGACACAATTGCCTCGTCGAGCATGCCTTCGACATGCCAGCTTCCTCCCGGATACTGTGGCTTGCTCGGAGTCTGTCCATTCCGAAAATAAGATAAAATAAAATAGAACTTCGCTGTAACATGAGTCGAGTGCGAAGCTCACCAGAATTATATTGGCCAGCTTGATGATGACTTGAAGCGTGCACCCCTTAAGATAAACAGGCTCAGGGTCCGGATAGGGTTGGAAAGGCACGTTGACTCCGGGTAGGTGCAAGGTGCGAGTTATTTCCCGGTACGATTCTCCTGAGCCAGAGCCGTCGTTAGAGCCCTCTGATTGTGAGTTCGACTGCGAACGACGCCCCCACCAGTAATTCCCGTGCACGAGGCAGCGCATTCCTAAGTCCACACGGGACTCGGCGAGGACACGCTCCCAGAGCGGCACAAAGCGCGCCACAAGTCGCTCTACGACAGGATAGGCTGAAGCATGCAGACGTGGATCAAGATTGTTGATGTACCCGAGCGCTTTCGCGGCAGCTCCGTCCTTGGAGATCGCAAAATCGGTGGGGAGCCAGCAGAACCGCTCAGAGCAGAATTTGTAAATGTCCTTGAACTGGGCTGCGGACGGGGGCAGCGTGGGGTCGTATCCGTCACGAAGCGTCGTGCGGTCGTATACAATGCAATAGAGCGAAGGATGGACAAGGTCGAGGACCTGCCCGTCTGCGCGAGGATGCCAATCCTTCTGATCCTCAGGAATGTCCTCCAATTTAGCGACTGCACGTAGGAGTTCAGCATGAAGGGCATCGTCGACGAGCGTGTCTGACTGCCAGATTCTCTGGAATATCGACGCCTGTCCCACGCGAAAGATCCGGAGGTCATTAGCACACTAGTACTACACTGCTCCCATCACCGAGCATGATGGTGCCATACCTCTATGCCTGTTTCCTCATCCCGACGTGAAGCATACCAGGCCAATTCGTCGAGAACGTAGCTCACTTCATCTTCCGTCAACGATATGTTCCCGTAAAGCACTGGGGTACTGATCGCTTCCTCTCGCCACCGCGCACGTATACCCGGGTCTTGCGCCTTGCTCCACCAGTTGGACTTGGCCCTGATGGTAGCGGACAGGGCACACATATTGCGCACATTCGCCTGCAAAAGGTCATTGTTAACACATCAGTCTACAAACCTTAGGAACCGTACCGGTAGGGCCGCATCGTCGTATGGTCCGCATCCGTGCCAGTGGCTAAAGTCGTATCCATCATCGCGGAAAGCGTGCCCGAAGGGATGCCTGAACATCCCCGACATCTGTGGACTTTCGCCGACATTGGACTTTGCGAAGCACACACTCATAATCTGCAAAGGTTACGAGCAACTGGGGCGACCGCTTTATATCGCCAGCGTCAGATGCAGTGCTTTGCAGGGTCGCCGAGATTTTTATGCATGTTTGTCCCGTACAAATGAATACCATAAGTAGTTTCACCGGGAGTCACGGACGGTCACAGTCGTTTGTTCCAGCACGCCGAGGCAGAATGTGTCGAAGGATTTGCTGGTGAAGCTAGGCTTGCTTCCAGCCTCTTAAATTTCGGAAGAGGCGGTACCGTCGTGCCTCATATAGAGCCCAGTCAGAAGTCGTTCTAGCGGAAGATTTCCAAAATGTAGCGCTGGCGACCGGATATGCCGCGCTATACCGGATTGCCATAGGCGCGTGTAACGCTATATGTATTCGCGTATATCTGGGTCTTGCGCTTTGATCTACCAGTTAGTACTATTATTAGTCTTGGCTCGAATGGCAGCGGATAAGGCGTACATGTTACGCTCATTTGCCTGCAGCATTCATCAGTTTTCTTCTCCCTCGAGTCCACAAGTGGCAACCGACCGAAAGCGGCGCATCGTCGTATGGCTCGCACTCACAGCCGGAGTCCTCCTGGTGATTGCGAAAGGGACGTCTGAACATGCCTGACATCTGGAGACCCTCAACAGCCTGCGCGGCATACGGGCACATAGTTCTGGAAGTTAAGATCCAAGAGCAGCAACGTGATGAAGCCGGGAACGTTAACGGCTTTATATCGCCGCCGGATAACTAGCTAACGAGTCATGCTGCCATTGTTGGTATATACTACGAACGTCGAGACTTTGAAGCTACTTCGCTGCTGATTCATGTACAGTATAGGACCACTCCTTGGGACACCTGATCAATATTCGCTTCCCCTTCATATGTCTCTCGCATATAAATAATAAATAAATCGCATTATATTACTACAACATATAAAATACCTCATTGCAAAGCTGCAAGGCGAAAAGACGAAAGCTGAAGTCAAGACGAAGGACACAAGACGGAGGTGGTCCAAGACAGCGGCTACCACTTCTTGGGACAGGGTGACTGATGTGACAAAGGTGATAATTTGTGACCTGTACCAACAGTCTTGGCAGACGCGGCAGTCAAATTTGTCACGCCTCAGTCACGCCTCAGTCACGCCCAAGCTCAGTAGAATCATCTCTGATGTATTCCAGCTCGACACTTGGCATCTGAGCATTGAGCGCATTTTTCACATAAACGGAGCATAAATTCGAGTATTAACGAATATTTTTGCGAATTTTAGGCTGACTGTGCGACTATGGTGACGGTCGCGGCATCATTGAAACCGGCACGCTTGACAATTTTCGAGGCTTTTTGCTCCCTCACCGACGCTACAGTCACCGGATGGCTCTGAGCTTCTAATGGCATATAGATATAGATGTATTATATACAGTAAAGTGGTAGTGACAGGCCCTACAGGCTGTGCGAGGACAGAAAGTGGAATGTCCCAAGGAGTGGTGCTGTCCCGAGGAGTGGTCCTACACTGTAAGTTTATTTGCGTCGCGATTTGCAGTAACATGATGCATGTGAGTAGTGTGGTCTAGAGGAGCTGTTGGATTTAATCGCTTGGTAACGTAGTCGGTGATGCGCCCGATGCGCCCTTCATATCCAATGGTCGAAGGACCTGTGTATCTTGTTCATAGTTATATAGTACCTCGTCGTCTTTGCGAGATTTACGTGAATACGATCCATGCAAGGGTTCTAACGTCTTCCCAAATGATGAACATCGTAATCGGAAGGTCGAGTCCCAAGAAGAATATGCATGAGAGGTGACATGTAATACGTATTCCAACCAGTCAAAGGTAGTATGGCACAGGAGTAGAAGAAACAACAAGGTTCCAAGCCGGCGTAGCTCTCACCAAGGTTCGTCTTTGGCGTTCATGATGGCATCGATGTACGCTGAGTCGTCCCCAATGAGTACCTCCGAGACGAGCACATTTTCGCCGAGGCCGACCAAGTTAGGTGACGCGCCAAGCTTGGCTACGAGCTCGCTGCTCTCGGACGAGCAAAATGCAAGAACCTGAGAACCAAACACGGCAACAAACTACAAGGAAGGCATGAGTATCGCCACTGAGCTGTAACAGAGTGAAGGTGCTCACTAAACTGCCATCCTTCAGCCTCGAATTGAACCGGTCAAAACTCTCCTTCACGTTGGCATCGACACCCTCTTGAAGGACCACACGAGCGTTAGAGCCGCCGCAGATAAGTGCCTTGATCACGTCCGCTACAGCTTGTCCCTTGTAAAACTTGCCCGGCGCACCCTGCGACATGGATTGAACCTCAGCAGTGACTTCGTCAAGACGTTTGCGTGTAGAGTTGGTGGAAGGGTGTATATCCTTCAAGATAACGGGGATCCGGACGGAAGCGTTAATTAGAATAAGAAGCGCGAGACTAGCTGTTTCAGGTCTGGAAGAAGTGTTAGGATATGTTCGATGTAGCGAAAACGACGAGTACTTACTGCTCTGCTAACGGGGAGATTGGAGACTGTTCAGAGGGGCCAGCGAATCTGCACGGGCTGTTAGGCTCGACATAGCAACCATTAGGCATATGATACTCACGGCTTGTCAAAGATCGTGTATTTTTTCCAGGCTGCGAAAGAGCTGCTCGAGCGAGCATTTCCGTTACCCAAAGGTGCATCGATCGGGTTGATGAGAGGCTCCTTCGGAGCGGGCGGAAGTACTGGCTCTGGTTCCTCTAGCATCCTGCGCGTAACTTAGCAATGCCTCGACATTGCGATCGCAGTCGTAAATGAACTCACACTTTTAGTGATTCAAATTCATTCGCAGCTTGATCTAATGATATCGAACCATGAGCTTCCGCCTTCGCCTCCGGAACCAGGGTACTTGGTGGCTTTGCTACATCAACATAATCGAGAAAATCGTGATCAACCTCGCCTTCCGCATCCCGGTCCGACGTTTCGTCGTGGTTTGGGGCATCGCCCGCGGGAATGGGTGCGAGAGTCCCAGCGGTCGGCTGATTCAGGGCTGCCAGACGGTCGAGGTCTTCGTTGGTCAGTGGAGGGAGGATTTGGTCATCGACAGCCATCACATCCGCAGATTCCGCACGCGAGTGAGGAGTGATTTTCCGCACCGGGTGTCCAGGCGTGGGCCGAACGGGTGTGTCAACCCGCTTCTGCCCAGGGCGCGAGCTGCCTTTTGTTTCAGGGAGCTGCGAGGTTGAATCTACGACGATGCCCTTCGACGAGCGGCCTGGTCCGGCACGTGCACCTGATATCTTTGCGCGGGGTGCGACTGATGGCTGTGCGCCGTTGGATGTGGACGGCACTTGCACTGTGCTACTCCCCTGCTTGCGAGCTGAGCGGGTCTTAGCCGGACGTGCGATGTCGTTTTCCGTCGCGACTACTTCAGCAGAAGGCTCGATTAGCGAGCGAGTAGGGCGTAGAGGATGTGTGGATGTCTTCGCAGAACCATTGGCCCTGCGCGTCCGTGCAACTACGGGCTCTTCTGTGGGAGTGGAGTGCCCGGATTCATCTGCCAAGTTTGAGTGTGAAGTCTCGTCCGTAGCCTCCGCCGGCTCATCAGAATCAATCTCAATCACCTCGGTTGAAGGTTGCCGTGGTTGGATTCGCCGCCGCTCTTGTGTCGCACTTTGGCTTTTAGCGGGCGTCTTGCGAGGAGATGCAGAGGATCGGGTGACACGGTCACTGATAGAAGGTTCTGCGACTTGACGCGCAGATGTGGAAGCCCTTGTTCGCCTATTGGGGCTGGGTGCCTTCGATATACTTTCTTCTTCGTCAGTGTCCACCACCACGATAGGAGCGCTGCCGCGTCTGCGCTTTGCTGGCGGCTCCGCAGCCTGCTCATTAGAGGTGCGTCGCTTGCGAGAACTAACTGGCCGGGTCACAATTTCTTCAACATCCTCGTCGATGAGTGATTGCACCTCGCCTTCTGAATCCGTCGGCTTGCGCTTTAGCGGAGGGGGTCGTCGAGGACTAGCGCGTATTTCCGACTCAGCTTTCTTCGTGCTTTTCCTTCCTATAGCAGACTGATTAGAATGCACAAATTAAGATAGCCAAGAGAGACAGACGCACTTCCAGGAGGTCCCACAGGAAATATTTCTTCGCCGATCTTGAATAGGTCCATACGCGTGTGGTCTCGATTGCCACCTATGCGTTCCCAAAACGCTTTGACAAAATGTTCAGAGCCTTCGAAGCTTTCGAAGGGCTCCCAGCTAGATAAACAACGCGTTTAGCGGTTTGAACGCCTGACACGCAGGCTGCGTGACTCACGTATTAGCATCCTGATCGTAGCCCTTCCACTATAAAAGATATTTGCGCTCAATCATAACGTTTAGCTACCTTCAATAGATCGCATTACCTGTACATAATAGTGCTATATACTCTAGTTAGCACTCAGCAGAATACTAGTCTTGACGTTGCACATACCCAGATCTTCCGGAGGCCCTTCTTCACGACCTTTGCGCGTAGGATGGACTCTAATGTGGGCCAATACTTAGGTACAGACCGCGGGCCGCGTGCATCTATACTCACCAACTTCGTATTCTTCCTCGACGTCGCTCATGACGTGCGCGCAGACCGGGCTCCTGCTGGGGCTTTCAGAGGTCGGTGGGAGACAGCTCGAGCGCCCACGACTGCCAAGGCGCCCAAACGAGATGTCGGGATCACGCGCGGCACGTGACTGAACGCGCGGTGGACGGGCGTCTGAACCAATTAGCCCGTTGATCGCGTCTCGTCCTCCCTCGTATCGCAACTATCGCCATCTCGAGCACCTGCGTGCACATCCCACCACATCTTTGATTTCTGTTTTGCTATAGATTAATACTCATTCCAACCCTCCGCCACTACCTACTATGCTTAAGCGGGCACCCACAACGACGGACGGCCGAATCGTCGACCGTCTACAAGAAAGCGTACGCGTCAACAAGCCATTCAAGCCTCCTACACTTGCCGTACAGCGAGAGCAGTCGCAACGCAAACGCAAACGCGTGTCATATAAGGGTGCGCAGGCGGATGGCGACGACGACGACGAGCCGAAATCGAAGAAGAAGAAAGATATGCTCGATGGTCCGAGGGACAACAACATCCAGAGCGCCCCTGTATATAAGCCCAAGCCTTTCGATCAAGTCTCCCGACGGTTCTCCATACCGTCTATGAAGAATGCTGCAGGAGAGTATGTGCAGAAACCTATGTCCAACGTAGCTCTCGGTATTCGCCCTGTCGCCAATATCATCCCTCGTCCTCTCCATGACCCCATGGAAGATCACGCTATAGTTCTGTACGATCCGACAGTCGACGACAGGGAGACCGACGAAGAAAGGAAAGAGCGTGAATTGGAAGAGGAGAAAGAGCGTGCGGCGAAGGAAGCTCGTGAAAAGATAGCGGGATTGTATAACCCTCACAAGAGTTTAAGAGAGATCCTTGGTGGTGGGACTAAGAAGAAGCTGAACAAGAAGGTCCCGGTGGTCATTGACCCTCGACTAGGCAAGGTCCTTCGGCCCCATCAAATTGAAGGTGTACAGGCAGGGCGACGGAGTATTCTTGCCGTGAGCCCGGCTGACCTTCTCTCTAGTTTATGTTCAAGGCGACCACCGGAATGATTGTCGAACACCAATATGGTTGTATCATGGCCGATGAGATGGGTCTGGGTAAGACCTTACAGTGCCTCACTCTTATGTGGACACTGCTCAAGCAGTCACCGCATGCCGGGAGGTCTACTGCCGAGAGGGTCATCATTGCGTGTCCCGCCAGTCTGGTCAAGAACTGGGGCAACGAGATTGGTATGTTCGTACTTCATCTCCGCAGGGAAATGTATACTGACCGCCTCCCTCTCAGTCAAGTGGCTCGGCCCAGGTGTCGTCGGGACAGTGCTTCTCGACGGCACAGATAACTTAGGGAAGGCTCGTCGTTGGATAGAACAGCCAAGGGGACGTAATTGCACGAACCCAGGTATGCTTAAGTAACGCGTTACAATTTAGACCACGAGACTTACTTGCGCGCAGTCCTAATAACGTCTTACGAGTATCTACGCACCTTAGGAGAATCGTATCCCTCAATTTGTGAGATGGAGATTGGCCTTCTCCTCTGTGATGAGGGACATCGTCTCAAAAACACTGGTACGTGCACTTCAATATCTTGCAGTGATTGAACTGATTCTTTCTCCGCGTAGAATCCAAAACATGGCAGGTGTTATCCACGCTGAAAGCCAAACGCAGGGTCATCCTCACTGGCACACCAATCCAGGTATGCTGTACAACGATAATGATCAGACATCGGCTCATAAAATGTCTCACCACAGAATGATCTCACAGAGTACTTCTCTCTCCTCAGTTTCGCACTGCCTACGTATCTGGGAACGCGAAATGAGTTCCGCAAGAATTTCGAGAACGCGATTATTCGAGGACGCGACGCTGATGCATCGGACGCTGTCAGGGAGAAGAGTGAGCAAAAGCTCAAAGATCTTGCTGCTCTCGTATCCAAGTTTATCATTCGCCGCACGAATGACTTGCTCTCCAAATACTGTAAGCGACTTCAGTCTCAGTCCCGTACATAGCAACTAACCTTGCCGTTGCAGTGCCTGTCAAGTATGAGCACGTCGTTTTCTGTCACATGTCTGACATTCAACGAGACATGTACTGCCACTTCGTGGACCACCCACAGACGAAGACTGAACTCCGCGGCAAAGAGGCCAAGCCGCTGGTCGCTATCAATATTCTGAAGAAGCTCGTCAACCACCCGGAGCTCCTCCCTATCGGCAAGGAAACTAAGCATGCCGAATGGGATAACAAAAAGGACGCCGAGAAGGAAATGGAGATGTGTCGAGTTTTCGACGAACGCTTGCCGCCAGGCTGGGGTGACAGGAGAGACGTACACACTGAATGGAGCGGCAAATTCTTAGTCCTGGAGAGGTTGGCCATTAGCGAGAGCTTTGGCACACATACGGATGTTAACGCCTTATCTTAGGTTCCTGGACAAGATGAGACAAGAGACGAATGACAAGATCGTCCTTATCAGTAACTATACAAGTACCCTGGACGTCTTCGAGAAGCTGCTACGGGCCAAGAGGTACCAACCATGGTCGTCTCGTACCATTACCTCTCTGACCCCGTGGGATGTAGGTACGGATACTTCCGTCTCGATGGTAAGATGAACGTCAAGAAGAGGCAGGAGGTCGTCGACAAATTCAACAACCCTGAGGTCCCTGAGTTCGTCTTCCTGCTCAGTAGTAAGGCCGGCGGCTGTGGCATCAACCTCATCGGCGCGAATAGGCTCATTCTGTTCGACCCTGGTACGTCAATTCGCTGGACCCGAGGCTCTGTATCTCATTCGTCTGCAGACTGGAACCCTGCTTCCGACCAGCAGGCACTCGCGCGTGTGTGGCGTGACGGCCAGAAGAAAGAATGTACGTGCCCAATGGCACTCGTATCGTCCCAGCACTGACATCTGGCACAGGTTTTGTGTACCGCTTCATTTGTACGGGCACCATCGAAGAGAAGGTCTTCCAGCGCCAGGCGCAGAAGCAGTCGCTGTCGTCGGCTGTCGTCGACGAGAAGGAGGACGTCGAGCGGTTCTTCTCGCGCGACAACCTGCGGCAGCTGTTCAAATACAACGACAAGACGCTTTGTGAGACACACGAGACGTTCAAATGCAAGCGATGCAAGAACGGCAAGCAGTTCATGAAGTCGCAGGCGCTGCTTTACGGTGATGCGAGCACGTATGTATTTTTCGCATTAAACTTGTGATAGGAGCTGACTAGACTGTTCGATAGGTGGAATCACTACACGAATGAGGAACTCAGGAATAATCATGACGATCTCCTGCGAGCTGAAACTGGGCTTCCTGAGATCTCGTTTGTCTTCCAGTATATCAGTCACTGAGCGTGTCCCCCTTCGCTTTCTTTATCACTCGACGCATGCAACACGAAACCGCACAGTCAGTCTCAGACCAATATCGCAAACATTGTAGCATAGTAGACTGGTATCCCGATAGACGCATTTGCTAGAAATACATATTACATGAGTCGTAAAGTGTCCCAGACGATAAGCACAACAACAGGCTAAGGCGTAGGCTAGCCTGCACTTGCTCATGCAACAACGTCGTCCCACGAGCCCCATTCGCCTCCCTGTTTTCGTACCTTGATTTTCTCGCCTGCGATGCCGAAGTACTGTGCCTTGAACCACGTCTGCATCTCCTCCTCGCTGAACGGACCGAAAAGCTGCTCCCCCTCGCTAGACGACCCGGGCACGTCCCACTTGTACTCATACTTGACGTCTGCGGACGGCGCGACCCAGTCCTTGTCGACTTTGCCCGACGCACGCACCGCACGCACGAGCTCCTCGTACGTCTTCGAGTAGATGTCGGTGTCGCCGAGCGACATGAGTGTCGAGGCGAGGTGCGTTATGTGATCGATCTCGGAGGGCTCAGGCTTAGACTTCGCGGCGGGCTCAGCCTCCATTGAAATATCTTCACCGTTTCGCTTCATTTTATTATTTGGCCTGGAGAAGACATAGCATTAGCAAGAAGTTATTGGCCCATAGGCGGAGACGTACCGCTTCTTCTGCTGCGTGCCGTTCTTCTTCACCTTCGCCCCCATTCTCTGCAGGGCCTCCAGGACAGTCTCTCCCTTTTTCAGGAGTGGTAATAATGCCTTCTCGATATCATCTTTCTCGCCCATCTGCTGCAGCTCCCGCTCTTCCGCCTGCTGCTTCTCCTTCTGTACCCGCTCCATATGCCGGTGTTGCCTCCGCGCTTTCTTGATCTCGCTCTCGTCGAGCCCCTCCATCCACTTGTCGTGCACGGCGTGCGGGTCGAACGTGCGGATGTACGTCCCGTCCTCGGTGAACTTGCCCTCCTCCATCTCCTCGCGCATGTTGAACGACGAGATTTCAAAGCCCATTCCCGCCTTCTTCCGCCGCTCTGCGTCGTCTTCGTCCTCGGGCTCGTCCTCCGACGCGCTCTGCTCCTGCTCGCCCGTGTTCTCGCCAAAGACCTGCCCCTCGATGTCTCCCAGGCGCATGTACCGCTCCTCCTTCTTCGCGGCCGCCTCGTCCTCGTCTTTCGCCTTGTCCTCCGTCGCGAACATGTCGTCGTCGTCGTCCTCCGCGGCCTTGTCTGCGTCCTTCCGCCGGCTGAGCACGACGCTCTCGCCCTCGTCGCTCGAGTCCGAGTCGTAGCCCTCCGTCTTCACGCGGCCTTTCCGCCGCGCATTGGGGTCCTCGAGCTGGGCATCGACCTCCTCCGCGAAGTTCGCGGGGTCGTCCTCCGGCTCGACAAAGCGTGTCTTCTTCTGTGCATGTTGCGTCGCGCCCTCCGAGGACGGCGCGCGTTTGTGTGCTGATCGTGGAGGCATAGGAGCACCTATACTTTGCTGGTCTCGCTCAATGAGAAAGTGAGATAGCAAGGGCTGGCAATGAGAGAGATGTGGGAAATTGCTATCCAAAGTCAGCGAGAATGCGTTGAGGAGTGTACGGAAGCGCTTGACGGGTGGACGACCATGCCAGATTCAGATCCAGTCAAACGCCACGGGGACGGCTTCTGCATAAATGCCTTGATGCTACTAAATACTTGGGTACAACACGTAACGTTGAGGTTGTAGGAGAAATCAAGACACCAAATATTCAACATGCAGCAACAGATTGACCGCTTTTTTCTTGCGCACTTACTGCTGACTACGACGACAAAAAGAGTAATTGTGAGATAAGATAGCCCCAGGCGGCGATAAGGAACGTGCATGCCGCGGTCGCGTCCACCGCCATACTGTCAGATCCTGTGCTCGTAAACGGCGCGCCCATGATGATGGCCTCTAAGACAGTCATCCGCAGTGTACCACATCACGGCTTCCTACCAAGGCTCGCTCAAAACCCTTGGGTTATATATCCCTAGCACACTTGTTTGATCCATGTCTTTTACCCACTAAACATCGTTCTCTCCGTCCGCTGTTTCAACCCACATGCACCCGCCGAGCATGTCGCTCTCTAGGAATCTCTCGCCGAGAGGACCAGCCATCTCTACTCGCGCTTCTGGGCATGGTAGCTGGGCGCCCTCTCTACCCCGCAGGTCCAGGGCTTCACCCAAGGCGTTGCTTGCGTATCTCTCAGGACGTGGTGAGAGCTCGTCATTACCTGATGATCCTATCGGCGAAGAAGCAGTTGAGCTGTCGTACGAATTCGTGCATCCCCGTCATCAGGACCCGGCCGACATCCCAGCCGACGCGGGCGAGAGGGAGGCAGACGACAGTGACACAGCTTCGCTCGAGGAGATGAAGGGTCTTCCGTGGTACAAGCGGCCAAACCCATGGTGGTGAGCACAATATCAGTTGACATGTTTACTGCGTGCTGCTCTCGCTACACTCCAGCTTTGGCATGACAACGTACCATGTGCGCAGCAGCAGCATTTTCCCATTATTCTGGCCAGTCCTTGCACACTAAGTGCTAATCAGATGGAACTTATAGGCTCCTCGCTTTGGTTCCATTCGCAGCGGTTGCTAGAGGCGCGGAAATGGCCCCAAGAATTGGGATATACACTCAGCTCGCATGCGCAGCATACAAGCCTGAACTCAGCTCTGATAATGGGACCCTGCCGGCGACGTACACGTACGCGCCAGGGTATGACCCGCGGCTGTGTGCAAAAGACCCTGTCGTGCAGGAGGCCGTTGCGCAGATGAACATGGCAGTGTCCGTGACGACGGGAGTCCTTACATGCTTGACCGCAGCGTGGTGGGGATCGCTCTCTGACCGTTTCGGACGTATTCGCACACTGTCCTTCGCGGTGTTCGGTCTGCTGATGACCGACGTCAACTTCCTGGTCGTGACTCGCTGGCACACGGTGCTGCCCGGCGGGTACTGGTTCTTGCTCGTTGGCCCATTCCTTGACGGACTCCTAGGAGGTATGACTACTCTCGGGCACTTCTGGACAATATTCTCAGATCGCATATATACAGGCATGCCCGCTCTCATGGCAGCTATACATGCTTATGTTGCGGATTGCACAGAGCCCGGCGAACGGTGCGTCCGTCGCCTCGCTCTGCAAGCCAGCTACTCATACACAAGCGTAGAACGCATGCATTCTCGCGTTTCCTCGGCCTGCTCTTCATTGGAGTGGGCGCCGGGCCATCGTTCGGAAGTCTCCTCATCCGCCTCTCCGGCAGCGTCCTTTCCGTGTTCTACTTCGCGATGGCGATCCACCTCGTCTGTGCCATGTTCTTTGTTTTCGTGATCCCCGAGTCTCTCAGCATACGTCGCATGTTCAAGGCGAGGCGCATCAAGCGCGAGCAACTAGAGAAGGAGCGGTACACCCCAAAGGCGCGCGGATTGAACGCATGGCCGAGGAGTCTCTTTGGCTTCCTGCACCCGCTCGCGATCTTCTATCCCACCAGAATGCGCGATAGCGCGAACCCGCTCAAGCGCGGCAAACGCGACTGGAATCTGTTCTTTATCGTACTCGCGTACGGATTTACAATCTCGGTGACGGGCGCGTATCCGTACAAATTTCAGTACACGAGCGCGACTTTCGGCTGGGGCTCTGAGCAGGTGCGTGTTCTGGTCCTGGAGCTGCGTGCAAGTCAGCTCACATGAAGTCTAGAATGGTTACTGGCTGAGCATCATTGGCGCCACCCGCGCAGCGTACTTAACAATAATTCTGCCCTGTAAGTCATAGCTTCTTGCCATTCGAGCTGTACTGATTTTTTGCCGCAGTGGCGATTAAGCTTGTCAAGTCCAGACGGCGGTCGGCCGTCCAGCTACCGGTCGACCAAGACGAGCCGCTGCGGCCCATCTCGGAGCCACCCGCCACCCCTCCCAGAACCGAGCCCCCGCCCAAGCGGCCGACGCCAACGAACGACGCCTCGCGGAGCACCGCCTTCGACGTCGGGCTCGCCCGCGTCTCGCTCGCGATCGACGTCGTCTCGTACGCGCTCGTGCCCCTCGCGTCGACGGGGCCCCAGTACACGGCCGCGACGGCGCTCGGCGCGTTCGGCGCAGGCTTCGGGCCCGCGCTGCAGAGCGTCGCGCTCGGGCTGTACACACGCCGCAACGGCGGGTCCGGGGCCGGGGCCGAGAGCGGCCGGCTCTTCGGCGCGCTCAGTGTCGTGCAGAGCCTCTGCAGCGACGTGCTCGGCCCCGCGCTGCACGGCTTCACGTTCGTGCACACCGTGCGCACGTTCCCCACCGCGATCTTTTGCGTCGCGAGCGCGTGCACGCTCGCTGCGTCTGTCTTCCTGGCGCTCGTGCGCTTGCCCCGGGAGGGCCTTGCGAGTGGCGGGGAGGAGGGCCCTGCCCCGCGCGCTGCGGGCGGAGATGGGGAAGAGGCGGAGCGAGCTCCCGAGATCGACGCTGCTGTGCCCCAGGTCGCCATCGAGGAAGACGCCGGTGGGAAGGCAGGCTCGCCGCCATCGCTTTTTGCCCTCTGAACGCTGCCTTGTGCAGTTTTTATGTTGGCTGTGCTCGCCTGGACTATCGTGCACAAATAACAACCAGTAGTCTTCCCAAGAACAATTGCAATTGCAAACCACCAGGCCCACCGAGCTGCGTTGAAAGAAGATAGAGCACGACATGGGCAAGTGATGATTTAGCTAAATACGCAATTAGATATCCGGTACTATGAGCGAGGGTGATCCGTGAACCGAACGTCATTACACAATGATACAACCCCGGTCGGGATCGAACCCAAGCTCTTGGAGGTGCTCCTCAGCCGCCTCCTTCTCGCTCTGTCGCAGCTTCTCGCGCGCCTCGATCGGGAACCAGTCCTTCATGAAGTTGAGGAGCGCCCAGTCGACATTCGCTGTGCACACCCACACAGAACAGGTCAGCTCACCACCATCCCACGATTTTAACAAAACACAATAAAAACAGAAACACTGACAGCGATCCGCGACGAGGACCGTCGGCGCGCGGCACATCGGACAGCGGTCTTCCCCGCGCTTCTGCATCTTGACGAGGCAGCGGACGCAGAAGAGGTGGCCGCAGCGGAGGCGCACCGGCTTGAAGGCGATCGCGGTGCAGATCACACACGCGTAGTCGTCGATGTGCGGCACGACGGGCAGCAGCGTCTCGCCGAGCGCCTGCACGAGCATGCGCGCGAGCGACGTCGTCGTCCCCCGCGCGCCGGCTGCGGCGTGCGGCACGAGCTGCTGTGCCGACGACGACGGCGACGAAGGGTGGGTGGGCAGTGCGAGCCGGGTGCTGCCGCTGCTCGTGAAGGCGAAGCGGCCCGTCAGCGAGGGCGACACGGGCAGCGCCGTCCGCTTCGCGTGCTTCTTCAGGATCTTGCGCGTCGCCTCGGTCGTCGCGAACTGGAACTGCGGCAGGCGGGAGGGTGCGCGTGTGAGTGAGTGAGAGCGAACGAACGAAACATGGGTGTGCGTGGGTGTGGTGTGGCGCCAGGACGCACCTTCTTCAGGTCGAGGATGAACACGTTCAGGTCGAGGAACGTCTGCAGCGCGCGCCGGCTCTGCTTGAGCTTGAGCGCATGCCCGCCGACGTCGTACCCGCGCGCGGCGAGGCGCTGCGTGAACAGCGCGAGGCGGCTCTCGGCGTCCTCGACGTTCCGCTCGCCGCGTGCCGCCTCGCTGCGGCTCTCGAAGACCTCGGTGTCGACATACAGCTGGAAGATCTCGCGCCACTGGTACAGGTCCGACCGTCCGCCGCGATGCAGGAACCCCGGGGTGTGCACCGTGACGGCGGCGGGGTTCGATGCGGTCGAGTGCGGGTGGAAGGAGGTCGAGGTCGCGGACACCGGGCGGGCGGTGGATGCCACCTCGCGTGCGAGCGCAGAGAGGTTCTCCTTGAACTCGTCGCTAATTGTGCCGAGATGGGTGCTCAGGGCCTGCAGGGCCTGCATGAGCACCTCAAAAAACTGCGTGTCAGACGCGAGCGGTATGACGACTTCCCGAGGCTCGCCCCGTTGGGTGCTGCGGATAGAGAAATTTCCAGTAAGTTTTATAAGGAAGAGGCATTAGGTACACACGATATGTGTATTATTTGCTTCGAGTCCTCGCCCTCCTGGGTAACCGTACTCGCTGAGGCCGCTTCTGATGCCGAGGCGGTCAGCTCACCCGCGTCCTGCGCTGGCTCTGGTGGGGTGCCCGGAGAGCTATCGAGGCTCTGACTCGACACATTCTCGAGAGCCGTTATGGACTGCAGTGGTAGCTCAGAGGTCTTTGTGTCGGGTGAATTGACAAGAATTCTGAGGCGAGGCTCCAGACGACCCGAGTCTGCCTTGATCTCGTATACGACCCTAGGAAGGCCGGTGTGATCTTGAGAAGAGCTGACGGGAACCCAGGAGGCGTCCGTCTCCCTCGCCTTGCCCTTGCCGCCGGGATCGGTAGCCGACTGGGATTCGAGAAGGACTTGGTGAAGCTTGTCCGGGGGGTAGCCTATCCAGCGACGCACGTTCGTCAGGCCCGCGCTACCAGCGGCGGCGTACAGAAAACGCTCACCAAGGTCCTGGAGCTCGGAGACGACGTTGTTAATTAGCTTCTTGAGCTTGCGATACTCGATGGCATTTTCTGTGAGCTCGGGCGGGAGACTCAGCAGGAGCTGTGTGTATGTCTTAGCGAAATGCATGGCAGAGGTCCGTTGGCCAGGAAAGCGCCCAAAAAGCACTACTTTCTCACGCAGAAACGCTCCGACATCCGCAACAGGAAGCCATTCAGGTTGGCGAGACCGTCCTCTGAGCTGAAAGCATGTCGTCCTTTGTGTGCCGTTCAAAAGATCCCTTATCGCAAAACTGGAAAACATTTGCATAGCCGGCGAGGTGCAGTGCGGCCTGAAATCCGAAAAGGCAATACATTTCTTCCTGCTCGTCCTTAAAAGCTGAACGACTGCGAAGAGGATGTGCCAAGGTGCACACCACTCTCTTGCCCACTTACAACTTTCTGGGCCCGATGTTCCCACAACAGCACTATAGCATATCTTCTCCCGACGCCTACGCACCCGTCCCGCAGCCAACCGGCGAACGGGTCGTCTACGCCTACCACCCCAATCATAGGTCCACCGTCCAGCCCACGCCCATCATCAAGCACCCTCGCCACTGCGACCGCAACGAATGCCATTTCGAACACCAGCGCCCCCGCCCCCAGTCTCACGTTCGGTTTGGCGCCAACAGAACGTACAGAGAGGAGACACAGGAAGAGCGCCGTGCCCGGAGGGCCCAGGAAGAATACCGTGCCCCTCGCGGACACGGCAATGACTACAGGTATGAGATTCTTTACGACAGCCACAGACGCGAGTGCGACGAGCGTAGACATTCTCATGAGCGGAAGAGATTTGCCTACGCCGACCACCAGCACCGTGGACGCCCTTACAGCCAAGACTCGCCCCACAGCCGGCATGTTGAGCATCGTTCTAGCTCTCCCACCGTCGGACCGTCCGTCCTAGACATCCGCGACCCCGGCTGGAAGAATCCGAGGCCACCAGCGCCGCCACACTCTCCCGGCCCCATGAGGCCTGCAGTTATCTACTCTCAACTGGATTTCCCCCGCGGACAGCTTTACGCCAGCCCTCAGGCCTACCCAGCCAGGCCTTCCCCCAGGCGACACTCCACTCATGCTCCCGACGGGACGTACTCCGTCTTGCCGGCCGCCCCAGGCTTTGCGATCCGCCCGCCTACTCAGCCTGTGGCCACCAGACAGCATGCGGGGAGTCCCGAGCCTCGCAGTGTCGGAAGCCTGACTGGATATGCTGCTACCGAATACGGCGGCTCTGACTCTGAGTGACGGACAGCGTGTGGAGAGAGTCGAATTACGAGAGCCGCGTCTCACCGTCCTCCTCCCACCTGCATCCCATTCTCCCCATTTACTGACTCAGCAGCCATACATTTGCTTTCAGTTCGCTTGATGTGCTCTTCTGTTCTAACTTTCAACCGTCCATCCACCTCGCGTTCTCGCCTCAATACTCCTAAATATTGATACCATCCAGAAGCCAAGCCAATAGATTCAATTCAGTGGGAGGACGGGCTTCATATTGCAAGAAAGAGTGGGATGCTATGAACATGCATAGATGGTCCTATATATGATACAATGATACTGTAATAGTGTATGATATCAGAGATGGCGGCAATCTTGAGAGAGACCGGTGAGACACAAGAAAGATATATAAACAAGCTGACGAGTCATTATCAGCGGTCACGGAAGTTAAGGTATGCCAAGCAGAGATAAGAGCATTTATACTCGTTCCAAGAAACAAAAAAGTACACCTTTCCAAGAAAGAGCCATAAGCAAGATGGATTTTAAATCAGTATCCGGGGTAGAGAGAGACAAGGGAGCTCAGTCACGCGGGAGGGTCCGCCCGGTGATGAGGCACTCCTTGACCCACGGGAACGTGACGCAGTTCGCGAGATCGCGCGTCCTGGGGTGGCGCCTGGCCTCGTCCGCGTCCTTGACGACGACGTAGTCGTACATGTCGAGCTTGCACGACGCGTGCGCGGGGATGTCGACAGCCTCGACGCGCGCGGCGCCCATGCAGAGGAGGATGCGCGGGATCATGCGCGCCGCCTCGCGCGACCGGTCGATGTCCGAGTTGCCCTGGGGCTGTGCATCAGCCACCCGCGGTGCAAGCACAGACAACAATGTGGAGAACCGCTCACCCGTTTGGGGTTCTTCCCCGGGAAGATGTCCGCCAGGATACAGAGGATATTCATGTCGCCGAACAGCTTGAAGGGCACCCGGTTGTCCATGATGTCACGGACGTGCTCCGGGCAGTTGCCCCAGTCGACGTCAACCGTCTGCGAGATCCGCGCGTTGAGCTGCTCTGAGGTGCCTGCGGGCAGCAGGTACGGCTGCCACTCCCTCTCGGCCATCTGTACAACAAAAAGACTGTCAGCGGCCCGCTCAACCCCTAGACGCCCGACAACCCACCTCGGCCACCGAATCGTACAGCCAGCCGAACTTGACGCAGGGTATACCGAGCGCGAGTGCGATGAGGAACTTGGGCTTGTGGCACGCGTCGTCTGCGAGGAGGAACACACGCTCAAGCTCCTCGCGCTCAAGCTTGATCTCGCCCTTCTCGAGCACCCAGCGCTTCCCGCCGAGGCTGGGCATGCCCTCCATGCTGAATACGCGGCACCAGTCCTCAAAGATGTGGCCTCCCTGGCTCTTGATCTGCGTCTCGAGGCCTCCGCGTTCCTTGTCCCAGTCCACCATGCCCGGAGAGGTCGTGAGGATGAAGCCCGTCCTAGCGAACATGCCCTTCGTGCTCTTGGACCACGATGCAATCTCGGACAGCTTGGATGGCGTCGGCGACTGCTTGAGCTTCGGCCGCAGGAGCGTGACGACCTGGTCGGCTGTGAGCGTGCGGTCGGCCCACTTGCTGATGACGGAGCGGCTAGGGATCATGATATCCTTCGTGTCGACCTCCTCTTTGTAGCCATCGCCACCATCGCCGAAGCGCACAACGACCTGGCGCTCAGAGGTGTTGCACTGCGACGCATCGGCCACCTCCGCCCGCACGGGCCGCGAAGCCTTGATCAGGACGTAGTCGCCCTGCCTGAGGTCGCACCGCCGCAGCTTGGAGAGGTCGACCGCGTCCTCGGTGCCGTCGTCGAAGCGCACGACGTACCTCTGCCCCGGAGACTCTTCCGAGTAGACGGTACCGACATAGTAGTGCGAGTCCTGCTTCCAGAGCGCAAGCACGCGCGTCGCGGAGACGGACAGGCCTCGTCCAAGCGACGTGGACTTCACCCGGCTCGAGCTTCGGGTAGGCGGCGTCGACGTGTTGGTTTTGATGGAGCGAGCAGACGCCTTCAGTGCGGACGACGTTCCTCGTCTGCGCTTGCGCGTCGAGAGAGAACTCTCCTCCATGTCTTCGTCCGCGAGCTCAGTCAGGACCTCCTCTTGATCGCGATCACTGAGAGCGTCCGATTCGTCATGGTCGTGATCTTCCAGGCGCACTGCCGGGGTGATGGGCGTCGGAGTACCCTTAGCCGTGCCTTTCGACACGGTTCTATAACCGGAATTCAGGAGTTCCTGCTGCCGTTCTCGCGGATCGGACGACGGGATGATCATATCCTCTGAACGGATTGAGGAATCAGCGGCAGGGATGGGTGAGCGCTTCGATGTAAAGAGGTCTGTTCGCGTCCGTTTTCGCGGGGGAGGCATGGTGGAGCCGGAATCTTCGCGAGGGAGTGGTTTGCTCGGCGGCTTGGTTTTCTGATGTTTGCTCATTTCGGCCAGGGGAATGTCTTGGCTTTCACTCTCTTTCTCCTCAGTCTCCCTTGGTCGCTCCGCAGGCGGCATGGCCGCGGGCGCAATAGCCAAAGGCACCTCAGGAGAGGACGAGGGTGCACCCGGGCATTGAGAGGGCTCAGTTTCAGGCACTTCACCCGCCTCTGAATAATCCGGTTCCGCTGCACGTAGTGAACCAGGCGCGTCGTCTTCCCTGAATATCACAGGATCCACCTCCAGACCGGTCGCGGGCAAATTCGACGCTGTTGTAGGCTGAGTTGCCCCGCTGTCGTCACATGCTCCGAAACTGGACCGGCTGTCATCGAGCAATCGGCCTGCATTCGGGAGATTTGACGATTCTGAGGGCTGAGTCTCTTCGATAGTGTGTCCGTGCGGCGCACCGTCGTTGCTATCGATCGGCCGACCAGTTTCAGGAAGGTTGGACACTTCCGAGGGCTGAGTCTCCTCATAGGCGCTTGGTCCAGCAACGGAGTCAAGAGGCTCGTACAAGGCTTGAGTGTGTTGGTGGAGCGCCTGCGCCTGCGCAAGAGCAGCGGTATTCCCCTGAAAACGCCAGCGTTTATTGGGGTTAACCATAGAGAGAACGCTCTGTGGACCCGAGGTAGTAGATGTTATGCCAGATTGATGGTAGATATCAATATCGAGCGGAGGAACGGGAGCATCATCGTCGATGGATTGAGTGGCTACAGCTACAGGGGAGACAGCGTCGGTCAGTTGAGTAACTGCTCCTGTGAAAGCAAAACTCTGTTCATGTTCTGAGTCTGTTTCCAATCGGCTGCTTGTGGGAAGTCGTGGTGAAGAAAGTGCGCGGGTAGCCCCGTCGGTGGGAAAGAAATTATCATCATCGTCATCGTCCTGCCTTTGAGCTTGAGGACAAGAGCCGGAATATAAGGGAGATGAAGAGCGCTGATCCTGCGAATCTTGAGGCTGTGTTGGGGGTTGTGACCCTGTCCGGGAGACAGAAAGATCCCTGAACCGCGTACGAGCCCAGTTTTTATCGCTGGTAAAGGAGGAAAATTCGTCCTGCTCCTCATCGGAAGGTGGCTCTTCAGTGGCAGAGCCCTGTATACGACCCAGCTCTGAGAGGGGCATCTGGAACGTTCTTGACTGCTTCATGTACTTCTTCTCCTGAATATCCCTGGGAAGAGCCGCAAAGGAGTCCTGCGAGGCGGGGGAGGGGGATCTTGGACGCTTTAAAAGATTGTTGGAATGCGACGGCAAAGGTCTGGCACGTCCTTTAGCGCCTGTTGATATGGCTGTCTGGTCGTGAAGGGAGGTACAAGGAATAGAGTGATTGCCGTTATATGCATGGGAAGACTTAGCGACGTCACCGTGCGATAGGGCTACTTTCCGACCAGTTGAAGGGCTAAGAGCTCCTGCTTCCTCGATGCAATTGTCTTCATCCTGCCGAGGTTCGGGAGCAGAGACACGAGACCGGATTTGTGGCACTTGAGACTGCGAGTCTCGCATCCCAAAGCGCGGTCGTACGGGTGCGGGTGCGTTCTCTTTCTGAGATTCCTTCCGGGTAAGCGAATTTTCTTTCGGTGCCTGCGACTGGCTGACAGCTAGGCCGTATAAATTATAAGGGCTTTGAGTCTGCCTTGAAGCAGAGCCAGGAACCTGCTGGTCTTTCACAGGGCAGGTTTCCCCGGTGCCATCTGGTATCGGAGTGAATCCCGCCGACAAGCCCTTTCTCGCTGACTGGCTTCCCTGAGACTCATCATTACTGCTTTAAAAAGAGAGAATAGGTAAGAAGGGTTTAATCGCTTCATCCTGGCTGATATCCATGGGTAGACTTACTACACAGAGTCATTGAAAGTGCCCATTCTCTCGACCTTCCCTACCCCCGGCTGCGTCGCGTTTGGAGGAGCCAGACTGCGGAAGGGAGTCTATGATCCGTTCAATACGAATAAAAAGAATGGCAAAACAAGTGGATGCGTACTACGCACACGCCGATATCTAGCGAAACACGTCGGTTTTGTCCTCAGGCGACGAGATCAATGTGGCGAAAAGAGACCCCGTCTGCGAGTATGAAACGACGAAAGAGACAGGTGTTAGGACGTGTGTATGATTGGTGTAAGCATATTCCTCACTTTAAACGTCTGATAATCAGCCTGGAGGACGCGGAGGACGTGGTTGTTGCTGGCGAGGACGACATTTCGCTCCTAATTGGGCGCTTATGGCGCGCTGCTCACGTGCTTGTTCGAGTCTCAAGCGCCTGGAGCCAGTGCTCGTTCGCGCTTGTCTTCTGCCACAACCGTTCGGACACTCAGCTTGACCTTCTCGCGCTGGTCGCCTCGGCCAGCTGCTGTTTCTTGTTCCGCAAGCCCTCAATACGCTCGTTTGACACGACTCTCCTTTGATTCATGATACTGGAAGACGCAGCGGCGCGGGCAATCCCCATGCCCATGGTCTACGACCTCGAGTCTAACACGAGGGAGACCCGAGCCAAGGAACAGATGCCGGAGCCCACATCCACGCCAAAATTGAAGCACGTCGCTCACAATACAAACTATTCACAGAAATCAGAAGACAAGAAAGAAGAGGAGAAGAAGACGAAAGAGAAGGTAGCCAAGGAGAAATCTACCAAGAAGAAGTCTGCACCAAAGACGACATCCAGCAATACCTCTCACGATGTTGATGATAATGCAGTGCCTAATCCTGTCCCAGATACTGGTGCTACGCAGACATCCTTCACCGTCTATCACACAGGCGGGATCTACTCCGGGGTTTTACCCGTTATTCAGCCTTCGACGACACAGGCCGCGTCTACTTCTGGCTTCTCGCCTTTACCGCCTTTTGCTGCATACGCCACCTCACTCTCATCGTTCTCAGTTCTCGCGGCCTCCACTTCAACTGTTTCAGCTTCGCCGTCGGTCCCGGCCGCCTTAGAAAAGGACCAGCAAGTGAATTCTCCGCAGCCATCGAAGGGTCTCCCTGTAGCAGCTATCGCTGTGCTAGCTTTTATTGGTCTTTTGGTGCTCGTAGGACTGGCTGCTGTTATCAGATCTATATTCCGCAAGCCTAAACGTTCCATCCCGACACCGTCGCGTCCTATCCTTCAAGATCCCTTCCAGGACGACCCTAAGAAGGATCCGGACGAAGAGTCACTGTTTGGAGGCAAGGAACGCTCCTCTCAGGCAGCGAACGAGGTGCTATTAGATTGGAGGCAATACCCGCACACCTCTGTCAGTGTCACGAAACCTTTACCTACTTTCGACGTGCATGCGCCTCAGCCTGGCTCACCATCAAAGCGGGCTTCTGTTGGAATGGCTCAGAACGCTGCTTCTCCCCTCAGTGGTCTTGGCTTAACGCCTGCTACCAACAATCTTGGGGCTAGATCTCCCAGTCGGCTCTCTTTAGTCTCTGCATCGATCTATCCTGGTTCTCCGGTGTCAACAAACCAAGGCCATGGCGTCGGTATCGCTGTTAGTGGGTCTCCTCTCACTGCGGATAACTTGCCTCTCTTGCAGCGATCAAAATCGAATCCGTCCACGCGACGAGCTTCTCAGGCTGGTGGGCGAGCTCGCCACAGCATGCTACCAAGCACCTATGGTACTGCGGACCTCTATGGCGGCCCTGCTTCCCCACTACCAACAACACCCAAGGTGACCGCAGCTACTAACACTGCAGCTGGCCGTGCCCGTGTCAAAGCACCTTACGCCCCTGGTTCGCTCCTCCGCACATCTGCTACAGCTCCAGTTCCGAATAACTCGCTCACCAGGGACCCTAACCCATTCGAGGAGCCTTCCTATGTGCTGCCGCCGATCTCCCCGGTCATGAAGTCTAACGACCGTCGGGAGCGGGACACCAAGGCTCTGACATCAGCACTCGGACTCGCTAGCCCTGCGCCCGCGCCGCCCTCGCCGAACACGACACTCTACCCCGACGACTCGATCACGCTCGCGGGCGACCGTCGGCGTCGGCGCAGCGAGGTCATGAGTCCACCACTCGACGCGACCGCACGCCTGGGCAAGCTCCTGCTGGGCGAATTCCAGAGTACGAACTCCGTTGCCTCTGTCCGCCCGACACCTCCGGCCAACAGTGCCCCTGCGAACGGAGCGCAGCGCACGCGGCAGCCTGTCACACGGAAGAGGGTCGAGGAGAAGCCGCCCCGCGTGCCATCCCCGCCGCCGATGCCGTCGCTGGCACAGATGGCACTGCAGCATAGTAATCCACAGTATTTTGAGGACTATAGGAGTCCGACGTATAGCATCTATGGGCTATACGACCCGGATAGAAAGAGTCGTACGCCAGGAGAGGGAGGATATTGATGGAGTTAGCTTCGGACCTGGTATTCAGACTCACGTATCCCACTACACCACTGTATCCATAGACGATGGACGTCAACACACTAGATTTGTAGCTTATATTAATCGATTTGGTTGCAACAGAGAGCATATAATTGTCCAGGCATAACGTGCAGGAAGAGAACACTCGACAGCGCGAAAGTTTGTGACAAACCCGTCTAGGCACGCTCAGACACCTTATTTTGCTCGTCCGTCTCTTGAGGAGTCTGGGGGGCCGGGGAGTGAGAAGGAGCTTTCAGCGCCACCATTTCCTTCAGCTTCTCTTCGACTTCAGCGTGTTGCGCGGCGGCCTTCTCGTCCTCGACCTCTTTGACTAACGCGTCCAGCTCGTCCGCCAGCTCCGCGTCATCCACGCCCGCATCCGTCTGCACCATGTCTGCGCCCATGCGGATCCTGTCGTCGATCTCTCGCGCGTCCGCCTGCGCCAAGTCCATCGCGTCCATCGTCTCGTCGATCCTGGTGCGCTGGAGCGATGGGTGCGCGAGGACTGCATGGAGCGCCGCCGTCGAGGACTCGTACGAGCGCAGAATCTCGACGTCGCCTGCCGCGCGCTCGACGCTGACGAGCGTCGCATGCAACGTGTCGAGCGAGTTCAGGCGCTTCTTGAGCAGGTCTTCGTACTGCTTGCGTGCTCGCAGATGGCTGAGCGCGGCTTCTTTTCGCTTCTGGCGCAGGGCGGTGGAGGCTTTCTCGGTGCGCCTATAGGAAGCTGGATGAGGATAAAAGTGACATTTTGGGAGAACAAGACTTACTGGTCTATTTGTTTTTGGATGTGGTCCACTGCGACCTCGAGATTATCGATGGCGGTCTTAAGCTCAAGCACGCCAATGTCTACGGTAGTGATTTCAGCATGATCGGCACCCTGGACGAACTTGATGGCCTGCAAGAGAGTATGTTAGAAAAGAGATGGGCTTTGAGAGGCATTACTGAACTCACATCGCCTTGTCTGACAATCGCCTTCTTATCCCGCTCGACGTACTTTAGAAGGACCTTCAAGTCCAAGTCCGAAAGAGCAACGCCTTCAAGAGCCTCGTCCGCGTAGGCCTTCTTGAAACCCTCGAAGTTATATAATGAATCAGCGAGACTCACACTACTTTTGGACTCCTGCTTCGCTAGCACTGCCTCGGCCGCACGTTCGAGGAGACTGAGGACGACGTAGTCGCCCTTGACCTTCTTCCAGCGTTCGCTGTCGCCAGATGAACCATAGCTCTCGTCCGAGCCGACGATACTGAGCTGTTGCAGTGCCCACCAGAGCGGCTTGCCCACGACAAAGGAGGCTATTCGATACGGCAGCCAGCCGGGGTCATATATCGACTGTGTCGCACTCAAGAACTGCGTGACCGGAAAGTAGGATTTCTGTTGGCAGAGTTCCGTCTTCACTAGCGTGACTTGTATTCAATTGACTGTTGATAGCATAAATGACGCTGGCACTCACAATCACCGCGGCCAAGCCCAACGGCCTGCCCGCACCCTCGAGCCTGAACTCCTCAGTAAGCACAGGACCTGTGGCATGCAGCACCAGCCTATCTGGCGTGTTCGACTCCGTGCCCGAACGACTTTGCCATCCGTTCAGCACGAACGCTTCGAGTGTCCTCCTCCACCATTCCACATTTGACGTGAACGAGCTCGGGTTCGACTGCCTCTGGCTAGAGAAGTCAGAGTACAGAAACTTCAGACGTGACGACGTTGTGTTCTGATACGTTGGCAGGCTCTGCAGCTGCGAGCGAGAGGGCCCTGCGGAGGTCATGGTGTTGGTGCAGGATCACGCTCCGCCGCCGCACCTATGTAGGACTGCAATCTCAGATCCGATCACCGACGACGGGCGCTCCCCGACGCCAAGCCGCTGCAAAAGGGCTCGGGTCCGCCGTCTCGTCTCTCACAACACAGTACTTTGTATGCCATATAGTTAAGATTCAGATGATGCAGAGTAGTGTAATAGTACACTATGTATAGCCACTAGGTGATTTCTTTGCAACAGCTACCTAGTGACTGGGATTCAAGAAAGAAAGAAAGAAAGAAAGAAAGAAAAGATATAGCAGGAGGATCCACCACATTCGCCCAGAGTTTCCATTCAGCTACGGCATCTTCAGGACCTCTGTCGGCGTCGAGGTTGTATCTCGTTTGCCTCAAGAGCCTTCTCCGATATGACACGTGGATCGCCAATGACATCGAACCTGTCCGCAAATACTCTGTAGTAGTTGTTTAAAAAAGCCTCGATTTCTTTCCTCATCTCGTCTTCGTTCTTGTCTGGGCGACGTCGCTTCACAGCTCGTAAAATAGAGTCAGCACCAGGATGATCTAGGACCGAGAATGAATATCCGAAGAGCTCGAACTTGTCTGTAAGACGTAGGCCAGGACGTCAGATCCTTCTTATGCGAGAATATGCACAACTCACGAGGTGTCCAGATGCGCATATCCAATGCATGGTTGTATAACTCTGTGCACTTGAAGTCGGTTTCTGATGGTGCGTAGGCATATACCTGACCAATGGTTGCCTCGGGGTCGCACCTGTGTGCGGCGGCCCTGTAGAAGTCAACAATACGCACGTCTTTACCGTCGTCAGAGACCAAGACGTGCCCTTCCCCAAGACGGTTGTGCCTGATACCCGCATCATGGAGCTCAACCAAGGCACGCATAATGGTGTATCTAAAATTAAAGTATTAGTCGCGAGGGAGTTCTCATATAAAGACGCAGCCTTTGGCATATACTGTACCTCAGAACGATACGGCAGTCCAAGAATGTACCACCGAGCCCTTTAACCGAACATCCACAATGCTCCAAAATTATGCAGCCTATCAAATTTTCCTTGCCACTCAAGTCACGGTACGTCCCAAAGTAGAAACCATAGAACCTTGGCACGACTATGCCCTGAAGATCCTTGAGTTTTGTCGTATATAGCTTGGCTTCATACTCAAGTCCCGAGAGGTTTTTGTCTTCTGCTAGCTTGCAGATCACCATGATATCCTGCACGCGGCCCGGCAGAGTAAGGAGACCCGTCCAAATCTCTGCGTGTGATCCGTTGTGACTCTGGCCTTGGGAGCGGAAGCGGGTGGGGGACGGCCCTTTGGTGGGTGTAGTGAGCTCAGTTAGGGCGTACGCTGTGGTGTCTAGGCCGCCGCATTCATCGTCTAGCACCACTTCGAGGGTAGCCATTATCAGAAAAGGCTTAGAGAAGAGATACGGCTGGTGATGGTTCAGGTCAGAGAGCTAGCCCATGGCCACATCTCACGTCTCGAAGAGGAAGCACCCGCCTCCGCACCTCGTAAGATCATAATCTCAGATCCCATCAATCTAATGCACTCCGCCGAGACAAGGACTTCTCACTTGCGTCCGTTCCCCTCGCCACTAGTACTCATATCGTCTCTGAACATGCTCTCTTTTACCACACTCTTCCCGGACATCTTTCCGTGCGAGCTGCGAGCCACTATGTGCTTGGTCCGGCATCGAGTGGAATTTTGCCAGAGGCTGTCACCAGCTCCTCCCAAGTATCCGGCCGTTGACCAGCCAAAATACTCGCGCAGAAGTCCTCATTTGATACTGAGTGTTGCCAGGGAAAGATTTTATGGGCTCACGAACGACGGACGAACGTTATCAAGGTTAGATCAATTGGATGTAGCCACAGCCAGCTGAAGATCACTTCGCGGGCCCTGGAGACAACTTGCCGCTCGCTACCATCTAAGCAAAATCGCTTTTGCACCACCCATCATCGCTTTCTTTGAGATCACCAACGTGCACGTGTAACGTGGCCCTTTGGCCCTTTGGTCCTTTGTACAGTCCGGTGGCCCTTGCGTCCCTCCACGAGGACCGCATTTTGACGCTAATTTTGAAGCGTATAAGGACTGTCTGCTTCGTAAGTTTACTCCGCCTTAGTTACTTGAGATACTCATCATTATGGTCAGGTACTTCCTGCAACCGGACGGCACTAAAATCAGGGTCCCGTACCACATCTCACCGGCATTATCTACGGCCTCATCCTCTCCCTCACCCACAGGCGAAAAGGCATCAACCAACGTTGCTTGTACTTCAGCATCAAGAGAAATCCTACCCACGGACGGTATAATTACTCCCAGAAAGCCTCACCGCCCGACAACAAGTATCCTTCATCTACGAAAGAGCCACGGTATGCCTGGCGCGTTTCAAGCACAGCACTCCGCCAACACCATCCATGGGATCACCGAGCGCATGGACAACATAGACATCAGTGAAGACGAGGACGAGCTGGGCCACGATCGCATGACCACCGATGACGACGCGACCCTCCGCGAGGCCATCCTACTACCCGAAAACGAGCGGCTCGTCGCCAGCAATGCGACGCGCCCCGAACGCCTACTGCTCACGCACCCAGATTGCGCGCGGTACGGTGCAGCGAACGTGCATGTCGCTGCGGAGCCGTACGACGGGCACGGCGACACGGACGCGCTGCTGTGGGTGCTCTGGTGGGGCTTCGGCCGGGCGGTGCACGTCCTGCGGCGGGGCGCGGGCCTGAGCCGCGAGCCGCGCGAGCAGGGGCTCGTCACACACATCCGCTGCCGCGGCAACACCGCGCACATGCCGGGCTTCCACCTGTTCTACCGCGGGCGACGGCTAAATACGATCCGGCTCGCGACGCTCGACGCCGAGCAGCGCCTGCGGCTCATGGACCTTGCGCTCTTCTTCTCGGCGCGCGAGCGTCTGGTGCGCGACGCGCATGGGTCTGTGGGCAGTGGCGAGCTCAAGACGCATCAGCAGTGGATCGAGGGCTTGCTGTTCGAGGCTGTGGAGTATGGGCTCTGCGGAGGACAAGATTGCTGGCCTGCTCTGTCACAGCTGAACCCTAGTAGTTCCGCCGGACACCTAATGTTTGACTTAGGCAATTAACAAATCAAGCCTTGTTTCTTAACATCATGCAGATGCCTGAGTGTGAAGCAGGCTACCATGGAACTTATGACCTGCAAAGTGCATAGGTAACAGCGTACATTGATCATACAGGCAAAGCAGCCTACAGAGCTAGACTACAGTGTGCTAACTACAGCTAGGCAGCTACAGGCGACAGTTTCTACTACAATGAGATAACGTTGACAGACTAAGCAGGACAGCGGGAACAGATCGACAGAGTACGAGAGATGACATAGAAGTGAGCATAGAGCATGATCATATATATGACAGTAGATTCAGCAAGACAGACAAAGCAAGAAGGAAATTGCATGCGAAATTCGAAAGCACTCCAAAGATAAGTATTGGGACTTATCTGCTGTTGCCGCTGCAACATAATTTAGCCGGACGCCCTATTTGTTGCGCCGCCTTTTGCTGAGGCGACCTCCTTCAGGCGTTGATGATAGGTAATCCCTCACGTGCGGACGGTAATACGACGTAGCAACCATGCTCGCGGGCCTTTTGGGGCTCACGGGGCTCTCCACAGGAAAGAAGCTTGTTGAGCAGTTACCATCAAACTGGCCGGGCGCGACCGCGGGGCTGGTGCTCCCCAGGCGCGCCGATTGTGGCGAGAAGGGGCTTCTTGGTGTCGACGCCAAGGATGGTGAGGCAGATGATATTGGCGAAGAGAGCGGGGTGTGCAGCTGGATAGGGTGGGGTGGGCCCGCGTCCTCCTGCTCGGAGTCCTCTTCTCCCTGAGCGGTGTATAGAAGAGGGGGCGGTGCTGTAATGGTCTCTTCGTCCGCCACGATAATACTCTGGTCTAACAGAAAGTTGCGAGTGCGGTAGCGAAAGACGAAAGTGATGAAGGCGTGCGGGTCCGACTTGTCATGTGGTTCGAAAGACCAGGTTTGTGAGTGTTGGAGGGATGCGGCGATGTTCGCCCCAAAGCTGTGGTTTGTTGATGAGGAAATAGCTTGTAAATGTAGAAGGGGCACGTTTACCTGATACGTGCCTCGTCAAGGCTACGTCGTCCACTGCGAACGGGGTTGGGAGGTGTCTGAGGGCTGTTTGGTGAATGGGAGGGAGTAGTCCGTTTGATCTGTTTGATCTTCAAAGCGATGGTGCCAAGATCCTTGATGTCCAAGCTAGCATCATCGCTCTCCCCAGTTTGTTCTAATTTGGGGGAGGAGCTCCGTACTGTGATAATCTTATCAGACAGCTTCATGTTGGCCGGAGGGCCTTGCAGCTTACTGGATTCGATCCTGGCAAACATGAAGGGACGTTCAACATGTTTGTCAACCCGCAGCGTACCACGAGATGCGTCTCCATATCCATACAAGAAGCGACCGGAGCAAAGAAAGCCGTCAAGCGAGATGTAGCCGGCAGAGTCGATACCAGTGCCATTGTCCCTCCAGTGAACAGTGAACGCCTAAGCTATTTGTTAGCATAGGAGGCCAAGCTGCTATAAATTGCCACACACTTTGCCCACCTCGCACCCAATCCAGCATGAGACTTTATGCGAACCCTCATCCACGACGGTCTCGAACTCAATCAGCTCCTGTCCCTCACAAGTGATCCATGCAGAGAATCCGCGAGCCGTTAACATCACACGTCTTCAGTATCTGTGTGGTAGTTGTGAGGCGTATAAACCGCTAAGAGGGAGGAAAGGAGGAGAGGGGGAGGGTCGTAGCGGTCGCGAAAACGTGCAAAAGGGCCGCAGGCAGCCCAGCCCGTCAAGGGCTGCGTCTTCCAGACATCCAGTTAAGAGCTGAAACATAAACAAGAAAGCATGGAGGCACACCAAAGTTTGCAAGGGACCTTCTGAAGATAAATGGAAGGACTTAACCTCGATGCCAATCTGTGAAATGGTCGAAGTCGAACCAGCCATGTGGGGTCGCTGACGCCAGAACGCGACGCGCATAGCACGTGATCGCGATGATGTGACAGGACTGACGAATGCGTCACGTCACCTCCGTCCCACACCTCCTGCACATAAGGAGGCCCAGCATGCGGCCTTTTGCATAATAGTGCACGGTATAGAATATTCATTTTCTTTATGAGCCTGACTGTTGCGTGGTATTAATGGCTCACTGAGAATTGTGCAGGTTGGGCTCGAACAGCCATAAGTTTCAACTTCATGCGAAGCCTTGGGGAGATGAGTCGCATACTCCCGTGTATCTATGCAACATGAACTGACGTGCGCGATAGTCGCATGGATGTAGCGGGTTCGCACCAAGCTAATATCTTCGCATATTGACTCCGGTACACAGGCATATCCATATCCACGTTTCTCTCCGGGATGCAAATGGCAAGCCCATCCTCGCTGTCTGAGTCCGACACAAAAACTGGTAAGCAAAGTGCGGGCAGTCAGGAGACGAATTTAATAAGCCAGGAGGCCGAGTGGTCTCTGGCTGGCGTTCCTGACGGCCTCCTGATGGTGCGTATATCCATCCTGCGGCAGAACTTCACTCAGACAGCCGACACTTCCGCCGTAGTTATACCTACGGTATGTGATTGGCCACCACTATAGACTGACCTTGCAAGACACGAGACTCACCATTGTTGCTCAGCTTGTCCCGACAACCGACGGTTACAAATGTTTCGTCGGCGGCGAAGCCTTTTGGACGCCGAATGCCCTGACGTACGGCTACGACCCGCACGCTGCATCGACCCTCATCACCTCCCCACCTTCGGCAATGCACCTCGATATTCGCATGCCTGGCGCGGACATGAGTCTGTATTTCGCACTCTCTACCATCTTCTCGCTGGGTTTGAGGGGAATCGAGATGAAGCTGAGCCTACCAGACACTGACGAATCTGGTCTCCAGTGGAGAGGCTTCTGGAGCTTGCCTGGGACCAAGCGTGATGGCCGGAACTTCGAAGATCTGTGCTTGTAGGACCGAGCTTGCATTGAAGACTGTCTTCGTCAGGGAATAGTAAACTTCCGCCTCTGTGAACTCAAGCTCTTCTAAGCAGTTGTATTGGTCTACAGGATGACATATCCACAAGCATGCGTGTTCTGTTCATTTGCAGGTGAGGTCATAGTCGCTCGCCAAATTCCGCTCTGACGCTGTGGAAAATCATCTCTAGTGCAAACAATGATAGAGTAAGATTATGTTTCACGGAGGGTGAAACCGATCATGTCCGCATCAATAAACAGAGCGTGCTACCATATAGGTGTCCAAACGTTCCGGGCGGAGTCTAATATCTGAGACATTCTTAAGATATCCATCTTTAAACAACGTTCTTCTCGTACTGCACGACGTCTCCTTGGCATCATCGCTCATCTCCCCTTTGCCCGCCATGTTCGCCTTCAAGAACCAGCCGCTCAAGCTCGCCTACCTCCTCGTCACCGTGCCAGTACTGCTCTTCGTCCGCCTGCCCTATTGGCTCATCGTAGCTTCCATCCCCTCTCTCAGGCCCAGAAAGTCATGGAATATGGTGAAGACTCTGAACCGCTATATATGCGAGGCCAAAAGTCGATCGTACTACGACATTGGCCTTGATACGCCAGAGGGCAACCCGGTCAAGGATTCGCGCGACCCAGGCGCCACAGGCTTCGTTTGGGTCGACGCCGTCCCGTCCCAGCTGGTGACCGGCGAGATCGCTGACCTTGCGCGCCGCAACGGCGTCGAGCCCGCTGGCGTCTACGGCTACTGGTACGGTGCTCGTGATGAGGCTGGCAAGCATGGTCAGCGCGCCACAAAGGGCGAGCGCGTGCTCTACTTCTTGCACGGTATGTCCTCCACGCTGCACATTTACGTCTTTGAGCTCATATTTTGTGACCGTTATCGCCTGTAGCTGGAGCTCATATCGTAAGTATCGTGTTTCGTAACTACTAATAGTGACAGTGCCAACGCTCACACCTATTCAGATGGGGTCGCCGCATCCCTCCGGTTATGCGGCAAATGTCGTTCGCGGCTTCTTAGAGAAATGTCCCAAGGTCGCAGAGCGCGCATTCGGCCTTGCCTACCGCCTCGCTTCTTCCGCCCCCTACCCGTCCGCGAACCCCTTCCCGGCGGCAGTCATCGATCTCATCTCGGGCTACCACTACCTTGTCGAGACCCTCGGCTTTGAGCCCAGCAACATCATCGTGTGGGGTGACTCCTCTGCAGGCCATCTCGTCATTGACCTTGTACGGTACCTCGTCAGCACCGGCCTCCCTTCGCTTCCTCCGCCTGGTGCACTCATTATGGTGTCACCCACATTGGACTGGGCCAACACACACCTCAACACGCCGGCATCGACTATTCACACGAACAAAAACGTGGACTTTGTCTACCCCTTCTTACTCAGCGGGTACACTCTCACCAGCATTCGAGGTTCGCTGTCCGAGCACGAGTTCGAGACGAACACGTGGGCGTCGCCGGCGTCGCTAAAGTTGGAGCACACAGACGGTTTGTTCGCGAATTACCCGCCGACGTACATCCTTGCAGGCGAGGCAGAGCAGACGGTGGATGCGATGCGCACCTTCCGCGACCGGTTGATTCACGACAACGGGAAGGACAAAGTGCACTACGTCGAGTATCAGGACATGTACCACGGCTGGCTCGTGAATCCTTTAATGGAGCCAGACAGGTCGCAGGCGTACGGCCACATTAATGCGTGGCTGACTGGAATCTGGGGCTTGTAACTTTGGTGTGCCGAAGAGGATGGCGCATGGCGTAGGTCGTTGTGATGAAGGGCTTCTAGCATCCATGCCTTTCTTCTGTTATTTCTGCATTCATATATCCTTTGACTCTGTGCAAGACGCCGTCTTCACTGGTACTTCTTCATTCCCATTTCTCTTGTTCTTTGTTCATGTCTATCCTTGCAAATATCTCACCTTGACATCGACAGGAGTCAGCATTGTAAAATAGGATAAAATGTATAGCAGTCCGTTTGCACGCCATTACTTACATTTCTGACAGCGATCCGTATGGCCACTGTCTCAACCAGCCTGCCATATCTTGAGGTGGCTACTTGCTACGCCTGCTCTCAATCCTGCAGCATTTTTTTCTAACTCTCAGTCGTCCTCAGAATGCGCCTCGCCGTCAGAGGGGCCTCTGAGTCAGTTGAATCCATCTTACACTAGGTTATGCCATTATGGTACGTTATCCTTGACACTTCCTGTGCTAACTTGAACATTCACGGGCAAGCACTATAGTCACGGTTCGTACAGTCCAGAGAATTATTGCTCAGCTATCGCGGGCTACTGATGTCGTTGTAGGACATGACTACTTTTATTGTACAGAGATAAGTAACTGTCTGACAGCGAATCTTTCAAATCTTGTACCTGACTCTTCAAAATCTAGCTGGCACTGCTACCGCGTGTGGATCCGTGAGTATATCTTCATGTAGCACATGAGCAGTCTGCGCTAACAGCGAGGTGCGCATAGTAAGCATCAAGAATCGGATCGTTACATATCCCTTGGTATGTTGCTAGCAGCTGTGAGCGTTGAATTGTCTGTTAACGTGTCCTTCAGCTATGCGAAGTGTTCGTGGCTGTCGGTATGATAGTGTGACTCTATCCCTAATTCTATCCCTAATTCTATCTCTAATACCTCGTTCGTCTAGTCTTCGGGACAAGTGCGTAATGTGTACACTTGTGCACTCATCCGAACAAGCTTACGGAGCGCCAGAGCAAACATCACGAACAAGCAGTGTTTGATGCTCCGACGAAGTCCGACCTGATGCGGAGCGATTACTATTAGGCGCTTATGGGCATCGGCCGAGCGCGAACGCGTCGCACCCATAGCACAACCGCGACTACAGTATCCCCTTACAATGGTTAACACTCGGCGACACATCCTGAGAAGCACAAGGATCTTGTTCTCCGAAAAGCAGCTGTACCAACGAATTAAAGTTTCTGATTGCCCGTATCATACCATCCCTTCTTCTGAGCAACCTCACAGCTGTGATATCGGACAGCTTCGCGAGCTTTGCACAGATGGCGATGGAATTCCCAAGGAGAGGCTTACGTATTAATAGCCATGGCCCGGACCTAAGGCCTAAGTACTAAACAGTCGTTGAACAGCCAGCCTCACTACCCCCATGACTGCCTTCCACGACACAGTTGGTGCCGTTCTAATTGGCGTGCTCACAGCAACTTTGTACGTGTCGCACGCGCTTGACATCGTTCGGACCGCTTGACATCGTCGCGTTGACCAAAGATTCTACGGCATCTTTTGTCTACAATGCTTCGCATTTCTTGATAAGTACAGCAATGAGAGGAAGCTATTGAGGTATTCAGTAAGCCCAGCGAATACTCTGAGGCCGAACGCTCACACCAGGGATGCAGATCGCCGCAGTATGGTCTGTGATGAGATTTCTATGACCCGCCAATTGCCGTCTGATCCAAGATTTAGGGTACTACAAACCCTACACATAGCCGTAATGTGGCACGTAATATACTTGTCCGTATTTGTGCTTTCGAACGTTAGCTCGTACTCATATACGCTCCTCAAGTTATGCAGCAATCAACTTTGCCGACGTCAGAGTACCGTTTGGCATTCCCATACCTTGGTGAGATGGCTCACGGTGACTCGCTGTGTATGTTAATACAGCTTTAACGTGCTCAGGAGTGCAATGGTGTGCAACATCCTTCATCGAACCTCGCGACGCCTGGTTCTAAGGGTTAGCACTCTTCGTTCGGATTGAAGGGTGTCACTATGTGTCACAGTCAGTGTGTGCTGCTTGTTATATTATTTGTTTGACAACTAATGAAGTGCAGATACTCATTACCATGATTGTTCAGGGGTGCGTACTCCAACCATGCTTGCCAAAGCTGGTCTGAACGACTGTGAGATTAGGTGGTACTGTTATCGCGTCTGGATCTGTGAGTCCTTCAGAGTCTTTCGTGAATTACAAGCTTATCCGGGCACTTAGTGAGCGATCGCAGTCGATTCATGACCTGTCCCATGGTTGGTTCATACAATTCTCAGTGACGCGTCACGCCCGACATGCTCATATTTTGCTCTGCCCAACCTACTTATTCCCATATATCGGCCTGATGGCCCTTTACCTCGGTACGGAGCTGCTTCACCATGTTGGGCTATGGGATCCTGAATCACACCCACGCCCTACGGTTTCGGAATGGGTGAGCGACCACGATCATGGATAGCATCACAATCGAGTTCATCACAGATTCGCTGCTTGAAGCCGGACTCGTTCAACTGTCAGAACTCCTGCTACGCTGCTTGTTTTCCTCATTGCACTAATAGCTGTGAAACTTTAGCCTACTGTCGCCGTTTTGGGTGACTGTCGAAGAGCACTGGCCCTTGGTACGAGTGCACTTGCGGATATCTATACAGCGACATCGTTGGTATTCCTGCTACTTTGAAGTCGCGAGGAGATCACGCCTCGGTGAGCATTTCCTTAGATAGATTACCCTGGATGGCACGTTCACACACCAGCAGCGGGCTGTCAATGCTGAATAAAGTCATTATTTACATTGTCGGCACAAGTGCCTTGACGAGGTTTGCTTTCAGGACTAGACATATATGTGTAGCTGCTGATTTTCCAGCTTATCTTACTAGCTTCCTTGCCATTTGTGGAATGATACTTGTTGGTCTTCTCGGTCTGTTTCGAAAATATGTATCTCACCATCCGAAATAGACTTTGAGCATCCCCGATAACTTGATCTATTTCGAAGGTGAGTTTCGAAGTCAGCAGACAGCCTCGTCTCTCCTGACTGACGCAATTTCAGTCTTCTGCGTTAAAAGTGAAGGCAAGTCTTCTCTGTCTGACATTTAAGCACCTGGCGCTCGAGTTCTTTTAGCGTACGGAAATTCCTTGTTAGCGTGGTGCGTCGTCCGCCGGCCGCCCTGTCGTAAGTTTAAGCTAAGCTCTGATCCAGGCTCAACGCTCGTGACCATCTACGCAACGACTCAAAGATACCGAGCCTTCCGATCATCAGCGTCCGGTTCCAACATCCGTCAAGAGCTCGTGAGACCTATTCGGATATAGGCTCCGTACAGCTGCGCAGCGAAGATGAACCGACTAGGCCATCCGGCTCTAAAGTAAGGCTCTGTCGATCACATCCGCTCACAGACCATGAGACTTACTCGCGTTCAACAGTATCTTCAGGATTGGAGCGCCCACTTGGCAGCCCTCGAGGCTTTTGAAGATGGTCAGGCTATCACTCTAATCTGCAACTATGCAGTCCTCGATCGCTCGGAGGATGGGAAGCCTATCGCCACAGCGAGCCCGAGCAGATCCTTTAGTATGGCGTGAATAGATACGAGAAGCGTTGTACAACTGACGCCATCAACCCTTATCTACAAAATGCCTAGAGGGAGGCACGGCAAGAGCGTGACAGCAAAGGTACACTAGCAAGTGCATATGGCCCATATTATGACCCAACTGGCAACTCAATATACACCACGCCGGCAGTACCAGGCCACCGAAGCCCAAATTTTTAGATGCTCCAATTTACGCCATGTAGATGCAAGACACCCGCAAGATGCCTCTATTCTAGGGAGGCGTTCCGTGTAAGCGCCCGACCGAATGTCGTCCTCAATCTTCGCAATTCACGTAGAACCTGACGGTGAGGCCGTTAAATTCGCACTCCGACGGCTCTGCATCGATGCACGGCCAGTAGAGGCCCGCGAGTCCCTGGAGGTCTGGAGTCTCGAGCTCAAAGGTTACCCCCCGGAGGAAAGGTGACTGCAAGTCGTCTGGCATGAGTGCGACCTAGGGGAAGAGGTGCATCGCGGGGAACGTTCGCGAAGTATCCACAGTAACATCCAGGCCACCAAATGAGATTAGCAGCAAAGACGTGTTGTGGATTACGCGGGACGGCTGAGAGCACAATTAATTCGAGGCTCGTTGTTTGCAGACATCGTACTCACTTTCCTCCGCTATGCCGGCCGTCAACTCGACTTGCAAGCGTTCGAGGGAAGAGCCGCTTGCCTGAAGAAGATCTCCCAAGGACTTAATATTGTCTAGTTCCCTCCAGCATAGCTGGATAGTCTGGAGCTTCTATTTCAATGGATAGAGGAGAATCCACTCGGTGACCAAGGTCGGCGAAGACCTCAGATCCAAGAACGGGTAGCCCAAGTACATCTTCCTGTCGTTCTATAGTGACTGTGCCCGCGAAACCAAAAAGCTCTTCGAGGTCGGGGGACGCATCAAGGAATTCTAGCAGGTCGCCTGACGAGTACGCGTTATGCGTGCACCGTTCGAAGGATATCCAGCTAAGCGCTAGCGCTAGCCGGCCACCATAAGCGCTGAGCGTCCGCGCTGGCGCTATCTCTGCTGACTCAGCGTTCACTCGAGACGATGCTCCGCGGTTTCAAACCGACCTCAACTGAGCGTTCGTAGACCTACTTTGACAAGCATTACAGATCTCAGCATTGTCACAGCTCTCAGATGCGCCCGATGGCTCATCATCTCACGAAGACGGGGTATGGATCTCTGCGATCTGTCGCGCAGTGTTGCCTTAAATCTTACTTTACACATGGCTGCAAAAATCAGTTCATCCATTGCGTCGTCATTACTTTGTTTTAATATTTACTAGTCTCGAATGTGTTCAACCTTACCTTCGTCCCGTAAGCATTTACTACGGTGAGCACGAGTCTGTGAGTACTCATCTTGACTCTGCCATGCACCCCTTCCACTCTAATCAATCTTTGTTGTAGATATATCATCAGCCTTTGGAAGTTCTTTTCTGAGCCTAACTCTGAAGGTGTGGCTCGTTTCCATCTTGCAAGTGCATGATAGGTCCAGGCTTTCCCCCTAGCTACCAACTTCGTGTGACAATGCTGTCCTACTAAGGGTGATTCGCTCTCGATGCTACCGTCCAGACGCAGTATCACTCTCGAGAATGACTAAGCGATCTTAGCTGTAAAGTATCTGACGCACCAAATGCCTCGGCATCTGCTTGCGATCCATTCAATAGCGACGCCATCTGTTAGGCCTGTGCACCTCATAAAGCCTCTCGTAGTGCGGAGGAGACCTCATGCTTTACTAATCTCCCGCCGCCATGTCTCAGCCTTCGACGACTGCCGTGTGCGATCCGTCTTTTGCTTGGGTGCGCACCCTTCTCTTGCCGCATTCCGCTCTCATTAATCGCGGCGCAGATGGACAACGCCAGTGGACAGAGTCCTTGTCAAATGGCTTCCTCCTGCCTCAGCACCTGTCGGAACACCCGTGCGTACTATTCGCTCTGCCCACATCAGATGCATCCTTGACGGGTACATACCAGCGTACTCGGTCGTTCCCATTACCGGAAGTTACTTTCCCCCCGACGGCTCAGTCTGCTCCTGTAACTCTGTTACATACTCGTTGCTAAGTGCCTGTGCAACATGCCAAGGCGGTACAGCTATGTCGTACGTTCTACTCGAGCTCTGTGTACACATTTAGACACTCACGCAGAACATGTGCAGCTGGGATGCCTGGAACGCGGTTGGAAACTGCTCGTCCAATGACGAGCAAGACTTTAATGGCTCGTGTGTCAATCCTTTCAGCCCGTTGATTTAATATATTAATTACTGGATCCAGCTTTGCGCCCGGTGTTATCCCTCCAGTTGACATTCCAGAATTTTATTATACGCCCATTGTGAGAGGCTTCTCGTTGACTCTCCGGTCGCGGTATTAATATGGGGACACGAAATAGGATGGAACATGGAATGTCACGGCTGCTTTTGGCGCCGCACTTTGTGTGTAGACTTCTCTGCGTGACGGATAACGCTTACCGACCAAATGCAGCAGCGGAATCCTCAAGCTCTGCTACGAACTTTGCTGCCACTAGCGTGACTTCCTCCTTGAGTTCAGCAACATCGACCTCCGTGAGCAGCACGGAAAGTACTACCTCTGCTGATTCGTCAAGCGCTACAGACAGTCTCCCTCCACACACTCCAACCACAGCTCCTTCTTCGGCGGAGATCGCGTCGAGCAGCATCGCTTCATCGACATCTGTTCCACCTATTTCGTCCCCCAGCCTGAGTGTAGACGGTAACGGGATAAACGGGACACCTCCCGCCATTAGCTCCCAATCCGTAACTTCGTCGGTATCTCCGTCATTCGCAAGTCCGCCTCCACCAGCAGCAAACGACTCGAAGCCCCCTCCGAAGCACAGCAGCGTCGGGCCCATCGTCGGTGGTGTCATAGGTGGTATCGCTGGCCTTGCCATGATAGCTATCCTCGCCATATATCTCTTGCGTCGCAACCGGCGGTGTCAGGAAGGGTCTTCAGCTGTGAAAGTCCTGTCGCTTGGCCCAGACACCATGAGGTTCCACGTACGTTATCCACTCCAAGTCACCGCTGGCTGTTACTTATCCTGCAGATTTTGCAGGACCCGGAGGACTCGTCGACGTTCCTCAGATATGACTGGCCGACCGCCGGGGAACACACCGACAGTGGGGCGTTCTCGTCCACCAAGGGCTCCGAGGGCACAGTCCGTCTGGTGCCCAACCGGCTTGTACTACTTTGAAAGTTTTGACATCCGAGACCTGATTGCAGCCAACTATCGCCACTCATTTGCTAAATCGCTCTCCTTTGTGTTTCAGCAGTCTCTACTGTTCAACGTTCGTTACCTGCCCAATAGACTTTGTCACATTTCCGAGCATATGTGTCCAGTTTCCATGTTGGTACGATTGCAAGCCGGACCGGCCGCGAGGCATGAGGTTCTCAGCATACTTGGGGTTTGCCGCATATGTCAGTTTATCAGGTGCAGGACTGACCGCATTTGCTTCCGCACGACGTGTTGGAGACAAGACCCGCCATAACGTCCTCACTGACGTAGCCCGTTGCCACTGCCATCGCCTTGCACATTGCTCTCCAATTGGCACTAGTACTCCTCCTCTATGTGCATTCTTGTGCTGAGATAGTGCGGCCGGCCTGTGAGCATGCGCGGCATCGCTCCGCGCTCCATGGATTGCCATGACCGCATCGGCCGCACACCGGCAACGGGCCGTCGGGTTGTCGAGCTCTCAAAGTTCGCAAAAGCTGTCTCTGCAGTGCGGCGCGATGATGACGTCGGCGTAGCGCAGCGATGTGTGCATCTCCAGTTTCTCCCCGCATCTCAGGCACATGAGCGGGGCCCGTCCGTGCCGTTTCTCAGGGTTACGAAACCCGCCGCACAATCGCGACTGTACATGTAGCATGTACGCCTTGCGGTGCGGTGCGCCCGTCGTCGACGTCCTATCTGCATTACGTTCCATCGCGGAGAGCGGAGTCATGCTGTGCCAGAATGGATGACCGTGGTCGAGGCCCCCAGCCCATACGACAGGCTCCCGTTATCGACCGGCGAGGGTGCCCCACACCAGATGCGATGCGCCTCTAATACGGCGGGCTGACGGCGCCTGCGCCCGGCCGACCTCACTGCGAAGATTTCGCATGTTCGCACGCCCACTTCCGCATGGACACGCTATAGAGCAGAAAATAGGCCACTTCAAATGCGGTGCACATGGGCACTGGTGCGTCGAGACCTGGGCGCGTTGTATTGTATAAGCTATGCGGGCAAAGACAGCTTCTACGGTCTCGCAAAGGCCACATTGCGTCACCGCGATCCCCGACCATCAGAGTCACTCGTACAAAGATTGTTCGCAGTCGCTTGTTATTATTGTAGTGATGCAGTACTACGCGTGAGTCTACCTGGAGGCTATTCGGTTTCGTGTGCGGCCGGGGTAGGGTCACCGCGGCCATCGCAGCTCATCAGCGAAACTGCCCGCTGCAGCCACGGTCATGGGACGGACATGTGAGACAGGTATCTCGCAAACAGATGGCTTGCGAGTCGGAAATGGTCCAGAAAGAACAAGTGGGGGAATATGGGGGACGGAGACTACATTAGTACAGTAACAAAGCCTTGAGACGTGTTCTCATCACATCATGCTTCAAATCTGGGGCTGTTGCTCCCCTGTCACGTTTCGGCGGGGGCGACTCTGGGTAACTGTCAGAGATGTGCGAGCAAGCCGCTAGTGCAGTTCGGGCGAACAGAACGTGGAACGGAGTGTGGTGGTGGGAGGACCGGTCAGTCAATGGCCGGCACAGGGTATAGGGACCAAAGACAGCTGGAACAGAGGGTGTCCCGCGTGCGAATGTCACAGCAGGTTTTGGTCGTAGCGACGCCGCAGAAACAAAGGTTGTGCTACGAAAGGAAGTTTCCGAGCGTACGGGCGGCTGGCGGGCGATCAGTACCTGCAGCGAGCAGTGGCGCGAGGGTTCAACAAAAAGAATTCACAGCGGCTCATCTTGAACCGCTCTGCGTGGCCCTCGCACAATCTTAATTTTAGCGACAAAGCACCGAACAGCTATGAAACTGTAGACGCGCAAGCCCTTGGCTTCATGGAGTCGACGCTCGGCCAAGTGAAAACTCCATGAAGCAAATGACAGGTGTGCCACCCAAGGAACATGCTTGGCCATTCAAAGACTAAAATGAGTGGCAGTCATTAAGCATGCACGGAAAGAATGAGTGGCAACGGACGTCGTACGACGCACCTATGCCCGCCAGCTTTCCAAGGAACAGACGATCCTCACGGACGTGGAGCCCAGGCCCCTCGTTGCCCCCTTAATGGGAGGCGGCGGCGGCAAGAGCACAAAGTGGCTGCACGAGTGCCCATGAAGTTTACGCGCTACTCATCCACGCGGCAACACGCGCAGGAGATCGCGGTTTCCCACGGGCAGGCAGGCACACTGCGCACGGCCGAACCGAGGAGGAGAGAGTCGGCCGGCGCACGTTCGGAAGTGCCCGACATTGCACAGTCCACTGCGTGTGTTTTTCGACCGATGACGCGATGACGACTGGGTGGCGCGTCGCGTGTGCAACGAGAATTCAAGCAGAGGTTATCGGGCGATAGACTTTTCGCCCTGGAGTCATATCGGCCGGGCTGACGTCGAGGATTCGGCGCGGCAGGAGAGAAACCGCTTGAAGGTCGATGACGCTTGAGAATTCCCGGTCCTCGAGGCGCGGCCGATGACTCGACTCGTCGGGGCGGACAGTCAGGCGAAAGGTTACAAAGACAGCTGAGTCACCAGAGATCTGAGAGGCTCAGGCTTCAGGCTGAAGCTGCTGACTCAGAGATACTGTGAAGGTTTGCGAGGCCGGGGAGATGAGATGAAGAGAATGCGTGATGGCCGGAGGCGGTTGTGGATGCACTTGCTGAGCGCTGATACTGAGTTCACACCCAAGGGACATCGAGGGACATCAACCGTTTGTCAGCGAGTGGCAGTAAAAGTCTCGGGCAAGACGTGTAACCAGATGGTGAATGGCGTACGATACCGACACAGTCATCAGCCAGACAAGTAACAGAGAGCAGGCGCGCCAGACAGTGCGAACAAGCTGGGCAAGGGGAGGTGGGCAGAGGGAGATGCCAGCGTCAGGGGGCGCCGAGGAACCACGGATAGATGAGACGATAGAAGTGCGAACGTGTGGGTCGATGGGAGCGAGCTTTATCTTTGCGTCTGCACAGACGCTTTGAACGCCGGAGGGAGTCGCCCAGAAAAGGCAAGAGTGCGATAACCGCCAAGTCCACCACCGGAAGCCTATCGTCGCGGCCACGTCCGCAGGGCGGGACGCGCGAGATGTCTTCTGCTGTCAGGACTACACCTTCTGTCGCCGGTGTGCGCAAGCTATGTCCCGACGTTCAGAGCCAGCAAGGCCCCTCTGACGCGCTACGTGCCACCGGGATTCCCTGCCTAGAAAAGTAACAATCCGATAGCACAGAAGCAGTGACTGGCCTGCAGACCTCGGTAGAACCCTGCGAGCCCTCAGATGATCTCGTTCCGGCGCCTGGGTCGGGTGCGTTCACAGTCCGATGACTGCGTTTGCAGCGAAGACCCATATTCATGTGCACATGCGATCTAGGTGCGGAGAGTGGGGCAGCTGAAAATAAGGCTTGTCAGGAGATAATGTGTGATCGGCATTTGAGGACATTAGACTCACAACCGCTGGTTGTTGTCAGTGGGTATGGGTGCAAGGAGCCGATCTTATTAAGCTTGGGCAAGCTCGGTCCAAACGCCTGTAGCTTGTCCGCTGCGCACCGCACGGACGAACATCTACGAATCGCCGATCGGAGGAACCCGTGGGGCTCCAATGCAGAGCGGCTGGGTAATGAATAGGTTAGGCTCAGACGATCGCACACAAAGGACAGGCGCGTATACATACCTAAGACGTCTGTGAAAACGGTAAAAGCCCAGGCGTGCATACATACCTAAGACGTCTGTGAAAACGGTAAAAGGACAGGCGCGCATACATACCTAAGACGTCTGTGAAAACGGCAAAAGCCCAGGCGACCGCAGGGAGCCTATCGCATGGTGATAGCACAAAGTGCATGAGAAGAACGCCGGCAATAGCACGACAGGTCCCTGCAATCCGATGGTAGCGCGGGCCTCTGCCTGTGAACGTTCGCAGGGTGCGCTCTGAACTGAGACCATAGGCGAGGACGGGACGGTGCTTTACCTGGCTTTTGTTAGGGGTGGGGGTTAGGTTGGCAGGCGTTAGGTGATCGCAGGTGTAACTACCGGCCCCTCGCACCGCTGCGTCCCTGGGCTCTTTGTTGCAGGTGCGGGCCCGTGGGAACAGGTCAGATGTCCGGTATGTGTCGGCGGGGGCAAGGCCTCTGTCTGCAACACACTTGGAAGAGTGCGGTGCATATTGAGCGGCGGAGGATAGGAGCTAGAGTCATGCCAGTGGTGCGTGCGTAAAAGCGCAAAAGGCGGGATACCCGTGCACTGAACTGAAACGGTGCTCTCACATGCGTTGGGGAAGGCTGGGGAGCACAAAGAGTGAAGCTGTTAGTCAGGATAGGGTTCGGCTTAGGCATAGGAGGATGTACGGGAAGTATAGACGCACAGGATGAGTGGGGGAGCAAGGCGAGATGTGTACCCGAGGAGCTTCATAAGACTGATGAATGGGATCAAGGTGAGACGGCCGAGTAGACACGAATAGCTCACCGTGTGCGAGTCATCTCGTCGGACAGCAATGGAATGGTGCTCGAATGGCAATACCGAAGGCCCAGCGGCGGACTCCTGATTGATGCCCGGAAGGAGCAGAAGGGAGCAGACGCACACCCCGGGGAGATCGGGAGGCCAGATCGTCTGCAGACGGGAAGGCGAAACTTGGCCAGCAGGTCATGGGAAGGTAAGGCGAGGCCTGCAAGTGTTCTAGCACATCAGTGAGACCGGAAAGGTAATCTAGAACGGTGGATACAGGACATGCGGCGAGGACACAGGAATAGAGGGAGGTATATTCGGAATGAATGAGCACAGCAGGAGGTATTACCCAAACAGACGTTGCGGAAGCAAAGAGGAATGGCTAATACGACAACGCGCGCGAGAGGCGGCGGCACAGTGTCCGCATTCGGGTTAGGGTCTGTGAGGGCGGCAGGGCGGGATGGACACCGCGGGCCGGAAAGAGATGACCCTCGGAAAGACTCGGCCGGCGAGCCGCGGGGATGCTGGATGTCTTAGAAGCGGGCACACGAGGAGGGTGGCCAATGTGGCCTCGACTGGAGTGGCAGAGCGTCGGCCAAAGCGTGCAAAGGCGACGTTCTTGAGTGGGCAAAGGCGTGGTGTGAGCGAGGCAGGCCGGAGGAGGGCCCAAGTTCAAGCGCCCAAGGCTTGGGGCAGCCACTCGGCGTTTATTCTGGGCGACGATTGGCCGAAGAGAGGGAGAGTGTGAACCTCCCCGATATGGAAGGATTATCTAATCTCCGAGGTGGGCCTTCATTCGCTCCGAGTGAGCACTCATTCTTTTCTCGTCCGTGCTTGGGAGAGATGTATATCTACGGCCACCCTCCCGTGGAAGCGGTGGCCCTCCTCTTTTGACCAGCCCTCCGCTATAAACTCATCCCCTCCTCCTCTCCCTCGGCTGCAATCAATTACCTCTCCCCGCCCACCGTTGCTACATCTCGCTGGCCCTGCCCTCTTATATCAACACCCGCCCGCGCTCGCAACTCACCTCTCGCCAATCAGCCCCGTCCCGAACCACCATGTACGACCACCCACCAAACTCATCAACCTCACTACACAGAAAGTCCTCCTCCTCCAAGACGCACCTCACAAACCTAAAGATGCCGCTCGCGCACTCGCACTCGCGCACGTCCTGCTACCAGCCTAGCACACGCCAGGCGGACATTTCGCGTCTCCTTGACCCCGCGTACGCCTCCTCTTCGTCACACTCCCCGAATTCGTCGTCGTCAAATGTACGCGCGAGCACACGCGTGTATGTCGACCACACGGGCGAGATGCACGACCCAGACTACCGCGACTTCCCTGTGCTCCCGCCGCGCCCGCCAAAAAACCTGCCGCATCGCTCGTCCTCGACACGGTCGCGCTTTTCGAACTCGACAGCGGCACATAGCCGGCCGGACAGGTACCGCACGTACCCGCTTGTTGCTAGGCCAGAGTGGGAGCGTGGTTGGGCGACGGAAGTAGAGGACTTGGATGAGGAGGAGGAGGAAGAGCAGTCATCGTTCGAAGGTGCCTACCGCTCTCCATTCTCGTCCTCCTCGTCATCGTCAGACCGCACGCCACCAAGCCGACGCGCCAGCCTGCCACCATCCGTCTACGCGTACTCGCCCTCCACCTACTACTTCGCCGACCCCGTTTCAACCAACTCCTCGCCAATAGACTCATTAGAGGAGGAAGAGCGGGATACGATGGAGCAGAGTCCGTTTGACGACATGGCAGTGGACGAGGAGCCGCGATCACCGGCTAACACGAGTCGTACGGCGTCGAGCATACTCAAGAAGATGAAGCGCTCGAGCTCAGGGTCGACGGTGCCCGTCGCACCTCCGCAACCGTCACCAGAAGACGGTGAGGACAAAGAGAACCGCCAACATCGCGAAATGAACTTTGAAGATCGAGATGATGACGACGACGTGTAAGTATTTCTCTCTACGCTTTCGCCGTCGAACGCGTCGCTCACCGACCTTCTTTCGAACAGACCTTCGTGTTCATATATTCTGCACCGACAATTGCGTGCCCTGAACCTCCGGCTACGCTTTGGTGTCTTCCACGCGAAACGTCGGTTGTCGATCTCCCGTCGGAGAAAATCTTCTTCGTCGTGAACCAGAAGCTTCCACATTCTGCAGCGATACGCTCAGCATCGTCATGAGACCTGTTCTGTCTTGGATTACATCGCCTAAGCCAGGCCAACCTCTCCGAACGCACGCAACTATGCACGTATCCTTATGATTATCATACCACGTACGCGCAACGCTTCACGGACCTGGACTCGGAAGATGAGCGGGGCTTTCCCGCTCGTATTCCCGCCCTACGCTATCTATCGCCATCCATCCCCATACGACCACTTCAGAACAGTCTCTCACGATATAATCAAATCCAAGTGTCACGAACGCGGTCTCGGTCTCCTCGCATTCACCCCACTGTCTCACTCATGCAATCAAGTCTGAACACTCATATCACGATCATCCACATTTGGTCTCTTGTCTTCTCCTGCTCTTCACATTCATGCTGTGCCATATTTGCATATTCGCTTTCCGACCCTCGTTGCATGCAGCGGTCTTCACATGCGCATCGCGCCCTGCCTCTTTTTTATTCACCGTCACATATCGCCTTCTTTTTTTCTTCTCTCTTCTACGCGCGTGGTCGCTCACCGCACATGATATACTTTTCACGGGTTTTTTTTGGGTCGATTAGGTTGTGATGATAGGAACGGAAGGATGATGATAGGATATGGATTTGCAGCCTACGCCTCGCGACGAAATGTCCCCGAGCGACCCCGCCATTCCTTCACGAACTGTACTTTGTCGTAGCACACGCACACATTGCTGTCGTTAGATGACCGCTTATGCAACCGCAATGAATATCACAACAATGCCAAACGCCATACTTGTGTGCTTGCGTGCTCCCGTGCTCCGTCAGCCCAAGTCTCATTAGAACCATCTTGAGTCTTCGCGAACCGTGTTCGCGTATCCCGGCCGGCCAATCAAAGCGTCAAGCGCGAAGATGCCGATGACAAAATGATTTTGACAGCGCGTTCGGCCGCGTCCTGCAAAGCTCATCCTCATCCTTGTGATAGCGAGCCAATAAACGTCTCTGCACAGCCCGCCGCCGTCGTTTCTGTGCGAACCCGTTCTGATGCGAGCACCGAAGGTTCGACGCGCCTGGCTGAACAGAGGCGGGGGAGGGGAGTTAGCAGGAGGACATCGCTTGCCGTAAAGGCCCACAACATTGGGCAGTCGACACCGTCCATGTGCTGCGTCGATCAATCATCCATCGCTCACTAATTAGACCAGGGTGCCGCGGCTCGCTTTCTCACTACTGCAGTACGTCGCCGTGTTTTTCGTGGAAACCCTTCCTTAGGCTGATTTTTTCGACAGATCGTCAGAAGGCCCCTTTCTAGAACGTTTTCTTCAACAAGGCAGACACGGCAGTGTACGGTTTTCACACTGGGGAGCTGGGAGGTGCCATACGCGCAAGCCCGGCAGCAATATTGGCTCTGTCTGCGGCGCAGCCCGCCGACGCAGGTTGTCTCATGAGATACTCAGCTCGTGCCCCGGCACACCCACCTCCTGCGAACGCGCAGTCGCCAGGAGTGGGGACATACGAACAGCCAAATGCCAATGCTCCCAGACGTCTGCGCTGACGGCGATTGGGCACGCCGGTGCGTCTGGTACCCACAATTCGGAATATCCGGCGAGGCGCAACTGGGCTCCGACTCTCCGAGGACAACCGTTTTGCTCAACTTTCAAAGCGCGCGGATTCGCAGCGGCGGGGCTTTGAGCCTCTGCCCGCGGGATGACGCATGCGCTGAACTCAATCGTCCCAGGCCGCTCCGAGGAATAGTCCACAAGTTTTTTGTTATGAAGGTGCGCTCCACTGTTTCTCAGCTGAATGGACAGTCCTCGTCAGCAGCCTCGGAATGTGTGTAAGAGCGTTTGAGCAATTCGGAATGGCTGGCCACAATCTCGTGCCGATCGTCAGTAGAGACGCGGCGATGGGGCTCGACCCCTGAAGACGTTTGTTTCCGCGAGCTCAAAGCTCGTAGTCGGTCCGAAACCGCCTCGGATCGGGATGGTGGACGATCGGAACTGTAGCGCACCGGGATGGGGCAGCCTGGTTTTGTTGGCCAATTGCGGACGCAACTAGTATTTTTGGGCATCGGAGCGTGTGTTTTCATTTGCTTCCACAGGACCCTAGTCGGCACTGTTCATCATAATGGAGGTACGCCAACAGATGTCTGGCTACCAATAATTCTCAAAGCTGTGAGATTTCTTAGAGACACGTGCAGTCCTTTATCCGTAAACAGCTCAGAAACGGGCTCAGAGTACTGCTTTACTCGTGTCTGCACTGTCACGCCCTCTAGAGGATATTTCGCATTTGGGTAATCGTTCGGCTTGTGCTGTACGGGGCACCCTGTGCACGGTCTTCAGAGCTATTGCATTTGCCCCTATGCCTATTCTTTGCCCACAGAGTATGAATGCAGGGCTGCAAGCGTTTGGCTTGGCGCGAATTGTATCTCACCTTCCGGTGAGCATTGCTACCCTTGGACATCTTGTGTCGTCTTCTGCGTGGCTAACTGTCACATCTCCTGCAACCTTGAACGGGTCTAATGACAGCCACTACCCCTAGCCCAGACTCTTCCCGTGGTGCTGTCAGGGAAGGGTAAATGGCCGTCCCAGCGCCCACCGCGCCAGCTCTGGGCTCGGCACAGGACACATCGTGAGTCTAATTTCTGGATATCCCCGGATGCGGGGCTGACGCGTCGTGCCAGGCAGCTGATGTGGAGAATCTTGGTTAAGACGCCGACCGCACCTACTGCCCCCTCTCGAAGTCCGACATCGTCGTATCCTCGACTATCGCCCTGCACAGCTGCGGATCACGCAGCGATAATACTCCCGGAGTATGTTGTGGCTCGAGGGTCATACTTGCGTCGATAAACCCTGTGAGATGAAGTGCCTCGTTGCGCTGCTACTTCGACGAAACCTTCCTAAGACGCTGATTCGTCGTAATAGTCCACTAGTACGTCTCAACACGTACAGGCCGGTACCGGATTATACACTGCAGGTGTGATACGCGTGGTACTTCAGAACACCGTGTTCCCTGTACCCTAGGACAGGTTCCCAGATGAGTCAGGATAGTGATAAATTAGAGATTTGGAATGGACGAGTGCACACACCTCGAGGCAACGTGGTAAACTCTGTATCACCGCCACAGGTGTAGGTTCTACTATCTTTGGGACGCAGGCAGACGAACAATAAGAGAACGCTGTTTTAATGACGAGCCCACTTGTGTCTTAGCAGCTGTACGACACACCAACTCGCTGCAGCAAGACTGACGATGATTCTACCCGATCTCTTGGCGGGTATCGGCGGGGGAAAGCGTAGGTCGGTGATGGCATCACTTTGATCCGGAGGATCTCGCTGGCAAGGTCTGTCTTGCTCTCGTCCACGACCTCCGTAGCAGCGGACAGCAAAACTCCTAGATATGTGCGACAGTGCCCATCGGAGCTTGCCTCAGGCCGTCGCTGCGTGAATTCATTTGGAAGGCAGTGTGTGGGTGGCATGACCGCCTGCGCCGGGGCCCGCAGCGCGACTGACCCAAAGCGGTTGACCGAGTTTACCCCGCATGGTCTGTGCAGGTACACACTCCACCGCACCTGCGGATATTTGCAACGAGCTTTATCGCAGCATGGTTGCCTACACTAGCAGCGACTATCTCAGACTATCGTGAACCATCTGCTAGGTGCGAATCGCAAGCATGGGCACTGCGCCCGCCTGATCTAGACGCCTCCCGTCCTCGGCTTTTTGAAGCTTTCTTGTACGGATGCTCGCAGGCTCAACGGAGCGCGTCGCGTTCGCGGATGCTTTGTACAATTGGTCGTGGTCGTGCTACTATCGATTTGAGTGCGCGAGGAGACCCAGCTGACCAGCGCGGACGCACGATGGTCGGTGTTCGCCCAAATGGCGGCTCCGTCGACCACTGCAAGGTGCGTCTCGTGTTCCTCTCGATGCGATACTATCCGACCCGCCCTCTTCACAGTTGTGCCTCTTCTGACAGTGACCAGTGTGATTCTCGGCGAAACGGCTCAGCTTGTGGGTCCATGTCTATCTCTCGAATCGCCGAGCCGACACCCGTGCGTCGTAATCACAGGCGATCCCTTTCACTCCTCGATTCCTCACGATTGACATGATCATGCGCGCAGATGCTGCTTGAACAGATCTGTTGTTTCGATTCTCGCCAATTATGATAAGCACCTTCGAATCTGCCGCGAGACCCTCGTGAGTCGATCCGACATAGACCCATTCAGCTGAAGCAACGTAGGACGTTTACCTAGGAGTGGCTCTGCGATAGGTCATTCGGAAGTTATAGCTGGAGCGAATTGCTTGCGCTAGATCTACGGATAGCTCGTATACTCGTCTTCCTGGTCGATCAACGCATGGTGCTCGCCCGTGACCTCAGTGCCGAAGCTACACAGGGCTACGCAACAGAACCATATGCTCAGAGGAACCACCCAAAGCCCTTTGGGAAACTTGTAAGATGCTATCAATTCCGGCACGGCCTGCTGCTTTGCAAGAAGACGTATTCGAACCGATAGCTCGAACGTTACGTCTTGATGCAAGACGAGCCGTCGAGGCAGGCTTCGTCGATCCGCCTCACCATTTTCGTTACACAGCATCCACAGTTACAAGGCTCCAAGATGCTCCACCGATTTATGCTTCAAATGTAGGTGAGCCTCGCCGCTCCGGGCCATTTGATTGACTGAATCAATCATGCAGTCAGCTGCCACCACTCTCCGTTTTGCAGTCGGCGCACCCTACATGCTTGCGCGGTGCAACATACACAGGGCAGCTTCGAAGTTTACCTGAGAACTCACAATTACGAAACTCACCGCAACGTTTGGTGGCAGCCCGCGCCATGCGTACCACGGCACAGACAGGACCCTTGTTGTTGCCATAACCCCATAGATGGAGATGTGAATGCCCGCCGACTATGGTACGTCCAGACAGTGTTTACGTCCAAAAGAATGCTCAGCGGTAGGTGCAGATACCCCACTCGGTCTTCTCCGCACCTCATGGCGATACGCGGGGAAAGGCTCCGCGGACCACATGAAGAAAGCTCAAGTGGACGTCCTTACTACCTCGTCAATAATCTGCCCGTCGCGATGGCAGCCCGGTTTTTCCCATTTTTCCAACCTTGCTTGCTTCTAGATCGGTCTCTAACGTCATTCGAAGCTCCAGTTATCTGCAGAGCTCTTGCCCACCAGCTGCCAAAGAACGAGCATCGAGGCCGGTATCTAGTATGCAGGCCTCGTATTTTCATCGCAGACGTTCAAGAAGTGCTTCTAGGCTCTAACTCCATGCGACACGCTCCTAACAGGAGAATCAAAAACACCCTCATTCCTGATACCCCTCAAGAGCGGCAATTGCTAAGTCACCGTCTACCGGCACCACCTCCGCAGTTCAACACTATCCTTACCATATGTGGACACACGCTTTCGTACGCCACCAGGTCGACTTTACACGAGGCACGCTCAGCTGCTTCTCTTTGTCCGAAAAATGCGGAAAATCTGCCAACCTATGTCCGCAAATTTACCTAATTCTCGTTTATTTTGTTCCCACCGCGCCGCTCGCTACGCCTCATTCCCAAGTCTTCATCTCTCCACCTGCCCCGCACGCGCACCTCGTTCTCGCCCAGACTCCAAAATGCGCACATATTCCGTACCAGCAGTGCTCACCTGACCGCCTCATGCGCGCCGCGAGCGAGCTCGACGTCTACGCATGCCTGCACGCTGCTATGCCATGCTGCACGTCGTGCGATTTCTTGCTGATTTTCTTTGGAGAGACTGAATGGGCCCGGCGACTCAAGTGGAGGGCGGGCGATGTCGCAATGGTCGCTGATCCCTACATGCTCGCGACGCCTGGTGCGCAACAAGCCCGTTCACCACATCCACTTCGTCACTACTCGCACGGCCTGGGGCTTCTTGTTCCACATCTTCCCCGAAGCCGGAATATCGTCACTGCGCTCGCTGCCTTGGTACGCCATGGCCTAACCTGGGCCACCTGCACCACTTCGCACCCAAGGGCCGCGACGGCGTCTTCGTCCCTCCTGCAGCTCGAAAAAAAAGGCGGTGTCTCAGCGTATTCTGATGGCCCTCTGCACATCCATCCCTGGCTTCTGGGCGTCGAAAAACGTTTTCTGATGATCTCGTCCCTCCGCGTCGCGTACCAGCTCTGCCGACAGATCCTGGGGTCGGCTCCCGCCAGCCGCGGTCTGAGCGTAGGACGCCGTAACACGAGGCGTGCCTCGTGGCTGATACGCTCTGTTGCCGCCGGCTATTGCGCGTGCGTCCACGAGGCTCGCAAAAATGTGACGTGGCCACGAAAGCGCTGTGGTCGTGCTGCGGAACGAAAGTCGGCCAAGTGTGCTAAAGTCCGCGGGCGGTGCGGGCGCGGAGGCGGTGCGTGTACGAGGGTGACGATGAAGGTGATGACTGCTGCACTGCACATGCTGGCTCATTGGCGAACTTGGGCTGACGCGTCTTTCACAGGACACGAGAAATCTTATCTATGACAGGGCTGATGTGTTGTGATACGCGAGCTGAGGTTATCAGCATTGTCTATTTCACAGTTCTATAAGAGAAGGAAGAGAAGGGACTCTCCCGACTGGTCGGTGCACAGGTATGTCAGGACTGTTCGTGAGTCGTGATGTCCCTGCTTTGGTACCTTGGCAGGTATGCACCGTTCGCAACTTGTCTGCGCAGGCAGCCCGGGAAAAGCGTGAGATCAAGCTCTCGTCGTCACCGGAGAAATCAGGTGGAGACGAACGCATCTCCACTGGGATGATATCTCAATCCGTTCGAATTCGCTAAAACCTCTCAATTTTTATGGTCAGGTTTATCTTCCTCTCAGGTTTCGCGTTTGCCGAAGTGATGGCATATTTAGGGTGGCTCACGTAAAACCGTCGGATTTTACTCGGTTATTTGCACCTCTGCATAGCAGTCAAGCGAACCTCTGAAATCTAGCTGTCCCGACCATATTCCCAATGATACTTGCCACCGTCGGATATGCCGCTTTATCGGGCTTCCCGAGTGTATCTCCCTGACGCGTTCCTTCAGACTGACTGACAAACCAAAATGACGATTTGCCACACGATTCTAGGCGGAATCATAATGCAGTGACAACCTCACTTATTAGATTGCGGGGCTTGTGTGAGTACGTCTACTCTCGCTCATATCCTTCAAGCTGTTCAAGTTGCTGAAATCACATACGGGGGGATCACCAGCTCTGTGCACTGCCCTCAAGCCTTTGACAAGGCCTGGAGCAACGCACATCAGTGCTTGTAGACTTCTGGATGTGAAATAGGAGATGCTGGGAGATGTTTGGGGCATCGGAGGGCAGGAGAGGTGAGCACCCCCGTTGTTCTCGGGCGGGCGATGACCATCCTTATCTCTGCGGGACAGGGTTACAGGATACACGAGTAGACTTGGTACGGTTGACTGACGCGCCACATGCCTATCGTCGCATCTATCTTGTCGCCAAATGGCCAGAATCTGGTCTTTACCCCTAGTTTTCTTGGTTCCCGTGAGCGCGCTTACAGTATATACTGAAATCCCCTACGACCGACCAAGCTTCTAAAGATCCTGCGCAATTGACAATTCTAGCTACAAGTGCAAGGCGAATTTCTCGCCATTACCGGCCGCCGCAGATGCGTCGTGCTGACTACTGACCGAGCCGGCGGCCTAAGAGAAGGCCCGGGAGCATGTGCTCGCCCTTCTTCGCCGCTCATTAGCGACTTTAGTTTACCCCCTGCCGTAACTCGACCCCTCTGGATAACCCGTTTGTACAACCATCCAGAGCTCTGCTGTCTGCTTCACTGGGTTCGCCGACTCCTTATCATGGCTGCACTTGTGACCGTGCAGTGTATCTACCCGGGGCGAGTGCACAGTTCAAAGCGGCAATCGGTCGGCGGAGCCCCGGCAGCGCCTGTGCGCCACAATGGCTCGGCTCCGTTTTGGGGAGGGAGTCATGAATACAGTTTTTCGATTGGCTGCTGTTTGGGCGCCTGAATGCCTTCCCCGGGCGTCTTCGGAGGTGGCCGGGCTGGGTGGGAGATGGTCGAGCGAGCGTCCGTCGACACCTTCTTCTCTCCTCGCAGGATCATTTGGAATTGGGAGCGCGGCTGAGAACTGCTCGCAGATGGCTCACAAATCTTCAAGAGTTCTGTCCGCTCACTCTTTGTAAATCGAGCTTCCCTCTCGTATGGACCGGATGCCAGGATTCGCCGGATGATAAGCGTCTCCCCTCTAGAACCCTGTACGGAGCCGCTAGGGTGACGCGTGTGGCTGGGGAAGGCGGGGGTGGGTGGAGCGAGTTAATTGATGGCCCACCGGGAATGATATCCCAGCTCATATATATTGTACCAGATGGCTGACCGCGCTCTTTTCACCGGCTGAGCTCGACTTTCACGACCTCCAACGACTCGTAACCTGCCATGGCCCAAGTGGACTCAAACCCAGAGCTTGCAACAAGATCAAGTTCGCCTACTGTTATACATGAAAAGCCCGCAGAGCCTGCCAACCATGGTGCCAAGGACGCGGAGAAGAGCGGCGCATCTGCAAGGGTGGTTGACCCAACGAACAGCTTTGATGTCTACGGGAACGAGGATGGCGCTGAGAGTGCGTATGCTTTGTGAAAATTTCCACTGACCAGCGTTCTGACCTGTGTCGCGTGATTGCAGTCCAGTACCGGACCATGGTCTGGTGGAAAGCCGCAGCACTGATGCTGGCGGAGACCGTTTCCCTTGGCGTACGTGATCTTTCTGCTGTCGGTCCGATATCCCCGCCTGACTGCTCATCGCAGATTCTCTCCATTCCCTCCGCCTTTGCCAGCCTCGGCATGGTTGCAGGCGTCATCCTCGTCCTCTTCCTCGGCACCCTCGCCACAGCGACAGGCTATGTCATCGGCCAGTTCAAGCTGCGCTACCCGCACGTGCACAACATGGCTGACGCGGGCTACATTCTCGCCGGCCCCATCGGCCGCGAGGTGCTCGGTGCCGCACAGGTCATCTTCATGACCTTCGTCTGTGGTTCGCACGTCCTCACAGGCCTCATCGCCTTTGACACCATCACTGCCGGCGCGTCGTGCTCCGTGCTCTGGGCGGGCGTCTCAGCCATCATTTGTCTGGTGCTCACTATACCACGCACGCTCAATGGCATCTCGTACCTCAGCGTCGCGTCCTTCATCTCCATTATGGCCGCCATTCTCATTACTATGATTGGCGTCGGCATCATTGGACACCAGGCGCCCGTCAAGGTGACTTCCAACCTCAACTTCGCACAGGGCTTCTTGGCCGTGACAGACATCGTGAGTACCGCATGCAGTCGTATTTATTGAGGCACGCACTGAGTGTGATTCGCAGATCTTTGCGTACGCGGGCCACGTTGCGTTCTTCACCTTCATCGCCGAGATGAAGGAGCCGCAGGACTTCCCCAAGGCCCTGTACGCGCTCCAAATCGCGGATACGACGCTCTACCTCGTTGTCGGCGTCGTCGTCTACGCATTTACTGGTGACAAGGCCGTGTCGCCCGCGCTCGGCAACACGGGCACGCTCCTCCGCAAGGTCGCCTATGGCATCGCCCTGCCCACGATCATGATCGCGGGCGTCATCAACGGGCACGTCTGTGCCAAGCTCGTCTTCGTCCGGATGTAAGCAAACCGCTCTCTCCCTTTTCCTCCCTTGAAGGTCGCAACTGACGCGGTTGCCCGTAGCTTCCGCCGGAACGGCGTGCACTCGAAGCACATGACGTCGCACTCGTTCGTCGGCTGGGCGACGTGGCTCGCGATCTGCCTCGTGATCTGGACGCTCGCGTTCGTGATCGCGGAGGTGATCCCGTTCTTCAACGACCTGCTCAGCGTCATCTCCGCGCTCTTCGCGAGCTGGTTCACGTACGGCATCTCGGGCATCTTCTGGTTCCACCTCACGCCCAAGGCGGACCGCTGGACGACCCCGCGGCAGAAGGCCAAGACCGTCTTCTGGGCCCTCGTCGTCCTCTCCGGAGTCTTCATCATGATCGCCGGGCTGTATTCGAGCATTTGGAGCATCATCCAGGGTGAGTCGTCTTTTTGTGTCTTCGCGCTTATATTGGTTGGATGGTTTTCGCTGATGGTGCTTTGCAGGCTACGAAAATGGCACCTTCCCCTCGCCCTTCAGCTGCACCAGCCGGGCACTGTAAATGTGTTCTGCGGCAAGCTTTTTCACGACTCTCAATCGCAAGTCTGCACCACGACGATACCCTATTCCATCCCGCCCTCGCACAAAATACGTCTGTTCCATGGCTTCACGTTGGGAATGCGCATGTATATATGCAGGCGCATGGGTGTAAACCATAACATGTAACACTAATATACCATAATCTTCCCCTGTAGTTCTATGTGTAATCTGGGTATACCTGAGTGTATCGTATAATCTATTCAGACAACAAGCTGTTGTGACTACGAGATAGAGATGAGATGGATAGGTGTGAATCCGAGTGTGACATAATATGGATGAAAGCGTGTGAAAATGGGTAACAGCAGAGTGGCAGGAGAATGTCTGGTGTGAGGAGTAGGAATTGTAGTATGGAAGCGATCCATAAGGCCATGGGGGACATCGATGAAAGAAAAGAAAAATGACGACAGTAAAATATCGTGCGGGAGTCCGATGTTGAAGTTACAGTGCAATTTCCAGAATTCAAGAGATAAGAGCAGCCAATTCACGAGACATCAAAACCGAAAGCAAAGACACAAACGTGGGCCACAGAGGAACGCTCCGTTGTGCGCCGCTCGTCGTCCCAATGCTGGGACTGCTCTGCTGAGCCGCCTTGCGCGCTGTCTGCCGTGCATCGTTGAGCGCGCCGAACTCGGCCGCCGCGGCTGTCGCGTTTGTCGTCTGCCGCACAATCCTTAGCCAAGGCTCCCACTTTATCGGAGAAAATAACAAAGAAAAGATAAAAGGAAAGACACTCACGCTGAGCAGCTGCATGTACGGCGGGCCGTCGTCCTGGCGCGTCCAGTTCCCGAAGTAGTACAGCGCGTATGCGTTCCGGAGGAACGTGTCGCCGAGTATCGCGTCTGGGAGGTCCCCATTCCCGATCAGCAACTCATATATGCGCGCGCGCACACACGCACGGGAGGAATGAGCCACGCACCGACGTTGTTCGGCGAGAGGTAGCTGAACGCGCTGACACAGACGCTCGTGTCTGCGTCTGCGCGCTGCTCCTCGCCCGCTGCAGGGACGACAACGGCGTCGATCGGGTGAATCGGGAACAGCTGCCCGCTGTGTGTGTACGGGCAGGTCAGGCGCGGGGCAGAGGGGAGGCGGGAAAGAGGGGGAGGGGGGACGCACCCGATGATAACGCTGATGTTCGTCAGCGTGGCGCACGGAAGAGTGTACTGGCAGCAGCCGTCGAACTCGGCGCCGGGCAGGTCGCGGTACATCGCGTCGACGACCTCGGCAGGTGCGAGCGCTGTGCGGTGCATGGCATGTATGCCGTGTCAGCCTAGGGGGGAAGGTTACGAGTGGACGGCGGAGGGCGGCGCACCGCGGGCTGTGCCTGTGTCGAAGAGCGTGAGCATCTGCGGAGGGCCGTTCGGGAGTCTGCCAGAGGAGCCGTCAGCACGGGTCATCGTTTGTTTCGACTCCTGGTGGGACAGACAGACGTTTTGCTGGTGTCTGTCAACGTGCGGCCGTTGACGACGAAACCGTCTATGACGGTCGCCCAGGCATCGCTGAGGAGCACGGGCAGCTGTTCTGTATCTTGAATGCCCGGCCATTCGTCCGATACCTCGCCTGCAATTGTCATGAATGAGCACTGGCCAGAAGCATTTTAAAGGGAACGCATGCCCACCGACTGTTAGAACGCCCCCCGCAGTGTCATCGTATAACGATGCTCGGGATAGTAGGAAGGTCATGTAGTTGTCGACGTCTGGATAGATGTCAAATAGCTGGGCTCGGCACTCGCCTGTGAGGTTAGTTGCAAAGCAGTATGCAATAGAACCTCACGTTGTTCATCAGCGGGCTGTCGTTTATCTGAGGGTCATCGGACAGGCTCGCCACTATGCTACTTGAACTGGACGCAGGTCTTCACAATCTTCTCAGTTTGCTCTTTCATAACATAGCCAGAGAGAACGTACGCGCCGAGGCCTACAAGTGCAGTGATGTTGGTGCCCTCTGTCGCATTCGTGCCTATGGCGTCGACTGACGGAAGAGTCAGCGATGGAGCTCATCCTGATCTACATGGGGCTCTTACTCATGGCCTGGCCAAATATGGTGAAGTTGCCAAAGGTAACATCTACGACAAGGATGAGACCGCCTGCGCAAGTGGTATCACTAGACAGCCAATAATGAACATGTCTGTTGCCGCCAAGTGAAAAGGAACTCGCAGGTAGCAACTCGTCGCGTTGAAGCCTGTGTTTGTGGCGTTGGCGAACGACGCATTGTTTTGAACCAAGGAGCTATCGACCCAAAAGTCGGAGCTGCCGGTGTCTAACTGTGCCTGTACATTTATTAATCTTTCATCAATACAATACCACACACATTAATGGGCTCACGGTAAAATTGGCTCCTTGGACAATAATCTCTGCTGCGTAGACGTTGTTGTTCAAATTTTGGAACCCGAACGGATCGCCTACGTCGTAGACAGCTGCGACACGCGAGCGCGGTGCTGGAGAAGTGGCGACCCTCCGGAATGGGATATTAACCGCAGCGGCGTGCCAGACGCAGGCGGCGAGCAGTGCGCCCGCAGCGCAGGAAGGTCCCATGTAGCCTGCACACGGCCGCCGTTCAGCAGACTTCTGGAAGTGCGGTTGTGGACAAGAGCGAACCTGGAGGGATGCCGCGAAGAAAATCCGCACACGCACTGCGCACCGTTCCCACTGGCATCGCTTCTCTGTGCATCGTATATGAGCAGCCGCAGGGCGTCTCGACTAGTTCGGGTTCTTCTGTTCTGTTCTGTGATTGACAGAGAACCATACGAGATAACAACGCGGCTGGAGCTTCACGACGTTGCTCTCTTTGTGCGCGCGACCGATCTTCTGGACTGCGCAGGCTGCGGGCCTGGACTGGAAGAGGCCCGCAAGAGGCCCGACGTTCGCAGCTGGCCAAAGCTCTCCGTCATGGCAACTCGCACTGGCCAGTTTCCCGACACTCGTTACTGCGCATGGCGCCGTTGTGGCCCAGGTACGCACGAGTCGCTTGATGCAACAGGCACGGTTGCAATGTGTTCACGTTGCCTGTCGGCAGTGCGCAAGCACGGAAGATTTCGATGTGTCATCGTGAGAAGATACGCACGTACTCGCTTCCGCCGAGCACGTTCGAACTCAAACCAAATGTACCTCTGGCTTCTCCTGAGAACCCGGGCTGCTAATGTTAGTCGCACTGCAATGAGCAGCTCATTATGGGATTATTTCCACTACCTTCGATGACTCTTGTCTTCTACAAGGCCGCTTGAGTTTGCATTTAGATGGCGGGTTCAATGCACACCGTGGAGTCAGCGTTCCATTAGAGCACAAGACGAGCATGGTTCAGAATAGAACATACAATATCGAGCGGAAAAGGACAAATCATGAGAATGGTGTACATAGACATATCTTATAAACAGAACTTGCTAGAATTATCGCGATGGTGAATTCACAAAAGTCGGGGAGCGATCTTCACGCTCTCCGTCGAGTTCCTCCTTCTCGACCTTGCGGGCTTGAGCGAAGAACAGGCGGGCGTCACGGTCCGAGACGTTGTGTATGACATACATGTTTCCTGCAGTATAGGATAAGGAACAGTTGTGGCCAGGGTAATACTCTCAACTTACCTCGCGGCACATAAAACATACCCCCAGTGGTGATGATAAAGCTCGTGCGGTGAATGGTGACTTTGACGCCACCCTCGATGACGTAGAATATCTAGCCAAGCATTAGTATATGGCTACACTTGTAGACGGATAGGGCACTTACAAAGCTGTTGTCCTTGGTGCTCTTCGTGGGTTTCGACCCATTAGGGGGGATGAGAAGCTGTCCAGCAGCCAGGAAAGATCCATCGCTGAACATCTTCTGGAACTTGAAGTTGGCGTTGGCGGCGTCTCTAAGACTAACCATCTTCGTCGTGAAGGCAACACCTGCAAACGGATCAGCTTATTGTCGGAGTGGAATGGAAGAGCGCACTCACGAGCCTCGATTTCCTGCTGCGTAACATAGTCGATAGCGGTGGCGATGGGGTTGGTCTCGTCGTCCCAGCCCTCTTCTGGATTCCAGAAAATCGGCAGCTCGTCTTCTTCCGCAGGCTTGCCCTTGCTAGGAGGCTTGCGTCGGCGCTTGTGCTTGGCTCCGAGAGGCTGCGTTTCCTCCTTCGGTATCCGGCGGATCTCCTTGATGGTCGGGACGAGCTGCTGCCCAGATTCGCGGCGACCATAGACGACCTTCTCGCAGCGCCACCAATCCAAGGGTTTGTAGCGCATGCGTTTGCCACGCCGCAAACCGTCTTCGTCAACGTTGGAGTCGTGTACGACTGAAAAACTTGAGTATATGCGTCATTACGAGCAGGAAGGCCGAACATACTTTCGGTAAGGATATCCTGTTTCTTGCGCGCTCTACCCCTCTTGGGCTTGGGAGAAGGCGGATTTTCGTCGTTCTCTTTACGAGCCTTCTTCTTTGTACGTCCCTTTTCGGTGCTATCGTCCTCCTCCCGGCGTCGAACCTCGCCCCTCGGCAATTCCATTGCTTCATCCTGCGCCATCTCGTCGAAGTCATCCTCCGGCTGGTGGTCTATCTCGTCCAGGCCTTGAGCAATCTCATCTTCCATCTCCTGATCTTCTCGTGCCTCCGGTTCCTCTGAGATTACCCGTTTCCTGCCCTTTGCCTTTGCTTGCTCCCCACTCATACGCCTCTCGACCTCTTCCTCCTCCTCTTCCTGATTGTTACCCGCCTGCATCTCCTCATCCCGCTGCTCCCGCTCCTCCTCTTGTCCCTCCTCCTCCCGACTGATCCGTGCGAAACTTTTTCGCGTGCTGGCCAGCGACTGCTTGCGCGGCGCAACGGGCGTGCGTTCAGGGTCCGACTCGAGATCAGAGGCAGGGAGCCTGTCGTCGTCGTATCCACCTCCGAACGACGGCGCATCGAAGCCCCCCGGCTCCGAGCCCTCGTCATCAAAGTCGTCTGCACGACGCGACCGCGCGAGGTGCGAGGGCCCGGCGGACAGCGCGAAGCCGAGCGACGTGCGCCGCGCGAGCCCGGGGGAGCTGTACCGCGGCGAGGGCACCTTGTCGAAGTCGACGTCTGAAAGTCGTGCCACGGGCCGCGTGGCAGAGCCGACGCGCTGCACGCTCGACGTGATGTTCGCAACGCGGGCGTGGGCGAAGTAGGTGGCAGGGCTGTTCGGGTTGCCTGCATACAGGGCAATTTTCAGTTAGAGGATGACTTGATTGCGGGTGCACTCACTGTCGACGAGCTCCATGGACACCTCCCCTTCGTCGTCGTCCTCTTCTCGCACGACCGGCGGGGCCTTCGGGCGGCGTCGCTTGCCCTGCACCTTGGGCTTTGGCGGCGTGCGGAGGTCCGCCTGGCCCATGAGCTTCTCGAACGGCTCAAAGCCGTCCGAGTCGTGCTCGATGATTCCGACTGCAAGGCCGGTGCGCTTCCCGTGCTCGAGGTCGTCGGCACGGTAGGGGATATATTTCTGCGGGCCACGACGGTTCAGGCCCATGCTACTCTTTCTTGCAGATGCCGGCATGTCTTCGAATCTCTCTTGAGGGGAGCACGCTTGCTTGGTCGGCGGTGATTGTTGTACGAGAGGATCAGGGAGTCGGGACGTCGCCCCTCACGGCGAACGGTTCAGAGCAGAGATACTGTAGGTCACGTGAGGCGATTACGCGACGGCGGACGCATCTCGCATAGGCTAGGGCGTCTATCTTGCCGGATGCGGCAAGAGGCAGACCTCCGGCGTCGAAGCGAAACCTGGACAACTTGCTCTTGGGCTGATGCGGTCATGGCCAACGGTACTCAGACGTTCCTTTGCGCATTATCACAATAATGTAAATAAGCTAGAGCCAATCAAGGGCAGCCGCGGTGAGTGCTATACGCTCAGACCGTTTTCTCGAGATTTACCGCCTCTGTCTAGTGGCGGTCGGCATGTCCGGCGGTGTAGACTCTTCCGTAGTCGCTAAGCTGCTGAGCGAGAAAGTGAGCTGAACTTAAGTGTTGTGCTGTATGTTACTTACAGAGCCATTAGGACTACGACCTCTCCGCAATATTCATGCGCAACTGGGACGCTCGTGACGAGTCTGGTACGGACGAGGGCTGCGAGTGGAAGAAGGACTGGCATGACGTTCAGCGTGTCTGCAAGATGCTGGACATTCCTTGTAAACTGGTTATTGCTGTCTGGTTGTTTTGGTATCTCTCGTGCTTACTTTTCTGCCAGGTGGATCTCTCCAAAGAATATTGGAACCGCGTCTTCCAACCATCTCTTGCCTTGTGGGAAGCGGGTGCTACACCTAACCCAGATATCTGGTGCAATAAGTGAATCTTACAAAGTAGGGTACGGACTGTATGCTGACAAATGCTTAGAGAGGTCAAATTCGGTGCACTTATGCAACATTTGACATCGGAGGATACCTGGCTTGCTACAGGTAACCGTGCATACCTCACGTTTGTGTACCCTTGAGCTCACGTGACACTTGTAGGCCATTATGCACGGAAAGGTTGGGACATGGAGCAGTCATCTCCGCGACCTAAGCTCCTGCGCCCGCTTGACCGGCTAAAGGACCAGACATACTATCTATCGGCGATTCCAGAGAGTAGTCTAGGGAGAACTCTGTTCCCGCTTGCACAGTATACGAAGGATCAAGTCAAGCAAATGGCACGCGACTGGAAGCTGCCTACAGCAGAAAGGCCGGAGAGCATGGGCATCTGTTTCGTTGGCGAAAAGCGCCGCTTTGACACTTTCATATGTGCATACCTTGCAGTCTCGCTCTTACTTGCTGTCATTGACTATTGGGTGCAGCTCAGTATATTCCGCCGAAACCTGGACCCATTGTTGACCTCGATGGTAACACGCTTGGAAAACATCAGGGCCTGTGGCAGTTTACTCTTGGTCAAAACGCGCGCATCCCTGGATTACGTGAAAAAATGTTTGTATGCGACAAGGATCCGGAGTGGAACGAAATACTTGTTGTGCCGGGAAGGTAAGGCTCGGTCGTGAAACTGAGGTTCGAGGATGCGGCTCATTCAGATCTTGTAGTGACCATAAGGAGATGTACAGCACGGGTCTCGTGGCTTGTGACTGGCAGTGGATCTGGGCGGATTCACCCCCGGAAGGCCTTCGTTCCCCTGACGGTCTCAGAGCTAGAATGCAGTTCCGACATCGCATGCTGGACATACCATGCACTGTTTTCGGGTAGGTCTTCTCGTTATGGCATTTCAAGAAACTGCACTCAGGTATCGAACAGGACGCCGGAACAGAATACTGTCCGCATAATATATGATGAGCCACAAAAGGTAGTTCCTGCAGGACAAGTAGCGGCCGTGTGGGTTGACGATTGGTGTCTTGGTTGTGGTGTTATCGAGCGGACGTTACGTCGATAGCAGGTCATGTTTCGAGAATATATACTCATTTTTTTGGATGCCGCTATCGCCGAATAACTACCAATGCGTTTCTGGATGGACTTTTCGGAGGAAATATAATCGTGACAATAGATACAGAATGGTGGAGATCGAATGTGGGGTTGATTGAGTTGACGGTACGGCTGGACCGAGATGAAGCAGTGATGAGGCAGACTGACGGGATGAGCGTCCGGCGTCGCGCTCTTGACCTGGATCGTCGCACTCTCTTCTCGCTCTGTGCTCGCCTGCACGCTCTCTAGCCCTCGGTCACACTACCGTCTGGATCGAGCAATCCGCTCGTCCTAATCTATGTTCTGGAGGTATTTCCCTCGTCCATGTCCCCGCCCCTTCACGCTCAACGCCTGCTCGGGGTAGGTTCGGATTCCATAATGGTTCCTCAATCGACAGCCTGCTCGACAAGGAAGACGTCTCGCTCGAGGCAATACTTGATGAAGACGAGCTCATACAAGAGTGCAAGGCCCAAAACACAAGGCTGATTGACTATTTTCAGCGGGTAGACGTCCTTCAACGTTTGCTGGGCTATGTTTCTGGACGGATAGAGGGCGAGGATGAGAGGACTCGAGAAAAGTGCGTCATAGATCCCCCGCTCAAGGTTCTAATATTCTGATAAGATCGTATGTACCCTACAGATACCCGTACATCGCTACCGAAGTGCTCTGCAGTGACATATGGTCTATAGTGGAGACCTGCCTCTCGCGGTCGGGCCAGCTCCTGAACCCCTTCTGGGAAACTGTCCTGGATCAGCCTTCCGAAGCATTCAAAGAGCCTAACCAGATGGCCTTGGCTTCGTTTTTCGCCAAGGTCAACGCTGTCTTCCTGAACAAAAAGTCAGCAGAGGTGAATTGTATCCCTTGCGCTCTTCCCCGCACGCGGATATGAATACCGCACATGCCCTAGATGCTTGCCTTTATCCAAGCGCAGCCGAACATCGTCGAACGTCTGCTTCGCCACATCGAAACGCCCGCGTTCGCGGACCTGCTCGTGCGCATCATCCAACTGGACGAAGTGCCGTCGTGTGCGGGAGTCCTTGAAGTATGTGCTCAATTCTCTCCGTCACGCTTCTCTCCGAGCTTCTCTTACCTCGGGGCGCGCAGTGGCTTTCGAAGGAGAACCTGATGTCGCGCTTGCTCGACATGCTCTCGCCCGACCATAGTCGAGATAAGCACGCAGTAGTCGCCGAGCTAATCAAGGGCATCATTTCCATGGCTGCACCATCGCCCGCTCCCGGCCTGGGTGACGGCCCCGGCACTGGCATCGCCTCCAACAAGTTCGCCCGTGAACTCGCGAGCCCTGCCAGTGTGGCGAAGCTGGTGGGCTACATCTTGACTGATTACAAGCCGCCAGCTCAAGACCCCGCAAGCGCGCCGCCACAGGCAGCCGTCGCCCCCGAGGAAGAGAAGTTGCCGAACCAGGAGTCTACTTCGTCGTCTGTGGTCCAGTCGATATGCATTATAATCGAGCTAATTCGGCAAAACAATTCGGACTACTTCGAGCCGTATCTCTTTCACACGCTGCGGAACAGGCTTATACAGGTCCAGCAGCACCTCCAGATGCACACGCAGGATGGCCGGGACGCCCTAGAACGCGCAATGATGGATATGGTCAACCGCATGGGCGTCGTTCACCTCGGTCCAGTACTAGAGACGATGTGTGACAAGCTAGACGAGCTGCAGAGATATCTCCGGAATCCCAGATCCCAGGTATGTGATTTTATCCTCATGCTATTCCCTTCGTATTAACTGCCAGGTACATTCGCTTTGTTATTGGACTCCAGAATGGACCCGTGGTGACGACGGTAGGCGCGCTGGCCCCGCTAACATTCGAGCGGTACCGGATATGTGAATTGTACGCGGAGCTGCTACACTGTTCGAACATGTCTCTCCTGAACCGGCCGTCAGAGTTCGACCACCTGTACGACTCAGAAGGCAGATTACAGGGCGGTCTCTCTGCCCTAGAAGAGCTCGCACAAGTCATTGCAATCGGCTCCGGTGGCGACGACGAGGCTGACGATATTGACGAAGAAGAAGAGATGGAACCTGCGCACGAGTTTCCTGTGTCGGCAGCACATTCATCGTCTATCGACTCGGACGACGACATGAGCGATGACGAACCTGGCAGTTCAGACGACGAAGCTATGGAGGAGATTGCCATGTATGAGGAACCCCGCTCAGGAGACAGTTCTACGGGCTTGCCTGTGACGCCGCTGGAACGTTTTCCCTCTGCAACACTCTCGTCGTCTCCGATGCAATCCCCAACGTTGGACCCGAGTTCACTAACGACGCCACGCCGACATGATTCGACTGACTCGGATACGACATTAACACGACAAAGATCGAGGGATTCAAGGCGGAGTAGTCGGAGATCTCTAGTTGAGAGGGAGTCAACAGCTAAGGGCCCGCCTGTTTTGGGCGAGCGGTTGAAGCAGCGGTTTCTCGATGTCAACGTGGCATCCACCTTGCTCGTGCGTAGTCTGCCGTATACAGATATCGATCGGGCAAATCTGATTTTGCATAGGATCTCTTCTTTGAGTTCCCGTGGAATAATTTCGTCCACAGTGTCGTGTACGATTTTATACACCAGATCCTGACTGGCCGCATTGACACTGGCTACAATCGGGAGCTGACAATATCATTATTCCGCGACGCACGATTAATGCAACGCATCATAGAGGGCTCGAAACGGAACGATATAGAAAGGTAGGTGTCTATCCGTCTTCCCGCTGAGCCGCTCACTCATCTTTGTTCCTCAGCTCAAGACCGAAGGGCGTGCGCCTAGGGTACATGGGCCACTTGACGCTCATCTCGGAAGATGTGATCGGCGCGCTCGAGCACTTCCCTCCAGACCTGCGCCTGACCGTCGCACAGCACGCGCCCCAGCCGGACTGGGATGAGTACGTGAGCGGGCGGTACCGCGAGACGAAGAAGAAGGACACGAGCCTGCTTGGCGGCGGCAAGCCCGTCGTCGCGCCCGGAATGCGCACCGCTGCGGGCACGTGGAAGGTCGACGAGGCGGACGCCGGCGGCGCCGCGACCAGCATGCCGCACGAGCAACAGGGGGAGCCGCAGGGCGATCAGGGCGAGCTTCGCAGGAACGTGCGGACTGCAAGAGAGGGCAGCGCGGACTATGGGCACCCGATGGAAGAGGATGAGGACGAGTTTCACGCTGGTCCTCCACATGTGAGCGATTTATGCGACTGGATGCCACGTCATGCTGATGCAAACTAGTTTGCGCATTACCTCGCCCAGGAAATGCAGTCGGGTGCGCATTTGTCTGCTGATGGCGACACCTCGGACGACGAAGAGGACGACAGTGGATGGCTCGCCCATTCGACATTCGAGCTGCGTCCACCGCCTGTACAAGCCCGACAGCACAACGGTAACCGGAGACCGTTGAGCGAAAGCGGTTTCGATGTAAGCTGTATCCTCGAGAGCATGTATGAATACGAACTCAAGCATAACATTCAGGATTCGTTCGCGCCTTCATCGTCATCAAGTGTAGGACCGTTCGCAGACCCATTTGAAGATGTAAGCATTGCCTAGTGACTCACAATTCCAGTCTCACTCAGATTATGCAGGACGCCTTTGGCCCCTTCTCAGACGCAGCGGCCGCGAGCGGCTCAGACCCGTTCACCTTTCCGCCCACGCTCTCAGCGGATCTGAGCGAGGACGCGACGTTCGACAGCTACGGCGACTTCGGCGACTTCCAGACCGCCGCCGGCGGGTCGATGGAGGGCTCGGGGAATCTGACGCCGACGGCAGACAGCTGGAGCTTCGCGAGCATCTCGAGCACGGGGTCCGAGGAAGGGAGCGTGCGCCTGAGCTCGAGCCCGCAGGACAAGGAAACACGGACTGCGTAGTGTGTCTTTCTACCCAGATGCCGGAGGCGACGATGTAACTGTACGAGGTCCTGCGCGGTGTGTGTGTGTGTGTACATAGTTGTAGCTGTCGTTAATAGTAGTACAAGCACTGTATGCGATGCGTATCCGAGCGAGGTATCAAGTGTACCGGGTTCGGCGTATCGACTTGCCCCGTGGTTATCGCACTATGCGTGCTTAGGACGAGGTCTGGTAGTGGTATCCGCCCGCCCTGTCGACGGCGCCGAAGCTGAGCTTCGCGAGCTCCTTGCCGCTGGGATCGGACAGCAGGCATTCAACTTCGTCACCGGCTTTGACGGCACCGATGCCGGAGGGTGTGCCAGTCAAAATCAAATCTCCTTCCTACAGGACGTGTCAGATTGGAGCGGTAATCTACGGTGTAACACACCTCGAGGGCCATGATGGACGAGATGTGCTCGATGAGCCTGGGGATGGGGAAGATCATGTCCTTCGTGTTGCCATCCTGCTTGACCGCGCCATTAATCTGTTACGGCAGACCAGGCACATTACATCGGCTGTACAATAAGCTCCTACGCGCGCGGACTTGCCTTCAACGAGAGGTTGAGGTTCTGGGCATCAGCGACCTCGGAGCGCGGCACGAAGGAGCTATTCGGTCACGGTGGGTCAGCCCAGCAAGGCACAAACTATTGCCAAGGGAGTGTAGCACATACCTCACGGGCGTGAACGTGTCGAAGCCCTTGACGGCGCTCCATGGAAGGCCCTTCTTCTTAACCTCGTCTTGGAGGTTTCGCGCGGTCATGTCGACGGCGAGGGCTGGGCAGGGGTCAATGGCGCCGTCGATGCAGCTCGGATCATGTTTCGCTCACCATAACCCGCGATGTAAGAGTCCGCATCGGCTTGAGTGATGTCCCGGCCGTGCTTGCCGATGACCAGGCCAAGCTCGACTGCAGAAAATTTATTAGCGGCAGAATCGTGGAAAGTGATGAAACGAAAGCATGCCTTCATGGTGTGCGATAATTCCGCGCGGGATCTCGACCTTGCCACCCGAGGGTAGATAGCTAGTTGTCGGCTTCAGGAAGAAGAAGGGCTCCTTCGGGATGGCGTTGTTGAGCTCTTTGACGTGGTCGGCGTAGTTGCGACCGATGGCAACGATCTAGAGGCATTTAGGAAGGCTACAACCGCTACTATATACTTTTCTGCAGACCTTCTTGCCTTGCCTGAGGAATGCTGCAGCGGCCATGTTTACGCGTAGGAACGAACCTTGCCGAAACTGCCGCGGGGTGTGATGCGTGAGCGTCCGAAGAAATGATGCGCTTGATGCGCCCTTCCTGATATAGCGAGAAGTGAGCGTTCTCTTCTAATGCTTCCGAATCCCGCGGTCGGCGGCTCGTGAGGGTGTACAACTTGCTCAGTCGTCCGCCGTCGCAGCTTCAAGCTCGAGCGCGCATACTAAACGTAAGACACCCAATATCGCATAGGACAGCCAGTGACGAATTTGTCTTCCAGGACCGGAGGCCGTGACGCAGTTACCGGCCCAACAGTCTGCCTGTTCACAAGCTTAAGGACTGTGGTTGAAACCGGGAGAATACTGAAGTCCGAGCCCTTCAAGTCGCTGTATCGGGGTTTCCTCCTTTGCACAAGGAAATGAAACAAGGGGACCTCCGTCACGTGGCGACAGCCCGTGTTTGATGATGATAGCAGTCAAGACTCGCAGATGCACGTACCAAGGAAAAACGGAGGCCCACCGCCAAGGCGCCGCGTGCCGTGGGTACAGTCTGCGGTGGGGCAAGAGAAGCTACAGATATGTGTTCCGCGCCCGGCACCTTCAGTCTTGGCGATCTCCCCTGGACCAGAGCGTCCAAACGCCTGGGCACGGTGCCACCTGCATGAGAGCGTCCTTGCACTTCCTGCGACCATCGTAACCACCCTACCGTGGGCCTGGCCAGGGTCGAGCACCCCGTGTGCCCAAGTCTCAGAAGGCAACAAAGCTACTCCGAACGCGGAGCTGGGACGGCTTCGCGTGCTGTGTCCTAGCATTCCCTGATCGAGTGGACTTGGCCTGCCAAGAGATGTTTGTGCCGCGTCTCTTGGCGGCGAAGTTCTCTTCGCCTTCTGTCATCACCGCGCAAATGATCATGGCGTTCTTCACACATATATGCCCGGACAGCCCGTGTCTCCTAGTCCAAGCTGTCCTGTGTCCTTGCCTACACAGCAGCATAACACACCATGTCGATGCTACCGTCCATCCTCTTTCTGCTCGTTGCAGACTACATCCTGGCCATTCAGGCGCTACCCTTGCTCCCAAGGTATGTACTCCATTCTTGTTGCGTCGAACGTGCATCCCACTGACACTGAAGCAGACAGCTTGCGGATAACACCACTGGTGCTCCTGAGGATGACCCAGACGATGGACAGCTGGGTAACCAATGGGTAATTGTCATCGTCGTGGTCATAGGTGCGTCCCCTTCCGACATTCCCATTAGACCACTAGACTCGACACTGACGCTCAGAGCAGTCGTCGTCGTCCTAGGGGTTGTTGCCACCATGGTCTGGGTACGGCTGCGCCGCAAGCGCAGAAGCCGAGAGGCAGCACATACCAGGATCCGTTCGTCGTCCCCTTACAATTGCATACGGCAAACCCGACAGGAGTCTGCCTCTGTCAGTGTAAAATCCACTCCCCCGTCTGAACCCGTAACCACGGTGCGTTTCGTCCAGTCCAGGCATCTGTCTAATGTATGCATAGCTAAAGACTTCCACACTGACAGCCGCTCCCTGCGTTGACCTACCAACGGCTACACGACTCGTCAACCTCCTCGCTCGTGGGAAGCCGCCGATGAAAGCTTCCATCTTACGAATCCTTCATGACGCCGTCTTGTACTTGTGATCAGGTATGGTCATCAAATGACATCCACTGGCCGTTCTAACAGCTGTCCCACAGAGATATCTTTATGTAATATCTGTTGTACATCGTGTATTGCAACGCATATCTTCGCTCTCCTGCACATTTTCTCGCCGTGTGAACGTTAACACGGCACTATCCATAAGTGTCTATTATCACCGTTCGTCGCTTGTGCGTGCGGACTCCGCAGCGTTAAGTCCACGAAGAGGTCATCGGAATAGGTAAGCACCGAACTTTTGATACAGACAGGGTCTTCCCAGCAGACGTTCTGCTTGATGCTCAATTCCGGGGTACAGAAGATAAACAAGGTATGGTACATGCCATATGGAGACAATAGCCCGTCGGCGATAGAGCAAAAAATATAATCCGGTATAAGGGCGGAGTAGCAGAAATGACGGATGTCAACGGTTAGGCGTTGGGTAGGGCGTGAAGGCAGGTGAATGCGCAGAAGTCCAAAAAAGAGGGGCGGCAGCCTACGTCTTCATCGAGTACGCTGCGCGGAGCTTCGGGTGCAGGAGCTGCTCGTGCAGGGCCTTGCCGGCGGGGACCATCGGGAAGACGTGCTCGGTCGACGAGATGAGACACTCCATGAGCACGGGCTTGTCCGTCGGATGCTCGAGGAACTCCTTCATCTTCGCCGGCAGCTCCTCCTTGTTGTGCACCCGGATCGCGTGCACGCCCATCGACTTGGCGAGCGCAATGAAGTCGGGATTGACCATGCGCGTGTGCGCGTATCTTTGGTCATAGAACAGGTCTGCGAGCAGATGATCAGCAAAAGAATGCTTTTCCACCCAAAAAGTGTACCGTACCTTGCCACTGCTGCACCATACCCTGGAACTCGTTGTTGAGGACGATGACCTTAACGCCGATGTTGTGCTGCGATGCAGTCTGAAGCTCCATCGCAGTCATGCTGAACGAAGCATCACCATCGATATCAACGACGGTCTTCTCTGGCGCGCCGACTTTAGCGCCGATAGCAGCTGGCAGGCCGAAGCCCATGGTCTGCAAACATAGAATCAGCACAGATTCATGGGTAAAAGCGCCGCGAATAGACTTACACCCAAGCCACCGGAAGTGACCATCGTGCGTGGATACCTCCACCGGTAGTGCTGCGCCGCCCACATCTGGTGCTGGCCGACACCAGTCGTGACGATGACATCCTCTTTCCGATCCGCCGTCTGTCGGTCGAGTTCCTCGATGACCTCCTGCGGCTTCATGACCGCGCCCTGTTTGCTCGGCTCGTACGTGAACGGGTACTTGGCTTTCCACTCCTTGATGTCTGCGAACCACCCCGCGCGCGGCGCGTGCTTGATGAGTGGCACGAGGGACGCGAGGTTCGTCACGACGTCGCCCATGACCGGGATCTGCGCGTCGACGATCTTGTTGATGTTCTTAGGCATGATCTCGAAGTGGATGATACCTCCGCGGCGCTGCGCCGCAGCTGCCTTCGCGGCGGGCGCGAACGCGTCGACCTTGCCCGTGACGCGGTCGTCAAAGCGCGCTCCAAGCGCGATGATCACGTCCGCTTGCTGCATCGCGAGGTTCGCGTACGCCGAGCCGTGCATGCCGAGCATATGCAAGCTCATCTCGTCGAGCTCGTCGAAGGCACCGAGGCCCTGGAGCGTTGTTGTGACAGGGATGTTGCCCTCCTTAGCGAGGGCCCTCAGAAGTTCGGGGCCCATCGACGAGGAGAGAACACCGTTACCGGCATAAATGATAGGACGCTCCGCTCTGTTGATCATGTCCGCCGCCTGCTTGATCATGATGAGGTCGGTGGGCGACTGACTATTTGAGAGCAGGGGGTTGGTGGGGAGGCCGAGGGGCGTGCCAGGCGTGGTAGCCTTGTGCGGCAGGGGCGTCCTCAGGACACCGGCCGTGACATCTTTCGGCAAATCAACAAGGACGGGACCTGGTCGACCAGACGTCGCAATCTTGAACGCTTCGTTGATGCGACGCGGGAGCTCGGAAATGTCCTTGACCATGACATTCCACTTTGTGCATGCGCGCGAAATTCCGACGATGTCTGCTTCCTGGAAGGAGTCGGAGCCGATGAGGGAGGTAGCGACCTGACCAGTAAAGACGACGAGAGGAACGCCGTCACTGAGGGCGTCTTGCATCGGCGTAATGACGTTTGTTGCGCCAGGTCCTGAGGTGACGAGGACCACACCCGGCTTGCCAGTTACACGGGCGTAGCCCTCGGCCATATGCCCTGCGCCTTGCTCATGCCGAGGAAGGACGAACTCGAACTGTGGTGAGTTATAAATGGCGTCAAAGACGGGCAGGATGGCGCCTCCGGGGTATCCAAAAACGTGCTTGACTCCATGGCGAACCATCATCTCGTGGAAGATCTGTCCTCCCGACATGCCAACAAACGAGTGATCCAGGGGCCCTGCCGAGCTGGGCCCAAGGTCGGGAAGAGGGTAAGGAACGTTATTTCTCGTAGGCAGCTGCTGGAAGCCTGGAGCCGGATTTGGCCTCCTGAAAGAGTCAATGAGTATTATTCAATCGTGGGAAGTCTGGCCATCCGTCGCTGGAAGACGCTTTTGTATATTGGTCGGCTTTTCAAGGCAAAACCGCCTCGTGTCAAGCGACCGCTCTGAACATTGTACAAGGCGAACAAGCGAGCGCGCGATGACCTGGCTTCATGGGACTCAGGAGAGGACTCACACAGACGGAGCAGCAACAGCATCGCGGGCTGTAGTTTGGCTGATATTCCTGACATGTTCCCGTACTCTTGACTTGGCCTCGATCATCGAGACACTGGAGCTGGTCGCCACAGTAGAGCGGGCCCTCGCGAAGGGGACGGCCATGTTGGTTTTCGTTGCGCCAGAGATGCGCATTTTGGCTGCGGAGAGGGACATTTTGGAGGTACTCTGGGGCAGCGGCCAGGAGCAGGTCGAGGAGGATGGGAAAGAGGAGAACTCGATGTGAGTCAGGCAAGGTTCTACACTTAAAATTACTAGACGCCCACGAGTCATGCGAGCTCCACGTCCTCGGCATTTTCCGACGACGTACCGAGATGTCTCGAATGCACCCTATGCAGCCGGGGCTATGATTCTAAGGAAGTACAACATACTTGAAATAATTGACCCGTATGTTGTAATAATTTTCAAGAGCCTACAAGGCCTTACGGACGGTGAATTCCAAAGCGTAACCTTAACTGCCGCCCATAGAAGGTCTCACTTACATTGGGCGTCTAGTGTTGGAAGCGCAGCTTGCCAAATGGCTCAAAATCTTTCAGCAGCAAAAGTCCATGATCTTCAGTCGTCAGCGAATTTCTCCCTGTATCCGCCGCTGTGGATAGGGAACTCTAGAGAGAGACTCACACAGGTCATATACAAGCTGCCCAAGACACCCACCCCTTTGGTTCGGTACATCAACACAGAGCTTTGGTACGCCGCCTCCGTCTTCTGCTCCCGATTCGTATATAACTTCTGAGAGCTGACGCGGGAGCGTGGGCGTAGAGAAGGCCAATCTCCCTTTCGCGACATACCCCGCCATCCTGTGCAATGATCTCCCCAGACGTATCTCCAGATGCGCCACTACAAGCGCAGCCGGCCATCGGACTTATCGGTATGGGTGCTATGGGGAGCATGTACGCGAAATGTCTCTCTGCGGCGGGTTGGAAAAAGTAAGTGACTCATTGCGCTTTGGTAAGAAAGGCACCGCCATAGCTTATTCGAATCATGCAGAATCTACGTCTGTGATCTTCCAAGCAAGTACGAGACACTGCAGGAGGCATGGAAGGGTACGCTCTGTCCTGCCTTTGTGGCGTATGTAGAATTGAAGCGCACGAACAGACAATGCGAGTGTCACTGTACTGAAGGATGGTCACCTAGTCGCTCGCATCGCAGACTGGATAATGTACTCGGTGGAGGCCGAGTACATTGAGCGAGTAGTCGCGGAATACGGCCCATGTCTGTTCGCTCCTCCCTGACGTTGTTTCTTTGCTGAAATATCCCAGCTACGAAGGTCGGCGCAATTGTCGCGGGGCAGACATCAGTAAAAGCCCCTGAAAAGGCTGCGTTCGAGAAGCACCTGCCGGAGGATGTGCACATCGTATCGTGTCACTCGCTACACGGACCAACGGTGTCGCCATTGGGTCAGCCCTTAGTATGCTATCTGATTTGTAGCAATATTTCTGCCACTGACACAACCTAGGTCTTGATCAAACACCGTGGGCCCGACGACGCGTTGCGCCTTGTCGAGTCCATTCTGAGGCCGCTCCAGTCACGCTACGTGTACATGTCCTACGTGGAGCATGATATCGTGACAGCAAACACCCAAGCGGTCACACATGCTGCGTTCCTGAGGTAAGCAGACATACTCCGAGGACTTCCCGCCATTCCACCGGCTAACTTCCAGATAGCATGGGATCGGCATGGGCGGGCGAACAAACCTACCCCTGGGAACATGGCTACTATGTGAAAGGTATCGAGACCGTCAAGGTCAACATCATGCACCGGATCTACTCGAACAAATGGCACGTTTATGCCGGACTGGCCATCTTGAACCCGTCTGCAACCATTCAGATCGACCAGTATGCGCGGAGCACGACCGAGATCTTCAAGCTGATGCTCGCGGCAGACGACGTGGGCCTCAGAAAGCGGCTCTACGACGCGCGCGACACCGTCTTCGGCAAAAACGGCACCGACGTCAGGCGGAAGCGCATCCTGCTCTCCGAAGACATCCTCGACAAGTTCAGCCTGGGCAAGCGTCCGCCCACGGATACCGCGCTGTCGCCGATCGAGGGCCGTGCACCGCCAAACTCGCACCTCTCTCTGCTCGCCATGGTGGACTGCTGGGCGCGCCTGGGCATCCAGCCCTTTGTGCACCTCGAGCTCGCCGCGACGCCCATCTTCCGCCTCTGGATCGGCGTCGCGGAGTACCTCTTCCGCTCGCAGGAGCGCCTGGACGCCGCGATCTTCGCCGCGCTGTACGACACCTCGCATCGGTCGAACGACATGGAGTTCGTCATCGCTGCGCGCGGGTGGAGCCAGTGCATCTCGTTCGGCAGCTTTGAGTTGTACAAGCAGCGCTTCCAAGAGACGGCGCAGTTCTTCCAGTCGCAGTTCGAGGACGCGACGAAAATCGGCTCGGCGATGATTCAGGCCATCATGGAGAGCTCGAAGGACGCATAGCGCGGAGTCTGTGTCGGGGTGTGTACTGAGCCACTCATGTAGCTCAATAAAAATATTGTTGTTTCGAATTCAAGGTGTAACAAAAAGACAGACTGGCCCTTTACTCGATGGTATGGACCGATACAAGCGTTGTTGGACCATGGTTTCACACATTTCCCAAGAGAAACTACATGTTGGACGGAGAGTTAACTGAATGCTGCAGTCGACAGCTTCTTGACGGTGAGCCCCAACCATTCCTCGGTCCGTTCCAGATCGGCAGGAATGAACTTGACCTCGGAACGAGCGAGACTGGGTGAGAAGAACTTCGCAAATGGCGAGTGTTAGTGTACGTCGATGTACATCAGCCGGCCCAGACCCCCATCAGGGTGCTCGCGCTACTAGCGCTTGACCGGCTCCCTCGTCGTCTTGAAGGAAGCTGAGCTGCGAATTGCCGCCGACAACCAGCTCAATAACGGGGAAGAGAAAGCGCCGGGCCATCTCCAGATAGAACCGCGTTCGCGGAGGGATTCCTGGAGGAAAAGTTGGCACGCCCTTTGACGACGGCCCAGAGGGCGCCATCCTCCCATCCTACAATGTCCGGTGATGCTCAAAATGCATCCAGCGCAGCGACCATGAGGTGCTGCTGAAGGTGCTTGAATAAGCTACGAAACTCGTCTGCCAGTTCGCTCGGGAGCAGAGTAGGTGCCCTGTCTCCGCGGGGCTCTTACTAGCCCCTACATCGCCTTGCGCCAAGACGTGATTCTCAATCTGTATAACATTACACATCCACCTGTGTTCAGGCTAATGTGCCCGCTGGCATTCGGGACTCTGGAGAGTACACGCGCCATTCATGAGCGAACTCGCACGAGCGACACGCGAAGGATGGACTTACACAGTCAAAAGCGACTTTGCACTTGGCGCACATACTATACATTCTCGTGTCCCGACGAGGTTTTCGGCCTGTGAGCGGCGAACAACCGATCGTGTGAGTGTGCGTGCCGCTGTCTCGGACTCTAGCGTACTTGCATCCTGAGTCGTGACTGTGGCACGAATCAGGACCACGTCTGATTGCACGACCGTCTGCGAGTTCCCCGTTCATGCCTGCAGCGCAATGAGACTCAAGGGCAAAAGGTTTGATCGTCTGTCGCTGTGCGCTGCCTTCGAGTTGAGGGACTCTGACAAGAGCTCGAACCGCGACTCAAACGACAACACCTGAAATGCGCACTTGAGTTTTATTGCGTGTTCTCCGCCTACGAACAGGGTTCTTCCGTGCGCCCCGCAGAGCCTATTTGGGTGCCTACGTCGACCTCAATCGTAGCGCCACAAGGACCCTGCGGCATAACGCTACTTATGTCCGGATTCGCGATTGTAGCACAAATTAAGACAACAAAAAATGCAGCGTAGTAAGCTCTGGAGTCGAGGGACGGGATATTTGGGGAGAAATCCATACTGACATTTGTCGCTGGACGCTGCCCAGAAACGGGAGCCAGCCAGAATGTAAACGCGAGCCACACTGCTCAGGTTCTTTCACGCAGGCGGCCCAAAATCTATGACGTAAGAACGAACAGCTGAAGCTTGATTTGCGTGCTGTAACTACCACGTACAAAAACTACGATACACAACATGATACACATAGCAAAAATCGCGACAGTCTATTTCCATGCCTCTGTCGACAACTTTTCAACCGCTGTCTCCAGCCATGTAATAGGGTTGACACCGAGCAACCGCTCGGAGGCAGCGGTGCAAGGCGAAAACATCTGAGGATACGGCCCTTGTATAGCGCCTACTTCGCTCCCGCAGACGGTCCATGTTACAATACAGCCATGCCCTCGCCCTCGACGCCTCGCTTCAGCGAGCCAAACCGGTTTCTCGGCAAGGAAATTCTCAGATTCCGGGAGCTCTTCGACGACGGACTCGAGTATTTGAAGGTCCACGCGGTGCCCCCGGTCGAGGTAGAACCGCGACCACGAAGGAGCGTTCGGTGGGAACTCTTTGCGCCTGCGAAAACAGAAGAGGATAGCATCCTCTTCCCACCCTACAATCCTCGGGTCATTTGGTCCCGCACGATACATCTCGACCGACGCTAACAAGATGTGCGGCTTGAAATGTTTGATGAAGTCGCGATACTCTTCGGTGACTTGGCTTGGGAGAAGTACGGGGCGGCCGACGGAAGAGGCCCTCCGTCTGGCTTCGGCATCCCCCCTTAGGATAGTAGCGCGCTCTGACTGGATGCACTTGCACTGCGCTCGGTGCGCGGGCCAATGCGCTCGCTGGCATGCACGGCTCTGCCCCAACCTATATAAGCTAATCCCCGACGAAGCCGGGGGAACTCACGCAGTACAAAATCACCCCACACCCTGCACAGTTGAACATCTTCGTTTCCCTTCGGGACATGGAACCTGATGGTTAAGAGCTGGTAAGTGCGCGTTAACTCCTGTACCGGAATGACACTCACATTCAGGATTGTAGCAGCTGTCATGCGCAAGCCGAGCCTCTCGGCTGTCTACTGGCAGAAACGTCGGCTTCTCCTCCTCCTCCTGGCCCCCAGGAAGAGAGTTGAGACCAAGCTGTGCGAACGTGATAACCGTAACTGATTACATTATAAGTGTTGCGTCTAACCCACGGCTTAGACGGAGCGGAACCAAACGAACCACGAGCGGAAGACGTCCCCCTCACGTTCTGTCTGCTTGGTCCGTCCATCTCTTCGTTATTGTCGCTGCAGTAGCTGACGAGGTTACTTTCAGAGTCTTGAGGCAAGATAGGCTCGTCATGCTTTCATCTATATCGATATCACGTGAGAGCTCAGTCACGCACTGGCGGAGATAACGCTTTGAAGAAAGCTCAAATGAGAACTCATTGCCGGATTCTGCGTGAGCAGAATGATACGTTCCGATCACAGCATTGTGCCGCTTTTCCCTGTTCCTCTCGCCGTCATAATTTTGAGGACTACACGAGCGGTAAAGGCAAGTGTGACAGAGTCACAGCGTCAGACGGCTGCATTCACACGCTTGTCACACTCCGTCACATACGAGCTTATTTTACGTAATATAACCGTAGTCAACCGGACCTTATCATGTTCATGATTTGTCAACAACCACCGAGCTACTTATCCGCCATGTAGCCGTCTGAATGGGAGCATTGAAATGAGAGGCACTACACATCCAGCTGAGCCTAAAGCAGAGATGTATTACAGTGAGAGCAGTATGATTCCGAGATGAGAGCAGGAGAGCGGCCGATATAGAATAAAAGACAGGATGAGAGATTGAGTAGGCCTAAATTGCGCGTGTAGATAGAATGAACGAGCGAAAAAGATGAGCAACCAAGAGAAAATCCAGGTTCACCACCAGCACCTGTAAACGAGAGCAATGACGAGAAAAGAGATCCATCCAATGTGTTACGCATTATTGTTTCCTGGCAGGGGCATACATAGTGTGTGGACGTGCCTGGCCGTGCCCCTGTTGCTGGCTCGCGGACTCAGCGGTGTTGGGATACAGCATGCTATGCGGCCGCGTAGCAGCTGCGCCGCCGGGCACGGACGGGAAGGAGTCGAGGTCGAAGACGTCTCCCGACGCACCGGACGCCACCGACACCGGCCGCTCGTAGATCTGTGTTGGGAGCGGCGGTACCGGCGGGTGAGGCATCAGCAGCAATGGTGACGACGGTTCAGAAGCACCCTGGTGCACACCCTGTTCTAATCAACTTGAGTAAGCAATCTGCGGACGGCTGACCAACACTGGCACGTACCGTCGATGGTCGAGTTACTCTTGTTCTTGCCTTTGAAGAACCAAGAACTGGCACGACCAAAGCCTTTCTTCGAACCCTTCAATGACTTGCTAGAGCTCTTCACAGAGCTCGCATCGTTGTCACGGAAATGAGACCGTGGAGAAGACGGCATGGCTACGAAGACAGAGGATTCAGCGGACTCAGCTTCAGAGTACACGCTTTGTGGGATGCTCTGCTTGCGCTCGCGGAGCGACGAAAAGCGGTGGACCTCCTTCTGCGGAGGTGACGATTCTGGTACCGAAGTAGTCTGGGAACGCACATGTACGGAAGGTTGCTGTAACGACCGGCCAGCAAAGTAGGAGATGTCGGGGGTGATGGGTGTGTAAGATGGTGGCGGCGATTGGGGTTGGGGAGTAGCGACGATAACGTCCGGTTGAGTATGAAAAACATTTTGTGGAAGGGAAGGCGGACCCGATGTCGGCTCTGGCACTTCGGGAATAGCGGGTTGAACATTCACGGTGGGAGCTGGGACAGGGGCCTGCCTTTTCGCTGTCGGCGTAGACAGAGCCTCTTCCAGGAGTGCCGCGTCGGCCATCAGTGAGGCGAGATCACTGAGACTAGGTGACGTAGGTTCTGCAGGGACGGTAGCACGAGCTCTCGGAGTAGCGGGAGTACTGGGTGGAGGATATGTTGGTTTCGGAGGTGCGGGAGAGGACGCAGGCATCGAAGGCGCGGGTTCTGAGATGGACGTCTCGCGAACCTTGCGGTGCACAGTCGCATGAAACGAGGATCTCTGGGTCGTCCTGCGCTCTGGCGTCGCAGTTTCCGTGGTAGTGACCGGTGGTGGTGGAGACGCTGAGGAAAGAGTGGATGCAGGGACGATCGTTGCGCGTGTGATAGTCGGTGACACAAGCTTCGGTGGCTCTGACACGATCTTCGCCTCCAATGCACTGCCAACGCTCATTTCGGAGATGACACTTTGGCGCACAGCCACGGAATTTCGCGGCGCAGACACAGAAATAGGCGAGGCCGTCTCGGGTGTAGCAGGCATAACGGTCGGGGCCTGGGGCGGGTCCCGGACAAATGACCTCTTCGCATCATCTGCAGTCGGGGCGGGAGTCGTAAAGGATGCGCCTGTGCTTGGAGTCGGTACCGATTCCGAGCTAGCAGTCGTGTCACCGAGCACAGACGAGTTGTCCAATTCGGTATTCACGATAAGGCTTTCAGTCGATGTAGAAACAACTTCCGGAGCAGCCGATGAATTTTGCCGAGGACGTGTAGCCGCGGGTTTTTCAACCACTTGCGGAGGAGTAAGAGGAGAAGATTTGTTATCGACTATGGCTGGCTGCGGGACATCATTCGCTGGCTCGCTCTTCGGTGTCTCACCAGCCTTGGAGCCTTCGGGCGCAACGCCAGCCAATTTTCCAGCAGTGAGATCTTCAGGTTGTGCCGGCGCATCAGCAACTCCCGCTATCAGCTTCTTCTCTTCTAGCGGAGATCGTTCGGCATTCGTAATCGAGTCCGTGCGAGGTCCAATGTCAGAGACGACACGACGTGCAGCCGGCAGTCCAGAGGTCGGCGCACTGAGCCCTGCCAGCGCAGGCACCGGCGGCACCTCTTCGGGGCTTGCAGATCGTGCAGACGCACTCGAGGTCGACACCGTGCGCTTCCTGGTGAGCAACGCCGCGTCCGTCGGCTTCGCGAGCTCGGGCACCCGATTCCCGTAAAGCTCTCCCTTCTTCTTCGTCGAACCGTCCCCGACTGGCAGCGCGGCAGCATCGAACCGGCCCCGCGGGGTGGGCACGGCGCCTTTGCGCTCGAAATTCGCGATCTTGTCCTTCAGGCTGCTCACGCGGCCGCCGCCCGCTGCCACAGGCGCATACGGGCTCGGTTCAGCCGTTGCGGGGTTCGTCGGTGACACGCTTCGCTGCTGTAGCGCGGCGATGCGGTCTTTGAGGTTGCCTGGCGGCACGGCAGGCTTGGTCGTCGCCCTGGAACGCACAAAGTGAGTCGGTTGCCGCAGCTATGGAAGCGGTCGCTTCGGACACCTACATGGTATGGAATGGGAAATGAACGTCAAAAAAGAGGTGAAGACGGCGACCGCGGGCGACCAGCGACTGCGAAGGTCAGCACGTCGAGGCAACGCAACCACAGCTGGCGGAGGTGGTGGTAAGAGACAGAAATGAAGAGATGATGAGCGGAACTTGCCACTGTTGGCCGGCCTTTGCAAGAAGCGCCCGTCTCGGGTGTACGGTTAAATCACTCGGACGTCCGCTAGCTCGCAGATGTACATATAGCCCCACGGGCCTAGAAGACGGACAGCGTACTGCACACACATGTATACATTGCACACAACACGCCCAAGAGTGGCAGGGCCGTGCCACAAACTCTATCATTGCGAACACACCATGTGTAGCGCACAATGACACCGCACAACTTACACGTCAACGCCTTTAGACAGCCAGTACGACCTCGTCCGTTCAGCCTGCTCAGATTTGCTCGGCGAGAGCAAGACGTCGTACTCCTCCTCCTCCTTCCCTGTCTCCGAACCAGAACCCGCGGCGTGCACCACCACACTGCCGCTCTTCCGACGCCGCTCGCGATCCTCATCCTCGTCTTCCGATTCGTCGTCGTCGTCCGTGGTGTAGACCGTGTGCGCGTCGATCTCGGACCCTACCCGTCTGCGCTTTTTCGGCGGCTGACGCTTGTCGATGCCGTACCTGCTCTCTTCGACCTCGGGCTCCGCGTCCCGCCCGTGCGTGGTGTCGTTCTCCGCGTCCGCGTGTTCCCATGCCGACGACTGCACGCTCTGCTTCGCGGCGCGTGTTTGACCCGTGGTCGCCGCAGGTGTGTCGGAGGGCCTAAAACGGACCTCGGGTGCCGGATCGATCCCAAGCATTCGGTGAAGCACCTTCGAGTCGTGAAGTTCTTGCACGAGCAAACGGTGGTTTATGGTCTGTGACAGGTATGAGCAAGAGCTCACCAGGCACGCAGACGAAAACTGACCTCTTGGGTGACACCCATGACGCTGGCCAAGATGCTCATGTCCTCTGGATCCTTATGGCTCGAGAGCCGGACATAGTGGCCTTCCCGACGTGCATTGATATAACTTGCATGCACGTATGCTGCCGCGGTCATGATGCTATGCGCTCCTGCAAGCGTCGTGCGAACCTTGACGATTCCAAAGGAACCCCTAGAGATATCATTGGCTAGAACGACGGCATCACATCTCAACAATCGTGTGAACAGGGCGGGAAGACACTCACAAGGATCGCCCGGGTCTTCTATCGAGAGCAGGAACGGCGACTTGTAATCTGCCCAACCACGTTGCGCCTTGTTGTAGTACGAGCCGCCGTCCCGGACAGATATGCCGACTTCGCGATAGTTGAAGTAGCATCCGTAGAGTTCGAAGAACTCCATGACAAGCACTCCTAGATTTTTCGATGAGTCGATCTCGCCCCTGCGAATCTTGGGATGCATCTGGAGGAAGCTGATGGCCAGGCACACGATGCTGTAGCTGCCCAGCCCACCAGTGAAGACCTCGTTCATGCTCCGCTGGCTCAAGAACGATTTCGTAATGAGAACCAGGGCCTGAAGGGCGGGTATGTGATCCAGGAAGCGCTTGATCATCGTGCCGGCCTTGACACCGTTCATCTGGTTGAGGCTGATGTCGACAGAGAAACGACCGTGGCGGGTGACGAACTTGATGATAGGCACCTTGGCCTTCGCGATAATGGTGACTTTATCTGTGATGCCAGCTCGCTTCATAGTCGTTGCGAGAGCCTGCAACACGTTCACTTTGTTATTATACGCCATGGAGTCCGACTCTATCACGAGGTCGATATCGCTATTTATGCCTGAGAAAATGTGATAGCTGAACACATCGGGAGTACTCACCCTAGTGGCAGGTATAGCTTGGTCTCATAACTGCCAAACGGCAGCACTCGCGCGTCGGGAAAGGCCTTCGTCACAGCTCGTGAGATTGATTCGACTATGAGCGACCTTATCTCGTCTTCCTCTTGAGTAGGAGATATATATTTGACAAAGGCTTCCACCTCTTTATGCAGCCTGCGAGCCGCTGTGAGCACGATAAGATCCATGTAGCATCCGACGTACACAGGTAACGCACATCTCTGCAACGTTGTTGCACCGGTCCCAGTCTACATGTGCCGCCCAGGGTGCACGCTTCGAGACTGCTGCATCTACCGGTCGTCTCCTGCCAGTGCTCCCGTCATCTACTTCGTCGTGTTTTCGTTTGCGCCCCGAGCCCTCAGAGTCTCTCGCCTTGCCCTTGCCCTTGTCCCACTCCCGAGGCCCGACCTCTTCCTTCTCCGAGTCATCTTCCTCATTGTCATCCGAGAATGTGAACGCGACGAAGTCCTCTCCACCAAACGTGGCGTTCGCGGCGTTCTGTCTCGTTGCACCATTAGCCGTGCTCGGGCCAGCTTCCGCGGCGAACTCTATGGCGTTAGAGTTCGACGGCCCCGTTTCAGCGTCGCGCTTCCGTTTGTGCTCGTTCGATCTGCGCGACTTGCTCTTTCCTTTCGATACGCTCCCGGATCTCGAGGACGGTGAATTGTCCATGCGTTCTGTCTGTGCTTTTGGGGAGCCGACCATATCGAAGCCGTTGAGTGAGGAAGGAAAACAGGATTATTCCAGGGCTCCAGTTACAGCAGTTGTGTGATAACGCGCAAGGAGCGAAGATAGACTGGAGCAGGTCGCGGCTGCAGGGCAAGATTTTGCATAGCGGGCGCCTATCACTCTCCCAACAATTCGTCCCGATCACAAGTCTCTATTAGGCATGTCCAGTAGTGTCCGGGGGCAGAAAGACCTGTAGCGACTTGGTGACCGTCAGCGACGGCCAACTTCGCAATACGCTGTGTATTTCAGAGAGACTTACATTGTACATAGCATCTCGGTCACTCCGAACCAGGGAGTGTAATGCGGTGCAGATATTTGGCCCTGGATCCCGTAGCAACAGAGCCTTGCTCTTCCTCAAGTCTCTGGCCAATTTCCAGCTCCTCTTCTTCCTTTCCCTCAACAATATCGTAGCCCCTCAGTCTATGAATATCTCCTGAATCTTGTTCGAGCACAGGACCCGCTCCTTCCCACACCATGTTCCACCGCCCGCCGGTCACCGTTTCAGCATCGCTCTCGGCCCCCGCATGCCCACGCAGCGACACCTCCCAGGTCATCCGCTGCACTCCGACAGGCATCGTCTCAAAGTCGATGCCGAGATGGAAAAACTCCCTGACGGCAAGGATGGACGCAGCCCTTCGCAGCAGCTCCTGGTTTGGTTCCGACGCGATCCACACGTTGTGCGCGGGGACATCCTTCCACCCAGAGACGAGGTAGACGTGCGTAGGCGAGACCGTGTCTCTGAAGAACATGAGCGGATAGCCCGACCATGACGCTTGCTGCCTCCCTACGTCAGCCAGGAACGACTGGATCGGCGCAGAGTCAACTGCGTATGGCGGCAGTGCTTCGAGGACGGCGAACTCGGTGACTGGCATAGCCTTGAAACAGCGTTGCGGAGGGAGATACCGAATGGATGACGAGAAGCCGCTACATACGGAATTTATAACTGGGCTTTTGGGACGCGTCATCGTCCTGAGATCACCGAAGCTGATACAATTTATTACGAGTCCATGTTTCCATAAGGAAACGATTACATCGGAGATATGAGTGAAATAGCGTAGCAACGGCGGTAACAGTATAAGACGCTGTCCGTTCAGAACTGTCTGGCAATGAGTTTTTTGGCGGAGCTGCACGGCATGTGGTGCTCACCCTGATCTGGTACGATCCACTGGCCTTCGTAAGGTAACGCACCCACTTGATACTGTTGTAGTTGCCCTTCTCGAAAACCTTCAAGAACCGCACAATAAGACCAGATGCTGTGAACATCAGGACCTGGAAGTCGACGTCTATGGGCGGCCGGGCCCACACTTGTCGATTTGTTGTGCTCGTCAACTGGGCGAGTCCCGAGAACGTCACCTCAGCGCCTCCTTGTATGCGCGGAATCCTGAGAAAAGAGCTCAGCGGCAGCCTGTCAACCTCTCGAAAGCTTGACTTACTTCCAGACGACAACGTTCTCTGCTGGAACATATTTCGCCTTGCCGCTGGGAACCTTGCAATCCACGTCCGTCGTGTTGAGCGGTGTCGGTATCCGCAAGACAACGTTCGTCGCCGAAAGCTTATTGTTAAAGTTTGTCTTCACCGTCACGACGAAGGACACCTGCGATGTCCCGATCTCGTTGACTGTCGGGATGACGCGCAAGGGTAATTTGACGTTTGACGTCGAGCGATACCTGCAGCGCAACTCCATCAGGGTTCAAGGCACGGATACATCGGCGAGGGTGTGCGCACTTCATCAGCTCGAACTCGCCATCAGGAGGGATGAAACTGATGGTGCGCGTCGAGTCGAACTCGTCGAGCCGGACGCACTGGTGGAACCGACAGTCGTCGAGCTCGACGGCGTCGCTCGTCCCGTGCTCGGACTTGTCAATGACCAGCTTGTCGTTGAGCCCGAACTTACACTCGGGCGTGCCGGACAGGTACGCTCGCATCAGGATGTGGCCGTCGACGTCTGCGCGGAGCACGGTGCCTGGACAACACGGCATCAGCACAGCGAGCGCGGTGATCGGCCGGTGAGGACGGACCTTTCGCGCTCATACTCAGGTTCACTGTCTCGACGACGTCCACAAACGCCTCGTTCTTCTTGTACTTGACATCAGCGCGCCGCCAGCTGGTTGCTCCCGTTGCTTGGGTAGTGATCTTCGACGACTCTTCCTGGAAGAGTATCAGCACAGCACGGGGATGGCAGCCGTGTGATGACGCACCACAGCGGCCGCAGTCGACATGATACTCTCCGTTGTGATGTATGTCTTGAGCGTATCAATCTCACTATTCTGAGGGTAGCCAAAGTCGATGATCTCTGCATGTGCAGATTGAACAACGAATGGCCTCGGATGCCGTGGAATGACACTCACCATCAATCAGCTCGTAGATAAGCACGAAGTTGTTCTTCACTGCCTCCTCGTCCACCTTCCCGAAGTAGGACTTGGCGATGGAGATGAAGCGGTAGCAATACTCGAACACGAGCGCAGCGTTCGCGTTACACCTTGCAAAGACAACACAGCGCATCACTGAGCAAGCCAGTGCTGTGAGATGGAGTACGACTCACTTGGTAACGGCGACGATGTACAAGTTATTCAGCCTCACATGGAAGAAGCTGGTCGATCCGAGCGTGACAATGGGCGAGCGTACATCGCTGTTCGACACAACTTGTATCCGGAAGACATCAGCTATAGAGCGCCTTTGATATCAGGCACATAGAGTCAATGACGGTCTGGACGGTGAAAGGATAGTGAGCCGCGTACTTGAGGTCTGTCCGATACAGCCTTGAGATGAGTACCTGTCCTACGTCAGCTTGGCCTCATCTGCGACGACTTTGCAACCGACGTACCTCGCCCTTCTGGTTGAATATAAAGAAAGCCTACGCCTCACATTCGTCACTGCCGTCTGTCGCTGTGCTGGAGAAATGTGCGCGTACCGAAATCATCCCAGCGGGTCGAGGTCAAGACGCAACAGGTAAGCGCCCATAGTCTCTGCCGCCGATCCCATCAAATCGCCTCAAGAGCCTCGAGGCCCGTTCCCGCGAACTCAGACCCAGACTCATATGTCGCCCGCAGCACCTGGTAGAAAATCCGGCGAGTTCGCCGTCGACAAAGCGGCCAGCTGAATTTATTCGCTCTTTTTTCCAAGAATCGAGCCGAGGCTGTAACAATACGTGAAGGAGCACTTTTGTCCTCTGCGTTTTACGGAGTCAGACGACCGGGAAACATCAATACCTATGATCGTGGAGATACTCTGCAAGCTCAGTAGCGAAACGGCATATATATTCATCCGCAGGTTGGGATGCACAGGCAACGGGTGATGTGCCGCCCCGCGACAAACTGATTCCCTCACACACACATTCAGACTTGCCCCAGACTCGCTCGTTCTCCCCACTTGACCTTCGACGGAAGTCTCCCCATGTATCCACCACGCGCTCTCTCCCTTCTAGAGGTCTATTGCTCCACGACGAATGCCTCTAGGCAGCGTCTATTCGACCACCGCCAACGGCTTCCGGCGGGTTCGCCTACTCTTCTGGCCATGGGACTGCCCCGGTGCTCGCGCTTCCTGCTCCCATGATCTCTCCTCTTCTTGCGGCAGAATACTTCTCGGCAGACACATCGCTGTCGAACGGCGTCCACAGTCAGTCTCGCAGCTTCGACGAGGGTCATGCCGCGGCGATATCACGGCCGTTCATCGGGCATGCCGTACTGGAGTCTGGCATTTATCGTATAAGAATGTGGCAGTTGGTACGGTCTGCGGCATTGGTCGCAAATGGCCTTCATGCTGTGGAGCGCGCTTTGTCTCCTGTCGGCCGCTGTGGCGGCCCAAGGGAAGCTTTCTTGGAACACCACAGAATTTCTTTTCACGTTCGGAGACTCTTACACTACCGATGGGTTCAATATATCTGCTGGCGTTAACTCGCCCAACCCAGGATTTGTGAGTATCTCAGGTCCCCTTATGGAATGGCTCCCTAGCCAGGCCAGCTCAACCAACGCCTACTGTCATAGACATCCTCCAACGGGCCAAATTGGGTCGAATTTCTCGGTGAGAAGTAATCAAAATTACTCAGGACCATCTCTGACAAAACCACAGGTGGGACGTACAACGTTACTAACACCAAGGTCCGTCGCCTGTCAGGCGCGCCACACGGCTAAAGCTGACGGGCAAGCTCTCATGGCGCTAGGTATTCAACCTTGCTTCCGGAGGAGCGACTATCGACGCGGCACTTGTAGCTCCCTATCTTCCTACGGTTCTGTGAGTCCAGCGTAAACCTAGACAACCATTGCCATACGACGCTGAGATATTTTAGATCTATCGTCGACCAAGTCTCGCAATTCGAGACCCATCTTGCCGACAAACCGGAAGGTGCGCAATGGAGTAGCGACAACAGCTTGTTCGCGTTCTGGATTGGTATCAATGACGTTGTACGCGTTACGCCATCTACCTGCCCTGTATTTGCGTGTCTCACACCGGCTTCTTAAGGGTAACTCATACGCCTGGGTACGAGCATACATTCATTTCCGCTCGCCTCAATATACTACGTCTAATTTATTACTTCCGCCTTTAGACTAATGTGACATCGCAGAGCGAGTTCCATCACGTTCTTATGAGTCGTCTGTTCTCACAGGTCGTGTAGCCGACACCGCTGTATCTCCTACGTACACTGACGCCGTTTGGGCGCCTGACAGGTCGAGGAGCTGTACGACAGCGGTGCACGGTCCTTCCTGTTCCTCACCGTGCCTCCAACGAACCGTGCCCCTCTCATACTCGAGCAGGGCTCCACGGCGGTGTCCAAGATCTCCGCCGCGCTCGACGACTACAACGCGCAGCTCGCGGCCAACGTGCAGGCGTTCAGGGACGCGCACCGCGACCTCGATCAGGCGGCCGTCTTCGACGCGCGCCCGGTGTTCAACCTGCTCCTGGACAACGCGGACGCGCTCGGCTTCGTGAACGCGACTGGGTTCTGCGACGCCTATCAGAATGGGACGCCGGGGATGACCACGCAGGTAGCGCCCTGCGCCCCGGTCTCGAGTTACTTGTGAGCCTATTATTTATTTATTTTGATGCGTCACGGAAGCACTCTGGGGCTGAACCCTTGCTTGTCAGCTGGCTAAACACTCTACACCCGCTCTTCACGGTGCACAAGTAAGCCTTCCCCCTCCGCAAAGTCCCCGCTTGGGTTTATTGATAACCCCCATGATGTGCAGCATTCTCGCGCACGCCATCGCGACACAGCTCAGTGCTTGACGGGCTACGCTTTTGGGCGGGACGTGCCAGATGTGTACATGTAAAAACGGTCTCGGTTGCGTAATGCAGGCTGTGAGAAAGGCGTGTATGTGTGTGTTACGCGTATATACCGAAGCCAGCACAAGCGTAGAAGACGGTTACGTGAGCAGCAAGCGGTGTTTAATGAAAGCTCAGGGTCCCGAGCGAGCGGGGCCCCCCGGGGCTAAGGAAGAATTCGCCGTCTGTCGATCTCGCTGCCTCGAGGTTTTGATGCCGATGGGGCGTGGCGTTAGCGAGCTGGGTGTCCTCTTTCCGCGTCTTTGGCGTCTCGTGGCAACAGGCACTTTTTTGTTGTTGTTGTTGCTCGCAAACACATGGAAAGAAAGGCTGCAGGGCGGCTGCACTGGCCAGCCAAAACCTGAGTAGCCCCCTCCGCAGGGATGGAGTTCTCGGGGGTGACGCGACGTTGATAGCGGGAAGGCACGGTGAACATGCCTGCGCCAAGTGGCCGCCTGGTATTTGCTTTCCCCTGTCCCATTTAGCTCCTTCCAGCGTATTTACGGCAAGGCAGAGCGCGGGGAGTCACCCGCGGGTGTTCAGCTGCCCTCTGTCGGTGCCAAATCGAGATGAGGGAGCCACGGCTGGTTTATGTAACTAGACGCACTGCAAGACTGGGGACGGGCTGTTCCTTTGTCTCACCGGGGTTTTGCGGCTGCTCCGTCGGCCTGATTGCCTCGCGATTGAGTCGGCAAAGGGAGAAGACGAAGCCAGGACACGCTTGTACCGTCCTGCATCTGCTCCGCCCGGGCGCGGCGGGGCCGCCTACAAGGCACTTTCGAGTGCGAGGGCAGACTGCGCCGAAACCCCGACAGCCAGAGTCACCTGTCGTCTGCCTCCATATTGGTCGTCTCTGCGACCTGCGTGGCCGTCCAGACCGCAGCTCTGGGAAGCGAGATAACCTTGCTATCGTCCAGCAGCACTTGGCGGGGGTTTAACGCCGTCGTCCGTCGTCAGCCTGGCCTGTCTGGCAGATGGGGACGCGCAGGTCGCAGTCGTCAGGCTAACCTTCGCTGCCGCGTTGCTCGTGATATGGTTGCGGCATAACCAAATGCGAGATGGGATGGGCTCGTTGACGGTTCCTGATGACTGCGTTCGGAAAGCGTCGCCGGGAGCGATACATCGATGAGATACACACTAGGGTCCAAGGCACCGCCTCGTTAGATCGGTCCTGAGGGTACCGACAAGGTAAGCTTGCACTGTGGTGTGGCGCCATGGTTGCTACATACTGCCAGCACTGTGTACGCTGCTCCGATCTGGGGCCATCCGTAACGGCGCGTCTGAGGCCTAGTGCGGTGCGCAGTTGCTGTAGTTGACATGTACCTTTAGCGTAATCACAGGCGACGAGAACTGAAGGCTTACGGCACCGCACGAGACCTTTTTCGCTCGGACAGGCGTCGAATCGAGAAAGAGCCCCCCGAGGCGGCCCCAAGTCGTCTGACTTGCCCACAGGCTTCAAAGAAGGCCCAGCCGCAGCACAGCAGCACGTCTGGCTAGAAGGGGATCTGCGGCGCGCTCACCAGACCCTTTCCAGCACGGACTGTTCTCTTGCCGCCGCCGCCGCACAGAACGTGGTGATGATACCCGGCATGGCCGCGGGCCGAAGGCGAGACTTATGGCATCTCCCCAAGACTGAACGCAGAGAACCTAGTCACTCGCGCCTTTCCGCTGACCCGCGAGCATCTCGCTGGCAGCCGCTGTGCACCACATGGTGCTTGTCCACAGCCTTGTCCCCTCGGGTTTGGCTGGTGCGACCCGAGACACAGAGCCGTTTACTACAGCGGCGCGTCAGGGAAACAGGATCACCAAGGTGGGTGATGGCTCACTAAAGGGATTCGTGTGGCAGCCCCCGAGCTACGAGGTCGTAACGCAGGAGGAATGCCTAGGTGACGTAAGAAACAAATGCAGACGAGGCGCGTGTGTGCGGTGCGGGGCCGCGTTTTGTGGCCCTTGAAGGCGAACAAGGATGCCTCACGGTGTAACATATGCATATGGCCGAAGTGGGTCGGATTCGGCACGGACACCGCATGTGGGTTGCAGTGGACACGGAGATGCAGTCGCAGAACATCAGAGAGGGCGGGAGATACGCCCCAAGCTCCATCCGTCGATGGACGCGAGCTTCTGCAATATGCCCATTTTCATGAACGTCACGCAGCGGCATATGGACGATTGACGATAATCTGCGGCTGGGGCACTGAGCGTGTTCCCAGGCGAGTGAGTGGGAGCACCGCTGGACTGGTGTGTGGGCGGCGGAGCTTTGACGTCCGCGCTGCACTGTCCGGTCAGGATGCCGCGCCGTTAAATTTCGCTAAGGAACGGCCCTGGATGCGAGCTCATTGGAGTGGAAAAGAGAAACATGGAGAGATGGTGCAGCTGGGCAAGAACGCGGGTCGTGCTGGACACATGTCAGAGGGTCAGGTGAGATTGTTTTCTCTCTCTCTCTCTCTCTCTCTCTCTTTCTCTCGCTGACGTCCGGAAAGACCGATGACTTCTCCATCAGGAAAGAGTCACGATGGAGACCCTGGGCTGATGCAACGAAAGCACACCGCTCCGTGAGACCCGCTTTTTCACGAAAGGGATGTGTTTGTGCTTACGGAGACGGCTCGGGAGTGCGGGGATGTTTGGGAGCGACCTGGTAACGGCGACGTGGGCGCGGCAGGCGTGCGCAGGAGGAGAGGTCACGAGAGCCGAACAAGACGGCCATTGGGATTCTTTTTTTCGCGAGAATGGGAAGGGCTCCGCGTGGAGCTGGACAGTGAGTGTGAAGCTGTCAGCGAGCGGAGCCGGACGACGAGCACCATCAGGCACGAGCAGCCACTATCAGATTGCCGGTCGACGCGCAATATCCATTTTATTTTATTTTATTTACTAGTGCTGCGACCGCGGGCGAGGAGAGATCGGTGGGTGCGAGGCGCTGCGGCGATGGCCCCCGCGAGGCGATCTGCAGGGAACCACGTCAGTGGTGGAGGACGGAGCTGGAGGACGGAGAGGTAACACGGAGATATGCGCAGATAACAGCCGGGGTCGTCCCCTCGACGAGACCGACACGTCGCCAAACCACACGACGGTTCACCCGGCAGATGCCGCGTACGACTGCCTCCTCTAGCTGCGTCGCAGCTCCGCGAAAGAAAAATAGATAAATAATAGCCAAGCACAGAGAACGCCCTCAGCGTCTCGGATTCAAAACGAGGCAGTGGCTCGGTGCACCGCCCGCTGCCTCAGCTTCAATTCCCAGGGCATCACGGCCCAACAGGATCGCATCGCGATTTTGGCGCACAGGTACATCACGTCCTTTACGGTACATATTGGCGCGGTTTCAGTAGTGAGTTCGATATTTCATCTTATCACCTGCCTCTACATGCGAAACATAGGCGTCGTCGCCTTTTAGATCCTCGCAACCCTTACTCGGTCGGTCATGTCCACGAGACTAGCCCGCCCTCAGGCCCCAGAGATCCTTAAATCTCCTCCTCACCTCCTCCCTTGTCAATTCTTTCTCCTCCGCACTGTGCATGCCGACGTCCAAACCCCTCTCCTCGGCCTCCCCGCTCCTGTCAGATGGACAATGAGAGGCTTTCGCCGTCGCCCCCTCCCGGGCCCAGTCCGCCGGCTTATGCCTCCCACCACCCGTCCGAACTCGAAAGGCACGGCCCACACACCGCGGTGGCAGGTCCTCAGCCACTCCCGTCCTTGCCATCTATTCATCAGCTGCCACTCAACCTACCCTCTTCCAGTACAGGGCTCCATCGCCTCTCCATGGCCCCTCCACACCCCTACGCTCCTACCTACGAGTCTGCTTCGGGGTACAGTGCCGGTGAGCATTCTCGCGCCTCCCCCTTGCACTCCGCGCCCTTCATGCCTCTTCGTGTCTCAGCCCTCCCCATGAGATACCTAGACGATTCTGAGCACGACGGCGGTGACCCCGGCCCTCCAAAGAAGAAGCGTCGTCGCCAGGCACTCAGTTGCACAGGTAAACGTCGCCTTAAAATGCCCCTTGTCGACCGCTGACGCTCCGTGATCCTCCCACTCTTAGAATGCAAGAGACGCAAGATTAAATGCGACAGGTCCGGTGATTGTCCTATATCCGTCCTTCTCATTCTCACATACATCGCTTGTTCCGGCTCGCCCATACATTTTAGAGCTCAACCATGCGGGCCGTGTTCGCGTCGCGGAGAGCAAAATAAATGCCAGTGGCATATTATCGAGCCCATGTGAGTCTCTCCGTCGCGCCCATAACTCTATCCCGATCGTCGACTGACTTTTATGTCCTTCGGAGCAGGGAAAAGTACGTGACGCGCGCCGAGTACGATGACCTCAAAGCCAGATTTGACCACCTGGAAGCGAGCGTTGCACGGATCTTGCCCTCCTTCTCCGCTCCCCTTCACCCGGGTGCCGTATCGCCCACCATGCCACTGGCCTCAACCTCTGCCCCGGAGTCCGCGCAGCAGCAGCAGCAACAACACACTCCCGTCATCTCTCCCTATCGCACCCAAGGGCCCGCCGCTTCTCCCGGCTATCGCATAACGTCCCCGCAGGCCTCCGTCCGAGGCGAGCTGCCCTTCCCCGCAGCACCACCACCACCACCACCACCACCACCACCCTCCTCCTCCTCGGCGAGCCTGCCTCCGCGCAGCCCACAGACGCAGTACCGCATCGTGCCCCCGCCGTACGCCCAGCCCCGCGCGCCACCGCCCCGCGCGCCGTCGCCGGGCCCGCCGCTGAGCTCGAGCTCGCGCCTGCCCGACACGCGCCTCCCGCACCCGCGCCGCGCCTCGCTGTCGCTCGCGGCGATCACGACGCCGTACGTGCCCGCAGAGGGCGCCGGCAGCGGCGGCGGAGGTAGTAGCGGCGGCGGAGGTAGCGGAGGAGGTGGTGGCGGAGGAGGAGGAGGAGGAGGAGGAGGAGGAGGAGGAGGAGGAGGAGGCGGCGGCGCACCCACCGCCTACACAACATCCCCGGCGCCGCCAAAAAATCACCGAGCGCAGACGCCACCGCTGCTGGGCCAGCGTCTGCGCCAGGCGTCGGCACCACTCTCAGGCCCAGCCGCAGGACTCCGCCGCCACCGCCGCCGGCGCAGCAGCAGCAGCAGCACCACCAGCGCCAGCGCCAGCACCAGCACCAGCAGCACCAGCTTCAACAGCACCAGCAGCAGCACCAGCAACCGCTGTCGTATCGTCATGGCACCGGACAGAGCGAGGAATCCGAGGTGGTGCCGGATCTGCCCCCGTCGCCACACACGCCGCCTGCCGTGGGCGACGTGCCGGTGCCAAGGCCGCGACGATCCCCGTTCCCTCCTCGACCGCAGCACACTCGCTATCCTGGGCAGTCGTACCGCGACACTCGGCACGAGCAGCCATGACGGACCCGGCGTGTGTCCAGGACGGGGCGGCATGGGGGGGGGGGGGCCCTAGGGTTGTAATGTGACATGCATCCGAGGAATACACATGCCACAACGTGGCTAGCTCATCCGTATTTATTTCTCGCTGGCCCCCGCTCACCGTGCTGTGAAGAGCATGCGCGCTGGGTCGCGGGCTGGGATGTGCACATAGGGACTTCGCTGCTGCCATTTCTCATACCAGAAAGACACTACAATACTCATACACACCAAGTCAGGGCATCAAAAAGTTAGAAAAACACGTCGTGCATGCTACATCAAACTAGAGTGGTCGTGGAGTGGTAACCGACCGAAGCCAGGTAAGGCAGAGAGCTGGACACCGTTCGTCCCCATTCTAACCGAGACCAAGGGGCGCACTCTGTGCGCGAGACAGCGGACGGTTCATGCAGGGGAGGGGGCCGCAGGGTAGTGTGTCGCGGGTTGTCGTAATAGCGATGTGAGGTCAGCCGGCCATGCGGGCGTGCGTTGCGTGCAGCACAGCGCGGCGGCTGGGCTGCATGCGAGCAGCGTCCGCAGGCCGAACCTTTCTGGCAAGCCCGAAGCCGACCAATGTGGTTAGGCTTCCGCAGGGCGCGTCCCGAACCCGATTTCATCGAGGGAGGGTAGGGCCGCCCAGCGCGGCAAGCCGCTAGAAGACGGTAACGCCTGATTGGGTGCCGGTGTACTGTGATTTCATGTCGTCCATGTCGGTGCCGTCGTCCTGACTCTTATAGTCATATTGCGACAAGCTGCCCATGTCCGAGGCGCCTGCCACGGAAGAGAAAGATGTGCGGCGACGAAGACGATCGGACTGCGAATAGGCCACGGAAGAAGCGCGATCGGTGCCCACGGTGCTGCCGATGACGCTTGCTGTATCGTTCCCGTTCACACCGGCGTCTTGAGAGATGATGGAACTAGCGTAACTTCCATAGGTGCTGCGTTTGCCTCCGTTGGGTCGCTGCATACCGGGGCCGAAGGGCGTGCCTGCACCGAACATCGGCAACCCTGAGGAATACGTTGCCTGCGATCGGAGGGATTGCACATCCGAGGGGATGTAACCAAGCGCATCGTGCGTGCGATAGAAGCTGGCATCGAAGCGACTCGGAGTACCCGAACGCCGAGCTGGTAGGGAGTCAGTGCATCCACGCAACTGTCTGAATAAATCAGTGTACGTACCATCGCTCATCACCCCGGTGCTCAGGTAATCCTTTGCGTTCGTCTCATGACGCCGGAACTGGTCCATAGCTTTAGATAGCGTGCGCCTCGGCTTGCTGAACTGAATCATGCTTGGCTGTAGGTTGTTGAGCGGCCCCTCAACAAGACAATTCTTCTCCTTGTAATGAGTAAGGAGATAGTGCCAGAGGGGGTGCTATGATACATGAGGCTCAGTACGTGTGCACAGGCCGTAACACTAAAGCTTACCTTGCTAAGGACTTTTGGATTCCCAAGAATGACGACACCATATTTCGCGCGCGTGAGGGCAACGTTTAGACGCCTCGGGTCATTAAGGAAACCAATGCCTTGATGCTCGTTGCTGCGCACACAGCTGAGGATGATGTAGTCCTTCTCACGGCCCTGAAAAGCGTCTACGCTGGCAACCTCGATTTCCTTATACAGGTCCTTCTTGAGGGTGCCGTTGAACTGCATGTAGTTCACGATGTACGAGCGTTGGCCCTCGTACGGTGTGACGACCCCGATCTGGTTTGGGACGACACCAGACTTGAAGAACTTGGTCACGATCTTCTCAACGTTGGACGCTTCCGTCCTGTACACACAACCGTCAACATCATCAACTCTGAGTTTGAAGGAAGTTACCGTACCTGTTAAGGAATGATGTTCCGCTGGACGAGATTTCCTCCTGACCCAAATTCTGGTAAAAGAACATGGGCGTATCAGGCACCGGCCACGGGAAGTCCACGTTCTTGCGAAGGCGTTCCGGCGCCGTAACTCCGTTCTGAAGTGTTCCCTCGTAGAACATGTTCGAAGGGAACTCGGAGAGGCAAGGATGCATACGATACTGCACTTGGAGGCGGATGGGCCGATTGCCGAGGACGACGAGCCTCTCGAAGAGTGACTGCGTGAGACCAGCACGGGCCGCTTTCTTGTTCATGATAACAGGGCCAAGTTGCTTACGAAGGGGCATGGTCAGCATATGAGGTCTTACACGTAAGGCGGAAAACGAATGCATACCTGGTGATCGCCAACCAACACAACTTGCTTGCATCCTAACACGAGCGGTATCATACATTCTGGAGAGGGAAGATCAGCGGATCGGATGACATGGATATCTAGCAGATTACCCACCTGGCTCGGCAGCCTGCGTGGCTTCGTCGATGAGAACCGTCCGGAACTTGAGTTTGCTGAGACGAGGGTCACCCGCTCCAACGCAGGTGCAGCAAATGACATCCGCGGCACTTAAAATCTCCTTCTCGCATTGCCTAATGAGGGCCTTGTACTTCCGTTCGTCATTCGAACTGAGCTCGCCTTGCTCATTCTTGAGCTGGATGAGCTTCTGGAGTTCGACGTGCGTAGTGTTGTTTGCAACCTGCTGGTGTAGAGTCAAGAAGGCGACAGAGGAGTCGAGGGCTTCACGAGACTTCGCGGTGAGACGGACGACTTTGAGACCAGTAGCATGGATCTTCTCAGTCAGCTGGTCGACGGCAACGTTCGACGGCGCGCACACGAGGACTTGGCCAGGGTTCATCTTCGCGAGATGATAGACGGTCGAAGCGGAAGTAACGGTCTTGCCTGTTCCGGGTGGTCCCTGAATGAGACTAAGAGGCTTCTGGAGAACGCTCTTAACCGCATACATCTGGGAGTGGTTGAGCTCCGGAAGGCCGGGAGCGGAGAATCGCTTCGGCATCTGCGTCCGTAGGGTCTGGGGTTCGAGCTCATGACCAAGCAGCTTGTGGTACTAGAATAGCATACTGAGAAAAACTCGTGATAAGAAGAAAGCTAAACTCACGATGTAACCGCTGACACTCTTCTCGTCGACTGCGAATGTCTTCATCGCGAGCTGCATCCTATCAAAACTAGTCGACTTCCAAACGAAGTCTACAGTATAGTTGTGCGTGATATCCACCGGGACACCCTCCGATCTTCTCAGCTCCAACCCTATCTCATCAGAGACGTCTGCAGATGAGGGTAAGTCAGCGGACATACACACGCGAGCGACCTTGATAAGAGAAACGTACTGTTTGGGATCTTGACGACATGGCCATCGCCTTCCCAGGGCTTGTGCAGGGTTCCGGTATACTTTAGCCTGAGTTCGTCGCCGACAGCTAGTCGGACCTCGCCACTTTCAAGCTTAGGGAGGCAAAACCAAGCGACGCGTTTCTGGTTGAGACCGAGATCCCAACGAACGGAGATATCCGTCTGTGTCTGCGACTCCTTCAACCTCTTGTCATAATCTGCTTCAATCTTGACGAGGGGACCGAAGATATTCTGATACTGATAAGCATCCTCGTAGCGGAGCAAGATAGGCTGAGGCTCGTCGTCCACGCCAGGCTTGTCGAGATCTTCAAGGGTGGCGCTAGTGTTTTCTCGCCACAGATCCTCGAGACGGTTGATCTGTTGGAACGAAATCTGGCGCGAACGGAGCTGCTCGGTTTCGCTAGGAGGCTTCACCAGCCAGGACAAGAAGGATCTATCGTCGATCAAGGGGGCCCAAAGGGATGCGTTCCAAGAGATATCTTTCGAGACCGCAGCACAAGGCTGACTATAACACATAAATATTTGTCAGCATACATGGACACATGTCCGTTTACATCGCCACTTACCGGCACAGCAGGACGACAACGGTGTCGCTCTTCGCGGGAATGAATCCGAGCATAAACACGTTCTTGCTTCCACAGTTGTAGCATTCGGGTATAGTTTCGCCGAGAGGGGATTCGGCATGAAGTATGACTTCCTTATGCTTCGCCCGCACGAGGTGATTCACGATATGAGAAGCAGACGTGTTGCCACGAGAATTGCAAAACCATTTTTGGCAGACGAGACATTTGACGACAGAAGCGGGGGAGTGGATGCCACAGTAACTATGCAAAACCGTCAGTAAGTAGGACTTCAGCATTGGCAGATTAAGGACGCGCACCTGCAAGCATGAGGCGGCAAATCTACCTGCCCCTCGTCTTTGAGGTCATCCAGAACGGCATCAAAATCCTCGTCGATGCCATCTGCATTCGCATTTTGCGAGTGCGAATGGTGACTATGGCCGTTCGGGGATGCAACGACGGAGCGGTCGTCAGTTATCGAAAGGCTGTCCAGATCGAGTGGAACATTGCTCTGGCTTGTGTTGACGGTGTAGACGGATGAGGTATCGTCGACAATGCTTATTCCGCCATAAGACGATGCAGAATCATATTGGTAATTTTCGAAAGAATCCATGGTTGTTGGAACAAGGAGAGTTGAGTGTCGAGTAGAGAACTTGGATGACTGAGACTCTTGGCAGTCGCGGCACCGACTATACGCGCCACGTGGGGTGCACGTGATCATAACGCACTGCTCGCAGACCGAGTTATACTCGGCCTGACCAAGCCTGTAGTCAATCATGTCCCACCTCCCGAGGGGTAATGGCCAGCCTGAAGTCATAGTACAGGTACAGTCCAACATCTGGCTTATCCAAGAATGCACATCGATGTGTGTCGTTAGTTTGCAGATGGCATGGCGTACTCAAAGGGAAAGCTGGAGGAAGCGTACCGAGCGGGAGGGTTGCTTGAGAAGCCGTATAAAGCCGCAAAAGAGAGCACCTCAGCGAAGCGAGAGGACGTCGACTTGATAGTGAGAACGATCAGCACAGAGTAGGAATATGCACTGAGGCTAGCAACCGGTCTAGATGCACGAACTAGAGATCCCACGAGCACAGGCGGAGAAAGCTCTCCTCGCGAACAACGGCGACATCGAGAAGACTCTACTACAGCTAGTATCTTAATGCTCCGTATGCTCCATAATACCACGCAGAGTGCCAAGCACGTCCTGTGCCTGCATCGGCTGCTGGCGCGAGCGACCAAGAGGCATTGTTGGCGGTTTCTTGCGCGGAGAAAGGATAGTGTCAGCCTTGATCCTCGAGACACTGTGACCGACATATTCTCGCGACCCTGGCCAGTGTGCGTTCGACCTTTCCATGTCTGCGTCCTTCTCCACGTCGACCTGCGTCTCCAATCTCGCCATCCTCAGCACTTGTGGGCGCTCCCCGACAATTTGAGATGGGTTGTTGAGCACTGCGCGCGTGAGACGGAAGTTTGCGACACCGGCTTGAGAGTGTTGTTCACCCGGCTGCGCGAGTTTCGTGAAATCCAAGTAGCCCGTGGGGACAGCACTGTTGTCCACTGCAACGGCATTGTGACCGGCGAAGACAACGCCTAGCCAAGGGCTGTTTGAGCCCAGCCGGTTGGGCTGAAGAACAAGACGGCCAGGTCGTGGTTTGTTGAGGAACCGTGACTGAAGAGGAGGATGTTTCGCGTAATGCAAACCACCGAAATTTTGCGGCTGTTGTTCGATGGCTCGGGAGTCGGCAGAGTTGTACAACTTGTACGCCTGTGAAGCAAGGAAAATCTTGTGGTCACGCGTCGACTTGGCTGAGACTTCCCAGAAGGACGTGAAGTCGGAATCAACCTGCGGCTCCTTCGTTTCCCTGGCGCGCTTTGGACTCTTCGAACCCCTCTGCAGCTCCTGCTCCGCCTTCGCCGCCTTTTCCGCTGCTTGTTCCGCTTTCCGAGTAGCCGTCTCCTTGAGAAACGACGCGAACGCCGGACGAGACTGGCGCAGCTTCTCGATGTATGACTCGAATTCCCTGTCGGACATAGCGTAGATATTTGGTGTCGCTGAGCTGATGGGGCCGTAGATGGCGCTTTCGGCATCCGAGTGAACGTTATTCGTCAGGTCGCTCTCCACGTTGTCGAAGTCGGAGTACATCCGCCATTCAACCTGGGATGTGGGACCGAGCTTCGTCGACCACGGGCCTTTGTCGTCCAGAGTTGGGGTAATGCCAACTTCGTCCCACATCTTTATGTACCGCGCCTCGTTATCTGCGCTCCTCCACTCCGTTTGTTCCTCCCTTGAGTCCACCGCGCCGACCGTGATATGTGCCTCTCTGCCCCGGATCGGGAGAGGACGCTTGAACCCGAAGTTGCCACGGTGCAAGTGCCCTCCAGAGGACGAATAAACTTGCGCAATTGCGCGGTCATAGGAGGCGAATTTTGAGCGTCGCAGCAGGGCTGCAAACGGCGAGGAGGGGCTCGCAATGGACATTGGGTTCGATGAAGTGGCCAACGGCCGCTCCGAAGCAGAGTAGAAACTGTAGCCGCCAAGTACGGAAGGTATCTCTCACGGTTCTCTTAGAGTCCGCTCGGCAACATCCGGGAAGAGTATAAAGAGAGACGAAGCGCGTGCACAACCTCACAAACCTACACGACGTCCAAATTGCTGTCCGTCCTGTCTGCCCTCGGGCGTGGCTTCTTCATGGACTGGATAGTCCAGACAAACGTCGAGGATCAATGTCGATATCTCGAAAACAATCTTCGCTGATTGCTTCTCCCTCCGGTTGAGAGGCCAGGATGCAGGATCACCTGGAGATTATCTACAAGCCTCTAGTTACTTTGCGCGCCCTCGTAACTATTTTTTAATGTGAGTGTCATATATCATGTCCTGTATGCTATCTCTGGAAACCAAAGAAGACAATCCTGGTAAAACAACACACCCCTCTGTCGCCCATGTCTGGAGTATGCTCCATTGGGTGAACTGCAGACCCTTCCTGAGGGGCAATAGCTTGCGTCTGGGTGTGTGTGAAGAAGTAAAGGCGAGGCTGAGGTTCTTGAATTTTAAAACCGTCTTGTCAATGTCATCGATTCTTGTGCTCACCCCTTGTTTTCGCAGGTAAAGCGTCGGTACATCCGCTCTACTGCAGCCACGCGCTTAGGGATGCATCGCGCGATTTTAAGTTACGTTTGGTTCTCTACTCTTCGTGATACCCGAGATGTGCCCTCTGTGTCATACCTACCCCGTAGTAATGTCACCATTTTATTTCACTAAATCGCCTGTGTCTGCGTTAGCTCCCCTTCTTCGCTCCTGCTTTCGTAGACCCCTGTCGTTACCTCCAGGCTTTTTTCTCGTAAATCCTGCCGAAATTTCGTGCTTTGAGTGACTGATTTGCCCCGCGACCATCAGAAAAGACGACAGGCGGAGGCCTGGGTGTGCTACCAAATAAGGCAAAGAAGCCGCAGGTCGCTGTTAGCGAAGTCCGAACGGGCGACTTTTTTGGAGGGCGAACTCGACCAACCGCGTCCGCCATTCCCCCCTCATCCACGTCCACATCGCTCCCGACGCCGAAGACGACGAGGTCGCGGTCTCGCGTGTTCGTCATTCTATCTTCGCTCAAAGACACTCGGGGCCATTGCTGGCACCGTTCAGCCTCTTCATCCGCCTGAATCTTCATCACGCAAGTGTCTCACTCGTCATCCACCGCCTGGCCATGGTTCCTCGACGAGTCTCAGCGATGCGCGAAGGTTCGCATCTGCAAAGTCTCGATATCCATTACCGCCCGGGACAAGCGGCTCGTTCAGATCCGCCGTCGCCAGTAGCACAGGAAGGATTCTCGCTCACGCCGCTCGCAACTCCACGTTCCAGCCCTCGACTCACACCTCTACTTCCTTCATCCTCCCGAGACGTCTCACCTATGCCAAGTCCCACAGCGGCACCCATGGAAATCGACAACTCTCCTCGGATATGCGGGTTGCCTTTAAAATACGTCTCGTGAGTCTTTCTTCAGTCTTTTCGCCTTAGCGCAACCTTAGTCGTTCCGACCAGGCTAGTCACTCTGGCCGTTCAAAATGCGGCATTGTCGATTGTCATGCACTATTCGAGAGTGTCGATACCCGCGTCGCAAGCGTACTCTCCTGCAACGGCCGTTCTCTTGAATGAGCTCCTCAAGGGCTCAATATCCTTCGTTGTCGCGCTCGTCCGGATATTAAACTCTTCGGATGCGGCTGGGCGGAGTTTGGTCGGTGTATGGGTGGCATTCCGAAGGGTGTGCAGAGAGGTGTTCAGCGCGGACTGCTGGATGCTATCCATCCCAGCCATCCTCTATGTCGTGCAAAACTCGCTCCAGTTCGTTGCAATCAGCAACCTCCCTGTCGCAACCTTCCAGGTCACGTACCAAATGAAGATCCTCACGACGGCCGCGTTCTCAGTCGCCATGCTTCGGAGGAAGTTGACTTCAACCAAGTGGCTGGCCTTAACATTCCTCGCCATTGGTGTTGGCATCGTGCAAATTCAGTCAACCTTCGGCCACACTCCCCAGAGGCAGGACATGCCTGTTGGTAGCGCACACGACTCTGCTCCTCTGCACGTCCACATCATGAGCCCGCTCAAAGGTTTCGGCGCCGTCACAGCGGCATGCTTTACGTCCGGTCTCGCGGGTGTGTATTTCGAGATGGTGCTTAAGAACTCGAAGGCGGATTTGTGGGTTCGGAACGTGCAGCTTTCGCTGTTCTCTCTCATTCCTGCCGCTCTTCCGCTTATCTGGGAGTCGCCCTATCCTCATTCTCCTGCAGGAATTTTATCAAGACTCATGCGCAACTTTGGCGGATGGGCATGGGCGACGGTCGCCATCCAGGTATTCGGTGGTCTCATTACCGCGCTCGTAATCAAGTATTCGGACAATATCCTGAAGGGTTTCGCCACCAGCCTTTCCATCGTTCTTTCATTCCTTGCGTCCGTCGCTCTTTTTGGTTTCCGGATAACACCATCGTTCATCATCGGCTCTACGACTGTCCTCATCGCCACCTGGATGTACAACCAACCCCAGGGAAAGGAGATAGTAGCTATCACGAGTGTCATGCCTAGTGGCAAAGCACCCACGCCGTCTTTCCCAGGTACACCGGTCAGCCCGACTGCACCCATTCTTGGGGAATTCCCTCCCTCGAGGAAGTCATCGCCCTTGGGCAGCCCACGCGTCATTTCAACCGCCCTCGGCCTCTCGAAGGACGAGAAGTCAGACTCGGGGTGCTTCGGCCAGACACTGGACACATCTCGTTACCTCAGCGCCCCGTATGGGTCCCCCTTCCCATCTCGAACACCGTCACCTGTCCCGACACCGCCGTACCCACCTCCACCCGGCTCGCAAAATCCATTGGATGGCTCACAGTGGAAGTAACTTATCGTGGTCTCCACACCTTTTCCAGTATATATACGACTCCAGCCTATCTACACGCTCGCCGACAACGATACCCTCCTGGTTTGACATCGCTTGACGGACACTTGCAGACAGACAATGCCCCTGCCATGAATCTAGCCCAAGTTATCAAGTATTGAGTGCATTTTGACATTCGCATGTGCATGATCTCCCGCTCTTTCTTCGACATATGGTCTTATTCGTACGCGTATAGCGAGCTATTAGACTAGTTACATTAGACAACTATTACAACTCTTTGTAATTCTCTCTATTCTGCCAGAACGAGTTTGGCTATACCCGCTACTATTCTCCGCATAGAACGTTATGAAGTTATGCTCAAACCTGGTGTGATGTGTGTGGATGCCGAATGCAGACTCTGAACATGCCGCAGTGCACTCCTGTCCCGCTTTCGCTCCTCCCGGGCCCTAGCTTGCAGCAGTACACGTTGCTTGCTGTGCATACCTCCAAACACTGAGACAAATGCTAGGTACACCTTGCGAGCTGCTGCGCCACCACCGAATTAACACCACGACGCACTATAGTTATTGGATTAACAGGCGGAATCGCGACCGGCAAATCAACGGTATCGAAGCAGTTGCAAAGCTTCGGCCTGCCCGTCGTCGATGCCGACGTCATCGCACGGGAGGTCGTAGAGCCCGGCACGCCCGCACTCGCAAAGATCGTGAAGCACTTTGGTGAGGGCGTGCTCCTCCCTGATGGCCACCTTGACCGTCAGAAGCTCGGCGCCATCGTCTTCAACGATGAGGCTCAGCGCCTTGCGCTGAACAAGATAGTGCACCCTGCTGTATGGAAGGCTATCGCACTGGGGGTAGCGAGCCACTGGCTCAAGGGCAAGAAGATATGCATCTTGGACGTGCCGCTGTTGATTGAGGGCGGGATGTGGAAGTGGGTTGCGAAAGTGGTTGTAGTATATTGGTGCGTCTTCATCGCGTGCCTCACGTTATACTATGCTAACAGTTCCTGTTTACAGCTCCCCGGAGCTGCAGCTACAGCGACTAATGAAGCGCGACGGCTCTACGCTTGAGGCCGCGTCTGCTCGTCTGAATGCACAACTATCTATTACAGAGAAAGTGCAATGTGCAGACCACGTCGTGGACAACTCTGGCTCAATGCAAGACCTCGATGAGCAAGTAGACATTCTTGTCCGGAAGCTTCACTCGGAAGCCGGTTGGTCTTGGAAGCTGAGCTGGTTCCCTCCCATTGGCGTCCTCTCTGCTGTATGGATGCTCTTCTGGAAACACGTGCGGTTAGCGAGGCGGGCTGCGAGGAAGAAGCGGTAGCCGAGGGTAGCTGGATTTTGAGCAATTGTTACGGTGCTGGTGCGCTTTTATACCTGGCACGGCATGGACACTGTCTCCTACTATACCTATGAAGACGTTTACTTGAGTCGCACTCGAGAATAAGGACATGATGAGAATCTCAAATCAGCGCGTACTCGTCTCAGTGCAAACATGGGGCACAAGAATGGGGGAGACATCATAGACCTACACAGAGAGCATCGAGATTGGTGTCGTTAACTTCAAGAAAGCACTTCACTGGCGGTTGTTGGAGCCACCGCCGCCACCACCGCCACCACCACCACCACGCCGGCCACCCCTGCCGCCGCCGCGTCGTCCATAGCCTCCCCATCCACCGACATATGCACCGGGACCCATCAAGCCGATGCCTCCTGGCTCGCCAAAGGTCGCGACATTTTTCTCCCGTTCCTCCTCTCGCCTATTGCGACCACCTCCACCCCGACGCCCACCACGTCCACCACGTCCACCCTCAGAGGTCTGTGCGTTGCTCCCGGATGATAAGGAGTCGAAGAACGAGGCCTTGGGGTTGTACGCAGTCGGTCCACTCGCCTTCTTGTCGTCTTTCTCCCCTTCAGTCTCGCTCTCGTCCTCCCCATTTGGAGACGCCTCAGCAGAAGGTTTGGCCGGTGCAAGCGCGGACTTGTCAAAGCGAGCGTTTGCACTCTGGAAGTCGAAGTCCGTCGTGGGTACGCGCAGGTCTCCTGCCTTCACCTCGTGTTGTTTGTTGCCACGGCGCCCGCCCCGACCATGATGTACGGGCGCGCTTTGGTTGTCGGACACACGAAGATCATCCAAGGCACGCTCGACAGATTCCAGCGAGGCATTCGCGGCCCGGACAGCGTTACTCTGTGGCTCCTTCAAGGGCGCGCCGTTCTGCACGACCACTGGGGAATGTTGCTGCGCAGGAGGCTGTGAAGTCGGGGACGGGTAGGCCTGTGGTCGTTGTTGTGGTGAGACAGCTGCGGGGCCTGGAGGAGGCTGGAAGCCGGGCTGTTGATATCCTGCAGGCCCGCCGTACGGAGGTTGGGCCATAGGTGCCGAAACCTACAAGTTAAAGATTAATCAATCTTGTCGGAGCAAGGGGAAGCTAACATCCGAAGGAAGGCAATGGGTTATCCACACGATGTATGCGCTCTCGGATACATGAGTCGTAGACTCATTCACATCCGCCAATGCTATCATCACAAATAGTGTAGCCTCGAGGAAGACATTACTCACCCCAATTACGGCAGGATCATCATGTACAGCCCTTCGGGGTTGTGGTTCATCGACGGCAAGGTCCTTTACTTCCGATGCACGGAATATGATGTATGCGTATGGATCTTGCACTGGGGGAATGAACTGGTCTGGCGGTCTGAGACGGGGCGATTAGTATCTATTCTAGACGCAGAGAATCCGAAGAGTCAGAAGGAAGGCAACGGAGGGATCCACATGGGGTTTTGCGCTCTCGGACAGCGAGCAAAGCTCATTTACATCCGTATTGGCTTCATCATAGGCGCATGCGTGTGATAATAAGACTCACCGCCTAGACTCTGTTCCCATAGAGTACACTATTCACGCCACCACGTCAATCTGTGCTTAACTATCCCCTCTGAACAACGCACCATTGGAAAGCTGGATGGTCGAAGCAGCAGGATCTATACCGGCCAATATACCTCTGTACCGCACATCTGAATGGGATATGAGCGAAATGGGCTTTCTGTAGGCGTGCACATGAGCCCTCGAAGGATGTGCGCCGAGTAGAAAGACGTACCCGATGAAGCTCAGGGCCATCTTGCTCGCTTTGCGTGCACGTCGATGTTCAAGCGCGGCGAGGACGAGCGTGCGTCTTCAGGCGTGCTATTCCCACGAGCTAGTGTCCGAAGTCGCGTGCATGCGGAGGACCTCGGGCACCTCGGCTCCTGGCTCTCGCGGACTCTCCGTTCATTGCTCTCGCCAGCATGCTGCACCTCAGACTATTCGTCAACCGGAACGCAAGGCAGGTTTTACGGATACGTGTCAACCATGTCCGGCATGTCTCTACGCCCAGCTTAGACCCAATGATCTCCGGTTTCGTGACCAAACTCGCAGAAAAGCAGCCATGCTATAGTGCTGCAGCCTCGAGCATCCGAATAATACAGCGGCCGGCCGAATTCTATCAGTGCTTGTTGGTCGGTATACATCTCTTGCAGGAAAGTGTAGCTCATCGTACTTGCTTCGTAGGACATGATTCGGCGTGCTGAACACCGAATATTCCTCTCGTCGCTTTACATAGGTTCGGAGGAAGCGGAACTGGTATGCTCTCCGTGTTCTGTTGCCTGTATGCAGTTAAAAGAACTGGAAACATAGATTGACGCGTTAAAAGCAACTCTCAGGCAGAAGCCATACCTGCAGGCGCGACTTCATCTCGATTTGAATCGTTCAACGCGACCTGGTCCTGGATCCACTGCTCGCTTACTCCTGCCTCTCCTCAAAGAGTTCCCAGACAGGTTGCATGTCTCTTTATTTCGAAGCCCAAAGCTTAAAGGTCTAATGGCCAAGGTGGTGCCGCCACGCTTTAACGAAGGATGGGGAACCTGGCATCCAAAGATATACGGCGCGGATGATGGAGTCCTACTGAGCGGGTGAGTGAGTGCTGCTTTATGGTGTAGTACAAGAGCTCACAATGCCTGGCAGAGCAAACTTAAACACTTCGTACTTCACTGACCGACAGGATCGATATCTGCACTTCAGCCACCACCGACACTTGGCCCAATACTGTTACGGCTTCCTGCAGGCGTCCTCGAGATTCTCCTATAGACTACTTCCTGCTGTTTTGAAACCAGAGGACTACACTCTGCACTGGCACGATAGTCAAACCCACCCGCACAATTATGAGCAAAAGGCGGGCCAACTACTATCGACTTTCCAAGAAACATCTCGGCTTGGGTCGACGGAGTGCTTGGGAAACTTGGATAAAATGGGTGATATTACTCAGCTAAGAGACGTGCTCGTCTTTCCAATCATTCAGGCTGGACAGTTCGGTGTACGTGAGGAAGAACGTGCTTTGTCAATGCTATTCCACCACTTGTCCGGGCAACATGACAATGACAGGAACAGGAACGGGCACTACGATGGCCCATTGATAGACCTCACAAGTGGTTACTTCGGGCTTTACAGAGACTACCGTGACCTCGTCCTTCAGAGCGATCTCCGCTGCAGAATCATCTCCGCAAGCCCGAAGGTAGGTTGATGTAATGTGCATGGCGACATTGGTTGGATGACTGAGCCCGAGCCTGCGCAGGCGAATGGGTTTTACGGCTCCAAGGGCGTATCTGGCCGCATTCCAGAAGGCTATACCCTACTAGAACAGAGGTTCATGGGAGCCGTGCGGCGTGCCGAGCGCGAATGGAAGCACGACGAGATCGACTGGGATGTTCTGCGAGGACCGGGGGTGCAGTTGAGCGAGTGGGAGCGCGAAGGCTGGACGTACCACGCAAAAGGTAGGCTCCCTCCACCCTGTTTTCGCGCGTGTCGGCATTGACACAATCCGTTTACAGGCATCTGGCTCCGACCAAGCCCTGTCGCAGATCCCTCTCTGACCCTCTTTGGGTCGACGAACCTCAACTCGCGCTCGGCCAACCTCGATACCGAGCTGTCTTTCGTTATAGTCACTTCGTCACCCGAACTGCGTCGACAGCTCCGAGAGGAGGTTGACGCGCTCAGGGCACATGTCCGTCCGTGGAGAGGGGAGGACAGGCGTGTGAGGCTCGGCACTAAAGCCCTGGTGGCTATGGTCGGGGGAATGCTGTAAGGTCAATTCCCACATGTACATTTGCGTACTCTTCGTGATGTCTAGACCACCTTCTACCGCTCACCTAATACTTTGCCTGGCGTTTGCTGAGAACAGGGAGCTTGCGGTTATGGCAAACGGTAACTTTCGCGGTACCGAGGCGCGCCGTTCCACCGCATGCGCAGCTCGATGGACAGACGTGAATGCACGCACACTGCGCCCGCAGCCCGTTGAACTTCGACGGCCAGAGAAAAGAGCGCGTTGCCTGGATGGAAATCTAGGAAAACATCATGCTTACTCAGGAGGTCGGTGGTCAGCGGCGGTTCTGCCCACTGTCTCCGCTACGGTTTCACTGCGCTCTCTCCGTCCGCACAGGTCCTACTCCGGACCCATCTGACCGCCCTTCTTTCATGTCGTTCGTCGCTTCGCCTTTGTTGCCTTTCTTTACGGGCGCCGCTGTTCCCGAACTGGGCTGACCAACGTATTCAAATTTGCGCGAATCAAGCGTGAACGTCACAGGACCCTATAGGTTCCGTGTTGGATCAGTACTGATTGACATCCAAGCCCGGGTACGCAAGGAACTAGGAGCAGCTCGGAAGGCTAATTGGCTCACACACCTCGTTGGTCAGGGTAACATTCATCATTGCGCCGAAGCGTCCGTCTGCCACACAAGGAAAGTCAAAATCACGAAGAGTGGAGGGGTGGAGGTTGCGGGGAGGCTATAGGGTGCGAGTCGGGTCACGTACGTACCTTGTATCTTTTCGGGTTTGTATAGAGAACGCATACGGTCCAGGAAGGAAGCATACATCTCCCTGGAGGACTCACTGGACTAGTGGACGCGTCAGGCAGTCCTATCAAGAATCCCAAACATGTGCCGACGCACCATTGCACGGTGGAAATCGGGCTTATTGCCCTTAGACGTGTTGGCCAAGAGCGTAAACTGCGAGACACAGAGGACTTCGCCATTGATGTCCTTGACATTTGATTTCCACATACGACCAGAGGCATCTTCGAAGACTTTGAGCGACAGACTGCACGTTTCAATGCGTTAATAGGAAAAGCTGGAGAGAGCCGCGAGATGCGCACATTTTGTTTATCAGAGTGGCAATGTCGGCGGTGGTATCGTCTATCCTGTCTTCTGGGTCGGTGGCGGATGGCTCGGTGAGTTCGGAGAGACAGACCTGTTCCTATGCCCACGAGCACCATGAGACCACGCCCGATGGAAGACACGACCTCGTCGTTCACTGCAGTGGACGCACAGCACAAGACCTGGGATGAGCAGAGTCTAGATGCGGTCTCCAGTGGACTCACCGACGACTGAGGCAGAGGCGACGCGCTGTAGGACTGCACGCATGCTGGGTGCGTTGTCGAGGAGGGGACGAGGACTGAATGCGTCGGAAGAACGTCGCTCGCGGGCAATAGGACGAAGCTGATCGCCCGGAATTACAACCCTTGGTGGGAGACTCGGGCAGGCGCCCAGCGTTCATTCACTCTCGCTCGACCATCCCTGTCCTCGCGCTCCCAGCTCGCACACCCACCGAGTCATTTGACAGTGTCGTACCCACAACGAGGCAGAAATGGAGTCTGTTGTGCTCGAGACAAGTCTGGGAGACATACAGCTCGAGCTCTACTGGGACCACGCCCCACGCGTATGTCTCCAACTTTCCCTGCTGCTTGCACAGGCAAGACACTCAACCTAAGGCGTGCTTACCAATAGACTTGCGAAAACTTTGCAGAACTCGCAAAACGTGGCTATTACAATAGTGTAATTTTCCACCGTATCATCCCCGTATGTCCCCTCGCTCTCACACCCCGGCCTTTGTTATTCAACAAGCTTTAAACATTTCTAGGACTTTATGGTGCAAGGTGGCGACCCCACAGGCACAGGACGCAGTGGCACGAGTATTTATGGCCAGAAATTGTGCGTGTGCTCGTCGTATCCAATACCATCTTCTGGATATGACCAGTTGACCATTGAACAGCGAAGACGAGATACATCCAGAACTGCGCTTCACTGGGGCTGGAATTCTAGCCATGGCCAACTCTGGTCCGAACACAAATGGTGTGTGACCACCCAGTGATTTTCATCCGTTGCCACCTCTTCTCTGATATCTTTCATGCCCAGGCTCTCAGTTCTTCCTCACTCTGGCCCCAACGCCGTACCTCGACGGCAAGCACACTATCTTTGGGCGCGTAAGTTCCGGAATGAGAGTCCTGCAGCGCCTCGGTGCTGTCGCCACAGATGCACAGGATCGGTGGGTCCTCCTTCGAATTTCAGGACGTCCTGCTGACGTGCCGATAGTCCGCGAGAAGACGTTAAGATCCACAAAGCACGGGTCGTCTGAAGAGTGTAGAGCCGTGCTTCCCACCACTCTCTCTGCTTATCCACCTGTAAGAAGCAGCACTCCAGTGCGAGCACATGTGCACAAAAGGGCCTACATGACGCCTGCTCCTCGCGTACGTCAGCCGTGCGCGTTCCCTCGCGATTTGCGGTCGAATCATTGTCTGGGCCCTACGTAGCCATGCACACGAGCACACTTGCGCCAATGGCCTTCCCTAGGCCTGATAATCAATTTTGACTCGTCCTGCGCCCTCGAAGAACCAGCTCGCCACAACAGCGCCCACGCTAGCTTTAATCGTCGGAGCTAAAGAAGCCGCCAGCAGGTCTCTGTTTCTGCGCCTGTTTTCTTTCCATGTCCGGGCTTCCAAAGCCGCGGTACCGCAGGGGTACACGCATCTTGCCGTGCACGACCCGCGGCAGGGGCCCCGCCCTGCCAAACCTGTGAAGCTGAGTGGTTCCGAACGTGCGGTAGGTCGTATCCTGGCTCCGGAGCCTCTCTCACACGCGGCCGACGTCGAGCTTCGCTCGCCCAATGTGCGCTGCTCGTGCATGTGGCTGCCCTGCTGAGAACCGTTCCCACTCGCATAACGGCCCAGCCCTGACCTCTTCGGGCAGCGCTTCCTTTGATACGCCTGCTCCTGTCTCCGATTGGGTGTGCGCAGCGTGGTTCGCTGGAGGGTGCATGCATCGAGAGACACTAGCGAGGTGTCGCCTGTGAAGGATGCGTACGTCCTGGAGAGCGTGGGCACTGAGTCCCAGGTACTCGCACGGTTGTCTGACATATGTGCCTGCAGATCTGGTCTCGACGATACGCATAATGTAAGCTTTCGGCACGCAGGGCCTGAAGCCCCTTGGGGCTGAAATCGCCAGAGACCAGCAGCCAATGGCGTCGCGTGTTCTCACCTGGCAGTGTCTAGAAAAACATCGCCTGTATTGACGTACAGTACTAGTACCTAAGGCCACAAAATGTGGCGAACCATAGCGCCGAAACCTACTACTCAGATCAGAAATGCGACCTATCAACCATACTTATGTGCTTGATTACGATTTGTTGCGGAACGAACAGCGATATCAACAACACAGATCCAAACGAGGCCTGAGACAATTACACTGAGAGCGTTCTTGAGTTTGATTGCAATGGAAAGCGAATGAATGAGAGAAGCGTGAGAGAGTATCGATGGAAGTTGTTCGGCCCGCCGAGCAGCAGCTCTACCGTCGGCGCGATTGCTGTTGCATCGGGTGTCGCACAGTGCGTGGCCGCGTAGGGGTTTCGTCATTCGTGGGTAAGGGCCTTGCGCGCGCGCCTGACGACGAGCCCAGCCCTTGCTGCGTATTGAGGAGCAGTCGCCCTCGACCAGCAGGGCGAGGGGCTTCGAACGCGCTCAGGCGAGAACCTGTCCTTGATGTCTCGTCAGATGCCATACGCCAGCGTGGCAGCTCGTCGTCATCCTCCTCGGCAAGGTCGAGGTCGTCCGCAAGCACCTCCTCTGAGTCAGAAGGGCCGAGCTCAAAGTCTTGGTCCATTGCTTCACCCTCGGCCTGACCACCGTCCTCATCCTCCGTGTCCTCGTCGTAGATGCCCCCTGGGGGCTCTCCTTCCCACTCCTCATCACCTTCTTCCATGCCGAAGTCCCACACGTCGAGTACCGTTGCGTCACCGCGGTTGCTAGCAGCGACGCACCAACGGCCCTCGAAGACGACCTGCCACACGCCTGCGATGCCAGTGAGCAAGTCGCGGACTTGCGTGCCCTCGCGGATGTCCCACATCTTCAGCGTGCCGTCGGAGCCGCTGAGGACTTTGAACTCGTCGTGCTGGAAGCACGTGATGGCCCCTTGGTGGGCAGCCAATGTGTGTTGGAGTTCACCGCTCTCAGGATCCCACACCCTCAATGTGGAGTCAGCGGCAGCAGAGACGAGATAGGACGGCGACAAGCCGAGCAGGCCGACAAGGGATGTGTGTCCCTGGAGCGTATGCCGGCATTGACCAGTGCTGAGGTCCCAAACCCGGACGGTGCCGTCCATGGAGCCAGAACAAGCAAGATTACGGTGAATATCCAGAACAACGCTGTAGACTGCATGCGAATAGTAAGTTTCGGAACGCAATCTGAGCGAAGACATGCAACACACCTTTCTGAGTATGCCCTACCAAAACCCACTTGCAGGTCCCGGAAATGATATCCCATATTCGCACAGTACAGTCGTAGCTGCCCGAGACAAGGGTGCGACCCCGAGCAGCGAGGGCCCGAACCGCGTGGTCATGACCCTCTAGGTGCAGGCGGTGATACGGATTATCCTCGACTTCCTCCTGCCCAAGGCGTAAATATCGGATCAAAACCATGACCGATGAGCTACCCACCTCGGAAGGATCGACTTCGGACTCTTCCGTACTTTTGTACTCGACATCGCCTGGTCGGGGCAACGACCACACCCTCAACGAGTGGTCGCGACTACCCGTCACAATCAACGGTCGTTTTGGCCATTTCTCGCGGGTGATCGTCCCGTTCTCATTCTCTACGTCGATCCACTCCGGCTTGACAATCGCCAAGCAACGGACGGTGCTCGTATGCCCTCCAAAGACGTGAGTGCATCGCCCCGTCGTAAGGTCCCATATCCGGACTGTTCGGTCCGTAGAACCACTGACCAAGGTGTTCTTGGTTGCCGCTAACGCCCATACACCGCCTTCATGACCGTCAAGCTTGCGAACGAGGTTTCCTGTGATAGGGTCATACACGTGAATAGAGTGGTCGTCAGAGGCGGAAATGATTCGTCCGTGGGTGAAGATTAAACATGTGACAACGGAACGACCGTGTGCGGGGAAGGTTATGCGCTTTGGGTTCTGATTATGCACCCAGCGTGTGCGGGTTAGATGTCGCGACTTGAAGAGAATTTTGTACGGGTGGGGTAGAGGAAGTGACCCTGGTGCAGGGAGCTGCAAACGTCTTCGACGAGCAAATATCGCATCAGCGAAAGCGTTCTCAGATGTACCACCAAACCAGATTTTTGTCGTCTTCAGCAGCTCTCTCCATAGTACAGGATCCGAATCGATGATAGCCCGCCAGGTCTTTGAGACGCGTGAAGCTCGTGCAAGATCGGCAAAAGAAAGATAGCTTAGAATGAGAGATACTAGCTCCGCAGGCAAAAGACTAAGAAAATCACGAGCGAGAATTGGTGTGAGGACGGAGTGTAAGGTTCGCAGGACAGGTAATGGTGAATGTCGCAAGAAGGTAAGAAGGACGTGTGACTGCAACTGCGTCGGCAAATTCGAGAAATGCCCAAGTAATGATGGTAGTGTGAGGAGAGTCGTCAGTGAGAGATCTGGCTGCAGCGGAGCCTGTGGTTGTGGCGAAGAGTTGCCGCTTGGAGGTGCAGACGGCCAAATGTTCTCGGGAGAGGGCGAGCCGTGCGGTGAAGGTAATGGTGATGGAGGGGCGGCAGATGTCAATGCAGTTGCTAACGGTGGAGGGGCTGGTTTGACTCTCTTCCGTGGTGGTGCGTTTGCCGACACCCCGTTAGTAGCTTCGATGCCCTCCATCATATTGTCGTTACTGTAGGATCTCTTCCTGGCGTACCGTTCGATCGCTTCTGTAAGGCCAACTTCCTTACGCTGATCCTCGCGTTCGTCTGGCTTGACCATCCTCCATCCCTTGCCACCCACAATCTCCTCTTCTTCGTGCATCTCCTCCTCTGACACAGTCTCATCACGAAATGTAGCGCGTGAACCGCCCGGGAATACAAGGGGGAACTGCCTGAGAGAACGAGGAAGATTCGCGTTCGACAACGGAAACTGCTTCGGATCCCTCGGCGATGAGGGCCTCGGAAGCGGTGGAAGCGGAATTGGAGCATAAGTTGTGGTCGTGGTGGTCGTGGTGACCACACTTGTGGCGAAGTTAGTGATGGTCATATCAGTTCAAGTTGAACCAGCCACGTACGTTGTGGTGTTGACCGAAGGCGCAAGATAAAGGGATGGCCGTTGCGTGGAGCTCATCGTCGAGCACGGCGAAGTGGAAGTGAAGGGGATGGAGGGGCGCGCTGGGCCTCAGCGCAAGGGAGTGGTTGCTCGTTGAGCGCGACGTTGACGAATGGACAAGGCCATGTCGCATACTTCCGTGTCGGAGTTTGAAATCCCAAGGACATCGCCAGGAATGGCAAGTTTGAACTTCGCCCTGCACCCGCCCGATGATATGATGCGCCCATGGTCGCTCAGCGCACTGAGGTCTGGTCGCTCATCATGGGGCCGAACCTTTGCGCTAGTGTCACTGATATGCGAGGAGGCTCGGCGGACTGATCACGGTGTGCCCCGACCAATCCCGAAGTATCACTGACTCAGGGCGACCAACGGGCTGCGATACGTTGAGTCTGACAATCTATCCGACACATCAGAGATTGAACTTAACTTGCGTGCCTCGTCCCCTTTCTCAGGGAACTTTGGACATATCTGTCTCCTCAGCGCGCTCGTCATGAAAGGACAGGAGAGTACGGCTCGGAAACGCAATGCTAAACTGTCAGCGTGGCACAGCCTCCGACCCTCGCTACTCTTAGGTTCAGGTGTGGTGCCTCACGAACGCATCACCTCACGGACCGGCCTACGCTCACCGTGTGCTTACTCTATTTTCGATGCGCCACCGAATACTCATGACTCATGCTAGCCGATGGTCGGTACCAATCGATGCGACCGATACTGTGTGCACCCGTTTGCGACTATTTAGTCCATTTCTAGGATCGAGGCTACACCTTTGAGGAAGATTAATATTCGTCTATCATCCAGTGACGCCAGTCCGGCGGCATGAGGTGAGCGAACCGAGCATGCTTCTCAGATAAACGCAGAATAGACAGGACTTTGGCGTTCACAAGATAGGTACCGCTGTCAACGCCGTCGGCCGTTGCTCTCGCCACTCAGCCATTGCAAGTTTTGCAACATTCCAGCCTATTCTCTGGTTTGACCCGGGCAGCCCCCAGTGCGTTCGTCCGCGCGATATCCGACAGGTGTCAGGGATGTGGGGGTCGAAAGGGTCCGCTCTATCTGGCACCATGTACGAGGCACTTCAACGAAGGGCCGGAGCTTGCGTACGGGTGCTATTGGCCTCGGCAGAGAAACTTTTCTGGCTTCTCTTCATTCAAGCATATGTTTGAGCCCGCTTCTACCCACAGATATCAGCCACAGGCTTTATTCTGCGCCTTGAATGAGGAGGTAAGTCCTCAATGCGCTCTCACGATACACTGCCACGTTTGTCGCCCTCAGACTCCTGCCTTATCGGCGCATGCATAGACAACACATGACAGGGCTTATTGAGGTACGTCGGCTCTGGCATCTGGCGAGGACTAACTAGCTTTGAAGCCATCTTCTAGGAGTTCGAGAAAAGGTTCCATCTAGTGGCCATCTATCGAGAGCCAATCTGAATTGCGCTGCCCTCACTTTTGACAGCTCTTTCTCAAAGCTCAGAAAGTTTGCGTCCGAATCTAACCTTTTAATGCACTGCGGAGTCCCTTTCTTCCTGACAGGGGGCGTTGCACTAGTAGGCATCATGATACGTGAACAATGCTTCTCGCAGCTCTCTAGCTGGCGTGCGTGGTGTGCATCCTTTAACGTGCCATTGACCCCCTCGACCATGCGCCATACGTCTCTGCTCTCACAGACACACAGACCAGATATGTGAAGTTCGAGCTTTATCTTGCATCGTCATATGCCCACTGTGAGAGCTCGAGCCCCGAGCGTAGGAAAATGCGCCCAAAACGGATGGCGATGGCTACCAACTGACCTCAACAGACTTCGTTCGCACCCAAGGCGTCGGTGTATTCCAGGTCAGCGAGTGTGAAGGATCCGCCGTCTATGTATACGTGTTGCACGCTCGAGGGACGTTTATAGCAAGTCTTGCAGTTCGCGATGCGTGCGCGTGGCGCATCCTGAGAGCAACGAGCCTCCTACGCGACCATGGCTACAGAATAAACTTATATCCAATGGCGCTGCACACGTCGCTATACAACGGCTCAGTACCCCGTGCAGACAGCGTGTTGGCGGCCTGAGAGGAGTTTTGCTTATGGAGAGCGTTTTTGCCCCGCACGAAGCTTCGTTGGTCGACCGCAGTACATTGACCAGAAAATTGGTTATTGAGCTGAGTGATGAGCGGGAGGATATAAGGGCAGAGCGTGTAATAGGCTATCCGAGGAGATGAAGGCAGTAAGGAGGATCTCCGCCATCCTCGCTCATCGACGATCGGCCGCCATTGGAGACGCCAGCACTCCACGATATGTTCAACTCGTCCTGAACGGATTATTCAACGGGAGATGTAGGTGTTCAATATGCGTGTGTACTATACTACCTACCAACCCCCTGTTTATTCAGTTTCAGGGGAGATTCATCCGCCTGATTCCACTGGAGGCGACCTGGCATTCAGCCACAGGGTATATTACTCCGAGAAGCATGCATATACTCACTTCAGAGGGCGGCTGTCAAATACCAGTCATACATGCCGCTATGGGTCGCCCATGGTGCTGTGCAACCCCATCGTAGAAGCATCCGCCGTATGATACCGAGATGGTGGGGCAGTTTATGGCTTACTGAGGGGAGACGATCACGGTGAGCTCGCGCAGGGCAGGTAAATACCCTATGTGTCTGAATAGATGGATATGCGATAAAGTGACGAGCTGATGACGGACCATGTCGGCCAGGGCTCCATGCCCTCCCCATCTTCGCTGAAGATGAGGCCGAGGCCTTCGAGGGAGGTCCAGCGGATCTTTCCAAGAGCTTCCCTGTGCCCATCATGGTCCTCGAACAAACCTGTCAGTGCCACCTCGTCCGCCCACCTACCGCCTCTTGCACACCGCGAGCCAATGAAACGAGCGGGATGCATGCGAGGCAGCGGTTTCGATAGACCTTTCCATCGAGCGCTTGCTGTACTGGTCTCCAATTGTAAGCCCGCCATTTGTAGTGCTGATATTTGGGATGGCTGCGGGCTGACCTTCAACCTGGGTTTTTGGCCGCGTAGGCTCCGATCGCGAGCAGTATCATGCAAGCTCAGGGCACCCGAGCCTATTCAAGCTTGGCCATATCGAGCCTTACCCTGTGGCGGAGGGTAATTCGATATTTTACGCTCAATATGCAAAGCAAACAAGGGGCAGACCTGTCTAGATTGCTAATGAACAGCACATATTGCATAAAGCACCCTCATCCTCCGAGGATATTGAAACACGTTGCGGGTAATGCATTAACTCTTGTGTGAGTCCCGGTGCCGTTGTGGGGAGCAAATTAACTCTTGTGTGTGTCTTCTAGCACAGGGTCATTGTTTGTAGCTGCGCAAAGAGGAAGTCAGTTTACGTTTCTGAGACTAAGCCGTTGTTGTGTCGGGACGCCAAGGATGGTGAGCATACGCGGCCCCTTCTGTCTGAGACCTAACCGCAGAGTCAGTGTCAAAGGTCGTTCAATCGGGACAGCACGGATTACTAGCATACGCGGCCTACCGCAGAGTCAGCCGATGACGAGCTCGAATGACCAAGCACCTTACCATTGTTCCAGTTGCGCATAGCCACCGCAAAGAGCACTGCAGAGACACACAGTCGATTCCACATGATGATGGCATGAGAACCGCTGTGCGCCTGCTGTGCGTACAGAGAAGACTGGCGAGCATATGGCGCATGGCCGGGAGAGCCCACGCTTATCTGCCGCATAGGGCAGAGCCTGGTCGGGCTAACGCAAACCAAATAACGTCAGAGTGCGTGTACCGTACGTCTGCGCACGATGTCGAGCGGGGAGGAATCACGGCGCAGGGGACCTCGAACGACGCGCGGCGTCTCCGCGGACGCTCACGGAGGGCGGACCCTGCATACGAAGGCCGGAGCGGTGCGGGGCGCAGGATTCCCATGTCACACTAGCATGGGAGGCCGCAGGAAGGTGCTCGGGAATGCGGATTTGTATTTCGCCACCTTTATTTGACAGCTCGCATCTGCAGACCGTGACTGTGGTCAAAAGACGATGATTAGCGTGCAGGTACTCGCGCACCCCAGGTGGGAGCATAGCCCCGGCGTCGAATGAAAAGCATGGTACGCGAAATGAGGGCTGTTCGCGTCGTGCAGCCTCCAACAACCCTAAGTACCGCGGGTGCTGCGAGCACGAATATGGTACGCGATACGTCTGTCTCCCAGCACGGCCACGGTCAAGGTTCAGGGTGCAGGGTTGGGCGCGTCCCAATCAGCATGCGAGGAGGGCATGACGCAGCCTGGGGAGGTTGCTAGGGCCGCTGTGGGACAGATCTCCTTTCGCGTCCTGCTTCCGGCGCTTAATTGCGACCAGGCGTGTGAACTAAGCGAGGCAGGTCGGTCGGTGCCAGGCAACGGTTTAGCTGTGATCTGCGTAGAATTTGATGGCGCGCCAGGGTACCTGAGACTAGGGACAGGGAATGATGGCCTCGTCCGCCGGACATGGCGCGCCGCGTACGTTTACGAGGGGCAATCGTCTAGCGTATAGCCTTTCGGCCAGACAACGGGGGAAACTGTCCCACCCGAAGTTGTACTGCCTGCGCAGCGGACATTAATTGCGCATTCGGGCAGTCCGACCATCGTGAGCGGCACATACAAGGAACAGGGAGAAGCTCCTGAGGGTCCTGTGCACAGTTCAGTAAATGTATCGTTCACGGCATAATACGAAATCCTTACGAAACGATTCCTTCTATCAACTGTGCGTATCATCGCGGTGGGATACGGCTTGGAATGTCTTGACTAAGTAACTCGGGCTTACCGAGTGCTGTAGCTAAAGTGGTAATGGGAGCCGAACAACGAAAGAGTCATGGAAAAAAAGTGGCAGATGCGTTCTTCCGTTGCCATCCAAAAGCCTCGTCACAGTCATGAGTCATTCTCGCCTCTGCTGTTCACCGAGCAATGGACACGGCGAGCACAGCCTGAAGCGTAAGCCGACTTTGTCGCGTCCGCGGGGCGTAACCTATGCAGCTCACACACGCTAACATTAGCCCGCATAGCGAGCTCACAGCGTCCTCGAGCTGTCGCAGCCATCAGTCGTGTGAGCTTGTGATGGGAAATATGGTGCGATATGTGCGGGGCGTAGCAATCGTACAATGTCGAGGGAATGCGGCCTAAAACTTGCAAGATATGATGCCCGTGAGCAGCTATGCCAGGCAATTGCATGACAACTTACACTAGTTGACAGCAGGAAAAGAGGAGCGCGTTTGACAGATGCAACACGGCCGACATCACGGCCGACGCGCCAATTTTGACTCGTACACTGATGCCCGCGAAGGTAACCGTCGACGCGTTTGAAGGCGGAATAGCTTATTCTGCGCCGTTGACGCAGAAAGCACGCCGGCATCTGTATGCATGAATTTCCCAGGATTCATTGTAATGTTTACAGTGAAACGTGCCGTCTGCTGACCACTTGTCGTGAACTCAGAAACGACACGTTGCACTGGCACATAAACGGCAAGAACAGCCCTTGTATCGCCGCGTACAAGCTGCGCTCGCCTGTTTGCATTGCTTCGGAGACGGAGCCGCAAGCAAATTGTCAGGTCGTAAGAGTAGCGTTACGAGGCGCGGCAGACCGAGCAGATCTGCAATGACGGGATGATGCCAAGTAAGCGCACAAGTCGCGAGATCCAGACCCTTTGGAAGACGACTTACGCAGTCGGAATGCGCAACGGTGCGAACGGGTGGGCACGCACATGCCACCTGGTCAGACCGATTTGACGAGTGGAGCGACAAACAATGGGAGATTTGAGTTTGCCCTTCCTACTGGATCCGAGATGACCCCGAGCATTTTTTGTGAAAGGAAGTCCGCATCACGAACAGGTTTCGAGAAAGCCTAGCGAGATTATCGCAGGCCAGATGGTCGCATCGGATGAGCTGCTATCAGCACGCAAAGTCGCAAGTAGGGTACGTTAGAGGTGGACAGAACCTGTCCCACAATCATGTCTCTCTGATGGTCGTGCAGTGACCGCGATGGGCAGCGATAGCGGTACAGAGTGATAGACACTAGCGCGTGCCACACATTGTGGCGTGTACAGGTAAAAGTTCTTCGGGCACGGGTGTGTCTTGCAGGCAGATGGAGTGGAAACGAATAGAATTGGAACGGGACATATGATCGCATCGAAACTAATTGCAATGGGAAATACAAGGTTGGCAGAAAGAGGGCATCCTGGACGGGCCAGCCTGGGAACGGCGGGAGGCGGTGCAGGTTGTGAAGCCACAGCATGCCAAATGGGACCGTGGCAAAATTCCGCGAGATATACCAGGATTGGGCGAAAAAGTAGGCTAATAAACAAGTCGGCGCGGCGTGGATAGCGCCCTGCTGGGAGTAGCGCGGCGTGCCCGAAGCTGAGCGGGCCCGAGAGGCCCTGGATTCTCCCGAGGAGACGTTCGACGACGAAAGCAGTTTAGGATGAGGAGATGAAATGGGAAGCAGGGGCCGAAGCCCATCAGACGGGCAAGCGAGCAAGGGGTGTTCGAATGTTCGTGCGTACTCAGACGTGTGAACGGACGGGCGAAACAGGACATGTGGAGAATCGGAGCGGGAGAGTTGTCGTCGGAGGCCAATAGAGTCGGATATACCCTGTCGGAGTGCCGAGCGTGACGGGGCAGACGCAACGGTGATGCGACGCTGGAGACACGTCGGTCGCTGCGAGGTGGTCGCTAGTCGCTGGTCGTGCGAGTACAGACGAGTGTTTTGTCGCCGTCGGCTGGCGTGGCCCTGGCGGTCCTTGGAGGTGCGTCTAATCCCGATCGGTGCGATCGAGGCGGGGCAAAATGTCCAGTCACGCTGTGTGACAGGGGCGTCACATGTCTGCCGGCGCAGTGCTCATTGGCGCGCAGCTCAGTCAGGCCAGGCGAGCGCTGAGAGCGAAACCCTGCCTCGGACTGGACAGCGGGACTCACTGGGATCACCACCACGAGACTCGCCGTCGTCTCATCGCTTTCTCATCTGCGCTCCGAGTGTAACGCTTCCACGGATCTCACTTGCCAACTGCAGGATCTCACTGTATGTCCCTAATCCGTCCTACCCAGCAATCTTTCATCCTCCGTTCTCAAGCTCACCGTGCATATGCCCCTCCAGATTTGGTTTTCACTTTCTCAGCTTCAGGACCACTTCTTCCAGCTCCTCCATTGGTCGTAGACCCACAGACACACAGCCCGGCTACTCCTCCGAATTAGCTGCGTACGTCTCGCTTGATCTCCCAATTTGCCTATTTGTCCCGCATCTCTTAAAAGAAGGCCTGCCTCCATACCCAGGCATCTCTTGTTCGCAAGTCCTAACCCTCCTCTGCTCCTGCATATCCACTAATCATGGCGCGCTCGCCAGTCTCCTATTCCCAGTCTCAGTACTACCTGCCGTCGCCCCGCGAGGAATCTCCGTACTCATCCTCCCCCATCGTTCTCCACCACCCCCACCCAATAGCGCACCACATGCAGCAGCAACATCACCACGACCAGATACCCATCGACCCCGCCCTCTCCATGTATCCCAATTCCTACTATTCATACCAGCAGCCTCCGCCACCCATGGTCCCCCAGCATCTCATGACCGCGAGCCTTTCTTCACCGTCGTCACAAGGGTCCGAGGCCATGGGCACGCCTCCGATGGAGCAGTATCAGCTCCACAGCATGAACGGAAATGGCAAGCGACCCTCCTCTTCCATGACGGATGACAGTCGGAAAAGGTCCCGCAGGGACGACGACGCCGAGGGACAGGGCGCGTCTAACGAAAAGGAGGAGGTCAAGACAAAGCCCACGCGCGGTTCACGGTTAGTACACTGGCTATATGCGCGTGACTTGGGCTCACCTGTATTTCAGGGCATGCACCGTCTGCAGACGGCTGAAGATGAAGTGCGTCGGCGCCGAGCACGGACCGCCATGCAAGCGCTGCCAGACCGGCAACCACGAGTGCATATTCGAGGAATCTAACCGTGGCAAGCGGTCGACGAAGTGCGTCTGCCCTCCATCTATTCTGTTGTACTTTATGAACACTTATCAAGCAATCCTAGGAAACACGAGATTCTGACCCGTTCCCTCCGGAAGATGGAACGTACGTTGGATACCGTGCTCCGCTCGTTAGGCAACCCCAGCATTGCCTCTGGCATGATCTCACGTTCGCCTTCGCCATCGGCGCAGCCGCAGGGGTCACATCCCCTCCTGGCAACCCCGTCACCACCGGAGTCCCCTGTCCTATCCAACGCCATGCATCATATGCAGGCTCCAGGGTCGCCTAAGTTGCATAGCCTGCCCGACAATACGCTTAATCCACTCGGCCTTCTAGCGGAAGCAAGCCTTGCAAATCGCCGTGCGCAGGCTGCGTCACGAGCGGAGTCGCATACTACCGCCAACACCGACGACCAGCCGAAGCTGGGGGTCGCCAGCGACGTATACTTCAAGCCAGGTATGTGTTGTCGGATCTTGCCCCGAAGACCATTTCATTCAAAAATTGATAGGGCCTATGACGATCTTGCCGCTTCGGAGATTGTTCATCGAGAGACAAATACAGCCCGAGATGCTCAGCTTCGTCAATACCGAGGAGGTTGTTGAACTGTTCAAGATATATTTCGACAACATGAACGTGGGTACAGTCCGTTATCTTAACAGATCACAATTTGACCTCGCGCTCAGTTTCAGTGCAATGTATTGGACCCTGCCTTTCACACGCCGTCATTGGTCTGTTCGAGGTCTCCCTTCCTGTTGACAACCAGTGAGTATCTCCATCCGGCATCTGTAAGCATCAAACTGAATTTAGCACGTGAAGTCTGCTCAATTGCGTCACGCTTTTACACCAAACGTCCCGAGCTCCACACCAAGCTGTCAGACCTGGTGCGCAAGCTTGCGTTTAGCGTTCCGGCCCAAGGGTACAAGTCTGTCGAGATCGTCCAAGCCTATTTGCTCAACACGATGTGGGGGTGTGGGCCGGTCGAGCGTTTCGAGCAGGACCGTACCTGGATGCTCCTTGGCATGGCAATCAGGTTCGTACACTTCCGCGCCATTTCCGGGGGTTGCTTCCCGCGTCTAATGACGCCACGATGCGTTTGACAAATGGCTGAAGGCTGATTGACACTTTCCTTTCCCTCGATCAGGATGGCGACAGACTTGAATCTCCACCGGCGGACCGCCGTCACGAGCCCAGATACTGCGGAGGGGCGCGCGCGTGACAAGGAAGTGCGCAACCGCGAGCGGACGTGGATTTTCTGCTTCTGCCTGGACCGCAGCTTCAGCGCGCAAATGGGGAAGCCGTATACGATCAAGGAAGAGTGCGTGTGCTCCTTCCGTGTGTATTGTCACATCGGTAGCTGAGACGACTCTATTGCAGCTTCATCATCCGCAACGCTTCGCAATGGTGTCGAGCACCAAACGCTATTGCTTCGGACGTGTCCCTCGCTGCCTATGCGGTGCGTACTCTCTATTGTACCAGACTGCCGGTCGGGAGCTGGGGAAACTGACGTCGGCCTGTCCTATTCCAGGACCTGCAACGCATTCTCACGCGTAGCCTGGATTTGTTGTATTCCGGAACGTCTTCCCCCTCTGGGCTGCAGATGGACTCGGACTATCTACTTGTCATCACCACCATGGAAACACAAATCCTCGCATGGCAGCATGAATGGGCGAATCGTGTGCTCAGTAAGTACCCTCTCGCTTTGGTTTTGAATTGGCTTATTGAATGTCGGAACAGCCGAAGGCGAACATGTGAACCAGTACCGGCGGCTCGCTTCGAAGTTCTTCTTCAACTATGCCATGCTCATTGTTAACTCCTTTGGGCTTCAGAATGCGCTCGAGCGTTCTGCTGTCGACATTGGCCACTTTTTCGCTCGGTGTTATTCGTCGGCGGTCGCGTGCGCCACTGTTCTGCGGGACGAGTTTGGCCCGCAGGGGTATCTGCGGCATTCATCGGATTCAACATACGTGATGGCATCGTACGCTGTTTTGAGCTTGCTCAAGGTGCGCCGGCCCTGCACGTCCCGCGTCTGAATGTCGTGATTGACAAATTGGCAAACAGCTGCTCCGACCCGAGTTCAAAATCTTTTTGGATCACGAGACAAAGATTATAAGCCTCGTCAATGACGTAGCGGACGTCCTCGAAAAGTCGGCTGCAGGACCGCTGCATACGCCTACGCTGTACAGCGGCTTCCTGCGAGCTCTACTCTCGGCCAAGACCGAGCCGCCCTCGGGGGATAGCGAGGGGCAGCCCACACATACACCGAACGGGCAGGCGAGTCCCTCCCAGGATCAACATGCTTCAAATGCTTCCGCGGGCGTCAACAGTACGCAAGCGCCGTTAGGGATGAGCCCACTCCTGGACTTCAACTTTGATAGCGAGATGGGCCCTGTAGCGGACATGTCAACGTTCCCGCCGACGATGGCGCCGAACCCCGCAGGAGAGTTGGGAATGCTTACCATGGACAGCATCCTGAGTTCGAGCTTCTGGGACAGCGTCCTCGTGCCCGGTAAGTCCCTGTGTTCCCGCACTTCTGACGAAACGCTTCTGGAATGCTTATCGGCGCGCTTCGGCAGGGTACTCGAACGCGATGGAGGGCCTCAGCGGCGGCTTCGTCTACGGCGCGGGCGGGAGCGGGCTCATCACGCCCCGGATGGGCATGTCGCCCCTCCCGTCGGGGTTCAGCACGCCGTCGAGCTCCAAGATGTCCATGGAGCTGTCGCAGCACAAGCTCGACGTCGCGTTTGATGCTGCGCGCGCGGTCGCGTCACACTCGTCGTCATGACCCCCACGCCGTCGGACATGCGTGTCCCGCTCAGTAATTGGGCATCGTCGTGGCTCCCTGCCTCTGGGTCTACTCTCACAGGTTCTCACGCATATTACCTCCCCCGCATCTCCGCGTGACCTCCACGTTTGTTGCATTTCACCCCTGGTTTTCCCTGGATATCATATAAACACGGCCTGGTTACCCTAGCTGTATTATTATCGATCTCTGTTCCCACTATTTCGTATGTATTTGGCCGAACTATAGTGTACCTTATGCCAATATGCAATGTAGAGCACGTTGTAATATTTCACTTTGACTTGCGGAACGAACTGTTCCCAGCGAGAGCGGAGAACGGGTGCGGGTGGAAAGCGGGTTGGCGCTCGGCTGAGAATGGTGAGCGGAACCTTGGTGGCGCTCATGGGCGCATCAGGGAGACTCCGAGGCTTATCCGACGCACATCCGCCGACTACCTGCCCGTAAAAACGGTTCATGCAGCTCCAGACGCGTATTGACTTTGAGCCTTTGAGCATACGACGCCATAAGGTCGCCTGCGATTGCGGACCGCATGGCGCATCAACGTGACCATGAGGTGGTCGCCGGGCTTGGCAAGAAGACCTTCCTCATATATTCCAATGAATTGGTGGCGCATCAAAGGCTAAGCGGCGTTGCCATCTGCGGACAAGAATCGCTTCACGGCTTGCCCTGCCCGCAATGACTCGTGTCTCCGCCCTCTGTACTTAACCTCTCGCTTGTTTCGAATTGCTGCCACCTCACAGCATTTATCTCTCCTGGCATTTTTTTTTGCCTCGCACATTCGTTCGCTCGTTATCTGAGAAAAAGGGAAAATGTCGTTTAAGCTCGCGCTTCTTGCTGTTCTTGTCACAGGTAAGTATGGCACATCGTTTGGTGGTGATATGTGATGAAAAGGGTTGATTAACTATCACTTGTGCCAGGTGCGTTCGCACAGACCTCTCTCTATATCCCCGGGGTAGACCCCCAGTCACTTTCGGCTGAGGTCCTCGGTGTCGGCTCGGACGGCGAGACGACATACTTGATTCAGCCCGCCGCGCAGGCCACCACTGACCCGGACGACGTTGGACTAGGCCCTGGTGTGTAGCTTCCCTGAAATCATCATTTCATCGCTTATATTTTGCGGCAGCCACCCTGGTTGCGGGCCCTACGGCGGCCAAACTGACCTATAACGACCCCTCGGGCCAACTGAGCCTTGACGAGGACTGCGCCATCTCGGACGGCATCGCCAACTGCAACGTCGTCGCGGTCATTGCCGGCGTCACCTCATCGAGTGCGGTCACCGAGACCGTCAGCGCATTCGAACTCCAGGGTGGTAACACCGTCGCGGCCGCCTCGGCGACGCCTGCGAGTGGTGCCTCTAGTGACGCGTCTTCCACTCCCACGTCTGCCCCTGCTTCTGCTCCTTCTGGCGAGTCCTCTGCCGGCAAGACCGCAGCGTCACAGACTGGCAGCGGCACGTCCGGCACCAATGCACCCGCCCCCACGCAGAGCGACAACGGCGTTACGAGACTCCAGGCTGGCGCCGCGGGCCTGTTTGCTGCAGCCGTTGTCTTTTCTGTGCTCTTGTAAAATCCGTGTATCGTCGTATTCACCTATGGGATTTTGTGTGTCCACGTTGTCGAACATCCGCCTCGCTAAGCGAATGGTCCTGAGAAAAGGATGGGGGAAATTCTCATAAAAGAAATACCCCGCGCGCGCTAGCAAAGATGGTCACGTCTGTGACACGAGCGCGTTTTGTCTTCGCGTGACGGGCGGGTGCACGCGACTTGAACGGAGGCAGTGTCCGCCTACTTACTCCTCTTTCGACATTGACCGCGACTGCGACCAGCCCGCTCATCTCGCGCTCCAGCGAAAACCTCCATTCTTGGTCACGCAATACTTTCACGCTTTGTCACAGCTGTCAAAGAGAACACACACACACTGCTGGGACCCTTGTCTTTGCCACTTTGCGCCGCATGAACCTAACGGAGGCAAATGCAATAGCGAAACCGACACGCCGCGCAGCCGCACGGAAAGCGTCGCGTCTTGCCGCGGAGCAACTCAACAGCTCGGCCTCCGAGGGTGATAGCGACGAGCCTTCGTCGAGCGAGACGTCGGACAAGAAGTCGTGCGCCAAGGCGACCCATGCAGAGAAGAAGAGGCCTGCACTGAAAGTGGACGCTATTTACCCATCCGTATCTTTGCCTTCCCAGCACTGCTCTTCCTCTTCCTCTGCTCTTCCCTCGCGCACAGCCGCAGCGCTTCGCGAACCCGCTGGCAAGAGGAAGGAATCGCCGGACAGCCGTGCGCAGGACGAGAAGCCAGCGGTGGAGATCATATCAGATACGGACACGGATATCATCATATTGGATGGTCCCCCCACGCCTGTGAGGAACCAGCCCTCGCCACGCACGCGCTCCAGCCCAATGCTGGGAACTCCCCAGGGAGGAAGCATCGCACCACACAAACGTAAACGCGACGATGTCGATTCCGCGTCTGAAGTGGAGATACTCTTGACACCTCTGTCCTCATCAGGAGTCCAGGGTGCGAAAGCGATCGGGAACAGCGTAGGGTCGCAAGGCAGTGCTCGCAAGACAACCATACGGACGCCGTTCATGCACGGGCCGAGTTCAATGAACACCAGCACACCTATCAAGCGCACGGAAGCATCTACGAGACCGCTTAGGAAGGCAGATCCCAAGTATGACATGTTGAACCTCAAGGAAGAGGTGGTGCTGGTCTTTGTCCACCTCAATCTCTCAGGCGCCCCATCCGAATCTGACGAAGCCATATGGTGGCCCGCACGGGTGTGTATCTCATTAAGACTCATAAGGCAAAATGCTATCTTGAACCTGACTCTGCTGGATCTCAGGTCATCGACCGCGGCGAGCCCCTGCGCGTTGCCCCCTTTGGCAAACACCCCGGTTGGTCCTCGAGGAAGGAGCCCCACGCCGCACTCACGCTCCCGTCCCGCGCGCCCCAGTTTATTATGCCCTACCGTTCCGGCCCGACGCAGCTGCGCTTTGACGAGAAGACGTTCGCGCCATCTGGCCATGCCGCCAGCCTCGCACTGTCCCCGCACAAGAAGCGGCGGACGGACGAGCCCGACCTCGTCGCACGCTGGAGCGAGGCCCGGGACCTACTGCTCAGGGCGTACCAGGACGCCAATGACGGCATGCCTCTGTCGCTCTCGCGGTACATTGTGGATGTGTCACCGCCCCTGCAGGGTGAATATACGCGTGAAACATCCGACATCAGCTTGGACCTGGGCAGCGACGAGCCGAGCGGCAAAACAGGGTCGTGGAGGGCTCCATCGGCAAACTTCATGTATGATATCCCTGGCGAGCTCGTCCTCGCGAAAGAGCGTAAGCGAGACACTCAGTACTGGCCTGCGAAAATCATGAAATACCATCCGCCGAAGAACCCAAAAGAGAAGCCGCGTTATGAAATAATGTACTACGAGGGCACTGTCAAGAACTTGCCTGACGATGAGGGAATGTTCTATACGCCGGCACACGAGGGGTTCAAGACGTGCATGGTAAGGCTGAACTTTGTGGCACGTTGTCTGTCTCCTGAGTCTATCAAACCATAGCTAGGCGACGCTGAAGACGACTATGGCTTGAATGAGGGCAACCGGGATGAAGATGACGAGTCGGCTCCTCAAGCTGATCCGTTGGACGAGGAGACAGAGGAACAGCTACGCGCTCCAAGCCCACCACCGACCCTTCCAGCTCCGACAGCCTTCGGATACGAGCTTACAATTCCCGAACAATTCAACTACGTGAAGCCAGTGCTCGTCGCACTCATGAATGGCAGATACGAACCTTCGTTGGCCCGCCACACTAGCTTCATGAAGGACGGCCGGTCAAGAAGGTCCGTGATGTTGGACGCGTGGAAGCGCGGCGAGCTTAGCCCTTCTGACAAAGACGAGCTTGACGTGTGTATACGCCGCTGGATGCGCAAACGATCGAGGCGGCAGCAGCTGGGGCTAGTCCCTGCAGACGAGCTTGTTCTAGTTAAGGACGAGGCCCAGGGTCAGAGTGACGTCCCGGCAAGCAAAGGCAGTCTCGAGGCGGTGAGTTTTCAATTCGTCGACAACGGATCACATCAGTTGTGCTGACATGGTGCATATGCGCAGGTCCCGCCTGTGCTCGATCTTGACCTCGACCTTGATCTCGAGTCGGTGGTGGCTGGTGGCGCCGCCGAGGTACGCGCTGTTGTTTATGATGATGCCGAACGCCCACACATTGTATTGCAGAGCGTCTTTTCGGATATTCAGCCTCCGTCATCATCACTTGCAACTATTGATAGCATACGCACGAATGTGACGACTTGTAACGAAAGCATGTCCGATACCCACGGCGCGCAGGCTGACTCTAGCGTCCCCGACCGCAGCGTTAGTCGTCTGCAGGATATCACGGTGCGTAAAGTCCTTCCTGCAGCGCCTTTCGATGATTCACCGGCTGAATTTGATTGATTACAAGCCGGTGCGCGCCACCACCGACGCGATCAAGGTCGATGATGGCGCAGTCTCCACCATCTTGCATAATAAGGTGCGCGGATGAGGGCCCGCTCCACGATTGTGCGCTGACCGGTGTTGGCGTCGCCAGCCCGACGACCCGACGTCACGCCACGACCGGAAAGATGAAACGACGGCAGGGCCGCTGCCAACGTATGCCGAGCTCTCACCTCTGGACCAAATCACCGTACGAGCGTTTAAGCTTGTCGAGTCGATGTTGGTGGCTGAAAACCTTGTCGTTCTGTAGTATTGTACCTCGGTCCTCCTTCCGGAGGCGATCCTCCAACTCCTGCTTTGGCGCAACGGCTACAGAGAGACGCCCGAGCCTGCGTCGGCAGAGGAGGAGGCACGCTTGTACAAGATCGCGAGGGACAAGGCAGACGCTACCGATTGGGTACACGATATCATCCGCATGAAACGCTCCGTGGATAGGAAGACCTTACCATCGGATGCTATCGTGCTAGCGTCTGCCACGGGCGGGAACAAGTTGAGGGCAAGAAGGAAATAGCGTAGCCTGACGCACGTGCGTACGACTCTGTAACAGCTCGCACAACACATACGTGATTGTGATGTTTGCCACATGCTGCATTGGACTTTTGGCTCGCTTCTTGCATCTTGTCAAGTGTTCGTCCTACGCTGTTTATGGTCTGGTACCATCCAGCAGTGCTGTGCGCGCGTCCACGAACAGTTAAGTGCAATCTATCCCGCAATGAGAGTAGCGGATGAGAGACAGTCCGTGCTGGACAGAGCCCTCTCCCAGAGGTTCTGGTGCAGGCCCGCGTCGGTCACACGCACCCCATATGATAGACATTGGATGGAACTTCTCGAGCATATGGCTCGAACACCGGTGTTCCTGAGCAATCATATCAAAGAACACAAAGAACTCGATGCAAGCTCCGCTGAGAGTTAGAGTTCCAGCTGTGAAAGATATGACGAAGCACCAACGAACAGTAAGCGGGCATTCGCATGTCATGAGCTATTAGCAACATTCGCACAACATTGTCGTCGCGCATCGCGAAGTGCGCATCTCGGCCTATTCGGAAAGGGTGGGGAATACAGTCATTATCATGTATCATAAGAAAGCAGTGACTAAGGCAAAGTGGTATGGGACTAAGTTCCGGATAGATGCACTGGTGCGCGAAGATAGGAGAAGTCCAATTTTACATTGTAGTTCATCACGTAGAGTGTCATATAGCATTAAGAGTGCCGAAGAAAAAGTTCCGCGGAGGTGTAAAAGATATTTAATCAAAGTCTCGAAGATCGACAAATGGCCTACAATACGCTACTGTGAGTCCGCGAACTCATTCGGGGTAGGGCAGAGAGGTCCAATCTAGAGGAGTTGCGCGAGCGGGAGGTGAGTGAAGCAACGCTACCGTTGAAGACGAGATTCCCAAGGCGCGGCGAGCCAGGGTCGAACGACGACGCAGCGCCGTTGGCGAAGTCTACGGGAGGGACGGAAGGCGAACGGGTCATCGACCCACGAGACGGTGAGACCTGGTCAGTCAGGACGATAGGAGGAGGCATCTTCGAAGAGGCACCAAAAGGCGATAGCCGCTTGAGCCCAGCGAGGGCCCTGGATATGGTACGCGTGGGAGAGGACGGACGAGGCGAAGGCAGGCCGTTCATTAAGGAACGTCCTTCCTCCATCGAGTAGCCTTGCAAAATGTAATCACGATCTTTCTTGCGAATGCAGCGGCGCAAGGTGCTTCGTATACGATGCCGCAACCGGTATAGCGCAGATATGCAGAAGACCACGATGAACAGGTAGAAGACGAGGCCCACGATGGAGAACCCGAGCGCGTGTCGTGTGAGTGAGGGAGGTAGGTGGGGTGATATATGATCTTCAATGGCGTCAAAGTCAAGGAACGGCGGCCGTATGGGCTTGACAGGTGAAGTCGTCAGATCCGGGATATCATCAATGGGGTCAACGAGGGGGCGTGTAGACGATGACAATGGAGGGACCTCCTTACTGGCCTCCAACACCATCTTTCCCAGCGTCCAACTGATCGCAATGTCACCAACACTTTCCACCGACTGGAAATGCGGTCTGCCGAGGCCCTTATCCTCGGCCTGCTGTGCAACTTTGCCGCCTTCTGTTGTGCTATTCCCTCCCGGGTCAACTATCCTCGGAAGGCCGATGCCTTCGTGGAGAACGTTGACCAACCAGGCCGCCTTGAAGCACTGCATCTGCAGCCTGGAAATTTCCACCTTGTTGCCCCACTTCCCAGTTGATATGACTTGACCATTCTGGAGGACTTCGCCATCTCCACCCAACGCACCGCTCTTCCGTGATTCCTCGTGTTCCTGTAGAATTTGGGACCAATCGCGGGCGCAAAACTCCGATGCAGCGCGCTCGTACTGAACGACATCGTACGGCCCGCCAAGCCCGAATACGTGCTCGGACGAATACCAATATTCTGAGACGCCGATAAAGTGCGATACAGAGAAATCGATAGGAGGTACATGGATGCCATTGAACAAGCATGGCGTATCGGGACATGGTGCGTCTTTGTTGAGAAGGGGAGATGTCTGTTTCAAGCACTGCTCGAAAGAGCCGATACCGACCAGTGTGTGCGGCCTTCTCGAATGCGCTGTAGACGATAGCGGCTGTACAGGGGACTCTGTGAGCGTGAGGTCTTTTGGAAGACACGGATCGAGAATGAGCTCGTCGCTTGCAGACGCTGGCGAATGGAGCTCGGCACGAGCCGCTTCGTAATCGTTAACGGCTTGACCGACGTATCGCTCCCTAGCTTGATTCGTGCCATACCCTAGCCAAGTAGTCACGAAGACTTGGTGGTGGATCTCCTTCCCGCCTAGAAGTCGTAGCCGTACGTCGATGAGATCCTTTGTCTGTTCTCGTGCCTCCTTGCCGGGTTCAAAAGCAATTTGTGTCGAAGCACCTCCCATGTCCAAGAATCCGTAGGTTGTTCGTTCCTCGCCTGAGCCCTTGAAACCGTCCATCAAATAGTTCACAGCAATCCACCCGAACAAGCCCTCCTCTTCTCCCGTAATTATGCGAACGCTGGACCCACAGGGACCGATTTCCGAGGGGCCGTCAATTTTGAAATAGGAATGGAACTTGAGGAACTCGCAGGTTGCCGACAGAACGGATGCCTGCTGCTCCGGGGTCAACAGACGCATCCCCGCAGTCGCGAGCAGGAATAGTGGTGTCCCTGGCTGCAGGGACGGGGGTATCTGCGTGCGAGCATGCTCGAGCAGGGGGCGAAGGTGACCAGCAACGCCCCCTGGGTTGTCTGCAAAGGACGAGAGACCTACAAAGTGCATCCGGTGTGTGATTTTACTGTGTATGGCCACGATATCGCATGCACGTACCTGGCTCTACCTTTGTGACCCAGTCTTCCCCCGTCCTCGTTCCCTTCTCTACGGTGGGCAGAGAGTTGAGTGCTTCAGGGCCACCTTGATCGCGAGCCGCCCTCGTGTCCTTCCAGCTGTAAATTTGCAATCTCGACCCGGATGAACCAGCATCAATGACGATCCCGAAGCGACGTGAAGTAAGCCAAGAGTCAGCAGAGGTAGGCGGAGGCATTTATATACATCGACCAGCGGTAGACAGAGAATTGAGATGGGGTCGAAATCGTGCACAGCGTCGTCGACGTCGTGGTCGTAAATATCAGGGTTGTCCGGGTCGGAGTCGCTCAGGAAAGCGTTCGCTCGCATGCCATCAATTTTGATCGGCCCTCAGTCGAAAAATGGGCGCTTGTGATTGCTCACTTTCGTCTCCGTCCTCGACCTCTCCCTTTTCTTGCGCTCTCTATCCCATCTGCTGCCCATTCAGCTTCCGTTGATCGTCTAGGGAACCCTATACGACCTCAATTGTCTGACTGTTGCACTGGAATCTTGACCCAGCACTAAGTATCTGTTACGGCGGTGATTTGAGATGGTACAGAGGACCAAAACCGAAGGTGCGCCTCAAAGACCACTGACCGTCATATGCACGTCTCAAAGAGTCTGTAGGCCCCTCACAGGCTGAAACACTGCTCCGTGTTACGTCTGGTATTGCCGCAGAGCTCATTAAGGCTCACGATGCGAATCAAACTGTCTCCCTCAATGAGCTTCGTGCCAAGATGAGCAAGAAGTACGGGTACGGAGGGGTCCCCCGACTCGTCGATATCATCAGTGCCATTCCTGACGACTATAAGAAAGCGCTCTTGCCGAAGCTAAAAGCACGACCAATTCGGACAGCCAGTGGTGTATGTCATACTCTCATTCTCGCGAGTCCTCGGCTGCTCATTAAATCAATCAGATTGCCGTCGTAGCTGTTATGTGCAAGCCACATAGGTGTCCACATATTGCAATGACGGGTAACATCTGCGTCTATTGCCCCGGAGGACCGGACTCGGACTTCGACTACAGCACGCAAAGTTATACTGGCTACGAACCCACGAGCATGCGGGCTATCCGCGCGCGTTATGACCCTTACGAACAGACACGAGGACGAGTGGAGCAACTGAAGAGTTTGGGTCACAATGTCGACAAGGTATGCGTCCGTTCAAAGTTTCGCGGTCCGATTCTAATGAACAGGTGCAGGTTGAGTTTATTATCATGGGTGGAACGTTTATGAGTATGCCCGAGGACTACCGAAACACGTTTGTCGCACAATTGCACAACGCGCTTTCAGGATTTACGGGTATAGATGTCGACGAAGCTGTGCGGTATTCTGAACAAAGCAAATCGAAGGCCATTGGTATAACCATCGAGACCCGGCCAGACTACTGCCTCCGGCCGCACCTAAGGTACGCTGAAAACCGTGTACGTCAGCAATGCGGACTCACGTCTCCGCCAGTCAGATGCTCCGCTATGGCTGCACGAGGTTGGAGATCGGGGTGCAGTCCGTCTACGAAGACGTCGCGCGAGACACAAACCGTGGACACACCGTCCGTGCGGTTTCCGAGTCTTTCCACCTCGCCAAAGACGCAGGCTTCAAGGTTGTCGCCCACATGATGCCGGACTTACCCAACGTCGGTGTGGAGCGTGATCTCGAGCAGTTCAAAGAGTACTTCGAGAACCCCGCCTTCCGCAGCGACGGCTTGAAGATCTACCCGACCTTGGTCATACGTGGCACTGGTCTTTACGAGCTATGGCGGACAGGCCGGTATAAGAATTATACTCCAAATGTCTTGGTAGATGTCGTTGCGAGGATCCTCGCCCTTGTACCGCCATGGACGCGTGTGTATCGAGTGCAACGGTGAGAAGGCTCGGTGGCTTTCCATCCATAAACTGCTACTGATAAAGGTTCTATAGAGACATTCCGCTCCCATTAGTTACGAGTGGCTGCGAAAACTCTGGTAATTTGCGAGAGCTCGCATTGAACCGCATGAAAGATTTCGGCGCCGAATGCCGCGACGTTCGGTTCCGCGAAGTTGGGGTGCGTCATGTTTCTCAGCGTGCCCGTTCCAAGGCATTTGCATTCTCATCATCCGCGCGCTCCCACATCTACCCATATGGCCTTTCTTTAGATCCACGAGATTCACCACAAAGTCCGACCCGAGTCTGTGGAGTTGCTACGACGCGACTACACGGCGAATGGAGGGTGGGAGACGTTCCTATCGTATGAGGACCCCGAGCGCGATATCCTGATTGGCCTGCTGCGGCTGAGGAAGTGCTCGGACGAAGGGACGTTTCGTCCAGAACTGGTACGCAAGGAGGACGCCGAGGGCGGGTGCAGTATTGTGCGAGAGCTGCACGTGTATGGCACTGCGGTTCCTGTGCACGGGCGGGACCCGACAAAGTTCCAGCACCAAGTGAGACAACCACCGCGGAGCCTGCGTCGTCCGACTACCCCGCTAATCTCCACTCCCTCTCTTCTCTCAGGGCTTTGGCACGTTGCTCATGGAAGAAGCCGAGCGGATAGCGAGGGAGGAACACGGTAGTGTGAAGATCGCCGTCATTTCGGGCAAGTATTGGTCGTTATCGAGTCTAAATTTGATCATTCATGGGTATCCACCAGGTGTCGGCACACGCGACTATTATCGTCGACTCGGGTATGAACTCGATGGGCCCTACATGAGCAAATCTCTGCTGTAATATCACAGTCTGGTTGTAATATATCATGGGTATATTGAGGAGAGACCTGCGTTGCAATAAGCCATATGCCAAAAAAAGATCGCAGCGATAGAGGTACGTACTCAGGCAGGGTCGGGTAAAACCAAAGTATGGAAGTTCGGAAACACCAGCTCCTCCTCTACGGTTTTGCGAATCACGTCCTGGATGAAGCGTTCCACGCGTGTTACGTTCTTGAGAACATGCTTGTCCGCCTGCCCAATCTCGCTTTCGATGAAGATACTCGGCAGCAGCCGTTGGCCAATGGGCAGCGGTTTGCTAGGCCTCGACTGCGCAGCGTCTTCGTCGTGTTCCGCCGGCGTGCCTGTCGACGAAGGCGTACCACGCTTGTGTCGCTCACCAGCAAGAGGGCCGTACGGGTCCAGATCGTCCACGACGCAGATGTGTATCCGCTTGCGCTCGCCCTCGTACGCGACGACGATCTCGCCATTGAAAACAAGACCGGTCACCGACAGCTTGATGGGCAGCGACATGAACATCGGCGAGGGATAGTTGATGAGTAGCGATGTCGTGAAGGTGATGCGCAGGTTCGATTGCCATGAAACGTGTAGATGCAGCTGTACGTTCGGGTGCGCCGGCGGTGGAACCTCTTGCGGTGTCTCGGCAGGCGGATCTGGGGAATGTGGGCGTGAGTCTGTCCCATTAGGCGAATCCTTCAGCGGCGACGATGACAGATCGTCGTGCCCAAAATTTGTATTGAGCACGCTCCCAAACGACGTACGCGGTGTCAATACCGAGAGCGGCTGACGGATGAGGGGCGACGCATAACCAGAGGCGTACGGGAACAGCGGCCGCATCTCCCCATATCCTCCTCCCAGTGCAGGGCCCCACGCTCCGCGTGCACCATGTAAATTTGGAACAGACGAGAACATATCCGCAACGGGGCCGTGGCCGTACCGCATGTGCGGCGGTAGCAAAGTGTGCGGTGTGAGCTCTTCTGCGAGGCTCTGGGACCGCGCAACCTTGCGTGACACCCATTCGAACCCCTCATCATCAGGCGCGCCTTCCGTGACCTTCACTATCGCAGGCTCCGCATCATGATCGTCCTCGTCGTCCTCGAGAAAATCGCGATAGATGTCGCACAGGTCGACGAGCTCGACGTCCGGGCCCGTGCTCCCAAAGTCGAGCGACGTGACCTCGACAGGGCCAATGAACGACGGTCTGCCAGTGCTAGCAAGCTGTCTGTTGAGTAGCTCCACCAGAGTCGAGGATAGCCTTGAGTCGAGCCTATGCCAGTCCAAGTCGATAGACATGTTGGTTGGGAGGGAAAGGGTCAGATTGATGCGGCTGACCCGCTCTCATGTAGCCGACACCTTTGTGGCGCCAGACGCCCAAAGCAGAAGCCAGCGCGTCGTCGAGCACGACTGCCACCCGAGAATATTAGTTAACACGCGCTGCTGGAACGGCATTGCAAGTTCGGTATCCACACCCGCCGACAAGTAACCTCATGAAGCGAGGATATACGCGAGTGTCATCGCAATATAAGTACTATGTAGCGTACTGCAAACACAAGCCCAGCCCAGGTACAGTCAACCGTCTATCGTGTAGATACCAAAACCACGTCCAAACGCAGTATGCAGACGAGCGGGGGATACTCAGTAGTAGTGGACCTCCTCGCTCTCACGGCCACGCATGGACGGCGGCTCGGTGCCCTTGTAGTAGATGTCTGACCAGAGGTCCTTCTCGAGTGGGAACGGCGACGCCTTGGCCTCCTCGACCGCGGCATCGACCTCGGCCTTAGCTTCCTTGTCGAATTTCTGAGCAGAAAAACATAGCTTGAGTATGTTGCATTTGCAATTAATACGCCTGGGAACACGTACCTTGAGGTCCTCCTCGGAGGCAAGACCCCACTCTTCAATATAGCGCTGGAGACCGCGAATGGGGTCCTGGGTCGAACGCATGCGTTGGATCTCCTCACGGGTACGGTAGGTGGTGCCAGGGTCGGACATGCTGTACGTACATCGGCAAAATGTCACTAAAACGTTGAAGCAAAAATAAAACTCACGAGTGACCACCATAACGGTAGGTAACGAATTCCAGCAGGATCGGACCCTTGCCGCTGGTGACCCAGTCACGCGTGTGCTGAACAGCCTTCTTGACAGCGATAATGTCCATTCCGTTCGCCTGGATTCCAGGGATCTTGTCTCCACGAGTGAAATACTCGGTGTTGGACGAACTGCGCTCTGCGGAGGTACCCATTCCGTACTTGTTGTTTTCACAGACGAAGACGCATGGCAGATCCCACAATTTCGCCTGTACAACGCGCTTTAGCCCAGTACACAAAAATCAAACTCGGCAGCGATACGCACCATGTTGAACGCCTCGAACACCTGACCCTGGTTGGACGCGCCGTCTCCATACATGGCATAGGTCGCAGCGGACTGGTTCATGTATTTTTGGGCGAAGGCAATACCAGCACCGAGGGGCACCTGCGCGCCGACGATACCGTTGCCACCGAAGAAGGACTTGGTGAAGATGTGCATCGAGCCACCCTTTCCATTGGACATGCCACACTGGCGACCGAGAAGCTCGCCGATGACGCCTTTGATGGTACCCCCGCGGAGGACAGCAAACGGGTGGCAGCGGTAGGCAGTAATGACCCGATCCTCGGAGGTAATTCCCGCTTCAAGGCCGACGGAGACAGCTTCCTGCAGACAGACAAGGGCGAACGTCAAAACTATGGGACGCGGCACGAGTGGAACGACAACGCACCTGCCCAATAGCCAAGTGGCAGAAGCCACGAATGAGCTTCTGCTTGTAGAGAGTGTCCGCGGCCATCTCCATCCTCCGCATGGTCTGCATCGTTTTGTACATGCCCAAGAGCTCGTCCTTCGAGACTTCGACGTCTAGTGAGGGGACGTCTGTCTTGTACGCGCGAAACGAGTCTTCGTGGAGCGTCACGGTGAAGGGCTTCGAGTGCGACGCATCCTCGGTGAGTATTGTTGTGTCCGCAGAGGTCTGCAAAGACCGCACGCCGATGGGCTGCAAAGCATAACACGCGTACTCAACATACGAAACCTTTGCACTGGGAGGAAATGAGCTGATACGTACGAATCTTCGTGGAAGACGAGGGCGTAACCGGGCGAGCGAGGCCATGGTGAAGTGGAGGAGGAGGATGAAGTGAAAGTTGGGGACGAGGACGGCTTATTGCCTCAGGACACGAGTGGTGCCAGCGCCCTGTTCGGCGGGCGCCCGACTCGGGACAACTCGTAGAAGTCGGCGCAGACCACTCCTTTTGGAAATTCTCCGCAAAGTAATGTCATGTCTATAAGCCATGGTGCTAAAATTTATGTACGATAGTCTACCGGTCATGTAGTATTAAGCATTATGATACAGTGGTTCATGATGTCTCGCGTCTAGTATGTTATGCATTTTCTACCATCTCACGCTTTGTCACGATCTCGTCTCGCAGCATGGTAATCCTCGACTCAAGGCGCGAAGACATGTCGATACTCTGAGGGGAGAGCGCCAACGCTTGGTCTAGCCGCTCGCCAGCCTTCTTCAGCACTTGAAGCCACGCCTGCCTATCCTGCTCGCTGAGCAATACCTTATCTGAGCCGTTGCTGCCGGCACCGAGGGTAGCCTCCGCTTCCTTGAGGTCCAGCACTACGATCTCGAAGGAGGTCACCCCGGGAATCCAGGTACTGACTTTGATAGACTTCTGCAAGCTGAGAGCGTCAAGGAAAAATTCTCGAGACGCAGTATAATGGCCGGCCCTGCGATGAACGATACCGAGGATCAACGAACGAATCGCGAGTTCATCGGCAGTGCTGAGATCGGGAGGATTAGAGGCAAGTTTCGGGGTGGTGTCGGCCACGACAAACGGGCTACTGATGGTCGGATACGGTGTCAGGGTCGTCAATTCTCTGGCATGCTCCTCGCAGACATCCGTTATGATGCGCTCATAGTTGTTCCAGACTACGGTGCAATTAGCATTCAAGTCAGGGCGTATGCCAGCATATACTCACAGATACCAAGCTCTTCAGCAGGGCTTATCTTCATGCATTTGACCCAGTCTGTCTCGGAGCCTGTAAGTCGCTTCTGCTTATCCTTGTAGAAGGCCACTGGCGCGAAGTCAGTAAGAGTACACAATCGCCCATAGACGGTCGCAGTGTCGAGCATACTCACGTTTCTTCTTGATCCAAACCTCAGTCGGCAAATCTTTCCCACCAATCTTCTTCTTCTCGAGCAGCTCAGGGACGTCGTCGAAGAGCTTCTGCGCCTTCTCGTAGTTCTTCAAGGAAACGTAACAACCGGCTGCGATAAAGAAGTATGTGGCGTGACTCCTACAAGTCGACATGTTTCAATAAGTAAGCGAAACTCGAAAGTGATTTTTACCCACCAGCTGTTGATCTCCGTGACTTTGAGGAACATATCTGCCGCCTCATCATAGCGACGTTGTGAAAGCAAGCACCATGCTAGCTCAAAAAGCAGCTGGGATATGCGTCAGGATTTGTTGCCATGCAATGTATGTGGTAACTCACTAGACCGTCGGCCTGATTGAAGCTCTCGGGGCGAGGCATCTTAAGACCTTCCTGAAGCACCTTGATCGCTCCGGTCGTGTCGTACGACATGCGCAAAAGCTTTGCCTAAGCGCAGAGTTAGCAATTACCTAAAATTATTCGATAGTGGACGTACCCTATTAAGGATCCACAGAGAGCCGGTAGGATATCGCGCCTCAACGCTACCAGACATGAAGTTTCGACTTGCAAAAATATGGCGAGACGTCCTTACTGGTCGACCATGGCCCCGTACTGCCTGAGTATATGCTGCTCGTCTGCTTGGTAGCCGGTAAAGAGTAAGACAACGCCGTAATATGTCATAAGGACCAGCCTAATCAACGATAGAATAGCGTAAGTCGTGAACTGCGACGAAGGAACTGTTACCATACCCAGCAAAGACTGCGTGCACATCCGTCTGGTTTGCAGACACCGCGAGAGCACGCAAGGCGAGCTTTCTGTCATGCTTGAAGCCAAGGAAGCCCACGACACCTCTGAACAACCCCGTTACATCTCGTATGCTTCAGAAGAAGGGATTACCAACCTGATTGTCGCCGGAAGCAGCGAGAATACAAGATTGAATAGTCTGCCAAGAATTGTCAATGCCACAATTCACGCGACAATTCAGAAGCACTGACCCGTAGCCTATGACGCGCCCTATCAGCTCAATTCACATGACGCGCGTTGCGAACTCACCAAACGCCGTTCCGGACATGATCAGCTCCTCTACGGGGCCGTCTGGTGTGGAGCTGACGGGGTTAGCAGGCTGATGAGGGCTCAGAGTCGAGACGCCGAATCGCCCGAAGAAACCTGTTCGCTGCTTCGTCGGCGTAGTGCGTGTGGTCGACGACTCGGAGTGTATGCTTGGAGAGGGCGAGGGCGCCTTGGAAGTGGCAGGGGTCGCGTAATTGTCGAGACCGCTTGGAAATACAGTCTTGTACAGTCTGCGGAAGGCTGTGAGGTAGCCGAGACCCAAGTTCGCTTAGGGACGTACTTTGTAAATTTCGAATGGGCTCTGCGTAGTTACCGGTGAGCATACGAGCATATGGTAGAGAAAGACACGTACTTGTTCAATTCGTAGAAACACTGGAGATATCCCATGTACGATTCACTGCCAGCGGCAGGTTAGCCGAGTACAGCTAGCATGCACGCAATGCGTACCTCAACGCGAGCGTCACGGCATGCAGAATGACAGCATCAGAGATGAGCAACTCCCACTCTGTACCAGCGGGGAAGCGAGTTGAAGACTTGGAGGACTTGGCAGCAGAGAGCTGCTTCCTCGCGCCGGCATCTGAGTCGGAAAGCAATCTGGTAGCTTCCGCCAAAAGATTCGACTGAACATAACAGCAATGAGAGTTGTATCAAAGCAAGATATCCTTGGCAAGACGCACTTCCATGCCAAGAGCCGCCTCTAGGAATGCGCACACCCCGGCCCCGAGTGCATGAAAAGGAGAGTCGGCCGCTTTGAATGTTTCTCGCGCCTTGTCCAGGTCGTTGGAGAAAAGAGCATCGAAACCAGAGGTAGCGGAACGTAAACTGCGCGTCGTTTCGTCGGCGGCCATGGTGTGAACAGAGACTAGGACGAGGCGGTCGCGACAGTCGGGTTATAAAGGAGAGGAGGACTGTTCTTTCGCGATCGGACTTCATATGCTGTGTGTCCTCACGTGAAAATGCGCGTCTGCGGCTGCGAATGCGGGGAATTCAATGATGGTGCCCGTCCTCGGCCTTGAGAGCACCGACCACACCCTCCGTCGACCATCCTCGCCACCGGTCATGACAGTCTCTGTTCTGACGATCTCTGCCTTGAAGGAGGCGAAGAACTCCATCATCGGGAACCCAACAGCGAAAAGAGCTTTGGCTCAGGATGACGCATTCATAGGAACGTAAGTCTCTTGTGCACTCTACGAACGTCCGTATACGCATTGCAAATAGGCTTGTAGAGTGCATACACAACCCAGACACATACGTGGACCTGTCTCACAACTCACAAGACAACGTACGAATTGAGGCAGCACACGTTCTCGCTTCGCTCTCCTATGGTGCGCAGCGCGCTTCAAGACTCGTAGAGATCTACTAAATTCGCAGTCAAGGTCCCTCGGATGCTCTACGCACACTGCTCAAGCTTGACGCTACGCGAGCATTTCTCATCGCTCTTTCCACCTTACACCCTTCCGACCCACCAGTTCTTAAAGCCGCACTCGCGCGAGGACTGCGCGTGCTGACGGTTGCGCTCGCCGATGTTGTCGGGCCCGCAGAGTGGGGGTTGCAAGCACACATGCCAGACATGCAAGGCGATGCAAAAGATACCCTGGACACTCTATTCCAAGTACTGTGTACTCCTCTCTCGTTACGTCCCTTGTAACTCTCATGCCAACTCTGGTCCGCCCCGCAGGTCGATGCCTTGGATGTGTACCTTCCCCTACTGTGCGACTCGTCGGCGCAGGTGTGCGCATCTATAGCGCAGCTCCTCGCAAACTCCCTTCGGCTGCAGGTGTACAGGACATCGGTGTCCGAGTGGTTGCCTCTCTCGGAACGGCACAAGGAGGTCAAGGGGAAGCGCGGCTGGGAGAAGGCAGACAACCAAAAATCTCCTAGTCGGTCTGGAGGATGGGCAGCTCGACAGCTTTCCTTGTTACTGCACCGTAAAGATGTCAAGGCAGGTCATCTGCGAAGCCCCCCTGGCCATTGCTTATAATCGACATAGCTTCAAGAAGCTGCATTATTCGCTCTTGCTGCACTATCAAAAGACAACCCTGCTGTGGCAATGAAGCTGGCGCGAACAGCTCCAGACCAGGCCCGTAAGTTTCATGCATGTCACGCACATATGGTGCCTTACGATTAGCACAGCTGTACTATCCACAGTACTGTCAATGTGCAAATCCCGCGTAATAGATCAGCAAGTCGCAGCCTGTCTTTGGTGCGCCTGGAAGCTGATCTCTTGCGGATTATCAGCTAACCTCTCTTCCAGTGCGACAAATATTATTCGAGCCGGATTCAGCCCTCAGTATCTGCATATGGACCACTCGTCTCCTATGACAGTCACGCATGTTGTCAACAGCTTGATCTCCTCTGAGATGGAGAAGCCGATCACTCGGACCAAGGCCTGCTATATCATGTGTCAGTGCGAGATATTCGGTTAATCCTCTAGGCTTATATGAATGTAGATTACCTCGTGTGCGACGACAAGGACCTCTGTCAGCTCGCCTTCGACCGCGGTTCTCTAACCAAGCTAGCTAATCTCGTCAGGTCTATCACTCCAAGCGAACCTGCGCCAGGCTGGGACGAAGACGAACCAGAAAGCATCGCACGACTCCGCGAGGTGCGCTCTCGCCTCAGCTACCCAACCCCTTACTGACGTACGCCACTAGGCAGCTCTCACAGCCATTGCAGCCATTGCGCTCTTTGAGGACGACATCCGCAGTGAGGTGACAGACACACTGCGGATGATACCCCATATCCAGATATCGTTGGCGCACCATCACCCTGCTGTGCGGTATGCCGCGTGTCAGTGCGTTCGCTCCCTCAGCCGTGCAGTCTCAGTCCTACGAACAAGCATTGTCGACTCTGGGCTCGGGCTCTCTGTATACCAGGTGTTCTGCAAGGAAGACGAAGATCCGAGGGTAAGGCACGCAGCAAGCTCGGTGATATGTAACCTTGTTACAGACTTTTCTCCTATGAAGGAGGTGAGCTACAAGTGCAATGCTCTGCGTTCCATAGCTGACAAGACTCGTAGACTCTTCTAAGCCAAGGTGTCATAGAGCGTTGTGTGAAGCTTCTGGACACTCCCGAGCAAGCGCTGGCACTAAACGCATTGTGGACTTTCAAGAACCTCTTGTACAAGAGTAATACTGATCTCAAGCGGCAAGTGATGGAAGCGTTAGGCTGGAGGACGCTGCAGCGGCTCTTAACGCATGAAAGCCCAGACTTCCAAGAGCACGCCTTCCATGTCGCGAGGAATATCGCGGACAACGAGGCGGGGATAGAGATGGTCTTCGAAGGCCTTGGGCCTAGTGTTCTGTTAAGTACTGTGAGCCAGGGCTTAGATTCGGAGCACGACGACGTTCTGCGACAGGTACGTCTCACCGCAACCTGCCAGCCCTCCACAAACAGTGACTCCGCTTGCCACAGGCCGCATTCCTCCTCGGGAATCTCGCGAACAGCCCGAAGCACCAACGCGACATCCTATCGCACCCACGCATACTTATCTCCTTGCGTCAATGCCTCATCGACGCAAAAGTGGACGTCCGCCGGCCGGCCGTCGCGTGCGTGCGCGAGCTCATCCGCGCGAACCCTCACAGCTACCGCGAGCTGCACGACGCCGGGATCGACACGACGCTCCGGCACATGTGCGATTACGGTGGAGGGCTGGCTGCGGCGAGCCCGATGGCGTCCGCTTTCTCGATGGGTGTTGAGGAGGACAGCGAAGTGCGCGAGAAGGCGCGCGAAGCGCTGAGATGGCTCGAGCGGAGTGGGGAGATGGGTATGTGATCTGTGGGCCTGTATCATGTACTTCATGGACCGATTTACTGTGCAACCCTTGTATATCTGCAATGCATGGACTTTCCAACTTTCTTTCAATTCACCGATTTTTAGCGTTGCGGAAGAAACTACCGGCTGGTGTAACTTACCGGAGTAACGGCCATGAGGCTGTAAGGGGTGTAAGTTCCCGTTTCTTACATAGGCGTCTAATATGTAAGTTACGGTAAGTGAATTGTAAGAAAAGCGTGTAAGTTACAGGGTCAGTTGTAAGTACCCACGACGTCGGGACATCAAAGGAGTCCGATGACCCCGAGGCCACCCCCGACAATGCCGCTACGTCTTTTCTTACTTCAGATGGCTTCGGTACCTCTTCTGTTAGCAGTGCTTCCAAGACTGGTACTGAAGAGCTGAGGTTTAGCTCGGGCTCATCGGGAGAGCTCTCGATCGAGAGCGTCGAGCTCATCTCCTCTGTAGTCCGCTTCATGATCCGAGTAAATGAGATGCCGTCGAGGTACATCTGCAACTGCTAACTTACAATCCAATGATTACCGCTGAAGTGGAAGATACCGCCGCATCTCGCTGCACGCGAGTGACGCAAGTATTGATCACAGCGTCGCGAGCCACGCTTGTCGTGGGGGAACGGCTGTCCGGTCCGATACAGTGAGATCAATTAGCTGGCAGTCCATACGTTCAGAGCGGAGCCACGCTGAGCGGCCTCTCGATGGTCTTCATATCTTGGCGGAGCACAGCTATACAGTATTTCAGCTGTTGGCATTCGTCTCCTAACATATGTTTGCTGACTCGATAGTCTCGATACGGCCTCCGTCGGCCGCTACTTGGAGAGCCGCTTCGTGAGGGTAGACAGTCAATAGACTCGTGTGGAATAGTGAATACAGAATCCATGTCAGCTTACATATTGTCTGCAGTGCAAGCGAGGATGTATGTCCGGCAAGAATTTCACCTGTGTTCGCACGGATAATAGATTAATTCCACCAAAAAATCACAGAAATATTCGCCTAGAAGGCCGGCACATGCCCTATCATGCCATCGGATCCCAAACCCCATTGATTGAGACTAACTTACACTAACTTACACTGCCACTTTTGGTATGCCTGTCAGAAAAGTAAGTTACCAGTGTAAGTTACCGACTTTCTTACGGACAGTAAGTTACACCTGACTTTCTTCCGCCTGCCGATTTTCCCCGAGACTCAGCGCTTAGCTGCGTAACGTGACTACCGCCATCAGTCACAGGTCACAAACGCGGATGGGCAGTCTTGTTCCGCGCGTTCGGGATTCTCAATATTGCCTTCGACGCGACTTTCAAAAGCAACTACCTCTATGCCTGGCACACGGACTAGAAAAGAAATCAAGGCCCTTGAATATGTAGGCGCGCGCCCCGCGTATGTTTCCGGTCATTTCCCCACGAATTTTGGCTCAATTTTGGTCGCTCGCCGTTTCCAGGGGCTTGCAGCATGGGCCTGTGCGAGGACTCAAGCGCAAAGCGAACACACCGCTCGAAGGAAGGTACTTTGTAGGAAAGACTCCGTGCGTCTGCCTGTTCGTTCGATCAATTGCAATAGCTGAACCCAGGAGCAGACCGCCGCCGTCTCGAACATCTCAGGAGGGCCGTACGTTTGCTGTTGGCTATGTGGGTAAGCGACGGCTCCATAGTCGGTACGTTTGGTGCGGCTACTGTGCTATTACTGTCTGATTAATGCGAATTCAGCGTGAGACGCGCCTCCAGCAGCAACGAAGAGCGTGAAGGCAAAGGAAGGTTTTACATCGGCAATCCTATACATTTACGCACGGCGGGCGATGTAGGGAGAGGTCTACTCCACAATCGGTTCGTCCGTCTTCACCCGAATCTTTGAAGTGAAATTCAACGTCTTGTCAGCGTTGAGCAGCGACCGGATTCAGAGGAAGACAATATAGACAAATGGCCAGGATATATTGGGGAGCGTGTGCATCGGTATTTACGTCAAATTTGCGCTCATAAGCAGCTAGCTAAGATTGGCAGCGTTCTGAGCAGGAGGTTCAAGCGGCGCCGCGTAACGGTTGTCACCAGTGACGAAGATGAGCTGCCGGAGACCACGAACGACTCCAATATCTTCGTGGATCAGCCTGTCGGACCTCCGGATAGTCGCACTTCGGCAACTCCTGAGGCAGGAGATGTATGCTATGTCGCGCGAGAGGATGAAGAAGATGAGGACGAACACTTGATTGTGCAAGGAGAAACCGCTCCTGAGGCTGTAGACCTGGAAAAAGACGACGTGCCGATGCGCATGCTCAAGGATTTTTCCATCTACGATTTTTCCTTCAACCTGCCACTGGTTTACTTCGACCGAAACTTGTGCTTGGATACGAACCGAACATTGGGCGCATCAGGTTATGTTGAGCCTTACATGGGGTCGGACAATGACTCTAGCGAGGAAGCAAGTGCGGATGGTGATCGTCAGCTCCAGCGCATATGCATATCTAATATCAAAGAGATATGTGTACACGCTGTGTGCGAAAAGCCAGTCTTTGAGCTCGACCCGTGAGTCAGACTCCTGCCGCGCCAATGCTCACGCTGACGTCTTGTTCAAACTCTTCAGGAATGTATACATCAGAACTGACTATGCCTGGTACATACTAGACACTCCGTCTCCACAGTACGCTCCGTTCTGGACCGAGTTCTCCATCAAAGAACGCATATTCTATGAGCTCATAACTGCAGCTCTGGGCGACCATGGGATCACATACGAAGAATTCGTGGACCACCTCAAAGAACAAGACGATACTGATCGGCCTATCACAGAAGAAGACCTCCGGGATGACTCAGTGGTGCGTGTATGGCTAAACCCAAACACACACATGTGCTAACTTTGCCGCAGCGTAACTACCTGCAGTATTCGTTCAACGAGCTGCAGCGCGAGTGTCAAGAGGGGCATTCTCGTATCTGCGCTCGTTTGTTAAGGGCTCCGGCCGTCCAACATCTGGTACTGCCGCCGCGTCAGCCCTCGCCCAGCGTGTCTCCTGAAGCTTCCGGCTCCACGATAAGAGAACCATCCGTCGAGACGGGACGCTCACCTTCGCCGTCTCTCCAGAAGTCTATCACGCCGAAAGAGCAGCCCGAGGCAACGGTCGTTACGCCACGTGTGTACGAGATCTGCAAAGACCTCTACCCCCTTAATGACTTCGATATCGTTGGTACCAACAACCGGGCGCGAGTCAAGCTCACAGATGGCGAACAGCGGCGGCATCCTGTCCACAAGAGCGATCCGGAGAGTATCGCCTGGGTTCAAGAAAGCAGGACAGTGCCGTATCACTTCAAGTCTGTCATGATCGACGGCGTGCGATACGATGTTGGTGACACGATCATGGTCGAGCCTGGAGAAGACGACAACAAGGCGCGCGCACAGAACAACGGGATTCAGAGTAGCAATCCGATGGCAGAGTCAAAATGGTCAGTGCCTGCTGTTCATTGACGGCGACCAGCATTGACCTTACTCTTCTGCTAGGTTCGCGAAGATATGCTATATGTACGAGGAGCCCAACACCATCGGCTATCAGATGGCCCACGTACAATATTACTCACACGGCGCAGAGATTATTCTCAAGGAGACAGCCCACCCGTTCGGCTTATTCTTGCTAGATGAGTGTAACAGCATTCACCTCGACTCCATATACGGAAAGGTCAACCTTCGAATCTTGGGCCCAACGGAAGACGAGCCGCTCATTGAAGAAAGAGATAACCTGTATTTCACGGGGTACGTCTCAAGCTTGAATATCTACCAGCCGTCTAACAATATCAATGTCAGGGTATGTTGGGACGCCAATAATGCTATTTTCTTCGATCGTACGTCCGAGGAAGAAGAACGCGCTCGTAAGAGATGCAAGCGAGGACGGCCGTGCATCTCATGTGGGATAGGCCTTCTACAAGGCGATGACGACGGATGGGCGATCCACGATGGTATCCTTGTGCACGGCGGCGTGACATACCATGTCGACGACTTCGTATACATACGACAAGAGCTGGACAAGACGGATGTCTATCTCATCGCGCAGATTATAGAGGTTCACCGAAGTACCCATCTTGAAAAGCTCTACCATTCGGTCGACCTCAGGGTCTATCAGCGGTGTGATCTGATCCTGCGTGCGGAGACAAGGGCAGAATTTGGGTTATGGGAGACGGACGAGGTGAATTTCTCTGCTCATATTTGTTCCAAGGCATATACTGATTTTCATGATGCTTAGCGCCGCCTATTCCGCAGCGATACTTATGTTGACGGCGTCGATGTGCGCTACATCGAGGGGAAGGCGTTCGTTGTGCACCGTTCTTCTCTGTCCGACGACGAGCTTGAGAATTGGTGCACACATGACGATCACTTCTATGTCGACTGCAAAGCGAAGTCAGACAAACCCCGCTCCTCAAATGAGTTTGAGCCCCTCTCGCGCAAGTCATTCCGCACATGCCACAAGTGTGTTGGGCTACGGAAAGAGCAGCTCACTGAGCAGCAGGAGCTCATGGATAGTCACTCTCCGTTACGTGGGCTGGAGCTCTTCGCCGGTGCAGGTGGCTTGTCGACCGGCTTCGACGAGAGTGGTTATGTGAAGACAATGTGGGCGGTCGAGCTTGGTGCAAGTGCGTGTTTGACGTACGAGTAAGTGGCACTCTTGCCTCATTGAGTGTTGTATAGGTACTGAGTAAATGGCGGCAGGGAAAATCATCCGTACGCACAAGTGTACCACGGCTCGGTGAACACAACACTGAGGCACGCCATCGAAGCATATGAAGGCCAGGACCCAGAGCCCCTGATATCAGAAGAGCTTGGACAGGAGCTACCGCCCATGCCCCGACCAGGAGAGGTTGACTTCATATATGGTGGACCACCATGTCAAGGTTTCTCTCGCATGAACCATAGTAGGGTGTGTCAGGCAATATTCTGCTTTATCTTTTTGACTGAAATTGTGAGGTTGGGTTGTAGACCGTGGATGACTACAGGTGGGATTCTACCCATCTAAACTATCACTGTTTGACCTCATGAATATGCAGGAACACCCTTGTATGCAATATGCTCTCCTATGTGGAGTTCTACCATCCAAAGTTCTTCATGCTGGAGAATGTTGAGGGTATCTTGTACCATCCTTTGGCTGCAACCCAGTCAGGCCCTGGTAGAAAGATGGAGGGTGGTGTCCGGATGGGAGTTGTAAAGCTCATTCTTCGCACTCTCACCAGCCTTGGGTACATCCTCATGTCCTCAAACTCACTTATCATCCTCTAATTACCAATTACTCTCCAGATATCAGGTCCATTTCAAGCTTCTCCAAGCTGGTCAATATGGTGCCCCTCAATCAAGGTTGCGTGTTATCTTCCTTGGTGCACAGCGTGGACTACCTCTGCCAAGCTTTCCTATACCAACACACTGCACAGCAGATGATGTGCAGCAAATCAAACTGGTAACAGGAAACTTGCTTAGGCCTGCTGTTCGTATCATTCCATTTGAAGACAAAGATGTGGTCAATCGGAAGGCATGGCTACAGTTTGCTCCACATCTAAGGGTTTCAGTTGAGGATGCAATCAGTGATTTGGTATGTTCATCATTTCTTGAAAGTTTTTACTGTATTTTAGGTTTGCTCATGGCTTGTTCCTGGACATTATGCAGCCCAAATTTGACTGGTGAGTCCCTCACCTTGGTTGACCCTTTTCCTCAGCTTATCATACATATATGATATTTTTCAGGATCAACCCAGCTCTCATCACTGACCCAGACAATATCTATGAAATCAACAAGCGCAAAGCTGAGGGTATTCACCGGTTTGATGCACTCTACATTTCAGAGAGCACACATGGTTCTCCATATGCCGGCTATGTGAATCCTGAGCCATACACTTCAGAGCCACTAAGCCGCTACCAGAAATGGATGCGCAGGGGTGTTGATCCTGATGAGGGTGTGTCATACCAGTATACCAAACGCTACAAGGAGAGTGTTATAGAGTGGTGCGTAGTATTATTCTGTCTGTGAGAGCATGAGGGAATTGACTGTATACTGACAGTGTGGTGAATGTGCCACTTAAGGAGAATGCAAACCACATAAGTATGTACAATGTTTTCTTTGCCAATCTATTCTCTTGCTTACCTTACTTGTTGCACAATCAGACCTTCCCAATGAGCTTAAGAACAAGCGATGGTACACTGGTGGACAGATTTCTGGGAAGCCTAAACCAGAATACCTTAGTGCGCTGTGATTGTGTTCCCTTCACTGATCATTACTCATGCACAACTGTCAGCTATCTATGCTCGTGTGAATGGCAAATGGCACTTCCAGACAGCACTCACCTCTGCCAATCCTAATGCAAAGGGTGGTCGCCTGCTTCATCCAACAGTGTGTTACATTGCATTACTAAGGTTGCAAAAAAGATTGCTCATGGTGTAACAAATATAGCAAAAACGTGTGCTGACCATTCGAGAGTTTGCACGGGCACAAGGATTTCCAGACCAACAGAAGTTTCTTTCCATCAAGGAGAATGCATTTGAGGATGTATGTCTTTATACTTAGTTATCTATATGCCCTACTCACTGTTCTGCTCAGCAACAGCGCCAAGTTGGCAATGCAGTTCCTGTGCCACTTGCATTTGCCCTCGGCAAGTCAATTGGTGCTGTTTTAACCTCAATGTGGACAGATGATGATGAAAGGAGACACAGGGAACAGAGCCCTGAGGTTCCTGTGTTCCTTGGCTAATCTACTACATAAGTATACATGATTTTTGGTTTTCTACCAATACTTGTATATTGCACTATCTGCAAACATATCCACCCTAGCCAATTTCACATACTTGAGGCATTATGCCTATGCTTGTTCATCCCTAGCAATGATCACTTGCACACGTTGCAGCTTGCCCTCGTTGCCGGTGCCAGGCTCAATGTCCTTGTCAACGCGTGTGCCTATCCGGATGTCGGTCGCAATGCGAGGCGCACCCTTCACGTGAACTGCAGTGTGGCAGTCATGGATGACCTTCATTACTTCTGACCATGGGCCCTCTACAAAGTTGCGACGAACCCGGCGCTTTGAACACGAATTAAACGAGCAGCAAGAGGCATGTCAACACACCGAGATTAGTCCCGTATCCGCTGCGTAGAGTATAGATAGGTATGCAGAGCCCCTCACATATCACACAAGACTATACGGCACTTACTGCATCTGATGTACGGTCATATTAACATCGACTCTCGTGATCAACAGTGGGAAAGGACTGGCCTGATGTTTTAAGCCTGACTTCTGAAGAATGCGGGCGCATTCCGCTATGTATTCAGCGACCTATGCACAAGAATATTCGTCGGTCGTGCGAGACTCAGGCGGGTTCACGACCCACGGAAGGTTCCCCGGTGCCCATGGGTATGAGACAGAAATCTACGGCAATTAGCTGAGCGATACAGATAGATGCACAGGCACCGAGCCTGACCTGCTACGGCATACAGATCCTGGTCGTTTGAAGATGCCATGAATATTGAATATTGAGTATTGAGAGAGATGGTCGAGAAGGGTAAGCAGCCGGACCGAGGCAAGTGCAATTAAATAAGCGCCTAAACGATATTCTTACGGGTCTGGGGGTTCTCGTGCTATCCATTCATCACAACGTCGCTGCGCACCCCGCCCACGCCGCCGCTCAGATGTCGTCGGAGGATGTCCCACTCGGCGTAAAATCCAGGATCAGTGCCTTTGAGGCGTTGTCGACGTCTAAACCGACGCACGGCAGCGCTAGCAAGTCTGCGCCCAGCTTGCTCGATACTCCAGTCTCGCCGACATCCAAGAAATACTTTCCAATAACACCAGCCACGCCGACAACGCCCGGGAACTCTATATCGAGATCGCCGTCGCCCATAGCCATAGGACCGTCTTTGCGTCGCAAAACTTCGTCGATAGACGACTGGGTACTAGAAGATGGACCTTTACCCTACGCGCCGCGCCAGAAGCCAACGTTTACAGGCAGCAAGCCAGTATCGAACGGCACTGCTAAGCATGTCTCTGATCCCATGGTACGCCAGTCGCTGCAAACATCTCCCCCTCGCATCCAGCTCGAATCCCCGTCCCCTCCACAAACCGAAACCCGGAAGCCGCCACTACCACCCCGCAAAGCATCCTACAGTTCGCTGAAGTCTATTTCCCCGTCTAACTCTTCCACTTCCTCACTCCCTGCTCGCAGTCCGAACGTCCCTACGATGCCCTTGCCTGTTCCGTCACTTCCTTCCCGCAGGAAGTTGGACTCGCTCACGGTCGACCAGTATCCACCAGTGAAGAAGTTGGGTATTGCGATCCCTACGAGGGGAAATGGCTCAGGACATGCTCCTGCATCGTCCATCTCGTCATTTCACTCTGTGTCCCTCTCTTCAGACGGAGGGGCTGACCTCCAGACTCCTGGCTCGGTGTCGAACTTTGTGGCTACCTACCCAATCGACCGAGAAGACCGGGAGACAGAGAACTGCCGTGAGAGGGACAGCGCAAGCCTCGATGAATCATTCGAAAATGTCTCTTCGTCGTCCATCACCAGCCCGAGCGTATCGTCGGTGTCAACTGACTGGGCAGAATACGTCCGGCGGCCGTCCGAGCCGCCAAAGCTGCCGAAACGGCCTACCCCGGGCCCCTCGTCTTCGAGCACGTCTTCCCCAGCGACACCCATGATATCTGTACCGTATGCCGTCCGCCCTATAGCATCAAAGCCAGCACCTCCACCACCTCCGTCCCGCACGCGTCCGCCGCATCCACCATCGAACCGCAGCTCGCTGAACTCTACTTCAGCGTCATCCGACCGTTCTTCCATCATCAGCCAGGCCACTTCCAGGACGTCTGTCTCGAGCTACCGCCCGTCTGCGCCGCCAAAACTAGTTATCCCCTCGACGAGCCCCCAGGTGTTGCGCTCGGCGCCCGCCCCTCCTACCGCCAAGCGCCGCTACGAGATTGTCTTCGACAATAATATTCTTGCGCAGCGGAGAGCAGCTGTCCTATCGCCGCCGATGGGAAGGAAATCGAGGCAAGCCGCAGGATGGAGAGGGCTGTCGGTGGACTTGATTACGAACCCGCAGGAGAACAGGGCGCAGGAGACTGTGGACGAGGAGGTTGGGCCGGAGGAGAGACTGAACGGGCAGGTTGTTGTTACAATCTGGAAGTGCTCAAGGCTTGAACGCGGAAAGCTGCGGGATATATGGTGCGTGTGGTGTGCCGTAATGTACAGATCCAGACGCTGATTATCTGGGAACAGGAAAGAGTGCGATCCGGGTGGCACGGGCAGCCTCGATCGCGAGGCGTTCGTCAAAGGCATGTGGCGCATTGACGAGGAGCTACGAAAATCTCAGTTCGCCTTCCGGAATCCCTCGGCCATGCGTCCGCCACGGGGCCTCGCGACCCTGTTACGATGAACTTCCTGATTAGGCGCACAGTAGAGAACTCTGCTCGTCGGGATGTGCAATTGTAGCACTAGCACCGCATGAAATTCTGGACCTGTTGCTCACGGCAGATACCCCACGCTCGTTACTACCTTACATACCCTCTTGCTTTAGCACCACCACGATGTCCTGGAATGCTCTAGCATTATTTAAGAGTACTCTACAGATTGCAGATAATCTTACAGTGCTTCTGCCCAAAGCCGCATAGGTGCGAAAGATAGCTGGGCGTGTCTATCCAAGGGGGGAGCATTCACACAACATCAGGTAGGGATCGTCTCCCTCGGTCGCGCCGATGACGAGGTTGAGCAGCGGAGCGTCGGATGGATCGAGGCTTCCGTCCTGGTCTGCGCTCTGCTGGAGTGCGCTGTAGTTGTCGACGAGTTCAGAGCCAAGGAGCGGGCGCAGCCGGTCGGTTAGCTTTCGCAGCGCGTCGTCATCCTCCTGGAAGTCTACTGGTGGGAAGTCTGCAAGGAAGTCTGGGAGGAACGAAGACTAGCGACAAGATGTTAGTCGAGTGTGTACTGGTGACAGGGTGAACAAGGCGGGGCTGCTCACCGATGGCGCGGTTCCGATGATCTGCTCGCGTGCGCCCTCTTCGTCCTCGATTTCGAACAGGAACTTCCAGAACGGCCGGACGTGCGTGTCAGCCATGTCGCTATCGCAGCGGGTGCAGATGCGGAAGGATTCTGGTATGCTGCGTATCGCAGTGAGCGACGCAAATCGGAGCATAAAGGACAGTAATCGCGTACTCTTGAAGACACTGCGTACACCGTAGGACAGTCCACTTGATAATCGGTTCAGGGAAGTAGCCTACCATCCGTGCGATGATGCGATACTTTGCATACTTAGAGCCATCGTGTACCCTACGCAGCTCACGGAGGGTGATGGCGTTCTTGGGACGCTGCATAGGCACTTTCGGAGGTCCATTCTGCTTCTTGCGCGCAGCAGGCACAGAGCTTTTGCCGTTTGGCACCCCATTCGCCTTCCCGTTGGCCTTCCCGTTCGTCTTTCCGTCCGCCTTGCTATCCTTCGAGCGCCGCTCCCAAGCCTCCTTCCGACTGCCATCTCCTTAGCCTTTTCACATACACCTCTGCTAAAAGCGACCACGAACCTAAGTAGCGCTAGACACTCCTCGCTCCCCGTCGTCTGCGTGTTCAGCTTGAAGATAAGCCGCTCCGCACCGCCGAGCATGCCCGCGACGTCCTTTCCGCGGCTGAGCGCCTTGAGGCGCAGGTTCCGGATCGCGACGACGTCACCCGGCGCGAGGCTCGCGGCGACCTGCACCTGCGCGTCTGTGAGCGCGATCTTGAGGATGCGCTCCGCGCCGACGCCGTACGACCACTCCGCTGTCGCAGCGAGAGGCGCGAGGTCGTTCCGCGAGGTGTAGTCTGTCACCCAGAGTAGAGCGTGCTCCGGGTCTTTCTTCTTGAGCTGGAGGACCTGGGGACGACGTGTGAGCAGAGATAACGGGCAATGCAGTGGTAACAGGTATCCACCTCGACCGTGCAACAAAAGTGGCTGTCGAGTTTCGCCTCTGAGATGAGCTGGTCCGGGAACCTGTGTGCACCCTTCTCCTCCGCCTCTTCCGTATACTTCTTCTTGCGCCTTCCCCGTGTTGCGTCAGCGTCTAACAAAAACTGAGGCGCCGGAATACTCACTCCAGCAACGCCTGGAGGTGTGGCTCGCCCTCGAGCTCGTCCTCGTCAATCTCGCGCAGCTTGTACGCCTCTTTGAATACGCCTTCGTAATACCCGCTCCGGCTCTCACGCATGCGTATATTCGTTATCTCGACGTATTTGCCTGCCTGCAGCTCCGCCCCGCGCGTTGCCGCACGGTTCCACATCTCGACGCGGAGCACGTACGGCGCGAGCTCGGGCGAGCACCAGGCCGCGGTCGTCTCCGCGACCTTGGTATTGCGCGTATAATCAGTCACGTAGAGCGAGTAGACGTCTTCCCGCGAGTTCGTGTGGCCGTGCAGGACCTGCTCTGGCGTCAGAACAGGCGAAAGTGGAAGGCAAAGAAGCGCACCTCGACTGTGCAGTCGAAATACCCTCTCGGGTGCGCCGTCGGGCTTGCGTCCTGGATGAGCCTGTGCTCCCTATTGATACTCTGCCTCGGGCCCCGCCCATCGCTCGCGTCGCCCTCGCCAATCTGATGCACGACAGCCCCGCTGGCCTGCAAGAGGCGCTCCTGCTCGCGTCGGAGAGCGCGCCACCAGTCGCCGAGTGCGATGCAGTAGCGAAGCTCTGCACTTCCGAGGTCGGGGTGGTTTGCGTGCGAGTGGACGGTCTTGCCTGTCTCGGGCACGAACAGTGTCCACGCCCAGGCGCTGTAGGAGGCGCAGGTGCCGGAGGACTTGTCATAGAAGTCTTGAACCTACGTGCAACCGTTGTCAGAAGCGCTTTGGCTGAGAATACAAGACTGACACACATCCATGCCGGTGAGAACAATGACGTCTCCACACTTGCCTTCTGGTAGACCCGGTGCGTCCTTTGAGAAACAGTTGACCGAGAAGCCACGGGACAGGTTGTCGAGCTCGACGTTCGAGGGATCGACCAGAACATGCTTGCAAAACCACTCTGGATACGCTACCATAAACACATTATCTTTGGGCACCGGGCAGAAAAGGCTTACCGCTAGTCGAGGTCTTTTTCGAATCCTGACCGGCCAAGGCGATGACCGCGATGACCGAACGGTTGTAGCTTCTGGTTAAGCTCGCGAGGGAGTCGTAGACGCGACCCTAGACAAAACGGTCTCAGCCACAGAGAACAGAGGTTGCTGGCAAAGGTCTCACGTCCTCTCCGTGGCACCCTGCCTCGAGATTCAGCTCCAGATTCTGACTTGACGAAAGAGAAGATAGAGACATCTGGCTGGGAGCCTTCGCAGGAGCATTGTCACTCGACTTCGGGACCACTGTATGCGTAGGTAGGGTGCTGGCCTCTTTCGGTAACTTTGAGGATTCGCGTGGCTGAGGCGTATTCGTTTCAGCCGTCTCTTCAACCGCAGAAGGCCTCACAGAAGGCTCGGTCGCAGCGTTCTCGTCCGTGGATGTGCTTTCGGCAGGTACGAGGGTGGACTCTTGGGCAGGCGTCGGCTCATGCGCAGACATCACCGGTGGCTCAGGTGATTCTTGCTCTGTGACACCTTGCTCGCCCTTCTTGACTGCCTTCTTTGCCAGACGAGCAGCTTTTTTTTGTGCTTTCTTCGCCTGCTTTGCACTAGGAGCATTAGATGATTCTGTCTCCGGTGCAGCAAGAGGCGCAGGCGCGGGAGGTGGCGTGGCGTCCTTCAATCCTGACCCAGGGGCGACGTTGGCAACTTGCTTCTCCTTGAGAGCGGCCGTTGTGCTTCGTGTTTGACGGCCAGCAACGTTGCGGTAAAGCGGCCGGGCCGGTGCGACCTTGACGGGCTCGGCGTCTTGTTCCGCGGGAGCGGCTACTTCCTCGGGTACGTTGGTCGATTTCGTCGAATCGTCTTCCTGGCTGCCTTGGTCGAGATTCATAGATACTGCGTCGGTAGCAGCCGGAGTGCCGGCCCTGGTGTCTTTATCGGCGAGGTCATCATTTGCTGCAGGCGGTTGCATGTGAGCCGGTGGATCACTACTGGTAGCAGGTTCACCGGAGGGAGTTGGTTGAACTGGTGTCAGGAACCAGTCGTCCCCGAATGGTGCGTCGCCTGTAGAGGGGCCAGCCTTGGGTTTGCTCGGTTCGCTGTCTGGCTGCTTTTCCTCTTCATCTGGGATAAACTGTGTCAGTGCACAGTGAAACAGTCATAGGAGCGGAACATATTAACCGGCCCACAGATCGAGGAGCTTGCCAGGCAGACTCGAACCCTTTTTGTAGACGAACTTGAGACAAACGCCTTTGGAAAAGGTAAGAGTCATAGGCAAGAACTTGACGCTCTTTCCGCCTCGCGCGACTTCCTTTGGCTCAAGGTGAACGTCTTTAAGCGATATTAGGACCTCGTCGTTCATGTCAAATCCGACGCTAGCTTCTGCGAGGAGTCGGATACACGTCTTCAGGAACGCGACCTCGAACCGAACGAGGTCGCCATTCTCGATTACGTCGCCCACAACGCGCAGGGTACCGGAGTGCTCCACTGGCTTGAGAGCTACGATGAGCTTGATGAACCCTTCCTTGATGCCTTGATCGCACACGTCGGTTACACTCCGTCGCAGAGCTTCGCGGAACGGATTGTCTGTGGTGCGTTGGCCCGCATCCTTGCCGTTTGACCCCGCCCGGGAATAGGTTTTCTGCTTCTTCTTGGGAGGTTCCTCCGAGTCTATCCTTCGCCTGGCACGCTTCATGGTCGGTCTCCAGGTCGATGTCAGTGTCCGAAGCAAGTTCGGGGCGCCCATATGCGGGCGCGGGGCGCGGGTACGCGATGTGCTGATACGCGACATTCCCTGATGGGGAAGGCAGTTCCCATCACGTGAGTATCGCGCTGCGACTGATTGCCGCAGCCTTGCAGGTCACTGGTGTCCAGTGCAGCATTTACATAACGTGTTACACTCTTTACTGCTCTTTTCTGGTTCTCAATCTGATGTTGCCGGGGACTTTCGGCGTCAGAAGTATCGCCCTCGGTGTATCACGAGACGGACAGCGTTGCTCGTCCAGTGCGCGGCGAGCTCGATAACGCGTCTGTCGTTGGGGGCAAGTTCAACGACGAACGCGCTGTCGAGCTTCCAGAGGTGATGGATATATGGCTCGCCACGCACTGTTACAGGCGGCAGGGAATGCGGAGCCGCTGACGTCCTCACTGTCGCTGCCGCCGTATCTTCACACTTGTCTTCGTCCGCTCATGCTACACAAGTATAAGAGGCAATCAATGATTTCCACGAGCACTGGCTGCTTCTTCCCCGATTGTCAGGGACTTGATACATATATCTCTGGTGATCATTCGTGACAGCAACAAAGCTCCTCCCTCTCGCGAGGTACATCTGTACCGAAAATCCAGTGCGAGGACTCTCTTGGGTGATGATGGTATCACAAGGCGTCATCCGGAAATGCGCCTTACTTGAGCCCATGACCCCGTGTCTTGCATGCGCTAGTCGATGGCCGCACACCGCTAGACGGAACTCTAAGCCACGATTACCCAATGATACGAACCTTTCGCAAAGCCCGCCCCAGCGATAGCTGGTCGCCCGCTTTCAGTCCCTGCCGCGAGCGTGCGTGTGCGCGATCTACCGACGACGAGTCGCCAATCGGTTAGGCGTGTGGCGGTCTACGCTGAAACGTTTCGTCGGGCGAAGTGAAGGCAAAGAGGACGTTGGCGGTGCGGTCTAGAAAGATCGGATGAAAGAGGACTGAGGTGGCGGTGTCGGTCGGATGATGGCCCTGCCTGGCGGGTCCCAGCTGGAAGCGCCTAGGACGGTGCCTCAAATAACGCCCAGGAGCCGCCTGCGCGATGATGCCCCGACACCCGACATCCACCAGCCGTGTTCGCCACCATCCGTAACACGACCTATACCCCGCCATGTCTCAGGCAAAATTGTCCGCACCTCTCTCCCCCTCTCGCCAGCTCCTTGCTGACCGTCTCCCCCCAGAACTTTACGACCACCACCTAATGTCGACTTCGTTCAGGGTGCGGTTCCCCGGACATCCATTAGCGAGCGATCCCCGTTGACTTTCCCACCCTACAGGCTACCCAGGCATACCACCTGGCCCAGACAGACCACAGGCTGCCGTCAAAGGCGTACGCAGCGTCCTCATTGCTCCCTCATCCGCAGCTACTCACCATGCCTGCAGGCGATAGAGGTTCGCGTTGGGCCAGGAGGCGTCAAGGCCAAGTGGGTCCGCATAGAGCTTAGGAAGGTGGAAACGCTCCCCGGCGGCGGCCTTGCTAGCACATACTTCGATTTCGTCGGCCAGAGTCCCATCAACTTGTGGCAAGCAAGCGAGGAGTACTCCTTACTTTCCACGGTGTGTATCTATCATATCGTCGGGTGACGTTGCATCCTGATGACCAGATCCTCTCCCAGCAAGACTTTCCTTTTTCCATTCGTATCCCGGAGTCAATACCTCCGAGCATTGCACTAGAGAAAGCAGGTGCGCAAGCCACCTTCACTGAACCTATCTCCAAGCGCTAATTAAGTTTCAGCTGGAATCAAGTACGAGCTCATCGCAACAGTATGCATCAAGGGCAAGAAGTAAGTCCGCCTCCCCTCTTCCCCTCCCCGTATCGACCGACGTTGCCTACTTCCAGAGGCTTCCTACGCCGCGACAAGCATGTCATCGTCTCGACCTCTGCGCCCATCATCATCGACAAGCACGAGCTGCACTCGACGTGGCCAGTGTATGCGCAGCCTGAAACGCGGAACACAAGCTCCGACGGCGTCACGCTCTTCGTCGAGCGCACGCACACCTGCTACGGCCCCGGTGACCGCATTGCCGTCACGTCTGTCGTCAAGAGCGAGAGCTCACAAATGATCGTCCTCCGTGGCTTCGAGTTCATGCTCCGCGAGACGACTGTCTTTCGTGCAGGCGCGGGCACCGTTGGGAAGAAGGCCGCGCCCCAGGTCAAGACGGGTAATGTCAGCGAGCAGAAGGTCCCCGTGAACCAGACGTTGTATACCGGCATGCAACACAAGGCCGAGCTATCCCTTACGGTGCCATCGCATCACACGAGCACGACGCTGAACGCGGCACGGCATATCGACATCACCTATGTGCTGACGGTCAAAGCATTATTAGCCACGGGTAAACCCCTCGTCATGGATCTGCCGATCATCATCTCGAACTGGCCAAGATCTGTCTCAATGGAAGCAGTCAGGTGCGGCTGTGTCATTGCTTTTCCTCTTATCTTTGTTGACCGTCTCCTAGACGAATCGGTCTTGCACCAAATGTGTCTTCACATACTCAGGCCCACATAGGCCAGCCAATCATCAGCAACGCCGCCCTGAGCCAGATGACCCTGTCTCCATTGTCCCCTGGTGCACGCTCACCGAACAATCATCCATACTTGAGCCCTGCGCCGACGGCCATCACCGATTCCTCTTCCGAGGCGACTGACACCCGGACGAACAGCAACTTCCAGACCGCACCGGTCGTCTTCAGCCGGAACGTCGACGAGTTCGGGACTCGCACGCGCGGTGCAAGCATCGACTTGGCCCCGCAGACTATCGGTAGCACGCCTGCACCCGCCACTACGACCGCACGGCCGCGCTCGAGCGGGCGGGGCATGGCGCCCGCGGCGAACCGGCTTACAGTGACGAACTACGGCGAAGACATGCCTGAGGAGGTCCGCAACCAGAACCTGCAGCAACTCGCGGCGGCGAGCCACCGGCGGAACACGAGCCTCGGATCCGGCGCGCGCCCTCAGCGCGGGTTCCTGAACGCTGAGGAGGAGAAGCGGATGCTCTATGAGCGTGCGAAGGCGCAGGTTGAACAGGTCCAGGGCACCGCGAGGACGCAGAGCCCGCCGATCGAGGTGTGTGTATACTGGTTTGTGGATGTTCGAGCTTGGTGCTGATCGGTTTGCGTGCAGCTGCACTCACCGACGCCTGTCCGCGACGCTGGGCCTATCCTCATGGCCGCGAACGACAGTGTGGCGCCGAAACCTTCTGGATCTGGATGGATGAGTGCGGAGGATGAGAAAGCTCGGCTCTTCAACCAGGCGAGGGAAGCTGTGCGCAAGACGCAAGGAATTGTGGACGATCCGGACGATGTGCCTGCACAAGCACCAAGCGGTTACGCTCGTAGCGGCTCGTCAACCGCAACTGGGATGTCTGCTGGCGCTGCGATGTACTCGCAAGCTCTTAACTCCGTGGGTCGTAATCCAGGCACCGGGGCCTCGCCTTCAAAGCGCTCTTACCCGACTGCCGACGAAGAGAAGACCGCGCTGCGTCGATACCAAGAGGCAACAGCAGCCGTCGCGCGAAACCAGGCCTCTGCGTACAATGGCATGCCCGCGCCCGCATCCCCTTCGCCTGCGTCCCCACCAACGGCCTCCTCTCCGTCGAAACCGACACAACCACAGAGCCCATCTGCGCCAATCCCTTACGACGCTCTTTACCCCAACTCCGGGCGGATGGCAAGCCCGGCGCCGCCTGGCGCAGGTAGCTCGCACCACCACCAGCCGTCGTACCTCACCGAGAAGGAAAAGCTTCGACGGATGTACGAGGCGCAAGACGCGGCCGCACTCGCTTCGCAGCAACAACAACAGCACACCGGGTCGTCCCCGCCGCCCCCGCCTGTAGACGCCCCAGCGTACATGCCGCCGTCCTCGCCGATGTCGTTCCCGCCAACGCCATACGCGAACGGCGCGCTCTCGGAGAAGGAGATGCTCCGCCGGCGCTACGAGGAGCAGGACGCGGCCGCTCTTGCAGGCGCGCCGCCGCCTGCGACCCCAGCGCGCGCGACGTCCTCCCATGGACGTACCCTCCCTACGCCTCGCGCGCAACCGACGCCGCCACCAGGGCCGAGTGGCTCGCGGCCGCTGACGGCTGCTGAAGAGAAAGCGCGCCTGCGTGCGCTGTACGAGGCCGAGGAGCAAGGGCAGTCGTCGCCCATGTACGCGTCGCCGACGAACGGCACGAACGGCGTGAACGGACATGGCGCGCAGGGCCTGCAGCGCCACGCAAGCGTGAGCTCGGGGAGCCACTACAGCGAGCCGCCGCAACCGTTGGTGCCGCCACCGCTGATGCCAAAGCCACCGCGGGAGTACATGGAGGAGACGCTCCAGGAGGACCGCGCGCTGTCGACGCAGATCCAGGCGATCGACCGTGGGCACGAGGGCGGCTACACGCCGCGACCGGACGCGAACCTCGAGTTCCGGTCTTTCACGCCGTTCAAGGGAGGCTTCGAAGCGCACGCGACGCTACCCCTCGCTGTGCCCCCGCCCCCGTCGTTACCGACCAAGGTCGGCGTGGCCGACCTTTAAGTCTTTCCTTCATCTTTTTCTTTTCCTCTCAATTATCTAGCGCTACCCACGCCCTGTCACTCCTTCCCTCATTTCTAGTGCACTGTTCGATGATGTGGAATTATGCTGTGCTACCTACATATTTATACCGGACAGTGCGCCCGTGTATGGACTTGTCGCTACGCTAATGGGGGTTACCATAACTATATACCATCCTTCGTCGTATCTATCCTCTTTTACTATATATATATAAACTCGAGCGTAGGAATACAACTACTATATATTCATACAATTACAGTTCTATATATCCAGCGTCGAATGCGATACCCGGATGGTTTTTAGGCACCGGCGGGGCTCCTCAGCTCTCATCGCTTGCGCTTCACCTTGGGCATTGCAGACCCCGGCGACATCTCCTGCGCGGTGAGAGGCGACGGCAGCTCCGCGGCGTCCGACTTGCGCTTCAGGCCCGCGGTCTGCCGCGACTGCTTGAAGCCGTCGAGCGTGCCCGCGTCCGGCGGCGAGACGTCGTCGAGGAACGCCGTGAGCTGCTCCGTCGACGCGTCCCCGACCGTCGTCCCGTCGAGCGGCGTCGTCGGGTCGAACTGCGCCGTCACGTCCGGGAAGCCGCTGCCGCCGCCGTCGCCGCTCCGCGACGAGAGCTCGTTCAGGAATGCGTCAAAGTCAAAGTCCGCCGTCGGGTCGTGGTGCAGCCCGTCTGCGGTGTGTGGCCCGAGGCCGTCCGCGTCGTGGCCCAGCAGTGTGGTGCTCGAGTCGGGCGCGCGTGTGGTAGTATGGAGCGAGCCCTGGTCGAGCCCGAGGCCGTTGATAAGCGAATTAAGACTGTGCTGTAGGGCATCGACATCTGCATCAATATCGGAGGCATCATGATATGACTTTTGTAGACGGTTCGCGTTCTCGAGAAGCGGCTCGAGGGAAGGAATGTCGTCTTCCTTTTGGGTAAGACTACCAAGCAGCGAAGGTGCGAGAGCGGCGGATTGAGTAAGATGGCTATTGTTGGTTGTCGAAGGGGAGGCTGGAAGATCGGTTCGGAGACGAGAGAAATCGTATGCGTTAGGATCGTAAGGCGTCATCTGGTATGTAGCGGCCCTCGGATCGAGCGTCTGGTGGTCGACATCCGGGGAAATCATGGAGGGCACAGGCTGATTTTGCTGAGAAGCGAGCGCGTGCATAAGCCTCTGCAGCTGCCCAGGAGAGTTGATCATATTCTGCAGCGTCTGTGACCAATCTCCGCTGGGCGAACCTCCCTGGGCAGGATTAGCAACCTGCATGAGCGCCGCAGACTGCTGGGTAGGTGTAGGCTCACGGTCATTTCGACCGTATTGAGCGTGATTAGATGGCGGGCTAGACGGCTGGGGAGTCGTACGAAGAGACTGATCAGTTGAGGACCTGACCATGGTTTCCGAGGGGCGCACTGTAGGCCCAGGTGAGGGTCTGATCGGCGGCGTGATCTCTGTGACCGTTGGACCAAAGCCCTCGCTCGGTGCAATGGATGGCGTGGTCGGTGATCGTGGAGAATGCACAGTTTCAGCGGGAGTGTCTATAGATGCAAATAGAGGAGCTGATAAGATGAAGCATGTTGTCAGCATGACGCCCGGCTTTACTAGATGCACGACTTTACCTGAACGTCCGCCTTCAGACCTCACACTCTGCAGATCGTCGTCTTCATCAATCTCCTCAACATCCTCAACAAGAGAAGGTTTCCTCTTTTCCGACATACCACCGTCACCAATCATGAGACGTTGACGCTTGCGCGGCATAACATGCGACGGAGTATGGGTAGTATCATGCTTAACCGCGTCCGCGCCGCTCCCGAAAACCCCCGCAAGGAATTTCAGGATACGGTTGATAGTATCTGAGTGTTTTTTGTGTCGTTCGCGTGCAGCAAGGGCCTCTTGCCACAAATGCTGATTCGAGGACTTGAGCTCGTTGAGCTCGACAGAGATAGCCTGCTGGTGGCGCTTGATAGCAGCAATGCCGTTCATGATAGAGTTAATATCAAGGAGTTGGCCTGCGGTGAGGTTGCCGATGCCGCCGTGGGCTGGATCACTGATGTCAAGCGGGTTCTCCTCGCCCCCATGAGCGGGCTGCTTCTTGCGCTGGATAAGACAAAGTAGGTCTGGTTGGCCACGATGAAAGTGGGGGTGCTCGAAATGCCATGGCTCAGTGTCTGTATCGCTCTTGAGGACGCCTTGTTGAAGATGTGGGATCTTATGGAAGCCGTACATGTTCAGCTGGCGGACAAAAGAGGTGAACTTCTGGTGCTTGAACCAGCGACCCAGGACCTCGCGCGCAAATCGCTCATGATTGAGAACTAAAGGATTAGTTGATAACTCGGAACATGCGATTGGCAGGGGGGCTCTGACCATAGAACGAGTCACCGGAATCTGACCATCTAATTAGCTCGCTGTTCTTTGGGTCACTGACGATCCTTGGGGAGGGCAAAGTGAGATAAGGGAATAAAAGTAGAGAAAATGGACGTACTCATACAGTTTCTGAAGGAAAGGAGGGACGACTTTGGCGGCAGTCCTGCTGAGATGGGTGGATTCGCCTCTGGGCGCTCTCGCAATAGCCAGCTGCTGGTCTGCAGACATATGAGATTATATTAGCCAGTCCGTGAGTATGATACAGAGGAGATGTAGGCGACTTGAAGGGATAAAGAGGCAGAGAAAAGGGAGGGTTTAGTGGGAGGTGAGCGTCGGATGTGAAGGGGCACAGCGTCTACGCCAGGCTCATCCGAAAATGGGCAAGCATAGGCGCTACGTGATCGTAATTTTCGAGCCCAAATACAACTACACGCTCTACGCTCCTCGTTCCTCAGAGACCTCTCCCTCTTCAATTCCAAAAATTTGCCACAACAAATGCACCTGCCCGAACGGTCGTTCACTCCCCAGCACCGTCGCCGCCGCCTCGTATCTGTTCTCCGGCTTCTTGACCTCCTCGCACAGATAGCGGTATGTCTTGACCAGTCGCGTCAACGCGGCGCGGTGCACCTTGCTTGCCACACTCTGCACTGTCAGCTGTGCCAAGCGCGGCGGATGGTCGACGGTGTTGCTCGTCAGCCAAGCCGAGAACTTGTGCAGCGCAGCCTGAAGGCGGGTCGTTGACGCAGACGGCAGATGAGACAGCGGTTCCTGTTGTGGGTATACAAACCGTCCAGGCGACGTCATAGTCAGCGTTCGGTGGATACATCAGTCTGCACTAGCGTATACTCACGTTCCCTCGACGCGTCCGCCATGCGTTGATGATATCACCAAGCCCGCTGTCAGCAAGCAAGTTCGCATACTGTTACACGCGTACGAGAAGATAAGTTCTGAGCAGTTAGAGATGCGAAACGAGCAATGATACGAACATGGTCCTCGATGAGCTGTATAATGCGCCCCTCGACAAGCCCCTGGATGACGCTTTGCTTATCTGTGGTGAACGCGAATGGTTCCAGTACGCCCTAAGTGCAACAGCCAGACAATCAGCCTGCGTGTCAGGAAGTCTCCGGTCATCAGTCCTATGAGATAGTGCACACCTGCAGATACGTCATGGCGTTGATAACAAATACTTCGCAGTCCCACTTCGGCCTAGACTTTTGCTTTTCGTCTGCGCTGACGACGCACATCTCAATGGCGGGGTCTACCATGCGGTCTAGGATGACACGGCAGCCCTCGGCTGCAGCGTCTCGCTCGTCATCATCACAGGCTGACCCCCTGCCCCGGAGAGAAGTCTCGTCGCCGAGAGACGAATCGTAAACAAGTAGAATCTCGCGCAGAACTTGGACGTGGTCGAGGATGGCGAGAGGAGGTGTCAGACTCGGGTCGTCGAGCTCCTAGTCACCCGCAGAATAGTCATCAGCATGCGGAGCTATCTGCGTTGGATTAGTTGTGCAAGCGCAACCGAACACATACCAACTGAACCCTAAGAATGGATCGGCCTTGTGCTTCGACTGCGTCGTAAAACACCTTGAATGCAAAGTCTGTCATCCTGCACATAAAATACGATGTCAGACCAATGATCTAACGTCGCTGCATCAAGCACCCACTCTCGTAGAGCCTTCGAGAGCATCGCATCCGCGCCAATCGTGCGTTGCATCGTGAGCATGTAGAACTGCAGCAGGTTCGCAATCTTGTACGACGTGATGCTGCTCTCCTGCGAGCGCACCGTCTGCTGGACGCGATTCTAATTTCCGCCGGTGCCTCAGATGCGGGTAGAACGAGCGTGCGCAGTAGGACGCACCTTCAGCGGCGTGCACAGCCCGCTAACGGCTCGGTCCATAAGTTCAGCCATCCATTCCTCTTCTACGCTGTCGCTGCGGGTTCGTGGGGCACCGACCATCCGACCGCCTTCCTCAGCCCTCCTACCGAAAAGCCCTTCGAGGAAGTCCCGCTCCGCAGCAATGGCTTGATGTACCCAGGCAAGCATGTCGCCGACGTACCGCAGTGGGTCGTGAGCATGCAGCTCGATAGGCCGTGGTAGACCGCCGCGGCCGCCGCGCGTTAACGCGACTGTGAAGGTATTGAGTAGGGTTGCCTGACGAGTCTGCGAGAGCACGTTTAGCGCGTCGCTAGAAAGCTTGAGCGTTACGCAAACAGGTTAGAGATGATAGACAGCATACGCAAGGAGTTCAGGACGCTTTCTCAGTCTGCGGACGGCTTCCCTCGTGGATGAATCAACCTCTAGCTGTGCATCTCTGCCCATCTGGCGGAACTCGAAGGAGCACCAGCGGAATATTTTGTCGTACGCCTGTTCAAGGTATCCGGATGTTGTAGTGAGAATGTCCACCCTATAATCATATGACTGAGATGCATATACACATACAGATGGACGAGCTGGCATACCCTGCCTTCGTAGGGCCATCTTCAGCCGCCATTAGCACTCGGCAGTCGTCTCGTATCCGCTCAGCTTTGTCCATAGCCGAGAAGAACTGCTTGTTCACGGGAATTTCTCGTAAGACAATGGCGTCCACGTCGTCTGGGCTGAGCGTGAAACGTTCAAGGAACGCGGTCACAATACTCTGGCGCGTCGTGACATCTTGTCTATACCATCATGCCATCAGCCTCGCAGCATACATTGAAAGACCATCTCTCGCCTTTGTTCACGCAGACTACCAGCACGGTCAAGCAGCGCCCTGCACGCCTCGTTCGTCGCCTGGAGCTGTGTCTGCGCTTCGTCGCAACGGGTGCGCATAACACTGAGGTGTTCAGACAAGGTATCAAGTTGCTGCAACACAATCAGCTCGACAAACGCGAAAGCAGTACGAGCTGTGAGGCATACCTTGTCTACCTCAGCAAATGCGACGAGGAATCGGCGGCTCGAATCTGCCTGCTTGCTCTCGACGTCGCGCCTCAGGTTCTTGCGCGCGTTCGCTGCAATCTCCCCGGGGACCGGCTCACTGAACTGGGGCACCTGCCCATTCGTAAGCTTCTCTGCGTCATCTGCATTCTCGTCCAGCAGCTCCTCATCGCTGAAGTCGTCCTCAGACTCGTACTCCACCTCCCGCCTCTTCGTCTTCACGGCCACACCAGGGCTCGGCGTGGGTGCATAGAGCTCCGCGAGGGTCTCCAGCGCCTCCTTCGTGGCATCGTCATCAAAGTTCGCCGCGAGGACCTTGTAGAGCCGGAGCGAGAGCGGATTCTGCGCGAGCGTGGCGGAGGGAGACCTGGGAGAGCTGGCCATGGCCGACGTAATGCTCGAAGCGCCCGCGCGTCTGATCAAACGCGTCGCGGGCGCTAGAGCGATGTCCGTGTCACAGCTTGGGTGTCGGGAGGCGGCGGTGCGTGTCGAGAAAATGCCTCGGAGAGCGCATGCGTTGCTCTGCATACTTTTCGCTATATCCTCAGCTATGTGCACAGCTCGTATGACTCCTCGGTAGAGCTGTGAGACCTGTATGTGACCAAATGTGACAGCTGTGACCCGACACCTGTGACGCGTACGAGCCCGCTCTAGGCGTCTAGCTCTTGGCTATTTCACGTTCTCCTCTCGGAGTCGAGCCGACCAGAGCCCCTCTCGACACATCCTATCCGCCTACTTTCATTCCAAAAAATGGCCTCAAGATCAGCTATAATACGAAACTTGAGGTTTGGCGTACACTCGTCAGGGAACAATCGCTACTGGAGCTTGGCCCGAATGTACGCGACTACCACCTCCGCACCACGCCAGCCTGCCCCACCACAGCCTGAAGTCGAGACTTTCTCTGAGGCGTCCAAGCCGCGAGAATATTACACGCGCCCACAACGCGATTTGCCCCCATTACAGGTGTGTCTGTCCCTATCCGTACCGGCTAATACTAGCCTGACCGTTTCCCTTTCGCGTACCAGCGCAAATGGCCCGGTATTCTTGTGGCGAGCATCCTCGGTGTCTCTGCATGGGGAGCGTTCTATCTGTATGCCACCAATCAGGAGCGGCTGTCCTCTTCCGTGGTCAAGCAAATCATGAGCACTATCAGCGAGAACGGGGATTTGCGCGAGACGTTAGGGGACGCCATCCGGTTTGAGCCTGTCTGGTGGTTGAACGGGGACCCCTATATCAAAGGCGCGGTGAGTACTCGGCCATGCAGATCGACGTGCACTGCTCTGACCGCGTCCGAAGGTTCACATGCTACAAGGCAATGTGGATCTCTGCTTCCGCATCAAGGGCCACAAAGGTGCATCGGAATCGCAGGTTTTCTGACTCAGTCGTTGACCAGTGAGTGTTTGGCGATGCAGATGCCGGCACCTTGTATTTCACCAGTATACGGAAAACGAAGGGAGAGTCCTTTACCATCCGTGCGTCATACTGCCTAAGCTCCCCAGTCTTTTGGCTTATCTCCGTTCGCCCCCCAGTGCGCTTCCGTGTAATCTGCGATAACGGCAAGATCATCGAAATTCCTACAAGCGCAGTACAGTAATAATCGTGGGCTTCTGCTACCTGCAAAGCCAATTCTACCCATCCGTGTTGCGCTTTGATCCGGGGGCGGCGCACGAACACTGGATTTCGGCTCCCTGTAACTACTTTCCCCGTCCCCACACTTTTAATAGCATGACTCTCGCTTCTCGACTAGGACACGAGGCGCAAGGCCCTTCATCCGATCTCCTGGCTCGCTCCCGACCTCTGCATCTCGGCATCCGATCTACCGGACTCGCCGTTCGGACGCACAGCGCCACGATGTCATCCCTTCCCAATATAGGCCCAAGTTCTCCTGCTGGATCCCGGTGATTGGCGTCCTGTCTATCCCACTACGACCATCGCACATTGTGCCGGCTGGCTTTGGTTGCCGGTGCGGTGCCAAGTGGTACGCAGGCTGATTTATCACAGACTTCGGCCTCCACGGTGTTCGTATAGTATCAACTGCTTCGCGAGCGAGATCGAGGCTGCCGCGATGGCGCGTTTGGTGAGGTCACATTCGTCGTGGGCCACATGATAGCAGCTACTCAGATATGGATGTAGCTAGTACATCCGGAATCAACTCCACTGTGCCGTTATCGTGCTGACAACGTTTGGGAGCTCTTTCCGACTTTCTTATCCTGGAACAGATCATACTTTAGTACCGGCCGGTAGCTTAACACCGGGATGGTGAAATTGAGGAATGCGATATCAAGCAGAGGAAGATGCGTGACCCTTGTCGTCGTCGCCTGGTGGGTGGCATGCGGAGGGCACGCATGTGGATTCAGAGCCTCAAGAGGTATTGCATGGCAAGTGGTAGCCTCTTTCGCATATATATCGTCATGCCGCTGCGGCTTTTACGGATGGCAACAGTAGTGCACGGACGATGCGACTGCAACGAGATCTCTCTACAGCCAGTTCTGATGCAGGTAACTCCGAAATGTTATACTCGAGTCTGCAAGAAACCGTACCAATTGGCGAGGACATAATCAAGTGAGTAGTGTAGTGTGAATTACCGATTACCGTGTTATGTATGCTCTCGTAGACCGCTAATTGTCAACTTCCATCGCCACCTCCGGACTCAGCTCGCGCTCTGCTTCCTCCCTCCATGTCTTGAGCAGCACCTTGCCCAGTTCCTTGCCCAAGGCACGAGCCAGAGGGACGGGCACAGCGTTGCCTATCTGGCGCAGTTGCTGCCAATGCGTTGGATCAGTGGATCAGTGGATCAGTGAGAGCAGTCACACTTACATCCTCGACTACCTTGGCGGGTATGGAATGCACCGAGAGGAACTTGTGCGAGTCAGGAAAGCCTTGAGCTCGCGCACATTCACGAATGGTGAGTACACGTTTTTGCTGGCAAATATCGATGCATCAGATACAGAACAGTGGCGGAACATAGTGCGAAGTGTTACCGTGGGATGCAGAACGATCGCGTTTGTGCCGCTTGGCTTTACTGTCGTGAGCATAGTCATAAAGTGGCTGTCTCTGTCGATGCGTTTATAGTGGCCTGGATAAGCATTCATCAGGCCGCTGTGGAACTGATTCCAGATCTGAGCTCACGTTCGTATTCCTTCTTCGACTTCCCATTCGGCTGCAGCTTACGCTTGTCGCGGTACTGGGGAGGGAGATCTTGGTGATTTGCTCCAGCACGCAGAGGGACGTGCAAGACGCTGCTCGTTGGCTTTGTATCAGTACGACGGTAGAGATTTTAGGCTCGAACGTGACATACCGGTCGACAATCTTCGCGCTGAACTTCTGCGTGTAGTGATAAACCACATTGTCATCCACGTCCAGGCCTTCCCGGGCTTGCATCTGATACCGGTTCAGCGGAGGATGGAGGAATGCCGTTCCTTTGCCGCAGTATCCCGCGTATGGGAACCGAGCTTCGCGGTTGGTGACCGCCTCGAAACGGACGATACCTTGCGCGAGACGGTGTATGTCCTCGTCGGTCAGCGGGCCAGAGGGAAGCCAGTCAAACTTTTGCTGACCCCGCAAACCGAGTTCAGCACACACATCGCAGTACGCTGGCGAAACAGACGTACCAAATCTCCGATTGCATCCTCAACGGTGATGGCGCACAGTGGCGCGTACTGTGCATACTCGCTCCGCTTCGCGCTCTCGTGTGGTGCCACGCGCACGGGCCGGTGCAGCACCTCGCCCGTGGGGAGATTGAAGCTGCGTACGCCCTTTGCGAAGTGGTGTGTCGGGTACGGGAAGTCGGGAAGCGGCACATCGCGCCGCGCAGCCCAGAAGATGACGCGCTCGCGGCTCTGTGGGGTGCCATACTGCGCGGCCTGGAGGACCTTGCAGTGAACTTGGTATCTGGGTCATGCGTGTCAGCGGAGGATGCGCCGGGCACGGGGGCAAGGCTAGGGATTCTCACCCGAGGGAGACGAGTGCGCGGAAAATGAATTTGACGACGCCCATGGCAACCCCATCCGTCATCTGGTCCTGCTTCTCCGTGCCCAATGGAACACTCAGCAAGCCGGTCACGTTTTCGAGCAAGAAGTATTTGGGTCGATAAAAATCGACATAGGAAATTGTATTGCAGATAAGTGTTGACCTGTAGGTAGAACGTCACAATGACTGCAATGACAGGTAAGTATTAGTTAAGCATACCTAATATCATCTGCTTTCTAGCAGCGAGATAGGCTAAGTTCTTGAAAACGTGTTGAGCTGAAGCCGCTTACCTTCCATCGATTCGCTCCTGAAAAGCTCTGGCACGGTGGTCCTCCACAAATAAAATCCACTTCTCCGGGCTTTGGCATAGGCGGCAATGCATCCTTGTCCTTGTGGTTGAGACTTGCAACTTGACGTGGCCTTGACCTGGGTGCTTGTTGTGTCTCAATTGCATGCCGCAGCAGGACATTTGAGCACTGAGTATAAACTGTACACCGTGGATTGTTGGCACTGAAAGAAAGACAAAGGATGAGAAGGCAGTACAAAGTGAAGAGACATTAAGAACACGTACGCAAATGACAGTGCAGCACTTGGAGATGACTCGACTGCCCACTTGGTCTCAACAAAGCCCGACTGGTGCAATCCTGATGCTAAGCCACCAGCACCTGCAAAAAGCTCAAGGCAGCGAAGTGGTCCATGCTGTTCAAGAAGATCTCGATCAACCTGTAGGGTCTTGAGCCGTTGTGCAAAGCAGGTTTGGCAATAGTGGAGCTGTCGTGGGAGAAGCTTCTCCATCTGGGAGCATTTGGCTCTGATGGATGGTGCACGTAAATCAATAAGGTAGTGATCATCGTGTAAGACCCAGTCGTCTGGCGAGAAGCCATGGACTTGAAGAGACGATGGATGAGTAACGTAGGCTTTGCCCTCAATGTGTGAAACATCAAATGGCTGAAGCTCGTCTGTAAGAATAAGACGATGCTAAAATAATTATGAGTATAAGCTTACACGCTTAAGGAAGTGAATGCACCTCATCTGTTTTGGTGCCCTCCTTGCGCGGTCCCCATTTGGTTCGGATAACCACGTCATATCGCTCAATTAATCTAACCCTGACCTGATGCTCACCCTTGCCCTTGATTGGCATGATCTCCGTTATCTGTCCTATAACATACAGCTCTGGGGGAGTTGGGATGGTGGGTCGTAGGTAGACAAAGTCTCCAACATGATAGCTGACATCATGCTGTAAGATTCTGTCTTCTTTGATATCCCAGGAGTTTTGCACCATGCGTAGCTGTGATAAACCACAATTAATGCACTCCTTTCCAGGTGTACAGGCATTGAGCGCCCGCTGAATATCGTTCGGGCTAAGCTGATGGAATGCAACCATGGCTTGGTCCCAAAGCAACCTAATTGAGATTGAGTAAGGCTTGAGAGTGGGTAGCATTGAAGGAAAGAGAGCATACCCAGAAAAGAACTGCTTTGTGCTGGTGCCAGTATTGAGGAATGGAGGCTCATCCCCTTGCAAACCAAGCTCTTGGACGTCAACTTTCTGGAAGATGCATCCTAACTGCTGATCATCGCATTCATCAATCAGGTATAGTGCCTGAGGATGCGCTGTCTCTTGCAAGAGCAGCTTCGAACCATGCATATAGTATTGACCGTGAAAATACGGTTCCAATATCCATTGCGGGCCACTGTACTGGCTGATCACTTGCTCTTGCCGCTCAAAGACATAGCAGATCTTCATAAACCTGACATTTGTTATGGGGATAGGCAAAGTGAAAATAATCAATAGCCACTCACCACTTTTTGTCTACTATGTCATCTCCAGTCTTAGCCGGCTCAGTTGTGGCATTTTTTTCCCGAGTTCTGTCAGCATCTGGTCCACCTTCAACAATAACTGTGTCTCCTGCCTTCACACTTGTCAGCTGCGAACAACAATTCATTAACAATAGCAGTGTGGGCACACCTTGTACAGAACACCATCTATTGTTACAGACTCATAGTGTCTGGCGCGCAGGTGGCTCTCTTGCCCCCACTCATGGCGCACATGCATGTCATGCATACGATAAATCTTTCTGGAATTTGGCCTTCCACTGCAATGCACATGCTCATGAGTGTTCACCAGCACCTTTTGCAGATGCTTCTGAGGAAAGAGCCTTGCAGCTAGAGTGAAAATCCCGGAAGTAACTGTGGTTTTACTGATAGCAGCAAGAACGCAGTTACGAAGTTCCTGGATAGATTTCAACTTGCGGGCATGCAACCCTCGCGAGGGGTCCAGAAGAGACACCAGGATGGGCATGCCCCTTAAAGGGGTGAATATATCCTTGTGTTTCTTGCATAGTGTTTTAAATGACTCCGAAAAATGGTGTGTCTGTTGTTTTACTCTGTGAACACCTTTGTTTATGAATCAAGATGGAAATACTTGCCACATCAGGACAGGCCAGGTGCTCACGAGAAACTTGAATGCTGGATGTCGAGGATTCAGAGAGAGACAGCCAGTCACCAAACTCTTCTAAGGTCAGTTGATGGTCTGGATCTTGAAGAACACAAGACACCAGCTCATGAAAGAGATAGTGCTTGATCCTGAATGGCATGAAATGGTCCGCATAGGCTTGTGCCGGCTCCCTGAGGATGTACCAAGCATGCTCCGTACAAATGTAGATATGACTGGAAAGTATTACTATTCTGTTCTCTTTCTGGTTTGAGAGTAAACTTACGGGTCAAGTTGGAAAGTTTGTGGATCAGAATCACAAACGTGATGAACATTGACCTCCAAAATTCCAGAGAGACGAATCCTCTGTCTCCCTGAAGTACTGGTTGAGGGCTCCAGGCTTTCATCATTGAACTCGCTAGAGTCTGAAAGGCTCTCGATTTCGTTGTCAATCCAGGATGAAGCATATCCAGAGGCTCCATATGCTCTACTGCAATCCACCTCTTCAAGGTATGCGATGCGTCCAGTCTTGATTTCATAAACCACGAAGTCCTCGAGAGCTCGTATAGGAATCTTGTTGTCTTCAAAACCATGAGGCACTGCTTCTTCCGGAAACGTTAAGCTTTCCTCTTCCAGTTCCTTACATGCGGCATTGAACACCGTGAACCGTGACTGCGTGCCTGTCTCTTGAGAGCCCGAGGGATCAGCCGGAGGCCTTGCAGGTGCCCTGTAATTTATGAGCAATCGGCGGATACAGGCTGTTGGGAACTGCTCACTTCTGAAAGGCCAAACCCACATCTGTATTCCTTGACGGCGTTGTAGACTCTGCCGCACAGTCTGGTCCCAGGCTATTGGACGCTCAGTCAGTATATCCACTACGCATTGACCAGACCACTCGCATTTTATAAGGCTCATTGACATCCACAACCGAGATTGATGCATCTCTGGACAGCGGCTGAGTCAATCATGTGGACGTTGCGGTGATTAGTACGCACGGTGGAGGTTTGCCCACATAAAAGCGCGTTGGTCTCTGAAGTAATTCCCTGCGTCCTGGACTGATATCTTCTCCAGCTGCCTGTCCAAAAATAATCACGATACACTCACGGGGGCTTGCCTACGAATACCCCTCGTTCAGTCGAGCGGCTGGGGCTGGAGTCACTGGACGCGGGCGGACGGCGGACGGAGGACACTGAGCTTTCCGCGTGCGCGTGGCGTCCATCTTCTCTAAGGATTTTACGGCTCTGGATACGTGGCATTCGATTTTTTCGGTGTCCACGCAGCAAATTCGAGGGGGTCCGGTAAATAAATTCATGAAATTACAGGCGGAATATTGGAGCCAGTTCCCCGCGGTAGCGCCCATCAAGAAACGCGACGCGTTCACGTTCAGTTATTAGCGCCACCCTCGTTGTCTTCCGCTGTCATGGCTCTCCCGGTCGTAAACATAAACATAGACTATGAGGCTGAAAAAGGTATGATTTTGCTCGATAGTTAGTGACAACCGAGCTGAGCTGAATGCACTTTCAGATAAAATCAGCCAGTTTTTCTCAAACTTCGTCGGTGATGATCTCAGCCGCGGCTTGGCTGACCTCGATCTCGACAATGATGCGGGACAGACAAGAAGCAAAAGATTGAAGTATATGGACCAGTTGGTGAGTCCCAACCTTTATGCGACGCGTCTTGTTCTCTAAACTGTGGTGGTAGCAATGCATAGCCAACCGAGAGCAACAGATGCTGGCTATTGACCTCGAAGACGTTGCGGAGGTAAGAGAAAGCGACGTTTACGCGTTTTCTTGTCATTTATACCCTATTATAGCACGAGAAGACCATATCAGAGCTCGTGTCGCGGATACGGAGCAACACTCGACGCTATGTCACTCTATTCAGCGAGGTCATTGACAAGCTCATGCCTATTCCGACAAAAGACATCAGTGAACACGACGAGGTCATAGATGTAATTCTTCATCAACGCAGAGAGCGCAATGAGCGACTAGAAGGTATGCAAGAGGGCTTCCCGGAGCATCTTCTACGACGATAGTATGTGAAACTTCTTGTTTTCTAGGAAGCGTACTCATGAATCTCGCAGTAACCTCTACTTCCAACCACTCCGGTCCGACATCGCCATGGCTGTTCGAGGTGTCAAGGGTGTAAACCTTGGGAAGCTCATCACCGTCCGCGGAATCGTCACACGTGTCTCAGAGGTGAAGCCTTTGCTTCTTGTGAACGCCTACACTTGCGACGTCTGCGGTTCCGAAACGTTCCAAGACGTCTCACATAAGCAGTTTACCCCCATCATCGACTGTCAGAACGAGAATGAGTGCAGGAAGAATGGGATCCATGGTTCACTGCACATGCAAACCCGCGCTTGCAGATTTAGTCCATTCCAGGAGGTCAAAATTCAGGAGATGGCCGACCAAGTTCCTGTCGGGCACATTCCCCGCTCGATGACGGTTCACGTCAACGGCGCTCTCACACGTCAGATGAACCCAGGCGACATTGTCCACCTTGGCGGTATCTTCCTTCCTATTCCTTACACGGGCTACCAGGCTGTCAGGGCGGGTCTTTTGACGGACACCTACCTGGAAGTGCATCATATCTACCAGCTCAAGAAGCAGTACAGCGAGATGGAACTGACTCCCGAGGTGGAGGCGCAGCTTATCAAGCTGCGCGAGGACCCTGCCCTCTACCAGAAGCTCGCACAGAGCATCGCGCCTGAGATTTACGGCCACATCGACGTGAAGAAGGCGCTGCTCTTATTACTCGTCGGAGGTGCAACAAAGACGACGGGTGACGGGATGAAGATCAGGGGTGACATAAATATCTGTTTGATGGGCGATCCTGGTGTGGCAAAGTCTCAGCTACTGAAGTACATCTCAAAGGTCGCCCCGAGAGGTATTTACACCACTGGAAAAGGCTCTTCCGGCGTTGGTCTCACCGCAGCCGTCATGCGGGATCCCGTCACGGATGAGATGGTCCTAGGTAAGCATCTTCATTCTTCAGCTTAAACGTCTACTCACATGGACATGCAGAGGGAGGTGCACTTGTTCTGGCGGACAACGGAATTTGCTGCATTGACGAGTTCGACAAGATGGAGGAGTCCGATAGGACAGCCATCCACGAAGTCATGGAGCAGCAGACTATTTCCATCTCCAAGGCAGGCATCTCAACGACACTCAACGCTCGTACCTCCATTCTAGCAGCAGCTAACCCGCTCTATGGTCGGTACAACAAGAAGCTGTCACCTGTTGAGAACATCAACCTTCCGGCAGCGCTATTGTCCCGTTTCGACCTGCTCTTCCTCATCGTGGACAAGCCGACCCGAGACGAGGACGAGCGACTCGCACAGCACGTTACGCATGTGCATATGTACAATGCCCCACCGGAGCTTGACTACGAAACTACCGACCCTGTCATCATCCGGTACGTATCTGTTAGTTCTTACGTCCGGATCATATACTGATTCCTGTCGCATCCAGCCATTATATTGCTGGTGCGCGCCAAAAGCGCCCCACCGTCCCTCGAGAGGTTTCCGACTACGTCGTCGACGCATACGTCCGCCTGCGCAAGCAATCCGTCGAGAATGAGAAGGCCGAAAAGTCTCACTCTTATGCGTCCGCACGTACGCTACTTGGCGTGCTACGTCTCTCGCAGGCTCTCGCGCGCCTGCGCTACTCGGATGAGGTCGAGGAGGGCGATGTCGACGAGGCGCTGCGGCTGATGGAGGCGAGCAAGGAGAGTCTACTCGAGGACGACGAGAAGGAGCGCGACACCGACCGGTCGGATACGAGCAAAATCTACCGGCTCATCAAGGAGGAATTCAGCAAGCTTAAGACTGGCGGCGGGCGCAGCAGGAGGCAGCGTGGCGGCCGGCGGCTCGGCAAGGGCCCGGACGGGGAGCGCGACATGGACATCGATAGCGACGACGACGAAGACGAGGAGATCACAGTGCTGGACCTTCGTGCGCGTGTACTTGCCAGTGGCTTTGCCGAGCACGAATTGATGGAGACCATCCTAAAGGTGTGTTTATCAGCTATCCTCTGCTCGCTTTAGATTCTGACTGTCTTCAGTACGAGGATCTTGGGGTCCTGATGCGCGTGGCAAACGGCTCGAAGATCCGCTTGGTCGAATGAACTGGGACTCACTGTATAGTCGCTGTGTATCGACTCACTTGCTTTTTGTCGTGCTTTTTGGTATCTTTGTGTCTACCGATGTTAACTTGCAATATAAATATACCATGCTAGATAAAACAAGAAACTACACTGAATTCAATCTTAAGTATTATGAGTGAGGTTCTTGCGATGCATGTTCCCAGCTCTCTCCACTCCCACTTCCACTGCCCGCAGGACTATCTGACCGCTCCTTCTCATGCGGCTCTGGCTCGTCTTTGTATCGCGTCGGCGGCCCACTAGCACTCACCGGGTCATCGTCCTCTAAGAATCCAGGGTGGTATCCCAAACCAACGGATGTACTCTCTGCACCCCTGCGCAAGCTCGTCTCCTCGTCCGCATCCTCGTCCTCGTCGTCCTCGTCAAATGCGGCGTAAAGCTCCTTCGAGCGCGGTCCTGCGCGGCTGCCGCCGACATGGCTCATTGCGACGTCGTCTCCCGCAGGCAGGCTCGTGTAATTCTGCCGACGGCGCACAGAACGGCGCCAGAAGAAGAGGCCCGCACTCACACCGAAAAGGATGACAGCGCCGAGCGCGATGAAGAACCAAGTCTGACTCGTCATCAGGGTCGAGAGGTTAGGGAACCAGCCCTCGTCGGGCGTGGGTGTTGTTGAGGGTGTTGCACTCGGGGCAGTGGCTTCGTCGTCGACAGGCTTCGCCTCGGTCGAGTTGTTGGAGCCAGGGAACGTTGGTTTATTCGCCTCGCCTGGTGCGTCGCCGTGATCGCCGGGAAGATATGCGGTTGGCTTCGGGATAGTCTTGCTGGTGGTAGGGGTGGTAGGGGACGCTGATGATGATGGGGTGGAAGCTTCTTCCTCGCTAGGATACAGCGGCGGCAGCGTACTACTTATAACGGGTACCTCGTACGTCTTCGCCTGCGCAGGGTCGATGACGGAGCCCCAAAAGGTCATGGTCCAACCAAGGAACTTGCCAGTCCGTTCTTCGTTCTCCTGGTCAGAAACGCGGATGGTCCACTCGCCGACAGGTTTCTCATCCCAGTGCTTGACAGTGCTGAATGTCCAGCCCGGGAAGCCGGTCGTTGCCCCGTCGCCACGCCGCCTGCCAGCCAGAACGCTCTTAACGCCGTTCGGACTGACAAGCTCGACTTCAACATCCCCTCTAAGGTCGTGTTGAATCCAGACCTTGACAGTGACATGCTCGAGCTTCTCGAAATTGTGCTCATGCATAAGATCTTCCGTGACAGTCATTGTGCTCGTGATTCCGTCGGCGGGGATCTCCTCACCACCGCTCATGGAGTGAAAAAGATCCATAGTGCCGTTGTTGATTTGAATGGTAGGCATCTCGATCCACGCCTGAGGCTTGACAGACTGCCAGTTCCTTGCGGCATTGACGAACGCGACGCCGCTGAGGGCACCATAGCCGTATTTATAGCTATAGGAACGACCCGCTGCAGTTTCCTCCCAGTCTGGATCCTCAGGGTTGACCTTGACTCCGGTATGTACGCATAGATGCTGCATGTCTCGCCAGTTGAGGTCGGGACGTACGCTCAAAGCGAGGGCGAAAACACCAGCGGCGTTGGGAGCCGCCGCGGACGTTCCACCATGGTTACTCGAACATTTGTTCTTACCGACATCTGTTGTTGTCTACACAATAGTTAGCACACATGAGTACACGAATCAGCACCGTACTCACGATGTGGTTTCCGCTGCCTGAAGAGTACGCCACAACCATGTTCGCAGCGCAGGCTTCCGAATAGTCCGGATGAGCTCCCGTGAAATCAAGCGAGGCGACTGTGATGGAATAGATGCTGTTTGTGTAACCGTCGAAGTTGCACTGGTCCCCGTTCCGACCTCCGTTTCCGCTGGCAAAGACGAAGACGGAGCCCAAATTTCCGCGACCATTCTGTATGCCATTGACGATAGCCTTCTCAACGAGGTAACCTGGCGCCTCCATAGACCGCCCATCATCTGGTGGCCCCCAGCTGCAGGAGAATATCGAAGAGGTTTGGTAGCCAAAGTTAAGCGAAGCCGCTTCGTCGATATCGGATATCGGCCCCGACAAAATGCGGACGCCAGCGACTTTGGATTCGTATGCGATGCCCACCCCACAGACGTCGTTCTTCACCGCAGCGATCTGGCCAGCACAGCGTGTGCCATGGTGGTCGTCGAAGAGCTTGGGCGTTGGGAGGTCCTCGTGGTCGTTATAGTCGTAGGAGCCCTCTGCAAACTAGGCGGCGTGTCAGTGCCGGAGACTTCCCACCGCTGGGAGAAAGCGACTCACGAAATTCGCAGCAAGGTCATCGCTGTTGTAGTCCAGCCCATCGTCCACGAGCGTCGTAATGACGCCCTTGCCGGTGATGCCCTGCTCCCAGAGGGCGGAGACGTTCATCATGTATTGTGGGTAATCATCGTTCACTAGATGCCACTGCTTCGTGAACTCGGGGTCGACGATGCTCAGCGTCCGGGCAACATCGTCAGCGGATGGCGCATCTGCGGAATCACCAGGTCGGATGGGTGGTGGTGCCCGCTTCACGCGCTGCCGTAGTGACTGGCGGGAGAGGTATTTGACGGCCGACGCCACCCTCTTGCTAAGGAGTGTATCTTCGTCTCGTGAATATAACGAGCTTCTTGCTCGTGAGCGGATGCCGTCGAAAGCCCGTAGTACAGAATCCTCGTCCGTCCTGGCGGCGAGCGACGACCGCTCCGCGCGCACTAAGAAGTGATTCTGTAGTTCCCCCGCTTGCTCTACCACCTCCACCCCCAATGCACTCGCAACTTCGTCCAGCGAAGCATTGGCCGAAGGGTCGTGTTCTATAACATAGTAGTAGTGCGTTTCGTAGTGTCGTTTCGCAGGTCTCGCTGCAAGAACAGAGTGTACAAGGAGAGCGACAACCAAGCCGGTGAGACGCATTGCAGGAGGAGCAGGGTATGCCTGCAAGAGATGAAAAGAGGGACTAGGATTGCCAGCAAAGGCTTTGTTTGACGCAGTCGCAAGCTGCGAGAGAAATATCAAGGATCCGAAGACGAGGCAGTGAAAGTAGCAGCGCAAGTAGGCTTCATCAGTTTCATGATCTCGCCGTAGCGCTTGCGGCCGTTCTCAGATTGTGAATCATGCATACATTGCCCCGACGTCGCGAACGATCCCTAGAGAGTTGCTACAGAGCATTATGCGCAACAGATGAGAGTACAGAATATGAGAGATGAACTGTTTAGGATCTAGATCGCCCTTGGTGCACCCCTTCCTCGTCCCTTTAAGTTGACGCCCGTGCCGTAGATCTGCGCGAGCAGACCGAGCACACCGCCATCCTCAAGCTCCTCATCCTCTTCTTGTTGTGACTGGGACACCGAATGTCCCTTTGGTCTCCGCCCATCAACGTATGATTCACCCAGCATGCTGCCCACACCTCCATCTTCTGCCAAGTCCTCCTCCGGAATCGTGCTTGTCTGCAGATTGTGTCCAGACACCGGTGGTCCGGCGCTGCCGTGGGAATCCCCGAGCATAGCCGTCTGCGCCAGACCGAGCCCGGCACCGCTTTGGAAGATGGATGATGAGGACGGGCCGCCAAACCTGCTCTGTCCCATGCGCTGGCGAGCTGCTTGACTGGCTTGTAGCGCACGATCGTACTGGCTGGCCTTCGCACTGAGTTCAACATTGCGATCACCTTCGTGAATTGTAGATTCCATTCCATAAGATGGTTTGCGGGATAGCTTGCGTCGTCCGAGACCTGTGCTACTGAGGTCCGCCATCCGACTAAGGTATAGTGAGCTTGAAGGGTCGGAAGGCGTCCACTCCGGATGTGCCGCCTTGAAATTGAGGAAACTCTTTTCCATTTTGCCCTCCTTGGACATCAGGCGTTCGTCGTCGATTTTGACAGGTGCACCAAACTGAAGCCACGCAATGAGTGCGCAGACACCTATATAATCATGAAAAGCAACCGACCTTTACGTTGCCATGCCTCTGGAAGTCGAACACGGCAAAGCTACAGACATAGCCGAGTCCGTCAACATGAACGCTAAACTCCCTGAAGAAATCGATGATGGCTGGTGCACAATTGGGAAGGGAGTACCAGAGAACAAATGGCGTGAGCAGCACTGAGAGCAGTTCCTGCGTGTAGATGACAATCTTCATCTGGAACAGTTCTCCGAACTCTTGGTGAACCTGAGAGATGCGTATAAGCCACTGCAACAACAAACGGTCTTATTTAAGCAAGTACCTTCTTGGAGTGTAACTGATCCTTCCATTCGTCGGGCATGTAATGCGTGTACTGTATAACATCCGTCATGAGCATCTCCGGGTCGAACACTCTGTTCTCTTCTGGAATCATGCCTCGCGCAACAGCAAGGATGGAGCCGAAGAGTGTCAGGTAGAACAGAACAGTCCGATGAGGGGTGATCTCGAAGTGAACAATCATGTCGGGGTCAAGAACAGAAGCTAGCAGCAGGACAGCGGCAAATGAGCCTGCAATAAACGCCACGAAACTAGGTTTTGTGAATGCAGATTTCATCGCAATTCGCAGAGACAACGCACCGAACGATAATCGTGACTTTCTCGTTGGGAAACTGTCCAATGTACAGGCTAGCGGTGGGAGACGACTCGTTCAGCCTTCGTGCAAAATTATGAGGAAGCTCATTGAACTCTCGGAACTTCCATTGCGCAAAGGGAGTATATCGTCGGCCACTCATATTCGATGGGTTATTGTGGTACTCCTGCAGCACGGTTCGCGTTAGAAGAGCCCAGCTAATTGACAGACCAACATACCTCAAAATACCGGAAGAATGAGTACATGAGGAGGTATAAGACGATAAGCGGAGCAAAAATAGCGTTCAAGATGCCCATGAAGATGAATCGTCGCTTCAACCTAAAGTGGGTCAGCTTATGCTCTGTGGTGTCTCACCCGCAACGTACCCTTCGATCAACTGTGGTCTATTCCTGCTGTTCAGGAATATCCTCCTCACTTTACCGCTCCTGTTGAAGAGAAACTCCATCAGGCAAAACCTGAGATTCCACTCCAAGACTCTCGTGAGCATCCTACCCTTGCCCTCTTCTTCGCCGACCCAGCGTCGAAGAAGCGGTGGCAAGGGAATGCGCAAATCGAGAAGCTCCTTGTTGAAGAGCGCGATGAGGTAATTTTCCTGCCGCATGATACGGTTGGCGATGTCATGTGCATCCAGCTTGGCAGTGACTGATGCTGTTCCAGCTGAAGATATAGCCGTCAAGGGGTTCTCTTCTCGAATTGCGCCGATACGTCGAACCACTTCCGGCCAAGAGATGGTTTGAATGTCTGCCTATTTTCGTATAGTCAGCTAGAACAAAGTGGACGTGCGCGTGCTGTCTTACATCGGGAATACGCAACAGGTATGTGTAGAAGCTATACATGTCCATCAAACGAATTACGCTCATGACGTATGCCAGAAATTGCCACAGGAAGAAGGCAACGAACAGCATGAACAGTAACAGCGTGAAACCGGAAAACCTGTGAGCTAATTAGCGAAGGCGTCACTTTGGGGGGAAAAAGGGACTACCGTACCTAGACACGCAACGTGAAACGACCACGTCTGATAGTCGAGTTGCTTGATCATGGCGAATTCGTGAGTAATCCACACATCCCAAAAGGAAGGTGGAAAATCCAATGACAAAGCCGACGGTCCTAGGGAGAGAAATCAATTACTCTACGTACGGAGGCGGCAGACCAGATGATTACCGACAGCAGATTCAGCCCACGGGACAGGGCTATGCTGTAGATTCCCTTGCCCTCGTAATAGTAATACGTTTCTTGGAGGAACGCATCGAGATTATACACGTTTACCCAGTTCCACAAAGCGCGTTCATATGCGTCCAAGCCACGCATCTGTTTGGGCTTATGCTCTTCCAGAGGCGGAGCAGCTAACGCACTGTCTTCCACGTCCAGCTCCGAGGGTCGTGGCGGTATTGACAGCGGGGTAGATGTAGTGGGCAGGACGGGCGGCATAGGCTTGCGTCCTGTAGAGTACAATGGACGCTTGCTGGTCTCGCGCTCTTTGCCCTTGTGTGAAGATGGGCGCGGTGTAGTCGGAGAATGAAGTTTGCGACCACTAGGAGCAGGAGTAGCAGCCTCGATCATGAAGTCCTGAGGAACCTCGTCGTCGGACGAGTCGTTCTCGTGCCTCGCATCGTCCTGTTTGATATTGGGCCTCAGAACGTTCATCTCCGAGGCGTCTCCACCCCATGCCGCACGCCGCTGCTTGCTCTTGGAGGTGGACGAACTGCGGTGCACATGCCCCGCCTCAATGTCACCGGCCGCGTGTCCGTTATCGTCCTCTTCCTCCTCTTCCAGAATAGACTGGTTAGCCTGCATGTAACCTTGATACCCACGACCCATCATCGGGTTGAGCATGTTGAGGAACGGACGCGAGCTGCTAGCTCCTGGAAATATAGACTGCGAGCCGTGGAGCGACCGGGAGGACGATATGGGGCGAACAGAAGAGTTTGGAGGAGACTTTGGCATTTTTGAAGCATTTATAGTTTTATAAGAAAGCCAGGAGGGATGGCAGACGACCCAAGGTCGCTTGTAAGGGTGTCGTTACGGGTCTTGGACAAGCAGCAGGTCCGCTTGCGTCCCCCGCACATTACGCATCAGGCAGGCCATTCCCAGCACGTGGCAAGCGTATGCCTGGCGTCCGCTCTGTCACGCATTACGTATGTGTTACAGAACGTAACGCGTCCTAGAGTGTTATGCGAGGACGCGAACCACTTCCCGAATCTTGTACTCTGACCACTATCGTTTCTTGTGCCGACTTCGCTCCGCATCGCTATACAGTACCTATGGATTTACCACTCGGTAATCTCTTCAATCGCGCGCTGAATACGGCGGCGAAGGCATCTAACCTGCCTGCAATCGAGAACGAGACGCAAGTAAGCCCCACAATTCCTTCCTGATTGCCTTGCGTAAAGATGAATGTGCTATAACTCTACAGAATCTTGTACAATCTGCGTTAACTGACTTGAACATCGTCCGTTCTCGCGTCAGAGATCTTGCACTCTTCAGTCCGAACGAAACACTGCATGACATTGCCACCAAAGATCTCCTATACCTCTTTGTCCCTTTTACGCTAGCAGAGGTGGAAAATCGCGCGAGGGCGGCGGAACTAGAGGAGCGTGTAGCTCATATAAGCCGTGCGCAGGTCGGTCTTTTCATATTTAGAGTATCTCGCTGACCAGTGACAATTGCTCTCAGGTGTATCTAAAGGAGTACCTCAGCTATCTGGAGAACTATGAGATTATACCCACTCCTGAGAAGGAGCTGTACGGAAAGAAGACGAGCTCGATGACAGATCCTGCCAAGCGCCGTGAGCTGAAGATCAAACAGTACCAGAAGGAAAAGGAACTGAGGGGAACGATTGAGGTCAGTGCGATAGTTACGTTACACTAGAATTTCTCACCCAGGATATCGTTCAGGCTATGCGAAAGCGACGGTACCAGGGGAGCGGCCAGCCTTCCTCCGATCTCGAACTCATCGCGTCCCTCTTGCCCACGTACCCCGCTGATGCTCACTCAGCTCTTGAAGCCGAGGACTCTGAAACGGAGGAGATTCTTCGTACAGCTACTTCAATGCTCTTCCGGCTGACGTATGCACAAGCGCAGACTTCGCTAGAGAGTCTAGAGCAGGAGTATGACCTGCTAAAGAGTAGGCCGCCTCCACCCGAACCCTCAGGCGACACACGCCAGAGGCAAGACAAAGCACAGGAACAAGATGACATGTGGAGACTAGACTCAGTACCTAGGGATGGAACGGACGGAAAAGGACCCTTACTGGACCCGCAGGGGAAGGTAAGCAAAACTGTAATCCTCGATAGGGACAATCTGATGTGCCTCTCTAGCCCTTGAGACCTTTTACCATTCTGCCGTCTGGAGCTTCGGACCGTGTACGACTGCAAGCTCAAGTGTTCCAACCAGATCACAGGTTACCGACCATGTCCATCGACGAATATCTCGAGATAGAACAGCAGCGGGGCAACGTCATTACAGGCGGAGGGTACGTAACTGCGCTTCTTCTCATTTGAGAATATCGACTAAGTGGTCGTCCAGCTCCGCGTCGGAAAGCAAGCTGACAACTTCAGAACAATTGCAGCTTGATTCCGAGAAGGATGGCACCGCTTTCGGTGAGCAGAGAGCGGAAGAGAAACGACAGAAGGACGAGAAATGGGCGCAATACAGCGACACACACCCAAAGGGCGCGGGCAACACTATGAATAGAGGCTAACCTCCTTGCACACAAGATCCAAATGTATAGTTGCTGTACGATACACCGTGCCCAGGCACGACGGAGATGCCTGATATACATCCATAAATGCACAACACAGGAGGTCGAATCACCGAAATCATCAGCGGCAACAAGGGAATCTAAACAGCGAGGCGCATCCCTCCTCGAGCACATGATGCACATCGCCTTCCGTGATGGCATCTCCTACAAGCGTGGCGGTGAGTCTGAGGGCCTAGCACTGGCATTGCGAAGCGTCCGGGACTTCGTTTGCTGGTGTCGATGTGACATCGATTTCTGTGGGTAGCCGTTAAGTTGCAGCATGGCATATGAACTGCGGGGACACTTACTGGCGTTTTGTGCCTCCTGTTGCTCACCCTCCTTCTCCATGCCCACCAGCGACATGGCGATCTTCTTGAACAGACTCTTCACATTGTGCCCAGCCTTCGCCGACGTTTCCATGAACATGAGGTTTAGCTCCGACGCTTTCGCATTCGCCTCCTCGAGTGTGACTTGTCTGGATATCGCCTAAGCATGCGTTCAAGAAGCGTGTCAAAGGATCATACCGCTTGTCCGACAGGTCCGCCTTGTTGCCTACGAGGACGACGATTACGTCGTTCCCTCGCTCCGAGCGAACATCGTCTATCCATTTGGAGGTGGACAGGAAGGACTGTCGATCTACAAATACGATATCGATAAAGGCTGAGAGGTGGTTTCGCTTCCACTTACTGGTTATGTCGAATACCACTATGGCCACTGAGCAGTCGCGGATGTACGACGGTATGAGGGACCGATAGCGTTCCTACGCAAGCACGTAGTGTTAAACGTAATCCTTCCGGTCTAGAGACGGGTACGTACTTGCCCCGCAGTATCCCAAAGCTGTAACCGGACAGTCCGGTCTTCTAGGTACATGGCTTTGCTCAGGAAGTCGATTCCGATAGTAGCTTGGTACGTGTTGTCGAACGTGTCATACATGAATCTGCATATGCCGTTAGTGTACTCCATCAACACAGACAGTACGCACGTCAAACGTAGGGACACAACTCGCCTCGTGATTAAACTCGTCTTTCCGACGCTTTGGTCCCCAAGCAGGACAATCTTGCTTCGCTTGAGCGGCGGTGAGGAGAAGTCGGCTGTGACTGGGGATGCTGCTGCCATGCTTGATCTTCACGTAGAATTAATGGAATTCCTGATAATTAAGCAAGGGGAGTAGAGGTTATGTGACGGCGGATGAGAGCAGGGAAGATGGCCGTCGTGGCGCGCTGCCGCCGGTGCGACGTCTCATCTAGAGCGCCCGAGAATCCGGGGAACCGGATAATTTTGGCGCCCATGAATTTTGCTCCGTATTGCGCATTTCTCCCGTCATCTCTACACACATTCCGACTCGTCTGCGCTCGCTTACTCTCGTACAAGATTCTTTGCAGACAAGTCATGAGGCTCGCAGACAAAATAGCAAATTATGAGGGCGAAAGGCCTTTCTTTACCCTCGAGTTCTTCCCGCCAAAAACGGACCAGGTCGCGTGCTTTCGATTAATGGGGACCTATCCTCTGTATTGACATCACAGCAGGGCTTTGAAAACCTGTTGGCTCGTATCTCACGACTTGCAGCGTTAGGGCTCCTTGCGGCCTCTATAACATGGGGCGCAGGGGGCAGCACTAGAGAGCGCAGCCTAGAGCTCGCGGGCATAACCCAGCAAGAGTATGGTCTTGACACGGTCATGCATCTCACGTGTACGAACATGGAGAAGGGCTCTATAGACGAGGCTTTGAAGGTGCGTGTTACCACCTATTGCATCGACTGTGTACCCAAGCGTGTTATAGGCCGCGAAAGAACGAGGAATCACTAGTTTACTTGCTCTCCGAGGCGGTGAGTCAACCACAAGCAATGTCCATTAACCACTAATAATGCCATTAGACGCACCTAGAGGGGATGAAGAGTGGATTCCAACCGATCCTCGCTTCGTACACGGAGCAGATCTGGTGCGGTACATCAGGACTCTCCCTGAATACTCCAACTTCAGCATCGCCGTGGCAGGTTACAATTCATCTCGCTGTCCTTACTGCTCTTTGTTGACACCAAGCTCTCTAGGTTACCCTGATGGACATCCCGAAAGCCAGACTGATGAGGATGGCGAGATTGAATACTTGAAGCAGAAGATCGATGCGGGTGCAGACCTCATCATAACACAGCTCTTCTACGATGTAGACGGGTTCCTGCGTTGGGAACGAAAGGTGCGCGAGAAAGGTAATATTTCAAATACTCCCTACATCTCACCTTCTCTAACGCCCTTGCAACTGCAGGCATTACCGTACCCATCGTGCCCGGCATTATGCCGATTCAGACTTATGCTTCCTTCCTTCGCTTGACGAAGCTCTGTGGCACCCGCGTACCGCACAAGCTTATGGCCGATCTCGCGGAAATTCGCGTATGTTTGTCTCGACTTGATCTGCTACGTATCTACTAATGCGAAATACTTCCCTCAGCATGATGACCAAAAGGTTAAGGATTATGGTGTTAAGCTTGCCATCGAGATGATCGAGCGATTGACTTCAGAGGCAAACATCCCTGGTGTTCATCTCTGTACTTTGAACCTGGAAAAGAGTGTGCAACGTGTCATTGAGGGCCTCGGTTGGGGAGCACCGAATTACTCCAAAATAACTAACAAATTAATTGCCGTAAGTAAAACCCAGCATTTATGTTAGCAACTGTACACAGACGATACCACAGGACATCTCTGGCACCAGCACGCCGACCTCTGCAATACCCCGACAATCTGACTTTACTATCACTCCCCAGAAAGCTACTGACTCTGCAACCAGCAAGCTTGCTGTCATAGCGAACACCGAGACTGAGGCAGGGAAAGGAGAGCTTAATAGCGCAGCTACCTGGGATGACTTCCCTAATGGCCGTTTCGGAGACTACAAAAGTCCTGCATTCGGTGGCCCTAATCCTTGGGGAACGACTACCGTCTCGGTATGCAACCTCGCTCATTCATAACGCCAGCAAACTCATCCCGCACTCGCGCTAGCGCAATCAAGTCCTTGCACATTGGGGGCACCCGAAGACAGAGGAGGATATTCTGAATGTCTTCCTCCGCTACCTGCACTCTAAGATAATCACGACACCGTTCTCCCCCGAACCGCTTTCCCCCGAGTCGCTCATGATCATTCGACACCTGGAATGGCTGACGAAGAAATGCTGGTGGACGATCGGCTCGCAGCCTGCAGTCGACGGCGCCAAGTCGTCGGACGAGGTCGTCGGCTGGGGACCAAAGGGCGGTTATGTCTACCAGAAGTCCTTCGTCGAGTTCTTTGTTGAGAAGGACGTCGTCGACAAGATCGAGAAAAAGGTGCGCGAGCGTGGGCAAGGACTGGTCGACTTTTTCGCAGGCAACCTCGAAGATGATTTCCGCACGAACGTGCCTAAGGGGGGGAGGAATGCGGTCACCTGGGGTATTTTTCCCGGCCAAGAGGTCGCGCAGTCTACTATTATTGAGAAAGAGTCTTTCCTGGCCTGGAAGGTATGTTCCTTCCGAAGACTTAGCGAGCCTGTTGTCAACGACAACATCTTTGCCTTATAGGAAGAAGCCTTCAACATTTGGGCAGAGTGGGCATCACACTATCCCCCAGACTCAGAAGAGCGCAGACTTCTTCAGAGTATCAGGAACAAACGGTGGCTCGTCAGTATCGTGCACCATGACTACAAGGACCCGGACGCATTGTGGAGGTTCATTTATGATGATGGTGAGCCCCTGGTATAAGGCCAAGATAGCCAGTATTTATCAGTTAATGTACACTTACGACGAGGGAATGTACCGTACCCGAATTACCTGGATACCCCTTTATGACAATCCGATTGTCCGAGAAGCCCTTTCAAGCTGCCCAATAACCACTCGAAATCTGGCCCATGTCGAAGACACTTCACACACACTCAGGCGACTAGCATTTCCCAACGATCTGCTCCGGGAGTTCGCGATTCCGAGGACTACGAGTGATCTAGCCAAAATGATACGAATATGGGTATGAGTCGTGAACATATAGTAAGACAGCGACAGAAGGGCAACAGCGAAAAAGAAACGAATGAATGCAGCGAGAGCAGGAGAAATGATGCAATGCTAGTAGTATGAAACAGAAAAGCGTGCCGTGCAGAGTGTAACAGTGTGCCGTCGAGTCGTATGAATGGGTAAAAATCTACTAAATACAGAATACAGTCAGCGCTGCGTCCAGGGGCGGGAGATGTGAAGACGCCTACTGGGAAACAGAATATACAGCACAAAGAACGTGCGGAATATCGGGAGAGGAATAAATCCAGATGGGTCAATAAAGACAGCAGTGGGAGAACCTCATTATGGCAACCATATCTTAACAGTCTGATCTACACTTCCTGTTGCAACAACGTTGATTATCTTCTCTAGCTCTGGTGCTGGGGATCCATTTGTTGATGCTCCGTTCTCGTTGGTAGAAGTAGGCTGCCGACCCCACGCGAGACATGTTACGAAATGTGAATGCGCTTGGACGGTCTTCACACAGCGTCCAGTGGCGAGTTCCCACACTCGGATTGTATGGTCATCGGAGCCCGACAGCAAGTATTTGCCACTAGGATGGAATACAATCGCACGAACCCAATTGTCGTGTCCGCTCTAGGGAGAGGGTTCGTTGAGAGTATGTCAACTCTCGAGCGAAGATGCCTACCAGTGTCCTGAGCAGCTGCCCTGTTTGGGTATCCCAGATCTTGATCGTCTTGTCTCTGCTTCCACTCGCGACGTACTGGCCCGGCCGTTTTGACTTATCCGTATTCTGCATGGGCAAATCAGAAAAGGGATAAAGGCTCGCAGTGATTTGAAGACTTACTGGTATGCCAGCTAGCTCACGGACGGGGCCATAGGCAGTAGCAGGAGCAAACACTACCACTTCTACATCGTTCTCGTGTCCTCTAAACTCCATCTTCGTCTCACCAGTCGTAGGGTCGATGCATCGTAGGGTCTATGCTATATTTTAGCGCATACACGCAGGGTTATACCGGCGAGACTTACGTGATCCTTCGAAGAACTGGCAAGAAGCTTGCCATCATCTGACGGCGTTACACATCGCACCCACTCTGAATGACCAGTAATGGTCCGAATGAGATGTCTACCAGGTACATGGTAAGCGACACCGGAATGCTCGAGTCAGGCAGGGTACGAACGTCGACGCTACGTCAAATATCCGGATAGTGCGATCTCGGCTAGCACTAACCACTTGCTGGTCTCCAGGCATAAAGCGCACAGCGGACACGGTGTGCTCGTGTCCAGGGAAGGTTTTAGTGTTCTTCCACTCATTTTCGACGTCCCATATCTTGATAAATAGATCAGATGAGCAAGTGACTGGCATGGGGCACGAGAAGGGGTATATTCAGTGCATATATACTTAGCTCAGGATAGGTACATACCTAACAGCTTCCCCTTGCTATCGAAGTCAAGATCGGTGACATGTCTCGTATGGCCCTTCAGCGTCCGTTCGAATTCGCCCGTCTCCCAGTCCCAAACCTTCACAGTGGCATCCTGACTCGCGGACGCGAGCAGATTGAACATAGGATGAAAGGCAACCCTCGTGATCTCACCACGATGGCCTGTGAGCGTGTAGGATGCCGGTGCCCTCGGCACCCAATCTGTCTGAAGGGCAGCACGTTTCGCGGGTGCGAGAGAAAGCTCTTCTTGCAGAGCTGCATTTCGATTCTCCAAGTCCATGATCTGCTCGAGAGAAATAGAACTTAGCCAACGAAACAAGAGAACGCATACAGCTAGCCGGGGGACATGCTGACCTTCTTCTGCAGCCGAATCACACTCGTCCACTTTTTCTCGAGCAGGCCCCCGTACCTGGACTTGGCGTCCGGCGTGTAATCGACTCCCGTGTCTGCCTTGAGAGCATTGTATGATTCCATAAAATTATTGGCATGCAGATATTCCAGGATGGACTTGTGGCTGAAGAGACATAATATGAACGCGCTCGCGACTTGCCCAGTATAATACTGAGCTTTACAAGGAGCGTAGAACGTACAGTTCTTCCTTTTGCCTGTCTGAAAGGAGGGACATCGTGGCCTACTCGTGCTGCCACTGTTTCTTCAAGGCGACGCAGGCGGGCGTGGTGAAGTAAGCACGAGAGCTCTTGCTTGTCGCAAAGATGGTCGTGAATGGTAGAGAAACGTGGCGCCTATTCCTCGGATTCAATCACGCTGCCTCGAACAAAGCATCATGGGCCTAGTTCACGCAAAAAGCATCCGTTCATATCAAAGCTGACCACTCTAATTTACACTACGCTACAGAGAGGCATATCGTGGATTTACCGGAGGCTCATGCCACCCATCTTGCCCGCGAGGGAGCCGACACTGACGGGACTAATTGCGCTTGCATCCCAGATGACCAACTTGCCATCCACACCAGAGGTGCTAACTCTGGATACCGCCCCGGGGGCACCGTCGTAAGGTCTGATGGTAGTGATTGTATTCTGATGCACGGTGAAGAGCTCAGTGTCGTTTGACTTGCCGCCGTCAGGAGCACCGGGGCCGGAGAGACCACGGCTATCCGCGTTACGGAAGGAGTTGAACGCGGAGCTTTGGAGGCGTCCAACCGGGGAAGGCGCGCCGCCAGACCCAGAGCGACCAGATGTCTTGTTCTGGTTGGGGTCGTCCAGCGTGCCTATGAGTTGCCACCCGCCCTCGTTCCCAGAGAACACGAAGGGCTGGCAATCGTGTCCAGCGGCAACCAGTGCCTCCTCGCTAGTCCAGGTCAACGTGACCAAAGGCAGCGTAGTCATCTTGATATGGTAGATAGCCTGGCTGCTAGGGTAGACGACAGTGACAGAGCTGTCGTGACCTATCACAAGCTTGCTCAGAGGTGGTCATCGATCATACAAAACCAAAAACATACCGGCAAATGCAAGAGCGTCTCCAGAAGGAGAGAAGCCAACGGAATGGACCCAACCACCAGAAGAGCTAGCATACTCGCCGCAAATGGTGTTGAAAGGAAGCTTTTCACCCCAGACTGAGGGGGAAGGACTGCATTATCGACACTCAATGCCAGGTATTACAGCGCACACACGAGACACTTACCGCTTGTCAACATCCTTAATGTAAGCGGAGAAGACACGGGCTTTCATGTCCGCGCCTCCGGCGGCGAGAAGAACATTGTTTGGATGCCAGTCGACGGAAAAAACTGTGGACCTGATGGGCTTCTTCAAGAGACGGGAAACCCACCAGTCGCCCTCGGGATCAAACGAGCAAATGGCGATAGCACTACAGGTGCCTGTTAGCTCGTGCCTCTTGTGCCTCTTGTGCCTCCAGGGGTACGCACCGAGCACCACTGGCCACAGCAAACTTATCCTCGTTGGGACTCCACTTCACATACGTCGCAGCGCGGTTGATGCGGAGAAGCACAAGCGTAGGCTTCCAGATCGAGCGTCCGGTCTGTGGGTCAGGAGTCTGCTGCCAGACATATGCGTTTCTATCCTGGGCGGAAGTGACGATACGATTGGAATTCGGAGCCCAGTCAATGGACGTGATGAGCTTGTCGTGCTGTGGCATGATGAGTAATTATGGCACCCCCAGGGACAAAGTGGCACACCTCAGAAAGGGTTTCAGTGGGCGTCCAGTCGTTCCCTTGGCGAGCAAATATCTGAACATCTCTGGAGTTCAAGCTCACCGCAACTTCTGAAGGGGGACGCAATTTCAGTGCTGAATGTCTAAAGCGGATTCACCTCTACTCACGGCTGCGATCGGCGTTGAAAGTATGAGATGTGATATGGGTTTGACCGAGAGAGAAGATTTCAGGAGCAGACATGCTTTAAAAAATATTGCAGAGGACTCTGTTCAGTCTACAACTGCGACGGCGGGGTGGTGATGAAGGCTGAGTGGAAGATGTGCGATGCTGTCGATGACGCTGCGGTTATCGCGTTCGGTTTGCTTGTTCTGATGCCATCACTCAAATTGAACTTATAGTCCTCGTCCGGATCCTCGCCAAAAACCAGATATCCATAGACTGTGCTTCTACATGTGCTCCATAGAGGTTGAGCATCCTGTACCTCCATCGGATTGTAATCACTCGACTGAAATTGTTAACACCTGTTCGGCGGGTCCAAGTGTACCGCTTGAGCCATACGCCTGGCAAGCACTTCGCGTTGAGTGCCGCGTTGTGCACTGGACGTTAGTCTGCATTGCTGCAACCTGCACTCTACGGCGAGAAGTGCTATTGTCGATCCTGACCCTAGAATTTTAGTGAAGCGTGGCACGTCAACATCTAACCGCTGATAGGGCGTAGTCAGTAGCAAGTCAGTGCAAAGTATAGGAAATTCAAAGCGAGCGTATACGCATGACTCACCGCGCCTGTGTAGTGCTATATAGGCGGTAAGTTCCTTGCAGCACTCTACTACGAACCACCGATGGCTAACTTACGTGTTGTAGGGTTTTCGAACCCTTACGAGTTTCTCGAAGCGGTCAAAGGCAACGATGACAGCTTCATGAACTTCCCACTCGGCGCACTCATGGATAGCATGGATGAGCAACAAATACGAGTGCGAAATATCACAGAGGATTCCAGGACGCTTGTTGGTGTATACGACGGAGATGCCCTAGTGTAAGTATTTTGTGCCGGACTAGTGCTCAGTTTGAAGAAGCTTATCCTCAGTTTGTACAAGGCTGGCACTGGTCAAGGTCGTTGGCGATTTCGCTTGGGTTCTAGGCTGCCCGGGGGACAGTGAACCCGTCGGGCCAAATGCGAAGACAGCAATCTCGCTATTAGTTTCCTTCCTCCCCTCGATCATTGATCCAAAACTGTTCGACAATCTCTTCGGTCCCGAATCTTTGGTGGATGCCTTCATAGACGCATGGGTCTCCGGCATGACTGCCCGCGGGCTACGCATCGAAGCTCTTCCCACCTTTTTCCGCTCAAAAGCCTCTTTCGCTACCCTCGCTACGCTGCCCCTGCCGTCGCTAGTGCTTTCAAAGTACAGAATAGAGCTGGCAAGCCCAGATAATGTGGAGATACTTGCACACCTTTACACTGGCTTCTCGGGTTCGGGACCCAACGCGGCGTCTATCGGGGAAGCGAGGGTGAAGATGGACATGTCCATCCAGTTAAGAGAGATATGGGTCTGCCGAGAGCAGGGAGAGATTGCAGGGTATATCGCAACAGGTCGAACAACATTCCGAACCGTGGCCATACGCAACCTTTATGTTTCACCACGCCATCGACGGAAGGGTGTTGCAGAAGCGATGACCGTGGCCGTAATGCGATACTTCCTTGGAGCGCAGCCGCTAGGTTTTGGTGGCGCGCCAGACGGTCCTCCCACGAAAGGCATTAAGGAGGAGATCTGTTTGAACGTCGCGGAGGAGCATGTCCAAAGATTGTACAAGAGATGCGGGTTTTTGTTGGGCGAGGGTAGCCGGGATCCCACCACAGGAAAGAAAGGATGGTTCGCCTCAGCCTTCAGAGGTGTCAGATTCCTCGATGAGCTCGAGTAGAGTGGACTGTTTGAGGCGATCTTCGCTTTACAGCATGTGCAGCCTACATTCTGAGAATACGTATGTATAGTTTCTGGATGAAAGTGTTATTCCGCTGAGAACAGTTCGATAAGTATTCCATGGGTAAAAATGCCGTTATCGTTAGTGTCTGACGAGTCAATGCAAAGCACAGGAAAGCGAGCGCTATGTAGGCGGTAGGGTCCCCGCAGCACTCTACCTCAGACCACCGATGGCCACTGGTTTTTCACGTGTTGTAGGGTTCTCGAACCCTTACGAGTTTCTCGAAGCGGTCAAAAGCAGCGATGACAGCTTGATGAACCTCTCGCTCGGCGCGCTCATGGATAGCATGGATGAGCAACAAATACGAGTGCGAAATATCACAGAGGATTCCAGGACGCTTGTTGGTGTATACGACGGAGATGTCCTAGCGTAAGTATTCACGGCGAACTTGTGCTCAGTCAAAAGTTCAGCCTAACTTCTACAAGGTTGACACTGGTCAAGGTCGCTAGTGACTTCCCTTGGGTTTTGGGCAGCCCGAGGGACAGGGAACTTGTACGGCCAAATGCGAAGGCAGCAATCTCGCGATTAGTTTCTTTCCTTCCCATGGTCGTCGATCCAAAATCGTTCGATAACGTCCTCAGTCCCGATTTTTTGGTGGATGCCTTCATAGACGCATGGGTCTCCGGCATGACTGCCCGCGGGCTACGCATCGAAGCTCTTCCCACCTTTTTCCGCTCCAAAGCCTCTTTCGCTACCCTCGCTACGCTGCCCCCGTCGTCGCTAGTGCTTTCAAAGTACAGAATAGAGCTGGCAAGCCCAGATGATGTGGAGACACTTGCACATCTTTTTCTCGATTTCTCCCGCTCGAGCCCCAACACGGCGTCTACCTGGGAAGCGAGGACGAAGATGGACATGTCCGTCCGGTCGGGTGAGATATGGGTCTGCCGAGAGCAGGGAGAGATCGCAGGGTATATTGCGACAGGTCGAACAACAATTCCGAACCGTGGCCATACGCAACCTTTATGTCTCGTCAGATCACCGACGCAAGGGCATAGCAGAAGCGATGACCGTGGCGATGATGCGGTACTTCCTTGGAGCACAGCCGCTAGGGTTTGACGGCACACCGTACGGCCCTCTCGTGAAAGGTGCCAAGGAAGAGATTTGTTTGAATGTCGCGGAGGAGCATGTTAAAAGGTTGTACAAGAAATGTGGGTTTCTGCTGGGTGAGAGCGACCGGGATCCTGCCACGGGAAAGAAGTTATGGTTCGCCTCAGCCTTCAGAGGTGTTAAAGTTCTCGAAGACTAAGGTGAGCTCTCCTTGTTCTGTTCGCGGTCTAGCAGCATGCACAACTCACATTCGCGAGAATACGTAGATTCTAGATTTGAATGTTATGCTGCTGAGATTAAATTGGCTCTAGAGTCTACGGCTAGCGTCGCTGTGTAACGTGCGACCGTATGCATCCCAATGAGGCAATGAGCTTATAGGGAACGGTTACCAGGGATCGCCACAAGGCTGGACGCGTGTCGTGTCGCAGGGTTCCAATGAATATTGACGTTGTCAAGCGGCTGCAGCATCAGAGCGCGCTCCAACTCGGGTTAAAAGATCTGCCTGAGATTTGAAGGAGCTTTCAAATAAAGTAAAGGGCCGTGGTTAACGGTCCGGCTAGAGGTTAGACACGATAAGCGGCGTTAGTTACCAGCTTAACAGTTGGTAAGCAGATGAGCGAGTGTCGGGTCCTTGGGCGTCCAGGAACGCTTCCCTACTTCCCACTCGGACAACTTGTCCTGCGACTTTCGAGGTCGTTGAGGATTTCTCCCAACGTCTTTCTGTATTAATAATTTACCATGGCGCCGACGACGACGACGACGTCGAATGGTGCGACGACCTCGGTCCAAGTAGGTGAGTACTTCACAGAAATGCCTCCGTGATACCCAAGCTCGGGCATACTGAACCATGGTCCTACAGCCCTCCGTATTCGTCCCCCTACCAACCAAGATTCGACCTCTATTCCCGCTCGCTTTCAAAGATCAGTCATTAATGCCATATCCCCCACCAGCGTCGCCGTCGACGCCACGTCTTCCGCTCTTTCGTCTGTTGGTTCCAGTGCCGCTGCCGCTACGCCTGCCTCTTCTGCGTCTTCGGCGAAGAAGCAAGTGTTTACTTTCGACCAAGTGCATCCACCTCCTACCACCCAATATCAACTTTTTACATCCACCGCCCAACCGCTCACCTCCCGCTTCATAGAAGGATTCAACTGTACCATTCTGGCATATGGCCAGACGAGTAGTGGCAAGACTTTCACTATGACGGGTATCGACCTCGACCTCGACCCTACCGATCCTGATAATGGCATGGGCATTATTCCACGTGCTGTAGCGAGCATATACCAACAGTGTCGCGAACTGAAGGACGAACGGGGTTCCGCATGGAGCTACAGTATCAAAGGCTCGTTTATAGAGCTTTATAACGAAGACCTAATTGACCTTCTTGGGTTCGATGAGTCTGGCGGTAAAGCCAGCAACGTGCAAATACGGGAGGATAAGCAGGGTCATATCATCTGGGAAGGCCTGAGAGAAGTGAGTGTCAAGAACTCAAATGAAGTCATGGGGTGAGTTTGACTGTTAATGTATACGCGACGCGTGTTCGTTGATTTGTGCCTTCGCAGATTGCTCCGCAAAGGAACGTCATTTCGACGAACTAACGAGACTGACATGAATGCTCAGTCCTCTCGTTCGCATGCCATCTTCTCTCTCATTTTGACTCAGAGGAAGTTCGTCGGCTCTGGCCCCCCTCCTCGCTCATCTTCCCCATTGCCACCGGGTGCCAATCGACCCCCTTCACGTCTCGCTAGGCCGTCTTCAACTACCTACACTAGTGCCTCTGGCAACAGGGTCTCATCGCCTACCTTCGGTCGCCCTGCGACACCTAGTTTCGCGTCTGCTATGGGACGGGGCGGCAGCAGCATTAGGCCGCCAAGTTCAATGGGCATGCTGTCTCCTCCAGATGGCGGAAGGAGACATAGTCTATCTCCAGGAGCACCTCAAACGAACGGCGACGGCGACGGTGAATGGGTGACCATTATCTCGAAATTCCATTTCGTTGACTTGGCTGGTTCCGAACGGGTGGGTCACTCCAGAACATATAGGGTCTGCTGTGCTCATTTTCTCTTAACAGTTAAAACGAACAGCTGCCGCCGGAGAGCGTGTTAAGGAGGGTATCTCGATCAACAGTGGTCTCCTTGCTCTCGGCAACGTCATCTCGGCGCTCGGCGATCCCGCGAAAGCGAAAACTCACACTGCATCGTATATTCCATACCGCGACTCTAAGCTCACTCGTCTACTTCAAGATTCGCTGGGCGGTAATGCGCACACTCTCATGATTGCTTGTGTTAGTCCTGCAGAGTGGAACGCGAATGAGACGGTTAACACTCTCAAGTATGCGAATCGGGCGCGCAACATCAAGAATAGAGTCACGCTCAACGAGAAAGAGGAAGGGTGGGACGACGTTGAGTGGCTGCAGGGCATGGTCGCACGACTTCGAAAGGAGCTTAAGGTCTTGAAAGATGGCGGGGCAGTTGCGCCGGCCTCGTCTGCAGGCGTTGAACCAGAGACTTCGTCGGTGGCCGTCCAGAAGGCGTACTCTCAGATGGCCGAGCTGCGATTCAGCTACGAGGATCTCCGCGCGAAGTATGTTGATCGAACCGAGGAACTCACTCGCTTGCGCCGCGACTTAGCGGAGAAACAGCGCGCTTCTGGCGGCGCAGTGGGCGGTACAGCAAAGTACGAGGAGATTGTCGGTCCCGTTATTGAGGAGTACGAGAAGACGATCAGCGCTATGGAAGCCGAGCTCAGTCTCAACCGCGCAGCTCTGCGACACACCAACGATTTGGTCGACGAGAAGGAGGCAGAGCTCGCCCAGCTTGCAGAGCGGCATGTGACTACCGAGATGTATGTCGAGGAGTTGCGTTCGAGGGTCGCCAAGCTTTCAGAGCGAGAGGCATCGACTGAGGTATGAATTACTCCAGCAAGGTTACATGTAGCTGCAGCGCTGACGCGGTCGTGCAGGCTTACATTCGCGATCTCGAGGAGAAGGTCAAGCTATTCAACGAGGACAGTATGACTACCAGTGGCTCAATGAGCGACCTCAAGCGAGAACTGACGAAGGTCAGGGATGCTGAAAGTCATTCGGTCCAGTATATCGCCGAACTTGAGGCACGACTCGCGAAATCCGATGAATCAGTCATCGCCCTGCAGCAGACGGTCGAGCAACTCGAAGAGGAGTGCGAGGCTCGTCGCGAGGACGTCAAAATTCTGCAGAGCCGTTTGGAGCAGCTTCAACGTGATGGTCAGGGTTGGAGAACCGATCTGGAAGAGAGAGAGAAGAAGATTCAGAGGATGGAAGCCGAGCTCAAGGAGCGCGAGGAGTCGCTAAAGGCCATGGCAGAGAACCGCGAGCGCTTAGGCGTAATCGTCAGCGATGTCAGCGAAGCCCGCAAGAACCTGGAGGTTGCCAGTATCACGTCTGACACCTCTTCGGTCCACGGTTCCGAAAACCTACTCGAAGAGCAACTGGTCGCGCTTCAACAGACGCACACCGCCACTCTCGCCGACCTCTCTTCGGTGTCTGCCAAGTATCGAGACGCCCTTCGCGAAATAGCAGATCTGGCTGCTCAGCTCCAGGAAGCAAAGGTGAATGCTTCTATTCCTCCGACTCCACTGTCCGAATCTCCAGAGCGGCCGACTGAAGTCTCCTCTCCTCGGAGGCGGATGACCAGGGGCATGTCCAAGGACGGTCTCGACGGGCCTTTGGCCGGCACGGGCAGACGCCTCCACTACAGGCAAGCGGTCTCAACCGAATCTCTGCACGCGAGGTAGGCCTCGGATTATCCGCTATGGGTGCGCGTGTACTCATAATAATCGCAGGTCTATGTCGCAATCTTTATCGCTCTCTCAGGAGCTGTCCTCGGCCAGGTCGCGCAAAACCTCTACCTCCAGCCACGGCACGAGTAGCTCTCTCTCCTTGTCCCCCGGCTCCAAACCCTCGTTGTCGTTGCATGTTGGCCCCAATGAACGGTCTGTTCAGAGCCTTGAACAAGAAATCATGCGACTGCAAGAAGTTCTCAAGGAGCGTGAAGCCGAGATCAGTGCTCTCGAGCAGTCACTAAAGGAAAAGGATCGCGCGACAACGTCGTCACAGACATTTTCGCCAGATTCGCCGACGACCCCAATTCAGACTGGTTCCAGTGCCATGGTGCACTTATCTCCCAAGACAAGAAGCCAGTTTGAAGAGCTGCACAACAGCATTAGTCATACGGAGGGCAACCCTGTTCCAGACGCGGACGAGTCCCTGGAGAGGTTGAACGAGCTGATGAGGTAATTGGATATGTTTGCGCCATTGGCAGCATCTGCTCACGGTCTACGTCAGGTCCATGGCGCAGAAGGAGTCGAGTCACCGAGAGATCGTCGACGGGCTTAATGCAGAGTTGAATCAACTACGCCGACAGCATGACGAGCTCACCGTATTGTCGCGCGATCAGGTATGCACTCTGCTATACCTTTTCTCATCACAGGTTGTTCAGCATACGTCACAGGCTCTTAATATGTCGAACGAGATTGAGGGGTTGCGGTACAAGCATGAAGAGGACCTGACCAAGCTCGACGATGTACAACAGCACGAAGCCGAACTACTCGAGGCGCTTGAACGCGCTCAGGCCGATCATGCCTCGGCGGTCGAGAAGCTGAAGGCGGACCACGAAGAAGCACTCCGGGTGAAGGAAGCCGAAGTCGACGGCATACTTGCGAAGCTCAAGGACGAGCACGATGCTGGAGTCCAGGATCTTTGCTCTCAGCTCGTCAGCGCCTCGGCTGCCCTCGAGAAAGCTCGTCAAGATCATGAGGCCACTTTCGGCAGGCTTCAAGCTGATCATGAAGAGGAACTACGCCGTCAGAATGATGACGTCAACAAGACTCTCGAACGCATGCGGGTTGAACACGAAGCTGAGGTCGCCGCCGCCCTGGAGAAGGCCAGGTCAGAGCACAACGAGGCCTTCAGCAAGCTTCGCGCCGAACACGATCAGATGCTGCAGAAGCGCAGTGAAGAACACCAGATCGCAGTCGAGGAGACCCAGAGGGAATACGAGGACGCCGTCTCCAAGCTCATCTCGGACCACCAGCAGTCTCTCAAGAACAAGGAGGAAGAGTCGTCGGCGACGCTCCAGCGAACAGAAGAGGAGTACTACGAGGCCCTGACGAAGCTGCGTATAGACCACTCACAGGCACTCGAAAAGCAGGCCGCTGAGCACGCCACAACTCTTGAGCGTCTCAAGGACGAGCATGTCCGCGAGCTCCGTATGGCAGAGATCGCCCGTGAAGGCTCGCTCACGCAGTCTCAGTCTGCTCAGGAATCGGCTCTGAGGGAGTTGCAGGAGGCGCATGCTTCCGCTGTTGTCAATAAGGAGAGCCAGTTTGCCGAGGACCTCCAGAAGCTGAGGGACGAGCACGTACAGATCCTCGCGACTAAGGACGAGCAACACCGCGCATCCGTCCAGAGGGTCAAGGCGGAACATGCTGCCACTCTCCACGACAAAGAATCGGCCCACAACGAAACGATTGAGAAGCTTACCATTGATCACGCGAAGGCCCTGGCAACCAAGGATTCCCAGCATCAAACGAAGCTTGAGCAGCTCGCAGCTGAGCATTCAGCTCAGCTGAAGAAGCTACAAGAGGATTCCGAGGCTAACGTTGCTCAGCTGACGGCAGAGTTGGAGAAGGTGCGAAACGAGAAGAGCTCCATCGAAATCTCGCGGAAGGATACCGAGCAGATTCTCCAACAGAGCAGACAGCAGCAAGCGGTTATGCTCCAGGAGGCCGAGCGTGGCCATCAGGAGGAGGTCATACGACTGAAAGCCGCACACGACTCTGCCTTGGAAGACGTGGAGCTACGTCAACAGGAGGAGCGTTATTCGCTTGCGCAGGTCCACGTGGAGGAGTTGGCTCATCTGAAGGCCGAACATCAGACCGCAGTGGGTGAAGCCCAGTCCGAGCTCATCGCTGCACAGGAACAGCACAGGAAGGATTTGGAAGAGGCCCGCGCACAGACGGAGCGCCTCTTGCAGGAGGAGAAAGCCCGCCTGACCTCTTCGTTGTCGGATCTCGAGGGCAAACAGGCGGAGGAGCTCTCCACGCTACGCAAAGACCACGACGTATTGGTAGAGGAGAAAGTTGAGCTCTCACAGTCACTTTCGGAGCTAGCTGCGAAGCATCAGGCCGAACTCACGGCGCTCCGAGAGGAACGCGATGCTCTTACGGCCGAGAAGGCGCGTCTCTCAGCATCTGTCGCGGACGTGGGCACGCGACACGCCGCGCAGTATACCGTTCTTCAGCAGGAACACGGCCTTCTACTTGAAGAATTCGAGTCTCACAAGGCTGCCGCGCAGGAGGCATATGCTGCTCACGAAGACAGCCGTCTGGAACATGAGGCTGCCCTGCAGAAGAAGTCCAGCGAAGTCGCGTCATTGCACCAGCAGCTCTCCAGCGCGAACTCTCTGCGTGATGCCCTGAGCTCGGAGCTCGACAAGCTCCGTGAAGAGCTCGAGGAGACGCGGAACAGGTCCTCGGAGCTCGCTCGCGAAGCGTCTAAACGCCAGTCGCTTGCCGAGGAGCTCGAGCGCCACAGATCGGCTCTTGCCGAGATGCAGGAGAATCTGCAGAAGACGAAGGACGAGATGGACACGCTGCAGGCTGAGAAGCACAAGCAGGATGCCGCCCTCCGGGACTTGCAGGCACAGCTGCACACGCGCAGCCCGTCGCCGCCGCAACGCGTCGGCAGCGCTGCTGGCCGCGCCAACGGTATTCCGGCACCAAAGCTCCCTCCGCTCACCCCGTTGCCAAGTCTGCCTGGCGGCACGCCCCAGACGCCGACGCTTCGCTCTCACGAAGCTCAGATGAGCTCGACTTCTTCGGCAATGTCCATCTCATCTCGGAGCATCGAGTCGGTGGATGCTCCGTTGACACCTGCTACCTCCGTGGCGCCATCGGTTACATCGCCGGCGATGTCTCAGCCGGATCCGAAACTTGTTCAACAGGTGCAGGGTCAGGCGAAGCTCCTTGAGGAACAGGAGGTGATGATCAAGACGCTTAACAAGCAGCTTACGCACTGCGAGAGCGATTTGCAGGCGCACATTGACATGGTGGCGACACTCGAGACGTCTCTGGCGGAAGCCGAGAAGAACCGTGAGTTCCATGTTTGGCTTTGGCTTTAGCCCTGTTCTAACTCCGGCCTCAGTACGCAAGGCGCGCATGCAAGCTACCGAGATCTCGCGCGACCGGGACAACTTGAATACGCAGGTCGTCTCGCTGCGGCAAGAGCTCGCCGAATCCAAGAACGAGGTCGCGAATGTCCGTCGCTCGGTCGTCGAGGAGAAGCAGAGCCTCGAGATCCGCTTGGACGAGGAACGCCGTGCCAAGGAGCGTGCGCGCGCACAGCTCGACGGCCGGATGGACGAACTTCAGCGACGCAAGTCAAAGTTTGCGTGCCTGTAATTCATTCCGCATATCTCGCCGTCCCCCTCAGCCCTTCTCCTGGAATTCTCTAGCTTGATCGCCACCGGCCGCCCTGAACCGATCGCTCTAGGTCCTTAGAGCACGGACCGCATCTATCCGGCCTCGTCTCTTCACTCAATCTCATCTTTCGGTCTGCCGGGTATCATTAAACACACTTAGTTCGCTTGTGTTCGCTTGTGACTTCCTCTCCCCCGCTGCCGTCAGTGCCATCCTTTTGCACCGCTTTGCTCTTCTGTGCCCTGGCTGCTATTCTCGTTTTTTTTTAACCTTCGCTTCCGCGTTTTATGCTGGAGATACCCCCTTACACTCGATCACTCATACCACCCACCACATTGCACCAAGACGGTCTCTCGGTCTGGCCCCCACGTTCGTTTGGATTTGGCTCTTTATCAGTACTGTATGCGCTCCCTAGCCTTCTTTTCTACGTATATATTTGTACGACGCGTCCAGTGCACGTACATGGTGTCTAGCCCAAGTATAGAGTATGTCGAATTTTATGCCACTCATTACCTCTTGCTGTGCGTGCGTGGGGCGAGTTAGAACAATTGCCAAAAGCGGGGGCGGGGTTGCCATCTGGGGTAAGGCTTCGTTCGGGACGTGGGGATGAGGCGGGGGTCATGCTCGGGATTGCTCGTGCACAGGAATCGCGGGGAAGCGGCCGAAATACACCCGGGCGGACAGGGACGCAGAGGATGCCGTCTGCGGCTGGGGCGAGAACGCTGGCGAAGGACGTTTCGAGTGGTGTATCGGCCAACCGCGTAGCTCACAAGGTCCGAGAGTGCATGCAGGCCCTGCGAAAAGCGGCGTGTCGCCTAGAGCTGGCAGAATGGCTTTAGGCTCGCTAGAACGTGCAGCAGTGCCGATAACCTAAGCTGATGCTGGGACGCAATTGGCCGCAGACGAGTCGCCGAGGCAATGGCTGTCATCTAAAACGTACAGGGCGTCCGGACGGTGAGAGAGAGCGCAGACTCGGCTGTGGCTGCGGTGGTCATCTGGCTCGGACACGCGCGGGTCTAGTCTGCGGGGCGGAACATGGTCAGCCCTCGATTGGCTTCTGCCCGCCAACTCTTCTGCGGTCCGACCACGTCCTGGGCCCAGGCACGGCCTCTCTCCTGCCAAATGGCTAAGCGCAATCCCTCCGCCAGATGCCTTCTCTCGGAATCTCCCACTTCTCCCAGCCGCTACTTTTTTCATTTTCCCGGGTCGTGAAGTGGTGTCGTGCTCCAGCCCCAGCCACCCATCCCTTAAAGCCTGCCCGCCCGCCCACCTGCGCCCTCTCTCTCAGCTTTCGTTTCTCCTCCCCCACCCCGTCTCCCCCACTCGCCCCACCCACCACACACGCGATGTCGACGCGACTCTTCTCTCGAGCAATCCCCTCGTCCTCCCGCACACTCCTCCCCTCCTCGTCCCAGGCCATCGCCGCCAGCCGTGCCTCGTCCTCCCAAAGACAGCGCATCCTCGTCGGCGCGCAAGTGCGGTGGAACAGCGCCGTCGCGGCGAAGGCGCGAAAGGAAAAGTTCCTCCCCGACTTCTCCATGGCCGGCAAGGTGAGCAAGCTCCGTCCGCGCGCTCCCGTCGCGCCCGCTGCAGTCGCTCACGCCGTGTCGCCCAGGCCACCATGATCACAGGCGGCGCCCGCGGCCTCGGATACGAGTTCTGTCGCGCGTTCGTGCAGTCTGGCTGCACGTCCCTCGCCATCGTCGATCTCAAGGAGGAAGAAGCGGAAGAGTCCGCCCGCACCCTCGTCACCGAAGCATGCCGTGCGGATTCCCCTTCCTCATCCTGATGCGCGGCGTGCTGATAAGGTGTGAAGTTGACAGTGATATGGACCCGAAAGACTATCAGATCATTGGCATCGGCTGCGACGTCTCAAGCGAGCTCAGCGTGCAGCAGGCGTACAGGCGCACGATGGACACCTTCGGCCGCATCGACAGCGTCGTCGCGAGCGCTGGTGCGTGGTGTTTACTCCCCCTGGCCGCCCACGCTCATCCTTATTGTCCCTAGGCATCGTCGAGAACTACTCCGCGTTCGATTACCCCTTCGATCGGATAAAGCGTCTGTACGATATCAACGTTCACGGCGCGTTCTTCACCGCGCGCGAGGCTGCCCGGCATATGATCCCTCAGGGCGGAGGCAGCGTCGTCCTCGTTGCCTCGATGTCCGCCAACGTAAGTCCCCCATGTCCATTACGTTTTCGCCTGCTCCGACGACTGGTCCACCCGCCCCGCAAATTGTTAATGAATAAACGCTGACGCCCGTCGCTTGGCACAGATCGTCAACATCCCCCAACCACAGACGCCTTACAACTCCGCCAAGGCTGGTGCGTCCTCTCCACTTGCATTTTTCTTTCTGGTCAGCTCACGTGGCGCGTCTCCCTGCAGCGGTCAAGCATATGGCTTCGTCCCTCGCCGTGGAGTGGGCGAAAAAGGGTGTTCGTGTCAACTGCCTCAGGTGCGTCTCAGCTCCCTACGTCATCTCTGTGAACCTCCGGCGCTGACAAGCGCGTTCTTGAACCTGCAGCCCCGGCTACATGTTGACCAAGCTCACGAAGACCATTCTTGCGCACGATCAGGAGCTCAAGGTGCGTAGACAGGCCGCATGCCGCCCCTGCCAGACTCGACGCTGACCTCTGTCCTTACGATAGAAAACCTGGGAAAGCCTTACTCCCATGGGCCGCATGGGCGACCCAGAGGATCTTTCGGTAAGTACCTTTTGCGCTTTGCGTGGTTTGAGTGATGTTCACTGACTTCGTCGTCGTGTCTAGGGTGCCATCGTTTTCCTCGCAAGCGACGCGTCTCGCTTCATGACCGGCTCAGAAATACGCGTCGACGGTGGCTACTGCTGTGTCTAAAGCCTGCGACATCGCCCCAACATGCTCCAACGTCCCGTCGTCATGATACCCACCTGGATGCCCCCCAGACGCACAGACCTGCACCAGCCCACAAAAGCAACATACAACCATACAATACTCAATAAATGACAACCTCTTAGAAGATATAGATTAACTTATTCGCACTCACCTGAAGTAGCTGTCTTAATTGCTCTTTATCTGCAACGTCTTCGCAATCACTCTTGGGCCATCGTTGGATGCAGCGGACTATTTGCTCATTTTCTTAGCTTGGCTGTGTATGCTCATACGTTCTGGCACGCTGCACAACTTTCCTGTAACATTTTCTGTACTCATTAAATACATCTGTGGACTTTTCTTCTCTCTCTGCTGTTGTCTGCTGTCCCTCCCATCGTCGGTGGGTCGAACTTGCTGTTGCGCGACTTGGAGGTGCGTGGGAACTCACTGCTGGCTCAAGATCTCATCGGTGATCCCATCAGGCCCCGATCCGGATAGTGGCCTCTTGTCTTTGGCCTCAGAGGCCAAATATTGGCGACAACACGGGCCTTTCTTTCGCGACCATAACCGCTACCATCACCATACTCAATTTTGCCACAGTCACCTATTTCGACCTCTTTCTATATCAGCATGGAAGACACCGCCAGCCTAATGGTCCCACAACGAGCAATGCCTGGTTTCCACCATGAACAGTCCACTTCGCCTGTGGCCTCGGTGGCGAGCATCCTTGGGCCCACGGGCCACCTGCTCGTGCGGCAAAACGAAGGAAAGGACAAGAAACGCCCTCGCCCATGGGAGCTCTCCGACTCCGAGTCTGACGGCGCGCGCGAACGCAAGAAGCGGCGCGTCGGCGAGAAGCAGGTGCGCTACGCGTACGTCGCGCACAAGTTCCCCGTGAGTGCCGTGTCTGGCTCTGCGCCGCGCGTTTTGTCGTGTCTGGGTTGCTGACGTGAGGCAGAAACATGCTGAGGCGACGAGGGCGGAGGACGCCATCGCCTGGTACGAGAGCGCCACAGACGGGCGGGAGCCGCTCAGGCGGAAGCAGGAGTGGCACGCGAAGCAGATACGCCCGAGTCCGTTGGCGTTGACAGATCTTGAGTATGTCAAGGAGCTCGGTGCGTCTTTCTCCAGGTGATATCAGTTGTGGACTGTATGCTCAGTTTGTGATAGGTGCGGGAGGGTACGGTCGTGTGGGCGTCGTGCGTGTGCGCAAGATGCAGCACGCTCACTCTCTAGATGTTAATAATGCCGAGCTTGCTATCAAGGCAATCTTTAAGAGGAAGCTACGCGAGGAAGAGCCGGTTAGTGGGCTCTACACGCAGTACAACAGGTCGACTGAACATGTATCTGCAGCTACACCAAAGCACCTTCCAGGATCGCTCCTGGGACGAGAAGAATTTTGAACGTGGAAATCTCCATTGGTTAGCGTGGCACCCGTTCATCGCAGGCATGTACGACTGCCTCGCGGACTCGCGCAACCTGTACCTCTTGCAGGAGCTCGCACCACTCGGCACGCTCGAAGCGTACATTGAAAAGCACGCTCCGCTGCACGCATCCGTCGCGCAGTTCTACTTCTCGAACATCGTCGTGGCGCTCGAGCACCTTGCGTCGCTGCACTTCGTGCACGGCGACCTCAAGCCCGGGAACATCCTCATCGGCGGCAACGGGTACCTGATGCTCGCGGACTTCGGGCTCGCGAGCCGCTGGGACGAGCCGCGCGACTGGGAGCACGTCGGCACGCCGAACTACCTGTCGCCGGAGATCGTCCGGGGAACCATCGACTCGGTCGCGAAGCAGTGCCTCGACTGGTGGGGCGCGGCGTGCATCCTGTACGAGATGGCGACGGGCAAGATGACGTTCGACGAGCCTGACCCCGGGGAGTTTCTCGATCAGGAGGCGATCAGGGACGACGTGAAGGAGCGTGTGCTCGCGGCGCACTATTACTGGCCAGACCCCGACGCCGTCGACCCGGCGATGAAGTGGTTCGTGGACGAGATGCTGATGTGGAGGTATGAGCTGCGCCTGGGCACCGTGTGCAAGAGGCTCGAGACGGGCAAGGTTGTGAACTCGGACATACGCTGTCATGTGTGGTTCGATGGCTATCCCTGGGAGGACATCGAGAATAGGACGTATGCTGTGCGTGCTTCAGTCCTCATGCGGTCTCACCGATTGCTGACGCGCACATACAGGCTCCTTATGTCCCGTTGGAGCCACCAACCAGCACCCGGCTGTGGCACGATCGTCCGATGCCCCTGCAATATGAAATGCCTGGCGTGCCGCTACTGCTGCCTCCACGGCACCTCCACTTCGACACGCGTCGCCGTCGCTGGGTACGTCTGCACTCGGACAAGAGAAACGCTGTGGATGCTCGAGCCGAACAACAGGCGGAGATGGCTAGGGACGTTGAGAACAACAGGGAAGAGCTGGAGGCGAAGCTGCGGGAGAAGGCGGGGGCTGCCCGTGGAGTGACTGAAGGCACAGCCCGTATCAAGACCGCCGCGAAGGAGAAGGGCACGGAGGATGATTCAGCTCCAGACCAGAGCATTACCCGCGCTGTCAGGTCGCGAGCTCAGGACGTAACCGTCGCTGAAGCGAGCTCGGCGCGTCAGCCCACGGAACGGCCAACAGACAGCAACGACATACATAGCGACAGAGAGAGAGGCAACGGCGGCCGGATTGAACGGGCAGTGAAACGGGACGAGAACGAGTTGGAGACTGTTCCACCGCACTCAATACCACCCGCACTGAAAGGCGGCACGCTCCCTCTCTTCCGGCCACCTACGGTCAAGCCGAAGATCGACGGATCTGCTGCACGACAGTCCCCTTCGCTGTTTTCACCCGAAGAAACACAACAAGTGGAGACATTCGGCACCGTCGCCGTCACCACCGAAGACCTACTCAAGATCCGGGTCGCTGAGGGGTGGTCGTTGCACGAGTTGGCGAAGAATATAGTCAAATGGAAGCACGCAGCTGAGAGCCGACCGCTGCCTCCGACAAAGGCGGAGGTGCTATGGGAAGAGACGCGGCTTCGTGTCGCTGAGACTCGCCTCAAGGAACGTCGGCGGAATACCATGCATAGCCTTAAGGAAGTGGCCAGCTCCTCTACCAGTCTGCAGCCTCTGGAAGCTCAGAAGCCACATGCGAAGAGTGTCCAGAGGGACACAGCTCAGGCCTCGGACGTTGACACGATCAAGCTTCAAACTGTACTGGATGAAGCACTGGGATACGCGCGGGCGAATGGCTTGACGCTACGCCAGTGCGCCGAGCGCTTCGCAAAAATAGAGGGACAGCCTGTGGAGGAATTGGTGAGGAGGGTCGTCCTCTTTGAGGACTTGCTTCGGCAACGTATGGCCAAGCACGAGCGAGAAGCCGCGAACGAACAACCCGTGGCAGGCCCGTCAAATGCTGTTCGGGTACAGGCACGGCCTCCTGCTCAGCCTCAGGCGGCGGGCATATCGACCGATCCGCGAAAGCGGACAAACCTTGCCGCTCAACCGATAGCGGGAACATCAACTGCTGCGCCGCCTCCTGCCATCCGGCGGACGGCAAGTCCATCGACCATTATGCGACAGCGAACAATTCCTACCCTTCGGTTCATGGCGGGTCCCTCCGACGTCGCTCACACTCAGGCGCCTCCAGCCCTTCACCCGACGGCCAGCCGGCCAGAATCTATTACCAGGCCGCGGATGGCACCGGAGACTAAGCTGGGCGGGATTCCACCTGGGCCGAGAATGAAAGTGACAGGCACTCGACAACCTGCTCCTACTGGTTTCTCCTCGTCGTCGACCCCTGGATCTGCGATGAACGGCAGTCAAACCGTGCCTCAACAGCAAGCAGTCGGATATCAACCGTATCCTGCAGCAGCTACTCGACCCCGCAGAGACAAGTCGAGGCAAGTACAGGGAACAGGCGCGCTTCCTACGGAAAGATGGCCTCCACGCGTCCATGGGCCAAACCGGCACGAGGTCTCGCAGGCTGCGGGGAGGCAAAATGTCGCTAGCAGCAAGGGGGTCGCCCAGCACGTACAACGACCCCAGAGCGCTCAGCAAGGCAAAGCGAGGGCTGAAGTCGCACAGCAAAACGTGTTAAATGCTGATCTGGGTGCGATGGCGGGCACAGCGGTACAACCATCGTTTCTTAGGCTACTACCGCGGACACCACCTGCGCAAACATTGAAGCGGGGCTCGAGGCTGAAAATGGGTTCAACATCAGATGCAGAGCCTGCTGGCCAAGGAACTAGCTCGGGAGGCCCGATTCGTGCGAATGAAGATTCTGTGCTGCCTGTTGACAAGCAAGAGGCTACACCTGGGGAAGCTCGCTTGGAGTGCATTTGGCTAAGGCGGTCTCCGGAGCCGACTAGCACACGAGGGCGACATTCTCTCAGGGCGAGCGGCGCAGATGCTGGTGATCAAGGGTCCCGCATGCGAAGTTCGACTCCTACAGGAACGACACCTCCGCAGCCGTCTGCTGCACTGGCAGACAATAGCACAATTAGCGGCGAGCGGCGCGTCAGTTTTGGAGATGATTGTTCGCTCCTCAGCCCCTGCATTCCACCCAGCATGCAGTCGACTGGCTCGCCAAAGAGCACACCCACGAGACCGAAGACTCCTCGAGCATCAAGAATGCCTATCGGAGCCTCGACCTTCCCACTAATATGGTCTCCTCCCTTGTCGCCTACTGGAGCAGTGGCTAGCTCGCCTCCGGGATTCAAGTCGCCGACGGACACTATCGTTGGGCCGCCACCGAAGTGGTCACCATAATGCATTCTTTCTAGGAACAAATGAAGGCTATTTCTGATCTCACGAGGCTACCCTCGTTTGCCGCCGGCATACTACACATCTTCGTTCTTGCGGGCCTGCATAGTCAGCGTTCTAGATCGAGACTCTGGAGATTGCCAAGCGCGGCGCGGAAGGATCTGTATCGCCCGTCTTTTGTTACCAGATCTTGCTCGTACGCCCAATGACACGATGCTTAATTTCGGTACAGGTGCCTCTGACATACCCTTCATGCATAATTCGTCCCGGAGCTTCGGCCTCTGTACCTACCTCACACAGGGATCTCTCGGGGATCTCGCAGCTTGCGGTGTCACCTCCGACACCACGCTGCAAAGACAATAAGGACTTCGAATACCCTCCGTCTGCCGCTGCTTTTAGAGTAATTTGTATGCGGGCAATGCCATGTCGCAGGTTTTGATGCGTATCCGAGACCCGTCACTTCCGCACACCGCATGCACCCGTGCACATGCGACCCACCAGAGAGCCTCTGCGGCGGGAACTGGTTAGGACACCGAGCGACGTCAGCACTGCGCTGGACGCTGTCGGAGCCCCTGGCAGGCGGAGCCGCGAGACGGCTTCCGCGACGTGGCGCCCTTCAAGGCCGTCCTACGAAAGTCGACTGCGCCCCAACGTGATCGTACTCTATTGGCCTGCATTCTACGATCGACACAGCCCACAAGAGACGGCTTTCTCGGCTTTCCTCGCTCAGCGTGTAGGAGGCCCAAGCTTGATGACTTCCTCTGACAATTTCTTGACTAGACGCCGGCTAATCGGTCTTCGCTGACGAAACAAGCATGGAATAATTGATACTGGATTAACAGTAATATAACGAATAAATAGCTTGAGGGGTTGCCCTCGTGTTCTGTATCTGAAAGGACTGGCCAGCACGTGCAGTGGACGTGAAAACGGGTACGATAAAGTGTATCGTGATGTCGGCGGAAGGTCCGTGTAAATGTACAGTATATACAACCAACATCGAACATCGAAAAGGCGGGCAAAAGAGTACCCTACGCGAGAGCCCGCAGGATTAATATGGGTACAGTGCAGATAGGGGGGTGTCGCCAAGGGGCTGTAGGGAATGGGTGTGCTCTACCGAGCCAGCTCTACACGAGCGCCATGTCAAAATGGGGAGATGATGAGAAGGAGGGACGACCATCAGCAGCCTGGCATATCCGATGTCGTACACAGCGAATGGTTTCCTAGAGACGCAAAATGATGAGAAGCGGTTACGGCAGCAACGGGAACTGATGGTGCTCACGAAGAAAAGAGTGCTCCAGGCTGGTGAATGAAATGACTATGTACAGTAATGAGACCAGGGCGGCCGCTCTTTGATGGGCAACGCGTTGCCGTGTGCGAAGTATTGCTCCGTGATAGATGGGCGGTCAGTCCGCCTACATGCGGGAAGGGGAAGACGAATGAGAGGTGTGTGGCACATCGTGGGATCGCCGTCCGCGTATGGGTCCGGGGTCGGATATCGCATGGCCGAGCCGACGCTGTGTGCGCTGACGGCCGCGAGACATGTCGACCTTCGCCGCGCGTAGCGAGTCCTCGATGTCCATGTGGTCGTCATCCATAGACGCCGTCGTAGCCGAAGACGAGGGGGCCATGACCTCGCCTTCGTCGCTGTCGAAGCAGCTGTCGTCGTCGCTGTCACTGTCACTGCAGTCATCGCTGTAGTCCTCGCCGTAGTACTCGTAGGTGCTGAAGGTGTCCGCAAGGTCGCTTCGGCCCCTGCGCCACCGACCGTACCAGCGTCCGAGGCAGACTTTGATGTCCATGCCCATACCGAGGAACTCGACGTTCCGCGCCAGGCCTTCCCATGCGACAGTACCCTCGTCGAGTGCCTCTTCGATGAAGGTGGTGGATCCGAAATACATGTAGTGGATGAGGAGGCGAAGTGAAGAGGGATCCGGGACAGGGAGGTAAATCGTCGGGTGTGTGGACGAAGAGGGCAGCATGCGGGGAAGCAGTGGAGCTATAGGGAGGCCACGCATGGCTGACGGTACAGATACCTCATGCTTAGGCTCCGGCGGGATGGGCAGGTGGAAGAACGAATCGCGAGGTGTCGTACAAGGAGATGTAGGGATGAGGTCGACAGGGGATGCCCCACTGAAGAGGCCCCGTAGAAGCGTCGAGTGTGCCGAGAGATAGTCAATATGAAGCTACACAAAGGAAGGTCAGACAGATATGATGCAGACATTCGTTCGAACGCGTGCCTTCATGACCATCCGCGGGGCGGGGCGGACTTTGGGCTCCATGACCCTTCGGGTGTGTCCCACAGGGTTCTGGGGTGTGCCAAGTTCCGAGAAAGGGTCGGACGGCGAGCCAGACAGTCGCAACTCGTGCCTTGTGCTGCGTAGAACTCCATCGAGAGGGACAACTGGAAGTCGTGGAAATCAGGTCAATATACACTAATTAAAGTTACATGAAAAGCTAGAACGTACTGATGGAACAGTCCGCGGTCTCTGGTTTACTCCAGTAGTGGGGAGCGAGGTTGTGCAACTGGTCGATGATATACTCGACTGGGACGTTGGCAAGAGAGGGCGGGGGAAACGGACGGGGGACGAACGAGTGCATTGCACGGCGTGGCGCGGTGTTGCGGGAGTCCGGGCCAGAAGAGGGGCGCCCTGTGGGATGGGAGCTTGCCTCGGGTGCTGGGCCCTGTCCGGAGAGCCTTATAGCTTGGGCGTCGGATCCTAGGACACAATTGCCTTGGCGCGCTTGGGACATGTGTGCTGCTTTTGTTTTGTTTTCGACTGGCGAAACGCAGAGACAGGGCGTGAGCGGCACCTGCGCAATCCCTGGGAATGGAAAGAGCGATCCAGCGGACGGGCAGAAGTTAATGGTCAATGACAATTGGGACACAGGAATGCGGCTGGAGATCAGATGAGGGGCCTAAGTTAGGAGGGAGGGCGGACGAGTTGGCGTAGAGTTATAAAGCGACAGAATTAAGCGAGGATATAATGTTTGCACAGCAGAATATATAGCAGGCCTAGCTGGTGGTTGACGACGGACGACAAGGCGACAGATGAAAGTGGGAAATGAGAGTAATCTGGCCTGCGAGGCGTCTCCCGCGCAACTGGCCAACATTTCAAATCCAGCGAGTTTCGTTCCCCGGCGCCGCGCCTCCCCTTTTCGGGCTCTCCTTATTGTTCTCTCGCTAGCACCGTTCACTACCGTAGCCTCATGTTCCCGACGTTCCGTTCGGGTGGTTCGCTTATTCCTCTCCGGCTTTCTCGCCAGCTTTCCGCGCGAAAATCACGGCCGACATATTCCCAGCTCGTGCATCACCATCGACCACCGAGACCACCATCGAATCCCAGGTCCTCACCCGTGCAGAATATTCCTTTCCACTTGTCTTCCTCTGCCTGTGTTTGTCTCAGAGCGTGCCCGATCGCTTTCCGCCGCCGCCGCCGCCACCGCCGACGCCGTGTGTCGTATGTACCTGGGCCCTGCGTCCTGTCACGCTCTTAAAGCGTCATTCCCAAGGGAAATTCAGTTCGTAGGCCGCGCTCATCAACGTCGAGCCTTCTCACAGAGAACCCGAATGCATCGGCCTGTCGGCAGGACCCACAAGGGCCAACAAGTGTGACAGGACATGCGCCATTCCGCACCCGTCATCTGTGGTCGTTTCGCGGGATCCTCACACAGCACGCAGATGTTACGGTAGAGAACGCAAATAAATGTACAGAGCCCGCCTTTTGTCAATGCTGAAGCGACAGCCTGCCTGCTGTCGACAACCGTCGCTGCCTCGCGTTCACCCATTAGCAAATTCCCGGAATGGGCACGCTACTAGGAGAAAGCTGCCCTAGTATGGACCGAATTCCGCTTGGTAGGCGACAAGGACACTCGGCACTCGGATGCCCTGGCGGTGTGGGGCCGTAGTAACGTCTGTGAGCAGGGCGACTCCTCTGAGTCGGGAGCGGTTTACTTGAAGGGCATATCGCGCAGCTCTATCGACCGCGCTTCCACCCAAGGAACCCTCCTCGTGTTGAGGTTCGAGACGCTTTCCTGTGGAGATATGTCAGCATGATACGATGCATCACTGCCCGCGGCCACCGGCTGCCACCGAGGCGACCCTGGCTGAAGTCTCTCCGATGTCCTAAGAAGGGCAACACACCGAACGTGCTGTAACCTCTTCCAAAGAGATCACCCTAGGCACGCCGCTCTGTTCCCACTACTGTCACGAATCGGCGCGCTGAGTGGAGAGAGATTCCATACTTTCACAGAGAGCTGCGCAGTTGTGCTAGGCGATAGCGATGCAGAATTGATTACATCGCCTTGTGTGCCTGCGCGTGGCGCCCTCCGGTGGCAGTCCAGCCCGGCATGTCGTATACAGAGAAGTTGAGAAAAAACTCGGAGTGCCGATATCGAAAGGCGGTTTTCCAAGCACCCGGCTACGCGTTTTACAAGGCCGAAAGACGAACAATGGTCGGCGGATTAGCCTTGTACAACACGAGATGAGCTGTTCCTCGAGGATGAGACGTCGGCAATTGGTGATATCACGTATGAGACGCAGCCCGGGAAATGGAGGCTGCGATTATAGAAGCACGTTAGTGAGTCAAAGTTGTTTGATTCGATGGCTTTACCGACGGGAAAGATCCGCGACGCGTCACGAAGTCTAATGGACTCCGATTTGAACAAGACAAGCTTTCGAGATGGCCCAGCGGGAGAATACTGTTACATTGCATTCTTCCCGGCGGGGGACAATAAACTTTTGAGTCGTTCAATCATACGGCACCGAATTGGAGGATGCTCCGCGACGTCAGGGCAAGTCTCGGAGCGTGCCAGCGTTGCGCAGTTGCTCGATATCTGAGCCATGTACACGACCACGCGCAACATTTCCACAACCTGACGTGATGCCGCTTTCCAGTTTAGCTCAAAGTGGAAAATGCACGGCAGAGATATCGATCACTAACCTGTTGATGGGCCCCGACACATGCAGACAGCTATCGAGGTTGCACACGGCCCACAGCCAATGAAATAACGTCGGGACAGCTCAGCAGAAAAACAAAACGGCTGCGTCAGAATGTTGTGCTGAACCACGTAAGGCCGGGCACGCGTTCCTCCCCGCATAAGGCTGCCAGCGAGTCGCCGAGTGGGAAGCATTCCCACACGGTAGCGGTAAGCTCATGAGCGAGCGGATGAAATGCAACCCCAGCTCACCTCATGCTGGGGTATACTGTCCCCGTACGGTCGGCGCGTAGGTCCAAATGTACGAACGAATAAAAAATGCGCCGCAATCCAGGTCGGGCATTCCGACAGACAAGCCTCGTGTGGGGTCACACAGGGCCATCGCTTTCCAAGGATAGCATATCCGCACCAGCGGCATATACGAGTCGAGAGGCCCTGTCTGACACGAGGCGGGCTCAATTGTCCCTGTAGTCGATGAGCATCAACACGAGGAGGTCGTGGTCGGCGAGCGGAGGACGGGGTAGATCCACAGGCGCCCGAGATGATGCCTCCGTGTGCGCTTATAATCAAGGTCCGCTGGTGCCGCTGGAAGCGCATTAACCTGCCTCCGACACTCGCTGCAGAGTGGCCGTTCATGTTGACATAGAGAGCATCGCAAGAGCAATGGCAACGTCTCTGTCAAATAGCATAAATGAGACGAACCCTTATGAGGGTCATCCGAGCCTGACGGAGCTTGAGGCAGAGGTTCTCTGGCAGTACGTGAAACTCGCGCAGAACGTGAAAGAGGTCCGTGTACCGCAATATGCGCACAGAGGCCGACTCACTAACCCGGGTTCTAGCTCGTTGCAGAGACACGCCGTTTGAGTGAGGCCCCGGACGAGACCCTCCTGAAGCGTCTCCGGATGCTCGAGATGAAGATGGGGCTTGTCCTTACTTTGGTACGTTGCTCAAAATTTCCTCGTGCAACGTTGCTCTAATACGTGTTTCGTTACGACACTTTAGTTCAAGGCATCAGTGTGGGCGGTGATTAACGAACAGCCTGCAGACGAGCACACGCCTGTATACCCAGACCAGACCGCCGATGATACCATTATGCAATAGAACGCCCCGTCGTTCACGAACTTCGACATATCACATACACGGCCTGGACCACATCATTCTGGCATGCACAGATCGCTTCGCGTGAAGTGCGGTTCATTATGCATTCAGAAAAGGATATACACCGTCCGTTAATCACATCAGAAAATGGAAAACATAGAAAAATCCGCATTACAGCATCGCTAGGTTAGCAGGCTATCGCTCTGCAGTTCTTCAAACTTTTTCCGAGCAAGTCTGATGTTCATCTTCAAAGCCGCGGTCTCTGCAAGCGAGCCGGTCAGGCCGTTGCAGCGTGGCGCGGCGTAAATGGTGCTCACCGACGGTGGGGTCATGTGCCACGATCAGAACATATGTGTTCTTCGTTAGCTCGTCTAATACCGCCGTGAAGTCTGCAAGTTCCATCTCAAGTGCATGAAATTCTTCCCGGACACGAGTGCAAGAGTGTTTGAAAGCCTTGATCAACTCAGACGTCCGCTCGTACCGTGTCGGTTCGAGTTTGTGAGGGTCGTTGTCATCCTCTTGGTGTACCAGAGATCCATGCTCGGTATGTGATCCGAAGCTAGAGAGTGATGACGGCGTCGAGGATAATGCAGCAGAGGCTGGTGGTAGGTCAGATGGTGCAGGCGCTGGTGGCGAGGGAGGCTGCTGAGAAGATGTAGCGATGACTAGGAATGTAGTGCGCTCGAAGAGAACCACTTCTGTTGCGTTGCACGCATCGGCAAGTTTCCCAAGGTGCTTTGTGAGGACTGAGGCATTAGGTATCAGGGTGTGCACTATTCGCGACCAGGCCTATTAGACCAAGTCAAGTCAGTCAGAATCAAGAGGTAGGACAGTTTGCACACCTTATAGAGACTCTCGTCGTATATACTCGTGCCAAACACGGTGATTTCGGTGTCGCCACTAGCTGCCCTCAGCTCAGCTGTTTTCTTCTCCAGCACAGGTCCCCTCGGTGGCCGGACTAAATCCATCTTGTGCACGAGCAAAAACACTGCAGCGTCCGGACTGAATTTTCTGAGGGCTTGCAAGCATTCGGTATAGTACTCCAGATCACGCTGGACGCTTCGGCTCTCGACCTCGAAGACGTAGATAAGCACGCCGACATGCTGGAAGATGGTCGACTGTTGCGTTGAAAGATACGAGTCCATGAAAGCATCTTGGCCTCCGCAGTCCCAGAGGTTGAGAATGAGGTCACCCAAAAAGCGGACGTGGTTCTGTTCGACGTCTATCGTCGCGCCGAGGCGAGTAGTAAGGGAGGCGGGGTTGTTTGAACTAGCAGGCTACATCGGCTCAGCACAGAGGCGTATAGAGTATCAACTCACAAGATCAATGACCTCATAGACGTCTTTCCGCTCCCTGAAGCTCCCATAAGCAGAACCTAGGATCCAAGCCATAGTATCCAACGTCCTTAAACGTACGCGACCGTACAAGCGCACCTTTTTCTTCATATTGCCAGAAGTATGCTGTCGATGCCTCAATTAATTATGAGAATATTGAGACGCAAGTATCTACCCGGCAGATGGGTAGTGGACGAGCTGAGCTGAAAGAGTGGTGAAAAGCTGGAAGCAAGGCATGGCGTCTCTTGCGAGGACTTCTCGGCCAAAGTGCCTCCCCAAATTGACGCTCGGCGATAGAAGTCTCGCAACGACCACCCGTGAACTGGACGATTTGCAGAAATATATCATCGACTTATAGCGCGGATATGCGCTGTCGTCGAGCGACTTCCACATTTTCCTTGTGTCCTCAACTGCTGCGCTTCTTTGTCCATTCAATCAGATATTTATATGGGGTGTGCCTCCGTCCTAAATTAAGCCCAGCATGGCACAAGTTCCCATGCAATCGGTATTCATGGTGCGGCGAATGAAACATAGGAGAGAGTCACTTCTGGAGATTAGTGGGAAGGTAGCTGACCTTGAACGCAATATTCTGCCTTCAAAGGAGCAAATCACCACGCAGTACTAGTATATCACGGTCCAGTTGAAATTATGCAGCTGCCGGTGATGAAATAGCATACAGTCCCTAGTGTGCTCAATTGACCTGTCAACGTGCAGAGAGCGTACGCAAGTAGGTAGGCCCTACTTAGGATCCCTGGTCTGATAGGGGCACAAAATTAGGTCAGTCGAAAAAACCCGCCAGCATCGAAGTCGGTGATGCCTTGCCACAGAAGCATCTGCTTTTTTTAGACCACGACTTTGAAGCAGTGGGCACTGAAATGTGTATTCAAGAGTTATCTGCGAAAGGGCCCGGGGAAATCGACATCTTGGCCAATCAAGAGGCTAAAAAAAAGGAGTTTACAAGTCGATTTTCCGAGCACTCCAATGTGTATCGATCAATAACCTGAGACTGAAATAGTATAGGCGAGAATGGCTCAAGACGTATTCGCGTGACCGGCGCCACAAAGTCGTGACCAATCGGAAATGGAAATCACACCGGCTCGCTCTACGAAAACGCGTAGGGAGCGAAACAATTTTGCTTCCCATTCAAGACTGTCATTAGTATTCTAACATAAGCAGAAAGGACGGCAAACAATTATCGACATTTTCGAGACGTCTGCCAGCGTCTGAACTTCGCCCCGAAAATGGTGCGTACGAAAGCATAGAAGGATGCGCCGGGAAAAAGGCACCTAACTCATCTGCGCAGTCAGAGACCTCCAGGGAAGGCCTTTTGGTTTTTACCCGTACACGGATGGCAATTCGAGTAATGTATTTGGGCAGTCAAGTCAGGTTCGAGGTGGGCTCTATCCGAAGACGCAACGCTGGTGCTGCGTAAACCTTACCGAGGCGGCTACTCACAATGAGACAGAGCACAGGCGAAAGTATAGTTTAAGCCGTCACATCTACAGAGTTCCTCATGGACCGGAGGATCGCAGTTCTGACATGCGGGACATATATCACTCGTTTTGTTGCACCATACTGCCACCAACGACCTCAAGCACCTTCCAATCCACCTCGATGCCCCTCTCTTTGAATATCGTGCGGGCGTCCTCAGCGATGAGTTCGAACCCGGTGGTAGCCAGGGCAAGAATGGTCGGGCCTGCACCCGAGAGGCAGATGCCGAGCAAGCCAGGGTGGCTGGAAGGAGTTATGTTCGAGGTAACTTCTGGAAGGCCCGGGATCTGCGAAAGCATCTCAACCAATGGGAGGGCATGAGAAAGATCGTGCGACATACCAAAGCCTTCCGGTACGGCTGATGGACCCTGTCCTTCATAGCTTCGTAGATAAGCTCGGCATCTGGTGGGTCTTGCGCGAGTGCTGTTGTAAGCACTGCTAGCCGCTGCAAGTTGAATACCTACGGATAGGGATTAGATGGCGCCTGGATTGATTAAGAAAATTACTTACCAGGTCCTTGCGGGAATAGCTCTGTGGCAGGACCTCTCTCGCTTTTGCAGTGCTCAGCTCGAACCTTGGGATGATCGCAATGGCCTTGACGCTCTTTGACCAACCAAAGCGAACGTAGTGTCCAATGCCAACTGGCGGCTGTGGAGGGTCTAGACCCCAGGACTCGCCTGCGTCGGGAGGGTACTCTGGCAGGACCTCACTCAGAGGAACACTTGCGGCCTCCGTCGCCGCCTCGTCCAGCTCTCGCAGGTACGACCCGACAAAGCCGCCGACAAGAGCAGCAGTCACATTGTCCGGATGCCTCTCGACCATCAGGGCGAAGTCAAGCATCCGCTCGACAGAAAGGTTCAGCTCGCCCAGTTCATTGCCTAGGAGGACTCCCGCAATGACGGCCGCGCCGGATGAGCCGAGCCCGCGGCCGAACGGAATCTCGTTATTAGCATGGATGGTGAGATTGGCGGGGAATTGGGCTATGCCGTGACAGCGCAGCACGTAGAGAGCAACCCGCGTCGTGAGGTTTTTGTAGGCATCGAGGGGGACCTCCTGTGCGCCCTCACCGGAATATGTGATCGCAGGAGATGTCGCGGGAGAGGAAGCGGTGGGCGGCTTGACAGAGACGGTGAGAGTGAGATAAAGAGATAGTGACAATCCCACGACATCAAAGCCAGGGCCGATATTGGCTGATGTTGCCGGAATCCGGATGGTGAACGACCTGGACGACATGGCAGCGTGGAGAGCAGCCTGACGGTGGAGTGCTGCAGCACGGAAGCGTCAGACAACGGGCGTACCGAGTCATTTTGACCACCGCGCAAAGCACCGGGGTAATGTCGCTCGTCAACATGAAAATCGTACGTCCTGTCCGGCATTTACGCATTCATGTTTATACATCCTGATTGTACACCTTTATTTTTCTTTGCTACAGTGGACCACCGTGCTTCAATTCTACACTCTAGAATTTCCCCTCAGTCCATCGACGCGAGCTCGACGCCATCTCAACAGCAGCTGAAGCCCAGTCCTCTCCGTGATTGTGACCCTTGTTCCCCCCTCGACCAATTCCAGCACGCTCCAACGCCTGCTCATCCGTCAGGGCAGTCAAGACACCGAAGATGACTGGGACTCCGGTGTCAATCGTGACGCGCATGAGGCCGTGCGAGACGCTTTCACAGATGTATTCGAAGTGCATGGTGGAACCCTTGATGAGGACACCGATGGCGATTACAGCGTCAACGGGCTGACTTGGCATGCTGGCTACCGCTGTCGAGGATGATGACCCCAGCGCAGGGGTACTAGAGCGGGGCGTGTTCGTGCCAAAGCTGAGCCCTCCTAGCAAATCGGTCGCGGTAGCACCAGCCTGTACACGCGAACCCGAGATGACTCTGCGCAAGCATAAGCAGCCAAACGGAGGACCAGTGATGCTATACCCACTTGGAGCAAGCCAAGGGAAGCTCGTAGCTTCCAGGCACGGATTGCACGATAATGTTATGCTCCTTCACACCGTGCTCCTTCAGCTTCGCAATCGTCCCCGTTACAAGCGCGTCAATAACCTCTTTGTTCCATCGCGAGTGTACGATGGCAACGCGGAGGGAGGAACCGTCGAGTTTGGTCGGGGATGGGGCGGGACCTTTGATTGAGCTCATCGTCGTGCGGGATTCGGGAGTAATGTAACAGACGCCCATAAACTGAAATCGAGCGTTTGTTTGATTTGGCGCTTAATTGGCGCTTACCGAAATTTCATGGTTTTGGGCAGTAATTGGTTCCAACAGGACCAACATCCTTTGTTGTGCCGTGTCACATTCTCACAACATGGCGAAGAGGGGGAAGAAGGCAGCGTCAGAGTTGACACCCGCTGACCTCGCCAGTAAGTGGCTAATAGTACTGCGTGTATGAGTAGCGCGATTAACCGAGCGAGTTTACCGACAGCAACTTATACACTCATTTACTCTTTCTTGAAGAAGCAGTCACATTCTGAGGCTGCAAAGGCTGTGAAAAACGCTGCGAAAGATATCGTAGTGCTTAAGGACGGCGTGGAGGTCGATGGACCTCCGATGGACGAGGTTGTCAAAATGTGGAAGGCTCTTGCTGTCGCCTCATCGTGCGTGAGCCGCTTATATGCTTCCCTATTCATATTCACACCATGAATAGAAGTGAGGAGAATTCTAACTCTCGCTCAGACTCGGACTCAGACTCTTCGAGCTCGGACTCCGACGGTAAAGTCCCTCGTACGGACAACAATGCACCTCACGTATTCACGCGCGCACAGACTCTTCGTCATCATCTTCCAGCTCAAGCTCTGAAGACTCCGATGGCACTCCCGTGAAGAAGGAGCAGAAGGCCAAGCAGCCCGTCAAAGCAAAGAAGGCCGCCTCTTCCTGTCAGTTTGGTAGAATGCTCTGCCGCTGACATGGGACGTTCTGACGAAGTTTCGAAGTAGCATCATCCAGCTCTAAGTCTGAATCCGGTGCAAAGAAGAAGGCGGTCAAAAAGGTTAAGAAGTCGTCGCCTCCGAAGGGTGTGTACAGTCCGTTGCACCATACAGCCTAAGATTGAAGCTCGTCTGTACCTGTAGCACCCAGCTCCTCGTCTTCAAGCTCATCCGACTCAAGCTCTGATACCTCAAGCTCTGGGTCTGGTGCGTAGCTCTTACGTGTGCTATCACACGATACTAATATATTACCTCAGAAGATGAGAAGCCTGAGATCGCGGCGAAGGCTGAGGCTAAGGCAAAGTCTCCCCCAGTAGCGTCAAGCGAAACAATGACCTCCGGCAGCGAGCACAAGGAGGAGGGCCCTGCCTCCGACTCAGATAATGATAGCGACTCCAGCTTGACTTCAACGGGCCGAATGAAGACTGCCACCAAGAAGGTGAGGTTCGTGAAGAAGCCAGTGGAGGCTGCGAAAAATGAAAAGAAATCTGTGAAGAAGACGAAAAGTAGCTCGAGCGATAGTGAGTCAGAGGAGGGAACGAAGCCGAAGGTGCCTGGGAAAGAATCGAAAAAGGACAGCAGCGGCAGTAGCAGCGAGGGCTCGAGCGATAGCGAGTCAGAGGAGGAGGCAAAGCCGAAGGTGCCTAAGAAGGAGCCGAAAAAGGAGAGCAGCGACGATGACAGCAGCAGTAGCAGCAGCGACAGCGAGGGCGAGAAGGCGAAGAGGGAGGTAAAAAAAGAAGTGAAGGACGTGAAAATGGTCGACTCGAAGATGCAGGTCGATGGCGAGACCAGCTCAAGCTCGAGCTCCGAGTCCGACTCAGACTCGGATTCGGACTCGTCGAGCTCCGAAGACGAGAAGGAGTTGGTGAAGGAGAAGCCCAAGCCTGTGAAACACACGGACCAGCTGACCGTGACGAAGAAGCAGCGGACAACGGAGGAAGGTGACGCTGTCACGACCGCGACCGCGACCACGTCACGCGAGGTCTCTGAGACTCCTACACCGAATGGCACCGCTAAGCAGAATGGCAAGAAGGGCAAGCAGCCCCGCACGCAAGGCGAACGCTTCTCGCGTATCACAGCTGGTAAAGTCTCTTTCGCCGATGAACGTTTGAAGAACAACAGCTTCGAGTCGAGGGTGCGCAAACTTCTCCTGCGATCTACACGCGCTTAGTTAGTGACTCGCATTTTAGCTAGCTGGTCAAGACGACTACGGTGCTCGAGCAAGTAAGGACCTAATTGTCACTCGCGGCGCCGGCTTCCGGAAGGAGAAGAATAAGAAGAAACGGGGAAGTTACCGTGGCGGGGACATTACCGTGAGCTTCACTTTGCTGTCCCTGTTGCTACATGCGGCGGCTAATCTTCGTGCAGATGCAAAGTCATAGTATCAAGTTCACAGATTGATACGTTACAGTACCTTATCAAGCTATGAGACTCACTTAGAGCATTACTTGTAATGGGCATAACCTCTATGCATAGCGGGCCCAACACTTCGATTTGTGTGATAACGCGTATTGAAGATGTGTAGGTGGTGGGTATAGCAGCGGTCCAGATTACAAAAATGTCAGCACACGTACGCAGCGGGCTCGGATCCAAGGCACGCCGCCCCAATCCCGATTGTACCTCCCTAGAATCCTATCCTCCTCGCCCTTTCGGACCCAGACGACCTGTGGTAAGTAGAACTGCTGAGGCACTGGCCTGATCTCCACGCGGCCACGCTTCAGCACTTTCGACATCAAAAGACTTTTTCCTGTCCACTCCATGTCGAATGTTAATAGGAAGCGGTTGTCGTACAGATACGGTATGCGCTGATCCATGGAGTCCCGCAACACGGCGGTGAGGTCGACCGTCAACTTGGCTTCATCCGCCGGCGTCGGAGGAGCACGTTGTATCAGCCAGAAGACAGGTTCTTCGCTGTTCTTTGGAGCGCGCAGCTTGAGCTTACGACATCGATTGAGGACGGCAGGTGTCCAGAGCACTTCGCTGCCGAGACTAAACTGGCTCTTGATAGGATCAGGGTCTTCCCACAGCTTCTCATTAATCCTCTCCAGCTTGGCACGATCCGCGTGCCCTATGGCAGCCAGTGTGCCCCATGGTTTCGGAGACACGTATCGTAGGATACGACGTATCATCGCGCGTCGGACGTCGGGATCGACGACACGGAGGAGCTGGTCATGCGACAGGACGACTGTAGAAGGTGGAGAAGGTTGTGGATGAAGAGCGCAACGGCTCAGCTCATTGCTGGCTGATCGCGCTTTCAGTTACAGGCAACACGATGAGGATGACGAGCCACTCACCCTGCAGTTCCAGCCGTTCCACGTTCTGGCCGAGTTGTCTTGTTGCCTCTCGCAAATCTGACAGGCGCAATGCACCTGGAGCAAGTCGCTGAATGGCTTGCTCGTACGACTCTATTTCGCTTGTCTTTAACCAATGTGGCTCAAATGCAGCGTCCTAGACAGCTACGTTAGAATCAGACGAGCGATGGCCGGCATAAAAATACCAACTATTCCCAAAGCATGGTGTCTCTCTTTTTCCTGGAGATATGCTCGAATAGAATTCCTGAGAGTAATATCCGGCTGGAAGTTGGTGGGATCGACCACGTATTCCAAGTCGTTCGCTTCACATGTTGCCAGAATCCTATCCTAGGTCTGAAATGGAGACGATGTCATAGCAAGATGTGCATGTGCCGTACCTTGGAAACGTCAAGCAATGGGCGAACGATCCAGTGCAGCATGCCCGCTGGACCGGCAGGCGAAATATCCCTTAGAGAGCCCATCCCCCACCTGCGGACGCGCTGCATGCCAGCGGCCCCCCAGATCTGGCTCTGCTTGGAAAGACGCATAATGGCTGTCTCAACCTGGTCGTCGGCATGGTGAGCGTAAGCTATGCATCTCGCATTCAACACTTCCATGGTTGCAAAAAGATATGCGCCACGAGCATCACGGGCAAGTTCCTCCAAGGGTTGGCCTGCCTTAGGCCTGGGTGGAAAAGGCCTGGTTCCCCAAGGGATCGTCTCTGTGCGGTGATCTACGCCCAGCCTCTGGGCGGTGCGCTGAGCGACGTCTTGCATTGCAGCATTGGCAGCTTGCAGGTTATGGTTAACATGCACTGAATAAACATCGGAGGGAAACGCTGATTGCTCGGGTGCGAGCGATCCCCCGCCGCGCTGCTTCACAACAGCAGAAAGCAGGTGCAGCAAACAGACGGAGTCGGGACCTCCGGAGTTTGCGACAACTGTGCTATGTTGTGAAGACCTGTGCAAGAGACGCTCTGAGAAGCGGTTTACGCTCACCTATCCGGTCACTCCAGCCCGTCGGTGGCATACATTTTTGGAGATGCTCGTAAAATTCACCAGTTGTTATGGGAGCTGGAGCGATTTTCTTCCAATTTTTAGCGGGTGTTACTGTGGTTACACGACGCAAAGAGCGCAGCGGGATATCCCGCCACGAAGGCATGAACAACAGCGAAGGTTGACTGACTGGCGCTTGACTGAGGGCGGTGGCGGCACAGCCCCGGCGGCCCGGGCGATCGCTGCGGGCAGCCGGCCGTGTTTCCATCCCAGGCCCCGCTCCCCGGGAAGACCGAGACACGCGTGAATCAGAGGCGGTGGTCTGCATCCTCTCAATCTCTTTAAACGCTTCCACAAAATTCGTCTCCAGTCGCGTTCCTGTCGTTCGCCATCTCAGTCCCGTTCGCACTCGATTCCACGCAACGCTTACACCGATGTCCCAGCAGGAGCATTCGGCCTCTCCCCCGCCAGGCTCTGCGGGAAACTCTGCGACAGGCGTCCGCCGACACCACACCATATCTGCTTCGTCTCGCAACGCGCGCCCGACCTCAAAGTACCAGTCTCAGGATGTTGAAGACGACGAGCAAGAGCAGGCTTGGGGTCAAGACGATGTCGTGGATCAGGACTGGCGCGGCGGGATTGGTGCCGTTGGCGAGAAGTCCAGTCTGCATCGCCAGGCATCACTCCCCACCAAATACCATCGCGGTGAGATTAAGGAATGGCCTTCTCATGCCACACTTTTCTGACTCTCTGTAGCATTTGGCGGTCCCGGCCAGAGACAGCCCGGGAATTACACCCCGCGCACTCTGAACAGCCTCTCTGCCATCGCTGGCCATGAAGGCGACGAAGAAGTCGAATGGGAAAGGGAGATGATGGGCTTGCGCAATGAGGATGACGTTAGTATCCTCATTTAATGTGTATTCGTTTGTTGTCCTCATCCCGCCTCTGTAGTCTCTCTCGTCGTCTGATCACGGCCACCAAGAATCGTCCACTTCCCCCCTTTCCCCTCACTTCAGTGGGGGCGTCGCTCATGGACCCTCACCGCCTCCGATGGACTCCGGTGCTGGCGTAAGGCGTCACCAGAGTCTCAACTATCCCAATGCCAACGCTGCTATGCGGCGCCTGACTTCTGGCCTGCGGCGCGCAGGGACTCTTCAAGCACCGCCGCTTAAGGGTCAGGTACAGCAATCGTATTCTGGGGCTCAGAGTCCTAGTCCTACTGGCGCCGAGGAGTATGATGACGATAACGACAGTGTTCGGGCAGAAGAGGATGATGGTTACTTCCGCATGCCCTCACAGCAAGGTCAAGGGCAATACCCGACGAGCCCGATCGGTAGGTCGTCTCCTTGGAGCACCCCTGGTGCAGGAAACGACTGGAGGACACAACTGGCTGGTAATATCAACCCCAATACTGGGGCCGCACCAAGTGGCATCGACGACGTTTCTCGTGCTTTGTCTGCTTTGGAGATCAATCAGCAGTACGCTACTGGGAATGCCGGAAATAGCTACCAGCAGGGTCAGCTTGCTTATCCTCCACGGTTCAACTCACCTAACAACATTAACCTAAACTGCGCAGGCATGCGCAACAATGGCGGTGTTGGCAATGGCGCATCGCGCAAGCTGCAGCTGGTCACGGACCTCGATAACCAGATGCAGCAGGGGTCAATCCAAAGTGCGTCTGCGTACGTCCCCCCTATTGGTCATGGCATGCAGCAAGGCCAGGGTCAACGTCAAGCCGAGCGGGACGAACAGCCTCATCATCGAGAGCGCTCTTTCACGGCGTCGGGCTCAGGCCCATGGGACAGCAAAGATCGTCCTGCCGGAAACCGGATGTCCAACCAGAACATGCACAGCGTCTACCAAGGCAAGAGCGGAAACACAGGCATCCCCGCAGCTTCGTCTCTCTCTTCTCAGTACATCAACAACCAAGGCCAGGCGCCACGACTCGGTCTTGCGAACGCTTCTCAGCATAGCCAGCAGTCTTCCGAAGGCAGAGCTTCTTCTGGGTCTAATAACCCCAGTCCGCCTGCCGATAATTTCCTCACTTCACCTATCGACCTGCCTACTTTGATTGCGACCAAGGGTTACAACCCTGCCGACTTTGATACACGGCCTCTCTTCGTGAGTCATCTTTCCTATACCAGTCCGTGAACTTGCTTCACATGGTGACTCCGCGTTCTGTTGATAGGCACGATACTTCGTCATCAAGTCTTACACCGAAGATGACGTACATAAATCGCTCAAGTATGAGATCTGGTCTTCTACCGACCCTGGCAATAAGCGTCTGGATAAGGCTTTCAAGGAAAACTCGGGAAGGGGTCCGATTTACCTCCTCTTCTCTGTCAACGCTAGCGGCCACTTCTGCGGCATGGCCGAGATGCTGACACCTGTACGCGCGTTTCAGCAACATTTGGGTTCCCACGTTGACGGCGCTGCTTTTACAGGTCGATTATACTCGCAGCAGCACCGTCTGGGCTTCTGATAAGTGGAAGGGTGTCTTCAAGGTCAGATGGGTCTTCGTTCGCGACATCCCCAACTCGAGCTTGCGACACATTAGGCTCAAGTATGTGCATGCTTTCTGCCTCGTTGTATATTGCTGACCATTCTCCAGCAATACCCAGGAGCGTAAGCCTGTGACCAACTCCCGAGACACGCAGGAGTTGCTGCCCGAGGCTGGACAAGAGATGTTGCGAATCTTCCACACTCACCCTGCCCGTACTTCGCTCCTTCAGGACTTCGCTTTCTATGAAGTAAGATTTTCACGTGTCACGAGAAGCAGCGCACTGAGCTGTATACACAGCTGCAAGCCATGCAGAAGGAGCAACAACGGCGAATGCAATCAGGAACGTCCTCCCCCGACCAAAGCTCTTCCGTACAATCCTCGAACATTACATCCCCTGTCCTCGGCGCCAATACTACAGGACAACACCCTTTCGCCATGTCAAATCCCGCTGCCCTTGCCTACGCCGCCCAGATGGGTCTCACCGGCATGAACATGGGAATGGGCATGGGCATGAATCCCATGCTTCAGATGCAAATGAACATGGGCAACATGGGCGGCATGGGCGGCATGGGCTCCGCATTTACCAACCCCCACACTCTGCAGAGCGTCATGCGCAACCCGAGCCCTGCGCCCATGGGTGGACAGAACTACATGGGCATGGGCGGCATGCCTGGCTTCTGATTACTTCGTGTCTCTTCTGTCAACTACTAGAGCTCGGAACGTGCTCGGGACGAATAGACTCAAACGGGAAATGGCCGACGCTTGGTAACGTATAACGCTAATGTTCATCATGTTATCCTTCTTCTTCTTTTTCCGTGTTCGTATCTTGTCATACATCTTCAAGTGTAACACCAAATTGCTCGCGACGCTCCATTTAACGACTCCCCCACTATTTTTTGTGTAGCATTCTCATCCTATGTCTTCCGTTAATTTCGACTCCTCACTTTCTTGGATAGCATTGTCCAGTCTTTATAGTTATTCTGACCTCCCCCTTCGTAGTTACATGCAGGAACGGACGGTGAACGGACGGTCGGACAATCGAAAGTTCGCTCTCTGTAGTTTGTCCTGCTATGTCGCATACATCAGTGTAGTTTGAGCTCCTGTCTGTTTGCCGAATATTATGACTGTCGACTGTGGGAACTTGCTGATGATGTGCTCCTGCCGCGGAGTTTTGTCTCAATAAAAATGGATATGCGGGCTCTACCTCGGTGCTGCACTCACTCTCGACCATCTTCGCAGGCGGGTAACAACGATATTGGTTTATTTGAGCCCTAAAGCCTAAACCTCGACGGAGAGCGTTAATTGAACTTACTGGACAGCACACGAGCGGAAGCAAGTGCTAGCACCGTATCATGCCGATCTTCTACTACCAGGTGATTGGCTGGCGTTCCCACGTAACGTGAGCAAATTATCGCGTCCATTGCTCAAAAGCCCACACGCTACTTCAGGAGATTGCCCGGCAGCCTCATACCGCGACCTACCGATGAGATTGCAGAGATCTTGTGGCATTATCTTGCTGAAGATGGGCTCTTGACCTTGACGCTAGGTGAGCGAACACGCGTTTGAGGGTTCTCGCATGTCCCCTGCTCACTACACCCGCACCGACTGGGCCTAAGGTATCTTGCCATGCGGCGCATCCTACCTGCTGACACCAGCCACACCCGAGATGGATAGAGAGCTGCGAGAGCTCTTTACCGGACGTGCCCATCCCGCGACGCGTTTCATCTCCCTGTCGCCCCTCGAGTTTCGCGACCGCGACACCCTGCGGGCGAAGCTGGACAGGCATCAACAGAAGAGCAAGAAGAACAAACGGAACGAGCCAGATCGCGACTTGAGCCAGGCCAATACCCATTATACCACCGGTCGACCGTACGATGTCCTGACACAGGAAGGACACGACAGGGTGATCTTCGAGTACCATCGGTAGGCGCTTGCTACCCGCCATCTCTGAATGCAAGTTATTCTAACGTGCTTGCAGTCTCTTTTACCGCCTCTGCCGAGCGTCGATCGATTCAACAGAGTACAGCATAAAGCGCGTGCCCTTCTTCGACAACATCCGCGCGTACTCGCTCGCGTACACTGTCCACAAGCCAAGCACATGGAGGCCTCTCGAACAGCGCAAACGAGAGCCGGTGGTTCTCGACCTCGGCTTCGCGGAGTGGATACTGCCTGCGAGCTCCATAGACATGACTGCCGAGAGTGGCGAGTACTTCACGATGAAGGAAACCTCGCGACTGAAAAATCCAGGTCTTACCCAAGGGGTAAATCCTCTCGCCGTGTTTCGATCACAGCAATACTTATTTTGCATTCAGACGTATATGTACGGCGACGCTCAATCCGTCACGCGGGAGGAGCTGCAGGAGAAGCTCTCACAAAAGTTCACGCGCAACCTCAACGCGCCGATCTTGCTCTTCGTGCAGGACGGCGACGAGGCGGTGGACGTCCTGCGCTTCTATGGCGTCGACGCCTCGGACTGGACGACCGCCTTCGAGCCTGTCATCGGCAAGGACGCGCTCGAGATCGGCGACAGGCTCCCGAAGGACGACCCCGTCAAGCCAGAGAGCGGACGCGGACGCTTCGACGACCGTTATGGTGACGAGGACCGGAAGAGGTCCGACCGATCGAGGTCCCCCAAGCGTGGCACGCACGCGTCGCGCCCACGCTCCCCGCCCAGAGGCAACAAGCACGCCGTGTACGTGGTCGACGTCACACGGCTGTACGCGACGATGCGGCGCATGCCGCGACAGGACTTGTCCATCACACAAATGGCGGACGACCTCGACGTCAAGCTCGAGCCGTCCGAAAGCGGCGTCCAGCACGCGGCGGGGCAGTGGTGCGGCGGCAACGAGTGCCGGTAAGTTCTTAATGAGCAACTCCGATCGAGAATTATTGTTGAACATACGCGTGGAACAGGCTAGTCGCCTTTATCTGGCGTGCTCTGGCGTCGGGCAGCGCTATCGACGAGCAACTCCTCCGCTTGCAGTCCAGACCCCCGCGATCTGCCCCGGCACCTGTGCAGCCGACTGGACAGGTTCCTGCGGCGCTGGGAGACTGGGATGACGACGCGGATCCGAACGATGTCGTGGCAGCTGCACCGGCGGCGAGACAAGTTGCCAGCAACCCATACGATGAGTTTGAGGACGACGACTTTGAAGAAGACTGAGAGGCCGCACGAGAGAGGACAAGGCTAGTATTGCGTTATTGTCTACCACAGCGTATTAGTAGGCATTACCACAGTCTACTAGCAGGCCCAATCGCATCTAGCGCGGAACATTGCAACTACGAACGAACGTAGTCGTACGAAGAAGCCATAATTACAGAGACAACTGCGTGACAGCACACATAGGCGGATACAAGATAGCGGGTAGCACAACACGGAGGATAGTCGAGGGTATCGCGTTAAAGAAAGTATCGAAGGAGTATAGAGGAAGGCATACGCTAAAGGGGCAGAAGGATCGAACAGGCTGTTCAGAGACGTTACCCCTGCGTTTCTTTGGCTTGTATGGCGCAGGACAGACGTCTTGCGCAGCCTCAACGAACCCTCATCCAAGGCCTACGAGACCCAGACTGATGTAACGTCTGGTGGGTGAGCGTAGGATGATGTGGAGGAGAGTGGACACGTACAAGCAAGGGCGATGACACAGTAGAGCGTGATGAGCATCAAGCCCTCCATGTAGTTCGATTTACCATCTTGGATGAGGAAGTTGACGAGCAGCACAGAGACGAAGAGAACGATCGTCTCGAAGTCTGCGAAGAATAAAGTGAGGTCGTGGTGGGTGATCCAGCCGACAATGACCAAAAGAGGTATAACGAAGGCGGCAATTTGCTGCAAATTCCGCGGTTAACCGGGGCACGCGACGGTAGGTTGTCGAGAACATACAATTGAACTGCCAACACAGATGCCAATAGTAAGCTCCATTTTATCCTTCATCGCCATCCAAATAGAGGTAACGTGTTCCGCGGCGTTGGCCTGCACATTACATATCAGCACGTATACCGATAAACACACGGCATCGGCACAACATACCACAATGGGCAGAAGAATGAGACCAATGAATGCCTTCGGAATGCCGTAGCGATCAGCAGTCTCCTCGATTGATGCCACAACTACGTCCAACAAAGTTAGTTTCATCCATCTTGGACTCACATCTGTAACGTACGGTAGTCGGCGCAAAAGGACGTAATGAGAGTTGCACCGAGGAGACTGACAGGAGTCAGTTACATGCGCGAAGACAAGGACAAGAACGCCGACACACCCAACAGCAGCCGCGGGAACGTTCATGCGAGGAGTCTCGACCTCCTCGTGGAGATCATCCGTCGCCCTGATCGGCTTGAAAAGCTCGGCATGGGTTCCTAGCTGTAGGGGAGAGAACGTAAGAAACAAACCAGTAAGCTCTAGATGTGTGCGTTTACCTGGAACCGGAGATAAGCAACGTAAACGAACAAAAGTAGAATAGCGGTGCCACGAGAGATAATCTTCAGGCCATAGTTGGCCCCATCGTCAAGGTCACTACCGTCCACGATCTGCAGGGTGCTAAGTAAGCCGTCACCGTCACCGTCATCGATACCTCCACGAGACTTTGCGCTGTGATAGGCCGCTGGGATGACAAGAGCTATGGACAGCATATCGTTAACGGCTGAACCACATCGATGCGGGGAGACTTACTGATGCAAGCCAGAGTCATGAGCTTGAGAGGAGTGAGTTTCCATGATAAGATCAAAATCATGCAAGACGTACAGAACTCGCTCTGATGCGGCAAAACGTGGTAAGTCATTGTTATTGGACAGTTATTCGAAGGATAATGCTTACGCTTGAGCGGCGGTGGCTTGGAATATGCTCTCTTTCCTCAAAAGGCCACCTAGTGCATGTAACGCATGAGAACCATGCAGCAAGCAAAACATTATTGGCATGGCGTACCTGCGAAGAATGAACAGCCGAGGACCAGAAGCAAGTTAGACAGGATAGACCCGAGTAGCTGAGATCCGTCTTCAGGGATGTTGGTCTGGACGCATATATAAACTTACTTACTGACGTCTGCACAATACGGAGCTCCCCTGAATGTCAAAAGTTGATGAGCTGGCTTCAAGACTCAAGCGTGACAGCACGCAGCTTACCCTGCAGCAGGGCGGCAACCCCAACAATGATTTCGACTGCGTTGCCAAAGGACGCGTTAAGCAAGCCGGAGAGCGTGTCGCCGAGCTCCAACGACATCTGGTCCGTGGCTGCACCCAATAGCTTTCGTGGAAGAGAAAATTAGATGGCGCATCCAACCAGGAGTGAAGAGAACATACTGCAGCTAGAGGCATGATGGCTATGAAGCTGAACGAAAAGCGTAGGGCTGCATCCCAGTTTGAGTAGTGTGCAACCGCGCTAAGAGGCACGAAGACGAGGAGAACGTTGAGCCAGGAACCAAAGATGAAGAACTGGAATGACGAAAGCCAAGACGGCTGTCCTTCTGCTTTCAGGACGCCCATCATGCGCCGTGAGAAAGGCTGGCGGGTGGAATTTCCATTGCCATTGACCAAGGGTGTTGTTTCGTTCGCAGTGATTGGTAGACTGGACATGATGGCGGAGAGAAGGATGGGAAAGGGGGCCTCAGGAGGCTCTGGACGTATAAGGGGACAGCCAACGTAGCACGATGTGAGTTTTGCCAAGCCCAGACGGATAAATCCACCGCGCATGTACAGCCTCGACACGGGCGCTCCACTACTTACCGCGTTCTACTCACCATTTCTGGCGCACGGCAAACGCAACTAGCTGTATTTGACGTATTTCTACCGCTCCTCGACGACGTCAGCGTTGCCTTCGACGAGCTCCACGTCGAGGTGCGTCGTGTCTGCGAACAACACCACAGTCCCCCTCCCGTCCTCTTCCACCTCCACGACCGTCACCGAGGCGTTCGGGAACCTGTATCGGCCGACGTGCACGCCTTCCCCCAGCCCCAGCTTTCTACTCTCGATAAGATTCTGCAGCATGACGTGAATCAGGCCTCCGTGCGAGACAACCAGGACGTGCTGCTCCTCGGCATGCCCGGCATTTCCAATCCGAACACCGCCATCCGCGCCGCCTGTCGCCGCCGCAGCGGCGTAGCGGACGACCGTGTTCTTCCACCACCGGTCTGCCCGCTGTACAAACGCGGCCGCCGGCTCCATGTTCGCAGGCAGCTCGGCATGCCACCCAGCGATGCCTCGGCCCTGCATGTCGCCCATGTACTGTGTGCAGAAAAAAGGAAAACAGGCGAATGCCAGCGACGCCGTAATCAGCCCTGCTGCGCTGTCCCTTGGAATCGTGCGTTGCGAGCAACGCACCCTTTCTCTCAGCGCCTCGTGCGTCTGCAGTGCCACGCCCGATTGCTTTGCCAGGATGATCTCGGCAGTCTATGTGGGGTGGCGCAGCGTCGTTAGTGCCCCCGCGGTGCGACCGCCAGCTTCTACGTGGAACGTCCTCGAGACTGCGCACCTTCACCGCACGCTTCAGGTCGCTCGAGTGCGCCGCTGTGAAGCGTACGTTCTCCAGTGCGTCCGCAGTTAGCTCTGCCTGCTCGAGTCCTGCTGCGTTCAGCTCCGTGTCGAGCTGCCCTTGCATGATCCCGTCCCGATTCTCCTGTGTCTCGCCATGTCGGACGATGTACACAGATACCTTCCCCATCTTGGACGAATCGATCAGAACAAGAACAAGCTCTGTATGAACGGAACCGCTCGCGCGTGGCCACGACGGGATTCGCCGGAAGCTCCCGCCTTCAAGCTAGGGTTCAGGCGTTCGTAAGGGCGATGCAACGTGAGATTCCTGTAACCATGTACATACCATCCTATCCTACTTAAACAAATGGAGTCATCCACTTTTTGTCTACATATATCTACTGCAGTGCACAACTGTCCTTGTCATCTCTCCTAACAGCAGCATATACGCAGTCCATACAAGTCGCCTAATTATATCACCCCGTTCCAGTATAAAGCGCCAACAACGCGTGAGCTATTCGTTCAGAGGATGCTATTAATCGCACGGATCATGGACCCAATCCTCTCCTCGGGGAACGCGCTCGTGACGGCAGCCAGAGCCTCCTTCGCCCGCGTGACTTGTGCGGGTTCGAGTGGGGGCTGTCCATGTCGTGCCGTGTATGCCTAGACACATGACATCCAGGGTTAGGGTCCGCCAAGGGTCCAATGCGAGGCACACTCACGGCGTTGCCCAGGGCGACTAGCAAGCGGTAGGCCGGTTCCGAGTCAACTCGTTCCTGCTCCAGGCCCTGCAGAGAACGCAGAATTAGCGCATCGCACCCTATCCTGATAGGCAGGCTCAACGAAAACCATGTACACACCTGGACGATCAAGGTCACCTGCCGCTGGCGCAACCGAGGATCGAGCCGTTCTCGAAGGGCGACGCACGACAGGCTGTGCAGTAAGAAGGGCCGGTAAACCGACGGAAAGTGAATGCTAACACGTGCGGACTTACTTGAACAGAAGCGTGCCGAGCGCTATCCGCGCTGCCCTTGAAAGTGCAGGATATGACGCCTCCTGTAGCCGTTGCAGGATCTATGCAGTCAATCGTAAGGGCCTCATTCTGATATGGGGAGTATCGGGCTCACCTCATCAGCCCAAACGCCGTCCCCGAGGTTCGTGTCATCTTGGAAGGCGTTGGCAAGACCACGCATGAGGAGTAGAATATTTGTGTCTCTTGAACGTTGTGCCGCACCCCATTCTTCAGACCACTCTGCCTGCTTGAAGAGCGTGCGGAAGAACTCTTGTCTGAAGACGGCGTCAGAGTACGCGTTGCTGCAATAGCCAATGACAAGTCGACATAGGTCGATGACTGCGCGCAGCGTTAGCATGCTGAACACGTAAATGGCTGACGTTCATGAACCTGGACGTACGCGGGAAGCGGGAAGTTGGCGGCCAGCGTTGTAGAAGAGAGATGACGGCTTCTACGTGCTCTCTTTCGACTGCAGGCGCCGTAATCGGTGATACGCCAGACACGGCCTGCTCCAGGTACAGGAACGCTTCCTCTAAGAGACTTCGTTCGTCCGGAAACATGACCAAGGTCGCTGTCGACTTCCAAGACGTGTTGAGCACATTCTACCACAGATGCACGAGGCAACGTACAATCTCGTTCTGCAGATCCTGATTAAACTGGAAAAGTTTATTCTGCATTGCAGGGACATTTGCCTGTTTAAACGATAGTGTTCCTCGCTATTTAAAGTGAGTGAGCATTTTAGCTTATACTTGATGATTGCAGACTCACAACCGGAAGCGTGAAGCGCGACTTGGCTGCTGACGGAGTGGGTGCCGCAGGAGAAACAGGGGTAGAAGGGGTGGCAGGGGCGGCAGGGGCGGCAGAGCTGGTGTATCTCGACGCGCCAGTCCACGGGTCCCCTGTTGAGACCGGTGCAGGCGGCGGCGGCGTGTTCTGTGGTGCCGCTCTGTACCTTGACGCGCCTAACATGCAGCATCAAAGTCTAGACAATAGGCTTGCAACTGAGAAGGCGTACCAGTGAAGGGATCCATATATTCCTGTCCAGTAGTATTCGTGGTGTTTTGTGGCTGATAGCGAGAAGCACCTAGTGAGTAGTTAATGACATGCACACACGAAGTGTCAAGATATGACTAACCGGTGAAGGGATCCGCGAATTCATTGGGACCCGAGCTCAAGTTCACTCCTTGCGAGTTTTTCTCGATAAAGCGGACAACCTCGTCGAGATAGCTAAGAGGAAGCTCGTTGTTCTGCAGGAAGCGCTGTGCCGCTGAATACGGGTTTTCTGTAGAAGGCCGTGTAAACGTCACTCTAGCCTGCAATAGTGGAGTTGACAACCGACCGTTGGCATTATACGGAAGCTTCAGTGACGGAACGCCGTCCTGGACGTCGACGTCAAACACGTAATCGTACTCCTTGCCCTGATAGAGTTGCTTGCGAGCCGAGCCGACGGCGTCGACTACCTCGCCAATCTTTTGCCAGGCCATGGTCGCAGTGTCCCACTATAAATACGGATCCGATTGAGCCCCACCGTGCGAATGAAATGCTACCGACGCACCTGATGGGCTTCGACAAGGGTTCCCTTACGTATCATCTTGACCTCACCTGCTTTCGTGCCTGCCATTCATTCAGTTCAATAAGTGCGACGATCTTTACCGAGCGATCAAACGTCAGCCAACTTACCGGGCTGCAGCAAGGCATCTTCTCCAGGCAGATCGGACTTGTTCACGTCACCGACTTGCTGCGACGGCAAAGCACTACCCGCGACGCGCTCGTCGTACTCTTTCAGCTGCTCTGGGGAGGCCCATCGCTCTTCAGACGCGCTGAAAACCCGGATAAAATTGTCGCTGGCACCAGTTACGAGATCGCCGTTCGGCATGGCCGATACCGACCAGACCGAGACTGCAGGATGCGTGATGGTCTGGACACATTCGCCATCTGAGTAGCGTCAGTCCATGCTGATTTATCAAGTTTCTAAGTTCTGACGCACCCTTCCAGATACGCAAAGAACGATCTTCTCCGGTCGAAGCGAGTCCACCATCCGGTAGCAGCGCTAGACTGTAGACAAACGATGTGTGCCCTGACAGAGTGAACACGACGTCGCCTTCGAGGGTCCAGACACGGATCTCGCTGTCGTTCGAACACGAGGCGAAGCCGATATCCGGAATCGCCACTAGATCGCGAACAGCTTGTGTATGCCCATTGAATGTCCGTATCTCCTTGTGGGAGTGCCACAGCTTGATTGTGTTGTCGGCAGAGCCTGCGGTCGCTTAAACACCGCGAAATTCGCGGATAAGGCTAGGGTGACGCGTACCTGTCAAGTACTGCTCTGAGTCAAGGGCCAGCACGGCCCATACAGCTTGCGTATGGCCGCGAAGTACGTAGAGCTCGGCCCAATTTCTCCAGACTCTGGCGGTCCTGGGGGAGTTGGTCAGCCGAAAAGCATCACGTCATAGAAAAGAACACGCACTGATCCCACGATCCCGATACAATCGTCCCGTCAGGTAAGGCGTGCAGGACGCAGACGTTTTGCTGGTGTCCTACGAGCGTGAAGGACGGCTCGCTGCGGGTACTAGAGAGCGAGAAGATGTTGACGAGGCCGTCTTGGCTGCCGGTGACCACGTAGCCTTGCGGCGACTTAGCCACCTTCATACGCGCACAGCTGGAGGTCTAGAACGGCGCTCACCTTCGGGGGCGTCCGCGGTGGGTGGGAGGTACGTCAGCGAGTTGACGTATTTGGAGCCCGGCCTGAGGACGGCGGACTGGGCGAAGGGCGCGGCCGGGGAAGAACGAGTCCATGTCATCGAGGTAGTATCGCGGCTGGCGGAGAGAATGAGGTCGTCGTTGGGGGAAACGACTGCGCGGACCTGTGGTGAGTGGTGAGCAAGCTGAGGAGCGAGAGGGCGTGTCTGGAGAGTTGACAGACATCAGAGGTGTGGCCGGACAGGGATTGCGCGAGCTTGTAGGGCATGACGGTCGTGACGGGAGGTATAGGCGGGTGGCGGAGTCGTGGTGGTAGTCGAGAAGGAAAAGGGGACGGCTCAGAAGACTAGGCGTGTGCAGGATCTTTATGATGGACACCTATCGGGCGACTGAGAACCAAAGTCTGGAACTTTCGCCGATTGCCAGATACAAAACCTCCTTTAGATCTTTAAACACTCGGGCATTGCCCACTGCTTACACAGATTACACTCGGACAGCCCTAGACTAGTAGCGTGTGCTTATTTCAATGAAGCGCGCTCTGTTTACGATATGTATACCACACTAACGAGCCCCGAGCCGGTGGAAGTACACAGCTCAGGGAGATACGGAGGTACATACTATGCCATGCACCCGACTTGCTCTCCTGCGAGGGCCTCACGATACAGTTCGTCGCCCGTAGCGTCCGAAGACGACGAGTTGCTAAACCGTGAGGGGATGAGCTTGCCCAGTCCTTTTCCTAGTTCCATTTTATACAGATGTTCCTATTTAGGGCAGGTCCAGGCGCGGCTCTGACCATCTTAGATCTCCGACCCGCTACTGCGATTGGCTCCTGCAAGCTCAGCGGGCCTCTGCGACTGCAGGTGCTGGCGTACCGCCGGTTTGTGGAGCATCTACTGTCTACGCTACTCTGGCGAGATCCCAGATCGCCCAGGCTCCTACTCGCCCCGACCACCGATGCAAGATTCTCAGCACAGGCAGAGGCAAGTCCGTGGTCATTGTCCTTCGACAATTGTCCGTCTGCTAAATTACAGTTCCTCAGCGAGCCGTTTAAATCGTCGAACCTCAGCAATCACACTGCTGTTCCCGGGCGCGACAGAGACTGTTCCCGCTGTGGAGCGACCCTTCGACCTGGGCTGCTCACGAACCGTTCCAGCCCGTCATCACGGCTGATCTGTCGTAAATGCAGCCTGTCGTATGCCCGGAGAATTATGCCATGCCGGGTCCACCGCGCAGACTTGCTGGACACCCAGCATGTCATACAAATTCACGTCTTGTCCCGCTTCGAGAAGATTATCAGTTTCCTTGCTCAACGGGGCACATCACGACGTCTTCATGGCCTGGGAGAATCGATGGGAAACATTCATTTTACCTCACGTAACTGCCTGCTGCTGCCCTGCACTCGTGCAGTAACCGTGCCAAGCGGTCGCTTTTTCTACCATGACACTTTCCTGGTATGTGCCTGCAGCCTTTGACAACTCCGATCTGCGCAGACAGCCGTTCAAGGATCGGAAACCTACTTTATCCCGAACGGCGTAACTGGGCCGTCTTGCACCCCAAGGAAATGATAAGGCCGGCTACCACTTCAAACATTCCTAGCGACGCACATGCGCACCGGACCTCGTTTTTGGCCCCTTCCGAAGGCTCCTAAGTGCACGAGGCGTTTCCGCAGACTTCCTACTAGACCCGGATCCCGTCGATTGCTCCCCGGCGGGAGCGCAGGTGCGCGGAGCATGAAACCTTTGCGCGACCATGTCAGCAGCGCATGCACGACGGCGAGCCGCGTTCTGGCTCCTGGGCCCAGTCCAGGTACCAACCGGCGTCGACGTCTGTCTGGGAAGGCGTCCGGAGGGGGACGGCGTGCGCTCGCGATACGGCGTCCGTACCGTCACTCGCCTTCCACCGCTCGTCCATGTCTCTCATCTGCACCTCTACCGCGCGTAACTTCCACCGGAACTAGGCCCCTAGGCTGCCAGGACAGGGCCGACCCTATCGCTGACCGAATCAGGTAGCGTCCGTCAAGGTTTGCTGCGTTGCTTGCTTCTGTCGAGACTCGACGGACCCCGCAATGTAACACACGGTCGCATTTGCGTAACCTGAAAGCGGAGGTGCGTCCGCCCGATACGTGTGCGCAGCCCATCAGAGCAATTCGCGCTTCCTGATCGCCTGTGGCAAGGTTCACGCAGAGATCTGAATGGGATGTGCCACGGCTCAGTGCGCGTGCCACACCTGTTATCGATGCAAACCGTAACTCAAGTGCCCAAGCGCGAAGGCGCAGTGCAGCGGAGCTGCCCGTGTGCTGCCATGTAAGGCACGCAAGGTGGGAAGCAAAAGCCTCGGATGTCCCAGCCCGCGGTGCCATAAGCAGCGCAACTGACCAACTCCGTCCGTAGCCTCGTTGCCGCGTCACTCATTTCCAGCGAGCTGTGCTGCAACGCAGGTGCGAACAAATCTGCTCGATAGCCATTGCAGCTCACCGGGCGGCTTCGTGACCGTAACAGCCTGGAATGGGCCCGTGAAGATCGGGGCCAGCGCCCATTCCAGGCTGTTGCAGCGGGGCCCTCGCTCGCAGTACGCTCGTCGCACACGCCTGCCCCTCCTCTGCACTCGCCTCGTTATAAATATATTACATGTCGCGGGTGCCCACAGGACCGCTTACGCGTCTCCACCACCCTGTTTCTGCGCTGTGGAGCCACCTCGTTTTCCGCGCCCTCGTGCATCATGCCAGAAATGCTGCGGTGTGTCCTCGACCATCCCTCGTATTGAATGGCGTGGCAGAATATATGCGTCTAATTTGTATTTTCGCCTGTGTTTCAGGGACTGCCAGCGGTGCCCTGGAGCCACGCCCGTAACAGGGGGCGGCTGGGTCGTCTGTATGGACCAATAACGGGTCTGCCCTGCTTCGAGCGGGCGAGCGGGCGATCTCCGTCGTATCCTTTCTTGACATATTTGTTAGTCACCTCGCCTTGTCCAGGCAGACTGTCAAGGCTGCTGAGAGATGACATGCGTCAGCATTCAGCGCTTCAGCGACCATTTTGATAATATCGCTCCAGGGGGCATGGGCTAGAAACAGCGTGCTGAAAGCCTTCAAAATGCAACAGTAAGGAAATGTGGTGAGTACTCGAGCTGCTTTGTATATCTCAGGAAATACCGCTCTAGAGGACATTAGTCGCTGCTGCGAACGATTCAGTATGAGCCTCAGAGCGAGTCCGACGGTCCGCCCACCTACCCAGCGCGAACGCTAGAAGTCCAATGACTTAAAGGCGGAGTTAGAGAAGAGCTCGTGTACCTCGTTCCACGTGTAGAAACCTGCGTCGAGGCTAATGTTCCCAGAAGACTCGGTTCGGAACGTAGAATACCGGAAACCGTACGTACAACTTTGCTCATTTTGTTGGCGATGAGTCGCTTCTAGACATTGCGCATGTAAAGGCACCGGGACTGGGCTGGCTGAGGTTCAGCTCGACTGCTCACTTGCTTCGCCACGGACCGAAGCAAGCCCAAACGCTGCCCGAACCCAAGATCGAAACCTTGTTATGAACATTTCCCCTAGATTCGTGTGAGCACCGATGCTGACCGCTGAGTCACATTGAACCTACATTAGTGCACGACAAATGCGGGTTCAGCATGAATATCCCCCCGAGAACGTCACGTCAGGTACCATGCCTAATACGGCGTCCCGCAGTCGTCGCCGCCGGCTGAAAGCCTGAGCTGGCTGTCCGCAACGACGCCGAGACGAGCACTTGTCGTCTCGCTGTTGTGGCGCGGGTTACATATCTTGTTACATATGCACCAACAGCTATTGGGAGGAGTGGAGCCGGCAATGTGTTGTGGAGCTCGCAACGCCACCCGTCCCCCAGTCTCAGGCAGACGCCTAGCTAGCGCCAGCACGTGCAGGGTACGCGTCTGTTGTTTGGCCGCGCTTGGCCGCGCTGAGGTTCGGACTCAGCTGGGAGCAAGACTCCGCTCAAGCGAACCACAACAAGGACCGCAGGACGACCACACTCCCCCACGCTCTGCGAGAACATCGACAACTTCGTCGCGGAGATGCCTCGCAGAACGGTCGTGAAAGGTCAGCAGTCAATTTTAATTTTCGTGGAATGGACACAGGCTCTGACTCTCACGCAGGTATGCCCGTTGTGCGGCTGTGACAGCGGGCATGAATGAACATAACGTTTCATTCCTGCTAATTTCAACCGACAGAACCTTCGTACGAGTCTGAGAACGAGCACGGATATGAAGAAGGGGACGATGACCAGCGGTGAGACCGTTCTGGGGCGGCACAAGACGGCGCTGAGCGAGCATTGTCCAGCGAGATGCTCGAGATGCTCGCAGTTCTCCAGCAATTTCAAAGTACGCCGCTCTCTGTTTCAAATATCCCTTGGGCTTATTGCATATAGAGCGCAAGTCGGGCAAAACCAGCGCAAGGTCTGCCGCCTTCCACGCAAAGAAGGACGCTCTCTTTGCCGAGGCGCGTAAGAACGCCGAAAACGCAGTCAAGGAAGGCGTCGCATACATGTCAGTCAAATCACCGCGATTGTCTTGCGCTAATATACCACACATGTAGCGAGCAATATCGAGCCAAGATAGCTGAGCTGAGGGCACGCGAGGTCTCCCAGGACGCGCGCCTCAAAGATATGTCGCTCTTCAGCAGCCGGGAGGTGAGCAAAAACCTAGCTATATGCGTGGTTATATGCGCTTGAATCCTGACATATGCCACGTTCGGAACTCCAAGGACGCGATGAGAGCCGTCCTCGCCGCGTTCCCACCTTTATTGGATGATCTCTCCCACCGACGGGCCGAGGCCATAAACGAGACTAGCGAAATGCGTGCGTCTGTCCTCTGGTCATTCTGCTGCACAGAAAGGTAACGCTCTCATCCACCTGCCACGATTAACAGTCGAGTCCCACTCCGTCGGACGCCATCAGTCACGCAGACGGCTCATCAAGCAGGCCAAGGCGCGCATAGATGAGGAACAGGAGAATCAGCGCGTAAGTACACGCCCATTGTTTCCATCATGGATGAGCAACATGCGCCACGCACAGATTGCTACCGACGCCTCGGCCTTAATTAGACATTACAAGGCACTGTTGCTTTCTTGAGCTAGCTCTCGACCGTTCTCGACTCTGACCCCAGCAGAGGCTCCGTCCTATCTGCGACCGCAAAGCTTGTTGCACCTGACACAAGTCATTCCGTAACCTTTATTGTACAATACATCAACGCGCCATGTCAACAATCCCATGTGCTATCACATTCCATCGACATCTCCCGCCATGTCTTCCAGTCCAGGCTTCAGCAGGATCCGGCCCATATCCGTCAGCGCAGCGCCGATAACGCCGAGCGCAATAATCGCAAAGCTGTTCGCGCCGGGTATGTGTCTGTTGCGCATGCCGTAGTCCCACGCGAGCCATCCCTGCTGCAGATTGTAGCGCATCTGCCCAACCGCCTCAGGCGCGAGCTGGTCACGCACGGGCTGGTAGAGCCTGCGCCGCACGCTATCGACGAGCACCTTGGAGTGCAGCCGCATGCGGTACGTCCGGTCGTTCCGGTACCGGTGCTGCGAACACACGGCCGTGATCGTCCCAACGACGACCTCCTCCTCCACGAGCCGGCTCTCGGGCGAGTCCGAGAGCGAGTGCGTGACGCAGATGTACCGGAGCTCTTCGGCATAGCGGCCGAAGACCGGTGCGATCGAGGCGACGTCCCGCTCCGAATTTCGTGCGCCCCCAGGGCCAAAGATGTCCTCGATGTACGGCCGCAGAGCCTGCGAAATGCTGTCTGAGAGGGGAGGCAGACGCTTGGAGGGTAGGTGTACTGTCTTGGGTGGCTCGAGCAGCTGGACGTTGCGGAATAGGTCGCCGAGAGCACGGTCAGATTCATAGTAGTCAGTCTTTCGGGGGGCATTGTCCTCTGCCTTTTTCCAATCGGGCTTGTAAGGGATGAGCCAGCGTGGCGAGTTTTGGCTATAATAGGATGAGAATCCGACTTAGCAGGATAAGAAAGGAATTCTGACACACATGTCAACGGGAACACCGTTCTTGGGATAGTCCACGGCTTGACTGCACAGCTCTGCCAGCCTAATGCACTTCGCGTCTCTGGTACCTTCCTATTACGACAACGCTAGGTGAGATAGGGCTGATCATGAACGAAAGTTGCGGCTTGCCTTCGATTGGTCTTACACAACCCAGCGTTCACATTAGCAAGAGACTAAACAAGCATCACACACGAAGCTCACCAGCAATTATGAGATGCCTATCGGAGAGCAATCCCTGCAAGACATGGTAAACACTGAAATTGATGCGCCGGAGAGTGAATGACATACCAGAACATCCGAGTCAATGTACTCGATGATGAAATCGCATATATCTTCGATGCGACTCGGCCTATCAAGCTCTCTCTTACCCACCGGCTCATACTTCGCCGGGCCCTGGTGCTCTGTGGGAAGTAGAGTGCTCTCCCAGATGATCGAATACAAGTCTCTAGTAGTAGGAGACGAGGGTGTCAGCTCATGTCGCGGCGTGATGGCGAACTGACGTACCCATCCAGGTCGCCTCCACCAAGCATTGACGCCAATGAGCGCCCGCCTGTAGATGGCAGGACAACGACATTCTTCAAGTTCCTGAAGAAACACGGTCGACCGTCATCTGGAGGCTTGCCGATAGCAGTCACTCGTTGTACTGCAGACAATGACAGCTGTCAAAAACGCCGGGAATGTAGTGCATATGCGCTCACCATCTCCAGGATGCACGACTGGGCTGCGAGAGATAGTGACAGAGCCTGAGCAGAACATCCATCAGTGCTGTACGAACACTGCAGAGAACAACTCACCTTCGATCCAAATTAGCTCCTCGTCTACCGACTTCTGCACACAGGCTGTATCTATTCAGCCTCCGAATAATGACAAAGCAGAAAGACAGCCTACCATAGATTTGCCCCTCCTCCAGCTTGAACACGTTCTCACACCCTTCGGCTTCGTACGCTGGGCCTTCGTCTGCAACACCTACAAGCAAATAGCTGCCAAGCACCGGAATACGCGCGTTATGTTTGATGGAACGCAAGACGTCGTTCTTCGCAAATTGTACGAGGCGCTCAAAGAATGGATCCTGAAGGACTACGCGAATGTTCTCCTCGTGTTCCATGCCAAGCCCGACAGCATTAAGGAGCTGCCAAACATACGAAAGTCGGTAGGATCCGCCCAAAGAATGCTCGCGAAACAGCTGTCTGCATTGCATCACGCTGTCGCTTGACATATGGATAGCGGCCACGGCAGCTTCCTGCAGCTCTAGGAAGGCCTGCTTAATGACACCACGATCCTCTAGCACCATGATAAGGGGTCTAAGACAAGCTTGGTGAGGAGACTACGAGACCACATCAGATCGAGGACAAACCGATTAAGATAGCACGTGTTCGGGCGTTCGAACGCTCGAGCGATCTCAATAGTAGCGGTCTCTTCTGCTGGACCTTCGAACTTGTTCATAGATGGCCGTAATCGCATCTTGACACCCTTGAGGCGTCCGTCTACCGCCACCATACCCTTATAGCCTGTTATGCAGCGTCAGTCCGCTGGTCTAACCGCAAGGGACCAGGTCAGATCGCACCTAGGAACCGAATTTGGTACTGTAGACGCATCAATATTAGGCAGAGCTGATAATGAAAAGTGGGACGCACTGCGGAAGGCTTAATGTTCTTCCGATAGCTGTCATCTCGGGCAGAACACAGAGCTTCCCAAATCATGTCGCCGAGCTCCGAGGATATGGTGCCCACGCCGTCAGTGAAGAGGTACGGCTCTTCGCCGAGATCGTCCATCTGCTCCCATTGATCCCGAGTAATCTCGACGGAGGGATCGGTAGCCGTGAATGCCTGAGCGATACGTGCTGCATATTTCGACGGGCAGTTGATGACGGCCGAGAAGTCTCCAAGGCTCGAGCGGATGTACTCGGCGTCAATCCAGCCCTTCTCCTGGTGATAGAATGGGTTCACAAACCACACCGCATGCTCGCGCAGAGCGGACGATGAATAGGCCAAGAACTCAAATTTGCGTGTCGCCAAGCTGAACCCGCCTTTCAAAAGACCGCCAACTCGGTTTTCCAAGAGCGATTTACCATCCGTCTGTGGCATAACTCGGTCAGTCACCGCCCAACCAAGACGGATATCACTTACATCTCGGTCCCAGCGATATTGTAGGCGGTCTTCGTCACGGAAGTCGATACGAATGAAGTGGTCTTCGTAGCCTCTGTATTGTCGGATAACGCGATTGGACTGGATGACATATGGTCCCTCCAGCAACATTCGAGTCGGGGTGATGGTGACGTGGTGGCACATGAAATTACCGGAAGACAACTCGACAGCCTCCGGCTCCTCGCGCGACCAGACTTTTTCGAATATGTCCTCAGGTGACTCCCGCGGGTCTCTGCCGCGCATAGCCTCTGTGAATGCCCTGAGCGTCTCGGCAGCGGCCTTCGGTCGGCGAACGCATAGCTGCTTCACAGGACCATAGAAACGTTCCAGGAGGTCTTCGGTATTCAAGAAGCCGTTGCGAAGAAGTGCTTCCAGCTGGAAAGCGATAGGCCAGTCGAACTCCCTAAACATGCGCTCTACCTTGATTATCCGCGATGGATCGAAGAAATGATTCGAGAAGGCTTCCATTTGAGTACGAAAGGGTCGACACAATTCTGCGATCTCGCATAGCTCGGAGAACCTGTCCAGATCGCTCTGCTCGTGCAGAATGATCCGCACTTGGTGTGCATAGGGTGCAATGGCAGCATGGACTTCATTAAGGCTGTCGAGACGTTGCCGGAATTTGCGCTCGTCGCGCCACTCTACTCCGGTCAAGGTTCTGTTGAAGTTCTCCAGTTGGAATACGGGAGGAACGAGTAGCTCGAAGCAGACGACTAGTAAGGTGGTTAGACTCCGCAATCCTCCGAACTGTAAACACCTACATGGATTGCCGAAGTCGAGACCGATTGCTAACTTGCGTATGTTGGCGAAGGTGATAACAACATTGTGGGCGAGCTGCTCGGTCATTGGGTCTCCAAGCTTCAAGAGCATTCAGTGGATTGTGTATAATCAAACAGCCTTGTCGCTTACCCGGATGCGGATGAGTTTGTGAGTGTATTCAAAGTGTAGAAGACCGGCACTCTTGTTCACATGAGAGATTTCATACTCGTTGGAAAACAATCTGGACGTCTTGACGGAGTCGCCAGGCCTGCGATAGTAAACGCCAAACTGTAACTTGTCTACGTGAAGGCCTACGTCCAGCTTCTCAAGCTTTGCTTCTAGCTCCTCCTCTATCTCCGGATTCAGGTAGAGTGTCTTCTCCAGACGTTCCTTAACCCTAGCCTCCGGTTTCCTTGGGGAGATATTCATATGTACCTTCCTCCCATTTACGCGAACCTTGTGGACACCGGCACGAAGGAGCCTGAGCAGCTTCTGACCCACTTTGCGATCAGGAAGGATGAGCACTCCAGTGCCATCGTTGCGGGCTTCGGAGGATTTGTGCTTGTTAAGATTAACCTCGAAGTTGCTGTGCTCGGCGTGTTACGCAGTCCATGGTGCAGATGTCATTGAACTCACATAAGTCTGGCTGTTGGGTCCGATGCGTTGAAGAAGTCGTCGCTGTGCAGCACGCCGCCGACGGCACGCTTGATGTCCCACTGCGACGCTTCGAAGGGTATGTACTTGAGCTCGATCTCCATTGAATGTCGTGGTCAACCAGATTCAAGCCTGACAATCTCAGCCACTACGGGTTGCAAGTTGGCAGACTTGGACCGGGTTCAATGATCACAACCACAAGCAGGCGTATGCGTGATATCGATAAGGGCTGGTGGGAGCGCAGGGCAAGATACTTGGGCGTCTGTCCTCGCCGCCCGTCTCACGCCAGGACCATTTTCCACGATGAAGTACAGCAATTATGAAAACATAAACTACGGTATACAGCAGCAGGATATATCATAGGCGCGCCGGCGTAATCACGACCTTTGTCCACCTCACTTGTATGGGATGCCTGTAATAATTGGTTAGTACAGATTACCCGAAGATGGACAGTGCACCCGCCATTTTGTAGCTGGGCGGGAAAATGTAGTGAGCTCTTGCCCGAAGAGTTGATGTATGAAAACATACCCTTTGAAACTCGTCGTAAGCAGTGCTTCGAACATTCTCGTGAGCATTGCGGACAATGGCCACCATCCACTCTGCCGCCTGCCGTTCGTTAAGCCCTGGAGCAAAGCGCTCCCTGAGTCGCTTTATAGTGGGCTCTCCCTTGAAGGATGGCAAACTCGTATCGAGCATGAGCTGAACAGTGCTAACCAGCTGATCCACATGCGGTCTGATGGCAAGGAATGCTTTGACAGTGAGCTGTTGAAACAACTGATACCCTTGTGAATATCGTCCACCCATCAGGACCACCATCTCATGAGTTAACTTGAACGAATTGGGCTCGAACTTGACACCCTGGGAAACTTATGTGAGATGTATCGACATTATATAACGTGGAACTTACTCCAGGACGTAATGGGGAGAAGCAGCGAACAGATAAGTAAACTGACGCACAACAGCAACGACCATAGGAACTTATCTATGTCAAACAAGAAACCGAAGTCTGTACGAGTGTTAGAGTCGTCGCAAGTGAAACGATCATGTAAGCTTACCGATGTGAACAATGTGACCCTCGCCATCGATCATGATGTTACCGTTGTGTCTGTCCTTGATCTGGAGGATGTAGCATGCGACAGAGTATGCAGCCATAGATTGGATAAAGTTGAGACGTGCTCGTTGGAACTCCACAGTATCCTCGCCACCATACTTGGCAACGAAAAAGTCAAGAAGATCGTTAACTTTTGCCCGGCCCATCTCGTCTCTGGACGTCGCGTTCGGGACGACGTCAATGACACCGCACTGGACATCATCAGAATAGGGTAAAGTAGCATGACTACGGAACTCACTCCTGGGGCCGTGGCAGTCACGCGGTAGGGGAACAAGTAAACCGTCAGGCCAATGCTACTGAAGATGTTTTTGAACATGGCAATGACTTGTAATGCGAGGACGTCCTGCCGACAGTCGTCTCCAACCTTGAAAATAGCCGCCTGCCAGACGTCGTACTCTTGCTCTTGCTGTTTCGCTACGTCCACATCGCCAAGGGCATCGCCATCTTCGACAGCTAAGACACGAGTTTTTCGGACCTTAAAGGTTGCCATGAATGGTGCCTGAAGCACAATAGTCAGTATTACCCCAGTAAGGAGATATTCGGCAACATACTTTAGCATGACTCTGCAATGGTCTACCGGACTTCTTGTCAATGTCGACAACCTCACCGTCGGGGTTACTGGGCAAATACACCCCGACATCAACGTGAATCTTGGCCATTTCCTCGTCAATCTTGGCTTTTTTTTCCGGCTTGGTCTTTTTGATGAACGGCTTGAGCTTCCCGGAGATGGACGTGACTTTGTTGAAGAACGTGAACTCGCGGTCGTAGAAGTCCTTCGCCTCGCCGGACAGCGCGGCTACGATCATATCTGTCATCCGGTCAAGCACCGGTTTCATCGGGTCTTCCACTTCAGCCATGTCATCTTTGTAGCAGTTGGCTTTCATATTCCAGATGATCTGGTGGCAGAACAGCTGCGAGATCTTCGCGGTCTCAAAAATGAACCTAGCGACATAACCTGAACTGGTCATCAGCAAAGGACATCATATGTTCAGTCATGTCCTTACCAAGGTCATCGTATCGCAAAGCCTGTACAATCTGCGGAACGAAAAAGAATGTGAGGTTAACGGGGTGTTGTTCCAAAACACGATGTGCGTATTGCAACAGGAGGGGGTCGTTGTTATAGCGCTTTTCGAAGAACGTGATGGCAAGAATCGGTGGGACAGGTGTCCAGAGCAACAAATACTGAAAAGAATACTCAGCTTCTACTGGGCGAGGTTGGGTGGATGCGTACCTTCAGATCGCGCTGGATGCTTACGTCCAACCTGTCGCCGATAAGGAAAAGTAGAGCTTCTGGAACATCAAGGACGTCGCGGGTGTTGGATCGCACTAGACGAGTAGTCTCGTTGTTCAAAGCCGCGATGTTGAAGCGTTCGTTCATATGAACTGCAATTGCCGGATCAATCTTCCACACGTTTCGGATCGTATTGACCCATAAAGACTAGTGTGCCAACATCAGCTTCAAGCCGGCGAGCTGACAACGCGACCCTTACGTCCATCATGACTCTCTCCACGGTACCAACATGATCACCACCACGCTTGGAGTCGTTTGTGGGATTGGCCCAGACCGTAAGACGGAACATTTCGTTCTCAATCAGCAGCCGCAGAGGGGCGTTCTGATTCTTCAGAAGATTCTTGTAATCTGTCATTGCATAGCTGAGTATCGTCATACGCGAAAGGGCAAGACAAGCTTACAAGATGAGCGAGACGCCGCTTGTACCGGCGACAGGCTCGAGATCGATGCAATTCCTCGGACATTGTCTGCTTGCAAGTACAACAAAAACTCCGAAAGCACTTTGATATCCGTGTCGATCTGTACACGGTTCGAGCCAAAGGACCATCTGACATTCACACTGTGAGTAGCAGAATGCAGCACAAGAGCGAAGGTAGGACTGACTGAGGGCGTACAGCGAACCAAGAGAAAGCGCACCGGTAGAGGCAGTCGCGGAGCTGATGCTCACAATAGGAATCCAAATGTGAACTGCGAAGGACTTCAAAGCCGAACAGGAGCAAGGAGAAGCGTGCATCCCTCGCAAGCGGGTGCGTGCTGTTCAGACTTTGTTAGCGCCATCGAGCGGTGGATTCGTTTATGCGAACATACCTCATCTGCCCGTGAGCCCGTGTAGATGCAAGAGTAAGTCGCTGCAGCAGAAGCATCAAACCAGGCTTGCGATAGCGCGCTGCTTGGAGCCTGCTGACGAGCAGCTGCATGATAAGCTGGTGGGGAAGTAATAAGCGACGAGCGACTTTTGCGTTGCGCTCAGCTTCCTCCCTATTCGAAGGGCTATACTCTATGGAATGGTGGAACGGGTCCGTGTGACTGCTGGCAAATGAGCATCCCGTCGAGTACGCAGAGAAGAATGTGTTACTTCATCGACTCGCAGAACATCCCGCGTCCAAACTTGATGGTATCAATCCATGCTGATGTCAACTCGGACATCAGCACCATCTCATATTGGGGCTTCTCCGAGATCACCCAAGACCATGCCTCGATACCTGCGGAGACCGACGGAGGGGTGAACAGCTCAAAGGGCATTGCGACGAGATAGTGAACCAACCCCCTGTCGAACTGAAAAGCGAACTGAACAACGGCACGCGCATAAACCAAGACCATTGACTCACCTTATCCAAGGAAATAACGCTCGCCGCGCATCGGAAAAGCAGTCGCTTGAGGTCTTGAATTGTCAGATTGCTACGCTTCTCCGCAATCTCCCGGATAACCTGTGCCATCCGATCCTTGAGGAGTCTAACCTCTTGAGGGGTAGTCTGGGTGTCATCAGTCCTGGGGTCTGCAGGGATCTCCATTAGCACTCGGGGTCAGTAGTGACTGTATGCCGCATACCGATGAGCCTCGCGATGCGGAAGCCTGATGCTTCTCCTGAGAAATATGCCTTCGACGCCAGCTCGCCAGCAGCAACCTTGGCACGGTCATATTGGTGGCCCAACAAGAGCGACATAGAAGCTGTAGGTTACCAACTGCGTCACTTGAAGGTTGTGGGCGTCGAAATAAGGATGCAAATTACCTAGTTTACGGTCAATGGGACCATAAGCTCTGACGAAGTCCGCCGCAATAGACGGACCAAGGTCGGATGGATCCGCCGAGGACGCTGCATTGTTGCCACTGAGGTATCTCTGGATACGCCCGGTCAATTTTTGACTAACCAAGCACAGTCGTGCGACCCACCTGGAGCGTAGCATGCAATTCCACCGGAGCACGACCCAGAGCAAGTTCAAACCAACTGTTGGAGTCTCGCTGCAGCGACCTCAACATCTGATTTCGAGCAGAGTAGTCGTCCGTCAGTTCCAAGGTAAGGTCCATCTTCTCTGAGCGGAAGACATAGGTCGGATTGTCCTAAACAGAATTCAACATCAGCAATGACTTTCATGGGAACCGTGTGACATTAACCTCATCGAGGTACTCATTCTCGCATGCTCGACGCAAAAGCGTCAGAATCTCGAGAATGGTGAAGACCAGAGGGGGATCGCACGTGAGGGATGGGAAGGACGTGATGAGACGGTTCAGGTATTTGGAGGCGACTTCCCGAGCTCGTGCAATGCGGTGCGTGCTGTAGATAAGCAGTCTGCGAAGTTCCTTCGACAGCGCTTGTGGCAAAGCTTGCTTGGCAGCCAGACCGTTGAGGTCGATGACGCTTTCACGGATGACCTGGCCAACCGGTTTATTGAAAATCGTACGAACAATGAGCGCACCACATACCTTCTCCGCCACAGCCTCCATGCACTGCACTAACCCGACGTTCTTGTTCAGGCCGTTGTTCGCGAAATATGTTGCCAATGACGCAGGCAAACCAGCCGACGCCCGCATACGCTCCATATCGTGCATGCAGAGTAAGAAGATGATCTGGCCGGGATAAAGACTTCTGATCTCGCTCAAGCGCAGAGAAATATGTTTCGTGAGCGTGTCCCTGTGCTTGCTGACGACCTGAGAAAACATTCAGCTAGCTTGCCAACATCCAGTGGCCTGCTTGCTTACTGTCTCCGCGTACTCCTTGCGAATAACAGGACTGTACTCCAGGTCGCTGACAATGGTGTCGTGCGCCTCGTCGAGAACGATAGACGGTGTCTTCGCGGCGATGCGCGCCAAAGCAGGCTTTTGCCACTCCATCGCCGGATGTTCTTCGTCCTCTGAGGTGAAGTGGAATAGAACGCAGATGAACCACATATTCCTGAAGAGCGTCATGAGCGACGAAGAAGGCTGAATGTCGCAGTCTTCGTGGTTAAGGAGAGCATCGATCGGAAGCAGCAGCGAAGCAAGCTGCTCGGTCATCGCTTCGACCTTAGAACCACATTAGCCCGCAAAATGCACGGAGTGTGAAGTAAATTCCACCTTGACGCGATGATTTGAAATGACCACATTCTGGATAGCAACACCCTTGTCACAGAACAGAGTTAAGAGCTCGACTAGGTAAAGCTCATAGAGCTCCGGTCTCCGACGAAGCTCACGAGCGAGTCGAGTTTGAGCAGCCAAAACCTGCGGAAATGAAGAATAATCAAAACAAGCACTCGAACATATCTGCCCATGTGCTTCATGCTCACCATGTTGTTCGATAGTCTGGGATCGTCCTGATTAGCAGAACGATTGATATGTGAGAAAACTTTGACGATGTCCGCAAAAGCGGCCTCTGGAGCCTCAAGAGCGAGGTCTACCAGGTTGTAAGCGATTGCAGCCTCGACAGTAGGCTCCGCACTCCGCAGCCTTTGTAGAAGCATGGAGATCGTCAGGCGCGTAACCTGAAATAGCAGTGAGACCTGGCAGCCACATTCAGCAGAGAACACTGACCTCTTCAGTCTTGAATTCTAGCGCCAGCCTAGTGACGGCCGATATAGTACTTATCGCAACAAGACGTTTCTCGTCTTCGGTAAGACCTCGAAGGCCCGTCTCCATAGAGTACAAGGTCGCAGCATCAGCTGAGTCGCCGAGGGAGGTCTTCATGATGGCCGAGACCTCATATGGCTCCTTGCTCGTCGCAGCGATGTGATTTAGAAGGGAATACATGTAAGACATGATGAGATCATCGCCGGGCGCAAGCTGCAAATATGCTCAGTATGTTTGAAACTTCAAGACATGGATGGTACTCACGTCAATGCACAAAGCAAGACATTTGGCGGCTGCTACGAGAGGTGGGGGCGTCCGTGTTCCAGCAGTAAACTCAAACTCGAATATCGGTAATGGAGAAGTGACAAAGCGGCGGAGATGGTTTGCCATCTTGGTTGCAGTCTCCGGGAAGCTTTCGGGATTTGTTCCCGGTAAGCTAAATTATTCAGGGCGAATGAGCGGCAGCGTACTTTCGAACAAGGATAGCAGTAGCTTTCAAGGCAGCTTCCTGCACGAGATTGTCCGAAACAGGGGAATCTTCACTGAGCAGGAGTTGAATCCGGGCAAACAGAGCCTTGTTCAGGTTGTGAGAAGCGGCCGAGCAAACGGACGCGAGTTTCTTGTGCTCGTCAATTCATTGAACACAGTGGATTACGGACAACGTCAACCTACCAGGCTTTCCGACATTGTCTCCCATGCATAACTGTCTTCCGAAGGCTCTGAATCTAGCTCTTCAATTTGAGCTAGGAGGTTGGTGAAGCATTTCATAGCGCTCTCGATAGTCTTGTTGAGAGCATTCTGATACTCTTCATTCCCGGTCAGGGACTCGTCAATGGGTCCCTGCACAAGATTCTTCCACGCATGATTGGCTGCCACAGCTTCAGCGAAGGCCGATACCCCCTTCTCTGGACTGACCGCAGCTGGAGCTAAGGCTTGACCAAGGATCGTCCACTGAGCCTCGATAACGCAGCACAGGATAAAGTAGCCACTGAGAGGTCGACCGCGAGAGATGTAGCGGGACAGGAAGGTCCGGATGAACAGCACGCCTTCCGGGTCGTCTTCCTCTCTTCTCAGGATGTCGATGAGCAAGTGATTGAGACTGGCAACAACTTCAGTAGAGAACAGAGCGTTGAGATGAGTAGCAATGGCAGTCCATTCTTCGAGCGACCAAGAGAAGGGAACCGATATAATAGCCCTATAAAAACCGTGGAAAGCCGGCGCATACTGTGAGAGAATATCGGAAGCTACATTGTACCCAGGATTTAGTAGAGGCTATAATAAATAAATATATGACTCTCACAATCGCCCTTGCATAGCATAGATACAATCTGAGAGACGAAGTTCGTGATTGCACCCATAACATCACCACGGTACTCGGCATGCGAGGAAGCGATACGAAGGAGAGCCGACACTGTTGCCGCTACTAGTTGATCTGGAAGAGCCCAGTCTGTGCCGCCTCGTCATAATCCACGGAAGCCACGGTGTGCATTAGACAACATACCTTCCCAAGCGAGGCAACGGTCGAAGTCGATGCATGGGACGTCTCTGAGAATTTCGATAAGGACAGGCACGGTTTCGCCGATGAGTGATTCTGGCATGTTCACTGCTAATTCAGAGAAACCTATGTTACAATGTACACGCGACGTCGACTGCGGTGAGTGAGCAAAGGAGTATTCCTGAAAGGCCAACTCATCCGCACCATGAATACCCTGACTTGGTCCTCATCATCTTCCCCTACAGCTCGGGTCTCCACCTCGGCAGTGACCAAATCTATGGATGCGTTTAGCTCTTCAGTAGGCGTGTTGTCCCTGCAGTCCCCGATGTTCTCGGCGAGGTCGGACAATATGAGCTGATGTATGTTTAACTCCAAACTGAGAAAAAGTAAGGCCATATCCAGAGAGCATGGGCGATATTTTGACTTGCCAGTCCATAGTATTAAGCTCAAGTTAGTTTGAGAAACAGTATAGCCCTCTTCCTCGAAGTCTGCGTCTCGAGAGCAAGAGTAGGGCGTGGTCGTCAGCTTGTCGTCAGCACAGGCCGAATGAGCGTCTATTTTGCGGCCATCAAGCCGACGTCGGCGCCATATTGAATCAATATTTAGGCGCTACCTTTGTGGCGTTAGAGACGAGACCCCGGATTTCGCCCCTTCCACATGCTAGCAGCTTTGTCGTGCTTACGTTTGCCAGCATGGTCTCAACCACAGGTTTTTTTCATCATGTAGGCTTGCGAGGCACTGCATTATTGTGCAGAGTACTCAGCTAGATCTGGACTGCTTGAAATTTCGGCTGTTTGCGCAATGGAACATCTAGGCGGCCCGATATAATGATACGAAGAGGACTCATACCCGTAAATGCCTGCGTAACCACGTTCTATAGCAAGCGCTGTATGTCCGCTGCGAAATATGAGAGAAGATAGAAAGAGCTAGTAGGGACTCCAGGGGATGAGAAACCGAGCGGCGTGAGCTCCATGCAGAGCTAGCTAGCTACCAGGCCATACACCGAGACGAGCCCGAGGGGTCAGAGCTGGACATCGGCTCTTCGAAAGGTTGCACAGAATGTACATAGGAAGTACTGGGGTATTCGTCATGCACTAGTCCCGGCATCTCGCGAAATTTACAAAACAGGCTAACTTCCCCCTGCACGTCGAGTTTTAGTTGAGTCAAAGACATGTGGGTGGTCTCAAATCTGCCGCCTTCTCTGTGATGCCACACATCGTCGCACCCAGCGCATGATAATCTGGAGCGGCATAAGTGAAGAGTACAGCAAGCTGTATGGTGTCCAAGCTCGAGCAAGAGCGTTTGCGGACAATGATCACCATATCCGAGCCGAGCCATGACATGTAGTCTGCGCTGGCGATATAGCAGATCCTCGCGACCGCAAGGACACTGCGACGGGTCGTAAACCAAAAAGGCTGTACATGTAATGCATGTTACAAAATGCGCGTCTTTCGTGCTTGGATAGTTTAGTATGCGAGTGTCTCGACCACGGCATCGAGGATGCGCAGTGCGTCCGGAATGTAGAACTTCTCGTACTGCATTGGGACAGGGGTACTTGAGAAAGTTCGGTTAGCTACTATACATTCTCAAGACGCCAAGCGCTACTTACTCCCAACCGGTAACTCGCTTGACCGGTGCGTTGAGCTTGAGGAAGCATCGCTTCTGGATCTCGGCAGCGATCTCGCCACCAACACCACCAGTACGACCGGCCTCGTGTACGATCACTAGGCGTCCAGTTCGGCGAACGCTTTCCTCGATCGCATCAACATCCCAAGGAAGAATGGTGCGAAGGTCGATAAGCTCGACCTTAGCGGAACGCATAGAGGTGGGCACGTGCTTCGCAATAGATTCTGGTGGCGTCTCCAACATGTGCAAAGCGGTCTCGCAGTGGTAAATGGGCGTTCCCCACGTCAGAAGCGTCAGGTCATTACCACGAGTCAGGTGCTCGGCCTTGCCGAGGGGCAGTTCATAGTCGTCTACTGGGACCTGCTCAACTGCAAAATCGATAGTATCAGACTGTTAGGCTCATACCACAGAGACAGAAGCACTCACCAGCAGAGCGGTACAGGATTTTAGGCTCCATGAAGATAACCGGGTTCGGGTCACGAATTGACCCAAGAAGCAGTCCCTTAGCCTGTAACGGCGAACGCGGGATGACAATCTAGGAACGAGATCAGGAATTGAGTGGAAGAACCGTTGGCTGCATGTGCACCTTCAGACCAGACGCGCCCATGAAGAAACCCTCAGGACTCTGGGAATGGTACAGACCACCGTGGCCGACGCTCATCGTTGGGCACCGTATCGTTAACGTGCCAACACCGAATTCACCGCCTGAGCGGAATCTATGCTTCGCAGCCTCGTTGACTATCTATGGAGACTTTCAGCACATTTAAGCGATCACTATGTGCAAACGTATTCTGACCTGATCAAATGCAGGGAAAATGTAGTCTGCAAACTGGATCTCAGCAATTGCGGTATGGCCCATGGAGGCTAAGCCAACGCCAAAACCTGCGATGCCCTGTTCAGTCAATGGAGTGTTGAAAACGCGTTCTCGGCCTGGACAATACTGTATGAGCTCACCCTGCGCTTCTATGCAGAAGGACACATACCAAACTCTTCAGCCAGCCCCATGGTGCACCTGAACACGCCTCCGAACGCGACGTCTTCACCGAATACGACGGCAGTATCGTCTTTTGTCATCGCAACACTGCATACCACCGTAAGCTGAGCAAAGGACACTGTCCCAAAGAGAAGAATAGCTTACCTCATGGCGTCTCGCACAGCCTGGTACACGTTCATCTTGCGGGTCTCTCTTCCGGCAGCAACATCCTCCAGTCGGCTATTATCTGCATCTACCCAACGCAGACCAGGTACATGCAACGCAGCATCGCGTGTGGTGCGAAGATAAGATGAAGTCGCAATGGATGGTGAATGACCGCCCGCGGGTGGCGGCTCGGTCGACTGGAACCGACGAGCGGAATGCTGCTCTTGACGTAAATACCGCGAAAATTCAGAATAAAATACTCAGCGAGACTTACGTTGACCAGCCACAACCGTCGGCTCGAGAGGCGGGCAAGTCGTGAGGAGTACATGGAGGGGCAAAGACAACCAGGTCCGCGACCAAGATCCGATGCATGACCACTCTGTCCGGGACCACGTCCACTCTGCCGCCGGAGCTCTAACAGCTTCACCTCTCCCGTCTATTTACCCATACCAAGCGATGCGCCATGGAGACTGAATCGTCCTTTGTCGCGCCAGAGGGTGTTTATACCGTCACCGAAGAGCACAAGCACAGTCTCACTGGCGTTCATACCGTCACTGCTGCGCCTTTTATCTACCCGACCAGGCTTAAGACGGTGACGGTGAAGTTCACTGTTTCCAAGAACGCCAACTCGCAAGTGCTGTCGCAGCTACTGGGGGGTAGCAGGGAGAAGGAGAATAAGAAGGATAAGGAGAGGCAGGAGCGGGAAAAGGAGAGGCTAGATAGGGAGCGGGAGAAACAGCAGGATGGTCTCAGCGTATCCAGCAGCGAAACCCAAGAAGACGCACCGTCTCCCGACCCTTCGAGTTTCTCCCCTTCACCTGACAATGCCACGTCGCCGGCCGTCGCACATGAACAGCTGAACAGCCTGTTCGGCGGTCCTTCGCAGATAGGCAAGAAGAAGTCCGTTGCCCGCCCCAAACACAACATGCGGACCACCTCTTCGACCTTCATTACAAGACTACAGAACGTGGATAATCTGAACAGGAATCTGGCATCGAAGCAGGGGGAGACGACGTTCTTATTCTATAACACTTCAAAGTCCTTCATTTGGACTGAGGCTGGCTGCAAGGCAAAGGTGAGTAGCTCTCCTTCAGATTCGCCGTCATCTCTAAGGCATCATCAGGAACCTCTGGCCCGCATATTCTTTGCAGCGTACCCGACATGCCATGATGTAAACATCACGACTGCTTCCTCAGAACGAGTAGACGTGATCATAGGCTTTAACACGGGTGACCTCCTGTGGCTCGGTGAGAAACTGGAGGAATACTTCAAGTCCGCATTCTAATAGCTGTACAGACCCCATGTCGTCAAGATATGGCAGGCTAAACAAGCAGGTGTGTTGTATCTTCCGATCAAACGGCTGCTACTAACGAGAGATAAGGGTCGCATCTGCAACTCACCATGTACAGCCGTGCGATGGGTGCCGTCATCACCGAATTTATTTCTTGTTTCACACGCAGATGGAACAATCCTGCTATACGACAAAGAACGCGAAGACGGCGCGTTCTCTCCCAAGGATCCTATGTCCGCCACACTGACTGAGGTCAATGGGGTCCCTCAAACACCTCAAACACCTCAAGAGCCCTGGAACCCTCTGGACTCTATCTTCGTGACCCTCCCTCCGTGGCACCCGGCTACCATAGCGTCCTCGTTATCGAACGGCAAAACTGACAGGGATAAGGATCGCATACCCAAGAATCCAGTTAGCCACTGGCGTGTATCTAAGAAGAAAGTCCTTGGTTCGTACATCTACGCTTCTGTGAGATATTTCTTGTTCATTGCATCTATGCAGACTTTGTATTCTCCCCAGATGTGAAACATGTAGCGGCTATCTCGGAGGATGGTTGCCTAAGAGTGATTGATGCAGTCGCGGAGCAGTGTGTATATTTCTACGCGGTTTATAAGATTGTATACTGACGCGTCGACAGACTGGTGGATTGTTATTCGTCGTACTTCGGTGCTTTGACTTGTGTAGCTTGGTCGCCAGATGGCCGATATATCTTGGTGAGCAATGCGCCTCATCTCTACCTCTCTACGCCTCCAATCTAACGGAATCAAGACGGGAGGTCAGGATGACCTTGTTACTATTTATTCACCATGGGAGCAACGCGTAGTTGCGCGGTGCCAGGGACATTCATCTTTTGTCGCTGCCGTTACTTTTGACGATATTCGCTGTGACGGCAGGACGTATCGCTTTGGCAGCGTGGGCGAGGACAACAAGCTCATACTGGTGAGCACTTTCGCCTCTCTGTCATTGTCGTGGCTGACTATGGCTACGCATATAGTGGGATTTTTCAAGTGGTGCTCTGCACCGGCCAAAGCTACAGGTCCGCCTCCAGCTTGCACTATACGCTCATTATTGCTGATAGCCGAGCTATCTCTCACCAGGCCGCCGCTCACCATCAGCGCATGTCGATGACATCCAACGTCTCATTAGCGCTTCGAAGACGTGGCGAATCCGTTGTGTATTTGGGTGGTCCGGGAATGGACACGCCTATGCCGCGATACCACCCGGCGCCGTCAAGGAACGAAGTTGCCGTGCTTCAGCCCGTGCTTGTATGTCATTTCGCGCTCATACACGCCTTTACTCATTAAATCTCGTGAACGATAGATTAAGCCGATTGAAGGGGATCTGCTCACGGACACTATCTTCTACCACAGAGGTCTGTTAACTGCAAATAAAGTGGGGCACGTCAAACTTTGGGTACGGCCGCTCGCCGCGCATCCTCGCCACCTGAAGAGCCGGACAAACCGAAGCAACTCCTTTGCGGACACCGACGTTTTCGGATCAGCTGCTCCCCTTTCGCGTTAACATGGACTAGACGTGCATATCTATCGCATCTTTATTCTTAACATAGGATGTGTCACTCTACCAATCGCATCTACTGCTGAATCCTTGTATCTCTCTGTCTGTATTCCGACATCCACTGCTACTCTTTACTGTACACTGCACCACAAATGCAATACTCAATTCAATGTAAAGAATTCTGCTTTGTTCATGACACGGGCGAGCCGCTTCGCGTCCCGGAGCCTGAAGCAAGCAGTATGCGACGACGGGACAATATCGGCAGCGGCCGCTAGGGATCATCGATCATCGCCTGACTCATGGAAACTCGTTGTTCAGACATGCAAGACTCGGGTATAGCATTCAGGCACTTGTTGGTCGCTGCATAAGCTCTGGCTGTTATTCTTCTCGCCCTAAGCAAGCATGGCTGGGGAGTTTCGTATCTGACACTTAGTCTCGCTCAACGTGCATAGTAGTCCGGGTAATCTACCATCTCATCATCTGCATCCTGTCCGGCTGGTTCACGACTGGCGGTAGATCGGCGGTCATTGCTAGCTTCGCAGCCCTTAACAATGTGTCAAAGAGCTAGATCGAGAGACTCACTGTATGAACTAAGAGAACCATACTGCTCGCCCTCAAGTATTCAATCGTATGTAGCCTTTCGAAATGTATTGTGGATGATATTCGCATGCGAGGGTAAACATTAGCCAGTGGTATACGTGCTACAAACGGTCCGTGATAAGCCTAGATATACTTTATAGCAGTGTACAGTATGATATCTATACTATAATCAGTGTTATGCGCCAGCGCGCGGGGCAGATGTGGAGGTCATTGAGTGCATTGCTGTGTGATATAATATGGGAGTATGCGAAGAAATGCGATATGGGAAATGTTGCAGACCAATGCAGAGAACAATAAAATGGAAAATGGCAGTAGAAATGAAGCTCATGCTGAAGTGGCACGTTTTGACTTTGAACGGATGACCTTTCCGAATCGGTAGAAGAGAAAGGGGATGGGGAGCTGCGGGGAGGCAACTCGTCAGCACCTTGCTTGCGAACAGGAAGCAGGGAGGCGCGGACTCACCATGCCGAGGGAGATGAACGCCCACGTGCTCGCGGCCCAGCCGTTGCCGAGGTTGTGGTACATGGCCGTGATGAACAGGGGCATGGCCGCGCCGGAGCCAGAACGAATGACGGTCTTCGCGGCGAGCGCGGAGGCGACGTAGCCGGGGAAGGCGTCGATGATGTATGCGTTGGCGGAGAAGTAGATGGTGACCATGCCGAAGCCGAACGGGATGCCCGAGCTCACAGGGCCGACCCAGTTGCCGCCGCCTGGCATAACCGCCGGGGGGCTTGTCCAGCCGAAGATGAAGAGAGCTGATACAGGTATGAGCACAAATCAGTTGAGAAGATGAACGGATGGGACTTACAGATGGGTACCCAGATGGCGCCGACCATCATGCCGACGAGACGGTCTTCTGGCTCGGCCTTGCCGCCCTTCGCCTTTACGCGCTTCATGTAGTCCTTCTGCAGGAATGGCATGACGGCGAGAGCGAGGAAGAGACCGATCCAAACAGAGATAAATGTAAGGCCGACGAGCCCGTCGTTCCACTGGTAGTTTCCACCAAAGACGACTGGGTAGCTGAAGAAGAATGCGTACTGATAGAGGGTGAGCAGACGTCGAGAGGACATGTAGGGGAGGGCTTACCAGAAGACCGTAGATGAGGGCAATGTACATGGAGAGAAGAAGCAGAATTGGCTCCGTCACAAGCATCTCAAATGGCCGGATTAGAGTATCTTTCATCATCTCTGCCAAGGGGACCTTGAACATCTCTTGTTCGGTGCAGATGTTGGGGTCACCCGTCTCCTTCCTAAGCTTGGCAGCACGTCGCTTTAGGATGACTGGTGCGTAGGTCTCTGGGATTGTTGCCTTGAACAGGAACATCACGCCGGCGAAGATCATGTTGACCTGTTAGTAAGTGTCTGGTAAGTATATATGCGCATCGGCTACGGGACTGGAGAAGACCCACCCAGAAGATCCAATGCCAGCCGGCATTCTCGCCAACGAAGCCTCCCACAATTGGGCCGAGAACTGGTCCACCGTAGGGTGCTGCAGCGAAAAGTGCGATGGCGAAGCCACGCTCTTCATTGTCCCAGATATCAGAGATTGTACCGCCGGCGAGTGTCAGTGGTGCAGAGGCGAAGAGACCGGCCAGGAAACGGCAGATGAGCAGCGTTTGAATATTAGGTGCAACAGCACAGGGGATGATGAAGATAACATAAACAATCGTCGGCACAATCCAAATCGGTCGGCGACCAACAATCTCACTCTAGATAACGGAGTTAGGACGCGACCTAGACGTACCGTGTAAGAAAGGACTTACAACAGGTGACCAGAATAGAGGTCCGAGTCCGAACCCACAGACCATGAGACTGACGCTCAATGAAATGACGACAAGGCCCATGTGGAAGTCCGCCATGAGGCCGTCGAAGTCACCGGTAACAACAGATGAGGCAAACGCGACTTCTACTACCGACATTGCGCAGACAGCCGTAACGTCTAATGAAAGCCCGGCCTCAGCAGGAGATCGAGTCACACAGTATAATGAACACGTACACCATTTGTAGAGCTTCGACCAATTCCGAGGGTCTTCGGGATCGTTGGGCACGAAGGTGACAAGCTTGACATTCTTGAGCTCCCTCGCCATCTCGGGATCTCGAAGTGCGGGTGGCGTGACGGAATGGTTGGAAGGTATTGGCCGGAGCGCGAGGTCTCCAGGGATCATTCCCGTTGGTGAGACGACGCGGTACTCGTCGGTCATACCGCCCTCCGCGATATTGGTGCTGGCGAACGGGAATGACAGGTCGGCGGCATTGGGGTTGTGTGTCGGCGGCTCCTGAGGTGCCGATGCCTCGTCGACGACATGGTCCTCGGGGGCTTTTGACGAGCGGTGGGACTTGTCTTCGACATCAGCGTGAGCTAGAGTGCTAGTGGTACTGGCAACCGGGCTCTCCATGGTGGAGACAGAAACGGGGCGGGAGAGAGATGAAGAGAGTTGCTAGGCGGGTGCCCAGAATACGATGAGACGTGAGCTGGAATGTTGGGAGAGCCTGGGATGAGCATTGATGATTTTATATGCAGTCAAACCGCTTTGCGGACACACACGGAAAGCAGTTAGGCGGGCCCGCGAACCACGACGTTTGCTATACGGGGAAGGATCAGTCGGTTAGGCGCCTCCGAACGTCATTACGGCCGAGACGATGCGAGCTGATGCGAGGCAACTTGGGAGGCAGCTCTCCATCGGAGCCGATCGGAAAGCCCGGGTGGCCCCTCCGAGCTGGGCTCAGGTCGCTGCTGTCGATCCGTCAACGAGTCCGACGAGCTGCATGTCGGGGAAAGCTGCAAATCGTCGTGGAGGACACCACCTCCGACTTCGAGCAACATGTCAGCCTTTTGTGTGGTGAGTAAGCCTATGACTGACCGGGTTTCCAGCGTATGAGAACCCGCGTTAGGAAAACGAGAGCACACCTGTTTCATTGGGCGATGATAAGCGATAGAAGGTCTGGCTTTTCCCAGCCCTGGTTGCGTCGCGGGATTGTACCGTCGTGCGAAGCCGCGCGGGGACCGGGCGCGATTGCAGAACGCAGTTGAGCATTGCATTAGGCGCCCCGCATGGGAGCCGGAAAAAGGGCGTGGCGCCACGGTGGGCACCGATGACCCGGCGACGCTTCGAAAGGAGGCCAGCTTGGATCAGAAAATGGGCTTTGCAGTACGCCAGTGTGGAGGGAGTGTGGAAATAGAAAAGAGGGGAAAGTAAAGGGGAGCGTTGAGCGAAAAGTCACAGTATTCGCAGACTCCAATTTAACCCCCCCCAACTATTTGCTGCAGTTGAGAGAAATAGATGCATGCAATTATGGATAATCTCAACGAAGTGTTCTATGATGTTCAAGCAATACAATAACCATTATTGCAACGAATTCAGTAGTAAGTTTCATAGGCGTCCTGGACACTCGGCCACGGAGATATTCCCTTCGTCGACCCCGGAGAGATATCTAGAATATGACCGATAGTCCCTCAAGCCCTGCGCGTGATATACACTGCCCATCGCGACATGAGACCAGCCCTGAACGTCGCAGCCTCCCAAGCCACCAATAGCCTCTCTTCGCGCCAGCCAGCCAGCCCCCACTGAGCAACAAACCTAGCTCGTACTGCTGGGATCTCCGTCAATTCCTGCACGTATCGGTCCAAATAGCTGGCGTATTCCACCGAGACATTTTGCACAGACTCTACCGACAGCGGTGTGGCGCCCGAGGTGAGCAGTTTAAGGTGGTGATCAAGCGACGTTAGCAACGGCGTCGGTTCCATGTCCAACGACGGACACCGTCCAGCGATCGATTTATCGGACTGCGAAGCGGGCTTCGTACGTCTTTCCATAACGTGTTTGCGAGCAAAGAACGGGATAGATGCGTGCACGAACGCCGTGCTCATGTACGGTACTGAGCTACTGCGAGTCGAAAATCCAACCATAGCGGAGGCTCCCAGCGGCAGCGACAATTGCAGCGTACGGACATACGTCTCGAGCTTTGACAGAGGTACTGCATCGAGACTCAGCATTGTCAGGTCCGCCGCAAGGTCGCGTTTTGCAGCTAGCGAGGCTGATGTAACATAGCCGTCATAGCTGAGACTGGATGGGTTAACGGACGGAGTACCTGCATCGACTGCGCATCTCAGTCAAATATGAAGACGTTGTCGCGCATATACGAACATACCTGTATGGCAATGCGTCTAGCGAAAAGGAACGTTGATGACCATCGGTTAGTGATCAATGCAGCTGAGCAAAGGACAGCACGCGCACCGACGGCTTCCAGGACGCAAGACGTAAACACGCGATCCGGAGCGCAACATGCACACGCAAGGAAACCTCCACGCGGGGAGCAACTGTCCAGCCATGGCGGGAGAGCGTGCCGGAAATGAAGGGAGGCAGGTCTATGGCAGCGGATCGCAGCTCGACCGCGCCAGAGACTACGTCGTCGAGCAGGCAGGAGAGGGGAATTGCGAGTGTCGCAGGCGGGCTCGAGATGCCGTCTTGGGCTACAGACAGGTAGAGTCTAGGCCAGGAGGACGAAGTCGGTGTGAGAAAGCTAAGGAGCGCGTCGAGAGGAGCGTGAATGCGAGGGCTGTCTGGGTATTCTGGCGCGGGACGCCGTCTCCGGAAAAGTAGAAGGAGTAATAGAAGGAGAGCAGAGACAGCGAAAGTAGAGTAGCACCGTTGAAATTCTAGCCACGGCAAGTCCTTGAGAAAACTTGGAACATCGAGCGCTAGGACGCGCCTCTGTATATCGAAATGAGGCGTGTCGAAAAGCCGAGCCCTGCAGGCTTGCAGCCAGTCCAGAGCATCGTGAAGTAATAGAGACAGGTCAAAATCGTCCAGGATATGCTCATTGGCGGAGAGCAGGTCGCCCAGGGCAGTCTTCGCCTCCGAAAGCACAGCGGACATTGTGGACGCGGTGAGAGTTGTGCGCGTCGCTCGGGCACGTGGTCGCAGCACCTTTCCGCGTCCCCGACCGGCCGATAGCTCTAATCTAACCTTCATCCTCTTCAGGGCTTGGTCATGTCTGTCGCTTCTCCGACGCTATTGCCACGCACTGCTGTATTCCCGACGCTGTTACCTAAGCCGCCGCAGCCGCACCCGTTACCCTTGCCCCGGTATGGGCAACAACCTGCGCGTTTCAACGCCACACGCGACTTGGCCCGCGAGATGGAAGATCTGAGTGAGGAAGAGGACGATATGGACGAGTCGGTGCGTGTATACAGGCTATTGCAGGAGATTATACGGCCAATTGCTGCGCGTTAGATGGAAGATATTAAGAAACGCGGGTATAACTGGCTTGTGCCAATAGGCCGTTCCCTCACTCAGCACGAGGAGAAGAACGATGTGAGTGAAAACTTCTCGGTAGCTCATCTTCAGGAGGTACTCAAGGCTCGTCTGTATTCCAGGCCGATGACCAAAGCGAAGACGATGACGACGACGACGACGAAGACGAAGACGGCTCAGATGGCTCAGAATCTGAGGGAGACAACAACAACACTGATGCTGACGAGGAAGACGAGGACGAAGAGGAAGAAGAGGAAGAACAAGATCTCGATGCCGATATGGTGGACATGGATGAACCACAGAACATCTCACTGGTTGACACTGAACCAGATGACTTTGACCAGATGGACGCGGAGGAGTCTGGCGCCTTTGAGGAAGGCCCTTCGTCGGAAGTATAGAATGTTCGTCTCCGAACTCCGGTCTGCCCACTCTTCTTTTGGCTCATGATTATGCGTGTGCCTGCGTGCTTGCCCGCCACCTGGCGCCGTTAGTGTAGCGGACAGTCGGCCGCAAAGGTTCTTCGCCCTTTTTATTTGAAGTCGCCCATCTCGGATTCTTATGCCGAGCCGGGTATCCCATCACATATTATCGCCCTGCCAGCGTCGCTGATCGTACCCGTAATCTCCTTGTGGGAATGATTGTACTTGTGAACATGCATTCAGGATGATACGCATTTGAAGACAAAATATGATTACATGAGATTCTGCGGAGCACGATGACAAACCAAACTTTAGCACAGCAAGAAACACAGCACGGACGGGCAAACTGATTCTACAGGCCGGTCAAAGCTTTGAACTTTGGATTGTGCCACCTCTCAACGACGAAGTCTGCTATAGCGAGATCTAGCTCCAAGTCAGCAAAACGGGTTCAGACACTAACTGAAAGGCACTCACCGAAATCATCGCCCAGGTCAATAACCGCGTGTCCTTTCAGGATATCGGGGGCAGTAGCATTTCCAACTACCTCAATAAATGAAGAGGTAATGCTGGGAGCCTGAGGGAGCGTGAGTAAATCGATCAACGAGGCATCAAGGCTCAGCAACGTTTGCTACTGACTGTGACAAACTTGACTTTTACTTCGCCACCATCGCTGGCCTGTAAGATCACCTCATTTGTGCTGTCGTTCAACTAAGTGCTCCTTAGCATCGTGCTCAACAGGACATCAGACATAATACCCACCTTGAGGACCTTTCCGGTGACCCGAACAATCTGATTTGGATAGTCTGGCAGACGCGCCGAGTTTACGCGTGGAGAAAGCTGGTCAGACATTTTTTTCAGTTCAAAGGCGTGTCGTATGAGCGGTGTGAATGAAGACAGGAGCGTTCGAGAATAGCAAAACGCGGTTGCCGGCACGCGTCCGGGTCGCGTCGAGGCGGCTAATGATCAAGCCCGCGCGGGATGGAATAGGGAGGCGGCGTCGTTGTGGCGCTATTTGGCTCCCTTTGGTCCTCTTGCTAAATTTGTCGATCTGGCCCTTGGGTTGGGAATGCCATGTCTTCGGAAGCATAGACTCTCCGAGGGTGCAATAAGTACGTCCGCACATCATATCGACTAGACCATGAGAGAGTTAATGCTGTAGGCTGTCCAAAGAAACCTGTATGATCGTTTCCGCCAAAACGTTGCACTAGAGGTTATTAATATTGATTCTTCAAGTACCAAACATCAACGTTGCTGCCTCTAGTGACTGAAGAAGTATTTCACGTTCTGTTAAGAGACGGGCATTTTGAAGCACAGCGACGTGAAGCCACCAGCCTCAGGATCCCGAGACTGCACCTCTTACAAGAAGTAACCCTTAATCTTCGTTCACATCTCAGACTTTATAAACTATGCCGCTTAGAAGCTGATTAGATGTACCTAGACATAACGCGTGACGTTGCAGCCGTACATGCTGCGCAAATTGCACGAATATTGCGTTGCTCGCTATATTGCAGGCGTCAAAGTCGGCACGTGAGTGGACGCGTTCACCGTGTTGAATTTTGCGCCACATCAATTCGACTGCTTCATCAGGATCGAGACATCGTTTCCATCCCAAATTATAGCACAATGCATGCGAATCATGAAACTCTTGCCGCGTTACTATCCCGCATCGTGCAGGCAAACGCGTGGGTTCTAGCTCAACTGTCCATGCACCCTTTCATAATCCAGCGGAGTTTATACGAGTGCGTGTGCCACTCCTGCTCAGGCACGGTATGCTGATACCAAATCCGCCATCACTTTTTTTTGGCCAATCAGTTTCAAGCCATCCGAAGCTTTTCTGCGATACGCTGTCCGATTTCCCGGTCTTCGTCTCTTACGCCAAGACTAAATGAAAAGATGCGACCCGGCCGAGGAACAAAGAGTCCATACCGGCTCGCGGAACCTTGTCACACATGATGCTCCGGCTGCACAGCATTTGCACAGTCGCCCCAATCATATGCCTCACCCACATCCTCGGAGCGACAGGGTTCATTCGCTTCTTTCATCCCAATGATTGCGAGAAGGCCCCCGTTCTCTGCTCAGGTTGCGTCTATCGATCCCTCCCACGGCATCTCCCTGGGTTTTAGAACTTGAATCCGTTTAGGTGTATCCTATCGCTAAACGTATATATATACGCGCCATGCCCTACAACCTCAGAATACCGCGCCTTCGACAACAACTAGTCTATCTGCACCCCCGCTTACCTCACCTCACCATGCCCGCATCTCGCCCCACGAAGCTATCAAGGCAGTGTCGACCGACGAGATGCCAAGCTAAGGGCTCTGACCCATTGCAGGACCTCACGTGGCTGATGCCCGTTACTCCCGTCGACCATCCAAACGACGTACATGGCTCGGTCATGTGCAAGAGCGCGACGGAGAAACGTGGAGACACGAGAGCCTGCACGTTTCACGACGGCATCAACCTGACGGCGCTCTCGAGCACTTTGCGAAAATTTACGTACTCGAGCGATTTAAAGGACTTGAGACACTGGCTCGAACCGCACCACTGGGACGCCGACGGGAAGCTCAACCCTGTGGGCTTCAACTCTGTGACGTACTACAGCTGTGTGAAGATGCCAAAAAGCGACTTCGAGAAGTTAAAGCAGGACGAGGTCCGCGTCATACCGCGCGGCCACCCTCAAAGAAAGATTGGAATGATGAAATTACACCCAGTGGTGTGTAGTTATCCTAATTGCTATTATCTCGCTCACGTTCCTCTTAGTGTTGCCTAGTGTGCGGAGCATCAGGGTCTGAGAGGGGCCAAAGACATCACTACGTGGAAAAGCATCTTGTCGCACTCAAGGACACCCTGAACATCGGGCTCAAGGACATCTTGTTGGAGTGGTGGCACTGTCCATACCAAGACGACTGTGGTTTCAAGTACGTCCTGGTCACTCTTTAATCATTTGCACCTGCTAAAATATATATGTTAACAGGGGGTCAGCTCGCAAGGAGTCGGTCACACGCCATATGCGGGACTTTTGTCCCTCTGCGAAGACGCTCGGCTTCTCCGAAGCAGTGTATGGCGCCATCAATGCAGAAAATGCTATCCACGTCTTACGAACCGCCAAGCAGAAGGCAAGGAGCAAGAGACGAGTGGAGGGGAAGCGCAAAGTTCAGACCCGAGAGGAAGCAAACAGGCCAGCCACGAATTCTTCGCAAGCCGGCTCGGGCGAAGATGTGCTCGAGGGGCCTTTCAATCCTGCCTCTATTCTCCCCTCAGCAAGTTGCAACACAGCACGCATTCTCCGATTGGGAGATGCGCTTCCAGCTCCTCCGCTTATGGCTTCCTTCGCTCACAACGCACAGCTTGCCGATGGTATGGCGGAGGCATTCCACATCGAGAACGGGCCCATGGACTGGCTCAACCAGGTGCTCTGTCCGCTACCCCACGCGCCGCCCGAGCCCCTTCCTTCAACTCCTCCATCCATGGGGTTGGATTACGTGCCAGGAGTGTCGATTTATCCAGAAACTCGCCTCTGGCACGAGACGAATCCTACGGCCCTTGGCGGCCTCGATTTGTGGGAGGAATACTACTCAAGTGGGTTCGGAGCCGCCTGTGGGTCGTCTGTTCCATCGAATCTATGGGACAGTTTGCCGTCGGGGGAAGAACATAGGGATTTATTAATTCCGTATAGCTTCTGAAAAATGTAACACCAGATCTCTTTGCTTGCTCTCTCCGTGCTCGGTCTCTTATCTACCTGTTTTCTGGTGTGTTTAAATATTTTCATCATCTCGTAGACTTAGAAACGAGATATTTATTCCCACTTTCTGCGGTTTGGCGTTCATGAGAACTTCCGCCCACGGACCCCGACGACGTCAAGAGCGCCCGTATGCATCGCACGAAAGATTAATATTGAGCATTTATAATTCGACGCCCACTAATATTCTTAGCTTAAGTGTATGCGTTATGCACTCCTTAGCGTGTCCTCCTTGCCTGTGGTTTTTTCAGGTAGTCTCATTCTCTGAGGCAGCGGATTGCGTGCACTGGTTAGCTGGGCGTTTTCGAGGTAGTTTCGGGGTCCGCTAGCGGAATGACGCCAATCGATGATGATGCCGACAGAAACGGTATGCGCCTTGCCATGATGGATGCTCAACAACCGTTACCAAACTTTGCCCTATGTCCGCAGTTGACTTCCACCTCTGCATCTCTTCAGCATGGAGGTGCCGCTCGTCACGACGTTGCCGCCCCCATCTACGCTTCCAGCAAACAGGCAGGCCAATCAGCAGCTCATCTTCGACTTCACCAAAAGGAAGAAATGGGCAGATTTGCTCGTGACAGAGCTAACAGAGGTCGTTATGCTAGTCCTCTCGGACGACGGTACAGTGCTGTACAGTGGCCCGGCGGTTCAGAGCTTGCTAGGGTGGGCCGATGAGGAGCTAATAGACATGAATTTTTGCGACATCATGAACGGTGCGCCTCTCCTACGGTCTGGACATTAGGGCTACCTAACTTTCCGCAGATGAAGACGTAAGCGTGTTTAAGCGACAGTTTGCGGAGTCCATCCGGGCTGGAACAGACCTTCTGTCGTATGCTCGCTTGCGATGCAAGTCAGAGCAAGATTTCTACGGGCCTAGCATGCCTGTCATCCCTGCCATTCCTCCGCAGCCATCTGCAGACGGTAACATCCCGCAACTTCAGTCCACAAGGCCACCCGCGAAAGAGGTTTTCTTCGAGATCAAGGGTTATCCGCACTTTGGTGCCGACTCAGCCCCGAACTTGTTCAATGCGTCGGACGTGCATGCTATGGCAAATATGGAACCTCAAGCTGGCCCCTCGAACAAGGTTTCACCAAGCGCGAGCAACGTCTTTAAGTGCTTCTTCGCCATGGCCAAACCGTATCCCAGTCGCAATACTGCCATGTAAGCCTTTGTGGATAATGCATTCTACCAAGAGTACCAGTTTCATGCTGGTTTTCGCAGGCTGAACACTTTCCTGGAACTGAAGATGGAGAACGAACGGCTGCAACAGCGGTTGCGCGATGCGAAGGCCAAAGCTGAAGCCTTGGACCGTGCCCAGGCGCAAAGGCGGGTTTGGTCCTCTCACCCATTCCCACAACAGATGCCGTATGCTAGTCAAACCGAAACACACAGTTCCGGTGCTCCTTCTTTCCAGTCGTTTGCGTGGACTCAAAACTCTGCTGTCTCCGGTCCGAGTCGTAGCTTCGACTCTAGGCAATTCTATCCGAGGCTCACTGATTCAACCGTCATCGGCGGCTCTTCTACGCATACCACAGGATCGTTGAACTCCGCGAATACTGAGCGCGCCGAGTTAGCTGACCCATCTGCGGACCACACGCTTCCCCGAAAGAAGGTTAGTGTTGGCTTGCAATTGATCCACGCTAATCTCGAGACGCTGAGCATACCCGATTGATGCAGAGCAAGAAGTCTCTCACACAAGAGCAGTATTGCTGCATGACCTGTGGCAGGACCGACTCGCCTGAATGGCGCAAGGTGCGTTGCACTGCTTTTGGATCGACGATGAGTAGTCAAACGCCGCTGTTCCACCCTGTCAGGGTCCTCAGGGTCCAAAGACCCTCTGCAACGCTTGTGGCTTGCGGTGGGCGAAGTCGGTCCGCACAAACCCTTCCCTGGCTACGGAGGGTGATCCGCCTACCGAAGCCTAGATCCTCCAGCTCGGACCCTTGCTCGTGAGATTTAGCTTAGACGGCAAGAGCCGCTATCACCACCCTCGAAGTCTGACGGGTTGTCCGCAATCCGTATCCCGAAGTTGTATTTGCTTTCATGCGCTGTCGCTTCCTTCGATACTTCTTTGGCCATATGCCCTGCTTTGTTCGCGTTCCACTCGCTATGCCTCGTATATTCGGTTATGTTTAGCACCCGCTGTCAAGTCTATCCATATGCATTAGCCCTGTTACTATCAGCGAAGATAACAGGCTGTCAAGGAGAATATTAATGTACGGAGAGCTGACCTCGCAAGGCAGACGAACAGGGTAGGGGTTCGAGTGCGACACATGGAAATCCACAAGCTGGTGATCGATGAGACTCTTGGTACAGAAAGATAAACAACGGAGAGCGGGTATGGAGCGACGTGTTCATAAAGAGGTGACGAAAACGAAGGTGAATAGGTGAACACATAATACATGTAGAGCATAGGATGTACAACATGTGATGTACAACATAGGATATCAAACAACACGTAGGATATACAATAGGGAATAAATATCGGCAAGCGAAGACGAGTGTTGTATAGTACGACGATCGTCTAGGCGTTCATGAATGTGGTGGGGTCCAGCTCTGAGGAAGAGAAGAGGTTGAAGGTGTACGAGAAGCCCTCCGTTGTGCGCGCAGCGGCGTCAAGGTCCATCGGTGTCGCGAGGCTGAGGCTGGCACTTATAGCCGAGAGGCTTTGCGGCGCAGCGTTCCCCACACGGGCCTTCACTGTGTTCGCGCGCGACGCGGGTTCGTCGAAACACCCGCCGTCAAGGGCGGGCTGATCGGGCGCAAAGTTAAAGACGTCCTCGAGTTTGAATGCGTCTGCGGGCGCGGGCGGCTGCGAGGCCATGTCCCAGGCGAGCGCCGAGCCTGCGCTGGGCGTCCTCGCGCAGGGCAGGAAGCAGTGCGTGCCCGGTGTGCCTTGTGCTGGCGATGTTTCGGGCATAGCATATTCCGAGCCGGCGAGGCTCGCGTGGCTCAGCACGGAGATGAGGGCATCCGCTGCTCCGGAGGAAGGCCCGGCGAGGCGAGAGGTCTGAGAGAACGCTCTGCGTCGCGGCCGCTCGACGAGCGCGTTCTGCAGCGAAGAGGACGAGGCAGATGAAGAGAGCATGCGAGAGAACGCTGATGATTGGTTGAAGTTGGACTCTGAGGCAACAGCAGTCCAAGCTGCAGGAGTAGACGATGCGTCAGAACTAAGTAGCATCGCATGTGAGCAAAGGTGAGACAATACTGTTGGAGCGCAAACTCACGTGAATGACGTGTCGGACGAAAGTGTATATCCCGATGCATCGGAGGAGCTCGAGCATGCAGAAGGTGGCCGGGACATGTGCGAGATGTCGGAGATGTTTACACGAGCAGCTACAGGCCATTGTCCGTGCACCGTACACGGTAGCTGCATAATCGGGTCCTGGTTATCGGGAGCAATATAGCCTCGAATAAGAGACAGCTCTGCGGAATCGGACACAGAGGCACTCTCGGACGGTGACTCTGCGCCAACAAACTGCGCTCGCTCAGGGTCACTTCCAAGTCTCATAGGATCGTTCAGCGCGGGCACGATGTCTGGACGAACGACGAGAGGCTGAGAGGTCTCGTCGGAGGCAGCGACTGAAATGGTGGAAGCAGGGGTGGGTTGCATGACGGAAGGGATTTTGTCGGTGCAACCAGGCGCGTCGCTAGATTGATCCCGGTCGTTGTTCTGAGTCTGGGTGCGAGACTCAACGATTACGACCTTGGGCAAAAGCTTCCTGCGGATCTCTATGTGCGGCCTGGTCGGGCTTCGCAGAGTCGACCTCTCGTCATACTCGCACTCAAGACCTCGTGCGACGCAACGCGTGCAGGGCTGGCCTCCCGAGCACTAGAGAGGTACGGCGCGCGCTCAGCAATAGAGCTTCACGAATCAAGTAAAGCGGCATACCTTCGTCTTGCGCTTCCGGCACTTTCTGCACGCCTTCGCGCTGCGCTGGCGGGGAAGAGGGGAAGAGCGAAGGACAAGGTCCCCCGTATTCCAACCGATCGACTGGCCCCTCTGATCTGCTACCGCCATTTGATGATCATGCAGGAGCTGCGAGTCTGGGCGCGTTGAGACGGCAACGCAGCCGTACTCGTGATGCACCTGCTGCAGCATCCGCGGATCTATTCTGGGATCGACGTTGGGCAAGAATTGCTGCGACAGGAGGTGGATCGCTCCACCAGCCTGGATGTGGGCAGGTATAATGGTCAGCCGTGGTACAGAGTTTGCTGAAGACGAGGTGATTACTTGGACACCGTGCCCAGAGTCATTGAGAAGGAAGGCGTGATTGCAGAGCTGAGGGTCGAGGGCGAAGGGACTAGGTCCCGCGTAAGGCGGAAGGGTGGGCTCCTCAGACCAGACAGGTTCTCGAGAAAGTTGCTCGGTACTGGCCTGCACGTCAAGCGGATGCAAACTTCTGGAGCAGGAACAAATTGGTACAGACCCAGGCGCCGTGGCTGTGGCCTCTGACCGGGGAAGGGTGGAAGGCATTGCTCAGGGGGAGCAGGGGGAGAGGGAGAAAGGATATGGGACGCGGGGCATGCAGCAATTACTTCTCACTTCAAGACAACCTGCTCTAGATATAATGGGGGGCGGCAGGCTATTCTGTCAGGCAGCCACATCTCAATCGGCCTGCGATGAGCCGTGCTGCAGTTAGGGGCAACCTGAATACGGGCGTTGAAGGACCGGGAAGGAACTCGGGGTGTCAGACGCGTATGAAAAGGTAACACACTTTCGATGGACGCGGCGGCGACTTTGGAGCTCACCGGAGAGGCGCCCGCTGCCAGCACCCTTGAAATGTAGATATAGCGATGGATAAGTGATCACCATGCCGATTACTTTGTATATTTGGAGTTGGAAGATGCCCTAGAGAGCAGCGAGAAAATTGGCTTTCACGCTCGCTATATCGCTCGAGGAGTTCATGCAGAGCTGAAAGCCGTTTCTGAAGAGCACGTCGGCCAACATCTCCATAGCTACTCGCTCTCGTTGCTCGCATAGGAAGAACCATGGCTGTGGGTCGAGATCTCTAGGCTAGATATATATCTCCGAGAAGTTCTGACCGATTCCTTGCATTCTCTTGCAAGTCGTTCCGACGCCGCAGGTTCCCCCGCCCTGCATCGTTTGGGAATCGTCACTTGAGGCGTCAGACTTGAGTAGATCTCACCGGAACCACCTCGATGCTCGCATGGGAACCTGGCCATTATGACGCGATTATGTGATCATCTTCGAGAGATGGAACAGAAAGAAAGCTGAAAGGACGAGTAAATGACTCTACAAGTATTTTCGTAGCGTTGCCCAGATATGCACTGACTAATCCATCTTCCTGCGCTCGCCAGCCGAGTGGAGTAATATCTTTCACCGAAACGTGCGCTGGAGTGATCAATGGAGGCCCAGAAGATGGAACTTAGAAGAGACGAGTCAGGATCCAGAAGGCGCGGGTGTAAAGTATTCTCCCTGTAGCTAGATAACTACCACGCGCGACCCAAGTGACGGTGCACTGACGATCGAAAGTGTAACACTCTCAAGTACCGAACCCTCTCGGAACGCCTGAACCTTGTGCTTAAGAGAGGATTCTTCCTGATCTCTTCCTGGCTTGTCATCATACTCTCATTGACTCGAGTCTGGACGCTGTTCATTAAGCGACTCCGGCCCTGCGTCAATCTTCCAACAATAACTGAATGCTCAGCGCTTTAGCGCTCAGGTACAGGCGAGCCTCTTATCGATCAGCATCCGCGAACGGGTTTTCATAGTGTGTATACGAGCTATTCATCCGTCTCGTCCGGAGATTTGCTTCCTGCCTTTCATATTCAATCCTCGACAATCTCGAGCGCTTTCCCAGGGTTACCCAGGGTCCGTGTACTTCCGTCGATCCAGACCACGCTACGTGATCGATTTCTGAGGATCTTAAGCAGATGAGGGCGGCTAATTTACGATCGCCCCTTCAGCTCCTCGTTGAATTCACGGCCGATTAGCATTCGTCGGATCTCCTGCGTCCCAGCACCGACTGTGTACAGCCTCGAGTCACGGAGAATGCGCCCAATGGGATAGTCTGTCCAGCCACGTGTGTGCGTTAGAGAGATTCGCGCCTCTAGTTCAGGGACTGACCGTTGATGTAACCGTTGCCACCAAGACATTGCATCGCCTCCATCGCGACTTCGACAGCCCGGTCGGAGGAATACAGAATTACACCCGCACAGTCCTGAGACAATATAGTGAGCGGCCATTAACAGGACGACTGCACACGTACCCTCCTACTGATCTTGCCGGAGTCACAGGCACGAGCGACAGCGTATACGTATGAGCGTGATGCGTTCATCTTGGTGTACATATCAGCAATCTTTCCTGCAGAAGTGATGCACTCAGGGTCAGTGCCACAGCGAGCATACTGGCAAGAACCTGACCCTGCATGAGCTGGAACGTTCCGACAGGCACGTTAAATTGCTTCCTGTCGTGTATGTACTCGACAGCATAGTCAAAGGCTAAAGAAGCAAAGCATTGCTTATTAATGACAGGTGCAGTGCACACAGGTACGTGCCGAAACCTACCTGCCTGCATCAACCTAGATTTGGCCGGCGTCAGTCTCTGATGCGCTGCCTCAACGATGTGACGCACCCAAGAGGACCGCCGCTGAGAACGAGTCGTTCCAAGTCTAGACCCGACATCAAGATAGCAGCGCCCTTATTTACCGGTCCTAGAACATTCTCTGTAACCGGGAACCTTCTCAGAAGGGCCTGGTCAACTGTTGAGCGCAGGACAAACCTTCGGGGACAAAACAGTCTTCGAAGACGAGTTCGCAAGTGTCGCTACCTCGCATGCCGAACTTGTCCAGCTTTTGGTGCGTTGAGAAACCCTCGAAGCCCTTTTCGATAATGAAAGCAGTGATCCCTTTCGAACCTCCGTCGGGCACTGTCTTCGCGTACACGACCAGCGTAGAGGCAGTGGGACCATTTGTAATCCTAGGATGAGCCGTGCACCGAGTTAGGATGACGCGCGAAACAGATTAAAGCGTTTCTCACCAGAATTTGTTACCGTTCAACTTATAGCCGCCGTCAACCTTGTCAGCGCGCAACTTCATGCTGACGACGTCACTCCCGCTCCCGGGCTCGCTCATGGCCAGACTGCCGACTTTCTTCCCCGCAATGAGATCAGGCAGGTACTGCTTCTTCTGTGCTTCTGTGCCCCAGCGGTGTATCTGGTGTCGATCCATCAGTCCCAGCGTGGTCCCAATCCGGCCGAGAGCGTGCAGGAAGGTAACACGTACCTGATTAACGCATAGATTAGAGTGCGCGCCGTATGACAGGGCTACAGAGCCTGATGCCCGCGAGAGCTCCTCCATGGCGAGTGTATGGTTGAAGTACCCCAGCCCGAGGCCGCCGTAGTCTGGCGAACAGGTGATGCCAAGGAGGCCCATGTCGCCCAGCTTCTCCCAGAGGTCCTAAGGCGCAAGATCTAAACAATTTAGGGCGTGCATATAGGTGAACAGAACTCACCTGGGGGAAGTTGTTCGACTTGTCGATCTCAGCTGCGCGCGGCGCGACCTCCTTCTGCGCAAACTCGCTGACAGCTTCTCTGAACTACCATGGCGGTCAAAACCGTGATTGCAGCATAGACCAGTTGGAAAACTTTACCTCGGCCTGATCATCGGTCAGGCCTGCCAGCGCAGTGTTGTAGAATGACGCATGCCGTTTCGAGGTGGTCATTAATCCCCCGCGTGGGCGAGTGAAGGCATTTCTTAACGATGAGCGTACCAGAAGGCGTGCAGCAGCCATAACAATGAGTCACGAATAAGTGGTCGAAGGTCGGTGTCGTGCTCTGCGTGTGGTGCAGAGTCGCTGACTCCAGAGCTTCAAGCGACAGGCGACCAAGCTCCGGTTCCGGTAAACAGTCAGGCCCCAGGCCTAGTCAGGCTTTGATCCGTGGGCTGTTCGGAACGGAACTTCACAGCGCGCACGGAGCGCCCAGCGGTGCCCTAGGCCTGTCTCAGCTACGCCAACATTGAACAGGACTCAGAGTACAAAGGAGACAAGCATAACAGGCTTAGTTTTTCGAGGGAGAAGCTCAAAGACAGGGGCTATAGGAATGTATGCAAAATACGTGCACGGATTGTCATAAAACGAACAGCCAGAAGAGCGTATAACGTTGCAGGAACATAATCAATTGGATCCTTGCTTCTATATGGGTGTTTGCGGCCAGCGGGCGTCGGCTGAGGATAGTATTAATTATAAAGAGGCGTTCTACTAAATTGGTTTGTCGATGCGCTATCAAACACAGATTATCGGCACATGAACTACACCGAGCGAATATCATCTACTTTTCTAGCTTTGACAATGTCGCTGCATACGCTCGGACTAAGAGCACCAAACGCAGAGTCTGCTATCTAATCATTCTTCTCGGATTCGTCGTCCTCGTCGTCCTCGTCGTCAGAACGGTCGTCCGAGGTCCCGATATCGTGCAATGCACTATGGGGCGAGACGGGTATGTCAGGAACATAATTGCAAAAGCGGACTTCTGTAGAAACGCACCGGCATGCTATCCGCAAGATCAAAAAGTACCAGAATAAGTTCAGAAATTGCAGGAGAAGGATGGGCACAAAAATCTGGTATTTCATCCACCAGACCATCCAGACGCCGTCTTTGGCCTCCCACCGCTTGGACGTCTCACTGTTGGATGCACATCAGCCAGCGCAGGCGAGTGAGAGCAGGTGGTATACTCACGGCATGAGATCGAACTGGGTCCAAACGGACCAGAGCATGACGATATTCAGGTAATGCCGGAAATAGCTACATAGATGGCCTTGGAGCACGCACACACGCGAATACAGAGACACTTACGTCCAAGTGCCCACCAAGATCGTAAACACACAGACCTTGGACTTGTCGTACTGAATGTAGTTCATCACCTTCGACAGCTGTACGTGCACGCGCGTTAGCGTCTTTCTCGTAGAGTGTGCCCGGAACGCTTACGCCCAAGAAGATGTCAGGGATGTCCATGCTGAGGTAGACAGCGTTTCCAATGCGCGTCAGGTTGATCAGGTAGCTCCATCTACATGGTGTGCCAATTCAGCGGACAAGTAATAGGCAGGAACGTCGGATGCGTACCCAATGAGCCAAAGCGTGACATAGTGGTGCGCCACGAGCTCCTTGTAATCTTTCCGGGGCTTCTCAAGTCCGAGCAGGAGAACGAGGAGCTGCTGGCACCAGTATGCCGCTTGCATGAGGTAGTAGCGCTTTAGCTCCGGCTTCATGTCCCAGTGAGGGTAGTCTGAAGCAGAGGGGTGAGCAATTCAAAAGCGTGCGCGCAGAAACACTACCAACCTATCCAGAAGTACTCGGTACGGTACCACCAAGTAGGCAGCTGCGACATGATGCGCTGCGAAGTATTTCATGATTAGCAAACCCGTCGTGTGACAAGCGGTAAGTAAGCGGCGCACCAGACCCCAGCTGCCCATGACACCAAAATATAGCACCGCGTACGTCTGCTCGCCGAATCTGTCCAGCTTTGTCATTTTCTTGATACCGAACCAGTGCCCAGCGGGACGGGCGATGTAGATTGTGAACGATTGGCGAATAAATGACCAGAAGATGATGTAGTACGCGATGAAGACGAGGTCGAAGCAGCCTTTCTGGTACCTTGGATCTTCCGGGGGTGAGTCTGGGATACGGTGCGAGACAAACAGTAAAGGCTCGAAGGGGTTATTGAGTTCTTGTGCGACCCATGGAGCGAGAAGTTTCCAGTTGGCCCAGAGGAGGGCTCCAATAAGTAACAGCTTCAGCGAGGACGCTTTGGATGCCAAAATAGGTCAATGCAGCCACATGCATGCTAGATTAGACGTACATGGGACCACTACCCATCGCAGAGACTTTATATCGGTCCACAGTCCCCAGGATTCAGTTGAGAATGGCGAACCAGGACTACGACGCGTGACTGGTGTGGCGCGCTGTATATGTAACGGGCTGCGAAAGGTTCAGATTATCTTCACAGCTCCGCTCGGCGGAAGGGATGTGGCAAGAAACGCACGTCTGTGGTCCAAAGCCGCCAGCCAGGTGGTGATATGGGTCTGCGCTAAAGAACCGAGACAAATGTGAGCATGACGAGGTGATGACGGTGTCAATGGTGTGTGATCGACATACTCTATCCTGTCGAGAGTGCCCGCACGTTTTCTTCGCTTCTGGATGCTTGGTGCCGCCATGTTGGAGTTGCAGCCAAAACAGAGAATGGACAGGTTTGGTTTGAGGGGCCAGGGGATTTAACCGGCCCAGTCGAGTATACGCGTTGACCCGCTCCTTACAGGCAACTTAGATATTTCTGCTATATGGCGTCTATCAGTCAGCAATATTACTTCGCGAGGGCTGGGTCGAGTTGAATGTACATAAACTCGCTGACTCATTTGAACAGAAACGGCAAGTACGCGATAAGGCGATAAGATAGCGAGACCTCCCAATCACCCCGATTGTTAGACCTGGAGTGTCGCAGGGTTCCAGTGGGAGAACACGCACCTCTATCTGGTATCCGCCCTGAGGATACTGGTCATACGTCGGCATCGAATAAAAATTTGTGTATACGAAGTCGTCCAGGTAATGGCCCTGCATCGGCATGGCGTCCGACACGAAGAATTGCGCGGGTGTCGGTTCTTCTGTCAGTTCGCTCGTCAAGTTATCGAGCAGGCCGAGATCTTGGTGATTCTGAGTAAGCCCTCGACCACTGAACGCTGAGTACACCGACGTCATACCTAGATCGCCCGAAGAATGTGGCGTAGCGTAGCTGGGTTCGGTCTGAAACGGTTCATGAGCATGATAATCCGAGGTGGGAAGATTTGCAGTTGGTAGAATCGAAGAGCCGAGGAGCAGGGTGCTTGATCCTTGAGCATAATCACTGTAAGCTGTGACATCTCCATAATGTACGGTCGGAAGAGCGGAAGGGATACGCATAGAGTTCATGGCTTCGTGAGGAGCTGCAGTAATATTGCACAAAATCGTGATTCCCGCCGACGAATCAAAGAACGCAGGGACGCCATTGTCGATGGCGGTCCTGTAACCAGCCGGGAAGAAAGCTTGAGCTGGTACATTGCCTAGGGTGGATGTTGGACGGTTCAACAGCAGGTCCGACATGGGATGGACAGAAGCTGAAGGCGCCGCAGTCGAATGAGAAGACGGGTACGGTCTGTAACGGTGGCTCGAAAGAGAAAGGTTGAGACGCAAATGATAGTGAGGAGACGACGAAAGAGACGACGAAGGGCCAACTGGAGGGAGCCAGCTATGAGCAGCCATATTAGGTTGTCTACCAGACGAAGAGCCAGCAGAACCAGAGTGGTAGCCATCAGGCATGACATTGTGTGGAGAAGTCGGAGTCTCGAGCCAGAAACCAAGTAGCGAGGTTGAATTTCGACTCAAACTCGGAGAGAGCGGCATGTATAGGCTGCTAGAAGGCAAATCATGCATCGGCGGCGGCGGCGACGGCGACGGCGTTTGAGCTCGTCCTCTGGTACTCATTGGCCAGCTCAGTTTAATGCGGACATTGCTCAATGATGCCATGTCAACGGAGTTGGGAGCAGGGCTGCGAAAATGATTGAGTACGGCGAGACAGAAGCAAGAAGAGCTACCCACTCAATAGCACCGCTCTCTCGCAACGCCTGTAAGCATGTTTCGAGATCCTGTGCAGGTATCCACGGGTTCAGAAGGCCCATTTTTTCGGCTTCGACCGGGGTGAGCAGTCGTCGACGGTTCTTGTCTGTTGCGTGTACCAGAAATACTTCAGTGCAGTTATCGGACTCAGCGCACTGCCAGCCGCTGATTCCGCCTGCGTAGCACATTGCCGGTAGGAAACCTCGCGGGAGAGTCGCCTCGCAAAAAGCCGGTTCACCCTCGTCCTCGATATCTGTTTCCGCGTTGGAAGCTTCAATGCCTCTGTCGTCATCTCCCATGTATCCTTCGGAAGCAGTCTCGAAGGTCCATTGAGACGACGTATCAGACGCGTCGATTTCCGTGCCCGTCGCCTCTGGAGCTACGGCTTCGTCGGGGGTCGAAGCGGTGCTGGAGGATGTTTCGTGCGAACGTTCCGCCTCTTGAGCAACTGAGGCCGCCTGTGTTTCGTCTGCGGCAGCATTGGTCACGGGCTGCGACATGAATCTGGAGCCAGTTGTCTCGCTGGCGCCCGAAGTCTGCTCGAGCTCGTCTTCGGTGTCGCCTTCTTCCACTATCTCAGGGAGACCGAGCTTCGGGGTGCGCTCGTTATCGGCCCGCTTGCAGAAAGTCGTGTCGGAGCTGTAACTGCTGGTGACCTTCCACGCAAGTGTCTGCATCGGCTCCAGCTGAGGACCGCCAATCAAGGGGGCAGACACAGAGCGCCCCAGCCCGGCCAAAGACTTTGGCTTCGAGTAGCGGGGATGGGTCATTGTGGTGGCGTGTGGCGCGGTGCTGGTGCGAGGAGTTGGAAGTCTTTGTTCGAAACGGGTGCGGAGAACGCGGCTAAGAAGGTGTCGAGAGGGGCTGCTTGTGGTCTATAAGTCGGCCATTCTTTTGTGAGCTTGTCGCTTGCACTAGAGAGTGGCCACATCACGCTGTGCTTCCCGCAGTTGACCTGGTGCACGCCTCACATCAAACTTTTCGCCGAGACAAGAGCTGTGGATGGAATTTACATGATTAGTTCAAAGCCTGAGCGAGATAGAGCTGATTAGAAGCACGGACCGCACACCTCTGACGAGGCATATTGTCCAAATCACGAAAATGGAGCGTGAAATAATGAGAAGACAACGCTCTAGGGGTGATATGGCTGATATAGATTACATGCGTTTGGAGTGAGGAGGTTCTGGGTGGACAAACTCTGGGCGAAGCGTGATTGTTCGTTCAGAGCATGTGGCATGTGCCACTGACCGAGTGGCACCATGCCAGGAAGCGAGTGGCTAGACGTCATTAGCGAGAGTCTCGCGCCGACAGAGGAAAAATGAAAGGGACCAGATTGATAGCTTCATGCACGTCCCCGATTCGAAAGCGCAAGCCCATATGTTGTTTGGGCTCCCCGGCGGCGGTAAGAGTCCGGAACAGGAAGTGATGCGCCGCGTACGTCCAGACGCCCGCCGTGCGGCTGTCTTTTCGGACAGCGACAAGATTTGGTCGCCAATTGTTACTGCATCATCCTCGTGCTCTTCGGACACCGAGCGCGCAATGAAGCCGGAGTTTTCATGCCGACGTCGTTGCCTGCGAACCATCAGCATCTGCGCGATCCGTTTGTAGATAGGGCCGGATGCTATCACATGCCCGCCTGTTGAGGAGTGGCCCGACCTTTCTCTCACCGGCAACACTTGGATCCTACCACGCACATTCTCTGACCCGCGTTGACCGGGAAACATTAGGACGAACACCTGGACGAAGGTGGGCAGAGACAATGGCCTCCCAGAAGACACCCGCCGTGCCACGTCCCTCAGCCAGTCTCATCGTTGTGAACCCGCGCAACGAGATCTTGCTTGTCCATAGGAATCCCAAGTCTAGTGCCTTTGCTGGAATGCATGTAAGCTTCTCAAAGTTTTCTGAGCATCCATTACCAAACGACACCAGGTGTTTCCAGGGGGCAACTTTGACGTGAAGCAAGACGAAGACTTGGCCCAGACCGCGATACGAGAAACTTTTGAAGAGACGGGGCTGTTGCTCGCTGAAGCCAGCGATAGCAAGCAGCCTAATGATCAGGATCTAGACAAAGCGCGGGAGGCGGTTCATTCACAGAAGCTGCTCTTCCGAGACTTCCTTGCACAACATCGCTTGGCTTTGGACAGGCGATCACTTTTGCCTTTTACCGAGTGGATAACACCACCCAATGTCCCCAAGTGTGTCTTATCTCCTGTGGCTCCTCCGAATACCGTTCTGATATGCGGCGGCGCGTGCCTGCAGGCGATTCCAGACCCGATTTTTCATCACGTTCCTTGACACCGCCCCTGCCTCTGGCTTTTCCGCGGGCAACAAAGTCGAGCGCGTTCCCACTCCTGATGGCGGCCAAGAGGTCATTGCAGCTCGATTTGTTCACCCAGCGACCGCGTTGCGGGAATGCCAAGCAAAGCAGATAGCGCTGATGCCTCCGCAGTTTTATCTGGTCACGACGCTTGCCTCGATCCTAGAGGGCGGTGCCAATACTCCTGAACAACGCGATAAGGTGCGGATGCTTTCGCAGGGCGCTTTTGGCAGGATGGTGCTTCATCCGCGGCCTCTACCGTACAAAACTCACGATGGCTGGTCGGTGTTGACTTATGAGGGAGATGAATCCCGCGGGGGTGCGAAGGGTCGTCTGCATCGGTCCCTGGTGAGATTCGAAAAAGGCGGGGTGCGTCTGTCGTGTGTTGATTGCTGCCGCTACCAAGGCTCACAAGTAACTACCCGCGTGGGTAGGTGGCGTCGGAGGTGGTCCTACAGCGGAATTTTGACATCTTTACAGATATTGAGGAGCGGCTTTTCCAGGGCGGAGCTAAGCTCTGAGGGTGTATATAGATCTTTGGCTGACATCGTTGCAACGAGCGCTCTGTGCGTCTCGTGTGCCTTTTGCTGCCAGATTATTTTCAATTGATTTCGCGATGGCCTCAGATGTGAGTTCATGATGTCTGCTCCTCTCAGGCACAGCTCATTGCATTTGAGAAAGTCTCACGATGTGACACTTGCGCAAGATACATGTAGAGTATTGCAGAGGTGCATGTCGCCTCCTTCTGAGCTGTCCGCTTGCGGTGATCCGGTGAATTATTTGGAGCAGCGTGGCTAAGCAGCCTTCGACCCCCCTGTGACCGGTCCGGTCTGCCACTGGTCTGTTGGGAGCTGACCTACGCCGGCTGTTCGTGTATAGCATGCACTTCTCAGGCTTCGTACTGCAATCTCTTTGGGCATTGTTACTGGGAGATTGCGATGGGTGCAAGGCGGGGCGGAGTACGGCGGGCTGCGCAGCCGAACGCCACCACCGCTTGCGCCGCATGGGCTTTCATAGCCGCTCGGTAACGTTTGTTGGCATCGACAGCGAACATAGGCACGTTCCTATCAGTGTCGTGTGGTACGTTTGTGCTCATCAGATGTCTTTAGAAGCCCAGCTCAAATGAACCCCTGGCGACCACTTGGCCTGTGGAAGAGGGCACAGTCTGATGCAGAAGTTACCATCTCCGGCTGCTCACTTTCGGGCACGTCATATGGACGTTCTCAAAGTCAATGGCCCCAAATTAACCCCGGGCTTATCTTTGCCGTGCGCACGGACGTCTGGCAATTGCCGGTACAACGAGCAGGACGCCGCACCGGCTGCGCCACCTGGTTCTTGCCTACCAGACAATATCGATGTATGTGAGGATGCACACGACTGATACCTACAGGACTATAGCAGACGTCGGCGGCATGCTCAGGTTCCGCATCTCGATTGCGAAATTAAAATTGCTCCAGCTTCGGCCCTCAGGCACTAACAGACGTGTCCGGATTTGGTCCATCTCGTGCCGTGCGAAAGATCGTGTGCACTCGCCGTAAGCTTTTCCACGGAGAATTTATGGGTTATCGTTAAGCATCTCCTCCATAGGTGTTGCTACTTCTCTATGCCGGCTCTATTTACCCTGTGCCTACTCATGATGAGCCTGCAAGGTACGCATGCCTCGCTTGCCTCGGTATGTCGTTAACACAAAAGGTCATCCACCTCGCTGCTATCCTGCCTGCCGATGCAGCCGTGTAAGCATTATCAGCCGTAACGGCCCGTCTCACGAACCCTTGCTCGGAGTGCGACTGTTCCGAGGTTCCTGGCGAAACTCGTGGTGACGTCCCATCTAGGGACACCACTATCGACTGCTCCCGCAGAACATGTGCGTCAGTGTTGATAACGGGGGTGGGACCTCTTTCCCCATTGAGGCTGCGCCATAGCACCCTCGTGTGCTCTGGTGGTGGCGCTGTGTTCGTCCCATAAATATGACCGGCCGCCCGTCACCCACGATCCTCCCAAGGGCCCATACCTTCACCTTACAGCCATGGCCGATCTGGAGCTCAAGCATCGCGACTCTGACTACGACGAGAAGAACGTCACGGACTCTATCGACAAGATATCGGTCGATTCGACCGGTAAGCCCATCGACGATGCCCAGATGGTGAAGGAGGTGGAAGCTCTCGAGGACCGCATCGAAAACGACGAGGCCACCGAGGATGAGTATCGTGTCCATGAAGCTTGGGAGGTTTCCCTCAAGGTTAGGACTTGATATGCGGATCCCCCAATTATTTCTCAACGATGTTTGCTGCAGGTCTTGTCCACTCGGGATGACCCGGAACTACCATCTCTCACCTTCCGTACATTCTTCCTTGGACTTGGTTTCTCCGCCTTCGGCGCGTAAGTGACCTTGCCTCCTCCTATCGCTAGCCGCAACTGACCGCTGGTGCTAGTGTCCTCGCCCAGATCTACTACTTCAAGCCGCAAACGCTCACGGTGTCCATACTCTTCCTGCTCGTCCTGTCATACTGGTTCGGTAATGCCATGCACATGGCTCTGCCATCTACGGGCATTTTAAAGTTCATGAATCCCGGACCTTTCAACAGTAAGTTGTCCAAGCTGGTGCATCATACACCATACTGACTATCCGTCGCAGTTAAGGAGCATGTTGCTATCATTATCATGTCGTCGACTGCGGCCGCCTCCGCTACAGCAATCCAGGTCATCTCTGTTCAGGAGTGTGAGTGGCCTTCGCGGTCTTATCGCCCCTTTGCTGACGCACTGCCCGGCTAGTGTATTACAACCACAAGATGAACCCTGGCGTCGCCATCTTCACTCTCATCGGCTCCCAATTGCTTGGCTACGGTTTCGCCGGTCTTCTGCAGGATATCCTCGTCAAGCCGACTAAATGCTTCTGGCCAGCAAACAGTAAGGGCAAGATGATGGGACATTCGTTGGCATTGATTGACCCATCTTCGCAGTGTCGGTCGCGAATGTCTTCCAGGCACTGCACTACGATAACCAGATGACGTCCAAGCGTGTCCGTGTTTTCTGGATGGTCTTTGCGTATGTCCCCGCCCTACTGAGTGCTCGTCCAGAAAAACTGACCGCTATCTCTGGCCTATCGCAGAGTCTTGTTTTGGTGAGTACCATGCACGTTCAATATGACTGGACTTTTGGCTGACCCCTTTCACACAGCGTACGTGGAGCTGTCCAACCCCTAGAATGAAGGTTCTGATACTAACCTTACTGTTATCGCATAGTGGGAGATTATTCCACAGTGTACGTCCCCTGGATCTACTTACTGTCTATGTTATCCTTATCTGAATCACAGGGATCTTCCCATTGTTGACCGGTGTCTCCATCTTTTGCTTGGCTAATAACAGCAGCGCAGTCTTCCGCAATGTCTTCGGCGGTGCGAGCAACAATGAGGGCATGGGTCTCCTGTCATGGTGCTTCGACTGGAACCTTATTGGCTCGCCCTGCATGTACCAGCCGCTCTGGTTGCAGGTCAACCAGGACATCGGTATCCTTTTAACTTACGTCCTTATGAGCGCTGTCTACTACGGCAACCTCTGGGATGCGAAGAAGTTCCCCTTCATGAGCCAGGCGATCTTCGTATGTATCCGCACTCGCCATCATAAACCAAGTCTGAATGGTTCTTTAGGATCAAAATGGCAACCAGTACAACCAGACCGCGCTCCTTACTAATGGCAAGTTCGACCCCGTCAAGTACGAGCAGCTCGGGGTATGATCATCTCATCTCACGCGCAGGACCATGCTTGACAATCTCGCTCATATAGCCCGCATTCTTTTCTGCAACCAACGCTCTCTATCTGATCACGTCGAACCTTTCGCTCGGTGCAGTGTTGACTCACGTCTGCCTCTGGCACTGGGACGACCTGAAGCCGTTCTTCCGCGCCTTGAACCCGTGGAACCGCGTACCGCTCGCCATTCACGATCCTGTAGGTCGCTAGGAAGAGTCACATGGTCAAGAATGCTGACACTCTGTTCCCTAGCACTATGAGAAGATGAAGGTGTACAAGCAGATCCCTCGCTGGTGGTATTTCATCGTCCTTGCAGCCGCATACGCCATTGCCCAAGCGAGTGCGTAAACGCCTGTGTGTTAGTTGGTGTCCTACTAATGATAGTACAGCGAACTACACCGGCCGCTCCGGCATGCCATGGTGGACTCTCACGGTGTTGGTCATCATTTCCTTCATCTTCTGCACACTCTATGGAATGCTGGCTGCTACCATCGGCTTCTACGAGTTCAATTCGTCCGGCGTCGGCTTCTTCCAGATGATCACCGGTAAGCATGTCCACGATTGGCTCTTGTCTTGACAGGTGTGTTCATATCATCCCAACAGCGTACATCCTCCCTGGCGATCCCGTCGCTAACATGTACGGTGCACTTTATGGCCAGCACCCTATGATCCAGGGTATCGCTCTCCTCCAGGACTTGAAGCTCGGCCAATACGTGAAGCTAGCGCCCCGAGTCACTTTCCTCATGCAGATGATCGGTACCGTCGTTGGCGCCATCCTCAATTGTCAGCGTTTATCCTTTGTATCACGATGCTGACCACTAACCGAGCTGTTGGCCCGCAGATATCATGATGTTGTCGATCATCAACAGCAATCGGGAAGGTGAGGCTGTATCGTTCTGCGGACTGTGCGCTGTCAGCTCATCAAGCTTCTCAGCTCTTCTTTCCATCTCCGGTACCCGTCTGTGGTCCGGCCAGAACGCCCAGACCTACAACTGTAAGCCGTTGGGACTGCACCTCAAGGATATGCTGCTAATGCGTTTTACTAGCCAACGCCATCTCTTGGGGTGCGCTTGCTCCTCAGATGTTCGGCCCTAAGGGCGTCTACCATATGGTGCCCATCTCCCTGGCCATTGGTGTCTTCCTGCCACTACCCTTCTGGTTTGCGGTACGTTCAGTCGGCCGATTCCGATAGCCTCTTACTCACGATATTCTGCGTTCAGCACAAGCGCTGGCCCAAGGCTGGCTTCCAGAACTATAACACGTCAATCATCACGCAGTATTCCGCCTTCCTGTCGGTCGGAATCAACACCTCCGTCAAGTAAGATCGGCGTTCCCTGGAGTGTAATGTGTCCTTACCGACCTCTCCCCCTCTTCCTCTAGTCCGTCTATGGTCATTGGTCTCTTCTCCCAGTGGTGGGTCCGAACCAGGTATCCGAGGTGGTTCACCAAGTACAAGTACGTCACCTTCGATAACGTAACCTATCTCATGTCTTACAATTATCCCATAACCAGCTACATTGTTGCGGCCGGTCTCGATGGCGGCACTCAGGTCATCAGCTTCATCCTCAACTTTGTGAGTAATTACTACGATGAGTCCTGCATTTTGATACATTATGCCCACTTTTAGGCCGTGTTCGGTGCCTCGGGAACTCCTCGTCCCTTCCCAACCTGGTGGGGCAATGGTACACACTTTGGCACTCTGACTCTACGAAGCCAGCAAAGCTGACTATTGCCTTGTAGACCTTAACCTATCAGCTGACAGGTGTACGCTACCCGCCAATTGATCCTAGTGTCTATCTTTGTTCTACCATTTCTCAATGGCTTGGCCAACTCGGTGTGTATATTAGTCTTGATTATCCTTCTGGCCATATAGGCTGCGTAAACATTTTCTGGTGCATCTCCGTGTGTTAAATGTGATTGACATATGGTGCCCAAAGTGGGGGTCTGCAAGCAAATGTCGAGTGAGGCTCAGTACAGTCTCAATCCATCTGGCCATGCGATAACTGTGAGGTCCTGTAGAACTATATCCTCCAGATATATTCTTCATCCGTACATCACATACATGTCCTCTCATCTCTATTCGGGCTCTGCTTGTCTATACAGAGGAAATTATTCCATCTAGTACACTGGTAATAGTACAAGTGTTGACGCAGATAGCGCGCAGGGCTTCATAGCTAAAGCAAAGTCTCACCTTTGGAGATGGTTAGCGACAGGAAGGCCATGGACGACGGCTACAACTCACCAAGTGCCGAGCGGGCCAACGAGCAGCCCACGGCGACGGTCTGTCTAACGGATTCAGCATCCCTTAGGGAAGGGTTCACCTCCTGCACGATAGGTGGGCGATCAGTGGGGCGGTCGCAGACTCGTTCGTAAGAAAGAGTCATACCATGATGTCCAGTGCGACAAGGCAACCAGTTTCATAGATGGCTTCGCAGATGTAGTGGCCCTCACGGAAAGTCAGGCCTCCACGGACGGGCGTGCCGGTGGAGGGCGCGACGGTGGGGTCGAGCGCGTCGACATCGAAGCTCAAGTGGATGGGCCGGTCGCGGTTCGGGTTGACATGGTCTAGCGCCATCTCGACGACCTTGCCGATGCCGTACTTGTCGACCTCGTGCATCGAGAACGCTTTGATGTTGTTCTCCTTCAAAATGCGCTTCTCGCCCGCATCGACGTCCCGCAGGCCGATGTAGACAAGGCGGCTCGGCTTCAGGACGGGCTTGACCCACTTGAATTCCTCGACCTTCTCGCCGAGGCCGAGGAGGAAGGAGACGGGCATGCCGTGAATGTTACCTGCGGCAAGATGACTACTTTAGACTAGCATGCCGGGGAAACCGAGAGGGAACCATACCAGAGTCGGTGGTATCAGTAGTATTGATGTCTGCATGGGCGTCGACCCAGACAACACAGGCATCTGGGTACTTCCTGTACCATGGAATTCCTTTTCAGAGAGTCCCAGACAAACAGCAAGAATACTCACTCGAATGTACCCGAGATAGTGCCCATAGCTAGCGAGTGGTCGCCACCCAGAGTCACAGGTAGCTGTCCATTCTTCGCGTGCTCGCCAACAACCTTTGCAACCTCCTCGCACACCTTGGAGACTCTACGGGGGTTCTTGAGCTTTCCAATCGGCGAATCGGGACCGATCGCCGCAGATACGTCCTCGAACTGGTGGTGGCCGTCGAAGTGGACCTTCCAGCCGAGCTCTTCAAGCTGCTTTGGGAGACCAGCATGTATGAGGTGGATGGGGCCCTGGTCAACGCCGGCTCTCGGCTGATTGTATGTCGGTCAGACTGACATGCTATGCAGAGATGGCACCATACCTGTCCACCGCTAAACAGAAAGCCCACAGATGCCAATCAGTGCCCAAACCCTCCAGCAGATCCAGATCGAGCCAGGTCCATACCTAAAGGGACAGCCAACAATCTAATCGCATTCAAGCCGCGTCAGGCACTCATGGCTTATGCACAGGACATACTAGGTACTCACCGCCAAGCTCTTCGGACTAGGCAGGAACTTGCTCACTTGCGCCTCTTCGTGCGTTGCCATGGTCGACATGCTTGCCGGTATCGTCTAGTGTAGGACGAGCAGGGTCTGAGATGGATGAAGATGGGGGTATGGCTGCGAGGGTAGAGATGTGGATGTGATCAACGGCGAAAGTGCGTGCGAGGCAGCGAATAAAATTGAGCGGAAAACAGGGCGAATTTCGCGGAGAAGTGCGGTAACAGTCTGGTCGCCGTCCGACTTGTACGTGCTCCCTTGGTGCGGCGTCCCGCCTTATATACCTTGGCGGCTCAATGGCGGCTCAGCCTCGATGATCCGTCCGCACAGCAGCATCTGACAATGGCTAGCGGGTTTTGGGGCTCCTTTGCCGCTCGAAAGTGCGCCGAGCTGTGACATGCGGTGGGTAAAGCTAACAGTGCTCGTTACGCTAGCGCTCATGTGTGCACGCCGCCTGGCTCTGAGCGAGGGACGGGTAACGAGGAGGCGAAAGAGAGGCACTCAGAATCTAGAGAATCGTCAGATACCACTGCCGTTGTGGCGTCAGATCTTCCGAGGTTTAATAGAGAGTCGGAGCGCCGCACCGGTCACCCTTTCGCGCGTGTGGGGGCATTGGGGCATACATATCGAGTTCGTGTCTTATATTACATAGTATAACGTAGGAAGAACGAGATCTAAAATAACGGAATAAGCCTCTCAGAGGCATGAATAATGCTCCAGGAATCTCTAGACGTGACGGTGCAATGCGCTGGCAGCGCTGCCGTCCAAGCTTTTCTTGTAACTGTGCCCCATCGCGTGCAGGCCCTCCCTCTTAGCACGCTTGAGCACACGTGCCATGGCATCGAGACCCATGTCGAGATCCTCGATCGGTGGACCAAACGACAGACGCACGAAGTGGTGGCAGGGCGAGGAGAAGAGGTTCCGGCGGTGCGAGGGGTTGATGTCGAAGAAGATACCGGGAATGACAATACACTTCTCCTTGAGCAGCTCCTCGAAGAACGTCAGGCCGTTGTTCAGCGGCGCGGGCAGATGTTCAAGGTTCAACCAGATGTAGAAGGTCGAGTGCGGCGGGACAGCGACCTTGAGGCCGAGGCGCTCAAGACGCTTCAGGACGTGGTCGCGCTTGTGCTTAAAGTGACGCTGAAGAGCAACCTTCTCGGTGTGTGCGTGGACAGGGTCGAGAAGCGGAATGGCGGCAAGCTGGAGGGGATGGTTGGCACCACCATCCAAGAATGATCCTGACTGCGAAAGCGCAGTGATGACGTTTGTAGGGCCGACGACCCAACAGACTCGCCAACCGGGAAGTCGCCAGTTCTTCGTGAGGCCATCAACGATGATGATCGCATCTTCGTTGACGTCGTCAATGAACTCTGCTGAGGACACGGACCGGCCGAGCTCAGCCTCGTTTTCCGAGTAAATGTACCACGAGTAGAACTCGTCGAGGATGAGCGTGGTCGACGACTCGCGCGACAATCGCACGAGTTCCTGCAGTTCTTCTCGTTCAACGACTTGACCAGTAGGATTGCGCGGATTCGACGCGAGGACGACTTCAATGCCTTGTGTGCGAATGTCCTTACGGAGCTGGTCGAGGTCCATGCGGTATTTTTTCTATTGACAGTCAGGTAACGGTATGGTTACACTAAGAAAAGACCTCACTTCCGGCTCAAGCGCGGTAGGGACGGGCACAAGGCGCTTGAATGCGCCTAGCATCTGATCATAGGCGGTGTAATCCGGGATTTGATACGACTATATGCACGTCAGGATATTGTTACAATGTATATGGAAAAGCTGCACGTACGCAGTAAACGTCACCAATAACCGCGGCGACACGTGAAAGGCCTGCGCGACCACCAGGGACAATGCAGACGTTTTCGTAAGTGTATTGACTTGCCTTGCCCTGTCGGTACGTGTGGTTGTACAGGTTTGCGACTGCCTCGCGCAGAGCCTTGACACCGGTCGTGGGCGCGTACTCGAGTGAGTCCAAAGGCAAAGGAATGCTTTGTGGGCGGGTGGGGGCGTCAGGAATGTCGCCAACTTCGGGCGCTCCTTGGCCAAGGTTCGCCCACTCGTGCGAAGACGTGTACGAGAAACCGTTTGCCATGGCGCGTTCTGAGCAATAGATGACACCCGTGCTGCCGGGGTGCTCGATACCGGGGACAGTCTCCTCTTCCTGGGAACAACATTAGGGATTACAAGCTGGCGCAATGCGCAGCAGGCGTACTGGATTGACAGTCTGAGGAAGGAGGCCTCCCTTGGGTTTGTGACCCGCGGCTTCGCGGAAAATCTATAGCCTGGTCGGCAAAGAACGCGAAAACACCGACGCATAGCGCACCTGGTGGGCCTCCGAATGATCTTCGTGTGTGAAACTTCTGAGCGTGTCATGGACCTGAGACGACATTGCAATAAGCATTTGGTTCGCGACGTCTTGGATTGTGTGCAGCGCGTAATCGAGCAAAGAGCCCAGGTTGAAGGCTACGTGTTTATGCAAGGCACTCACAGAATCTTTGAAGTGTGCAAGAGGAGTAGACCTTCCAGAGGCGGAGGGAGACATGTTGGGGGTGTAGAGACTCATCGTGCTGCTCGTCGTTAACGGTGTGACTGGTAGAGTGGAAGACGGTGGTGGTAGTAGTTTAAGTAGAGAAGGGGAGGTGAAGAGAGAGGTGCCCAGGATGGGTATTTAACTGATATGTGTGTGATAAGCTGATGGACATCCTGTTCTGGTCGCCAGGCTGTTCCAGGTGGACTAATTTATCGACACCAGTGATGCAAACATGGCTCTATTTCCGGCAAGCGTCTAGTCGCGTCTCTTTTGCTGGGGGACATCCATACGGTGCATGACGGCCCGCAGAGCGTGCCTACCAGGCGACAGACCAGCGTGCAGAGTGTATATTTCGCCGAAATGACCGTCAAAGCACTCAGGACGACAGTAAACCCGGAAGCAGCAGCGAGCCTTTTCGGCCAGGCATGGACTTTTCGGTGCATGTCGGGTAACTACGCGGGACAGTACGGACAGAGGTTGAACATGTTGTAACAGTAAGGCCAGACAGAAGCGTGTTGGCCCATCGACCGTGGCGCTGACAGTTAGATGGTGAGCAAGGCGACCTCAAGAACTTTGCGGTGCCGCCAACAGACGATCTCGTTGCCAGCGCGAGCCCATGCAGCCGAAAGTAGCGTCATGCCGAGTCTCCGAAGTGAAGTCACCATTCGGTCATCCGTTTTTGAACGCAGATCCATGTTTGTCGTTCACTTCGCGCCGACCGCAGTACGTAAAACCCGGCGTCGTAGTTTCCATGGGGGTTGCTGCAGGGAAGTAGAGCCAGAAGTTGCCGAAGCACGAGATGCCGTCCGCAGGACGCGCACCGGCTGTAGGGAAGCAAAATTTTATAGGAGCACTTCCTTGAAGCTCGAGACTGAGAAGTACAGAAACCCATACCATTCATCCCTCTGCCGGCATCACATCCTCGCATCCTACTAGCTATTTCGCCTAAGAGAACCTGTGCAGGGGGCATGGCACCATATCACGTCACGACAAGTGTGATGGTAAGTGTGCAAGGCAAAAACGAGGGTGCAAACGACAAACACGATGATGGTGGTACAGGAAGAAGGCTGTAGGGTCCGAAGTCTAGACATCCTCCAGTACACATCAAGTCGTGCACGAGCACGTGACCATATGCCGTTACTCATAGTCATACTGAACGCCGGGGCGCATCATTTCCTTTCTTGGCCCTCCAAGAACGATCCCAACATTGGCCGAAGCGGCCATTCTAACGAAATGAGATACACGGTACACTCTGATCTAGGAACCAAATTACTCTACTTAAATTACAGCAATTCTACTGCTGGGACACTAAAGCTTAGGATGAGGAAGATCTCCCCACTCCACGACAGGCTTCGGAGGATCCGTCAATCGTGAACGAGAACGATAGGCCTTCGGATCTTCCACCTCTTCCGTGCCTTCCCTCAAGCTGCCCTCGTAGTCACTTACCGCCGGAGCGGCTTCAGCATAGGTCGCCAAGCTTCCAAGGAGGTTCTTCGCGGACTCCGGAGAAAGCGATTCTTCTTCTGCCAGCGTGCGTTGCCAGTATGCGGTCGCTTCGGTTTGAAGCGGCTCTCCATGAGCGAATAGCTCCTCCCTCCACTTGACTTGATCGACAACGATGCTTTTATCTTCCAAGCCTTCTGCGAAAGATGCCAGAGCCGCTTCGCTCATCCGCTTTGGCCGCGACTTTTGCGCTTTAAGATGTACGGCAACCTTCGCCCGGGTCGGCGACGAATGGTGCACGCGACTCTTGAAGAGAGCAAGGATGTCGTCTTTCTTGATCGAACGCAGTTCCTCGACATTTATTTGCCCTACATATCTGGTCAACCGACAAGTATCAAACGTCACACAGCACGACTCACTCCTGTAAAAGTCGAGGTAGCCGTAGTCGATCGGAGTCCAATACCGGTGCGCCTCGTCCCTAAGATTCTTGGGATCTTCAGTCCAGTTCTTCTCCAGACCGTGCTTGTGCTCGAGGAACTCCTCCTCGCTCATAACCTCCAGCGTAGTGAGCATCTCGTTCAAGAATGCGTCGACACGCTCCTCGAGATACGCTGGCGCACGTTCGCTCTGCACAATGATTCGCATGCCAACTTCGCTCTGGCCCGCAGAGCTCCACTGTCCGCATGAGACAATGTAACCGAGCTGCTCTCGAGTCCGCAGGATGTTGAATGCTGGCTCAGAAAGGATCTGCGTGAGCAGGGCGGCAGTGACGCGTGTGCGAGGCTCCAATTGGCTGCCCAAGTGAACGTAGTACGTCAAAGCCGAGTTTGGTTCGTTTGGGTTCGGCACCGATGTGGTCCAGACGGAATTAACGCCTATTCAATCTGGGGTTAGCTGGCCGGTGAAAGATTGGGGAATGCACTCGCCATCTGGCGGAATAAGTCCTCTTTCATCGATCGGCGTTGAGATGCTCGATGACCTGAGCGAGTGTTCCGCGGTCTCGACGAGTCGTATTGCCTCGTCCTTGTACATGTTACCAACCACGAGGGCGTGTATGCGAATATTGGCCAATACTCGATTGATGTGAGCCTGCAACTCTTCAACAGTGACCGCTAGACGAGTGTCAAATAAGGCCACGAATCGGGGTAGCGAGACGTACATGGCAACTCAGCGAGCTTCTCGTGCACTAGCCACTGCTTCTCAGTCATGAGATAGCGACCGCAATAGTCAGATGTCCGGTAGGGTTGGCCCATGAAGAAGTTTTGCCAATCCCGAGTAACCTGTTGCACGCTATCAGATCTTGCACGACTCAAGGTAATAATAGAATACCGACCGAAGATCTGACGACGTGTAGTCGGTCCGGCGTAATCACGAGATTCCGTGCTTTCTCGAACACAACCTTTGCAAGTACGTCGAGCTTGTCATTATAACCACTGAGAGTGCAGTAGACTCCCAAGTTGTGTGAATCAAACTGGTAGGTGAGGCCCGCGAGGTCGGCGTTGTAGGCATACTCAGTGAGCGAGTCGGTCACTAATTCTGTGTAGAGGCTAAGGATATGTTAGCGAAAAGGCACCCCTACGGTGATATGTAACACTCACCGAGTCATAGCAGAAGATCTGGCGGACTCGTACGCAACGGGACTGGCGCATATACTCAGTTGTGGACAGACGGACGAGAAATGACTGAAACACACGTTCGAATATCCAGAATGGCTTGCGCGCGGGGCACCCAGAAGCGATCATCCTTCTTGTGCCACAATGTTGACAGCGGTGTAGATCGCACAAGGGTGGGACGCTCCGCAGGCTAATGCAAAGTGTGAGTGTATCGTCTGAAGAGCATTAGCCAGCAATGACTACCTTATCTACAGGGCGCTTATCGACGTTCAAGTTCGTCGGGATGAACTCATTAGGCCCAGGAAGATGAAACTCTTTGATGTCATTGGGACTTTCAGCCTGAGAAAATGGTAAACACGCAGCATTTGGTGGTAATTAGCAGACGCTGACCTTTGAAACGAACTCTTTGTCGAAGCGCTCCACGTAGTAAGGCGTACCGTAGATCGGTTCACTGTTCCATTCAGCAGAGCCTCTGACGCGCTCATGCTCTTCTTTCCTTGCCATGAGCAATACCCGGCCTCGCTCGATCCTCAGACCCTCGAGAATCTCTCGGATTTCGGGCTCGCCATCCTGGTCCCACTCCTCGGCGAGTTGTGGACCAGATAAGATCTGATCGCGAGGTACCGGCCAGGCCATGTGGTCGGAGATCCAGACCGCGTAGTCATCTGGCGCACGTTTCTCCTGGAAGCGGAAGCGAATCGCACGGAGCTGGCTCATTTCCTGCTGGTACCAGGCAGGGAATTTGGAGGAGCGCATCATGGACAGGTACCTGAAGACTGACAAAATGACTTCGTTGTAGTGCTCTGAATGATGTTCGTTAGTATGTACACAGGGAACTTGCATATGTCACCCACCAAAGCCCTCCTTCGTCAACTGAACGGTGACGCGGAAACTCGCAAACCCTCTGGCAAGCGGCTGCGGACCACAACTCAAAGCAGTTGCCCAGCCCTTGCTCTTCAGATACGAGTGCAACGAGCCAAGACCTTCGTGCCCCACGAAGTGAGAAATGAAGCTTGCTGGCTGCCGACGCCACAGAGGCGCTTGGTATGCCAAAGGGAAGGAAATTTCCACGGCGTGAATGTCCATGATGGTATGAGCGGAGACTAAAGTCTGCGACAGACATGAGCAAATTACTAAGCTAAACTTGTGTGGGGACTTACGCCAGTCTCATTGGCTCCAAACGGATGGTCGTTAATCAACGGCAACGCATCGACATCCTGGTTCCGAATGGGCGAGAATAGCTGACCAACCATTACGGACAGTTCATCCAAAGGTTCTATACGCTCGGGCTCGAGTCAGCATTCCATACCTAATGAGATGATCCTCACCTTTGCCGATAACACACAAGCGCATTCTGTTGGCAGAGTATTCTTGACTCCACCATTCCACAAGCCTTCTCCGAATTTCGCGTCCGATAGGCCCGCCGTCTCCCTCAAGCTCAAGAGAAGAAGTGGAGGTAGTGGAAGTAGTCGATGGCGCAGGAGACGCAGACCGAGAAACCGCAGGCGTGGTGGCCAAACTGCTCGCCGGAGATCCACTGACAGAGTTTGGATTTGACTTCAGGATGCCCTTCTTCTTCAATTCCCGAGCGTTCTTCGATAGACTGTCGATGTTTCCGCTACCGAACTTGCTCCAGCAGTGTCCCGGCTTGGTCAGGTGCTTATTCAGTTGGAACATTCGCCAAATATCGGACTGGTGGTTCTTGTTGTGCTCCGAATTCACCGCATTTAGCTCTCGTGAAGTGCACGAGGGAGCAAAGAGCGGGCAGTGGAAGAAGGCTGCGAAACGAGCGAGGGCACCAGACAGAGCCCCAGTCGAGACATTGAAGAAATAATTGGTGTTGGATGTCGCAGTGTATGCGTTCGAGTGACCGTTGTTTTTTGCGAGATACTACGGAAGACGTCAGCTCGAGACATATGCGTCTAAAGAATCGTCCTTACCTCAGAGTACTCATTCTCCCGAGGATAAAGTTCAGTACCCTGACGACTTATGACTCAGCGCGCCATGGCGCGAACGATGGCGAATTACGCACCATAAACAGCAAGTGTTCGCAAAAGTGAGCCAATCCAGGCATGTCATCCTGCTGCGCTTCAGACTCTGCAGTGTCCGGATACGACGAATGCACTCACTGGGTCGCGCAAGTGTCCGACAGAAACGTCCAGACTAGCAGCTGCCTTGTCTGCCTTCGCGTCGTGCACAAGCATGGCCTCGAGGCCATTCTCGAGCTTGATGATCCTATACTCTCGGTCATCTTGCTCGGACTTGCAGATAGGCTTCGTGTAGACAAAGTACGGGGACGTGTTGGAGTCGGCGACATGCTCCCACTCGTTCTGAAGGATTGCCATAGTGGCAGCCAAGCGACTAAGCCTTATCGGATTGGTGGGGCGCCGATGCAAAGAATGTGGGGTAAAATAAGTGGCACCGGTGAGGCGGTGGCTGGGGAGAAGAAGGCGTAGCATTTATTGCAGCCCTTAACCCTGCCTAAGTACCGTCTGACAATACGGGGAATCGGGAGGGCTACTCCTGTTCGGGCGTGGTAGTAAAGGGTAAACTCTAAAGCTTTATGACCGGCTCCGGGTACCCTCGCAGTCTACTCCGAAGCCGCTCGCGATCGTGGGTAGACGCAATTGGCTGTTGAGCCTCGGTGGTCGCATGACAACACGGGTAGCGGTACAAGGATACTTTATGCATATAGGCTGACAGGTTGCGATAATGCTCAGAGTGGCAGATGTCAAGTGTGACACAGTACCTCTGCAGCATATGGATGGGACAGGGTAATGTGGAGGACTCTCGCAAAGCGTGATAATAATCTACCAGACCACAATTGCGTACCATTAAAGTGTTGATTACATACATCAAAGACTGTCGTGGAAGCGTTCGAGTGATGATAAGCCCAAAGAGAAGGATGACAAAGACGAACCTCACAACAGGATAGGAAGATAAACGAGTGATACACAAACGATGGTGATTCCAGCAGCCCGATCTTACACCTTTCGTCGTGGTGCAAGCTTGGCGGTCTTGCCGGCTTGCATCTGCTCCATTAACTGCTGCCGCCGTAGCTGTTCGTCGAAGTCCTTCGGTCGTCGGAAGAGCAAAACGTGTGGTTCGGGTGCTATGAATACGTCCCATGTGAGATTTACCGGCATATACAGGACTCGTACTTACCATGCACTTCGTAATGTTCCCAGCCGAGACTTTGCGTTATCCCGATGCCTCTCCATTCCTTGTCCGACAGAAGTCGTAATGTGCCACTACTATCGGGGTTGAAGAACTGCTTTGGAATCATCTTGAAGAGTGGCTTAGGGAGAATGACATGGCGATATTCATAGAGATCGTCGGAGTATCGTTCAGAATAGTGGATTCTGAGGGTAGATCGCGTGAGCATTCAACCCTCCACTAGACACAAGAGAGACGAGCCGACTTCTCGATGTACTCCTCCAACTTCGCTTGTTCGAGCTCCTTCTGACTAGCCTTAGCCATTTCTCAGCGGGATTAGTGAGATTGACGCCACAGGAGAGAGGGATGTGATAGTGAATGCAAAAAATGTTTGAACGGCGCGGCGGAGGCAAGACGTGAGCTTGCATTAAGCGCCCATTAAACGTGGCCACGTGAGAAACGCGCCGACGCGACTTATGGCTCCACGTCTTGGGTCCACACCACCATCTCCAAAGCGCGACATGGACGACGCTGAGTATGACAAACTGACACGAGAGTATGGTTTAGAAGACATGGAAGACTATGAGCGATGGCATATGGAAATAGAGCTGGCCGGAAACGCTCAACAAGCTAGTTCGGCTAACAGTTACTATGCCGCATACGACGATATAGAGGATTTTGAAGACGACACAGGTAACAGATGTCTGTGGAGAGCAACATAAACATTTAAAACTGACGAATGAAGCAGCTTTTTCCTCTCCTTCACCTCCTGAGCGTGCTCTCAGTCGGTTTCAACCTGGCCATCAGACTCAATACCGGCCCAGTCAGAATACATGCACCAGACAGCCCCGCCAGGCCTCTGGATCGTTTTCTCAAGCATGGGCCAATGTCCTCCCAGAGAACACTGGCACATTCGCCGGACGTCGAGAACCCATCTCTCGGCAGATTCACCATTGTGCACCGCCAGTGTCGGAGAGAGGTGAGTCTACGGCTACCTATCTACATCCTTGAGCAGCTCGAATACGTGATGCATATGCCCAGAGACCCAACACACCGTATTATCTCAGCCATACCCTACACTTAGAACGGATCCTCGCCCTCCAGGCCGGGCCGTTCCTCAGTCTAAGCGGTTGGATAGAGAAGATCACACTTCTCACAGAGGTTCAAATCCTCGTAATACACACGGGATACGTCTTCGTCCCACGTCTGATCTTCGTAAGTGCATCAAGATTGAATGCGGGCGCATATAGTCAATTTTCACGTTCCGGCAGCCGATGTTTATCGTGCCCTATTCAAGTTTGGTGTGTTCAACGCAGTTCAATCAACTTGTTATGATAAAGTGAGTATGGACGTCTTGGGACGTCCTGAGTCTCACAGATCTATAGGTTATGAATAGTGACGATAACATGGTAAACTCTTGCCCGCTAAATTTCTACTTCAACACTGAAATTGCTGCTAGGTCATCAGCGGTAAGTAGGGCTTCTCGCTCCACGGATATTATTCATTCTCTGCCAGCTCCTACTGGGAGCGGAAAGACAGCTCTGTTCGAGCTCGCTATCATCCGTATGCTCATGGAATCAAGCAACTCCGGTCGTCAGAGCAAATGCATCTATGTTGCTCCCACTAAGGTAGGAATCGCCCTTTAAACACGCTAAAGATTGTCGACAATTTCTTATAGGCATTATGCTCGGAGAAACATCGAGATTGGACGATTAAATTTCAAGCGTTAGGTGTTAACTGTACGATGGCCCCCGCGCTCATGGGTTATATACTCTTGACGCCTATTCCGACATAGGTTGCGAGTTGACAGGTGACACCGTGCAATTTGGGAGGAGTGCTTGGGGTGAGGCGAAGAATGCAGCTATAATGTGCGTTCTGCGAACGAATGTATCCAGTCCATGCTAACGAGCTTCAGCGTCACAACTGGCGAAAAATGGGACAGCTTGACCAGGAACTGGTTCGCACCTAATCTGAGTCTCGTAACTTGCACCAGACTGACTGCCAAGTAGGGAAGAACACCAACAAATCTTGTCGCAGATCACGCTTTTTTTAATCGACGAGGTGATATGCGTTGTCCTTGCGTAATCGGGCTTTGCTGAGCCACAAGCCCAGATACATATCCTTAACGAGACCCGCGGCAGCACCTTAGAAGTGGTGGTCTCACGGATGAAGTTGCGAGGCACCTCTGTTCGTTTCGTCGCGGTCTCGGCCACCGTTCCGAACGTTCAGGATGTGGCTGCTTGGTTAGGTAACGAGCGGAACGGCGGTTCGGCCGTTATCATGGAGGTATGTAAAGCGATGTATTACCCCAAGGCTCTTAGGTTGATCCTGCGAACGCAAGTTCGGAGAGGAGTATCGCCCATGCAAGATTGTCCGCCATGTGGTTCCTGTGTTGAAGAAACGAGACCAGAATGATTTCCAGTTCCAGCGCATATTGGACTACAAGCTGTACGGCGTTCTTCAGCAATACTCCCAAGATAAGCCGGTCCTCATTTTCTGCGCAACTCGCAAGGGCAAGTCCCTAAATATCATTGAACTAAATAGTCTAGCTTGATGATGACTTATGTAGGAGTTGTTGCTTCAGCGGAGCAGCTCATGAAGGAATATGGGCAAAGTCTGAATAAGAGAGATCGCTTACCTTGGACGAAACCTGGAGGGTTCACTACAAATTTCTCTGCATCATGTTACCCTTCGCTCACCAAGCTGTAGGATATCCCACCGCTTCCATGACAATAACCTTGAACGTATGTCTCCATTTTCTCCCAGATATCTCCGCGGCAACATTTGATTGACAGGGCTGGCCATTTGTGGCATTGGCATCCATCACGCCGGGCTGACTTGGGACGACCGACGAGCGATGGAGGACCTGTTCCTCAAGAAAGTGCTTCGGGTTATTGTAGCTACATCGGTACGCCGGTTCATTCTCATTACGGAACGAAGTACAATGTTCACTGTGTTAGACGCTTGCGGTGGGCGTGAACCTGCGTATGTACTCACTCCAAGCCCTGCTTCGAGCTTGACCGACAAGATAATATAGCTGCGCACACTGTTATCATCAAAGGTGTCAAGATTTTCGCTACTGACGGCTGGCAAGAATACTCGGATTTGGATATCATGCAAATGATGGGTCGGGCTGTGAGTTTCGCTTGCCTCTGTGTGCTTCCCGCCTCTTATAGCCTTGTTGCAGGGTCGTCCGCAATTCGGTTTGTCCTATATGCAGCATATGCATAGCTGTCTAACGCTTTTGCAGACAAGGAAGGAGTCGCGATTATCATGTGTGAGACCGAGCTGGAGGCCAAATACCAAGCGCTTGTACAGGGCCGCACCTTCCTGGAGAGCTGCTTGCACAACAACCTTGCAGAGCATATCAATTCTGAGATTGGCCTCGGGACTATCACCAACATCAACTCTGCAAAGGAATGGCTCCATAGCTCCTTCCTCTTTCAACGTATCCAGCAGAACCCTCGACATTACGCTATCGGCAAAGAGGGCAATCAGACGTGGCAAGAACGCATCGACAATATGGTAACGGAGAGCATCGAACGGCTGAGAGAGAATCAGCTTGTCGAGCTGTCGAATGACGATAGCTCAATATTAAAATCGACTGAGTATGGGGACATTATGAGCAAGGTGCTTTTTGCGTAGTTTTTATTCTACATAGCTGACCCCCGAACTAGTATTACATTCGACAATCAACGGTACGTTTAATGCGCTTTTCATCGACCTATCTAGCCCTTCACTGTGCTACAACTTAGATGGCACTTATACTTCACTTACCGGAGAGAGCGACCTTGAAGGACATGGTATGTGGTTGAACCTCTTTCCCATCCCTATGTCTGACTGTATGCGTCCTTAGCTCGAGGTTCTCGCTTCTGCGGAGGAGTAAGCGCCGGATTTTGCCCCAGATGCTCACTAAGACGTTGCTCGTCACATTACAGGTTCTTTGATATCAAGATTCGGGCCGGCGAGAAACAGGTTTGTCATTGTGCACTATGAGAAATGCGTCGCCAACGTCATCGATAGATATATGGCAAACTTAAAGCTCATGACGAGATACGCTTCAAGATGAAGAAAGTTGAAAAGGCCTTAGACAAGATCTCGTTGATCATCCAAGTATGTGTTCCTTTTTGATTTACTTGTCCGACGTTCGGGCTAATTCAGTCTTAGGCGGTTCTTGCAGGACTCAGCTTGAACGATGGCGAGTACAAGAATGGAGACAACCAACCGTCTCTAGAAGCTGTGACCATTTGGAGGCATGTTTCTAGGATCGCAAGAGGTACGTATATTTGAATTCCTCCAGGTGTCCACTGATGTTATCGCTGATCAGCCATGGTCGAGGTCGCGATAGCGAGACAGTGCGGTGCACAAGTAAAGCACGGGATGGAACTGTAGGGTTTATGCGTTCATCTCTAAGATTATCCGCTCACCATACCATGACAGGATGCGCTGTCTCTCCGCCAAAGCATGGGAAGATCGTCCGGTCGTTCTTCGCCAAATCGATCAGATCGGAGACAAGTCGTAAGCATTTCTAGCCAAGCATTATTTCGTTCCTTTCTCTCAGAGGAACCTCTGTAGAATAAAGGTGCGCCTCAATCTATGCATGAGACGCGTCGTAGCATTTACGCCCTCCGACAGGTTCTGGTGCAACATGGCATCACGACTCTTCAACATCTTCGCAAGCAAGAACCTGCACGGCTTGAAGTGGTAGGCCATAACAATCTTCGAACCGTTGCGTCGTGGACTTATCGCCGAGTATTGAGCTGCTCAATCGTCGCCCAACATTCGGTCATGAAGTGCTCGCCTTCGTCAAATCCCTTCCCGAGTACTACATTCAGGTCGAAGAGGTTGGCACGACACTGAGTGATGGAGCGAGCCCTGTAGAGATCGAATTGTCCGTCACGGTTGGCGTAAACGAGGATACCGGCGTCGACTCTGGAAAGTTTAAGAAGGGCAAAGCGAAGCTCAGAGACTCGACCACAATCCTCTCACTAAACTCAGAACTCGATTTCATCGATTTTCGAAGAATTTCGTGAGTAAAAAGGCTGTGTTCTCTAAGGCGTGCTCATCGGTACGCAGAACGAAAATGCTTAAGCCTCCGAAGACGTTCACGATCACCGCTCACTTGACGAAGCCTAGTCAATCTGTAATAGTGCAAATTGCATCTGTTTGTCTTTTCACTTCTTCATAGGGCCCTGCTGACGTTGTTCTCGAAGGAAACTATCGCGGGCGTCGCCGTGACTTACACGTATAAGCCCAAGCTGGCTTATAGGGCGTATCCTACAATGATTACCCGACCGCAAACTACTCTTGTAAGTCTGTCGTTGGCATATTTCGGGTCTTGGCTTCTAAAGTGACTCATCTAGGAGCGAGATTTGGAGGGGATTGAGGACGACGCTGCATTCTGGGAAGCAATGAAGGACTGGCCCTCGGATGACGAGGAGGTTGTGAAGAAAGACCTTACCCGTAAGTGGACAGCGATCTGCGTGCATCGTATATTGATGCTGTCCAGCAACACTTTCGTCTTCCAACGTAGCTTCTCAACCGAGCAAGCCCAATACAACCTTGAGGCATCTTTCAAGCCAAAGAGCGAAAGAGGGCCAGAAAGACGAGACTGAGACCGTCAGCACCTCGCCAATGCCGAAGATACTTCCGAACGGCAACTATGCGTGCGTCTAGTCGCTCCCTAAACCACTGTTCTCACACGTCGTTTTAGATGTAGTCATCCTTGCAAAGATAAGACTGCTTGCAAACACCTTTGGTTCGTGTAGCGCATAGCTTTTCGTCTGTGCTAACACCTGATTAGCTGCCGCGAGGGGCTATCCAAGCCTCCTGCCTGGAAGAAAAAACGCGTTGAGGCATTGCATCCCGTGGAAGGGCAACTTCAAAAGGCGGAAAAATTGGAACAGAAGACGAACCACAAGGTCACTCTTTACCACAAGCCAGATCGTCGCCTCAAGCAGTTAGAAGCGCTGCACCGAGGTACCAATGTCAATGCTAGTATCCAACTCCGAGAGGGATGGCGCATCAAGCTCGACGATGGCACACCAGCCAGCCGACATTCAGATAACAAGAAGCGCAAGGCTCCTAACTTCGACCTGGCTTTCACTGATCTCACTGCTGGGGAGGTTGCTTTTGCTGACGAGATGGACGAGCTACAAGACTCAGGCGACGAGCTACCAGACACTCATGACATCCTAGCCGCCTTTAATCGCAAGGAGGGAGGAGCCGGGACCTCGACTTTATCTAGCCGGTACTCGGATCCTGAAGTGGATGAGCTCATTCGCAACATATCGTCTCCTGTGGCCTTGGAACTAACTCTTGATGGAGTGCTGTCTTCCCCTCCTCGCGATCCGTCTAGCCAGGACGAGGACTACGATCTCACAACGTCTTCTCCCCCGCCCGCTACCTCCACGGCGCCTAAGCGACCCCGCGAGCCCGAAGATAACTTGCCTGGACAGCTCAAGCGGCTAAAGACGGCTAAGCCTGTACTTTCCGTACCACGCGATAAGGTATGAGATTGGGCCCGCGCAAGCATGCAAAGCACTCGCTCACTTATCCAGGCGACGAGTGGCGCCCCGCTCTTCTGGGTGGCGTCCTCTGACTCGGGTCCCTCCGTGGGCGACAACGATGCTGAAGCGGACCAGGTAAACAAGGAGGAGTTTCACTTAGATGAAAGCCTTTTCGACGTCCGGTCTGGGGATCTCCCGCTCGTCTCACCTGTTGTCGCTCGAGCTACTACTCCGCCCCGACTACCCGTACCGGCATGTCAACGGGAAATCCAAGCAGCCCCAGTGCCGTCATTTCCCAAGCCTCAGGCGAATTCGGATGTCCGGGATCTAGCGCCGTTGCATCAAGACATTGCTCAAGAAGAGCCGCATCCCTGGGATATAGCTATGGCTGAGTTCGCAGAATGGCTCGAAAGCGATGCGATCGTTGTCGTAGAGAATGGCAATTAGCATTACAAGTGACAGGTCTAGTGTATCAAATAGATGTGCATATACCCAAGCCCATGCATATGCTTTTATGCAATCTTTCTACCGTCATGAGTTAGATTCAGAGGCTATTGCTGTTCCTCCTCTTTTCGCGCGACGCTGCTCATAATCTCCTCCGCCTGCCTCCGAAACTCTGCCTCTCGCTCAGATGACGGCTCGACAAACACCCTCAGCGTGCTCCTGAACCTCTCGTCCCAAGCAACAGACGAGCTGGGCTTGACGATGTCCCAGCCGGCCTCGTCGCTACGCCACCGAAGTTCTTTTTTCATGCGCTCGGCACGCAGCTCGACCTCCGTGGGTGGCGGATAGTTGACTTCGTCCTTCGTAGGTTCGCGCGAGCCTCGCGCCAACGCACGGGCGGTCTCGAGCTTCTTCGACAGCTCCTGGTAGTACCCTTCGCGCGCCTTCTGAATCTCGGACGTGAAGTCCTTCACGAAGGACGCCTTGTAGTAGGCCTCGAAGTCTTTGTTGAAGTTGATGTCCAGCGGCTCGCTCAGAGGTTCGGCCTGGAAAGGCTCGGCGGGTGTCGGGTCTGCGTCTTCAAAGTTGGAAGGAGCGGTCACAGGGCGGGTCTCACCGACGATGATACGGTAGGCTGCTTCAGCCCCAGAGCGCACCTTGTGTCGTTCGTTGAAGAATTCCCAGATCATGTGTGGTATCTGAGTGAGACCGATGTAGTTTAAAAACGGCACTAGCAGGAGCGGAGGCTGTGGTGGTATGCTCGCGGGCGGAATGTTCAAAGCGGAAGGTATCGGCTGGTGGTCATTTTGAGAAGAAGGTGGGCGGGCACCAGATTTGAGATGCGGGGGGACGAATGACGGCTTCAGCTTGGACGGCGTCGGGATGGGTTCATCCTCGCCAGCGTTGAACGAAGTAGAGGGCTCTAGTTCGGGCTCGTCAAAGCGTCCGTCGTTCTCAAGTTCCCTAGAGAGCCGCTCCTCCTTGTCGACAATCTCGAGACTCTCCAACCAGCCGCGCTTAAGTCCCGCCATGAACTCCTTGAAGGTCGGACGACCGATGATGACAATCCCGCCTTCAAGTTCGCGAGCCTGCTTTACTTCGGGATTGTTCCCGGGTAGATTCATTGGGTTGAAGGGCAGCTGGTCAATACCAGCATCAAGCCTCCTGCGCTTCTTGATGTCATTCGCGATGCGTTCGGCGAGCTCACCGTGGCGTCGCCCATTAATCATCTCATAGTCCACAGCGGCTGCCACAAGAATGGGCTGGACGCGAACGGTCAGCTCAAGCGGAAGCTCACAAACGCATCGGCGCGAACCTTGACATACTTCCGAAAGTATTTCAGGCTTCGGTCGTACTCCTCATCTGCGGGCCACTTGCAGCCGTACACGGTGACCTTACGCGGGAAACCCATGCTATGCAACGGGACCTTGGAGAGGTGTTGGACCTTCTCAGAGTACTCCGCACGAATCTTCTTGCATTGCTGACGGTCGTAGATGTAGTAACCCGTGACGGCGGAGGTCAAGGAGAGGAAAATGAGCCAATTCCGGGAGGGCAGACTCGGCCGCTTGTCCAGCCATGACGGCGGAATCCCTGTGTACTGCAGAACGGTCTTGATGCCAGACTGCGGTGGCTGAGGCTTCGGGAACGCGCTGTCCCCGCCACTTGCGCTCATCGCCAGTGATGGCAGGAAGGTGGTGATGGATAAATTCGGAACAATCCAACAGGATATTCGACGCGGACATCACAAAGCGCCCAAACTCGATCAACTCCTCGGAGTCAGCGAGCGGCCGTAAGCACTCTTCGTTCGCGGTGTTGACATTCTCGTTGAACGGCTTTCAGGCTAGCTTCGCCACCATGGGAACGCTGTGCACAAGTGGTCCGATATACGCGTATATTACTGTACATAGTAGACGTGACGTGGAAGACGTGTGGCGGAGACCAAAGTGTACAGCAAGGGAAACGGAGCGCGGTGACATGAGACGGAAAAACATCATATGGGGCAAGAAAGTTTTCAGGATTCGCGTTCTGCAGCGCGGTCCATTTGCTGTCGTTTCCGCGAGCCACCCCTGGATAGGCGATGTGTTAGCACCGTATTGCATCCGAGATTGGCACAGATCCACATACACTTCGGTATCGAGGCCCCGTTTCCTACCGCTCTTGGCCTCATCTAAAAACTTGTCCAATCCGAACACGTCGCCCGTGTCTTTCTCAAATTGGACCGGTCCTTCTCTGACCTCTTGTTCGCTCGCGCCCTCGAACCCTACCTTGGCCCGGCCGAGGCCAAACCGGTCGTTGTCCAGGGCCTTGCCGATGCCTTCTTCCGTGCCGCCGCCGAATGATTCGTCGTTGCCCTCGGAGATGTTACCACGCGCTTTGTAAATAGCTGCGGCGGCAGTTGATCCGTGGAAAAGCGGGCGGTCGTAGAGGGTGTACGCCTCGTCATCGGCAAACGTACCAGACAGTGACTCCTGGTTGAACAGCCGCGAGTCGAGCATTGACTCCTTTGACATAGTAGGCTTGGCCAGGCCAAGTGCAATCTTCTCCGAAATGTCGCGGTTCTGCTGACGCGCCAGCATCTTCGCGCGCTGCTCTTGGCCCATGTTCGACATGCGTAACTCCCGTTCCCTCTCATGGCGCTTCTCTTCCCGCATTTTGTCACGGATCTGCGCAGCCTCCTCGTCCTCCTCTTCCTCTGGCTCCGATTCGCTCTCACTTCCGCTGCCATACGCACCCAATGAGGATTTCATCGCAGCTGCGCGTTCTGCGACTGGCTTGTTGTCCGTTGCTGGCCGAGCTGCCGAAATGCCGGCACGCTCCTCGCGCGCCCGCTGGGCAAGCATACGAAGGTTCTCTTCCTTGGCTGCCTTCTCCTTCTCCGCGAGTTTCTGTTGCATGAGTGCACGCTGCCTGACCTCTTCGCGAGCATGCCTGTCCGCTATGAAGAGCGCCTCCGAAAATTTCGCGAAGTTGTCGTTGATGGAAACCTGGTCACGTCAGTAGCAGCGCATCCACCAGTTCGAAGAAGCTTACATCTTGGAGACCGCGGCCGTCCGCGGCCAGACGCTTGTCGAGAGGGATGGTATAACCCTTGTTGTTCTTCCAATTCGAGATACATGGCGGGATCATCCACTCCTTCTGCTCCTGTGCAGTCGCTTTGCGTGGCGGACTACGCAGAACAGGTGGTGGCGGACTCGGTGGGCCTCTAGGAATCTTTTTGTGCTTGAACCGCGGGGGCTCCAGAGGATCCTCGACAACCTCTGTCATCTTGATGATACGCTGCTTCAGGCCGTCCGACCCATTCTGCTGCCCAGGCGTGTACCGTATGTATGTAGTCTTGCCCTGAGCGTCGGGTACGTTCTTGGGCTGTGCTGCTTTGATCTTGCCGTTCACCAGCTTTTCGAGAGCGGCGCGAGTCTTGTCGGCGGTCGCCTGGACTTCGTCCTCAGTGGGCCGTTCCATAGCACGGCTAGCATCGTCCAAGTCGTTACGATGCGCAAGGGGAACGAGATCCTTGAACTGGGACTGGACAATCTTGCCTGCTCGCTGACCCTGCTTCGCGATAGCGTCGTAACGGACATTGCCTTCTGAGTCAACTTGGAGCGCAAGGGTGTTCCCAGCCGCAGTCTGTAAACATCAATAACTCGCCCCCATTGTATAAACATATACGTACTTTCTTCTTGCCCATGTCCAAAGGATATTGTGCGACATGACACTCAGGGTACGCCCCACCATCACCTGCAGACATGAGCTACATACAACGCATGTGAACATTCATAAACACACCGAAGTCCTCCATAGACGTCGGCTTCCATCCCTTCCTCTGACCATACGACGGTACGGCGGCACGTATTACGACAGACTGAGAGCCTTGTATTGAAGTCTGCGCAACCTGCCGAACAATCTCCTCATCTTCGTCGTCGGAAACAGAGGGAGCATACACAGGCTTGGGCAGCAAACTGTACACGCATGGTCAGTGTATAAAGTAAAGAGATGAGATGGCAGACGCATACGAAGCCAAAGCAGCCATGATTGAAATGTGTAAATGAGTGGAAAGGATCAAGCTGGTCCTCGCTGGATCGCCGCTCACCAAGCTGTGACGTAGACGCCCATAGAGCTTGTTTAGGCTTGTTTACTCTCGAAGACTTGGTGTAGTAGTGATATTATAGGACAGGTGGCTAGAAATACAAAGTATATCTGACAGTACAACAGCGAACCCACGGTGCGAGAGGACTGAAAAGCGAAAGGAACGAAGGATCTACTGTGCCCAAGGCGAGCTCAGAAGTTTCATGAGGTAGTTGCCTTCTTCCTTGTAGTCGAGAGGAAGAATCTTCTGAACACCGTAGCGAACACGGTTATTTTCCTGACCACGCGTTTGAGTAACGGTATACAAGAAAACTTGGAATGTGCACAACGTACCTGGAAGCTCTCCATCTTCGCTCTACAGGTGAAGTTGTACGTCGTGCCAACGGCGCTTTCGAGTACCTTATTATACTGTGCATCGTCGCGATCCTGGAGTAAAGATAGATCGGTCGGGTGGCCCGTGGAGAGCCCTTCATGCACTCACCTTGAGTTCTACGAGCTGATCGGCAGTCATGTCGAAAATGACAACACCAGCTTCATTGAAGCATTGGAACCACACCTGACCGGAGTGGTCGGCGACAGCCATAGCCATGATGTAGCTTTGGGTTTCAGAATCAGCTGCATTCATTGCTTGCCCTGCGTTCACGGCTTACCGGTAGGAAGGCCTTTCAAACACCTTGTCACACTTCTCGCAACGCCAGCCGTCGTGCTGCTCGATCACCTTCTTGTTGCAGCCTTGGTTCTGACACGCTGGGTATGCGATGTTATCCGACTTGATATGCATGATCGTCGCATGAGCAGAGAAGAAGTCAGGCTTATCTCCGCCACCGAGGTTCGCGCTTCGGACGTCATCCAACAAGCGAATCTCGTCACGGTTGAAGGCACCACCGCTGCCTCGTGGAGCAGAGCTCGTCTGGGGCTGGAAATCCTGAACCTTGCCGTCAGTGTCATACCACCCCCTCAGGACATGGGCGTCAGGAATATCCGGATTGATCTCCATGCTACTGGAGCTGAGCATTGACAAGCTGCGACCTGGAAGAGTCCGTGAATAATTTTCATATTTAGTAGTGCCATTACACACACCACCGAAGTCGCCGACTTTCACGCTCTTCCAAGCGATGATAGGCTCCCCTGACTCGCAGTAGCGGTCCGCTTGCTTGCCCCAGAGAGTTAAACGTACGGATGCGCCAGAGCGGTCGACGATAGTTAATTCACGTTTTGTCAACTGTACGAGCGTGTCAGATAGCTCAGAAAATCCAGCGATCCGGGAACATACATCGTTGCCTTGACGAGAGGTGAGGTGCGTGACATCGCTCATCTCCTTCACAATACCCAACACGTCTGAGCCGTACATTAGCTTCCTGAAGCTAAATATCGTGAATGTGGCATACCAATGGTATCTCCCGGGTTAGTATTCATCAGCTGGTCCAATGGAATAAACTTGTAATGGATGTTGAGTACTGGTCCGTCACGGCACTTTGCGGCATTAGCAGCGCTTCATGTCGCATATATGAAGGCGAACTCACCTCTTCGATGATGGTGCCTCGTTGAAGGCCAAGCTCGTATTCGTTGTTGACGTTGTTGAACTTTTTCTTCGCGAGACTAACTTGACCTTTCGAGATGTAGTAGATCTTGCCCTCCTCCAACTTGGGATAAAATTCGTCGACGTTATTATTGAAAGCGGTTGCCTTTATCTCGCCTGTATCGTCCATGAGAACGGCGCTGAAGAGCTTGCCATCTCCCCGCGCATTCGAGTACTGGCGGATATCGCTCTTCTGCGTAACCTTCACACGGATCGTCCAGTTGTTCTGGTAAGGACTGAGACCTTCGATAGGGAAGGTGTGGCGCTGCTGATTGCTCGCATTGTTGTGCATTGCAGGTGCGGGCTGAGGGGCGGCTTTCGGGGCGGCTTTCGGAGCGGAAGCAGGGGTCGGCGTCCCGCCGGCAGACGAGATAGGTTTCCCATTGCTGCCTACCGCGCCTTGTATGGCCGTAGGCGAGCCAATCTTCTCGTTCGGGCTGGCCAGAGGAGTGAGGCGGAGTATAATGAGAAGGCGACTACAAAGCATGTTAGGACGTAAGAGTAAGCACGAAGACTATACGCGTACCCTTTGTTCTCGCCGACGTAATTACACGAGAATTCGTCAGCGACCACGATCGAGTTCTTTGTGAGCTGGCCATTTTCTACAAGCTCGTTGAGCGGTGTCGCGAGCATGGCCTGCAGGAAATGTTCGCCGTCGGAGACGATTACGCGATGCCTGTCCTGGCCGTTACTGTTAGGGGCCGGACCAACTTTCTTGACAGACAGAACTTGGAAAACTGGGTGAGACTTGTAGAGAGCTGAGGTGTCCTCGTCGTCCTTGATGCTGTGGAGACGCATGCAGATGCCAGTGGTGAGCTGGGGGATGTTGGCCATGGCGACGAAGGTGGTGGATGGGGGACAGCAGCGTGCGAAAGACGCGTCTCGTTTATGAACGCGTGAGCTTACATAAGGTCGTGTTCGTCTTAGAACTGTCCCGGAATGGAAACGCTACGCGCTTTGCTTTTGCCCACCACATTCAACTCGTCCACAGCTGAAGTAGGACCACGGCCCAACGCGCACTCCCTTGGTCTCTCGTCCCCCAGTTCATACGCAGCAGTAGCCTCAAACCGCTCCTTTGTATCTAGGTTTGGGCCGGTCGAAGGCCGGTCGAATGCCATCAATTCGTTCTTGAATGTCCCTCTGGCAAAGTCCGAAAGAGCGGGAATACACACTCACCGCATTTCCCTATGAGCAGCGCGTTCCGCGACGCAAAGATATTCAATCTATCTTTTGTATGGGCGCTGATAATGTTATTATGATTGTGGCTATAGCAAGATCAAAAAGTGACGGGGACAGGTGTACGCTAATGTTAGGAACAATTGTGAATGCAATACCCTAAGGCGAGTGACACGGAGATTATAGCTACATAAGCTCATGACAACTGTCTAAATGTCCGGAATTCAGTCATAAATACAATATCAAGTCAGCGGTGATTATACCAAGCTGTAGGAGATGGCCGGGCAGAAACCAGCTACCAAATTACTTTTCCGTTCAGGGCGGCTGAGTACATCTAGTCCCGCAGCATCGCCCGATTCGTTGCGTCACGACCGTGTTTCAAGAGATTCGACGCCTCGTTGCCGCCAGTGCCTCGTGCGACACCTCCATCGCGTTCGCGCATCTGGATGTCTGGTGGGGGCGCGCGATGGGACTGAGTCACGACGTACAGCGTCACGATTCGGATGTGGACGTCCCGGAGCCGCTTGAGCGCCGCCACAGCCGCGTTGTACGGCTCGCGCAGGGACGGGTGGCGCAGGGCGACATCGCGCACCGAGCGCGGGGACGCAGAGAGGTACTGGAGGTACTCGCGGTGGAAACCGGGCATGTAGAGGCGCATACGCTCCATGAAGTTCGTCGCAGCGACCTTCTTGTTCGCCTCGGATGGCGCGGGCTGGCGCTTCTGCGCGAGCTTGTGGTCGATGTCGAGGAAGATGTCGAGAGCGTGCATGACGCTGCTCTGGCCGGCGGACGGCCCCGCGACATTCTGCGTCTTGCTCGAAGAAACACCCTCGTAGACCCACTGGGGCTTAGATGCGCCGGCGGGCGGCGAGCCGTTCCACCATGGCCGGCAGTGCCAGTAGAAGGCCTGCGGGTCGACAGAGTCGCGGCACGACTGGAAGATTGAGGTGAGCTCGTCAATGGTAGTCTTCAGATTCGACAGGTTGCGAGAGATGCTGTTGATGGCGGCGACGTCTGCGGTGCTGGGAAGCGTCATGAAGGACTCGATGGTTTGGAGCATCTCGACGCCCTTCAGCTCGATCTCGCCCGAAAGCGCGTAGAAAGCTCGCTCGGTCTCGTTCCCGGAGAGGAGGTTCACGTAACGGATGTTGCCTACCGAGAGAGGCTCGTCGGGGCGGATTAGTTCCCAGTTCCAAAGAACTACGTCCGCGAAAGTCATCACTGGCGGCATGTCGAGTGCATCGGAGACGGCGGCGAATGGCATGGCGATGGAACGTGGGATGAGAATAGTGGTGGCGTTGTCGACGGTAGGTGTAGAATGCACGTAGAAGTGTACGAGGAATGCTAATACCATATGCGCCCTTTGCAGAAAGCGAATATCTTTTGGCATCTGCCAGACACCTGTGTCCAGCACTGGCCACTGTGACGAAAGCTTAGGAAAAACACAGATGACTATATGCGCGATGACTCACCGAGCGTACTGTATCTCGCCAAACTTCGCCGTCGGGCCTCTTCGCGAGCGCCTCGGGCGACTCATCGTCACCCAGGCCAAGTGCTTCTTGGGCATCGTCCAAAGCGCGTTCCCAGATGCCGAATTGCTCTGGAAGTCTCGGGAGAGGTTGGGGCGGGAAGAAACCAGTATTCGGGTCAACGTCGAAGTCGACCTGGCACAAGGAGCGGTCTCTCGTTAACGCGCCACGCAATGAGCGAGCGACCTGCCGAACATCGACGTTGGCAAGAAAATTAAGAAGACTGAGGCTGGCTCCGATATCCATAGGAATAAAGAGATGTATGATTACTAGGTGAGAAGAGGCGAAGGCAGGGTAAGAAGGCAAGCGAAAGGTCGTAAAGTGGTGGGTTTCCTGAGTGCCGAGCCTCACAGGTTATATAGGGCCGACCAAGTGCAAACACGGACAAGTCAACAAAGGATTCATTAGCAGGCGCCGCCACATATCCGAGGTTCATCAATTGACACCCTGCACTGGCCAGAACGCGTCGCGCCAACTGTTCTCCGTCTTGCGAGATTCACGGTGCCGTAGGCCCGCCAAAGTTTTGGACGGTTACCAACCTAGCGCCTCCTGCACCGGCACACTAGACCGTTTCTGGTCTTCCACGTGGTGGTCGCCTATCTCCCTTCCGTTGAACAGATCTCCGTCTCCCTCGCGACGGTCAGTGACTCGCACGCGAGCGAGGCTTGCATCTTTCTCGTCGTTCCCAAGGCCAGGGATCATTACGGCAGTTCCCAGTACCTGAAGTTCAGTTTGTGTCCGAGAAACCGTGTTGGGAAACCCTCGCATGGCGTATACTGTACATAACGGACCCTGGTCAGGGCTGGCCGAACCGGTCTCTGGCCTGTTCACAGCCATACATGCTGGAACCTGGAAATGGGAATATGTCGCGGACCGTGGCGAACGTGGAAGGCGCGTGGATGACGGCCGTAGGTGAGTCAACACCTTAGTTGCGCTCAGTCCGGCCAGCCCTGTGTACGGTGTGCTCATTGTCGGGTTCTTCGAACCGGCGTTTTCCTGCCAAAATAGACGTTTCAGGTAGGAAAGCAGTGCGGTTACGCTTGAGCGCGCTGCGGGATCGCGGAGATCTGGTGTGTGTAAAAGTCAAACTACGCATGACCTCGATTGAGAAAGTGTGCATCCGCCTTAGGTTGTGGCTGCGACATGAGAAAGTTTTGTGTCTGTCAGATTCTGTGTGTCGTCCAAAACACGGCAGGGCCTCCCTGAGACCTATTTCCCTGAGCGCAGATACCGTCCGTCCTTTTGGGCTCGACGCTCCGAGGGTGCCCGCTGTCCGTGAAAGCGGTGTTTGTTTTCCGGACTTGGTCCGCGCCGACGCTTTATGATGCAATTTCGCTTCCTTTTATGCGTGCGATTATGACTGACATAGGCATATAGACTCGGCACATTACACGCCGTCTCGAACGTTCAACGGGGATTTGCCGTCACTGGTAAATGAAAGTGCGCCACTGGCAGTGCCACCCAAATGTTATTGTGTCACACGTCTACGCGTGGGTCGATTAAGGAGTGCGGGAACTGTGTGTATAGCATGTACGGCAGCGATAGCAGACAGGACCGAGTAATTCGACGGAAAAAGCTCCTCGGAATGAGCGGGGATAGCGTTACGGAAGATAGCAACGAGGACGCTTGGAAAAGGTTCAGCCTACATCATGTACATGTCAGTGGCCCTTCCATTTGAGGTACTTCTTGCCCGATGCCTTGTCCAGCTCCTCGACACATTTGCGTTCTACGACATCGACAACTTTTTCCCTGACGCCTGTCTTGCCCTTACGGAGACTCACAAATTTCTGTACGAGCTCTTCCTTGGTGAGCCCAGTGCTACCACTGGACCTATGGCTACCGGCGACCATCTGGTGAATTTCTTGCTCAGTCGGAAGCGCGAAACGCATCGGTTCGTTAGTCTTGCCGAGCTCCACGTCGACGTCCTTGGGCAGCTCGAGCGATGGTGCAGTGCCGTTCTGGGGTGAGTACTGTCCGAAGAACTTGGCAGCGATGTCCGAATCTCGGACCTCAGCCACTGTAGACGGAGACCAGGCGGGACGCTCCTTGGTCTTAGTAACCAGTACGGAAGTGACTCCTGTCTTGAAGTCGGGGCTGGCGCCGCTCTGTTGTGCGGAACGTGCGGAAGTGAGCCGAGGAGCACGATTCCGCCCGGTCAGGTACTCACACAGTAAGCAGTGGCGATGTTCAGCTCGTTCTGGAGCGCACCGTGCAGCGTCGCCGTCCGGCCCTTGCGGAGCGCGAGGAGGGCAACTTTAAGGCTGGTCGGGCTCCGGAGGTCGAGTGCGGCGAGGGATTCTTCCGCCCACTTGCGGATGCTGGCATCTTCGTGGCTCTCATGCACCTGCTTCAAATCCGCGATGATTTCCTCCACGCTGTTGTGGGAGAAAACGGAATCTAGAACGGTACGCAGCTTGCTGATAAAGGTGCAGGGAGGCTCGCCAGGCTCACGCTCCTGGGAGCACTCTTCAATTGTACTGTCGACTACCTCATAAGAGGCCCGGTCCAGAGAGGCGAGTCGTTCCAGAAGCGCAGGTATTCTGCGCGACGGAATAAAGTGCGTAGCCAGTCCGAGTTCGCTGTCGCATAACAGTGACATCAGAGGAAGAAGTAGAGATAACAGACAAGACAAGCCTCACTATACATCACGGCCTTTGATTGATTCGCCGGTAAGACCCAAGTATGTACCGATCTCTCCGTCCAGTCTGGATAAGAAAAATGTTGCGCCTACATCGGGACTATAGCCAATCTTTGTTTCCGGCATCGCAAAAAGCGTGTTCTCTGTCGCTATCCTAAACGGGGCGTTGGCGGCCAGGCCCACTCCGCCTCCCACTGGAACAGCTTTGTCAATGGGAACTGTTCCGGGATGCGGAACGAAGACGCGTACTTGTTATGCCGTCCATTACGGCGACGTATACTTGCGCCACGGCCGCAAGCAGGTAGTCCAATTCGAACCTGTGCTTGTTGTCATTGGCTGTGCGTAAGCACGGAGAGTACTACACGTACTCGCGTTTGAAGAAATCTATTGCTTCGGGTCTTGTCTTCTCGTCTGCAGCCAGTTCAACGACGCCTAATGCCCGGGCCGTAGATGTTTGGCAAGGTTTGCAATGATACATTAGATGGCACGTACCCGCAACATCACCGCCCGCACAGAAGGCGCGGCCAACACCTTGACCAACAAGAATCTTGGACAGCTGTGACCGGCTCCAGTCCTGAACTACAATGAGCACCACACTAAGCTTCCGGGATGCGGAAAGTCACTGACCTCGACGTACGGGCGTAAGAGTTTCAGCATCGGGGTGTCCAGCGCGTTGAGCTTCTGTGGTCGATTGAGGACATACTTTCTAAGCTGGCCAACAGTTTCGAACACCACTGGGGGCTGCAGCATCTTGTCATCAGAACGGGGGGCACCTCGAACAAGCACACTGACACGTACCTCGTCTCCATTCGCCTGGGGCTTGGGGGCGCTGGCTCCGGCCTGTGAGCTCACCATCATATGCCGTGAGATCGCACGGGTTCTCTCCGCCGCTGCGAGAGAGCGGCTGGGCATTCTGAGAGCTGTTCGGGCCAACATGGAACGCGAACGATGAGAGATGCGGCAGGCGGTGTGGGGTTAGGGGCAACGGAAGGCCGTGCGCGCCGAACGCTGGACACGCGCTTTGCGCGTCCGACCATTAGACGCCTGAGCGCGTCCCGTTCGGGCAGGTCTCCAAGTTTACGTTTCTCTCTCGTCCAAGCGAGAGGAAGTAGTGCACCCGCGTAAGTTTGTGGCTATGTCGGGAAACACAGCGCATCTGCCTGCAGTAGGAGCCAGAATATTGCTCTCAGGTCATTTCGGCACGATCAGATTCGTTGGTGCCGTCGAGGGCACACAAGGGATATGGCTCGGTGTCGAGTGGGACGATCCAGCTCGCGGTAAGCACGATGGTGTCAAAGACAGTCGCAGATACTTCACCTGCCGGTAAGCTTTCTGTTTTCTGACGCGTTGAGCTAACAAACCTCGTGCTCGGCGTGGTGTTTCTAGCGTACCAAACTCGGGGTCCTTCATACGCCCCACCGCTGTCGGGATCTCCTACGGGACATCTTTCCTCAAGGCGCTGTTTTCCAAGTATACCGAGGCTTTTCATGGTGCCGGTATTGAAAAGGTGGTTCTCGGATCGTCCAACGGTGCTATCGAGGTCGAAGCCGTCGGATTAGACAAGATTCGGAGCAAACTTTCGAACCTGCGGTGGCTCCGAGAGGTTAGCCTGGACGACCAGGGTGTGGCGTCGGCTGATCCAAACGGGGTTATTCAAAGAACATGCCCAAGTAAGTAATTCGCCGCAGAATATGACTTCGGCTCCGGACAAAGCGGTGTTTTCATTGTTTGTCGCGGTCGGACGCCTCTAATTGCGTCGAGTCACCGCTTTTTTCTCGTCTCACAATCTCCAGATAAGCTATATCTGCCAATTTAGGCTCACTTCGTGACAGGCATTCGTGGACTCGATCTGTCGAAGAGCCTGCTACCCTCGTGGGATGTGGTGACATTCATTGTCTCAGAACTACCCGCACTCGAGACCCTAGCTCTAAAGTGCGTAATTTTCGTACTTCATTGCTTGCCCGGTCCGCGACTCATCCAGTCGCTGACTGTTCTACCAGTGACAACCGCCTCGCGATGCCGTCATTCTCCACTCCGCGGTTCAGCGAGGCATTCTCAAAGATCAAGGAATTGCAAATCAGCTCGACTCTCACGAGATGGTCCGAAACAATGCATCTGGTCAGTTGCATGCCGTCGCTGTGCATCTTGGAGACAGGATACAACCGTCTGGAGAGGCTTGCGATCACCGACGGCGCGCCACAAACTCACGCAGAGCATTCAACATTGCGAGCTATCAACTTTGACGGTAATTCCCTGCACAGCTGGTCTGATATTTGTTCCGCTCTCGCATCCTTTATGGGGTAAGCATTGTATCGTGTGTTATGTTCTGCAGACGAGAAGACGCGTAGCAGCCTGCAGCGCCTCATTCTTTCGAGCAACAGTCTCACGATGATCGATGAACGCCCAGACAGACAGTCATCGGGCATTGGGCATCTCAAGTACCTCTCCTTAACGGCAAACAGCCTGACGGATTGGCGAGATATCGACCGCCTGTACAGCTGGTGTCCCTCAATTGAGTCGCTGAGCGTCACGGGAAACCCACTGCTCCAAGGTGTGTGCCGCCACGCCGCAGATTAGCGGCCCATCATATCAACCACGACACGATCTGTCAGATACCCATGCACGGCAGTTCACAGTCGCAAAGATTCCAAGCCTTGCCGTCCTCGATGGTGCCGCAGTACGCCTTGTCCTCGAAGCGTTATGTTGTTCGCTCCATACTCATTCGCGCCACAGATCAGCCCGAAGGAGCGCCTCGACTGCGAGTTGTTTTATCTGTCGTACGTGGCGAAATACGGCCCGGATGACGAAGCAGAGCGGTGCGAGGCGCACCCACGCTGGCGAGAACTGTGCGCGAGTGCGTAGCATCATCTTCGATAGGCTGCCCCATCGCTGACGCTGTGCCGTGTCACACCGCCCGCCCCCGCCCTTGTATTCTGCGCTCCCAGAACATACATTCCAGGACACGCCACGCCTCGCCGGGCAGGGCAAACACGACACACTTGGCAACCGCCTGTTTGGTACGTGGGACTCTCCATACCAGTGTCGGGCCGCGCCTGACTGAGATACGGCCGTCGCCAGGAATTGTCGCCCACCAATGCGCACACCCGCCGTCAGGAACGAATATCGACGCCACCCAAACGCAGACGCTCAAAGTGCTCCCGTCGATGTCAATGCGCACGTTCCGCATGAAGATTGCGAAATCGTTCAGGCTCGACAAGGCCGAGCAGCCCAGGCTGCGGATATGGCTGAGGATGACTGACGGTACCTTTTCCGAGCTCGATGTCGCGGAAGATACGCACGATTTGGCATGGTGGGGACTCGAGGACAGCTCGGAAATTATCCTTGTTACCTGCAAGTCATAGGGCACTCTCATACGTCGCATGATGCTTCATTAGACGGAAATAAAATATATTGGAAAACATAGTACTGGCGGAAAACGCGGTCTACGAAAACATGGAAATACTCACCATAATCTCCGTGATGAACGCGGGAATGAAATGTCAGCGGCGTCGTTTATTGGTCTAGGCAGGAGTTATGATGCGCCGGTCGCCGCCGCGAGGACTCGCAAGAAACTCTGAGTTCTTGATGCGCCTTCGTTGCCATGATGGACCTCGCGAGGCGGATCAATTTCCGGCAGCAGCAGCGCCAACGAGAAGACAGCGTCGGAAAGACGGGCGGGAACGGACGGAAACGTGGGTTGATAGATAAAGCCTTGTTCGGATTAGGACCACACGTTCACACTTCAGTGACACTGGATTCGTAGAGCTTGCGGCAGGGGAAGCATCGTGGCGACCACGGCCGCACCAGGGACAATGTTCCCGTTCCCGGGGAGGGCAGAGCAGGGAGGACACACGTCTCGCTCGCGGGGCACGTCCACGTCGTTCGTCTTGCACCATTCGTCTCGCGGAGGACTCCTCCAGAGGCAGGAAGCTCGCCAGGGACAGGACAGGAAGGCAGCCTCAATCGCGCCAGGGGCCATGGCCGGAACCAATGCGTAATAACCAACCGAGCAAGTAACGACTCCTTCACGGTACAGATCATGGCCAGAACATATCCCGGAACGGACAACAACGATTTTTGAGAAAGGGTGTTTTCGGAAAGCATGCGCGGTCCAAAGGCAAGGCAAACGGGGAGAACTCCAGCGGCACCACGGCCAAACCTCAACGCGCCCAACCGTTATCTCCATTGGCTCTGGGAGGCCGGTCGACTTCCCTCTCGTCGCGCCGGCGGTCATCCCTACGACGATCAAGATAAGGGTCAGGTTCTCTTCGGTAATCATACGCTCCTCGTCGATCATCGTACCCTGCAGGTCTCCTTTCGTCGGGTTCCCTCTTTTGGGGTGGCGACCTGGGGCGACGATCTTCATATTCTGCGCGGCGGGGCGGGGAGCGGGAACGTTCCCTGTGGGCGGGCTTCTCACGACGGTCCTCGCGCGGGTACCGGTCGTCGCGACGATCGTCGCGAGCATAGCGGTCACTGTGCACGTAACGCTCGTCACGAGTGTACCTGTCATCTCGAGCGTACCTATCGTCACGACGCTCATCCCTGCGATCGTCGCGACGATAATTGTCCACGCCATTACGCTGCTAATCTGTGTCAAATAATGCCCATCACGATAGTCATGAAAGTACCTACGGTTTCATCTAAGGTGAGGCGAACGCTTTGACCGCGAAGGTCCTTGCCGTCCAGCTCCTTAGCCGCACGCTCAGCGTCTTCTCGAGAGAGGTACTCGAGAACGCTACCGGACCGTGAGCGTGTTGCATGCGATGTCTAACCGTTGACACTTACCCCTCTCCCGGTCGATCCCGGTCGATATCAGCATAGGAAACGCTTCCGGCTTCGCGACCAAAATCTTTCAAGTCCTGTGAAGGGAGAAGTTAGTGTTAGCTCTCGCAATCGAATCGTCTGATTGGTCTTCTGACGCCGGGTATCGAAGCGAACAGCGTGGGAAGACGCATACCTGCCAGCTGGTGTCGCGCGAGATTCCAGACACAACGAGGCGATGGCCAGGGGGCCTTCTAGTACGAGGAGGACGGTCGGTCTCGTAGGTGTCGCGCTTTGGACGGGATTCCTTGGCAAACTCCACGACGATGCTAGAAAACACAAACGTCAGCATACTTGTCCATGCTTTGGACACGCTCCTGGCCATACTTGGCGCCCATGAAGCTCTTGCCATTGAAATTGTGGACGGCATCCTCGGCGTCACGAGAGCTCTCAAACTCAACGAAGCCGAACCCTGGAGGGCGAGATGAGCGGTAGAGATGACAAAAGACGATCCTCGTCACAAACCTGTCATGACGCGGCAGTCGACGATGCGGCCATAGCCTTCGAAAAGTTTTGAGACATCCTCAGGACGTGAATCGGGGGGAAGTCCTGCGCAAACCGGTAAGGTCGTGATCACTGCGAGGGGTCAGAAACGGGTCGTACGTCCGAGGTAAAGTCGCTTGGCCATGGTGGTTGTGGTTGAAGATGGAGCTGATCTCCTCGGCTGAGTTCAAAAGAGTAAGCGCAGACGTGGTCCGTGCGCGTGCCTCGAGGCATCCACGTGAGGCAGCGCCTTTCTCTGCTTCCGGCAACTCCCGGCCGGGGACACACGCACTTCGGCCTCTCGGGATACTTGTTTCGGCGCCCCACTCCAGCCCACTCCGGTCTCGCTGGCGCCTTTGACTATCTGATAAGTCATTCGGCCAGGTTCACTCTTCACATTCCCTCGTTGTCTCACACGTTCACCATGCTCTCCAGGGTAGCGAACGCAGCAGTCCGCCGCACGGCCTTGAAGTCCTCTGCGAGGCGTGTGGCCGTCGTAGCGCTGAGGCGGACATATGTCCAACCCTCGGGTGCAGACAGAGCGAGCGTTGTTGACGTACCGCAAACTTACCAGGAGGATTCGTTTTTCGTGCCTCGGGCAGGTATGGTACCTTTTGTCGTCGGAAAGCAGTTTCAGCTGCTTAGCTTGTTTAATCAGACATGCTTGGGTTTAAGCTTGAGTCACCTCGGAGGGAAGGCGATGTCAAGGACAAAGCACGTCCTATCTACCTCGATATGCAGGCAAGTTCCCGCGTTTCTGTCGCCGAGGGTGTACTGACAGATAGTAAGGCCACGACACCGGTGGACCCTCGCGTACTCGACGCCATGATGCCTTTCTTGACAGACCAATATGGGAATCCGCATAGTAGAACTCATGCCTACGGATGGGAGTCCGAAAAGGCTATCGAAGACGCCCGCAAGGTTCGTCATCTCGGAATCAACTGGCACTTCCGAGTTTCACCTGCATCTTGTAGCACCTTGCGGATCTCATTGGAGCAGATCCTAAGGATATCATCTTCACCTCTGGGGCGACAGAGTCAAACAACATGGCCCTCAAGGGAGTTGCCCGCTTCCACAAAGAAAAGAAGAAGCACGTTATTACGACACAAACCGTGAGTTTCGTTTGCATGTGTCTGCACAAGTGTCAGATGTCTCACTCGCGCACGAATGTAATAGGAGCACAAGTGTGTGTTGGATTCGTGCCGTAAGCTCCAGGAGGAGGGCTTCGACGTCACTTACCTGCCAGTGCAGCAGAACGGCGTCATTCGCCTCGAGGACCTCGAAGCCGCCATTCGCCCTGATACGTCCATTGTCTCCATTATGACTGTGAACAATGAGACTGGTGTCATTCAGCCGGTCAAGGAAATTGGCGCCCTCCTCCGCAAACACCGCGGAATTTATTTCCATACCGATGCTGCACAGGCTGTTGGAAAAATTCCAATCGATGTCAACGAGATGAACGTCGATTTGATGAGTATTTCAGGACACAAAATATACGGTCCGAAGGGCATTGGTGCATGCTATGTCCGCAGACGGCCCCGTGTCCGCCTGGAACCCATCATCAATGGTGGTGGCCAGGAGCGTGGTCTGCGTAGCGGTACCCTTGCGACTCACCTGTGCGTTGGCATAGGCGAGGCTGCCCGAATAGCGAAACAGGAGATGGCGGTGAGTAGAGCATTCCTTAACGCCGCTTTGATGAGAACTCTGCATACACATTCAATCTTGACGCCGCGAGCTTTGTGGTTGTCTACATGGCTACCAGCTCAGCAATGAGTAACGTGCAGGGGTACTGAGCTTCCGTTTTGATCGTGTTATCTTCTTGTGGTGGTACCTTAGATCGTTGGAGCAGTGCTGATCTCGTTTTCTCCAGAGAGACCACGCCCACGTCAAAGCTCTATCAGATCGACTCGTTACCAAGATCAATGCGCAAGTTGAGCACGTCATTCGGAATGGCGACCTTAACGGCTACTCCGGCTGTGTAAACTTGAGCTTTGCCTATGTAGAAGGTGAGAGCTTGTTGATGGCTCTCAAGGTGTGCAATCATACGATGCTACATACCCATCCAAACTAACACGAGTGATAGGACATTGCCTTGTCATCAGGCAGTGCGTGTACATCGGCATCGCTTGAACCATCATACGTTCTCCGCGCCCTCGGTATGGACCCGGGTGTTGATATCTCTTTATGTGTACTAACAATCTTGGTTGATATAGGTGCTGCTGAGGACATGGCACACTCGTCGCTGCGCTTCGGCATGGGCCGCTTCACGACCGAGGCTGAGGTTGATTACGTAGTAGAGAAGATTGTTGCTGTCGTACAGCGGCTCCGTGATATGAGGTTCGTCCCGTTTTGATTTTCCTTGCGTTGCGCCTCTGCTGACCTTGAGGTTCCAGTCCCCTCTGGGAGATGGTCCAGGAGGGCATCGACATTAACACCATTAACTGGGCCCAGCATTAGTCCAGCGTTTCGATTTACTCCCCTTGCCTTCTCCTGTTCGTGTTTATTCGCATCATACAAAATCTACCTTCGATGCGTGTCTGGTGTGTATCTACTGTGAATTGTAATATGATTGCCATGCTTGCGCTTGCACTTCGGCCCTATGCTTTCCTCGTCTTGGTGGGATGTGATGATGTAGAGCTGCCCGATCAGAGTCCGTGTGGCGCTGGGACGGTGCTTTGCTACGTACGGGGTGGCCCGGCCTCAATTCACACCACCCACGACTCGCGCATCGAAAATATCGCAAAAAAGCCTTTCTGAACGCGGATAAAACACAACACTATAATGACACAGCTAGAAAAAATCGACACTGAAGCACAGATCGCTAGGGTCGTACATTTTGCACATGCGAGTCTACGCCGAGATTGGTGGGTTAGCCGCAGAGACAAGAGTCTCGAAGTAGGCCTGGAACCAGGTGCCAGCCTCAGGAGCGGGCTGAAGGGCATCCGACTATCGAACATGGTCAGTATGCATGCCTTTGTCTCTTCCGGAAGTGCACTCACGAGAGAGCAGGTCGAGTCGTAGCGGGGCGAAGAGGAGTTGGAGGTACCATCACACTCGCCTCCAGGCTTGACCCAGACGATGGAATCGATGAATGACGAGCCGGTGTTGGTGGTCGGGCGGGTACCAAAGCCGGCCCCCTTGATGTTGCACCAGTCGCCCCACTGGTTGCGGATGTTCTGCACACCGGAACGGGCCTGGTCGACGATGAAAGTCGCATCCCAACCCTGCTGCTGGAGCACCGGGGCGAGGGCCTGTACAGAGCTCGGTCGTCAGCGGAATGTCATGGAGAAAATGCGGAAGGGCGGCGCACGTTAATGTAGAGCATCTCGTCGTAGTTGGGGTTACCCTGGGTGATGGGATCGGGGGAAGCCGCATTGAGGGCGTTGTAGTTCGCGACGTCAGTTGCAAGGCCCTTGATCAATGGCGACTTTCCGGCGTTGGTCCAGACCTGCGTGAAAAGCTGGGCGGCAGGCGACAGGTTGGCGGGCCAGCCGAGCCAGCCGGCATGGCCAGCATCGATGTACATGTACACGCCAGCCCCGGCGAGGTTTGTGAGCGCGTAGTTGACACAAGCCAAGTAGGTTGTCTGCGCCTCTGCGCACTCCTGAACGCTCAGGTTCGTGACCAGGTTGGCCAATGAGTCGGGCTCGATGACTGCGACGACGCGGACGTCAGGGTACTCTGTATTGTTCGTCAGCACAGCTACTTCTTAGTCAGACTGCAATGATACCCACGCTTAATCAGAGCAACGATTTGGTCAATGTAGTTTTCGTAGTTGGCCTGGCCATTATCGGCAATAGTGAATTCTCCGTTGGAGGCTTTGGCAGCGCAGTCACGATCGGGCAGGTCGTAAATAACGATTTGCAGGAGCTGCTTGGTGCCAGTGCTCTTGCCCAGAGCGGAGGCATTGGCAAGGTAAGTGCCGAGATCGGGGATCTTGGAGGTGGAGTCTACGGGAATATATGTTAGTATTAACACTAATGAGCGAAAGTTGAAGGTCAAACGTACCCAGCCATGTGAAAGTGGGGATATTAGCAATGGTGGCGGCCTGAGCGGCGAGCGTCGAGTCAGAGATCTGCTCAACAGCAGCCTGGACCTCGCTGGCGTAGTACGGGCTCAAGAAGATCTGTTGAGGATTAGAGCGCTGCGCAAATGATACTACGGCGTGATAATTACCTCATAGCCGGTCCAGGGGTTGCCTGCGGTGGGAGTAGGTGTGCCCGTCGGTCCAGTGGAGGGTGCAGACGAAACGGAGCTCGAGTGGGAGGAGATACTAGAAACGCTGCTGACACTAGATGGGACAGCGGTACCGGGCAAGCACTGCGAGTAGTACGGGTTGAGGACCGTGCAGGTCGTGCCAGAGACGCAAGATGTCGGTCCAGCTAATGTCAAAAATAAGCTTCGGAGTGCTGCGCCACACGCCAGATGACTTACCCCAGCCAGTACCACCGCACTGATCATATTCCTGGGCCTGGCCAGCGACGTACGCCGGAAGGACAGTGACGAGAGCAGCAAGGAAAGCGGACTTCATTGCACCTGAGCGACTTGTGGGTGACCTGAAGGGCAGCATGGCAAGCTTGTACAGGCATATATACGTCTGACCACAGCGCGGATGGACTTCTTTTCGCGTCGCGGGACAAGCATCTGGCGAATCAAAATATTCCGGCGAAGACCCGAGCATTGCGAACGGATAGACATCGGGTGAGAATCACTTGTCCGGCGGCGGGTCTTCTTTGGGGGGTCATGAGGCCCTGTTGTACATCCGAGAACAACGTTCACGGCGTTGGAGTGCCAGTCGGTCCGTTCGCGACCCAACAGGCCTGCGTTGCTGCTCGGTTGAAACTCGGTTAGTATCCGTTCACCCTGTTCTATCTACGACTTGCACTCACCGATGAATACTGTAAGTAGCGTGGACCGCATCATCTTCGTCAACCTGTCTCAGAAATATTGCCTTCCGCGGTACTGGTGGATGCAGTTGCGTCGATCACCAGAAAACGCCCGAGACGGTCACAGTCCGCTTTGTCTAGGTCGCATTGGGCTATTTTCTCCCGGTATCTGCCTGCAATTGGTCAATGGGAGGGAAGTCGAACATTGTGCAATGCAGCCCTGGGCCAGGTGAACAATATCACTTGACAACGGTGTTTCTGATCCGGGCTTCGAAGGTACTCCGATGCCATGCATGACAGTCCCTCCTGTCTAGGACATCGTGCCATAAGGATGGTACGAGAAGATGGAGAATGCAAGAGTCCGCGTGATTATGGTCATCATCGTCGGAAGCTATAGATGATAGGTCACACTCCAGTGTTAACGCCAAACGGAGGCAAACATTTCTGCTCGGTGAGACCTGGAAGTCAGTCTACCAGGACGGAGATCAATGTGCAGTGCTTATGTAGAGCTTTCTTGGCAAGCACGAGCTTGCAGGTCCGGGGAGCGCGGGGAAACAAAGGAATATGCACATTGCTCGGGAAAGCGCGAGCATCCGAGCTCGGGTGCACTTCGGGTTCAGTTCCAACAGGCGAAGATGCGAATGGGTATATGCGCAAGCTGGCGAAATCAGCTCAGAAGCACGCATGGGCTTTCGGAGGCCAGCAGCAGCATGTCGATGCCAGCCACTCCGCCTAACGATATTACTTTCAGGAAGTCAGCTGTTTCAAATCATCCGCCGCAAGGAGAATGAGCATGGTCCGAGACTTCTCGTGCAACAAAATCTGGCCAGTGCCGAGGCACCCTTCTGCACTTTGCGGGTGTTGGGCGATCCACGGAAGCCTTCTGTCAGGTATATCCCGATAAATCAGCCACCCTTCGACGGTCCAGGCGAATGCAGAGAGTTCGGTCTTTAAGGCGGCCATAACCGTTTGCGTCCAGACATACTGCGGAAAATTTGGGGGTTGAGAGAAAGACAGAACGTCATTTATTATTCGCGGATCGAGCATCAGACCGGCACTCACCTTACAAAAGCTACATATCTTCTCGGAGGTGTTGTATACCAACGGATCGGCGTAATTTTTTGTGCTGTTCGTGCGAATGGTTCTATATTTCGTGAGATACCTTCCTGTATTAACTAAAGCCTACGGTGACAACGGCTTTGAGGTAATCCATAACCATCCGTTCAATATCGTGACATGCATCTGCAGCACCATCCTCATCGCTTTCTCGGGGCACCGGGTGGAGGAGGGGGTAGCAGCGGCACACCCGGACCACCGGAGGACGAGGCTGCTGAACCTCCGCCAAGGAGATCAGATGTCGCGCTGGTCGTATTGTTCGCCTTTGCACGCCCTGGTATTGAAATAGAGAATGTCTGCCCCTCCTTTAGCGAGTAATCCTTCTTGGGTCCAGTAGGAACGTGGGGAGAAGGCTTTTCCGACTCTGGTGTCTCGGGGTTTTGCATGTGTCGCCATCGCCTGGGGAGATATTGAGCTAAACAAGTAACAATAATGGGAGATGGGAGATTACTTTGTGTAATCCTGCAGTGCAACGTCTATGCAGATGCGTAAATAACGATCATGCGAATGCTACTCGTATACGCACTGAAATCAAAGCTATCCGTTCGTTCCAGGAAGCCCATCCCGATGTAGGCTCTCTTGCCTGCGTCCTCTACGCGCACAACAAAGTACCTTGAGGAGTCAAGGACAGCTTCCACCGAAGGTTTCGCGGGGTCATACTCTGCCTTGGCGAACACTGTCCTTTGCATTACACCGTCAGTCTACTTTTGTTCTAGGAATGTACGGCAGGGAAGCGTACATTCGCCTACGAAATGTCAGCTTCGAGCCTATACAATGACTATGAAAAAGTCCTACCGGTGCTGACATCCTCAAACTGTATCGCCACACCACTCTTGCGCTCAATGATCCTCAGACGACCCTTCCACAGCGGGTTACCCAAATCGCCCCACTCTTGCGCACGGTGTCCTTCATTCTTCTTGAGAGGTGGTATCTTGAATACTGTATATCAATGAGGTGTTGATCTTGTGATCAGGACATGTCTACGCGCAGAAAGACATGGCATTCACCTGAGACCTCTCGACCGATGTAGAGGATGCTCTCGATCTCGTCTTCGCCAAAGCCTTCCATAGCTCGCTAACTTATAATGCACCAGAAATATAGAAATTTATATAGGTAACTGTAAGGTGGGTTGAGGATGAGGAAAGAGAGCGAGATGCACCGCTGTGTCTTGCCTTACCGCTATCAGCGCCGTCATGGCAGAGGCCTGGTTCCCACGTGTATTGACGCGTGCTAATAAACCTAAGCGCCTCCGCTTTCCTCCTGCACTTCGTCTGCCTCAGGTGCATAAACATGACAGGCCCACCGACGCCTCCCATAACCTCTGCGATTGAGATTGAGGACGCCGCCCGTGCCGCAGCGGCAGCATCTGAAGCCCCCGGGGCAACAGTGGTCACTGGCGAGACCGCGCCTGCAACTCCAGGAGAGCCTGTCGCGACTCAGGTAGCCATCGCGGGGACTCGCGAGCAAGCTGCGACGCCGTACAGGCAAGCATTCGCAACTTTAGTAGAACTGGCGTCAGCAGGCAGCTTTGAGATGCTTGCAGAGGTGGCGGAGAGTGCTGATCTTACCGTGTGTATGCTTCTTCCGTATCGATAGTGTCCAATGACTGTTGTAGCTTTGTAGACAGCACAAGATACCAGCCCGGAACGATTCTTAGTTGTGGCTCCTTTGATCCTTTCATACTACATATTGGACAACGTGTAAGCGGCTGGCATGCACGCCACACCAAGCGCTCATGTCCTTGGAAGCCCCCCAGCTCTACAGGCCATTGCGAGGCTACCTGACGTCCTGAAGACACATCCTCTTGGACAGGAATTATTCAGGCTTGGTGCCTCTGTATTAGAGCGCAAGTATGGCAACGTATATCCACGCGCCAACGACCTACTTCAAGTTCTCCAGAGCACCCAGATTTCTGGAGCCGACTTCCAGGCTGTCACTACCGGACTGCTGACCAAATTTATTGGTACGCACCAGTTGTATACTTGTCCAGTGCGGTTACTCATGTCCATGGCAGATACGTTCAGACAGAGGACGCTTGTACTTCTATCGAAAGCGTACACATCGATCCCACTTTCGCTCGCTCAGTCTTATCTGAACTGTCTTCCAGAGCAAGTCCTTGCTGGTTCGTTTATCCGAGCTCATTTCGTTCCCTTGCTGTGTGCTTAGTCATACGTTAGTGGCGACTCAGCATAGATGGGGCTACGATGCGAGTACTCAAACTCTGACCCCTTTGCCGCCTTCTAAGACAAGCACGTACGGCCCAAGTGGAACCTCCTCTGGTGGGTGTAGTTTGAAAGGAAGTGGTTTGTCCATATCTCATTATTGTTTCAGGCATATCCAGTCTTGCGACTTTTGACATCATCGCCAACACGAACTTGGAATGAATTTGTTCTTGTACTCTGTCTATATCATGTACAACGGCCAGCAGTTGTAGAATTATGACGCTCTTTGATTTCTTGTCCTTGACCTGCATCTCAACGCGGTAACAATGTGACGCGGAATAATGAGCGCCAGCCGCGACCACGTGGGGTCTAGAGGACCTACACGAATACAAGCATGGCGCGCATCATATAGTCCAGTCACTCTTGCATTTGGACCACCATCGACCGGCCAACGCTTCTACCAAATCGCTCACGCACCTTAGTTTTTTCACCGTTGTAGGCTACACTTTCTTAGTCCCAGATCTTGCCATGGCATCCGCCGGTGATGAAGGCCAAGCAGAGGCCATAGTAGAGGCGACAGAAGTAAGTGGCACGCGATCCCACTGCCGTGCAATAGTGAAGACCATGTGTCAGATCACCGCTCTAAGCGATGCCGCAGAAACGGAAGAATGGATTCATTTGAGCTTCACATGGCAGGGAAAGCCGTTTGAGATCGACATTGCTGGGTCGGATAGGTCAGAACGCGCCGTTATCTACTAGACGTCGCGTTGATCACAAAGCAGGGTCTTCGATCTGAAGGCGACCTTGTACAGCTTGACAAACGTCCCGCCAGAACGGCAGAAGATCCTTGGCCTCGCCAAAGGCAAGCTGCCTCCTGATGAGGTATTGATGTAAGCGTATTACCCACTATTCCACTCAAGCGCTGGAACTGAAGAAATCTCTAGTCATAACTTGGGCCTCGTACCTGGGAAAAAGTTTTCCTTGATCGGCACCCCTGAAGGCGACGAAATCAAGGATCCATCTAGTTGGTGTCTAAGAGACTCTTGTTTTGTTCTGTCCAGATCTCATGTTACGTCTCCCCTAGATCTGACATCCCTTCCGGACGTCGTCAACGACTTGGACGTCGATTTTTCCGCAGATCCGCAGGCTGCTGCTGCATATGCGAATGACCACCGCAATCGCCGAAAGGTTAAAGAACACACCGACCAACTGAGCGTAAACGTTATTGCTCCACTTCGTGAGGGAAAGCGGCTACTCGTACTCGATATTGACTACAGTGGGAATATTGCTCTCGTCCCCTACCCCCATTCTGACTTGCAAGATATGTAGCTATTCTCGATACCAAGCCTCTCACGACCGGATCCCTGCCGCCACAGGAATGCGCGCGACCAGGGCTGCACGACTTCCTCGAGGCTGTACACCCATACTATGATATCTGCATATGGTGAGGAGCTAATTCGTTATCGCGCTTATTCGTTCAGTTTCTAACTCTTACCAGGTCCCAGACCAGCTGGATCTGGCTGGAGACAAAGCTAGTGGAGCTTGGCATGCTCGGTGGGCCACATAATTATCAGGTATTCTGCCTACATCTGTAATATTGATTATATACTTACGTCTCGCACTCAGATATCCTTTGGTGAGTCTTTCCCATTAATCTATCCACATATACGCTAACACTGAGTTGAACAGTACTCGACAAAACGTCAATGTTTACCGTCTTTTCAACGAAAGATGGCAAGCCATACAAGCATTCCGTTAAAGCGCTGCAAATCGTTTGGAACCACTTTCCGCAATTGTAAGCCTTTTTATGACCTTTTCCTAGTACTAAACGGGGTTATTAGTGGTCCCAACAACACCATACATGTTGACGATCTTGTATGTCTTGTACTCTTCATACGCGTTATGGAATGTAGCTTACAACTGAAGTCAGGGCCGTAATTTCGCGCTGAATCCCAACCAAGGGCTCAAAATACATGCATTCAAGGAAGCACACAAGCCAGAAGCGCAGGCAGACCGAGAACTCTGGAAAGTCTCGAAGTATCTCATGCATATCGCGCGGACGTATGACGACTTCTCGGCGCTGAATCACAAGGTTTGTCTGTGCATGCTCGAGAAAGGTGGTTAAATATTAATGGAATCGTGTGCCCAGGACTGGAAAAATGTCATAAGGAGGTTGCAGTAGCGTTTCAAGTTAGAACTCTGAGGACGTGCTTCTGTTTCAGTCTTTACCATGGTGATGACGACATCATCGACGCCTAGAGCTCGGGTTTTCAAACCTGTGCCTCCTTGGTTGTAGGACACTAGCTCTTCGCATCGGCATGTCTCTCCACAACGCCAGTCTGTGAATCGTCCGACGCGTCGAGTCACGTCCCAGTCACCGAACACCACGAGCGCGTTACGGGCTGAAGGTGGGGCTTTCGCCACTTATTTCATTCTCCGTTCTCGGCTGGCTAATGCATGCACAATTGACGTTGTATGCCACTGAAGCGATTTTCTGGTATATCGTCCGGAACACGCCACATCCAGCAGGCGTCGTAAGTCAGGCAGGTTTGCGAGCTCATATGTAACCCACGAAGCGCATAATGATTCCAACATTGCAGCTGATTTGAGCCATGCTAACTAAGCTGAGAAGCGTTCTAGATGACCAAGCTAAAACTCCAATAGCACGGGATTACGAAGCAACGGGGGATGGCTGTAGGTGGGCCGGAGATTACAACAAAGACACCGAGGAAGAGGAGACGGACCTCGCGACTAAAGTGCGTTCTCTTTCAGGTGTCTACTAGTAGCTCGGTATCTGATTTAGCAAATCCCTAGTCAGCTGGAGGATTCGCAAACAGTCCTTACAACGTGTATATGATCAAGGAACTCATTGAGTGTGTACTCATAGGCATCATAGATCCACTGAAGGAAGGGGAGCTACGACTTGTAAGGTGTCGATCAGAGTTCGTGGCCGCCCTGGCTCGCAACTGATAGATTAGGTTCTGATCATAATTCACGCAGCGATCGTGGACGGCCGTGCTCTAAGAGCTGTCGCCGCAGCCATGCAGGTTTGGTCAAGTTCTTGAACCAAGTGCACAAGTGCTACAACAGTGCTACAACATCTGTGTTTGGTAAACTTGGTTCCCTTCTGGTGTATGGTCTCCATGCTCACAGATTGCTGTGATGTAGGTCGCAGAGGCCCTAGCATACGCCCATGACGATATTAGAAGTGCTGGACGACTCGGCTGATGATTGGGCAACCAGTCCCCGGAAGCACTCTTCGCCAGTGTTGCGGGCTAAGCCCCTTGCGGACTTCAGGCCTATTTGTTAGCAGCACTGTCACGACCGGCTCTAGATGCGTTGTGCCGAACATCTGGCTTTTGCAGCTCTCAACGAGTACGCCATATTCGAAGCGATAAACAAGGGCAATCAGATGATGCATTTAGTCAAGGCACTCCGGATCATTTGGGACCATTTTTCGCAGTGGTGAGTGTCTTTCAGTCGTCAACCGGAAGGCACTAATCTGTTTCGTAGCGGTCCGCATAATATCATCCACGTCGATAACCTCGCACGTTACGGTCACGCGACCTATTTTTCCGCGACCCTGGCCCAGGCGTCCCGTGAACGTCGAAACTTAGCGATGAACCCAAAGCAGGAGCCGTACGTCAAGCCGCTGAGGAATGCAGGTACTGCGGCGGCTGCGGACGGCCGCGAGTTGGGGAAGGTTGGGCAGTATCTGGCGCATATTGTGCAGACGTGTGATGACCTCGCGAAGCTGAGGCGGTAGGTTCTCAGAAACTGCGTCATTATGCGTTAAAGAACTGAAGACGACGTGTCCACGAGCAGACGCGGAGCAAATCTTAGATACAAGACGCTTGATATTCACTGATAATAGAACCTTCTGTACCTCGACGGACAAATTCGCAGTGACAGAAAAACTACCACTATCCCCATTCATTACGGACTTTGAATGTGGTGCAGCGAGTCCTGGGAATATGGCTCCCCCAAGGCGGCAGGATCGTCTGTGTTTGGAGCCACCTACGCACGGACGTTCACGGGTACGTAATGCCCTCGCAGGGCGCGCCTGGTCAGCTGGCCTACTCACCAACCCCGATGGCTCTCAGACGGACCTCGAATGAATGCACCTGCCCGTCGGGCCTGTGCGCTTCCACCGTGTTTATAGTCACGCTGGTGCTGGTCCAGGGAACAGTGGCGCGTATCCGTCGAGGGTTGGGTCAGCGCGCTGCACAAGATGCGGGAGCGGTAGCTGTAGGCGATGTATAAGAAGCAAGCGTGAGGCAGAGTGCACTTCGCTTGACCCGACGGTCAAGCTTTTTCACGATGGCACCAGGTCCAGCTATTCGCGCCGCGCAGCCGCCGGTCGACTACCACCAGCTCGTCGACCCAAAAGCGAAGTGGTGGAAGAACAGCAGGCTTGTGAAGCTGAATCTGTGGATCCTTCTTCTGTATGTTCTCCGCGTCTCGAATGACGGCCTTCTCTGCTGCTAACATTCGGTCGTTTTCCAGTCTGATAACCTCGACAGCGAATGGCTACGATGGAAGCATGATGAGTAAGTCTCAGGTCGCAGTAAAATGTCGGTATTTCCTCGCTCATCGTCGAGCATAGACGGTCTGCAGCTCATCAGCCAGTGGGAATCCGCTTTTGGATTTCCCAGCGGGTCCAAGCTCGGGTTGCTTGGTGCCATCCAGAACATAGGCACTCTCGGTTCCTTGCCATTTACGCCATACCTATGTGACGGCCTCGGCCGTAGAAGGACCATCTTCATTGGTGCTTTAATCGTTGTTGCGGGTGCAATCATTCAGACTGCATCACAGACGGTGGAGATGTTTATCGGGGCACGATTCATGAGTGCGTCAATAGCTGGCTCTCCAGGTTTGACTCATGTTCTCATACAAATCCTTTTCGACGTACAGTGGGTTTTGGTCTCGGATTTTGCGTATGTATCTCTTGCATCTTCCTCGCGGCTGTATGTCTCATGCACACAACTAGACCGCAGCGTCGCCAATGCTCGTCACCGAGATAGCTTATCCGTAAGTGTTCCTGAAGACCCTTGTGGAACATACTAACGCCGACCTCATGATACAGGACACAACGCGGCCCGGTCTCGTCTGTCTATAACGCTCTATGGCCCGCAGGTGCCGTCATGTGAGTGAAGAGCGAACCATGCTTCAACAGTTTTCGCTGATGCCGCTGCAGCGCCGCCTGGCTGACCTTCGGGACATTCCATATCAACAACTCGTGGGCGTGGCGTCTCCCCTCCGCGGTACAAGCCGTCCCGTCCGTGCTGCAGATCTTCCTCATCCTCTTTGCGCCCGAAAGTCCGCGCTGGCTCATGGCGAAGGGCCGCGAGCAGGAGGCGCTGCGCATCCTCGCATACTACCATGCGAGAGGTAACGAGCGGGACCCGCTTGTGCAGTTCGAGTTCGAGGAGATCCGCAACGCGATCGAGAGTGAGAAGGTGCAGAAGCAGACGGGCTGGCTTCAGCTTGTGGCCACCCCCGGCAACAGGAGGCGCATGCGGATCATTTTGGCGATTGCCTTCTTCTCGCAGTGGAGCGGCAACGGTCTTGCGTGAGTGCTCCCTCCCGAGACTCGTGACTCCGGATGTTTGACGGATTGTCCGCGCAGGTCATACTACTTGAATAAGGTCTTTGCGACTATTGGCAGTACGTATCGACCTGGGACTGTTTCCGTGGACTGTACTCACGCTTCTGGCTCTTGTACTAGTCACGAACCCGACCGAACAGTTGATCATCAGCGCGTGCTTGAACGTCTGGTCTGCTATTAATGCAATCAGCGGTGGGCTGTTCTGCGACAAGGTCGGACGTAGACCGCTCTTCCTCATCTCCACAGCCGGAATGTTGGTCTTCTTCATCCTGCAGACCGTCTGCTCCGCGCAGTTTGCCCTTCATGGGAACAAGGCTGCTGGTAACGCGGTCGTCGCCTTCTTATGTAAGTATCCGCGACCGGCACTGGGACAGCGGCTGATACCGCCACATAGTCATATACAGCGCATTCTACGGAATAGCCTACTCTCCGCTTATCACATCCTACACGCTCGAGATCTTGCCCTTCAATCTCCGTGCCAAAGGCTACACCATCTTCAGCTTCGCAGTCTCGGCGTCGCTCGTCTTCAACCAGTACATCAACCCGATCGCGTTCGCTGCCCTGCAGTGGAAATATTACATCGTTTACTGCGTGTGGCTTGCATTCGAGCTGGTGTTTATCTTCTTCTTCCTTGTTGAGACAAAAAATCGCACCCTGGAAGAAACTGCTGTGTACGTCCCTGTTACTTGAGTCCTGGTTGGTACACTCATTATTTTTGATGCAGGCTCTTCGATGGGTTGGGAAGCGTTCCCACCAATAGGGCAAGTCCCGATATCGATGTGGAGGTCGCTGACGTGTACGAGCACGATGAGAAGAAGGAGTAATCATTTACTGACTTGGTTGACAAGAGATAGCTTGGAGTCTTCGCAATATATATTAATGTGGTCTCCTATGACTTCAGGTACCGTTCAATAATGCTCTCTGTCACAGATACTGTAGAATAGTAATGTGGTATACCTGGCAATTTGTGAGATACTCGTGTCGCCTGGTTTCTGAGTGGGCGGCTGGCGAGTGCAGGGCGCCTTGTTCCCACGCCACGAAGGTGGTCCGTGCGCAGGCGGCTAAGGTATATAAGGCGGGGACAGACAAGATGGCACCTCATACTTACCTTGATGGCACAGGCCCCTTCATATACCTGGATTTGTGGGCCGTGGGGGCCTCTCATAGCACGGCGACCTTGTCCCCAGGGGGGCCCTGCGGTTTGTACGGGCTTCGGCTCGTGCACCGTCTCAATATTTCCCTGTCCTGCTTTGGCCCTCGGGCTGGGCAGGCCATTTTTTTTTCGCCTCTTGATCGCCCTAACCCTAACCCTAATCTGATGTGCGTTAGCCAATAAGACGAGAGATGTAATCATGCATGACATGTCCACCAATGAGAAGATGATCGTCGATATCTCGACTGCGCAGTTGCTTGTATAGATCCCACGAAGGCCGAAGGGTGCCCTTGGCGGCTGGTCTACTGGCAAGAAGCCATACTTATTCATTTTGACCTTTGAGATACTCTATGCCCGACACCGTTGGGCCGTTGCTGCTTAGTGATCAATCGATCAGCCTAAGTGCCGCTGTACCACCCCAACGCACCATATGTACGCGCGGCGTGCAAGACGCGGTAATCACTGGGTGAACTCGCCGTGCTTAGCAATCCACTCGGTCGCGTCATCGTGCGTGTTCAGACGTAGAAGAGCTGGGAACGATGATATCAGTCATGGGACGGCACTCTAAAAGGTTCCCCTATATAATGCTCTCCATGCTCAGACAGGCAGTCCGTCTCTCACCACCTCCTATACGTGCTCATACAACTTTCTCGTCTTTCCGTGCATTCTCAGCAATGGCCACTTCCTCTGACAAGTCCCTCGTGCTGTACACCGCGCCTACGCCCAACGGATATGTACCCACTATCCTCTTAGAGGAGTTCAAGGTATTCTATACCCATTCAATGCGCTGTCATTGTTCACGCTCATAGCGCGACTTAGGCTGTCTATGGTGGTCCGGACTATGAGTGCGTATACTTGCGAGGACTCACGCCTGATAGAGAACTCATTCGTACATGTTCAGAGTCGTCAAAATGAGCATCAGGGATGCCGATATTGGCAAAGTCCACAACCAGGTCAAGGCGGATTGGTTCCTGAAGATCAATCCCAACGGCCGCATCCCTGCGATCACCCATGAGGGCTTCCCCGTTTTCGAAACCTCTGCGGTCCTCGTCTACCTGGCTCAGCACTTTGACAAGGAAAACAAGTTCTCGCGCGACCCCGTCAAGGACCCGAAGGGCTACAGCGAGGAGCTGCAGTGGCTGTTCTTTTCTGTGCGTAGACAACCTTGAGCTGTGGCCATCAGAAGCTGACAGTATGCGTGTGTTCTAGCACGGAGGGATCGGTCCCATGCAGGGCCAAGCTAACCACTTCAACGTTTTTGCGGCTGAGAAGATGTAAGCACCTCCTCTGCATTCACGTCAGAACGAAGCTCACCTCTACGTCTCCAGCCCGTACGCCATCAACCGCTACCTCACCGAGACGAAGCGTTTGTACGGTGTGCTCGAGGAGCGTCTCAAGGGTCGCGAGTACTTGGTAGGCACCTACGGCATCGCGGATATCAAGACTTTCGGTTGGGCGCGCATGGCGCACCGCACTGGCTTCGACATCAACGAGTTCCCCAACGTCAAGGCCTGGGTCGATCGCATTGAGCAACGTCCTGCGGTCCAGGCTGGCATCAGCCTCTCTTGACTGCCTGATTCGAGGTTGTAGGAAGATGCTGGTCTCGGATGTACAATTAGGAAGCACAGTCGAACCGCAACAGTATACGAGTCTCTAACCTGTGGTGTGCCGTGAGTGCAAGATCTGAAATATGACTGGGCAGGAGTACAGTGTAACGGCCGGACGCCGCTTAAACGGTCAACCTTCAAGTGAAAAAATTTCCAGTAAACTTCGCATACTCTACGAACAGTTAGGATTTCTGAGTGCAAGTTTTACAACGCTACTTACACTCCTCACCGGCTTGTTTCCCTTAGACGACACCTGTGAAGCTCAGTTTGACGCTCTCACTGTCAGGCTGGAACGTGAAGCATGTGATGTACGCTGGACAGTGATGACATACAACGATACCAGCGGGGCCAGCCCCATTCACCAATGCCGGAAGCAACGCCGCATTGACTCACGCGAAACTTACCCAGGCTGTAGCGTGACCTCTTTAGAGCTCTTCGAGTGTTGATGTGTCTCGCAGTACCTTTTAAATGCGTACAGCTATTCCTAGAGGACAGGCTCAATGCTACTATACCCTGGACTCCTTTTCTGCTGCGGTCAGTCTGTTCTTACATGTTTGGAGCTATGATTTAGGGCTGACATACTTACGCTATATGAATGTTAGCGTTGTGTGGTGGTATTTGTAGAGCCGGAGTATTAAACCAAGGATGAGAACTCTGAGGTTGCTTCTAAGCCATTCCGAAACCAAAGCTTTCCTCGCGGACCCCGGCCTTCGGGGCGTCCGCCGACACAGCTCCATCACAGTAAGACACGCACCCTGCTCAGAGGTGGCTTGCATACTACAATGACACGGTTGTGCAGTGTAGCATAGCCTCCGGTTAAAGTATACGTGGCATGACCACTAGCAGCGCAAATTAGGTGACGTTGGGGCGGGAGCGCGGGTAAAGCAGCTAAAGCTGTCTGAGCCTACGAGCAACAACGAACAAAGCATCATGTGGGACATAAAAGATGATCTTCGGCTTTCACTTTTTTCGTGCAAGTCGTTCAAGTATTGAACATAGCGCATGAGTAAAGCCTGAAGTGAGAACGGCCGGATGAAGACACCGGCGCTTCGCTGCCTTTTTGTGGCGCTGCAAGCACGTGATGAGATCGCTTTCAACGTGATCCTCGGGCGCCAGCTAGCTTCATGTTGCGGACTGCTCCTCGCCTTCGCGTGTGCTTGCCTCCTCTGCGAGCTCGTACCTTCCGACGGTCAGCCACAACTTTTGCGCAGCCACAAGTTCAAGCCAGTAAAAATGCCGCGAGTACCCTGGAAAAGTCTCCAGTAGTGCAGGCCGTTGTGCGACGCATGCAACAGCGGTCGGAGATGCAGGCAAAGGTATCTGTCTATCATCATACTCTGCGAACACAATATTCTAACAAGTCAATAAGATCCTTCCAGATTCCAATACCCATGAGGACAAGCAAATCATGCAACGTATTCATGAAATGGAGCCGTTGCGAGCCGCATGGGAGGAATGGGAAGACACTAGACATGTGAGTGTGCCACTGGGCCCACACATAACATGAGCGCTCAGCAAAACGATAGTAGTTGCTCGAAGAGACCGCTAGACTCATGCAAGACCCCGATCCGACTATGCAGTCGCTCGCTCGAGAGGAGCAGGACGATTTGTTGACTAAGCTAACAGGTTTAGCAGAGAAAACTTTCCCTTCTCTGCTTGTGCCACCGTCACCAACGGCGCACCTTTCTGCTATGCTCGAGTTGAAAGCAGGTGTCGGAGGTTCGGAATCTTCTCTGTTTTTGACCGAGATCATGCGGATGTACACTCGCTTGGCGCAGATGATGGGTTGGCAGGCGGTCGTGGTCACGAATAGCACGACGGACCATGGAGGCACGAAAGATGCCGTGGTGGAAATAAAGGGTGAGAAGGTCTATGACATGTTGAGGTGGGAGAGTGGGGTGCACCGAGTGCAACGAGTGCCCGCAACCGAGGTAAATGGTCGGGTGCATACGAGTACGGTCGCTGTCCTGGTCAGTACATTCCCAGTCAGTTGAATATTTGTCGGGAAACATCTAACCCCCGCATTTGCAGGTCCTTCCCTTGGTAGAAGACAAAGGCTCGGAAGTTGATGAGGACCTGTTCAAAATGGACGAAGTTAGAATAGAGGTTATGCGTGCAAGAGGTGCCGGTGGACAGGTACGCCCAGCTATGAACCGAGTATATCTCTGGTTACCTAACCTGATTGCTTAGCACGTCAACAAAACAGAGTCCGCAGTTCGTTTGACGCATATACCGACCGGCATCACTGTGTCGATGCAGGATGAGCGGAGCCAACACCAGGTGTGTCCTGTTACAATTTGACCGTGCTATCTACCGACAAGAATATATATAGAACCGTCGTCGTGCATTCCTAGTTCTGCGAGCTCGCCTTATGGATCGCAAGCTGACCGAGGAGGTCACGAATCGTCGGGACGTGCGCCGCAGTCTTGTTAGCAGCGTAGACCGGAGTGAGAAAATCAGGACTTACAACTTCCCTCAGGTACGGACTCTGTTCTCATCTACAGACAGATCTAATTCTGAAAGCTCGCGCAGGACAGGGTCACAGATCATCGGATTGGTTTATCCCTCAGGAATGTGGCCTCGGTTATGGACGGAGGTGGCTTGCAGGATTTTCTGGATGGGCTGGCCAAGAAGCATCAGGACGACTTGTTGGAAGAGGCATTCAATACGTTATAGATATACTCATATACACATCCCAACACGATATCTTTCTTCCTCACGCGACCTGTTCTGCTCGTGTGCCGCCGCTTCTGCAGGGTAAGCAGCCCTGGAGAGATAGCTGGCTAGACGCTGCTGGGCGACCCCGATCTCGATCTAGCACTTATCTTTTGTTAGACGCTATCTGCAGGGTAGGCTCTCCGTTCCGGCCAAGGCTGTCTCTGCGTTCACTGCCATCTCACGCCTCGTCGACGTGTCCCACAGCGACGATGGCCCTCATCTCGTCACTCAGCGATGTACTCGGCTATACATCTATCGGCTGTTGGCTTGGTGCTCAGTTCCCGTGAGTATCCTACGCTTCACACTTGACCCGGGTCATCTCCGGAAGCTTTGAGTCTACGGCTCGTGATGACCCTCGACTTGCGCTGTTTGCGCGATTGCAAGTGCAAGTGTACTAATATGACGATCCCCCAGGCAGGTGCTCGAGAACCTTCGTCGACGTTCAGTGAACGGTTTAGCATGGCCATTCCTGCTCAATTGGCTTTTAGGCGAGGCATCTACTCTGGCTACGCATCGTGTTCTGCCAACTGAACTGATCACCAGGCGACATATCTAACCTTGTGGGCTGCATTCTGACGCATCAACTACCCTTCCAGGTACGTATCACTCTTCTCAATTCTATCCGAGCTGAATGGATCGGAAATCCCACAGACCTACCTCGCAATGTACTTCTGCTTTGTCGACGTCACACTTGTCGGTCAATACCTCTATTATAGCAATTCCGCGAAACCGCGGCCACCACTCTCCAACCGCTCCCGTGCAGCATCTTCTGCCACCATCACACGTATCGAGCATCCCCCAGCGCACTATCGCGCGCTTTCCCAAGTCGCCGCCAACGTAGCAGCCGCTGCCGCGCTTGCCGCTCAGCAAGAAGAACAGTCTCGTTGGCGCCCGCACGCACAAGCTAGTGTCGAATCCCGACGTACAATTCTCTCTACAGATCCAGGCGAAGCGGAGGACGAGGTAGATGAAGCCGCGCTGGCTCGTCTCGCAGACAGCCTATATTCGGAGGGAGGCCGCAATACTGCGCGCAAAAAGGTGTCGTGGAGTCGAGAGCGCGGAGGCAGCATTGGCCGGGGTCGCCCGCCAGTCATGTCGCCCATTAACGAACCACTATCTACAACATTCCCGAACGGTCCCTCAGAAGAACAAGGCTTCTCCGATCGCGGCAGGCCCGCCACGCGAAATATCTCACTAGATGGGCCACAACATGAGTGGACGGTTGAATCATCGAACCGGAGGAGCTCGCGGGCGAGTAGGAAAGGTGCGGGGATGGTGTTTCTTGGAGTGTGGGCATTGTTTGGGATCGGGACGCTTGCTGGGAGCAGGCAAGGGGTCGTGACTGAGAACGCCATCCGGGTTGGTCGCGTCCTAACGAACGGTCCACCTTCCATCGAGAGCCCGTTAATACCAACAGTGACAAGCAGGACAGATACTCTGGCCAGGATCGTAGCAAACGAAGCACCTGTCCCTCAAGCCGATGCCTCACTGTCATACGACGACCTTCACTTCTCGCAACCCATCATGTCGACTCGAGCAGACGACCCAGATGACCAACATGATGCCCCGAGCACAGACTACATCATTGGGCGTATCTCAGCTTGGATATGCACCACGCTCTACCTCACCTCACGATTACCCCAGATCTGGAAGAACGTAAGTCTTGATAAACTTTTATATACGCAGTCACTGACAGACGGCAACATACAGTACACTAGAAAATCAGTAGAGGGCCTTTCGATCTCGCTTTTCGTCTTTGCCTTCTTGGGCAATTTCTTTTACGTCTTCTCCATTCTCACTTCGCCCAACCTTAGTCTTCCGGAACGCGAAGCGGCGGCTTTTCTCAAGGAGAGTGTACCGTTAGTACCATCCTTTCTCCTCGTTAAAGCTCTTCTAACGTCACAACGCATACAGATATCTTCTTGGAAGCGGCGGCACATTGATGTTCGACGTTACGATCGTCATCCAGTCGTTTCTTTACAAGCCGAAGGCCATGCGGGGTCGGCGGCTGTCGCGGCCAATCGCTGAAGAAGAAGAGGGCTTGCTCGCGACTGGCGCAGAAGATTCTATCACCCCTTCGCGGCGACGTATGGCTAACTCGAGCGTGAGCGACCGGGGAGAGTGATTCCTGCAGTGGGCGTGGACTTACCCTTTTGCATCATCTTTGTCGTCATCATATGCTTTCTTACATCGCAACATATTTATTGGCCATGTGTGTAGCATTACAATAAATTTACAGTAGTAGTTAATGAGCTTCTTTGAGATGGTCGTCTTGACCAATTGCTTGTATGTTGTGGGAACAACGTTCATTCCTGGCCAATTGGCGCTTCAAGCTGTCAAACTCGAACTTCGCCGTTGCCACCATGCCGATCGAGTTTTTGGGCTTCACAGTTTGGATAGACTCCGAAGGGGAACAGCTACAGGAGTTTCAAGTCGAGGTGGAAGACGAAAACACCGTCAGCTGCTACATTTGTAGCGAGGTTGGGAAGGTTGGCGATCCCAGCGCCACTTTAAGTCAGGCCCTACACTGAACACACCCTCCTTGCAGCAATTCAGAATATGCTGGATGGATCAGTCGACCCTCCATGGATGCGTGGTCGCATGCTATATGGACGGTAGACCCGTCGGCGGGAAGCCCAGCCTGCGTCCGCAGGTTGGAGGTATGGAGGGCGTCTACACCTCCGCTAGCACGGTCCGACCGTTCAAGTTCTCTCCTGTGGTGACCACCGGTAAGTCGGCGTCACGACCACCTGCACTGATTGATTTCTAAGAACTGGGCGTTACTCCTTACCTAGATGACGACGAGATTGCAGACCCTGATGGCACCGATCCTGACCTGGGCTGCATACAGGTGGAGATACATCGCATTATAGGCCGCGGTAATGCAGGTCTGCGCGCGGACCATTCTCAGGACCCTCAAGACAGGGGTCGGGTACACGACGTTGGCCCTATACACGAACGCAGCAAAAAGCTTGGGGCACATCATGTTACGTAAATGCCGTCTTTGCTACTGAAAGATCATACCGTCGCAAGCGTACTGATTCGTATGCAGGCTAGGTGAAGAAGTGCATAGACCAGACGGCAAAGTGCCGCAATTTCTGGCCCCGAGATACGCTGGGGATGGGCCATACGCAGTTTTCAGGTTTCTATATCGTCCCAGAGGCGAGTCTTGCTTACCGACGTACCCCTCATTGCCAGCGTCCGGAGCTCTTTGCTGACATCTAACACCTAGAGATACTCTTGGCGCGAGGTGTCATGCCAGTTCCAACAGAGGATCGTGCTGAGCAAAAGCCAAATGTGAAGCAGGAGCTTCAGGATGGCGAGCCTGGCCCTAGCCAAGCAGAGCCGAGTAGACGAAAGATACGAGCTACCCGACATTCGCGGGAATCATCGTCATCTGGTCGACCCAGATCTCATATTGTCAAAATAGAACCCCAGGAGCATATACTCACTGCCAATGAGCGGAGGGGTTTGAGACGAAGAGTACGTACGAGGCAGGGAGAGGACGGTATCCATACCAAAGAGGAGGCCAGGACTGTGGAGCATATCCTGAAGCAGGAGGATGCATAAAAGACGATCCACTCATGTCGCCGTCGCAACATAGGAGATGCAGGATGAACTGTGTATGGCATGGTATACGTACAAAGGCATCACAGGTATTAGGGTCGATAGCATAGCACAGCGTGATCGCAGACCGCAGCACATTGTGGACCACATTGTTAAGGAACTGGGATGAAGTTGTAACGCATGGAACTGGGAGACTGAGTGATAGGAGTTACGGCCACGGATCCCAGACAATCGCATCCACAGCCAGTAGCACATGAAGGATCCTGTCGATTTCTCCAACAACGGACATGGCTTGCGTGCAAGCATACCAAGCATGTGTGCGACAAACCTCCTCGAGTGTCAGTTTCGACTTGGTAGAGATGATAGGTACGGTGCGTACCTCGGACCGGTAAACGACATATAGAACACGATTCAACCTTTAGACGGCCACCGCACGACGCACAGAACTCAACATCAGGCTCGTTTATCTGTGCGCAGATAGCGCATATTCGCGCGATGCCTGCACAACGGTAAGCCAGAGACGGGTGCATATAACGATGAGGCGTACCCAGAGGACTGGAGTGCAACATGTTGACCATTGCAGGATGCGAAAGATCAGGAGCAGTCATCAGTTCGACGCGCGCAGTTTCGAGAAGTTCAGCTCGCTTTTGCGCCAGGTCCCATGCCAGGAGCATTTCCGCGTATGCCCAGACGTGTGCTTCCAACTGACGTCGTAACCGCAGCTCCAGCCCGAAGATAGACCTCTGCACCTTCATATGGGAAAATATCTCTACCGAGACGCGCTTCTTCTCGGGTTGTGAGCTATTGCCCACGACTTGCGAAAATGTTGGACGTCGTCCTCGATGTTGGGATGACAAGGAGGAGAGTGTGGTACTCCTCGAAGAAGAAATATCCGTAGCATCGGACCATGACTTCGTAGTATCCGACCATGATTTCGAAGTGTATGGTTGCGCAGGAGAGTCGCGCTTGAACTCTCTTGTGAGGGGAGACTGGGGAGAATAGTGCGTTCTCGGAGCAGGAGTGGGCATCCCTGCTTTAGAAGCTGCGGAACGTTTGTTAGTCTATGGCTCGTGAGGAATGTGACAATGCGGCTGTGCAAACCTGTGATCAGTTTCCGCATGCTGGTGGGATTGAACAAGCTGGACCACGAGCCCCTTGAAGAAGAAGGCGATGCTAACGGCGGAGCGACAAGATTAGTAGTGTTGGTGGAAGGACTATTACGGGTCCAGAGCTGGGACACTGGACTCTGTCGCAGCTGAGAATTGCGTTTGTAGCTGAAGTAATCCGGGGGCGCGACACGGGATATTGGCGACGCCGTCGCCGCCGTCGCTAGCAACATGTCAGTCTGCATTATTAGATAACATAGCGGGTTGCTGATACTCACGTATTTCTACTGCGAGGCGCAATAGAATGACAGAGAGCATCGCCAACATCTGGATATCTTTCTCCTGAGATAGCTCTTCGTATCTATTACAAACCGTAAGTCGCGTTCATCACCACGGCCGAATGTCACCCACAGCTTTTCCATCATGCTCGCAGTCAGGGAGTTTCGAACCGTGTACAGAGAACTCGCGTGTGCGGCACCCACTCCGGGCTTCTGAATATCACCGGCCAGTACCTGGAAAATACCGAATAATCGTTCATGATCCAACCGCCCATAGAACCTAGCAGTTTCGATGTTCGTCTTGCAAGCGGACACAGCGTCGGGGAAGGGGAAGACATAGTCTCTTGCCACAACGACGTCGATACCACAAAGTATTGAGACATCTTTGATGTAGACCGTACTTCTCCGGTTCGGAAGTAGCGAATAGTTGTTCGGAGTATCTTCTGAGGGCTTGGAGTATTCCGACACACGCCTGACCTTCTGGCTCGGTTGGCCTGAGAAGGTGAAAAGATTCGACATAATGCGTAGGATGCTGTGGGCGTTCTCTGCCCGCTTCATATCGACAGACTCAACTTCGCGGTCGTTAGCGGCAAGAGCCAGACGACGCATGGCGTCCGAAAGGAGTACCGGAGACCAGAACAATCTTGGTGTCGCCTCGCCTTGCGGAGCGGGAGAAGGAGATGTAGAAATTTCTCTCCCAATATTCTTCACTATGCGAGGCGGTGCTCGGAAGAAGCACACAAGCTCCCCTAATGAGTGCTTAGCACGTGAAATACCACATCTGAGACGTTGTGCTCTTACCGTTAGGGCCGAAGACACCCTGAGACGTTCGAGGCTCCGCAAGGTTCTTGTCTGAACGAAGTAAAGACGTAGTTCCTTCCTTCGGTCGCCTGGTAATAATTCCTAGCTCATCCTCCGATGACGACGCGGAATCAAGTGATGGTGCTCTACTACTTGTGTCCTCGTCGCCAAATAGAAGAAATCTTAAGCACGCTTCTAAGCAAGGCCGTTCTTGTTCCCGAATGATGCGCAAACGACGGAGAATGTGGATCCTAGTTTTCATGGATATCAATGGATTCCGCTCTAGATCGACCTGGGGAGTGCCACCGGGATGACTAGCCTGAGGATAATCCTTTGGAAAAATGAGAGATATACGGATGAAGACAGACATGCCGTCTCCCCAAGGCCCATGCAAGCCAAATGTACAAGCGCGCCGCTTGGCCAGTTCGAACTGCGCTGACATTAGCAGAGCCAACAAAGTTCAAATGCATCAAGACACGCCTTCTCAAGCTTGACTTTTGAAGCACTCAGTCGATTGATCACGGACGTAATTCTGCAAGCAGTCGTCAGCTGGGACAAAAAGCGCGCAAATGGAAGACACCAACTCCTCTTGCAATGATTGATTTGTATCAGCTTCTCGACGATCCTCTTCATCTCGATCTCTACTCGTGCTCTTGGCCCTGTAAGAAGATACTGAAGGGTCAGCAACAGATGGCGGGCGAGATCTTGAGTTTAAGCGTGACGCATGTCCGCTGTCCGCGCCGCTCGGAGGTCCAGAGCTAGTGTCTCTCTTGTGCCCGACTTTGACTGAGGATAGCCAAGCGAACGTCGTGATCTGAGCAGAGCGACCACCGACATATCCGCGACTCATCGTTTCTGATCTCTCTTTCAAAGGCTGCTGAGTTGTCTTGGCCTTCTGTGCCGTCGCTGAAGATGATCTTCCGGCAATCGCGTCTTGGGACTGTCTCAGGGCATTAACTTTGGATGGACGGGGAGGCTGTGTAGCCCGAACTTCTGCGAGAATGGAGCGATGCCCTATGGGAGCGGACAAGGCTGGCGGAGGTTCAGAGCCTGCAGGTGGATTGCTGAAAGAAACGCGATCATCGAAGTAGCCTGGCACAGTGGAGGCCTTGGTAACGGGAGACGTGCCCACTTTCTGCCGATAGAATGAGCAAATCGATTCAAGCAGACTTCATTCCCCTACCTGCATGGCGTCGGAATCTAAGGGCCAGAAGCGGAGCGTCCGGTCCTTCGACCAGGTAATGAGTTGAAATTCCGAGTCGTCTACGACATAGTTTGTAAGCATGGGACTGGAGGTCATATAATGACAAACCTCGACCTCCTTTCCTCCAAACAAACTCCTTGACAACGTCTGCGTGTCCTTCGAAACGCTCAACGGGCTCGGTCAGGTCTTGCGGTATCCACATCTCCAACGCCGTCTCCCCGCGCTGAGGGAGGCTGAGCACACCTTTCCCAAACGGCAAATTTCGGGCACGCCAAATGGGATACGTGGTGTGAATAGTATAAAAGGGCTCATGAAAACCATTCGAGTTGGGAGACTGGGATATATCCCAAGCCTTGATAGTGGTGTCAAGGGAACAAGTCACAATCTCGTCACGCTTGTCGTGCGCCCAGTCGATACCGTATATCTTGGCATCGTGAGCTTTGATAGTGGTCACTGGAAGGGATCCTTTCTGAAGCTGATGAGCATAGCTAGGAAAAATTGTAGACCGTCCGTACCCGTCTATCCCAAACCAGAACTTCGTTCATGTGAGAAGAGGCCAGCAGGTTACCGTCTTTACGGTTCCATTTCACTTGCGTACCGGCGGCTAAGATTACGTGAATCTAATGCGAAGAGTCTATGTTGTGGCTGCCTACCATTGAAGGCGCATAGCCCTGCGTAGAAGGTTAGATTGGATGGATGATCTCGGACGAAGGGCGATACATACCAATAATGGGTTTTTGAGGTGTCCTTAAGTCCCATGCCCATAACCATGAATCTATACCGGTACTCACTACGACATCGGGGTCGTGGAGATGCCAGTTGATATCCGTGATGGCACGGTAATGAGAGCGCAAGATGTGTTCAATAGACGTCTTCCCGGAGATGTACAAGTTCCAGATCAGTCTGTAACGTAGAGGCAAGCAGAATCAACTCAGGGGAGCGAGCGAAGCACCAAAAGACACTTACAGCTTCTCACTAGACGTCGAGATGATATATTCTTTCCTGGACATATGAGGATTCCATTGCACGTCAGCAACGTCCCATGTACCGCCCTGAGGGAGAAAGCTGGGAGGAATTTAACTTTGGATGGTCGACTCAGCTCTGCAGTTTGACAAACCGGGGGACATTCAAGGGATTTTCGAGGTCTATGATGAAGAGCCCTTTCCGACTGTGATACGTGGTATGAGCCGGAAGGAGAAAGCGGATTAAGAGCTAGTGATGCGCACGCAGCTAGAACAACGTCGCGGCTGCCAGGACTGATGCTCATCTGCGAAAGAGACGCATAAGCACAGAGAGACGTGTGAGGACATGACAAGTTTCCCGCTCTACACTAAAGAGGGGCGTTGGGATCAGCTCACATTACCAACAGCATCTCCAACTAAGCCCTTCATATCAATCTGCAAACTGCGGCGGAAGTTCCCGTCATCCTCAGGCGAAGACGGAGTGTCGAAGGTAGCGGCTTGGCTTCCACTCATAGCACTGGTGTGGACTACTAGGAGTCTTGGGCAACCTGCTGGCCTGGGGTGAGCGAGCTCAAGGATATACTTCGTTTGATGGCTATTACGCGATCCCCGCGCAGGAGTATCGTATTATGGATTGCGTCTACTGTACTGGTTCAGTATGGAAGATGGACATGAGGGGAGGATATGATAGGAGGATATGGGGTTGAGACTAAGTTCTGACTAAGCGCCTCCCAAATATTGGCCTCTAGATCATAGAGCGATCCTGCTGGCACTGCTCTTCGTGCATACACATCGAATCCACAAGCATGCATATAACATAAGTGGTGGTGTTCTATTGGATAGCTAGATAGCGAATGCGTGTGCGAGAGCAAGTTGCAGTAATAAATTACTCTACGAAGCAGTGTGAGTCTTTGATACTTTAGCCGCACCCTTCGAGACACCCTCCAGGATTTGGTAGCGGGCATCCGTAAACTTTTTGGCGACACCCGCGAGGAATTCCGCAGTGAGCTGAGGATGATACGATGTCAAAAAGCTCTTTCGTCGCGGAATGCGGGTACCTACCTCGGAGGTCTCGAAAGCACTCCATTGCTCGACGAATTCTGGCCGCCGATCCGTGTCCTTCTCTGCTTTGGCCAATTTTTCGAGCTCTGTTGACATCAGTTCCAACGTCTGAGCAGCTTTGGCGCGGATTTCCTTAAAGCTCTGAACCAGCTAAGGTGGTGTTAAAATCGCGGAACAGCAAGTCCTGCGGGACACCCACAGGTCCTAGTTTATGAGTCTTGACGATAGCTGCGGGCTTGAAGCGTATGGTCTCAACAGCGAAGATGAGAAGAGCCTAAGCGAAACACAGGTCAAATACAGCCGAACGAATTGAAAGGAGGGACCACCTCTTGAGTCAGGGTCACAATGTGCAGCAGTTCTGGTGGCAGCACTGAGCCGTCGAGAGCAGTAGTGAATCGGGCCTTCATGTCTGCAAGTAAGTGATGATTATCGACCAGAATATACTCAGTCCCATGCCACATACCGTCAAAGAAATTCAAAGCAATCTCTGGCGGGTCCTGGACAACCGGAGGCTCGTAGTCCTTCTTCGCGTCCCCGTTACTACCATTCTCAGGTAATGTCAGACCCTTTGGCTGATGCCCGAGCTTGAGCTCTGTTTGGCGAGCAGCCTCCGCGAGAACAACTGAAGGTGGAGGACGGATATAGTCGTGGTGGGGTCCGAGCCACTCGGAAAGAGCAGTAGCGAAGTCGAGAAGCTTACGCTCGTCCTGAGTCAGCTGGGAAAATCCGTGGTAAGTCAGTTCAGATCTGTCATGGATACACCGTCTGTAATTACCTCCTCCAGATCCAGCTCTGGTCGTTGCGCTAACCTGTCGTCAAGGGTCATGCTACTCATGGACTCGACATGAGATTTTGGCCGGTCGCCAATGAGCAGCTTGTCCTCAACCGAGTCGTCCAGGTCGCTGGCTTGCTGGAAAGCCCTGATGTAAAATCTGAGGAAGGACGATAGCCATCCAGGCTGCATAACCGACCGTCAGCTGGCATTTCCGTTGTAAGCCTTGTCATACGTACTCCTGGAACTTTGTCGAACAACGTCGTCTGCTCCTGGAAGGAAGGGGCATTTCGGGGCTGGTGGTTAGGAATGACGGTAAAGTCCCTATTGTCGTGGTGCACTGACGTGCAATGAGCATATTGTATTACTCAGCAAGTAAGCACTACTCACGACGATCGAAGATGAACTTGAGCTCAATGAGTTCCATGTCGACCAAGTCCGAAGTAATCGCTTCGTGTGCGAGGCGCATACGAACGTGCTCCATCTTCATCAGGTCACGCTGAAGAGAGTTGTCTAACCTGTCCTCCAGGACGATGAAGTCGGGGATCTGGGTAACTGCGTCAACAAGATTCTCTTTGTGTGCTGCCGAGGCAAACGCGCCTGCGAGTACTTCTCCGCAAAGAAAGCTCGAACGACGAACTCGGCGGTCTACGAATGAGTCGTCAGCATAACTGCGAAACGGGATCCTGAAAGCCGTATTTACATCTGTCGAGTTGCTCAGGTAGATCTGACTGGCCTCCATGCACTCGGAGGAATATGTAAGGTCACCCCAGCTCGACAGGGCGAAGGTTGACGCCCTGGACAAGATGAGGTACGATAGTGTGTCGGTCTGGACCTGCTTGATGTTGAGCAGGCGGTAGTGCTCTAGAGCGAGTGACGGTGCACCTGCAGTGCCTCATGAGCTTTATATGCCAGTGTAATACTTAAGCTCACGAACCAAGCAGGTGGTAGATTCTGATGAGCATGATACGGATGACATAGCTCTGCTTGCTCTTGCTAGATGCAAACTCGAGGATAGCTATAGCCCTGCGGAGATACACTAAGTCGCCAGTAAGCTTCCACAAGTCGGTGTATGCGTGTCCGGCTAGCACAGCCAAGTCGTCGGCAGGTTGCAGTTCCGTGTCTGGCAAATTCTTGCCGTGAATGAGGCTTTGCAGATAGTACTGGACATATTGAGTTGCGCGGGTAATCTCAAGTTCTGGTGTCAGCTGCTCTTGAGTGAGATTATAGCGGAGGAGCTTCAGGGCATTGATCGTGCGACAGAGGCTTTCTGGAGTTTCCTGCATAATTGAGATTTAGGAGGCATATACAGGGTGATAAAGGTGGGCCTACATTTGCTATCTGCTTCTCAAGCAGGCCAGTCCACTGAGTAGTATGGTGACCAAAGAACTGAATATAGGGGACAAGATCCTCGAAGCAGCATGCTTTATCCCCAAATCGTTCGAAATATGATTCAGCGAGCGTATAGATAGCATCAGGATCTATATCATTCGTCAGAAACCCTGAAGAGTATCGGTCATAAGAACAAACCTGTCGCAAGACCGTGAGCCACACACCGCTTCTCAAGCTCAAGAAGTGCCAGTGGGCCGGAACGATCGTGCGTGCCGTCCTTGTCGGCAATCTGGGCAAGGAACTCTTTTGTCTTGCTGATATAGTGACGACACGCATCCTTGCTCTCATCGCTTGGCTCTGACACAGACGTGACATCCCAGAACGTAGCGTCCAGTACGGACAGGAATTCAAGCCAGTTACGGTCACTGCGAAGCGTGAGCATGAGTGATGGACATGAGTATCCTGGCCGACGTACTCCTTCTCCTGGATGCGCTGTTGTGCGCGCCCACCCTCTTCCTTCATGCTTCCTTTTGCTCTCCAGATATCACGTCTGAGCTCGTCGATCGTGAGGTTGGTGTTACAAATGGTCTGACCGATTTCGCTGGACAGCAGCGTAGCTACGTCGTCCCAGAGCTCGAGTTCCTTCAGGATAGTGAGATGGACATAAAAGCGGTCGGCGCTGTAGAAGGATGGTGTTTGCGCAGAGGAAATCAGACGGTGAGCAAGTTTGTAGAGTACGGGGCGAAGATCTGGCTGTGTCGTCTGATCGTTGGCCTATGGTAGACAGGGCTTCAGCAATGGGAAATGGTGGTAGGAAACGAGTGTGCTACCTGCAGCACAGAACAAAAGATGCTCCAATACAAGTAGCGCTCCTCCTTGAACAGTTTATGCATCTTCGTAGCGACCTGTCCGTTGCAAGTGCACCGTGAGGACAAATCTACTTGCGTAATGAGAAACGTCACACGCCTGTTGAGCAGACTTCCAGTTGCCTGTTCTAGCGTTCGCGGCGAATGTCTGCGCACCAAGGTCCTCGTTGCCGGGTTGCTGCTTCCAAGCAGCGTCGTACATTGTTATGATATCCAAGTCTACAGACTCTGTTGAGCGTGTCATGGAAAGATCAGCAGAGCATACTCACGCCGCCCAAGTCCTCGGAGCACATGGGAAAGGGCGGACAACGTCGCCTCGTCCGCCGGCTTTGACGCAAGGACTTCGTCGCATAGGTACAACGACTCTTCGACCTTTTGAGATCTCACAAGAGCCAGGGCTTTCAAGGCCTAGTGATAAACGCGTAATAAGTAACGAAGGTGCGCATATAGACACGTACAACATTTGCGCACCTTGACCAGGTCATTTTTCGGCTGCTTCTTGAGCAACTTGTTACATGCCACGATAGCAGACTTATTAGAACCGCTGTCAATCGCATCTGTAGGTTGCAGCGTAAAGGACGGCCCAGACAGTGAATATTACACAGCATAGCATAGCAAAAGCAGACGTGCGGACCGTAAATTGGACGAATCTGACGGTCAAAAGTTGCTGACATCCTGGTAGTGGAGCAAGTACGACGAGCCAGACGTGAACGAGCTGGGTAAGAAGGAAAGTCGGATGGTGGATGTTGCCAGCAAGTTAGGCGAGAGTCGTGGTTGGCTCGTGTGGGGAGCCGAGGGTGAAATCGAATTGCAGTGCCGAATTTTGTAGAGACGCTATGCGTACGCTTCTTCCTTCCCGCTTCCCGCCGACGTCGACGCAATAGCTTAAACTTCTGTTCCTCACTCCATTCGACGATCTTGAGCATTTCGAACCTTCGGCTCGAACAGCCAGCACAGGAATTTCACGAAGTTTTAACACGTTCGACCAGGCAGGCGACGACAATGGCCCCTTTGCTGTCACGGTATGGACCACCAGTAACTCCATGACCCTGGCAGGAGCCAAACTTACGTCTTCCTAAGCGGGGTTGATTCGCTGCTAGGCGTGTTCACTGGTGTATTCGCGTATTATCTGTATGAGAACAATCCGCGCACCGCACCCGCAGAACGTGACCGTTTGGTAGAACTCGTGAAATGGAAGCAACAGAAGTGGAGGAGGGAAGAAGAGGAGAAACACAAGACAGACGAGAGCGCGTTGAGAGCCGTAGTTGCTGAAGCAAAGAGAGCATAAACTGTAGAACCTGCACCTGGTATGGTTTCAAGCTCCAAAGGGTTGTGATACTTTGTACTGACTTGACGATGCGTCCTGCCTCAGATTACCTGGCAAATGTGTGATCCTGCCTATTATTTCGGTAACAGAAGACTCCGAACCGCAGCCATAACGCCATGGAACACCTGTCGCTCGCGTTCGCTGGGCGAACCCTCGTCACCAGCTCCGGGGAGTGGACGTAAAGCTATGCCCACGATGACTGCTCGTCTATCACCACCCATCATGCCTTCTGCATTTGACGTCCACACAAGAGTAGCCACTTGTGCCGCATAGAGTGAATGCAAGGTCTGCAGGTGCTCGGATGGCGCGCTCCCAAGCAGAGGTGTAAGGTGGATGGAAGGTGGAGGCGGTGGAAGCAGTATTTCAGACGAGTCGGTTGAGGGAGCTGGAGGTGGTATCGAAAGTGTAGCGTCTGGGATAGATGCCTCGATCTAGCAGGACAGGATGAGTATGAACGAGCCGAGACCGTAATGCAGGTCTTACCAAAGTTCCAACCTTTCCCAACTGCGTGATCATGACCAATATCTTGTCTGCAAATCGCTGAATTACGACATCTGTAGGTATGCCCTCGGCAATTGCTGTCGTCTGTGCCGTACACGATATGCTGGTAGTGGTGGCCATCGTTGTGGGCTTGCGCACACTGCGGCCAGGAGCGAGATTGCATCATGTTATCTCATGTTATCTAACGACTTCCTCGGAGGGGTTTTGGCGCCTCATGCCCCTGTATAAACCTGTACCACAACCTGCACCACATCTTCCCTAGCGTCAGTCATCTGGATATGCACGACACCCAGTCGTCTAAAGGCAAGACTCGAGAGGATTCACACTGGCAACTAGGCTGGTGGGAGCTGTTGCCGTTAATTAATGGTCCCAGAAAGTACGTCAGACCACACCAGTAATATGACGCTTGCCGACGGTCTTCAAGGCCTGTGGCATGGTCCCGCTCTTCTGTGATCTATGCGGCGCACCCAACACAGCCTATGGTTATTGCTAGACACTTTCCTTCTTCAAGACAGTTTAGCTTTCCTTGGCCGAGCCCGATAATGCATAATATCGCATCCTATGACCCGCCTACAGTAATCTCCGTGAGCCCAGCTGAGGACTGGCTGTTCGCATACTTCCCAGGACGAAATAGCGACGGTATTGGCTGCTTGTGGAAACACGGACATCATTTGGACTCATGGGTGGTCGATGTATGCTTCAGTTACGCCAAGTATGCGGGCGTTGTAGCCGCGGAATGGCTCTCCTCTGAGCGACCGGTGAGCCAGGCAATTGTAGCAACAGTCGTCCTTGATATGTGACTTAATTTATCAGTGGACAGTAGGAGAACACGGTGCGCCTTTCCGACTGCCTCCCCGAGGCCCGTCTCTTCCTTTGGACGGACCAGTGCTGTTCCTTGTAACCGAATCGCACCAAGTGCATGCCTACAGCGTGACCCACGGGAAGACATTGAAAGGTTCTCTACAGCAGATGTCGCGTCAGATGGTCAACCTACAATCAGATGAGAATCCTTCGCCTCCGCTGCAGGAAGATGAGAATGACCGTCATAGCGGGAGGCGTGTCTGTACATGGGCTGCTATCGGGATATGTTACAATGGTATGTACGAGAGCGCTGTCTGAGGAAGCTACTAATATAGCTACTCAGACCTTTTTCCGATTGTTGCCACACGGTCCAAGCTGTTACCGCCGACTGATGTAAATGATCCGTCGGTCGGCGATATCGACCTTAGTCTCGCGTTGGACATTTCTGGTACTCCAACGCAGCTGGACATCGCCAATGCCACAGAATGGGAACAGTGGGGAGGAGAGCAAGCTATTAACCTCTGCATGGTCGGGATAAGGCTGGCCGCCACTGTGTTAGGTGCGAGCAAGATCGTAGTCTGCAAATACAGTGCCTTACATGTATTTTCAGCTATGTTCACAAAGCCTATGCCATCTATAAATACTCAGAGAGCGCAAATGTCGGATCTCCGTTTCTTTGCTGTCCCTCCAGAGATCACACCTCCTAGTCCTACCATTACAAGAGACCCTCGGAGGCCGATGAAGAACAATGGCATGTCAGAAGCAGGCTCACTCTATCTTGCAGTGAGCTATCTCGATTACGATGATTGTAAGCGATTTCATACACGCTATATTTATCCATCTATGCTTATTGAAAGCTATCCGAAGTCTCGTCACTTCCAAAATCTCAGCTTTCCCTGTATTCCTTTCCACTCGCTTCCGACAACCAGAGCCGGGTAGGTGCCCTGCTTCGCTCTCCAGGACTGCGACCAACGTTTATTTTAACAGCAATGTCGTCTGGAACAAACCCGCATCTTCGATTCGGGTGTATTAGCGTTCTTGGCCCCTGTGTCGTCAAGGCTACGGTTTATGGTAGGGTTTCTCGATCCAACCGGTACCACTCCGCGGCAGAGCGGCAGAACTCGGGAAATTCGCATAGGAAGCACCAGTGTCCTGTGCATGTAAGCCGGTCAACCGACCCCTCGAAAAGTGTTGCTGAGTCAATGCCAGGCCAGACCTCAAAACCGACGCACGGTGGGAACATTCGCCTGTGTTGTCCTCAGCTGACGGCGCGGCCAGAGACAGTAAGCCTCCCTCTGCAATGATTGGTCTTGGCTGGCATCCTAACCGAAAGCAGTACCCGAAGGAATTGCGGTTTCGCCCAACCAGACCTTTATCTGCGGTCTCTCTCCGACTCTAGCGATGAATCAGGGGCCTAGAATCTCAGTTCAACCTATCCCACATCCTCTTCCGCCTAGTCAGGGCAGTCTCACATCGAGCCCTGGCAGGCATGAGTTGTCTCGAGCGCTCATATCAGCGTTATTTTCCAGACGATCACCTTCGGACGTCATACGTGCACTGTCAGCGTCAGCGGTGCCGTTGTCTGCGATTGAAACTGTGCTACTGGAAGCGGTAGCAGCGCTGGAGACGAGTGCAAACGGTTTGCAGCAAACGTGGTATGACGAGTTCCTTGGCGTCATAACAGAAGTTTATTTGTACGACACATATTAGACCCTTCCCGCATAGTCTGACACATGGATCTAGAGCGAGGTCGCGGACTGAAGACGACGAGACTTCTAAACGTGCATTGACAGCGCGTTGGAGGACCGCGCATGACATGTGCTCAGTAGCGGCGTTCAACAGTGCGTTCGAAGACTGTAAAGACGGCGACAACTATGATCTCGGTAAGTCCCATATTTGATCATCACAAAACAATGAGCACAGATTGTGCCGTCTCGTAGAGGCTGTATGGCAGCTGGTCGGTCTCAGTAGATGGCTGGTGGGCCTGTTGGAGAAGCTCCTAAAGCGATGCGTTTACATGGGGGGCACGGAGACACCTACCAAGCCGGATCCTACTCCAGGGAGTCCAGGGAAACTTTCCGTAGAGATGGATGTATGGCTTTCTCCCGATGGTGAGCCACAAGAGTGTATCGTTATGTGTAACTGACGTCGATATCAGCAACAATCCTTCTCCATCTTATTCATCCTTACGCCTTCCAAAACTTGAGAGACGCGGTCGCTCACGTCAAGCGGTTCCGTGATGAGCTCGATCCACTGTCACCGAAAGGCGAAAGTGCACAGATAGCCAAGGATGTCTTGATGGACACGGCTGACTCGTCTGGAGTGGACTTGAAGAATCTCCTGTCCGCTCTCGATGAAATCAAAGGCACGCTGAAGCACTCAGGTAGGTCTCTTGAATACGATGCACGATGTCTGATGCCTGATCAATTCTATTCACAGTTGACGAACAGCGAAGGAGCCTCGTGAAATGCTCCCTACTACCATCCTTAATCGCAGTTGCGCGCGGGGCTGTGGAAACGATCCTTGAAGGCTCAATTATAGACAGGCCCAAGCTGTTTATCAAGCCCTCAGAACTAGTTGATGGTGTCACGCGACTGTCTCTGACAGACCGGCTCAAGGATCGGGACACCGACGTCGTATCGAAGGGTCTGCTTATTCATCCTGGACTAGACTTCGTCTGTACGCGCTGCGGAGGGAGGAGTGAGACGGGTGGACCAAGTGAGGTCGCAGGGCATGTTTCGCAGAACTGGAGTGCCTGGGAGCAGACTTGGACATCGCGATGTGTATGCGGGGGAGGCTGGATGCGTGTAGCGGTACTCTAGCACGGTCATTTGTAGAGCTTACTATACGTGCGAATATCATGAGCGCCGTGGGCGGCAAGTGTGGGAACTCTGATCGAGAAACTGCATAGTCCGGCAAGCCACCGATCCCTGCCTCAGACCTCGACTACCGGCAAGAGTACGTAGTCCCCCAAGATCCCGTAATGGCCCCCTCAACTACGTGCGTAGCACTCCCGCAATCTAGCTGGTTCTCTGAATCTAACGATGGTAAACTCATGCTAGCGTCCCGTCCGTTACGGTTCGTATACCAGATTGATGGTGAAGCTATACCGGTTTGACTAACTGCGTGCATGTGGGGTGGAATAGGACATCGAAGTCCCGGAGACCATTCTCAAAAAGCGCAAGCAGAATGAAAAGGCTCGGGAAGAGCGTCTTGCCTCTGCGGCTGCCGCCCGCAAGGTGAGTACATGCCCAATTTACTTCGGAGTTGCCTTTGGCTATTCTGTTATGATGCATATTACGCTCTTTTTGGCTAGTTGAGACTCGCTTTCCACAATGCTGCCAGAAATTATACCATCTTTCGGGACTGAACTTCATCGTGCCTTTGCAAGATCATGGGAGCAATCTTACTGACAAACGTCCACTGCTAGGCAGCCAAGGCCAAGCGTAAGGTTATCTTCAAGCGCGCTGAGAAGTACGTGAAGGAATACCTTACTGCCGAGAAGGAGGAGATCCGCTTGAAGCGAGTTGCCCGCGCCGCGGGCAACTTTTACGTCCCCGCTCAGGCGAAAGTGTACTTCGTTGTCCGTATCCGGGGGTGCGTTGCAGATCTCGGTCAATATTTTGGTCTACGTTATTGACCAGTTCGTAGTATCAACGAGATCGCCCCCAAGCCCCGCAAGATTCTACAGCTTCTTCGGCTCCTGCAGATCAACAACGGTGTTTTCGTTAAGGTCACTAGGGCCACAGAGCAGATGCTCCGTCTTATTGAGCCTTACATCACTTATGGGTACGTGGTCATATGGCTCGGAGAAATGTGAGAGACTCATTTTTAGTGCAGCGAGCCTAACCTGAAGTCTGTCCGTGAACTCATCTACAAGCGCGGCTACGGCAAGGTTAATAAACAACGCATCCCTCTCGCAAATAATTCAGTCATTGAGGAGACACTCGGCAAATATGATATTCTATCCATTGAAGATCTCGTTCACGAGATCTTCACCGCCGGCCCCAACTTCAAGCAGGTCAGCAACTTCCTTTGGCCGTTCAAGCTCTCCAACCCTACCGGTGGCTGGAGGACACGGAAGTTCAAACACTTCATCGGTGGTGGTGACTTCGGTAACCGAGAAACCAACATTAACAAGCTCATCCGCCAGATGAACTAAGTTGGCTAGCACTCGAACCTGGTCTTCTGTACGCTAGGAGAGATTGGCTCGCATTTTTATGTGAGCGATGGGACATTGTGTCGCAGGGCCGCACGTCTGGGAGGGAGGACGCCCGGCACGCACCGCTGTCTTTCTCTATTGTTCGTCTTACCTGTATGCCCCGTATGATAAAACGAGTTGCTGTGCATGCCATCTCTTCACTTTGCTTTAAATTGTACTCTGGATCTCTTAAGTGCAACTGCATGACCTATGGCCATGTTAATTTTGAGACGAAGATGACTTATGTCACCACCACCACCACCACCAACTACATTCGCCGCGACACTAGCTATTAAGTTATGTCTAAACGAAACATCGCCGACAAAAACAGCCCTGGGCCCAATAGGCAGGTGAACACTCTGCTGAACACACTCAGGTGTGTACGACACTGACGTTACCACCACTAGAGGTTTCTCATTACTTTATCATTTAAAGAGGCGAGCAGTTCAGACATCAGCAAAACCTCCTTCGCTCGCCCTCGCACATCCCCACATCCCTGCAGACCAAGCCGACGCTCCCGCTTGCGCAGATCTTCGGCACAGGCAGCGGCAGTAGCGATGCGTACGCAGATGCACTTGACCCAGTACAACCCGCACCGTTCCGCGAACCGGGCACGCTGGGGCACAGGAGGGGCATGCGTCCGCAGGTGACGCTTGTCGAGGGCGTGCCAACATATGCGTACCCGAACGGGGCTGTCCCCGGGCCACGCCCGCCGCGGAGCTGGATGCTGCTGTTCGACGAAGGCGAGAGGCGTGAGCCCAAATGGAGGGCAATCGCACTTCGCTTGCTGTTTGAGGACCTGCGTGTTCCGCCCTGGGTGTGTGATGTCAGGGAGGAGGGCGAAGGCGGGTACATGGTGCCTCCGCTTGCACTCGAGTGTGCGCGGATGTTACTTGAGGCATATGGAGACACAGAGGACTGGGCGGAGGTCGCAAGGTACATCCCGGCGCATGTCAGGCGGGACCTCGTGCGATGGTATGCGGTGCGTAAGCCGCTGGGAAATGCGACTCTGTATACACTTTATGGGGAAGAGGCGCATGCGGAAGGGGAGCTGTTAGTCGTTGGACCAGAGGCGACACTCAGGAGAGTGGCTTTGGTGAAGGGCAAGCAGACGAACCGACGGATGCAACCTGCCCAATCAACCGAGCGCGAAGAGGCCACTTGGGATGAGTTTGACTCTTGGGACGAACCCGGCGACACGACGACCCCGCTTACCACATTCGCACTTGTCATGACCCCTCTGCCAAACGAGCTCTTGACCTATCTTCCCCCTACCCTTACACATCTCGCACTTCTTGCTTTGCCACAGCCTGTACGTGTCTATCGCTTACCCGAAATTTCTCCCTTGCTGGAAACACTTGACTTATCCTACAACGACTGGCTGAGTAATAACGGTAGTACGGCCGAAGGGTCGTTGGAGAGGGTACCCTGGCGGCGATGGCAGCGGTTGCGGGTCTTGGGTTTGCGGGTCTGCGGCATCGGGGCAGACATTGCCACAAAGGTGAACGTGGAAAGATGGACGGATGTCGAGATCGTAGGTTTAGACGAGCCTATATCTAGAAGCACCTCCAACAGAGAGTCATGACATGGAAAACACGGATATCTCAGTGCGTGAAGATTATATATGAACAAGTAATGCATAGTATACAAACGTGTCGTTCCGTGCCTAAAGACTGTACAAACCAAAAGCTAACAATACACAAATAGGTCATGGGGAGTTGTGAAGAGAGTAGTCAATGGAAAAACTGACAGTCGGAGCTTAAGACTTGGTATCCAAGAATTCTAAGAGATCAAAGAGTGGTGCACGCTATCACGTATCTTCAGCTATCTCTGCACATTTACAAAACATAGGATACACACCTCGGGGCCCTGGCGTTCTTGCGATTTCTTCCCTGCCTCTGCTGAACTCTCCGACTTGCCAACAGAATTGTTAGAAGACAATGGTAGCTTCACACCCGGTGGCCACTTGCTGGACGGGGGAAGGCTTATCTCTTGCCCATGTAAAATGGACCAGGTGGTAGTAGCGTGTCGAGCTCCAAGCTCGATGCATGATACGGCTCGCTGGTTGGTGCGGTCTGGAAAGTAACTTAGTAAACGCGGCACGCTATCATGGTAGAGGTTACCTACGTAGTATGGCGCTCTCAATCTGGTCCGCGACGGCTTCTCTTCTGTCCTGAGCAAGGAACGGAGCCATTATGCTGTTCTCGGGGACAGTGTACGCCAGGAGTGCCGTGACCTGAGAAAGCTCCTTGAGATATAGTGCCCGATCGCTTGCTTTCGGAAGTGAGCTCGCTTCGGAATACAGCCGTTGAGCCTTGTGCAGTTGTAAAAGTTGCTGTTCGCTGAACTCTTCGTCCGGGCCCCGTTCGGCGGGTGCGGGTATGGGCGGAGGAGATAGAGGCACCTTGGCTCCGGGGTGGTGGTACGGCAGCGGCACGGTGCGTGAAGACTCAGTGAAGTCGAGGATGCGGATATTGAGGAGCAGATGGAGAGGGTCGACGGACTTGGAGGGGATGTAGGGGAAGCTCGCGGCGTCCGTAGAGGACGAGACAGCGAGCGAACCAGGATCGAGGACGGAAGGAAAGTGCGTGTTGAGAAGGCGGATGGCGTCGTCGACCCTGCCCGAGAGTATGTGGATACGGATGTCTGTCCGGAGTCAGTCGCACGAGCTGCGGAAGCGTCTGGCGCTCTATACGCACCTCGTCTGAGCTCAGCTTGTGTGAGCTTGTCCTCCATCGTGTCCACAAGGGCATCGCGATGGCTCGCCTCGCCCACGGACATCAGTTCGTCTCCGTCGGAGTCTACATGCTTGACAGCGGAGTCGTGCACGAACGCCCTGGCCGTAGAGGTGTACGCGCCATGGCAGAGGTAGTCAAAGACGAGGCTGCGCTGCGGTTATCTGGGTCAGCTAACAGGTCCTTCGCGTGCCGTGAATGCGTACGAGGTCATCCGGAGTGGGAGAGAAGAACCTCTTGCTCTGAACGGTCGGCTTGTCCTTTGACGGAGGCGTCCAACGCTTCATTGGGATGTTCTTGTGATGATGGCCGCAGGAAAGAGCTTGGTCTGCCTTGGCGCCCGTGCTCATGACGCGCGTGCGGAGACACAGCCAGCTTGTCTCATCGCGACCACATCCTCATCTTTCCCGCGACACCTCCCGCTGGATGCGCAGCTTATAGCGCTTCAATCGCTCCTGCTCTTCTTCTCGCCCCCATGTTGCAGGACCGGTTGTTCACGGCTGTAAAGAGCGCCCTCGGTGACGAGAATCCCCAGCTACCACCAGGGACGCCCCCTACATGTACGCGCCCCCATGCTGTACGGACCGGGGACCTTGCGCTAACCGTGCGGGAATTCCAGTAAAATATGATGGGCCGTGGTTTGCGACTCAGCTCACGCTTTCTGCAACCATTGGCATCTCCTCGCTGCTCATCTTCTCTTACTGTCGCACGAGGTGGCCTCTACTCTTCGCCCCACGTACAAAGCTGAAAGGTCTGTCCCGTGCATGCACGCGACCTGAATCTAAGCTTCAATGCGCGTCCTATAGCGTTCTCTCCTCATGAAGCACACGCGCACGGCACATTCTTTGGATGGATTATGCCCACCATCCGGATATCCGAGTACACGGTTCTACAAATCGTCGGCCTTGATGCTGCCGTGGTAGGTCGTATAACCGGTTCGCACGCAAAAGCTGCTCTGATCATTCGAATAGCTGCTCAACTTCTACAAAATGGCCTTTTCTCTCTTTTCCGTGTGTTCGTTATTCGCGGTCGTAGTATTGATGCCTATCAATCTGAAGGTAGGTAAGACCGCTTTCGAAAGGCATCCCGGTCTCACATAGCGTAGCACAATATCGACATCGGAGATGGCAGGGACGACGATGATGAGGAGACACTAAGGTCACTCATTACCGCGAACGGCACGTCACCAGCGATACCTGGGCATGACTGGCTCGACCTCATCAACGACGCCAACTCCTACCTCACCATGCATCTACTATTCACCTACCTTTTCACGAGCATCACACTCTACTTCATTCACCGGAATTACAAGAAATTCGTTCGTGCGCGCCAGCTTTTCTCCCTCGAGCTTGTGCACTCAATATCGGCACGCACGGTCATGGTCGCGCAGTTGCCTCCGCAGCTGCGAAACGAACGTGCGCTGGCAGAATACTTCGAGGCCATGGACATGAGCGTTGAGAGCGTGAGCGTATGTCGCGAAGTCGAGTCGCTCAAGGAGCTGCTTGACGAACGCACCGCCGCGCTGCTCAAGCTTGAGAGGGCGTGGGTTCACTACCTCGGGAATCCGAGCCATGCTGTGGAGGCTGACTCAATCGAGCAGCCACTCATCGATGTTGAGAACAGTCGTCCGGAAGATGCGGAACGACAGCGTCTTGTCATGCCCAATCGCAAGCGTCCAACACTGCGCCCTCACTTTTTTGGGTCCAAGGTCGACGCGCTACGGCACCTGGAGGAGAAGTTCAAGGAGGCCGACCTTGCCGTGCTCAGGCGACGCCTGACGGGCAAATTCAAGCCGACACATGCGGCGTTCGTGACATTCGAGAAAATGTCCAGTGCGGTAAGCATAGTCGTACCTTTCTTCTGAGACGCGCCCTCATTCCATCGTACAGCAAATTGCGGTGCAAGTTGTTTATGCTCCAGCTCCAGCTCAATGCCGTACGTACCTCGCGCCTGAGCCACGAGACATTATCTGGGCGAATATGACGCTCGCACCTGGTTCTGCGCTCGCACGCGACTGGCTCGTGATTGGCGCGATGTTGCTGCTCCTGTTCTTCTGGGTCATCCCGGTCACTGCCCTTGCTGGATTATTGAGTTACAAAGAGATCAAGAAGACGTGGCCTGCCCTTGCAAGACTTATTGACGCCAACGCGCAAATTGGTGTGATCGTGCAGAACTCGCTCCCTTCGGTAGCGGTTATCACACTGAACGCATGTTTGCCGTTCTTGCTTGAAAGTAAGATCATGTAGTTGATTGATATCTGGCACCTACTGAAAAGGCTTTCCGAAGGCCTGACATACATTCAAGGATACAAAGCACGCAGTTGGATTGAATACTCTTTGCTAAAGAAGTATTTTCTCTTCCTGCTCACTAACGTTGTCTTCATCTTCCTATTCGCGAGTACTTACTGGCAACTCGTCCGGGACCTCGCAAACTCGCCAGCCAAGATTCCGGAGAAGCTTGCGGCTGCGCTGCAGCAAGGTAATGCCAGGTACGTACTTCCCGCGTAGACATATGTACATGTACTAACTGTTCGCATACAGACATTTCTTCGTGTCTTACGTTATTCTGCAAGGCATCGGCCTCATGCCGCTGCAACTCCTCAACCTTGGCGTCATTATCCCGCGTATTATCTTCCGGATGTTCGTCACTCGCACACCGCGCGACTTTGCGGAGCTGAATGCGCCACCGATGATCAACTACGGTGCCGTGTATCCGCAAGGTATCCTCATCTTTGTCATTACGCTGTTGTACAGCGTCGTCCAGCCGCTGATCGTCATCTTCGGTGCAATTTACTTTGGCATCGCATATGTGGTTTATAAGTACAAATTGCTGTTCGGTGAGTCTACAGCTCCATTTTCTGCTTTTCTCGCGGCTGATCATGCGCTTAGTTTTCTATAAGCCGTACGAATCACAAGGACAGGCCTGGCCGATCACGTTCACTCGCCTCATCTGGGGAATCATCATCTACCTCGTCTTCATGTCTGGCATATTCATCCTTCGGAAATCTTACGTCCTCTCAACGCTTCTGATTCCCCTGCTTGGCTTCACGTTACTCTGGGCGTGGTACACAGACAAGAAGTTCAAGTCACTCAGCAAATACGTGAGCCTCAGCTCGATATTTGAGGTCCAGAAAGGCGCGAGTACCGCAGAGGTGACCAGGCTGAGGGCTGGTCATCCCGTGACGTGGTCCCAGAGCTACCTCAACCACCGGCGGTATGCGCAGAACGACGATACCCTATATGTCGCGCCGGAGGACGAACGCACGGATTACTCACAGCCGCCCATGGCGAACTGGTACCCTGGTGTGCTAAACACTGGCAAGCGCAGATACGGACATCCTGCCCTTAATGGCGTGCTTCCCCAGCCGTGGCTGCCCTTGAAGAAGGGCCAGACGCTGCGCAACGGCCCGCCAGCGGCGCCAGGCGCTTCCTCGACTGACACGACACCCGCCGTGGTGTTGACGCTTCGCAAGCGCCGAAGCGTGGCAAGGACGATCCCGACGCGCTCGCAGACGGAACCAGTACCGCGCACAATGGACGATGCAACAGCGAACCCGTGGCAGGACGCACCAAGCGAACGCCCGCGGCACCTCACTCATCGGCTAAGCTTTGACCACGCATCTGGCGTGATTATGCTCCCCGAGGACGGCGCGTGGCTCGATGAGGAGACTGACTCAGACGAGGAGGATAGCACTGTACAGAATGTGCAGGCGCTGCGCGTAGCCGAGGAAATCGGGCAGCACGACGCGGAGCAGCCGACAGAGACCAGCGCGCTGCAGGCATCTTCGAGTGGGCGGCGGTACGGGACATATTATCACCATCCCGAGCGACGAAAGCGAACGGATTCGCGCGTGCTCAGTGGATGACATCCGAGGTCATGATCTTCTACGAATCTGTCACGACCTGTTTCGTTTGACCCTTTCACGAACTGTGGTACAAGTAGCAAATTTTTGTTCTTCGAATACATACTTAGATCTGGAATAATCATTCTGGGCCAGGATCGCGACGCATCTACGCGTTGGGTCACGTTGTGACTGCGTGATAATACGTTCCTAGGCGCGTAAAGCTTGGCGCGAACTACTTTCACCAACCACCGTCGTTGTTGACATTCCGTGTCTCGCCTTTCCATTCAAAATATGAGTCAATGTGAGCTGCAACATCGCGAGATGTTTGTTAAAGCTCGTGCTGATACTGCGGCCAGACAACGACTACTACTCGAATAAGAACGAGGGCGGAGGCTTCATGGCGTCCCCTGGATTCGACAGTCCGTCAAGTGCAGTTAGGGTACGTTGGCCAGCATAAGATGGCGTTCGTCTACCTTACGTGACTCGCAGAGGCAAAATTCGCAACATGCGCTGCGGCCGGTAACCGTCAAGCAGCTCCTGAGTGCCTCCCAAGTCCACGCAGATGCCGAGTTCAGGATTGACGACATGGAACTTGGACACGTGAGAGGTGCCTTCGAAAACTACATGCAACAAGTGTTGACGACGCTTCATATAGATCACAGTCGTCGGGCAGGTCGTCCAGGTCAAGAGCCAAACGACGAACAGCACGTATACGCTCGATGACGGCACTGGTCGCTACGAGGCGCGCCACTGGAATGACGCAAATGCAGGAGAAGACGACAAGGGAATCAAGTGCGTCTATCTGTCTTCATGTGTCTCACGGTCACTTATCCGCGTAGAGAGAACACATATATTCGAGTGATGGGCACTCTCAAGTCGTTCGGCGGCAGGAACTACATCAACGCGACACACATACGACCTTGCAAGGATCCACATGAACCATACTACCACACATTGGAAGCGATGGCCGTGACACTAATGTTCCAACGTGGACCAGTATGTTTTCCGTCTCTTGTGTCGTCATCTCACTCAGTTCACACAATTCCGCAGCCCTCAGGGTCTGACCAGCAGAACGGCCATATGCTTGTTCAAAAGGCAGGTACAAACGGCGCGTCGGCATACACTGCACAGGCGTCGAAGAACGGCGCCCACGACCAGTTCGCGTTCCTGCCCGAACTACAGCGGAAGATTGTCAACTTCATCCTCTCGCAGCAGAGCCATACGGACGGCATTCATGTCAGCGCCATTGCACGCGCGGTTGGGGGAGATGCGCATGCCATCAGGCAAGTCTTAGCTTCATCTGCCGGAGAAATAACTCTGCTGACGCCTTTGCATAGCTCCGCGTTGGATCAGCTCATGGATGAGGGTCACGTCTATACAACCTGCGATGAGAGCCATTTCGATGTCTCCGTTTGAGCCTATCTCCTTCCCTCTTGTTTCTTGCTGTGAGCTTCTCGATGTGCGTTTGTACTTGCTGTTTTCCATTTTACGTAGCTATGCTCCTCTGTCTGCCCTCGCCTGTACTTATACACCTACAATCGACTGCTAATCCTGAAAGCTGGTTCCCTCCACTCACCTGACTGTGGTCGACCTGAGATGGGCGCATGACGTGCATGAACTTTAAGCTGGCTGCCTCGGCATGATCCCTCTGATATCGTGGGAGACGCTACCAGCCTTATTGCTTGCTAGCACCGAGCTCAGGGGCTGCTTGAGCCCCCGAGCGACGCCACGCTTGATTCTAATACCACTACATACGTACATCAAGAATGTCGGACGAAGGGGGGATTGATTCCATGGACTTCGACCGCGATGACAACAGCTCAACTCGCTCAAACGCTAGTAGTAAGAGCGCGTCCCTGGTCAGTCTCCCCTACCTCCCACCACTCGCTCTTCACGTCGTCCCTACTCATGCACTCATCACCAGCCCACCTTGCGCCCCGTTACACTCCGTCAGGTACTTGAAGCAAAGCGACCCTGGTCCGGTAATGACACGGTCCCGTGGTACATCGATGGGCAGCAGATCCATCATGTACGCTGTCCCGTCCCATGCCCTCTCCGTACTTGTTCTTGAACCCATTACCAGATCCTAGTCGTCGCCAGTGTTGTTGCTGAGGGATTCAGGCCCGAATCGCGCACGGCGTGGTATAGGCTCGAAGATGGCACGAATAGGCGCACTGTCACCGTACTGCGCTATATCGAGGACCCCAACGATGCACATATCCTCCCGCAAGGGCAAGGTTTTGTACCGAAAAACGTATATGTCCGTGTCATGGGGCATCTCTTTGCAGATAGAGGTGGGGGCTCGCCATCAATTCGCGCGGACGCATTCCACGTTGTACAGGATCCGCATGAGCCGTACGTGCATGTGTTGAGAGTAATGTATGTGCATATGGAGGATCAAAAGGGAGCTCCCGTGAGTAGAAGGTGCCTGCTCTGGTATCTTCTTTCTCAAGGATTTCTAGCCACAGGAATTGCTGCGAAACCTCACGGAGGACGACAAAGAACCCTTAGAGAACATATCTGTAGCGAACGGCACCTCAAGCAGCTCAACACTGAGAGCGGGTACTTCTGTTGCTCGCCCATCACGGCCTTCTCAGGCGCCCCCAGTCGCGGCACCTCGGGTCGAACCTGCCGCACCACCACCGACAGCAGAACCAAGTATGGCAGCGCCCAGTACTCCAGCACGTCGGCCTCCCACAAGTGACATCGAAGAAGAGCCCATCGCGAAGCGTCCTGCACCCATTTTTTCATCTTCCGCGTCCACCGCATCAGCTTCAAGTTCGGCCGCAGCCTCAGCGCGCAACCCGTTCCCCACGTCGCCTCGCACGCCTCGCACGCCGACCAAGTCCTCACGCTCAAGCTTCCGTCCCGCACAGAGCTCGCCATTCACGCCGAACACCGAGCACCGGTTCCGCACCCTGAGCACACACGACCCGCTCTCGGATCTGACGATCCTGCAGCGCAAGGTACTTCTGAGAATCATGGAGGCTACGGAGGCAAACTTTATCATGGGCCTCGACGTGACCACACTCGCGACAGACCTCATGGCTGAGGGGATCACGAATGATGCTCGCGACATTGCGTGAGTCTATACTTGACCACAGGAGTAACAGGAGAGCTAATACCGTGCAGAGACGGACTGGATCATCTAGCGGATGCAGGGCATATTATTGGGGACCCGGAGGGGATGTACTATCGTACGGCCGATTTGAAGGGGAAGAAGCCGACGTACACGTTGGTACCAGATGATTGAAGGTTCGAACTAAGCTTTACGGTTACAAGTAACCCCCGCCTGCAAATTCTTTGGAATGACCTTTCATTGTATAGCTGATGAGTCGTGTATTCCTGTACTTTTAGATCAAGTGGTCAAATGTTGTGTACCATCGCACCATTTTGTCTGGCCTTGCTCTGCCCCAGTGCCGTTCGCGGGAATACTCCGTAAGAGTGCAACAACATCCTTCGCAACCTCGTCATGCATTTTGCTCGTAGGATGAATATGATCCACCCAGATCGATCCGCCCCGTCTCTTGCCATCATCGGCATCGAAACCAAGCGCGACTGGGTTGTTCAGCACGCGCGTGAATGTAGCCCACGATGAGTAGATTGTGAGGGTTGCGTCGACATGTGTCTTGGCGAAGTCAAGGGCGTGTACCCTGAGGCGATCGTTCCACTCTTCGAAGGAGAGCTTGCCCCGCGGAGGGTACCTCACTATGTGGACATAAATCGTCGGTTCGCTGGTGCGTTCAGGCATACTCACTAGCAGGAGAGCGATCCATGGGAGGTATGTCAATGAGCATGAGGTTGCGTGCACCGACGCTATAGAGCAACTCGATCAAACCGAAAAGCTTGACTAGCTTCGGTGGGACGGCGTCGGGTCCAGAATACCTGAGGTGACGAGGTTTAATACTAGTGTCGGTGTAGAATGCAAGCACTCATTTGTCTTACCCGCAGTCGTTAATCCCGATCCAGATCGCTGTGGTGAAGTAAGAACGTGGCCCTTGGCCTAAATCGAGCCGATCTCACTGAATAATGTGTCATCGCTGTTCCAGACAGCATCAGACGTCCGCAGCTCTTTGTCCAGGTTACCCTGCAGCAGCCCTTTCTCGGTGTCGTCCACAAGATTAGGAAGAAACTCCTGTTTGATCTGTCGCTCAACACCCTCCGTCGTGTCTCCCCCCTTCGCAAAATCATACACGACCAACCTCGTCTGGTCCTCGAACCGTGTCACCAGATGCCCAACCCAGTTCGCCTTCTCCGGCTCCGCCCAGGTTGACCCAGGGAACGGGACGCCAAGAGGCTGATCTACAGTTGGACGCGGCGAAGTTTTGAAGTCGTAACCAACACCGCAATAGGACGCACCCCTGGAGTGGAGGAGATGAGTAACGGCGGCGACGCCACAAGGCCTACTGTATCGCCATTTTTGGACTCACAAGACGATCAGTGTCTTGACCCCGGAAACCCCATGCCAGCTTGAGCTGACCTGTGCCACATTTGAGGAGTATTTCCACGGACGGTCCATGTTCTCGTCTCGATGCACCGGGCTAACCAGCAAATATTTTCAGCCGACAGAGGCACAAAAACGACCCCGAGAAAAGAAGCTAAAAAGCCTGAACACTTTCCGGCGAAAATATATGATAGGTAAAATTTGAAAATAAGAGTAAAATAAAGTCGACTTTTTTTGTAAATCTTGTTGTATAAAGTTGGTCTGGCAAAAAGAGGTGCAGATAACCGCTGGGCTATCCATATATGGAGTAATACACATGGAGACAGAAATGATGATGATTCTGCCCTAAGGATATTTTGACTCTCCTAATACCTCAAAAGGTGTAAAAGCAGTGTGTCTTTTTGTACCACTAAAATGATAACATCCCCATGGGGAAATAGCTTAAGTGTATTTATGAAACAAACTGAATCTGCTTTTGTACCTCTATCCGCGCAAAATAGTATAAAATTAGCCCCGTGATGGTGGTATTGGACAGGGCTGGATTAGCGCGCCAATTCTATTGACGGGGATCAAAGTCATTCTAGATCTCCCTCGGATATCAACACGCTTCCCATGAAAGTTTGGTACAAGAAAAACCCGCCGCATCATTGGATGCCTTTCCACAGGGTTTTTTCTGATTCCAGAATATAGTGCGGAGTGTAAACTACAGTCTAGGGTCTAATGGTACCAATCTATAAAACCACAGCAACCAAGAGCGAAGAAACAGAATATTTCGCTTCGTAAGCGGAGTTCGAAAGTGCGACTGCGGGCTGACACACTCGAGTGGACGCGTTCGTTCTGTGTATCGCTGATAGACCCTAACTTAACACTGCTCTGGCAGCAGTTGGAAGATGAGCATGAATCTGCTGCCAATGAAGTGCTCCAAGGGACCGTTTTGGGGCAGCATCACACTTGGTCATCGGCCAATCGCGCCGTATACATTGAACGTCGACGAGCTCACCACATACCTACCTCGGTCCCGATTTCACCCGAAGGCCAGACAGGCAATACCATATGTTCCATTTATAATATCACTGTACACATCTAGCAGGACGGAGGGCGGCGTAAGTGGGGGAGCAAGTGCAATGACGCATGCGGAGTTTGAAATCACGTCTATAAACGTAGAATCTGGTCTGTAAGGGGCGGGTCCGACCTCCCTTCCAGATTTCGAGTCTGTGAACGCAGCTGTTTAGACCGAAGCAGTGGTAAGTAAGATCTGCCGTGATGCTGTGTCCGATTTATTCTGAAATCTAGTCTACAAAGCTCTGTAGACGGCTGTGGAAAGGCATCCATTGATAAACTTCTCTAGATGCATCTATCGTAAACCTCCTAAAAACCCCGGAGACAAGGTGTTCTCCCCTGAAAGCTTCCCACCGGCTCAGGAGCCGATGTTCCAGAGGGACCTGTACAAATTGCTGGTTTACGAAACGAAGATCGTGAAGAGGTATGCCAGCTCTTCTCTCAATGAATGACCTCGGTTAATATATTTTCAGCTGCATTCGATCTTGGTGTAAGATTGTTTCCTTCCTCATACCGGTAATGCGCCATCTAAGCCGTCTACAGCCTTCAGAAGTTCGTTACTTTCTCTCAGGTGCGTTATTGCCTAGTGGCCAACACGCTGACACTGACATGTGTGTCACCCGTAGGCACTCTTGAATAGTATGTTGTCGTGCATGCTCCCACATCACACGGATCTGACGCTCTGTGCATAGGTATCCTTGCCGATCAAGACGTTCAGCATGTGTTCCACATGTCGTACGTTACGCATGGAGCGTTGAAGTTGAATTTGGACTAACGTGTCTAGCCCATCGGAGCAGGCAATAGTCAAGCACAGCGGATCTTGCTATGTTCTGGGCCGCAGTGGTACGGGGTGGGTATATCTAACCTCTGAACTTGCACATGATACTCATACAAATACAGTAAAACGACCACTATGCTGTTCAAGATGCTCGGAATAGAGCGCGCTTGGGACGCTATCCGCGAGGATTCGAACGACAGCTTCTCCCGACCGCGACAAGTCTTTGTCGCCCAGTCTCGCGTTCTCGCAGAGAAGGTCGAGGAATATTACCGAAAGCTGGCAGAGTCGCACGCAGTGGCGACAAGAAGTGCACAAGAATCTGTGCAGATGGGAGCACGGAAGCAGAATACGGAGGATCGGGCACTTGTTGACCAGGACGAGGAAGAGTTCTGGCGTGGCTCGCTGCCGAAGAGGTTCAGTGAGCTACAAGATGAACATTTTTCGTTGTTCGTCACATTTGACCATGTATGAAATCCTCCGCTGTTCAGCGGTGTACGTCTGCTGATGGACCACAAATAGCTCTGCCAGCTCTTAGAAGGAGATCTTTGCACCTACAACAAGGGCGAATTTGCGTTTTCTGTGGCTGATGATGACAGCACTGTAGATCCCTCTGCTGTCGCGAGCGATTATATGCTACAGCGTCGAGACTCATTCGTGTCCTACGGCACTTTTCTGCAAGCCTACCGGTCTCATCTTCCTCAGAATCTCACCAAGAATCTTGGTCAGTACACTTCCATCTTCAACAGAAATTGTGCATGCTGAATAACATCGTCCAGATCCTGCTCTCATTTTCGCGGAGATTATGGGTATTGTTGTCTTTTCTTTGTATCTAAAACATACACATCAACTACGCATCAACAGGTGTTATCAAGGGGTCGGAAAGCGCACTCCAAACCGCAGAAGGTCATATAGACGAAGGGACGTATGTCTCACTCAGCCACCGTCAGCAAGGGATGTTCGCCGGCCGCAGGGAAGCGGTATATGAGCTGTTCTCAGCGTATCTGCGGCTGAAGCGCCAGCGCAGGGACTGGGACGCTGCCGATAGGTCTAATTTTACCCGAGTCTATTCTAAGGTGCATCTTCTGAAAGTCTGTTGCAGAACACATGCCATCCTCCGCGGATTGGACCAGATTGGCGTCCCGGGAAAGAAATTGGATTTCATGTGCGTACGCTGCTGTGCGGTCGCGCCAAGCGTTTCATCTCACGCTACTCCCTCCAGCTATGGACGAAGCCCAGGATAATCTCCTCGTTGACGCGCTTGGTACGTGCCTTGCTACCTATGGAACAGCTAAGTCACTAACGAATGGCACCTCCAGTTCTGCGAACTTTATGCAACAATCCTCTTGGCCTGTTCTGGGCCGGAGACACTGCCCAGACAATCTCAGTGGGAAGTTCGTTCAGGTTCGACGACTTAAAGGCTTTCCTTTATCGCCTAGAGGCTTGATTTTCCTTGACAGATTAGGACTGCTAAGCTGAAACTAGTGCAGCTTGCTTCCTCCCCGAAGGGCTGTCCTGCTAAGTCTCCAGAATCTTTCCAGCTCACTATAAACTACCGTTCGCACGGAGGCATCGTCCGATGCGCTCTTTCCGTCGTGCAACTCATCACGCGGTTCTGGCCACGTGCAATCGACACTCTGACTGAGGAGAAGGGAGTCGTCGAGGGCTTGAAGCCTATCTTCTTCAGTGGGTGGGATCAGGATACTGTGCAGTATGAGCAGTTCCTATTCAGCGCGTCGTGAGTTTCAGTTAGTGGGTGTGAAAGAATATTCTCGCTGATCTCGGCGCCAGTGGAAGTCAGATTGAATTCAGCGCGCAGCAATGCCATGAACACGCTTGTGGTTCAGCTGGCGGACGACCTCGAGAGCCTGTACAACTCGGAGACGGAGAAATACCAGGCTGCACATGCACGATGCGGTGTGGAGAAGGTCATCGAAAGGTTTGATGAAGCATTGGCCCGTTCTGACTGGCCGTCGGGCCCGGAACGCATCAGAGAGGAGCAGTACCCCAGGCGGTCAGTGAACGCTTCCACAAAAGAGTGGCATCAGAACACAATAGTATCCTATGGTAGATGGGTCGAGAACGAGAGCGGTGGTGTCGACCCCCTCCCCACGCCAGAGCGTGTCCCCCCTAGTAAGCCCCGACCAACGCGGAACTTGCCTCTGCCAACGGGAACAACTGGCGGTCCACTCACACGTGCACGCGGCAAGGTCATGGCACGAGTCGCCTCTACGCCTCCGCCATCGCTTCCCACAGGCCCTCAGCTATCGACCTCCACCGGCAGGGAGGGCCGCGCACCCAGCCAGAGCACGTCCAACGGACTGTCGCGCACATCCGCAGCGTCGTCCAGTCGCGGCCTGCGGCGCAAACGCAGCATAAACGAGGAGCCGGAGGCGGGGACGTCCACAAATCGCACAAAACGGTCGCGGACCGTGGACCGAGAAACCAAGAGAGGGCGTGGGGGGAAGAAGAGGGGAACATGAGTTATGCCACTGCACCCGTATACTATCCTATACGTAGTACCTTCGGATGGGTTGTATCTGTAAGCCGGTGTTGATGTATCCTTGTGCTATCCGCTCTCTTGGACCTTTCATTGGCCTCCGATGACATGGAATGGGCGACGACCTCACCTTGTCAAGGAAGGTGCAGAATGAAGTTGGTTGCGTACTCAATTTGAGCGTGAACAGGTTTGTTACGGGAATATACCATGCAAGTACACCAGAGCGCAATAATCTATATTACTATGTACGTTATGAGTCGCCCATCTCTACGTCGATGTCTACGCCCTTGCCCTTTGGCTCTCCCGGGATGTCGCCGTCCGTGTCCGCGAGGAGAGCCTGTGCCGCAGCACGAATTGATGCAACCTTCTCGCGCATGACCTTGACAGCCTCGGGCAGTAACCGCTCGGGGGCGTACGGGCCCTCGCTCTCGACGTTGAAGATAAACCAGTCGCGTACACGTTTGAGCTCGACACAGCCATGGAACTCCTCGTGGCGGAGGACCTCGCGCGAGACGCTGTCCTTGCGCATACCGTGCAGGTCGATCCATATCTCGCCATCCGCGTCGACCTGGACGACGCCGGGGCTGAAGCAACCCGCGAACTTTTTCGCGAGGTGTGTGGGCACCGGCTTCTGTGGGTTGAGCAGGATGAGCGGGTGTAGCCGATACGAGGCCGTCGCGACCGGGCTCCATTTGGCGTGCTCCTTCCCGACGCCCTTGATCGCATGCAGCTCCATGTCGATCTCTTGTCCTGGCCGGAGCTTCGCGAGGACGATATCCTTGTTCGTCGGCCCCGGCGGATTGTTCGCGAAGACTTCTTCCTGCTCCCCTTGTGGCACCCAAACGAGGTCGCCGCTCTTGACCTCATCGTTGATGTACTCCTTGCCGGAGCCTTTCGGCGCGCGTTCGCAGGTGACCTGCAGACGAAAGACAAGCGTGTTGCGGTCGCTTGGTGTTGCGCCGAATCCGGTTGGTGTTCGGATTTCCAACGTGGAAGGGTCAGCAGAGGGTTGCACAAGACCGATACGATGTGCCAGGACTTCATCATGTATGACAGAGGTGTTATTCCAGACATAGACATGTTCTATGGCTATTGTTGGGACCTAACGCCAATGCAGTGCAAGTGTGGAGAAGGACATGCCGTATGCTCAGCAACACACCAAAAGACAGTATGGTCGAGGCGCACCTCCGCAATCATGATCCTCCGGAACGCGTTTGCAATGGAAGCATCGACGCCTACGAGGTCGAACTCGATACTCCATTGTGAAAGTCTCTGCACCTTCACTTACAGGTTCTAAAGGTAGCCACCCAGAAATGAGGGGACGAAGTCAATCCGTCGTTAGCTTGCGCATACGTGGGAAACATGCAGCCTATAACGCACTTCCTTGAACTTCTCCATGTCCCAGCTGTGGTCTTCATTTGGGTAATGACCAGGGTATTCTGTGCACGAGACGTCCGAGACGCGCTCGGCATGGACACCAACATGTCGTCTTGAGTTGAGCAAAGAATGAGGGAGCTCTGAGCTCATCATTTTAGTGAGAGAATGTAGTATACAGAGGGAAAGTGAAGGCGGAGAGGTGGGAGAGCTGCTTGAGATACAGCTTTCTACATACAGGGGTGTGCGTGTGCTCTTGACCGGGGTTGTATCAGCCGCTACCTAGGGGCGCTTGCGCAGACAGGAACTGTTCTATCGCACTCGCGACAATGCCGTGCATCTTCGAAGTAATATGAATGTAGTCAAACCAGACAGGACCACCCTCGTCATTGACCTCGCTCTCGTCAAGGTCGTAGTTCTCAGGATTAGCGAGCACTTTGTGGAAGAGCTCATGGGACGAGAGGAGCATCACTGAGGCGTCGTCGTGGCTGTTTGCGAAGCGTTGCACGCCTGAATGTAAGGAAGTGTTCCAGCGGCTATACATGGCCGCACGGGTGACTGCGTTTGCCCGCCGTACTGGAATGCGATCAGAGACTAATTCACATGAAGTAATATGTAGACTTACATCCTGGAGCACGCTCCATTGGAGGCACATCGATGAACAAGAAGTTCCGTGCTCCAGTGCCGTACACCTCATGCAAAGACTGAAAGAGTCTCTCCTGATAAGCGTCAGAAGCTACGGCGTTATCAAAGTGTCCGTAGAACTTCCTATGGCAAGTATTATTTCGAAGATGCACTAAAGATTCCACGTTTCTTACGCACCCGCAGTCGTTGATACCAATCCAAGACACTGTGACACGATGCTCAAGACTCGTCGTTGGGGTCTCAAGGAGTTGAACGTACCGAACAACGTGTCTTCGGCGGTCCAGGGAGCCCATCCCGGCTTGGTAGCTATAGAGTTGGAATAGTTGATTCTGACCTGTTGACGAAAGCCCTCCAGATCTTGGCCCCCGACAGCATAGTCGAAGACAAGCAATGGGTTTCCTGCCATGCGACGCTTCAGCACGAGGTGCCCGACCCAATTTGGCTCGCTCTTTTCGTTCCAGGTCATCCCAGGGAACGGTACACCAAGAGGGTCGTCAGGAGTAGGTCGGAATCTGGGTTGTCCGCGGTATCCAATATCCGAGTACGAGTCTCCACTAGATCGAAAAAGTCAGACGGGTGTAGGAGCTGAGCTCGCTGTGGTGATCCTAGCCCAGTCAGACATACAAAACGACCAGATGTTGAATTTTGTCAAATCCAGGCCAAGTCAAGCGGATGATACTAAGAGACATGGTGCTAGGACTGAGCAAGTTCACGGGATGAGAGGAAGTAGGCCTGCCACTCAGGCTCCGAAGTTGCGATTCCCCCTGGAATCGGTATCTTGGATTCGAGGTGGCAGGATAGGAGGTTGGACAGGAGCCTAATAGACGCTGAGGTTGTGTATATGGATACGCAGGCGCCTATCCACTAATGGCGCTAATACATGGTGAATTTCGTGCAGGCGCTTACATCTTCCCCATTTCCTCCCTCCAGCTATGCGTATTGAGAAGTGCTACTTCTGCTCAAAGAGTGTATATCCCGGGCACGGTATGTGAACCGCATTATTAGCATATGTTAGTGCCTCAGATTTACTAGGTTCTGCATTCGTCCGAAACGATGCGAAAGTCTTCCGTTTCTGCACCTCAAAGTGAGTACTTCCAGCCTGGACGGTGGTATTCAGCCAACTAATCAACGCGCGTAGATGCCACAAGAACTTCAAGTACGTTGTCATTGTATTATTTACTGGGAGAATGTAATTTGATTTGACTACAAATATAGGATGAAGCGTAATCCTCGGAAAGTGCGCTGGACCAAGGCCTTCCGTAAGGCGGCGGGCAAGGAAATGACAGTGGTGCGTAACACACACCTCTACACACATACACGTTCTGATCATCTACCAGGATTCTACTATTGAATTCGAGAAGCGCAGGAATGTGCCTGTACGCTATGATCGCGAGCTGGTGCAGAACACGGTCAAGGCAATGAAGCGGATTGCGGAGATCAAGCAAAAGCGGGAGCATGCATTCTGGAAGCACCGGTGCGTCCCACATTCTATCAAGCATGCAAGCCAGCAGCCTGATGCGTCTCTGTGGTGTACAGCATGGCTGCAAGCAGAGAAAAGCTTCGTGCACACCGGAAAAAGAAGATCGAGAAGGCATCCATCAAGCTCGTCGAACCAATGGCTACACAACTCTCTGGCCAGGAGAAGATTCGCGAAAAAATCAAGGTGCAAGCAAAATCACGAAGTGCTCTTGTTCTTGGCGAGGGTCGCTCGATGGGTATGGATATCGACTGAGCCAACTTCTAATCACTTTTCCTTCATTCTCTTATCTTCACGCTGTCTTGCCCTTGGATACATGGAGATGAACGGCCAAGTATGCACATATCAAGTTCCAGGGATCCATTATGATGCTAATGTATACAATACATGTGTGTTCGATTGTAGTCTTTGCAAGTGATGTTACAAATGTCAGATGCACGAGATACACAAAAAGCTCAACTCAGGCTGTTGTCTGCGGTCCATTCATCGCTGCTTATACTTTGCTTCGTTCTCCGCGCGAACGTTAGGGTCCAGCGTATTGTGGAGACCCAGCAAAGTCTTGCTGACAGCCTCGCTTGCACCAATCATAGGTCTTAATACCGCGATTGGCACCGCGCGAACGACAGCCCTAACAGCACCCTGTGGCAAATATATCAGCACCTACTGCCTCTTGAAAATACGTGCAAAATGGACCTCATTCCCCGACCGTTCGTACACTTCCATAGGTACAGCGAGAATAGTCTGCGCCGCCGAATTGAAGTTCCGTCTGAGGCTTTGGTATGCGGAGACCACGCCCTCTTTCACATTCGCAGGCTGATCGGCATACCTGCTAATCGGCTCTTCAGCCTCTGCTGCTTCGTCAAACTCCTCGCTTAAGTCCCTGTAGCCGGCAGGTAAGGAGATGGCCTCGACCATCACAGGGTCATGGAATTGACCCCCAATGACGCTTTCCGCTTGCTCCAGGATGACTTGTGTACCCGTCGCAAGCCGCGCACCGAGCTTAATCGCCTCTATAGCTGTCGACTTGACGAAAGCTGTGGAGCCTTTCTGCAGGCCCCTGAGGACTCTGCCGTCCTTCTTGTACTGCGAGATGGGTAGCAGCACTAGGTCGGCGACACCGGATCCTACGTTCACGACCGAGCGGATAGGGGAAACTCCAGATATGACATCCACCAGCTGCGTCGCTTTCACGTCAGGTGTCCACAAGTCGTTGAGAAGGTCTCCAACTTTCGCCCAGCTAGTGATCTGCCAAGAAAATGAGCAAGCACGAAACCATAGCACAGTACGGACGTACCCCAGTCAAGGTGATATGCCGCAGGGTCATCTCAGCTCCGTCGAAGTGGAAGAAGTTCATGAGCTCAATAGTGCGACCATCGCGTAGAGCGCGGTAGTCGACGCGACGAGGCTTGTAATCGAGCTTGATGTCCACTGGGAAGACCTCGGCTTGCTCTAGAGGATCCGATCAATCAGTAAGTCATGGAACTACACTACAAGCCACGTACGGAAGAAGATATCGTCAGCTGGATCTGTCGGTTGGGCCGGCAAACTGTCCGGGTCCTTAAAACTGAAAAACTTCTTCATGAAGTCCAGGGCATCCTGGTCAACGTGTAGCCGTAACGGTAGGATCTTTGCCTATTGCACCGTTAGTGTGCGCTCTGCAAATGTGAGGCAGTATTAACGTACTCGAAGCCTAGCTTCTTCCGTCATGTTGCCTTGCACAGGATACACTTTGCGCAGTTCCACCCGGACCATATTCGAGCCCGTCTCGCGGACGTTGCCTCTCGAATCAGTTCTAAGAGAGGTTAAGAACTTGCTCCAAGTAGAAGTCTTGATGTGGTCGAGGATTTCTACATCTCGCGTGGTAACAAGAATTCTGGACGCTAGTGAGGGGTCTGTCCTGTAGTTGTCGACCTCGACATCCAGTCCCTGCAAACGGAACTCGATACTTGGTCCCTTCGAGCGAGTCAAGATTCTGCGAGATCGCTTAGGAGGTCCTTCAGCATTTCCGGGAGATCGTTGCGAAGGTTTGAATGACTGCCACGAGCTCTGGCTGGCAGTCTCCAAATCCTCGTTTAGTTCTTGATCGATGGCCTCCATCAGGGCTCCGCGATCCAACTCGTCGACGTTGTGCTCGAGGCCGACGTACACAGAGTTGAACAGCAAAGTGTTCGTTTCTTCGACACTGGGGTCTGGCATCTGTCCGCTGGCCAGGAGCTGCCTGATACGCGTAAGCTTGCGCTTCATCTCCCGGGTTTCCTCCTCGATGATTCTTCGAGTTCGCACCCAGTCATAGCCGTCATAGAGGAAGACTGTTGCGCCTACATCCCGGACTCGCACCTTCAAAGCTGTCTCGCCATACCTAATGCCGGCCAATCAATGGGTGATAAGTCAAGTATAAGGACCGAACGCACTGAAACGATTCGTCAGCACTATCTGGCGGAAAGGCGTCGAAATAGTGCTCCACAGGGCGGAGACCTTGGGAATCAAGCAATCGAATGGTCTCTCCCCCGTACGCTCCAACGACTCCCCTCTGATCTCCCACACTACTCGGGTCTTGAGGATAAAATTCATCGGACTCGTCGTCATCGAGCACCTTCAGCCCAGCAGCTGCGCTGAATGAATCGTCGAGATACTCCAGGTTGCTGGGTAGGTCATCGTCTACCATATCAGGAGCAGGGCCGACTTCTGGGATGCGCCGGCGGAAGGCATGCTCGTCGATTGAGGCTATGCAAGCATTGGCGCGTGAACCATGGTATGCGAGCAGATACACATACCCATAAGGCTCTTGCCGGACGATATGGGGCTTGCAATCTCGGTTGGCTCTCGTTTCGGCTTAGGGGCCTCGACGCTGCGGGTTTATTGTCAGGAAAAGCTGAAACTAAACCTAGTGGTTTCATATACCTAAGATCAAGTGATGTCGCGAAGATGGACTTGAAATCGGAGACGAACGCGCCCAACGCTGTTCCAGTATCGGCGCACAAATGCAAGCGGAGGTCACCGCAATCGATAACCACCTTGACGTCCGGTGGAGTGACGTCCGTGCGCTTTACAAAGACGAGATCGAAGGCCGAGAGTTCAGCAATCAATGCATACCCCGACGACTGTTAGACTATTCGTCAGGAAAATAGGCTGTAAGATAGATAATTTAGCACGCAAACCTTCCAAACACCACCAGCTGCGCGACTGAGTCTACTCATAACTGTCAACCGGCCAGAAATGTCGTCGGTAAGACTACTGAGATCGTCAGTCAAGAAGAGCGACAGAGTCTGTACACCAAGCCGGATAGAGGTCTGGGGTAAATTGCCGACCATGGTTGTACTGCAGTCAGTTTCTCCGAGGTGCAGGACCATTGCACCAGGGAAATTTGGGCACAGGGCATGTACTGATGTGTCGATAAATTTGATGGATACATGGGTTCTTTCACTGGGAACGACCGATTCGAAGACCTAGCAATCTCAGTGAGAAGAATCCCACATCTACCAGTGCGAGAACGCTAACCCCTGGAGGCGCTTTGAAGAACTCTGCCAGGTCAGAGATCCACTGTAACTCAGGATGTAGATTGTAGGTGATTCCGCAGAGCGTGAGTTTGATGCGCGACTCCTTGGCGGTCGTGTTGGATACTACGAACGACCTGAACCGTAACTTGAGGAGTGCCTGAGTGCTGTTGGTCTAAGCGCACAAGATGAGCCTCTGCTGAGATAAAAATTGTGGGAACCTACCGCATCCCGAGAGGAAGTGAGACCCAAGAATGCCAATAAAGAGCCATCGGAAGACGTCTCTACGACGTTCAGATCCATAACTCCCACCGTTACCACAGTTTCCTCCTGGGTAAATTGAGATCTTTCGTCACAGGTGTCAAGATAGGACGCACTTTCCCCTCCGGCTTAACCTCTAGCAAAACGTCAACGTCAGAGGCCATGATATTGAAAGGCCGATTAGACGACCCGTTTCGAGGCAGGTCGATAGTTACAGCAGCTGAAGCGCGAACAGCATGAGCGTGAGCACACCTAAGTGGTAGAGGCACGTCACTCCTACCTTCGCTGATGGTTGCCTTGATTATTGTTTCCTTCGTGGCGTCGCCCCGTTGAGCGCTGACTGTGCTGACGCTATCCGATGCACTGCGCCGCGACCCGGAGAAGAAGCGACTGCCGATGAGGCTCTGATCTCTGCTGTTGCTGGTCGAAGGCGGCTGTGATCCAAAAGCAGACTCAGCCAATCGTGACACATCGTCCGCCCATAGCTGTAGACCATCAACAACATCCTTCGACAGCTTGACAGAGACCGACGGTATGTGTGCTGTGAGGATCAGCGAGACTAGCTCTCTTTGCTCTATCGAAGATACCCCCTGCGATATTGTGACACAAGGGCTCGGGCTCGGCCCAGAGTAAAACTGTGTCGGTGGTGATCCTAGAAGAGGGGCATCGATGTTGATTCGTGCGGGTAATGGTCCCACAGATAACAGAGCTCTGGCCTTGCGTTCTCCTACCAAGGCGTACGCAAACACCAGTCGCTGCCAACGTGCAGAGGCCAGTGTTCCTGTGCTATGGTCCTCAATATTCTGGCTAGTTTCGAAGGTTCCTTCGACATCCGCAAAGCGAGGTCCTCGTTCAGCCGTATTCGACTGTTCGCCGTTCGATAGACTGAGGTTGTGTATGTCTAGAACCGCTGCTCCAGACCTGGGTCGCTGAGAAGCTCGTGGTGCAGCTCGAACCTCCAAGCGGACTGACGGTATCTTGCATGTCACCGATACGCGAACCGTCTTCCTGTTACTAACCCTCTGCGGATTTTTGAGACTTTACCCTAACAGACATAATGATAGAAGCCCTACCTTCTGCCGCGCACGCGTTGGAGTCATATCCCTTAAGCCCTCCTCGACCCTTGACGGAGGTTGGCTATAGTCAAAACCAAGGTCGAGATCCTCCAAAACCAACCGCTCTAAGCGTCTTCGCTCTTCCTCTCGTTCCCGTTCAAGTTGTCGACTTGAATACCGCTGCCTAGCTCGCGGTGTACCGGGTGGAGTGTCCATCCCTGCCTCGCCCTCATCTTCCTCGTCTGAGGCTTCTTCATCGCGCGAAGAACCGAGGACCTCACCAGTAGGGGAGGATAACTCATCAATGAAAGCCAGGACCTCGTTCCCCTCGGAAGTAGCTCCTTCTCCCAGTATTTGTGGTATATCGAGGAAGACATGCAGTGGTGCTACTTCCACGTCGACGTCAATCCCACTTTCCGGATTCTTTCCCTTTCGGCGACTATGCCTACTTGAGTGGACGGTATCAACTGTAAGCTTCACCACAACTGCGGACGAAGCTTGAGCTCGTGGTCCAAATCTGCCAGTTGGAGCAGATTCTTGAGTGTCAAGAGGCGACGACGAGAGCCTGGCTGGAGGTGTCTGTCGACTTCCGAGACGACTCCTTGGACTTTCTGATACCGGGGATGCAGGGGTGTGCTGTTTCTTCGTACGCCATGCAGATATCTTCGCAGAACTCGTCCAATGAGCTGGATCTGTCCAATCAGTGACGTCGAAGGTGGGCAGATATGACTCGACAATTGGCTGTCTGAGATCTGGATGGATATGCGGCTCCTCGTATTGATAGGAGAGATTGGGGTCCGTAATCAGCAAGGGGATGGCTGCAAGTTCTAAGCCGTCTGCGTGATGCGGGGAGAAGAGGAAGGAAAAGACTGAGAGTTCGCTGAGGGAAAGTCGAGCGGTTATGGTATTTCTGCCATGCGTGGCGATAGTTTGTCGAAAACCTGCCGGAGGAGGCGTCGGATGCATGGATAATGCGGCCGAAAATTCTTCAAGATGCATTCGCACGTAACCGTGGGGTAAAGAGGGAGGGACAAGTGGGTGATTAAAGTATTCAGACAAGTTCGCATTAGGCTTTCCAGGAAGGAGGGAGATGACTATGCCGCGAAGACGCAGCGTAGCATCCACACGCTGTGAGATGGAGCTACCGGGACCGTCTGTCTTCGCAGTTTGTGAGGCTACGGGAGGCGGGTGCGAGGACCATAGTGCAGTGAGATGAATCAGGCTGCGTATATGCCGCGCCCTGAGTGCGACAGCCATGACTCCTACAGTTATATCCAGCTTCACTGCTCCCACGTCTCTTGCCTCGCCTCGCCTCGCGTCTGATGTATCAGGGGACCTAAATCGAGGAGATACGCTGGGACCGCCGGGCTTTCTGCGTGCGGGAGAAGGCGTCCACAGACGGAGCGTAATTGTTTCACTTCCAAATGAGATAAGCATTTCATCCTCAACTTCATCGGCCGTGATAGTAAGCCCTGGGCGTAGAGCATTTGTTGGGCTTGTAGGATTTGCGGGGCCCGTGCACGCTATGGCTTCGGTAGGAGGTTTCAGACGCCTAGACTCTTCGTCAGCCATTGTTCGGCTTCGGCCTGCAGAAGTCGTTGAGATTGCAGACTCGTACATGCTGCTAGCCACAGAGACCGAAGGGGAGACAGGTCGTGGAGGTAATGTCACCAAAGATTGGGACATGAGCATGTTAACATCGTCGTCGAGCTCTGAAGAGTCAGAGTACGGGGAAGGTGGTCGCAAAACATCGGGAATGGCAGATTGATGTATCTCCTGCAAAGTATGGGATGTGGCAGAAGCCACTGGGGATGTGCAGGATGTAACAAGCTGTGGGCTAGGTGGAAGCAAACATCGACTGGTTACAGTCACACCAGAGATACTGACTGTACGAACAACGCCATCGGGAGTAGTAAACTGGTCTCCTGCAGCCTGGGAGTAGGCTGAAGAGTCCTCAAGCGTCGCATCTTTCACCTCCGTCCGATAGCGAATTAAAGGTACACTGAATGTGAAGCTCGCTCGTTCGGGGTGTACGAGGGTGATCTTGAGATCTGTTGAGTCGAACTCGAAGCGAGCTAACAGCCTTTCGACAAGACTGGCGAAGATAGACACCCCAGCGGGAGGCTCGCCTTCGATATGCGAGCCCTCTTCCGACAGAAAAGGGTCCAGTCCTCCGGGAACGTGGTCTACCGATTGCGAAGAGCCTCCTAGCTCAGAATGGACCGAGTCTCGCAGTGTGGCCTCCTCCAGAGCATCCAGCTCATCGTGCATAAAGCTTTCGGCAACAGAAGCTACCGATTCCGCAAGGTCTGAGGAAGAAGACCGCAGTTGGCTTTGGGAGGGTGTAGTCGAGACGATGAACGTCAGGTGCAAAGATTCCAAGGAGAGACCAATGGCAGAAGTCAGCGGATTAGGCCACGGAATTCGAGCAGTAACTTTCCCCACAGATCCATCGTGGAGCTGAATAGGTAGCCCTGCGAGCAGTGTATTGATAGCCTTGCGTGGGGTCAGGTCAGATCTACAGAGGAATGCAGCGACGTACAGTGTTGTCCAGTTCAACATCCCTGATCTGCACAAAACCGGAGCCTATTTGAGAGTCTACCTGTTGGGTGTCAAGCTGCCCGGGCTTGAGAAGGTGTCCCAGAGCCTGTCTGAGAGCGAAGGAGATGAACCGTTTCTGAATGCTAGAAGGCAAGGAGAAGTCGATGGACGGGAGTGTAGGAAGCCATGAAGGAGTCCACCAAGACATTACACGAATACTTAGGTATCGTCGGGAAGCCTCGAAGGAGCATAGAGCAAGCAATGTTAGAACGACCACACCGCGCCAAGTGCATGCAAGTATAACGGAGCCAAGGAAGGTGGCGGTCAGGCGCCTTCACAAGACGTCAACGCAGGTAACAAATCTCGCAAGCCCAACTTATTACCAGTAACTTATTGGGGCGCTCAGCTGGCCTTCGCTTCCTTTCCTGTGTAGTGCGCTCTCTGCGCTCAGGCTCTTGCACTACTGCGTCCTAAATTGTTCGCTGTACGTTACACAGTCTCATGTAGCTTTCGGAACTTTGAGCGATTCAAACCCCAGCTCTCAGCGACCTGCTCTCGCCACCTCCAAACATTCTTGCTCAAGCCCCTTCACCCAAACAACCTCTACGCCTGCATTTTTGAGCCTCTGCGCCCCTTCACACTTCACGAAGTCGTCAGGTTCGCGTACACCAATGAGACATCTGCGGAGGCGAGCTGCCACGATTGCGTCTGCACAGGGTGCAAGGCTAGATGTCCGAATAGAGCAGGGTTCCATGGTACTGTAAATGTCCGCTTTGGAGAGAAGGTCGTCGATGGTTACGTCTGGAGAGATGGAGGGTATAATTTCTCGCAACTCAGCTGCCGTTAGCTGCCGAGCCTTGGCAAGAGCATTGGCTTCAGCATGGGTGTTCCCAGCAAGCTCTCGAGAGTATCCTGTCGCAAGCACAACAGGTTTGAAGTGCTCTGTGTATCGAATAGTAATCACTGCTCCGACACAGAATGCTGTTGGAGTCGGGACACATTTACGTGCTTCGTCTAACGCGAGACGAAGAAACGACGAGTGCATCTCATTGCCTCCCGCCGCCATCTGCCAGTACTTGATGTGTGACTATGAAAACTGTGATAAATAGGCACCCTTTGGTCAAGCACTTCTACCTGGCATTGAATATACTCACTCTCGCTTTATCCGACCTGTGAAGGGAATGAAAAGATACTCGGTGTACGCGTGCAACAACCCGCCTCTCGAGTCTGGCGCGAGGTGGCATTGTACCCCGTGACGCCTTGTGACTATACGTGACGTGACGTCCAATTTCCGCTTCGAACTTAACACGCAACTTGGCGTAGAACCGTTCACTAATCCCCTTATGCTTTGACCGTCATGTCTTCTCCACCGCCTGAACCTGTCGAGAACACTAAACCAGCAGATGAGGACGACCCCATGCAAGGGTCCGGAGAAGAAGGCGTAGGCGAAGGGGACGTCGTGGACGCAAGGATCTCGGACGACAGTTCGGAGGAACCAGAGGAAGATGAAGAAGAGGAGAGGCGGATCAGGGAAGGTTTTATAGTTGATGAGGATGAGGAGGAGGAAGAAGCCGAGGACGACGAAGAGGAGCGTCGTAGAAGAAGGAAAAGGCGTAAGAGGCGTCATCGGCGAGGTATGTTACCCGTGCCATTCCTTCTCCTAGCATTGAGCATTTTCTCCTCATTTAGAGCGCGAGGAAGAGGCTTTGGAGGAAGACGATCTAGAACTCCTGGAGGAGAATACTGGCACGTCTTTCAAACATCGACTAACTCGCTTACGGCGCGCCCACGATTCTGAGTCGCCGCCGACCGCTTCTTCTTCGAAACGGAAGAATGTAGTTCAGTCTGACGAGGGCGATTTGGATAACGATGACCTTGAGATGCCACGAATTCAAGATATTCACAATATCTGGGATGACGAGAGGGCCGTGGGTCGTGATGATGAGGACGATGTCGATATGGACGATATGGACAACTTTATCGACGATGACGATGACGAGCAAGGCGGTGCCATGGACGAGGAGGAACGGGAGGAGCGGAGGCGTGAGAGGCGACGGCAAGAGAGGGAGCGAAGGAAGGCACTTGGCTCTAAGTCAGTACCAGGGATCGATGCTAGGTGAGTTTCTGTCTTCCTGCACAAGACACGTACTTCAATGCGACGACAGTGCTTGGGATGAAATCTATGAAGTGTTCGGCGATGGCCATGACTACGACTGGGCCCTTGTAGACGACGACGAGGGTGCCATGGACGAGGAGCTTTCGAAGCCAGAAACCAAGTATCAGGATGTCAGCTCAATTCCTATACCGTGTTAGTTCGCAAAATTGACTCGAAATATCTTCAGGTCTTCGAACCTTCCGAAATCAAGGCCCGCATGCTTACAGAAGACGACGATGTCATCCGCGCTCAGGATATTCCGGAGCGTATGCAGTTGGCGACGTCCTCACTGTCCCAGTCGGCTACGCTCTCTCTCCAGGAATCCTTAACGGAGAATGATTTGGACGACGCCGCTTCTTGGGTTATCACTCGGCTCTCATCTAGGAAGGAGCGTGACTTCTTCCGTCCTGATGGTCAATTTCACCGCTACCTTCCCGAGCTCGTCCAGGCCATTTCATACGCCCTTCAATACCTTTTCGTTCAGGAGTTCGAAGTTCCTTACATCTGGACGCACAAACGGGACTATATCTCGTACTTTAACCCTCAGGATCTGAAGACGCGGGTTGAACTACTGTCCCTCGAGGATCTATGGCGAGTGTATGCGGTTGGACAGAAGTATCGGTCCTTAGTAGAGCGTCGCAAAGCGCTTGACGCGCTCTACGGCCGTCTTGGCGTTTCTGACGAGTATTTCGAGAACGAAATCCGCAAGAAGGTCGAGACAGTCGAGATGGTTGCCGACTCTACCGAGTGGTTGAGCATGAAGTATAGGGACAACAAGAAGCAGCAATTCGAGTTTCAGTTCCATGACGACGAAGAGCAACCCGAGGCTCAAAAGCGCAAGATGCCCAGTCGCACGTCCGCTTACGATATCGCAAAAAAGAGTGTGGTGGCAAAGTTAGCCCAGGTGTGTCGTCCGTGCTCTTGCTCACACCATGGCTAACCTGTTGTAGGGTTTCGGCATTCAATCACACGAAGTTGTTCTTAATTTTGTCGAGAATAAGAATACGCATCCTGTTGAAGAGCAAGACCTGGAACCTGCCGCGTACGCGGACCAGTTCGTTGACCCAGACCCCGCGAAGGCACTAGTCCCCGAAGAGTTGCTCCGTCGTGCTCGAATGATCTTGGCTACAGAACTTGGAAAAGATCCTTTACTGCGTCAGGAGATGCGCGACCGGTTCAGGAGAGAGGCATTGGTCTCTGTGCGGCCCACTGAGCGTGGGATTAGCAAGATAGACGATCAACATCCTTACTACGTGCGTAATAAGCCTCGCATCCAACATGTAAATTCTTAACGTTGCATCACCAGAACTTTAAGTACCTGAAGAACAAGCGCGCCATCGATATGCTTCAATCTGCGCAGCTCTTGCACATTCTCGAGGCTGAAGCACAGCACCTTGTCACTGTCGCCATCACTCTTCCTGCGGAAGTCAAAGGCGACTTCGAACGGCGGTTGGCGGATGCTTTCTCTGTAGACGCTTACACTGATGCCGGTCGCGCCTGGAACGCGGAACGATTGCGCGTCGTCCAGGAAACTCTTGATCAACATCTCCTCCCTGCCGCTGTGAAGTGGACCCGCGAGTGGATTCGCGAAGAAGAGGAAGAGTCTTTGTGCAGACAGTGCGCGTACAGCCTGCGTGGGGTAAGCATTGCCCTTCTCAGGACACCTTATACTTGGCTCATCAACGTTTAAGCGCATCGACGTCGCTCCTTGGAGAAACAAAGACAGTAATATCCGACCAGGGGAGATTCCATCCGTCATGGCGTTATCATGGGGTAAAGGTGACCCTCAGAAAGACTCTATCACTATGGTGCTCTTGGACGAAGGCGGTCGTCTCCGTGAACACACTCGTCTCGACAACCTGGTGGACACTGAGAACAGACTCGAGCTCAGAGAGATCGTGAAACGCCGACGCCCGGACATTATTGCTATCGGGGGATTTACCATAGCCACAACGAAGCTCGCCCATCGAGTCAAGGAGCTCATAAACCCCCCTGAGCAAGGGTCGGAGTACTATGGTGGTCCTGACCCTAATCTTGAGCCCCTCGGTATCGACGTGATCTACGTTTTCGACGAGGTAGCCAGGATATACCAGCACAGCAAGCGTGCGGACGAGGAGTTCAGCTCCCTGACCCCCCTAGCTAAATACTGCATTGGCCTCGCCCGCTATGTCCAGAGCCCTCTGAACGAGTACGCTGCCCTTGGTTCTGACATCACCATAATCACCTTCGACGAGGAGTACCAGCAGCTAGTTCCCAAGGAGAAGTTGTTGACAGCGCTGGAGCGAGTCCTGGTAGATGTCACAAACAAGATTGGGGTCGACATCAATCGCGCTATCACTGACTCGTACTACCAACATTTACTTCCGTTCGTGTGTGGCCTCGGTCCACGAAAGGCCCAGGCGCTGGTGAAGAGGATAGCAGCGATAGTGAGTCTTTAAATGGACGTTCACTCGTGCCTAGCATGCTCAACACACGTCAGGGCGGCACCTTGGTCAATCGCGACCAATTCATCCGCAACGGTCTTCTCACCACTAAGATCTTCCTGAATGCTGCCGGTTTCCTTCGCATTGCACAAGACCACGATTTGCCGAAACCTCCTAAGAATCGGCATAACGAGGACATCGATGTTGCGGACCCGCTGGATAACACTAGGATTCACCCGGAGGATTATGAGTTAGCTCGGAAGATGGCTACCGATGCCCTCGAGCTCGACGAGGAAGATGTTCATGACGAACACCCCTCCCATGTCGTGACCCTCATCATGAACGACCCTGACAGCAGTAAAAAGCTTGGCGAGCTCAATCTCGATGACTTCGCAGTCAACATGTACGAGACGAACCAAGACAAGAAGCGATGGACCTTGGTTCTTATCCGCCAGGAGCTTATCGAGCCCTTCAAAGAGTCTCGCAAGGACTGGAAGGAAGCTGAAGAGTGGGATATCGTTGCTATGTTAGCCGGCGAGACGAGGGACACTTTGCGGAAAAATCTCATGCTATCGGTGCAAGTCACTCGTGTTAGGGAGTCCACGATTGGCGTTCGACTGGATTCGGGTCTCGAAGGTACCATCACACGGTTGTCGGACGACCACACAGTCAGGCCGCGCGATATCGCGAAGACAGGCCAGACACTCCAGGCTTACGTCTTGGGGCACGACTTCAACATTGTTCGAGACATATTCACCGTCGAGTTGTCCACTCGGGCTACTGACATGGTCGTTGGCGACACCCAATACAAGCGCACCAAGCCGGATGACTGTTGGGACTATGTACAGCACGACCGTGACAACGAGCTGCTGCAAAGGAAAAAGCGGGCAGAAATTGACAAGACGCGGAGGGTCATTAAGCATCCGAACTTCCACAACTTGAACGCTTCGCAAGCCGAACAGTTCTTGGACAAGCAACAACGAGGCGATGTTGTCATCCGGCCGTCGTCGAAGGGTCCGAACCACCTGGCTGTCACTTGGAAGGTTGATGACAAGCTCTTCCAGCATATTGATGTTCTGGAAGTCGATGCGGACCTTAACAGCCAGTCTGTCGGCAAGCAGCTTATCATCGACAAGTACACATATGCCGATCTGGATGAGCTGATCGTCAATCACGTCGGGGCGATGGCCCGGAAAGTCGAGGAGCTCATGGCTCATGAGAAGTTCAAGCACGGTTCTGAAGACGAACTTCGTAAGTGTTGCGTAATCTTCGATGTTGAGATGTTACCGACATTGACTCCTGCACAGATCTATTCTTGAAGAACTTCGTCGCCGCCAACCCGTCCAAGAGTGCGTATGGCTTCACCTTGAACAGGAAGCGTCCCGGGCATTTCAATCTTTGCTTCCTCGCGAACAAAAACTCTACTGTGCAAACCTGGGTACGTCCCTTACTGCGGTGCACAAACTAGGTTGTGACTAGCTATCTCCGTAGCCCGTTCGTGTTACTCCGCAAGGTTATTATCTCTTCGATACCCCCGCAGCTGGCGTATCGGAGCTGTGCGATGCCTTCAAGGTCAGACATCTGCACGAATCTCAGAATCTTGGGGGCGGTGGTCTCGGTGGGAAGACACCTTATGGTGCCCGCACGCCTGCCCGCACGCCTGCAGCTGGTCACGCAACCCCTGGCCGGATGTCTGTTCGCCAGGTGCCGACACATACACCGAACCCGTACGGGGGCGCACCAGCGTCCAATATGCCGCCACCACTGCCGCCTCCTTCGATTGGAGGGACGACGCCGTATGCTGGGTATCAGACTCCTGGATACCCCGGCCGTCCAACGCAGCCTCCGCTCGCACAGCGAAATGGTAACTGGGGGAGGTAGCGTTGTCCATGCTGGTATCTTTGTTGCATTTTTGTGTATCATTTTGTTGTTAATCGGATATGCCCCATATCCTATCTTCATGTAGACTATGCATATTTCAGATAACTGGCAGCTCTCACTCGCGAGATTAATTAGAATTATTTAATTCGTAACTCATAAGCGCGCACACCCCGCGCCGTGACGTCAAGCGCCAAGCTGGTGGCACCGCAGCGCGTCCACGTCCAAGATGACTCGCAGACGTGTTCTCCCAAACACCCGTCACATCCCCCAGCATGCCAAGCGACATTGAACTTGAGGACCTTGATAAAAAGCGAGTACTCGAATCAACGCCTGAAGTCCCGAAACACGGTCGCATAAATCTCGATGCAAACCAGGAGCAGACCATAGCGTACTGGGCTTATGGGGCGACTGTGCTGTACGTCCTCGGGTCAGATAGCTTGATATGCATCTCACCATACCCATAGATTGCTCACTTGTTCAATAACTATGATGTTCTTCCCAAGTTTTCTGCTCTATCTCGCAGAGCCTTCAAACGAACGGAGGATCGCACTCACACCGTTGGAGGGCTTTCTGTGTACAAATAGCGGAATCCTGCTAGCTGCATTCGCAGCTGCGCTCCTATTCAACGTAGGTTCTTCTTAGCTCACAGAATCAAGCTTCTTTAACGAGTCTCTAATGTTAGGTCCCTTCGCCTACGGATTCCATACAATTGCCAAGCACCGCACGAGGACATCCTCTCCTAGTACCCCTGACGGCAGCTTGCTGCCTCATATCTCTGATATCATATAATGCTAAGTCTGTAGGGGCACTCGCTTTTCTCGTGTTTATGGGCTCTGCGCTCATCGCCGCGTGGGGAACTTGGACTGTAAGCAGATATTGCTCACACTGCCGAAGCTAAACTGTGCTTAATTTCGTCATATTTTTCGCAGATCTTGTTCTCTGGGGCGTCGTACATCTCAAGGAAGACTGGGGCTGACAAGCGGACCTCGCGATTCCTCTTCGGTAACAAGGCAGCTGCCTCCTCTCAGAAGAAAGAGTGGAAGGAACAGCAAGAGCTTCGCCCAGGGGCTAGCGGATAATGATGCTCATAGCCGCAAATGTTCATACGGGCACAGACTGTTCTATACCTTCTTGAGAATATATGCATATATCGCCATAGCGAACGGAAACCTGGGAGACACAGCAGATGAAGAGACTGAGAATCACCAGATGCTCTTGACCTCGTGCACAAAAACGGTCTTGGTGGATTCACCATGCCATCCCCGATTACTACTCGCACTGATCAGAAATCGGGCTTGTCTGTCGACCACTGTACAACGAGTCAGTCTATCCTTCTCGCCGCCAGAGGATAAGGTATTACTTACGCATCTGAGAAATGATTCCACCATGATGACCAGGAATGATCTTGAATTGTACCCCGCTTTTGAACTTCCCCGACGCGTCTGGTTCGTAGGCTTCAGCAACATTCCACAATCGTATATTGTCGTTCGATGCGCTGTCAACCCCAAGTCAGCCGTATACAACCGCAAGGCTCAAGTTGACAGTTACCAAGCGAGATGTCTGCCGTCAGGGAACGCCACAACACACGAGATATCGCCAGATACCGGAGGGTTGCGCAACGTCTTCAGCAGCCTGGGAGTACCCATGTGCGCTGAACCAGTCTGTCGGACGTCCCAGACGTCGATAATAGCATTACGCCGCCCGACATATATCTGGCTACCGTCTGTACTCCAGCATGCCTATTGCGAGTTGAGAGCCTGCCTTATATGCAAACGGATGTAGTCACTTACAGAGACACACCAAGGGCGCGTCTTCTCACCCATAGGAAGCCTGCCGACGCCGTATCCGGGAGAATTTACCCGCTTATCCCATAACATGACCTGTCCGTCGATTGCAGCCGTCATCAGCACGTCGGGGCTGAAGCAGCTGTATGCGACCGGGTCCAACACCGGTGGAGCATTTGGGGCATTACCCCAGACGACTGGTTGGCGTGGCTGCTGAGGTTGAGGTTGGACGTTTGCCGATGCGGCAGAAGAATTGACGAGGCCATTTGGCTGTGCTGGCGGTTGAGTGTTCGTCTGCATGATCGAGTCGCCATCGGCATCGGGATCGTCAAACAAAGGATCAAAGTCTGACTTCTCGTCATCATCTTGCTGTATCGTGTATTTAGCCTCAGACAAGGGCTCGTCCTGAATCATGGTTTCTGGCACATCCTCTTGCTTAAGCATGTTGCTCCCCATAGGAGGACCAGATGCGTATTTGCTCTCGTCGATCCATGACGGACCGTTGGAAGCACTCGACAGAGGGCGGACACCGATGGCAGTTAGCTGCGCGCCATGAGAAGTGAATGCCCGAACAACCTGTCCGGTGTTGAGGTCCCATTGCTAGAACAACTGCGGTCAACGACCACGTGGCAGATACCTCTTGAAAAGGTGTCCATACCATGGCTTCTCCGTCCCAGCCTGCACTAAAAAAGCCCTTCTCATCATGTGCCATGCTCATGGCTGAGACAGGCCCACGGTGACCAGGGAAGATGTGACATAGTCTACCGGGCTCATGTCTAACAGTGAACAGGCTAATATGGCCGGGCTACCAACCGGAGGAGGAGATGAGACCAGAGCAAATAACATAGGCCTTCACTCACTTCCGTACCAGCTAGTGACCACAGAGCATCAGAGTGCATCAGCAAGCTGTATGGCGCGCAGAGGGGCGGCTCATCAACGGGACCCGGCATTGCAGCCAGGTTTACGGGATTTTCCCACCAGAGCCTAATTTGTGCGGCCTTCATGAGGCCCTCCATAACACCGCAATGATGTCTCTGAGGTGCTGTTAGGTAAACCTTTCCGTTCACCCCCGTGAATATGTCGTAGTCGCGTATATATCCGTCGTCCGAGCCTGTTAGAAGGTGAGACATGCACAGCGAGGAGGCTAAGCAGTGGGTAGGGTAGGGGTGTGGTATAGCACAAATAGCTTCGACAGTGAATGATCGTGGCCATCGCAGGTCTGCCAAAAGTCTGGCCTTACGAAGGCCAGCAGGAGACAAGGACCGCTTGCGAGGAGCAGGGGTTGGTGCTGTGGATAATTAGCTTAGAGATAGCAGCGTGCGTTAGAGTCTGAAAGCTACTTACACTTTCCGGAAATATGCTCTCCGCGAGGGGATGCCAACGGCGGAGAGGGTCCCATTGATGGCGCAAGGGCCGCTTCAGCTGGCTGTGGTATGGACAGCTGAGGTTCATTGATGAGTATAGCAGACGATGGTGGCGGCTGCTCGTCATCATCATTGTCATCGTCTGAGTCAATGTCAGAGTCGTCTGTGATTGATTCCTGGGTAGATGATGTAGTGAGTGCCGAAGAGCTTGTCGGTCGCGGTCACGCTAAGGCCCACCTCTGCTGCTGCCTCTGAGGCAGCCTCCTCTGCGGCTAGATCTTCTTCAAGAGCGTCAAGAATGTCTTCATCAATCTCGTTCTCCTCATCGTCAGAAGAGCCGTTGAACTCGAGATCGTCGAGGGCCTCCTCCTCTGAGTCCATGGTGTTTGCCGAACGTAGTATTGTCTGGTGCGCCTTCCTTTCTGGGATGTCCGAGATCGCGTGGGCGTCTACCAAACGCCGCTCCTTGCTGCCACTGTCCACGATGGTCCTCGCAGACCTCGGCCGCAAGCTCAACGCTGCTCTTTCGTCGCTAAACAGGGCACCTATCGTCGATGAGAAAGTGAGCTTCTCCCTGATAAATAGCGGAATAAAATTGACAGCTGCAGTAGGTACTTGACACACTGCTCAAGGATGTCTGTGCCGCGCTTCTCGAGACAGACGTGAACGTGAAGCTCGTCGCCCAGCTGCGTCAGAAGGTCAAGGCCAAAGTCAAGGCTTCTCTGGAAAGCGGCGCGGATAAAGGAAAGGATGTGAACAGGAAAAGCATCGTGCAGAAAGTATGTTTTCGGGTTAAGCGCGACAAGTGAGCATACTAATCATTCGAAACGCAGGCGATCTTCGACGAGTTGGTGCAACTTGTGGATCCTGGAGTCGAACCCTATAAGCCTAAGAAGGGCCAATCAAACGTCATCATGGCTGTCGGTCTACAAGTACGTCTCCATCCTTGTCTGGCAGGACACAGGTCATTCATTGATGGCTATTTAGGGTAACGGCAAGACGACGACATGTACGAAACTAGCGGTATATTACCAGAAGCGAGGATTCAAGTCATGTATTGTTTGTGCGGATACCTTCCGTGCTGGTGCCTTCGACCAAACCCGACAGTCGGCGACGAAAGCGAAGGTTGCCTACTTTGGCTCATACACCGAGACGGATCCGGTAGCTATTGCGGCGCAGGGTGTTGCGAAGTTCAAGAAGGAGAGGTTTGACGTCATTATCGTCGATACATCTGGGAGACACAAACAGGAGTCTGAGCTTTTCCAAGAGATGGTCCAAATTGGCGAGGCAGTGAAGCCGAATATGACTATCATGATTTTGGACGCCAGTATTGGTGAGCAGAATTATTTCTGCCAACACGGCCAGCCCTGATTGATACTGTCAGGTCAGGCGGCTGAAGCGCAAGCGCGTGCTTTCAAAGAGAGTTCCAATTTCGGTGCTATTATCGTCACGAAGATGGATGGCCATGCTAAGGGTGGAGGTGCTATATCTGCGTACGTCTCTACTTTACTGCTGTATACTTTGAATATGCCTCATGGCAATCTAGTGTCGCAGTGACGAAGACGCCTATCATCTTCTTGGGTGTTGGAGAGCACCTCCATGACCTCGAGAAGTTCTCGCCACAGCCTTTTATCTCGAAGTTGCTTGGTCTCGGTGATGTCCAAGGCCTCATGGAGCACATGCAGGACATTGCAACGCAAAACCCTGACAAGCAGAAAGAGATTGCAAAGAAGCTCGAAGAGGGCAAGCTCAGCATCCGTGACTGGCGAGAGCAAATACAAAACGTGATGAGCATGTCAGTTTACATCGCCTTCTTTGTGTGGAAGGGCTTATATCAACGCTTTGCAGGGGACCTATATCGAAGATTGCCTCGATGATACCAGGCCTCCCACAAGAGATAGTCCAGGGCTCAGACGAGGAGGGTTCAATGCGCATGAAGCGCATGATCTACATCTCGGACAGCATGACCGCTGCCGAACTCGACTCAGACGGTTCGCCGTTTATGGAGTTTGGCAAAGATGGCAAACCGATCGGGCTCACATCGCGCGTTACTCGTGTCGCGCGAGGCAGCGGCACGAGCGTGCGTGAGGTCGAAGAGCTCCTCTGCCAGTACCGCATGATGGCAAACATGGCGAAGCAGGCGGGTGGCAAGAATGGATGGCTCCAGGCCGCGCAGAAGATGCAGCAGGCCGCGGGAGGACGTGGACGAGGTGTTAATGGTACGCCGACGCCTGCACAGATCCAGGCGATGCAGGTACGCTTTCGGTGCTACTTCGGGCATATAACCACGGACACTCACGCGGCTGTCTCGCAAAGCGTGCGATGCCACCTGGCATGCTCCAGCAGCTGCAGCGCACGATGCGTGGCGGTGGCGGCATGCAGGAGATGATGAAGGCGATGATGCAGGGCCAGGGCGGTGACGCTGCTGACATGGAGGAGATGCAACGTACGTGATCTCGCGTCCTCTACCTTTCCCTCCTGATTCATCACATGTACAGGCCTTATGTCACAAATGGGCGGCGGCTTAGGCGGTCTCGGCGGCCTTGGTGGCGGAATGCCCAACATGGGCGACATGTTCAAGATGATGGGTATGGGTGGTGGACGGTAACTCAGAAACCCCTCCAGGTGCTGCATCGTTGTTGTCTTGTAACTGTAGAACACGGGCCATTCAATTCTGTATTGTTCACAAAGACATTGTGCATCCATGGTGCTCAGCCGTGATGAACCCAGTGACTCTCAGATGGTCGAACGAATTATTAGCAAGTTGCCTCAATCTCTGTTCCTCAGATAAAAGTACACACAAAGGAACGACTACCACATAACCCCGAAAGCGGGCGAGAAGAGCAAACAGAGCGAGCAGCGAGAGCTGGGGGCTTCAACGTAGTGATACAGCAACTCACGACGACGAGGAAAGAGGGAATCCGCGAGAACAATGAATATGCTACACCCCAAGATGCATTTACGCCTTGACCTCAGCAACCTCTTTGGACTGGAACTCCTGTAAGACATTGAGGGCCTCACTGACCTTGCCGTCGAGGGCATCATGGCTGGCTACGAGGGAGATGAGCTCGGCGTTGTCCATCTCGAGGAGCATGCCGGTAATCTTGCCGGCAAGGTCGGGGTGTTGGCTACGAAGGCAAAAATTAGTATCTCGAAGATGTATGCGAAACAGACGAACACGTACTTGACAATTTGCATGTAAATCATCTCACCAATCATCTGTTTCTGCTCCATGGGGGAAAGATTTACGAGCGTCGAAGTGTCGAACGCGGGAACGGCCGGTGCCGCTGCGGGCGCAGGAAGGGCAGCAGGGGTGGCGGGAGCCTGTCCAGGAGCAGTGCCGTTGCGCGCCGGTTGGGGACGACCTGGCTGCTGAGGACGAGCAGCACTCGGAGGGGGAGCACCGGCCTGAGGGCGGTTACCGGGGGCCACACTAGGGCCAGCGGGGCGAGGGCCGCTGACAGCGTCAGCAGGAGGACGACCACCGGGGCCAGGGCGAGGAGTGCCGCGGCCGTAGGCCATACCGGGGTAGGGGCCGGCAGGAGGCTGGCCATAAGGGGCGGGAGGCAAGGGCATGCCGGGGACCTGGCCGTTGGGGGTGTAGCGGGGACGAGGAGGCATCATGCCGGGCTGGCCGTAACCCATCATGCCCCGACCGCCTTGCGGAGGGAAACCACCTGGACCAGCAGGGTAGTACATGGGGCCATTCATGTAGCCGGGCATACCAGCAGCAGCGGCCTGTTGCATGCGGATCTGGTTGCGTTGAGCAATCTGGCTCTCGAGCTGCTGGCGGCGGACCTCGCGGCGTTGAGCGAGCGAGACGTAGAGGGGCTTGGCACCGATCATCTTGTTGTTCATCTCAGCGACGGCCTTGGTGGCCTCATCGGGAGACGAGAAACAGACGAAACCGAACCCCTTGGAGCTGCCCTTCTCGTCGCGCATAACCTTCGCGCTGGTGATGGTACCGAAAGGCTCAAACTCAGCGCGGAGGCGTTCATCGTCAATCTCGTCGTCGAGGTTCTTGATGTACAGGTTCACGCCCTGGTATTTGCTCATCTTCTCCATCTTGGCATGCTCGTACGACTTGCGGAGCTCCTCTTCGCGCTCAGCCTTCTTCTGAGCACGCGAGACGAAGAGCTTTCTGCCATTATACTCAGTATCATGGAGGCCGTCAACGGCATTCTGGGCCTCTTCGTGGAACTCGAAGTTCACAAAACCGAAGCCCTTGCTATTGCCCTCCTCGTCAGTCTGAATGACAGCGGAGGTGACGTTGCCAAACTGCTCGAAAAGTTGAGTGAACTCCTCAAGAGAAACCTCAGGGTCGAGGTTCTTGACATAGATATTCGTGAACTGGGCACGGATCTCATCAAGCTTCGACTGACGCTCCTGCAGTGTTTTAGGATAACGTATCAGGAAGTATGCTCGTGCAACACGCAATTTGTTACGGACCTTCTTGGAGATATGGTGGCCTACGTAGACCTTCTTGTCGTTCAAAAGCATGCCGTTGACAGCCTTGATAGCGGTCTCTGCAGCCTCAGCGGTCTCGTAGTGAACGAAGCCATACCCCTTAGAACGGCCCTGCTCATCTGTAGCGACCTTGCAGGAGAGAACATTACCGAAGGCAGCAAAGGTGTCGTGAAGGGCCTTGTTGTCAATGGCCTCGTCCAGGTTCTTGATGAAGATATTGCCCTGGCCGGTCTTGCGGAGGGCGGGGTCACGCTGAGACCACATGATACGGCTACCAAAACATCAGTTTCATGGCGATTCACATCTTGCCACTGGGATCCACTCACCAGGCGCGGCCTTTGATCAAAGAATAGTTTAGCTGCTCAAGAGCACGCTCACCTGACCGATTATGAGGTCATCAATTGCGTCGACACCGCGATATTCGTGAAACTCACCATCGGCAGCATTCAAATAGTTGACGTAGGCATAGCCAAGGGAGCGACGGGTGACGGCATCGCGGCAGACACGGATGCTGCAAAATAGTCAGACATTGTTCAAGATCGTGAGGTGGCGACAGAAGACACCTGGCGACAGGACCAATCATGTTGAAAATCTCAAAGAGCATGGCCTCGGAGACGGTGGGGTCGAGTTCTCCAACGTAAAGAGAGGCTGAAGGGGAGGGCAGCTGCGGAACAGGGGGGTTGTAGGCCGGAACGGGTGCCGGAGGGGCAGCGACTGGGGTCGCTGCGGGCGAGGGGGAGGCGTCGGGGGCAGGAACAACGTCCTGGGTCGGAGCGACGACAGCGGCAGACATGATTTTCTTATACGGGATTTATGGGTTGGTCGTTACTGCTTTGTGGACTTTTCTGCGACTGGAGAATATGACAACAGACGGCGTGTGAGGCGATGTAAGTATGTCTAGAGGACGAAAATTGCACGTACACAGGAGGCGACAAGGCAACTGCTTTTTAGGATTTTCTGAAATGGATTTTTTTGATAGACTTTTACACCTGGGAGACGACAGTGAGCTCTCGGTGGTACAGATCGTGCGGGGAAATGTACTGACCTTAGATGATGGTTGAGGAAAAGGTGTCTATCAGGCGTGCCTTCTTCAAGTACTGGCCGTTCCAAACTCCGCCTTCGTCGACATCAGGTGTCGTGGGCGCTCTTGCTTCACGCTAATTTGTTAGGCGCCACAAAGGCCACGGCAAGGACAAAACAGGCACTTGCTTGTCGTGACAGACTTAATGCTTACCCCTGGGTGGCCGCAAAGCAAACCAGTTACGCCCCTCTTCAAACTTGTATTGTTTGAGTTTCGCACATGACAGTTCTTATGACAGCGTCCGAGGAATATCTTTTTGTAGGTCCGTAAATAAGACAAAAACAGCATACAGGTATCACGTATACATCGCGCGTAGTATAGTACAGACGGTCCACGACTAGAGTCCCTACGCTTACCCTCTCGTAAAGTACGCTTTGGCACCATGTGTGGCCAGCTCGCCCTTGGCCTAGCCATCAAAAAAAGGCAGTGTGTCAGCGCTCCGATAAGGTCCTTAGCTTAGCCACATTACCTTCGCGAAGGTGTGGCCTTGCGTTTTGCGGTGTTGCCAAATCTGAAGCGGTATTGCCGGTCAGCGGCCTAAAGCACAAACAGATGCACGATGTTGTACGTACCTGCCTGTAATACATAGCGTTCCCAGCGCCTTGGATGACCCAGCCGACCAAGGCTACTGTACACAAGATGGCGGCAACCCAGTGATGCTCCACGAACATTCGGATCGTTTCAATGATACCGGCGCCGCCAGTGCTAGCGTAACATCATAAGCGAGGCTCTGACGCACACTCGTTTCAGCTTACTTTGGAATGCCAACGATACTAAGGATCAAGCGGTTGTTAGCGCAGGATGTATGGGTTGTATTGGGGACTCACACGTAGACGGAGAAAGCGAGGTGGAATCCACAGAATACAAAATACATGTCTGCGCAAAGCATTACTCCTTGAACACAGCAACTGGGGAAAAGACCATACAATAGTACAGTGCTTGCTCCTGAAGCGAGCGTCAGGGCAGAAAGGGTAGCCGGGAGGTACGATACGCACCTTCATGTAACCATTGTATACTGGGCGATACCACAAGAGGAATGACAGAGGGGGAATGATAATAAGGTATCTGCCGTCAATGAATATAAGCCTTGGACGAAGCAGTTATCGCAAAGGGCAAGCGTACCCAATACTTGAGCCCAGAGCACTCCCGCTTTTACCTGCAATAAGGATAAAGATACATGCGACCATGTTCACGATCAGGACCACCAGCAGGAGGAGCCATAGCTGGTAGAGTCGGGTAATCAGCGGTCGTGAAGCTTCCGGAATTTCATCCTGGATAGAGTGGAAGATGAGAGGGTAGACTGCGTAAGGAGTTGGGGGAGGTTTAGCGGAGCGCGCAGCAGGGACGATGAGCGGACGCACACGGAGGCCAGTTGTTGCGACCATGTCTGCGGATATGGTCTGCCTTCTGGGCTAACTCCTGTTCTCGCCTCTCAAGATCTCGCTCGCGTCTTTCAAGGTCCTCGGCTTGTGCGACATTGACTTTGGAGGTGGAAGCAGAAACGGGGTCGTCGAATGGGTTCGCGTCGAGAGATTGGGTGGAAGCAAACGGGTTTTCGGTATAATGATCTATCGCAAGGAATGGTCAGGCACAGGGCGGGTTGAACGGAGCAGCCAGAGTCTTACTCATGACGGGTCGTGCCAGTGGATCGTGTCTGTGAAGCAAAGTCAAGCCAGGACCAAAAGGGGACGTACGTTGCGTCGCTTGGTCGGCACAGAGGTCCGCGCCCGGCACAGCCGGCTAAAATCGGCGAGGGCCATCGCCGTTTGCCGCTGTTATGGCGACGGATACCGTTCACTGATCCGTGCGGTGCCCATTATGTCAATTTTGTGGCAGTTTGGTCATTTGAATCTCGCCATTGTCTTTGACGTTCGGCTCCCCATCGCCGTCGTGTGCTAACATGCTTGCCTGCTCGACGTTCAAGGCAACATTGAGAGCCTTTAGTCTTCGCACTAGCATGTCTTTTCAGGTGCAGGCTTTCTACAGTGACGCAGCAATCAACACAGGCTTTCAGCCGTTCGTAAAGTTTTGGTCTGAATTTCACTCGATTTTCTGTCTCGGCTCCGGAGGCCTCCGTGGGGGAGCCGAGACCATGCTTGCGGTGCTCTATGAAAGCGTGGGAGACTTGGCCTCCAGACCAAGTATATTAAACGGGGATTACTGTCAAAGCGTGCCTCTCCCAGTTCTCTCGATTTTCTTTTCCTTCCATTCCTCCCTCGTCTCGTCGTCTGCTTTGACGGTGGGTTACATGTCCGCCGCATTTTCTCCTTGAGGTGTCTCACGTTCCCGCCCTATATCTTGTAGCAGCCTCTCTCTTCACTCCCTCCGGTCTCTACCCTCACCAGCTCGCCCGAGCACAGTCACTCTTTGCGTCGAAGACCCACATAGACGATCCTGAAGACAGATCAACATGTTCAAGTTCATCGCTCTCACTCTCACCGCCGTCGCTGCCGTCCGCGGCATCGTCATTCCTGCCACTCACATCTCCCGTCGCGACTTGGCCACGTACGACTCTTCGGCGCTTGAGGTATGTACGCGTCGATCACGTCGGACACGCCATCCTGACTTGTTTCGTAGTCGTACTCGACCTACAGCACTCGTTACCAGGAGCTCGGCTGCTCTAGCCAGCACGATACGCAGTTTTTCACCGACTGCTGCCACCCGTTGTTGGTGAGTGCTGATCCGGCGCGGTAATCAAGTCGGCCTCAATTGTACTTACGATCGATGATCCCGATTGCAGAAGGACCAGACCCTGGCCGACCGCCCCTCGTACTGCACCCCGACGAACTCCTCGACCTCTGCTACTCCCACTGCCTCTGCAGATCCTGAAAATAGTAAGGAGAAAATCTCTACCTCTGCTTCTACTCCAAGCTCAACTTTTGCTCTAGCTACAACCTCCATCCCGCTATCGGTGAATGCCGCCGCCCCTCCGCCGGGCTCCGGTTCCAGCCCGACCACCCCCGCGGCGTCTGCTCCTTCGCCTACCAACACGGGCACTGCCACTTGGTTCACCCAGGACAACAACCCCGGCGCTTGCGGCATTGTTCACCAGGATTCCGACGAGGTTGTTGCCCTCGCCTCTGCTATCTATGATGGCAAGTATTGTGGCATGAAGGTCTTGCTCACGAACCTTGCAACTGGCGCCACCACTCAGGCCACAGTTGCAGATGAGTGTCCCGGTTGCCGGTCTATGTATTCTCTCGACCTTTCGCAGGGTGCTTTCAACGCTTTGAGTGGTAACAACCTCGGCATGGGCGTATTCCCCCGTAAGCATCGTCTCTCTTAATGACAAATTCTCAAAGGTCTAATTGAATGCGCTTCTAGTTGGTTGGTCATTCGTCCCCAATCAGAGTTAGATATCTCTCCTCTCCTGTCTGCTATTCATCTTCCGCTCTGCTTATTATGCGTAGGGCGAGTCCCTATTCTGGTATTTGGCCAGCCGGACGGGACGCAGCGGGGTGTTTACGAGATTTACGACCCTGGTGGCGTAGCATCGTACTGCAATGTCCGCTCTGCGCCCTGTTGATGCTGTCCTATCTAATATTCTCTTCTGTGAATGCGTGGCGCATCGTGCGCGTGTTATGTCTTCCGTTTGTTGTCAGTAGGCTAGCTCTTTCTTTCAATCAAATGGACTGTAGGTCTTGTCAAGATACTGGCGGTGGTCATAAACAACTTTGAAAATAGCTGAGCTCAGCGGTGTTAGATTGAATCATAACCGCGCATTAGGTTCAAGTTATGTAAATGCGTGACAACGCGTCGAGTTTGATGCTATGCTTACTACGATCTGTCGCGACCTGACAGGGCCTGGCGCGACTTGTTCCCTGACTACTTCGACGGACGAGAGTTTCCAGTGAATTCGTTTTACTAGACTCGCCCTTCCCCAACGCCGTGCGGCTTAAATGGAACCCCTGGTGCAGAAAATTCTGGTCATAGGCGGAAATGGTTTCGTGGGTACGTTCCAAGCTTTCGCACTCGCTTGCGGCGTCCATTGAGCCCTGAACACCCTGCACAGGCTCTGCAGTGTGTAGGCTCGCACTTGCACGCGGCTTCCAGGTGACGAGCATCAGGTGCGTCCGCGTATCAACAGCCGGCCCTTCATGCATTCCTCAGCGTTTCCTGCAGTTCGTCTGGCAGACCATACACGACGCCGAAAGGGCATTCTCCGGCTTGGACCTCCAAAGTGTTTGCTGCTTCCTTTGATTTTATTTATATGACTATGCTCATGGCGTGCTACTCTTCATAGGTAGACTGGCAGAAGGCGGACGCGCTCCAGCCCAAGACGTACAAACACTTATTGCCGGGTACGACGGCGGTTGTGCACACGCTTGGGACGTTATTGGAAGATGCCAGGTACAAGGCAGCGTTGAGCAAGGGGGACATTGGCGCATTGATAAGGGTCGCCGTCGATAGCATGACGAAGGGAGGAAATCCACTCGAGGAGAAAAGCAAGAGAGGAGGCTATGACGAGCTAAATCGTGATGCTGGTGCGTGTTTCTTGGCATTGCTGAAGGATCCAGTGTTCATATATACTGAACATATGTAGCACTCCACGTGTGCGAGGCCTTCATGTCGAGTGCGCCTGATACACCTCTACCACACCCGCGTGCATTCGTGTACGTCTCTGCCGAGGACATCTTCCGTCCATTCATCCCCGCACGGTATATCGAGTCTAAACGAGAGGCCGAACTCGGCATTGAACGCATGATGCTTGAGAATCCTGCCTTCCGCAGTGTGTTTGTTCGTCCCAGTACGTGCGCATACCATTGCCCCTTCCACCCCCTTCGCTGATTTCACTGTCGTGGGAATGTAGGCCTCATATACCACCCACACTTCCGTCCGTTGACGTCCCCCGTCGCTGCGCTTCTGGACCTATCCGCGAGTCTGCATACCAAGGTCCCACAGGCAGTCCCAACGCCGTCAGGCGTCCTCCGCACGCTCGCAGGTCTCTCGTCCCGGCCGACACCCGCGTCGCTCGTCTCACCGTCTCCGTTGGACTCGGTCGCGAATGCGCTGACCATCCCGCCCATTCACGTGGACCATGTCGCGGAGGCCATTTGCATCGCGGCGGACAACGCCCGAGGGGACGTAAGCGGTGTGGTGGACGTGCGGGAGATGCGCAGACTCATTGGCTGGACGCAGAAGGGCCAAGGCGGTGTGGGAAGCCCGAGCCTTGGTTCATCGTAGCCGTGCTGATATGTCTGACGTGCAATCTCCGTCTGTTTATAATTAAAATTGAAAAAACCACAGAGTATTCTGGCGCCGCATTTGTAACGAGTGTCAGAGCCTTCCTTCTCCGAGTCGGAGCAGGACGAGTTGCGTATCACCTCAGCAAAGGTGTACGTGTGTTAAGCGCTAATCTTCAATGCTAATCTGTGTGCTGCCGCTTTGCGTCTTCTGGCTGGGAATCTGACGTGCTTTGCTGCGCTGAGAGAGTTCTGTGTTGGGGACCGGTCGAGGCGGGGTTAGCCGATCCGCTCAAAGGGGCTCGTGACAGGGCGCAAAGCTCCCAGGTACGTAGCCGCCCCCTCGTATTTACGCCATGACTCCTAGTCCAACGTCTTTCTCGACGACTCCTCCCTCCATCGCGCGCATACGACCAGGCGACATCCTCCGCACACCCTCCGGGGCTCTCTGGCCGTACTGACGGAACAGAATTAATAAGACGCGCGCTTGCTGTGCCGTGGGGTGTGCGTTGCAGCAGTGGGACGATCATTGACCTTCGGTAAGTGTCCGAACGTTTGGGGAAGAGTGCGAAGCACAGCCCAGGCTCATGCGCGCACGCACACAGAGACTCGCCCTCTTTTTTCTCTCTGTCCTCACCCTGTGCATGTCCGTCCTCGTTGCCCGCCCCAACCTCCCCGCGGCTGTTCGCGAGCGCCTGCACGCGCCGCGCGTGCTCATCCGGACGTTCGGCAGCAGCTCAACGTCCCAAAAGGCCCTTCCATTCTCGCTGAGGCACGCACGCGAGAGCACGGCTCAGCCTAACCAGGCAGAAGGCAATGTACTCCGCATGCTCATGTTCGGCAAGCCTGGCGCAGGCAAGGGTACTCTCTCCGGACGGCTCGTCAAGAAGTACGACATTGTGTCGCTCTCGACGGGCGACTTGCTTAGGCAGCACATTGCCGAGGGGTGCGTGTCCGCTGCGTGCTGCAAGCGCGGGTGCGAGTCTGATGTCGTGCGCAGGACGGAAGTTGGACGGATGGCCGAAGAGATCGTTGCAACTGGCGGACTCATCCCTGATGATATTATGCTTAAGATCATAACGAGTAAACTAGACTTGCTTCATAATAAGGTGTGTCTATGTGCTTTGACCCGAAACGTCGTGCTCAAAGCGAACCTTAGCACTGGATCTTGGACGGCTTCCCTCGCACAGTGGGTCAGGGAAAGCTTTTGGACGAACACCTGCGGTATGCATGCTTCGCGCGACGCCTCTCTAAGCCACTAGAACTCACTTTCGATTGCCTAGGCAAAGAGAGACGCCACTCAGCCTTGTCGCGAATATCGACGTTGCAGACGAAATTATTCTCAGCCGTATCTCAGATCGCTGGGTCCACTTGCCCTCCGGCAGGGTATATAATCTCTCATATAACCCACCAAAGATCGCCGGCCTCGACGATGAAACAGGCGAGCCGCTGACCAAGCGGCCGGATGACAACCCTGTATGCCCCTTTGGTCATGTATTCTGTTTGCAATGTCTGATATCAGTGAGCAGGAGGTCTTTGTCCGCCGCCTCGAGAAGTTCTATGCTGCGACATCGCCTTTGCTATCGTACTACGCCGAACGGTCTGGCAACGGTGTCTCGCTTGTGACTCTGAAGGGCTCAACATCGGATGAGATTTGGCCTCAGCTAGAAAATGTCCTCACAACCCATTTTCCAACGCTCAAAGAGCGCGCAGACCAAAAGCGCAGGAGCAGCCTCACTGAGGCTGTCCTGGCTCGGACGGAGGGCGACAAGGCCGAGCTGGTTCGGTAGACTCACCCCACCTGTCTCTGATTATTGTTATCGTGCACAAGTCTGGATATCTTTGCATTTTCTTCCATTTTTGTCTTTTTGGTTTTTCCATAAACCCGCCGTACAGATGGTGTCATACTTTTGACCTTTGCAACAACTGTACACGTAGTCATATATCTCACTCGACGTCGCGCCGCACTTTAATATGGATCAGTCTATTGTTTGCTACCGTAGAGCGTACATTTTGACTTCGTACAAGCCCTCGGGGAAACCCTGCTGGACTTGTTCGTAAACGAGTGTCAGTCCAGCTGTTTCGAATGTTTTCTTCCAGGCCATGTCAGATCTGCGCAAGTATATCAGCCAGCTTCAATGCATTGACTCATCGATATGGGGCAAACCTTGTCAGACTAGAGTCGCTGTCGTCAAATGCGGTCGTGGCGGTGCCGTCTGCTCCGTCCGAGCATAAGTTCTCCTTCACTATGATCAGACTTTCCCGAGCGTCCCGCAGAGACTGCCTGCACCGCCGGAAGAATGCGACCAGGTCTGCATCGTTAAGATGGCCAAGGCACCACTGACACCACACAATGTCGAACTTGCTCTCGAGGTCGTCCTGCTCGGGGATGTAGCCCACCCGCCCGACGAGCGTCGTGGACTTGAGCGGGCTGCTCGGGTCGAACGCTTGGAGGGTGCCCTGGACGAGCACCACGCTCTTCGTCTTGGCCCGGATGCCCTTCCAGCGCGAGTGCACGGCGTCCTCGACGAGCGTGCCGTCCTCGCTCGCCTTCCCCCTGCGATACGCCTCCGCGATGAAGCCCTCGACGGGCTCGAGGAGCAAGACGTCCGAGACGAGATGCAGAAGCACGTCCGCGGTAACGCGCCCTACGCCGGCGCCGACGTCTACTGCGCGGATGCGGAGAGCACTGCAGGAAGGCGGCGGAAGGGAGAGTGGGCGTGCGGCGGAGGGGACGGTGCACAGGTCGGGGCGTAAGTGCATGAGGAACTGGCGGGAGCTGAGCGCGTCCACGCGCGGAAGAGACTGCGAGGATGAAAACTCAATTAGTCGATACGGAAGCGGTCATAATGAATTAACAGAGATGTGCTCGCCCCGTTGCCGAATCCGCCTGAAAGACTCCCTAGTCACGACGATGGGCTGAGACGGCGGCGAGAGAGCTCACCGAGTACACCGTCATAGCTAGCAGGCTGGGTATTCCAGTACTCGATGCCATCCTGAACGTCCGGCTCGGGCGGTGTCCGCGACGTGGACATTTTCTTCAGGCCACAATGGGGAAGTCAAGAATTAGGACGAGAAGAAGCGCAAGGGACGGCGAGCACGAAGAAGCGCGTATGCAAACAGGGACAAACAACGCGGTAGATACGCGCTCATTCCGTGACACGCTTCTGTTGAACGACCTGCTGATATGGACCTCGATGACATCTGGGACGAGCCTCTCACACAATCCCCTCCACATTTTGTTCCAGCGGAGGATGAGACCACCACCAAGCGCCATTCGCCCGCCAAGCGACGTCGCACGAGCCTCTTCCTCTCCTCCGGCTCGGAAGGCGAGGACGACGCGCCGGCGAACCAGCCGACATATCGCGCACGCACGCCGAAGAAGACCGTGCCAGACATTGACGCGCTGTTTGATGGCATAGACGACGATGCGGGTGACAAGGACGATGACGAGCTTGCGCCTGCGCTCGACATTGACAAACTCCGTAGGCAGGCGGAGGCGAGACATGCTCGGGCCCCCTCTCTGACTCCACATGAGATTATGCCAAGCAGTTCGCCAACGCGAGAGCTGGAGAACGGAGCTGGAGGGAAGAAAAAGCAGGGGGACGGGCTGGAGGGGAATAAGAAGCGGAAGATTGCCAAGTTGGACGAGGCGCGGTTGTTAGGCTCGGACGGCTTTCCTGCGCTCATAAACCAGGCAAAGGGCTTCAAGCCAAGAGGGAAGGGCCACGAGGTACGCAAATCGCCCTGTGAGATTATCGAGACGCGTGTTCATAGTCGCCAGGTCTCCGACCTCAATAGGCTGTTGCAGATGTACCAGTTCTGGACACATAAGATGTATCCTAAAGCGACGTTCCACGATTCGGTGCAACGTGTGGAGAAGCTATGCCATTCGAAACGCATGCATGTATGTCCCTGAGCTTCGCATGACACTATGCTTCGTACTAATACGCCTTGTCGCCACAGAGTGCACTTGGCGTGTGGAGAGACGAACACCACGGTCTGATCAACGGCTGCAAACCAGAGGATCTCAACTCTGAGGACGAGAGCGACAGTGACAAAGAGGATCATGGCAAGGACGCGCAGGCACGGCAACGCGCGCCGTCCAGCGGCGCTGAGCCCGAACCTGAGCGACAAGGCCACCGTTCATCGAGCCCAATTCCTCGCCCTCCTTCGTCAGCATCCGAGTTCACCTCAGGCGCACCGGACGATGACTTTGACATTGACGCCATTCTGCGTGAGGAGGAGGAAGCACAGAAGGCGTCTGCCGCGTCGAACACTTCTGCCAGCGGCGGAGCTGGGGCTAGTGGTTCTACGCAAACGGCTCCCCAGTCTCAACCGTCAGCTCCTGCGGATGACGACGAAGATCAGACAATGTGGGACGAGCTGCATGCCTTCGAAGACGAATCGACACCCGCTATAAAACCATCAAACCCAGCGCCACTCCCCGTCCCCAGCGCAGGTGGGAATATGGGTATGGACGAAGACGAGGAGATGTGGGATGTCGTCCGCGAGATGGAGCAGGAGCACGCTGCCGCTTCGACACAGGCGAAGTCAAACCCTGTATCTACCACCCCGGATACCCAGACAGGTGCACCGAAAGGTGGGTTGCACCAGAGAACTGATGTGCCACACTCAGATCAGCAAGGGTCTCAGGCGACCAATGATGAGGGCTGGGACGAGATGTATCTATAAAGCAGATGCTTGTCTCAATGCAAGATGTCGTAGCGGGGATGCTCCTACATGATGAGATTCTGCGGCAGAAGGTTAATCAACCCAGTAAATGCGCAGAAAATAATATATAACCTGCTCAATGTTGAGAGTTTGGAGTATACTGTAAATTACATAGTGCAAAGCCGATGTCAGCAGAGATGTTCGATGAAGATGGCGGAAAAGAAAGGCATGATGCCGGTGATCGCCGCGCCACGAAAACTTATCCAAAAGCGGTGTTGACCTTGGCCTTGAGCTTAGCCTTGAGCGCTCTCGTTGTCGGTTGGTGTCTACCTCGAAGCCTTCCCAGTCAGCTGAATATTCTTTACATGCTTACAGATAATAATTGCCAGCCATGTGGGGTTTGCGTATGTCTTATTCATGGATTCCGCGCAAGCTGACAGCGCTCACCGGTCCGCATCTTCGTGCACCCGGCTCCCGTACGCTTCGAGCACGATTCAAAAATACAGACATCACGCGTCCTTACATGACTGGAGCGTCTCCGTTGAGCATGTTGTACTCTCCTTCTGCCTCTCGGTCACACGACTCTAAGCCGGTCTCCCCTCAGAAGCGGATATGGTGCTCAAAGATGCCGAGATTCTAGCAAAGAATAAGTCCCTAGTCATGGAACCCTGTGACAGGCTAGAGAAAGCTCTGCTTGAGAGAGACTTCAGGGAGATTTTGGATCTGTGGTCGCAGCTGCGAGAGCATCGACCTATGACTCCTGGTGTGCTGGATGAGCCTGGATCCCGAGATACGGTGGTATTTGAGGAATTATTTCGACACTCTTGGCAAATATTCGGACGACGTGGACCCAAACGCACTCTCCGCACTGGACGATCTCGTGGCCCATGCCGCCTCCAGCGACTACTTTCACGGAGCAAGTGTGTGGATGGACTGGCATCGAGACTGCGACTCCGCACTTGATTCTGTGCTCAAGTTTGATCATCTGGTAAACGTTCGCAACACCTACCTTCTTGAAGAGGTTCGATCGCGCACATGTGGCCTGGAAAGTGCTGACTACTCCTAGAGAGCCACCAGCAGTAGTTGTGCACCAAGCCTACATCAAAGCTCTGTTTCGCGAAGGACGCTCGGATGATGCGCTGGCAGAATTCGGGCGATTCGAGCAGAATCTCTGCGAGGGACTCGACCCCCCCCCCCCCCAGCGATCCCTCGGCCATATCTGTCTTCAACATACGGCGCTCGAGTGGCTGCTGGGGCAGTCTCGCTTCGAAGAAGCTCGGACGATCCTGGATCGGATGAAGAAGACGGGACCAAAGCCGGACGCGGCTCAACGCATTCATGAGGTACCATAGCCGAAACGGAGACTTGCGCGCTATATCTGGGACCATGCAGGAGATGAATGCTTTGGATATTCACGCAGACATCTACATCGCCTCGGTCCTGTTACCTGCCCTCCACTCGGCGCGGGCAGACGCACCGCAACTTTCCCAGTGGCGCTTTTGCGCCAGAGCGGCGTCATCGTCGATGCCACCACAAGTATCACGGTCCTCGAACACCTCGTGCGCTCAGAGGACGACGCCGCTTTCGACGCCGCCCTTGCCGTCATTGAGCACCTGGAAGCATGTACTTCAGAGCTTGCGCCGTTCAGTTACTGGCATAAATCTACCAAGTACTGCCCTGTGCGGAATCGAACGCAGAGTCTGGCGTAACCCGTCCTTAGCTGCTCGCTACCGATACGTGGTCATCGAAAAGATGAAAAAGCATCAACACTGTTCATTCGGCCCCACGGCCCAGACCATACACATCATTAAAGCGTGTTGCGAAAACTCGGCACCCGAGGCGATGCGGCGCGCAGTGGTGTACTACCGGACGCATAAGTACGAAAAAGCGAAGAAAGGATTCCGTGCGGACCGGAGGTTTGGAGTAAGCTCATGGATCAGTTAATTCGGAGGGGCAAGTGGAAGCTTGCTGACGAGTTGGCCGATGATCTCGACGTCGAACAGCTCTCATCTGGCATGCGGCATCTGCTTGATCAGGCAAGAGCTCGCAATAACTCGGAATTTGTGGATATGGATCTCGGCGTAGAACAGTAAGATATAAGGAGTTGAATACCTTCGTACTTCCCGAGCAACTGCAGTTATGTTGCGCCGGTACTATGTGGTGTCTACGCGAGCATTAATGTCGAAGAGCATCTCGACCCATACGCTTTAGCCTTCTGTATAGAAGCACACTCCTTCCGTGCTTTTGTGAATACCTGCAAACAAAATGCTTGGCCTGTGCAATAATAGTGCACACGCGGCCTATTGGGAGTCGATATGCTGCGTTTCTTGCTGTTTTCGAGGCAAGTGCGACATGACGCTTTGTCAAGTAGGGTGTCAAGTTATTTACATAATCGGCAGAGTAAGTTTCTGGAAACTTGAGAAGGCACCTCCCCTTACTGACATACTGTTAGATAAGGCTCCAACCGTTTTGTTTGTTTACTGTGTATAAACATTTATTACTGTTTACCGTTTCCGTGTGTAAATGAAGTCATGTAAACTTGGTGTAGACGTTTATATTTAAAAGGTCTTAGTGTTGTACATTCATAGTCTTGCTAACAGACTTGACCTTTATTGGGCTGAAGAGTGCATCACACCGCCTGTGCATCGTCCTCGGGCGGCCTCTTTGAACCCCCAAGCCCGGCGCACTGTATCAAGCGCCTATGCCCTGAGACTTACTGGGAGTAATGGTAGTCATGATCCTAACTTGTATTGAGCACAGTCTGAAGGCGAGCATTATAAATATAATATAATGTGTGTTTATTGACTGCTCCTCTACATATAGTCTACTGTGGGCACTGGCAGCCTGCTTGCGAGAGTGCAGTATGCAGGAATGTTGTGAGCCCATACTTCATTCAAGAGGAACAATGTTAATATTAGTTCAACCTCATTGAGCGATGACAGTACCATATGCGATACTAAGGCAGATTGACTCTAAAAAAGGGCTATCAGAGGTCCGCACCCATGCGGCAGTCTTCTCTAGGCCAGCTCTCAAAGTCCTAGCGTGAGAGTATGTCGTGTCACCCCCGAAGTGCCAGGCTAACACTCGCATAGGTTATCGGCCCACTTCTCAACGACGAGGTCAATGATAGGACATGCCAACCTTCTAAAGGCGGAACCGCAAGCTTCTTACAAGCCCCACGGATACCTTTGTAGGTCTTACCCTCGCAGTACAGTGCTGCCTGGCAATACCGCTCCCGCAGCTTGTGATTGCCAGTGTTTGTCCTCTCGCAACCTCCACTGGCTGATCGAGACTGTTCATGTGCCTGCAATCTGTGTACTATGCGTAGGGGACACCAGCGGGCCATAGGGATGACTATAGCATGATGCTTGAGGTACGGAGTGTTCAGATGCTGCCTGATGGCCAGTCCATGCTCGGGATGTGATGCACGCATTGCTCCTTCCCTGTACACATGAGTAGGTGCACTATCTATACATGTCCGAGTCGGGCCTAGTGTTTGGGACATCAATATTGTAAGTAGGAAGCTGCAGCCTCACTTTTCTCTCGTGCATCAAGCAAGCGCCTTGCGTTGCTCAAGCACTGACATTTGTACCTATCTTTTCAGGCTCAAGTAGAGCAGTAGGCTCACACAGGTTTCTCAGAGGCTAATCTGGCGCAATCCACCAGAGTGGGTTAGATCCCTGTAATAACTGTTTGTTTACTGTTTATAAACTGTTTATAAACGTTTACAACTGTTTACTGTGTGTTTACAAAAAAAGTTTACACGTAAACTAAACGGTTGGAGCCTTACTGTTAGAGAAGAAAAAAATTACACTTGTCGTCTGGTCTAAAGGTGGACGCATAAAAAGAAGCTGCCCCAGTGAGGCTCGAACTCACGACCTTCCGATTGGGTAAGCAGACCTTGCGGTCTGGTCTTAACAGTCGGACGCTGTAACCAACTCAGCCATGGGGCAGTTATTATGATACTTATCTTATTTATATACATACCGTTTAGATTTTGTCATAAAAGCTCAAGTGCCACAAAGCTACCACTTGTTGTTTTCGTCTCGATGGCACCTGTCCTCGTCGCGCTTAGCTGATGTTCCTGTTACTACTGGGAGCTCTCAATTATCGACTCACTTTCTGAATAGAGGGTCTTTGACGATGGGTTCATCTTATGAGCCAAACATAGAGTTTTTCGCAAGCAGCGCGCCAAAGGAGTTGAACTGACAACCCCGAGCCAAGTCCAAATGCGCTCGCGCCATAAGCCTTGACTCTTCCGACGCAACTTGAACATCTTGGACTCAGGACCCTGGATTTTTCGGAAATCAAAACGGTGCCGTGGTAGTTTGTCATAAACGGTAGATTTCACACCAACTAAGGACTGATTTACTATAGTATTCAGCGAACGCGGGTGAGTCGGTGAGTAACCTTTATATCACAGATTGTGCATGCTTATATTGCTACCTCCAAGTCTCAAGACAGTCAACTCGTGTGGCCATGATGTACATCAAGAAGGCTCTAAACTCGTAGTTCACTCAGGCTGTCTGGCCTTACATGCGCGCATCTCCGTTTCTACCCCATTCAAGGCGCGTTAGTACGCGAGTAGCGGACTTGTGTAATGTTACTTTATCCCCGATATGCATGTCGATATGGTCGCGAACATTACAATTTCATCATAAATCTCTACAAATGACGACTCGGACCTAGGTTTTTGAAGGGGAGTCGACACCTGCTCGAGCCGTAGCGATGTGCCGTTGATGGCGGTACGTCACAGGCGCTCTTGCTCGCACTTGCTTAAGCACACCGACCACGACCGAGCCCCCCTTCCTACCCGCCGCGTATTCCACCATGTCCGGCACAGGTCCACGAGAGAATATCTTTCCGACGCGTATGGCTCTGACCAACACTAAGCTTCGACTCAAAGGAGCACAGACAGGGCACTCGCTACTCGCGAAGAAACGAGATGCTTTGACGACCCGTTTCAGGGCTATTTTACGCAAGGTTGACGAGGTATGACCCGTGTTCAGATATGACAAGCGGCAAACAAACTGAAAGTCTCCTGTTATATCAGGCAAAGCGCAAGATGGGCAGGGTGATGCAGCTTGCCTCCTTCTCTTTGGCCGAGGTTACATACGCGACCGGAGACATCTCGTTCCTTGTCCAGGAACAGGCAAAGTCTGCGTCATTCAAAGTCAAGGCGAAGCAGGAGAACGTATCCGGTGTCGTACTTCCCGCATTCGACGTAGACAGGGTACCCGGCACAGGTGCGCAGCTATCTTGCATGATCGCAGGACTCGCTGATCAGCAAGCTGGTGTATAATATGCAATCAAGATTTCAACCTGACCGGTCTTGGCCGTGGTGGTCAGCAAGTCCTACGGTCCAAGGAGGTCTATGCCAAGGCCGTAGTAACGTTGGTCGAACTTGCGTCTCTGCAGGCTGCGTTCATGATTCTCGATGAAGTCATCCGAGCCACGAATCGCCGAGTAAATGCCATTGAACACGTCGTCATCCCGAGACTAGAAAATACGATCAAGTATATTAACAGCGAACTGGACGAGATGGACAGAGAAGAGTTCTTCCGGTGTGTTGCCTCCTTTCCACATGGCTACCTTCTTCTCACTACTCCCGTCAGACTGAAGAAGATCCAGGGTAAGAAGAAGCGGGATGCAGGCAAAGCAGACGCGGAAAGAGAGGCACTTGAAGCAGGCAATCGTGAGCAGCAAAGTACTGGCACAGTTTCTCAAGCGGAAGAAGTTGCGGGGGTAGGAGAAAGTAGCGACCTGCTCGGCACCAAAGACGAGGACATCATCTTCTAACCCTGTCGCATCCCCCCCCCCCTCCAGTCTCTTCTCGCCACACTTGAATGTAATGTATTCGCACGCCAGCATCAATACATATACCACTCTGCACATTGCACCTGATGATACGTTCATATAGTGACAGAGCGGAGAGGTGGTATCGTGAAACGACGCGGACCACGGACCTCACCTGAGCAGAACGTGAAAGGACGTGGAAGAAGGTAGTAGGTGGCTTTATAGAGCATATCATGTGCGAAGCGTGCGCATACATACATGGATTGTTTTGAGAATGCAATACGATAGCCAGGTAGAGACAGCACAAAAGACCGAAGTAGGGAGGGGAGATTTTACTGCTTGCCATGAGTTTCACGATGAGCACAGAGCAAGTAAGCCTACTTACGTCTACCATCTCGACGTCAGCACCATCAGCCTCCTTCTTACGGTTCTTGCGGTCAAGAATTGCCCGCCTATATCAAGAATTCTAGACTCGTCCTTCGCGTGAGCTCTCAAGGCGAAGCGCACCTGTCTTTGTCAAGCTTGATGGTTGTGATCACGACGTTCGAAGGGTGAATACCGATGGGTACTGACGAGCCATTCGACTTGTCACGCTGCACACGTTCAACGTGCACAACCCATTTCTTGCGGTACACCTGGGTGACCTTGCCCTCCCGGCCCTTATACTTTCCTCGAACGATTCGGACCTCGTCATCCTTGCGAATTGGCAGCGAACGAGTCTATGCGATTCAAATCACGGTAGTGACGGTATCCAATAAGACTGAGTGCCTTCGAAAAACTGGGATAGCCAGACGTACGCTATGCTTGCCACGGAGCTCCTTAGAAAGAGCAGAGGACATGATCTTGCGTCGGACAGATGAGGGCGCCGCGAAGTGAGCCTTGCGCGACTTGCGCCGAGAGGAGGAGACGTCTGTACGCAACCAAACCAAGGGTAAGGGCATACTCTCGTTAGCATGTCGTCCATGAGTTCAATGACCATAGCATGGGTCAAATTCGTTTCATCCCGTCAGTCTCATCCACATCCACCCCGCCCTGCATTCATCCAGCCTCTTCCGTCCCTTGGAACGCACGATTTTGACAGAATAGTAACAGAACACCAGAACTAACCTGGGTTTGACTTTGCCATTAGCGAAATTCCGTCGTTCTTGAGGGTCTTGAGGATGACCGAGCTCAATGGCTTACAGAAGTGTGAAGCTCGACGGAGAAACAAGCGCCCGAGAATAGTAAGCGCTAGGGTTAGGTTTAGGATCTCATTCGTACATTCGTCTCCTCTGCCCATGCCTGAGGACAAAGCCCGCCCTACAAAGCTCAAGTTCAAGGGGGAGAAGACTAAGAAGAAGCGGAAGCGCGAGTACGATGACGATGGCGAGAGTAGTAGTCGCCGCCGCCGCAAGGACGAAGATGACGAGGCATCGGAGACATGGGTCCTCCCAGAGGAAACCAATGAGATACGGGGCCCTACGTTCATAACACACCCCTCAGATCCTTCTCCTATATGTATCACCTACGATACGACACGCGGACGCATCGTGTTGCAGCCGCTAGACAAGGAGAAGGCAGATGACGAGCAGGAATTACCCAAACTTCTGGACCGAATCCCTACTGAAGTCTCGCAGGTATGGGTTGTTACCCGGGTGGCGGGATCACCCACCATCAACTTGCGTACGGGCACCGGAGAGGGCAAGTTCTTGTCTTGCGACAAGCATGGCATTGTCTCTGCAGACAAGGAAGCTCGTGGCCCACAAGAAGAGTGGACGCCCGTCGTATTCCCAGACGGCATGATTGCTTTCCAGAATATCTACGAAAAATATCTGGCTGTTGACGAAGTTGCCGGTGGACAACTGGCTCTGAGAGGAGACAGTGAAGAGGTCGGCTTCAGAGAGAGGTTTTGGGTCAAGATTCAAAGCAAGTACAAGAAGGAAGCTCACGATGAAGAGAAGAGAAAAGAAGGCATGTCATTAGATGCCAATCTAGATGAAGTATCAGTAAAGTGCGCTGTCTTTTCTCAAGATTCTGCATACATACACCTGACATTCCCTTCCCTTTGTTTAGCAAGACATACCAGGCATGGGGCGCTGGTCGATCCGTCTTGTCTGTCGAAGACAAGAAAGGGGTATGTGTGTAAATCATTTCAGTGTATCAATGGTTTTGAATAGGTTTTGCGCAGCTCAAGAAAGCGAAGAAGGAAGGTCGGCTTGCTGAGGCTCTGCTGGACCGTCGGGCAAAGTTGAAGAGGTATGCCGTTGCACCCTATCATGAATATGTTTGCTGATACGACTAACTAGCGATCGGTTCTGCTAATCTCAACCATTTTAATTCTACTGTTCCAGGTTGAATTAATCCGAATCCTCACGGACTGCTGTACTGTAGTGCATTGTATTCTGGTTTTCATCACGAGTCTTACACGTCTAGACGCCGGGTGCGGCTGACTCGCAGTAGTATGCGAGGCAAGGCTGTGGCCCAAGCGTGTTGTGAACTGATTTATGTATCGGAGGTGGGCTGACTATCGAGACGTACTGGATGTGGGCTCGACGGTATTGCGATAAGCGCCCATGACACGCGACGCGCCGATATTATAACGCGTTTCTGATCGCGTTTTTCTCTCACCTTCATCCCACCCTGGCCACTTCTCGCGATGCCTGTCTCGCGTACGAAGATCACGGAGGCTTATACCGTGCTTGGCCTTGAGGATGTGAGATACAGGCATTAGTAAGGAAAACCCATCGCTAACGATATAACACAGGGAGCGTCCCTCGAAGTGGTCAAAAGTACATACAAGCAGGTAGGTTCCACTCGGCAACGTCTTAGTATGATTTCAGACGTGGCTGAACTTCATAGCTTGCACTACGCACGCATCCAGACAAGAACCCAGGCAATGAGGCTGCAACAGCAGAGTTCCAGCGACTTAGCGAGGCCTATAACGCCCTTCTGAAACATCTCGACAGGTCCGCGCCACCCCCTCGGCCAGGGCATTACGGAGCGTACGACGACGAATCGGACTATGGAGACCACGACGAGTCGGACGACGGGTACTGGTATTACGATTCCGACTATGACGACTCCGAAGACGACTTCTACTTCGAGTCGCGCTCAGAGCGGTTCGCGTTCTTCATGTGAGTGTGTCGTGTGTGACATGTGCTCCTTGTTTTGAATAAGTATCAGGTATATGTTTGAGGAAGTTCTCCATGATAGGGGCAATCGTTCGTCCCAACGATGTGTGTTTTCACCCTGTTATTCCGCGACGCCTTTCGCTAACCTCTACTCAGCATACCACCGACACCATCATCACGAGCATGTGCCGCCCGAGAGCCAGGAAGAATTTCAATCGCGTATTCGTCGCGCTCGTGAAGAGCAAGAGCTAGCCGCTGAGCGACGGAAGAGAGAAGAGGCGCGACGCAAGGAGGAACAAGAACGGGAGCGTGCGAGAGGTTTGTCGGAACGGCTAACAGTATTCAGAATTGATTTGATATGTCTGTGCAGAGCGTAAGGCAGCCGAAACCAGGCAGAAAGCGAAAGCCTCGAACAAGAAGGCGCAGGCCGAGGCATCCCGCAAGTCAGCGGAAAGCAAAGCCAAAGCACTACAAGAGCGGTCTCAAGCTCTGCGATCAGCAGTCTTCTCAGCCGCTCGAAGCGGTGACGCACAGAAGGTCAAGAAAAGCGTGTACGAGGACCATGTCGACGCTGCAGGCGGTGAAGTCAAACGCGGCTGTGACGCGTACATGACGACGTCGCCTAAGGACCCCTCGGAGACGCTATCTCATATTGCTGCCAATTACGGCGATGTGGACTTGCTGCAATGGCTTGACACGCACGGTCAGTATATTCAGCGACCATGCATGCAGTTATTGATTACATGCTTGTAGGAGCGGACATGGAGGAACGTAACGAGGCCGGGTACACACCTTTCCACGTCGCCCTGCAGAGGGGTTACACAACAGTCCTCAAATACTTCTTCGATATGCATGAGCCTGATGATTCTGAGGCCATCTACAAGGCGCCGCCGTCCAAGTCTCTACTTACTCTTGCCGTGGAGTCAGCTCAGCCCGAGGTGGTGTGGATGATTCTGGACAAGAAGCTCGCATCAACCAAAGACATGACCGACGCGTGGGCATACATCACTTCCGATGGCCGCAAAGCTACCTTGAACAAACTGGGCTTGGCGGAGCCGAGCGATAAGGCTGAAGAAATTGTGAACCTTCTCGCGACATTTGGTGGCTTCACAAAGGAAGCTGACCTCGAGCCCGAAGCCGAACTTGTTACCACACCTCAGTCTATTGGTCGCGTATTCACATCATCGCCGCCACTTTTGGCAGGGTCTGGAAGTCCTCCACCCGCGCTCTCGTCTCAGAATGGTGCCTCGCCCAAGAAAAACTACCGTAACTATAACCGGAAGTCTGCTCCGCCCTCGACGCCGAGCCAGGCAAGCCCTATTCAACTAGAATCATTAAGGCCCGCTTCTGCATCTGGTCAGGAGACACCGCCGAAATCTGCCGCTGATAACCCCACGGCCAATACGGAGCATAACGATCAACCCGCGCCGCCCCGTGGTAGAGGACGAGGCTACGGAAGGGGCCGAGGTCGGGAACGCGGTTTTAAAGGACGTGGGCGTGGAGGGCGACCTCCACCCGTATCCTCGTGAATCATCGTCCCTTCCGTTTTTCTTTTGCGGACCCCCCCCCTCTCCGTTGTCGTTCTGTGATCCGAACCATATTGCACATCGTGTTTGTCATAATATCGTTGGTACTCTATTGTGTACGTACATAATGGTATTGTACGGCCAGAGTAAGACTCTTGCACATGAAGCTGGAGCTCGAGCGTGCGGGAAATGAGTCAGTGACAATCGAGAATCATTCATGTCTGCGGAGAAGTATGCATGCCAGTAGTATCAATCAAGTAGAGGTCATGCCGCTTGAAGCGTGAGATTAATACCGAACTCGGCCTAGGGCTGAGTCTCCTGTGGATGGAGGACCGGAAGTGCGGTATTGTTGTTGGCGAAATCGTCAACTGAGCCCGCATGAAGAATGGGAGATGGGTCATGCTTCGGAGGCACTGTCCAAGGATGACGTCGGCGCAGGGTCGCAGTCTGCTTCGACGAGAGAACCCCTGCTTGACCGGGTGCGTCGCATGTCCTAACGAGAATGGTGGTATGCCGTGAATCGTAGGCAAACGGGCCTTGTCGCATGATAGATGCATATGAGCGGGCGATTTGTGAATATCTCGCACCTCGTGCAGCAGCTGTCATCGCAGTTGACTTGGTTCCCGTGGTACTAGCCATGTACGTGCGAAGATAATTGCAAATGCACTGGAATTGACGTACGGTTCATATACGGAGAAGTCGCTTCAAGGCAATAGGCGGATGTTCAGGATCCTCTGCCCAGTAGCGCTGTACCATGCCCCGTGAATCTTCTGCTTGCCATCTTGCGAGGTCCCCATTGACTCTTCCGTGACAGGAAATGCATCCTACAGGGATGTAAGCCAAACTTCAACGCTGGCACCCGAGCCCACAACACAGAACGATTCGATGCAGCCCAGAACTATAGCTGCTTCGGCCCCAAAAGTTGTTCCCCGCCCGAAGAACGAACCCAGCACAGTGTTCGTAAACAAGACTAGTCGCCTCGCTCTTCAGGTCCAAATGCATGTTACTCGAGAGGCGCTGCGGGTGATTGTGGTGAGACGATTATCTGCTGCTATTATATGTATATGCGACGCTCATTGGCTTGTAGAATGACATGCGAAAGGCCGTTAAGAAATATTTGCACTTAGGGCGTCCGTTCGAGCAGCAGAAACGCAAAGCCCTCAATGCCTATATTGCGGAGGTGAGTACCGACCTCGTTTGACAACGTCTCTTGTTTACCGTCATACTCACCGATACGGGTCTAGTGCTCGAAGCTGCCCAGGCTTCAGCGTTACTTGGGTTGTTGGCCCGCGGTCGCCTACTGCAAGCTATATCTGCGTGGCCGCGAGCGGCACAGGGAATACCTTGTCAATAAGGCAGCCCCGGTTTGTCGTTTCGAGCCAACGACATAGTATACGATCAATATCCTGACGGTATTCGCTGACAGGCACCTTCGACTCGGAAGCAGGACGAGGACCCACCGCAGAAACCGACTCGAACGGTACCACCTATCCCTGAGCCGCCAACCGCACAGCTGGCGTCATCGCCAGCAGCCACGAGCCCTCCTGAGCATGCGACACCCGCAGATAATCAGCATCGTGCCGCAAGTGGCTCAAGCGGTAGCCAAGTGTCGTCATTGAATAACTTCTTCACCCTGTTTGACCCGCCTCAGCCGGGCCTTCTGCAGGTCTTCCAGCTCGCAGGGGTAGGGAAGTTAGCGGAGTTGGAGAAGCTTGCAAGAGATGAGTCTATGCAAGAAGAATTTTTGTACTTTTTGATGCACGAGAACAAGCTTACCCGGTTCCAGTATGCATTGATAAGGGGAGCTATGCGTCGAGCGTTCGCATCTAGCCTCTCCTACGAGTAGGATACCCAATAGTTAGCTAAACCACGTATTAGTAATATTGACAACATGCCCTACCCTTACCTCCCTTGCGCTACCACTGTAGTCGATATCTATGACTGTGATACCTTGAGGCTAAACATCAAAGTGCAGAAAACTGTATCCAGGGGCATACGTGCTGCATAATATTCTGAGCTATATCACGACAAGAACCGGCAGTAGAGACAAAGAAGTGACAGATATTATACAGCCATACAGCAATCAGTATCTCCTCCTGCCTGGAGAGCGAGAACGATCTCTTCGGCGGTCGCTGAAGAGGGGGCGTCAGTGAATATGTCTCCTAGGCAACAGCTTGTACACTTACTCGTAGCGGGACGAGCCATGACGTTCGTACCCCCCACCCCGATCCTTGTAGTCATCTCTTGATACCCTGTAATCCCGTTCGCCACCGCGCGGAGGTGCACCGCCTGGAGGTGCAGATCCGCCAGGTCCGCCACCAGGAGCAGGGGGGGCCGCTTTGCGCTTCTCACGCTCCTCTTTGAACTTCCCCAGCATGTTCCGGAGTTCGTGATAACCAAGATGCATTTTTCCACCAAAGTGGTCTGCAAGACGACGATCTGAATCGAGGACGGAGAGGTAGGCGCCGCAGACATCGCAGACGCGGAGCTTCTGATGACCGGACGCGCCAGAAGTATCCGTCAATTGTTGCAGCTCCCGCTAATTTTTGGTCAGCATACTGCTCGAAAGCGAAATAACTTGCGAGACGCACCTCCTTCTCTGCCTTTTCGCTCTTCAAAGCCTCGATGGCTGCCATCTCTCGCATAGACTCTTCAACCTTGCCTTGCTCACCGAGGGTTTCGATCTTCTCTGTGCCGCCCTGGATAGCGAGCTCAATCTCAGCAATTTCACGCATCAGGTTCGTCGTTTTCGCGTTTTCCTCTGGTGTCTTCTCCAGCCGCCGGTGGGCAGCACGGATTCTCCGGTCACACTCATCAACGAAAGCGAAGATATTGGATTCGTATTCCATCTGGAAGCGTGCAAAAATGGGGTTGTTTGGGTCTGCTTCCCGTGCTTGCAGGAACTCCGTCTTGAGACGTTCGGTGTGCGACTTCGGACAGGCACCCAAGTCCATTTTCTGGAGACGCAGTCGTATCAGCGAATTAAAAATGGCATTCGAGACAGACACTTACCGTATTCGTGAAAAGCGTATGTGGGCATGTTCCGCAAAGGAAGTTACGGCAAACCTTCTCGTCTGACCATGTCAGATTCGCGTTCGCAACACCCATAGCCTCTGGACCCATCATTTGCTGAGAAGTGTTCAGTACATGCGAATGTGGGATACAAACTGTCATGTCGTACCTCCAGAAGCTTCCTTTGCATCTCTGCAAGTCGACCCATGTTGTACTTCCTTGCTCGTGAGAAAGAAAAAAGGAGGGCTAACTGGTGTTCGTTAGGGTACAAGTGAGAGTACGGTGTTAGTCTCTGTTTGGTCAGCGTCGGCCGAGTTAGCGCATGTCAGGCGCTTACTGTGCTGCGTGGCGACCATCAAGCGCTCTCATCCGAGTCTAGAGAAACATTTCGAACTTGAAAGCTTGAATAGCGAGTAGTTTGTGAAGAGTTATAGTTATTTATTTATGACATTTTATAAGCGTATTATTCTTAGCAATGTTCTAGAATCGGTCCATTTGGCACCAGAAAGGGAACGAAAACATAGTGAATGTAACTTAGAAAGCGTACGCGGAATGAAAGTCAGGGCTCGACAGGGTGTAGCGTGAGTACCTTGGCAGTGGCTCTGTGAGTGCTGCTACGTGGATGCCATGTCTAACATAGCTGTGTGATTAAATGGATACTGCCACTGCTGCATCACGTCCGCAGAGTATTGGGCGTACATGCCTGCGGGAGATGCGAACCCAGTGTGCATTTCCCAGATGGGTCCCGGCTCCGTCGTATTGGCGAGTGGAAGAGCGCTCGATACAAAGTGCGAAAGGCTGAAGTCCATTTCGTTGTCTCCGGCTTGTTCCTGCACGACTGGCGACCCCCGCCCGCCGAATTGGCTATCTGGATGCGGGCCAGAGGCCGGCTCGTGCGATGGTACGTCGGGCCATGAGTGCGTCTCAGGGTAGTATTGATCTTCGTCGCCTGAGTGCTGCGGCGGAGACTCCACAGCGTCGATCTGTTCTCGCAACGCCGGGGTGTAGTATTTTTCAAATAGGTTTCTGAGAAACTTGGAATAGAGCGCGGGCGAGTGTCGTCCGTCCAGAGCAACAACATTCGAACCAAGGATCACAATGAGCCGTTTGACTAACTTGACGATGTCTCGACACTGTGAAGCGTCGAGGAGAGGCAAGAGCCTAGGACGAAAAAGCTAACATGGCGGCGTTTAGTAGCTCTTCAAACAAGGCTGACGGCAAATCACGACGTACATTGAGCAGGAAACCTGCACAGAATGCCATATATAAGAAGTTGGCTTCCATAGCCCAGCTTAGCAGCCCCGATGGATACAACGAATCCAGTACAATCTGGATGACATGTTGAGCGGCTTCGATGGACTGATCCAACGTTAGCCAACATCAGCTTCACATGAAAGTACCAACATGCCTGGTTCAAGATGTAATCCTCGCGTGATAACCCTTGCTTGAGACGATATTGAAAACCGACCGATAGAATGACCAGGCGGAGGTAGGACGCAATCCTGCCGGCGAGATCAATACCGAGTATGTCTTCAGTCGAATGCGAACTCACATGCGGAAGTTATGGGAACGGTAGCGTACTTCCGGGCCTGCACAGGGGTAATTAATACGTATCCAGTGGAAAAGCCGGACATATACTTGCAGATCTTCACATTCGGGTCAGCAGCGAGTCTATCATTCCAGAACTCGACCAATTCTGTAAATTCCTTATCGAATTGTATGCAATGCGCGCCAACATCAAAACCCTGGGCGAAAGCCGATAAGCGAAGTTCGGCGATTGAAGAAAGAGCTTACTTCGCGGAATCTACCAGGTAGGGTGTCCATGGGGCCGACGGTACGGCGAAACTTCAGCATGGCCAGAAGCAATTCGGCATACGCGCAAAGTCCGATATCGTAAGGTGAGCCGTCAAGCGACATGTACCATGTGCGAGCACTTGTTCTGACAACATAGTCGTCGTACTTGATCATCGGCATCTTACCAAACTGTGTCGCATGCGAGCCGTCAACGCAGCAGGCGTTAATCCACGTACGGGTGCGATTGAGGTTTTCTCGTATGTCGGTGCTATCCTGAGGTTTGTCGAGTCCAATTTCCTGAGCCATTCTTTCTGAATCATCAGCTGGATACCTTATACTTGCGGGCAACTCGACTGACCGGATAGCAGCGCCCATGAATAGCCAGCTCCTATCCTCTAGCCAATTCTTTTTGGGCACAGGATAAACGGCTAGAATGAGCAGCGATTGGACTGTTTCGACATTCACTGGTTCCATGATCAAGGCTTCCGCTGCTGCATCGCGTGCTATGTCCATCGCGAGGGCCCATAGCCCTTGGCGATTGTAATGACGTGCAGCGCAAGCACATACTGAGTTCACGGTGAGTCCTCGATTGCTCGGACGGAGAAAGGAGGCTAGATAGAAAGGCCACTCACTTACTGTGAACAACAGGGGGCTCCTCCATATCAACCTTTGTGGGCAGTGTAGTTCGCCGTCCAAAAGTGAAAAGAAAGGCTGAAAAGAATCAGACCTATGAATAAGCAATGCGTTGAATGACACACATTAATCCTTTCAAAATACCTGCAGAGCAATTAGACAGCGATTAGTATTAACGGGTGGGAAGACGCACAAGTTGAACAGGTCAATAACCTCACGCGAGTCGATAATGCCAGTGCGCAATATCATGGGTATTTTCGAGTAATTGGGGCCATTTGCTAATCAAGTCAAAGGAAATTCAAACAGGGAATATTAACAACATACGAGAGAGGTCGACGTCTAGAGGCCCTATGTGAGACGAATAGTAGCGGTGGCAGATAAGTACTGCTGCGGGGCGTGCTGTAAACGCGGGCGCGGTCAGCTATGAGAAGATTTGTAGGCTATGCTACATGTAAGGAAACTAACCAATCTCTCCGCCTCTGCGCTTCTCGAGCTCCCTGGACTGTTCAGCCCATTTGTTTACTTTGGCATCAGTATGTAATTCATCAAACTTCGCCAACAGTGATTGAATCTGCAAATCCTGCTGTCGCGCCCTGGCGCGGAGATCATCATGTGTTCTGATGGAATAAGGTAAGGGTAGCCCGGCGACTTCGCATCATTAAGTACACGGGTGAGACTTACGGCGCTGCTTTACGCTTCTTCCGAGTGCGACTAACACATTCATGGTTTCCGGCGATGCACCTATTGCATCGCGTCTCCCCCGGAGAGAACTGGCATCTGACCTGGCATATTTCAAATAAGCTCGGGCAGCGATACAGAGAGTCGTTGCCGGACCTTGAGAGATTTGCAGTGCACGCATGCGCCCGGACTACGGGAAGGAATTAGTCGCCGGCAGATGCGAGCTAGCAAACGATGCACTCACAGTTTCTTCCCCCTCTGGTCTCGTTGTCGCTTTTGCGAACGAGGTGCTGTGGAGGATTCTGCTTCGGACTCGGTCGAGCTGGCTTGAGCGAACTGGTCGTGGAATTCCATAATTATGGGGTCGATCCGAGTCTCGTTTGGCCGACGCGGACGTGCGACGTTAGTAGAAGGGCGCCGGCCGGCATGCACAGGCAATACGCCCAACGAGGATGAAGGTCGAGACATGGTGTTCAAAGCGCTATTAGGGGCGACTGTGCTGTCGGTGAGAGATGGTGGAAGAACCTGGCAAGGTGCAGCTGCTCTTTATACACCAAAATGACGGCCGTGATTAGTGGACCGCCTTGGACCGCGGAGGATTTGGACCAGATTTGGATCTGCGAATGGGCACCTACAAAGAATAGATCGATACGAACGATCGGCGGAGAAGTCGACGTTTCGGGAGGAGGTGCATGGAATTTCGCACAAACGCCCAGTGCTCTCCCCTGAGCGTCCCAAGGTGTCTCAGTGTGCCATGACGACGACCAGGTGCAGCCGGCATGTAATTGGGCGCAAGGTGGGCAGCTGGCGATTAGGCAACTTAGTAAAAGCCGTTCCGGGAGATCGGGATGTGCGGGTATCTAATAAACTGTTCACGATGTCTAATGTTCAAGGTGCTGCCTGGAAACCAGCCTCAAGGTCAGTGTTCTAAACATAGGGGGCGGCAGCAAGTCGCTCTGATATCTGGACAGAGGGCGCACGCGCGGAATTAGACCTCGTGGCCACCGGCAATTACTCTGAACTCCCCTAATGTTCGGGAGCACGGCTGCCACATGCATGAGATTCATCAGTGCCTCAGGTTCACTGGCCTGTTGGGCGTCGAGAATCAGTTGCGCAGTACTGGGGGCTCAAAGCGCTATGAACCAAGTTTTCCAGTCGGATGTGTACAATGCTCTATACGGCAGGTAGTCTTGAATAGCTACACATGGGTAGGTTGCAGTGGGACAAGATCTACATGCATCTCCCAAACTGGGATTGATCGTCGGAAGTAGTGATGGTATTGACTCCGGGAAACGGCAGCAAGCGCATTTCCCTCTCTCAAATTCTGCAAGCCCGTCTTCGCGGTCCAATTTCTAACATTTAACCTTTCTACAATGCCTGAAGATATCAGAGAGAGGGGTGGGTGCCCGAAGGAGTTCCCACGCCATTGACCCCGATGTCCTGATACACTGGTCGGAAGCGCGTGTGTTGGGCGCTTCCAGTTTTATCCAAAGTCTCTGCGGACCTCAGACAGCATAGAGCGGGGCCTTATTCACAGCCGCTCCCACCTCGTCACACGAAACAATCTCTCGGCTGCAGCACGCCATGGCGGACTCAGCTGCATTTGCTGGGGTCTGGTCATCGTTGCCGACGACCTTAACACCATGGATGTATGTACTGCGGTGCTTGAAACGATAAACCCATCCAGGACGACCTACTCAGCTGAATCACCTAGATTAGATGTCCTCCAATCCATGGGCCACACACACATGACACCAGTGCAAGCGTCCACCATTCCTTTGTTCATGCGCAACAAAGATGTCGTGGTCGAAGCTGTTACGGGCTCTGGCAAGACCTTGGCATTCGTTATCCCCATATTGGAGAAGCTCATTCGGCGGGAAGCGAAGTTGAGTGGGAATGAGATTGGTGCACTCGTCATTAGTCCGACCAGGTACGCGGTTCGTTGCTCACGCTGTACATTCTAATACAATGCACCCTCTAGAGAACTTGCCAATCAAATTCATTCTATATTCGAGCTGTTCTTGCAGTCTCAGCCGTCGGCACAACATTCACACCCAACGTCCCCAGCTCAGTCTGACGGCGATGAATCCGGGGGTTTACCCGAGTCTCGTTGGGAATTCCCTCCGCCCCTACTCCTTGTCTCGTCAGGGTCTTCTCCCGCACAGGATCTCCAACGCTTTATGTCAACGGGCGCAGACATCGTCGTTGGTACCCCTGGCCGCGTGGAGGAATTTCTTCTCGGCAAGGGGAATAGTGTTGTTAACGTCAAAGAACTGGAGATTCTTGTCTTGGACGAAGCTGATCGGTAAGCCTTACGCCGCACAATCTAGTCGTTCGGCTGCCGTTTACACGGTGGTTACATCTAGCTTACTAGACTTGGGATTTAACCAAACCCTCACCCGTATTTTGACACACCTGCCGAAGCAGCGCCGGACGGGTCTCTTCAGTGCTACAATGACAGATGCAGACGCCGTATCAGAACTGGTACGTGTGGGCTTGCGGAACCCTGCCCGGGTCGTCGTCAAAGTGCAAACAAAGAAGACAAAAACGAAGGCGGCTGATGACCAGAGTAGGAAGAAGATCTCAGACATGATAGAAGAACGTCGCATCCCCGCAAAGTATGTGTTTCATATCATTCATACAGACAGGGCGCATTTAAATCTGCCGACACGGCGCCGCTACATCTAGCCTGCGGAATTTTTATCTCATTTGCCGGTCGTCTGAGAAGCTGATCCAATTCGCTCGCCTGATACAACACGAATGCCATCACCAACAATCGTTCCGCTTTATCGTCTACTTTGCGACGTGTGCCTGTGTCGATTACTTTTATAGGGTACGCACAGCGCAATGTCTCATACCGTGGGGCTAGCTGACCGGCGATTTACTATATCGCGTAGATCCTACCGGCGGTCCTGCCTTCATACATCACACTGCACTCACTACACGGCCACCTTCCACCTGCCGCCCGCACGAAGACCCTACATGCGTTTGCTTCTGGGGTTGCTACCTCTACATCACCACAAGTATTACTGGCGACAGATGTAGCAGCAAGAGGCCTGGACCTTCCTGATGTAGACGTCGTAATTCAGTTCGATCCACCGTCAGACCCCAAAACGTTCTCACACCGTTGTGGACGTACTGCGCGCGCGGGACGGAGTGGCAGGGCATGGACTTTTTTAGTCGGTCGTGAGATCGACTATGTCGGTAGGTCACAGCATGACACACGTTTTCCTCTACGTCTTTGGCCTCTGACATCGATCTGTACGCTAGACTTCCTGGCCGTCCGCAAGATACCTATCAAGGAACGCTCCGCTTTCAGGGAAGATGGCGCCCCGCTTGCTATCGCCGAGGATGATCTAGAGGACACGGCAGTGCTGCAGACCCTGGATAAAGTTCGCTACGTTGTCCTTAAAGATAGAACACTCCACGACAAGGTATATATTGCCCTTCCATCTTTGAGTTGTCATTTATTTGGGCTGTTCTCCCAGGCAACGAAGGCATTCGTATCATTTGTCCGGGCATACTCGAAACATGAAGCGTCCTACATCTTCCGGATAAAGGATCTCGACCTCATTGGTGTCGCCAAGAGTTTCGGGTTGCTACGCCTGCCGCGGATGCCTGAGCTGAAGGATGCTAGTCGGGACGAATGGCGGGATGCCGACGTTGATGTAAGTTCTTCAAACCATGTCGTACCTCTTGAGCTCAACAACGTCTTGTGCAGTGGGGCAGATACGCCCACGCGGACTCCGCAAAGGAAGCGAGCCGCCTCGCAGAACTCGAAAAGCAGAAACAAGTCGATGCCATCGCTGCTGCAGAACGGCTCCGGAAGCAAGCCGCGGAAAAGAAAAAAGCGAATGCGGCGTGGAGCAATAAGATGACGAAAAGGGAGGAGAAAGAGAAACGGAAGCAGAAAAAAGGGAACAAGAAGCGGTGGCTCACGCAGCAACAGTCTGCCACTGGCGACAGGAAGAGGAGTAGAGTCGATGATGGCGACGGAGATGGCGACAAAGGCGACGACTGGGAAGACTTGGCGAGGGAGGAGCGGATGGCGAAGAAACTGAAGCGGGGAGAGATCTCGCAGAATGAGTTTGACAGCCAGTTCCCGGATATCTAGCTAACGTTACTTTTTTGTTTTTTATATACGCATCGATGATTTTTCAATACATAGAGGGAGATGCTTGTGTTTGGTCTCGTGCTTGCAGCTGCCATTTCGGGACGGCGGCGCGCGTTAGTGAACGCGAGGGAGACAGTCCTGCGCCTCATTTTCATTCACCTGCTCAGACTCGCACAGGCCATATCGACGGCTCGCTCCGAGACCCGCGAACCCGAACCCCGCCGCACCACAGAGCCCCAGCTAGCATTTAGACTGTGATAAACGACGAAGATGCCTATTCAGTGGGATAGAAGTAGACCTCCTACACGATGCCATGTATGTCTAGGGATACCGTATCTCTCAGAGCAGTTCTAACCGTTCACCTCCCGCTCTTTCATGCTTGCTGATGCCTGCGGTGTCGATGGGCTTGATAGTGGTACTACTCCGACGGGTCGAAGCGCATGCAACGCAATGGTGACTGGGGATGCACTCATCCCGCCTGTCTATTTATTCATCCCGAACATTCAAAATGGGCAGAAGCCAAACCTACGCATCATCCTAATGCAGAGGGCGAGAAGAAGGAATTGGTGAGGAGAGACAGGGCAACGGAAAAGGAACGGACTCGCAGCGAGAGGGATGTGGGCAGGACTAGGGAGCCCAGAGAATACGAGCGGGAGAGAGAGGGAGAACGGGAGAGAGGCAGAGATAGGGAGCATGATAGCCTAGAATCACCACCTCGTGCAGGGCCATCAACTCCGACAGGCCCAAACATGCCCTCCTCTACATACGCCAGCAGCAGAGACCCTCGCATGCGTTCAAGTGCATCGTTGAGTTCTTTCACCGCTCCCCCCATATCCAGCACGAACTCTACTCAGCCTCGGGCATCAACTCGTCTTGACTCGCCAAGCAAACCGGGTGCTGCTCGTTCTATTCCGCGACGAGACTCAATGTCCAGGCCCGATATTCTGTCGGCGACGCCGATGGCCATGGCTTCGCCTAGCTTGAGCCGCTCTGACACTGTCGTGTCGCGAACCACCTCAGTGGGCGGTCGTGACTCTCTGTCCAACTCTTATGACCGAGGTCCATTTTACGACAGAGACAAAGAACGTGACCGCGACCGCGATCAGGACAAGTACAGGGACCGCTCTCCGTCCTCCACTACCTCGCCCGAGCCTCGCTCGCGTGTGGTTTCAAGTTCTCTTAGGCACAGGCAAGAAAGCGGGGCGGCCACACTTGCGCCACAGTCTTCTAGGGTGGCTTCTACCTCGCGCTCGCCGGCTCCGAACGCAATGGTTCCTCCGCCTCCAAAACTCAGCTTGCAAGCTACAGCTGCCTTGCCAGCAGTCCCTTTACCAGGCCCGTTATCGGCTCCTCTACCAGCCCGCCCGTCTTCACAAGGCGGGATAAAGGCCGAGGCAAGCGCAAGCAAACCAAGTCCAACTCGCCAGGACAAGCTTCAGATATGGGCTGATCGCATTAAGTACGTAGATCATCATTTGGTATTGAAAATAAGCTGATCAGACGTAATGATACATCAGGGGATTGGCAGAAGCTGTACAAACACGTATGCAGCACGTTGCGGCGGAACGAGAGCTGGCCGGGCTCCGAGCATTGACCAACTCTCGACAATATGCAAACATATCTGAGTCCGCTCAAGAGAAGATGGAGAAGAAGCTCAAAGGGGCGGAGGAACGTTTCGCACAGAAGAAGTCCGAGCTGAATGACCGTGTTTACAAGCTCGTCGACAACGACTTCTGGGACGCTCCGCTGAGCTGGCAAAGTCTCAGGGATGAGACAAAGGTCGATACGAAGGGCAAAGGGAAGGAGAAAGAGCCCTCTTGGGACTCGCAGGAGTCGAATGGAGAAGAGCGATTCCGAGAACTCAGGACGGTAGTCTGGCAAACCCGCGACGCTGTCACAGAGCTCCACAAGATGTTAGACGAGGCGCGCCGCACGTCTTCATCGACCCCACCAGCCGGTGCCCCTTCGGGCGTGCGCGAAACCAGCGAGGACAAGCGACCTGTCAAGAGACGCAGAACATCCGGTGCTGCTGTCGAGGGTTTAGCCTCCACAGCCCCTTCTTCGACTCTGTTCTCTACCTCCGCTCCCTCAGAAGTTCCGTCCGTCACAGTAAACTCCGCCCTTCCTACCCTGCCGGGGCCTCCTGTCGAGATGGAGGAAATTACGGATCGTCTTGCTGCCCTCGATGATCGTGTGAACGACATAGAGAATACAATGGTTCAATTCGACTCGGAGGTCCTCAGCGAACTCGAGTTTCGCATAGAAGAACGCTTTCGCGAGATGAAATTTGGCATAGGCCTAGCCTCCGATGAAAGCATGGACGTTGAGCAGACACACGGCGCAGATCCCGGGCGAAGCGGGGGTGGGGAAGCACCGCAAAATCCTCACACGTTATCGCAGCGCTTGCAAAACGTCGAACAGGAGGTGCAGGGAGCTGGCAAAGAGATTTACCAGATTGCTGTCGAGATTGCGGAAATGATCAAGAAATCACAATCACAGGAAAACGAGGTCGCGAGATTGAGCAAGGAGAACGAAGAGCTCAAGGCGCGGATCTCTACCGTACGTAACTCTTGTGTATCCCGCTTGGCATGTAAGCTTGACAGTGCCATTCACAGATGGAGAAGCAACACCTGGAGCACAGAGAATCCCTCCAAACGTTCAAGGCAGAGATGGGGGCACTCAACGCCGCATTGCAAGCGTATATTAGTCGACCCACGTCACCCCCGTCAGCGCCTCCAGCGCCTCCAGTTGTCCCGGACATGCAGTACATCGCGGACACCATCAGACCTATGGTCCTCGAGAGCATCCGCAACGATGTGCGCCCGCTGCTAGAAGACCTGACGATCGAAGTGCAGCAGATGATAACGCGGCAGAATACGCAAGTCGCGCAGAGTCTCATGAACAAATTGCAGCTCACGCTCAAGACGGTGGAGGTTATATATAACTGGATGAACCGGACGGCTGCTGCACAGGTGCAGCTTGCGGCCCCTCCCCCCGCTGCCGCATCTCCTTTGGTCTCACAGAATGCGATAGCCACAAACGGACACGGTTCGAACGGCCTGTCTTCTCCGGCGGTAGGCACGAGCATAGTGGACGCTACGAATCATAGAGGCGCGTCGCCGGTTGTGCCGGTCACCACTGCCTTCATCCGGTGAAGGGGTTCCCACCAACATAATGATATTACTGTCTCCAGTCGTGTCGTGTGGCGTTCATGTGTTTATTTATGTATGCATGTGGCCCTGTGTAATCGTATCAAGTGGACATCACACATTTTCGGGTGCCTATAACTTTCCATCTCACATTGCAAGCGCAAGAAGCTCGGTGACCGCTCTGTCAACTTGATTATCTTGTGCATACAGACCGCCTGCGCTCTGGTTAACTAGAGTCTACACCTCACATAGCGTTGTACAAGGTATTCTAAACTCCTCATTTCTTCTCCAACCGTTTTGTTTGTTTACTGTGTATAAACGTTTATTACTGTTTACCGTTTCCGTGTATGTAAATGAAGTCATGTAAACTTGGTGTAAACGTTTATACACAGTAAACATACAGTTTCCTCTTGTTGTTTGTAAAAGGTCTTAGTGTTGTACATTCATAGTCTTGCTAACAGACTTGACCTTTATTGGGCTGAAGAGTGCATCGCACCACCTGTGCATCGTCCTCGGGCGGCCTCTTTGAACCCCCAAGCCCGGCGCACTGTATCAAGCGCCTATGCCCTGAGACTTACTGGGAGTAATGGTAGTCATGATCCTAACTTGTATTGAGCACAGTCTGAAGGCGAGCATTATAAATATAATATAATGTGTGTTTATTGACTGCTCCTCTACATATAGTCTACTGTGGGCACTGGCAGCCTGCCTGCGAGAGTGCAGTATGCGGGAATGTCGTGAGCCCATACTTCATTCAAGGAGAACAATATTAATATTAGTTCAACCTCATTGAGCGATGACAGTACCACATGCGATACTAAGGCAGATTGACTCTAAAAAAGGGCTATCAGAGGTCCGCACCCATGCGGCAGTCTTCTCTAGGCCAGCTCTCGAAGTCCTAGCGTGAGAGTATGTCGTGTCACCCCCGAAGTGCCAGGCTAACACTCGCATAGGTTATCGGCCCACTTCTCAACGACGAGGTCAATGATAGGACATGCCAACCTTCTAAAGGCGGAACCACAAGCTTCTTACAAGCCCCACGGATACCTTTGTAGGTCTTACCCTCACTGTACAGTGCTGCCTGGCAATACCACTCCCGCAGCTTGTGATTGCCAGTGTTTGTCCTCCCGCAACCTCCACTGGCCGATCGAGACTATTTGTGTGCCCGCAATCTGCGTACTATGCATAGGGGACACCAGCGGGCCATAGGGATGGCCATAGCATGATGCTTGAGGTACGGAGTGTCCAGATGCTGCCTGATGGCCGGTCCGTGCTCGGGATGTGATGCACGCATTGCTCCTTCCCTGTACGCATGAGTAGGTGCACTATCTATACACGTCCGAGTCGGGCCTAGTGTTTGGGACATCAATATCGTAAGTAAGAAGCTGCAGCCTCGCTTTTCTCTCGCGCATCAAGCAAGCGCCTTGCGTTGCTCAAGCACTGACATTTGTACCTCTCTTTTCAGGCTCAAGTAGAGCAGTAGGCTCACACAGGTTTCTCAGAGGCTAATCTGGCACAATCCACTAGAGTGGGTTAGATCCCTGTAATAACTGTTTGTTTACTGTTTATAAACATTTACAACCATTTACTGTGTGTTTACAAAAAAAGTTTACACATAAACTAAACGGTTGGAGCCTTATCTTCGAGACTTCGACAATTCAGCTCGAGAAAAATACATAAACTTATGTAAGGAAACAAAAGTGGTCCCTCCGAGGGTCGAACTCGGGGCCCTTGCATCACGTTACTCACGTAATCTTAGGTGTGCGGCTGGCGCCGAGGTATCCACATAAGTACAATGCTCTACCACTGAGCTAAGGGACCGGCACGAAGATTTCACAAGGGCACTATCATGGAGGTCGTCCCGGAAGGGCATAGCAAGAAGACACTAATTAGCTACAAATACTAAATGACGCTTCGAGACTCGCATGCTCGGGGCTGTACCTACGCCACTAGTGCGAAAAATAAGTTATCGGTAGCCTAAGAAATACGAGCGGCGATGTGACTTAGATCGCCCTGCCTTATTGCGTGCCCAGCACGAACGTTCCAGTGTCGCGCTGGGATGAAGCTCACGCGCCCCGTGGCATATCCTCTTCATGCAGGCCACCTGCTGTGATACGGACAACCCTCGTAGCAACTCGCTGGCCCTGTTCGTCCGAGTGAGTGATCCAAATCAAAGCCTTAAGTCTGCCTTTCCCCTCTCGCACTTCGTCCACTAGATATCTTTCAACTGACTGAGACGCGGCGGCATCAAGTGCGGAAGTCGGTTCTGAGGATAGTGCGTTAGGATACCTTAAATCAGCATGACCACCGTGTTTTTTTCTCACCGTCAAGAAGTAAGATCTCAGCTTGCTCCAGTCCTACGGCTGCTGCAAGGGCAATCCGCTGCGCTTCGCCTCCGCTCAAGTCGCCCCAGTTTCGATCCCAGAGCTCTTCATCAATACCCCAAGCTTTGCCCACCTCTATCGCTTTTGCGGTGTTTGGGCTCGAATTAGCATCTGCGGGGTCGTCGTCATCGTCGTTTGCCGCCTTCCTGCCGAAGCTGAACCAACTCGACATGCCTGAGCCTGAATGACGCGCTTTGAAGCTGGAGATAGTGTTCAGGAAATCTCTAGGAGACCCTGGCAAAAGCGACGGACGCTGCGGTACGTAGAGGACGTGTATGCGATAAGTGGGTATACCTAGACACGTCTTGGGTTAGTTCAGATCGAGCTGCACGCACACAAAAGACATGCCATAGGACTGTGGTGTCCTACCAAAGCCGTCAATAATTGGGGAAGAAAAATCAAGGCCTAGATGTCTACTCACTTGCCCCGGTAAAGAATGTGGCCATCATAGAGGTTAAGGTGCGAAATGCATTTCAGGAGTGTTGTCTTTCTGGCCAATCACATGGATAACTAGTCAGTCTGCGCAGTGGCGGCAAGGAATGCACATCACTCACCCACTTCCGCTCTTTCCTCGCAAAACAATTACGTCGCCTGGCTTGACTGTTAGATTAGCATGAGCGAATATGGGCTGCCCAGGCGTCTTGTAACACCCGACATCTTTCACTTCTAGAAGGCTTTCCCGGGACATGTCTTTCTGTGGTTTGTGTATCTGGCGGTCAGGATGCGGACTATGTTGTGGTAGGAAAGCAGGAAGCCGTGCGCGGGACCACAAATGCACAACACGCGGAGTTAGAGGATCTCTGGGCTCACCGTCAGCCTGGTCAGCTCCACTACGTCATCACGCGCCCCCTGCGCGGCTTTCAAGCTCAAGACCTCGCGTCCCATTTCGCGCAGGCTTCGTAAGAAGGCGTGAGCAGACGAGTTCTCAGGCTTTGGTCTGTGAAACACGGCATATATGAGTGCCTTCGAACTGTGAGAACTTTTAGCAGACGAGCTTTGCAGATGGTCTCCCTAGGCAGACCTTATCTAATCAGATAGTCGATCGATAGTTAGGGTCTTATTATCCCGGGGAATTTTTCGGGCGTCCGAGGGCGGCCCCAAGCGCGCTCTCGCCGACCGTCTACACAGAACCAAACACTCACCTGGTGGTTCGTGTCATCGCCTGACTTCTTACCCTTCCTCCCGACACGCCCGCTTCGTGCAAGATGGCGTCGCCGACAGACCTCCCGCCTACTGTTCCTACTGTCTCAAAAGAAGAGGTCTCCGCCGGCCCCTCGAGCTCATCGGGAGCTGCGGGAGGTGTGTTTGCGCCTGTGACCGGCCTTTACAACCGCCTACAGACGTGGAGGCAGTCTCTCGAGCTGCCGAACCCAGGAACGGTGGAGAACTTGCAGAAGGAAGTCAAATGTGCGTGTCTCTTCTTGCTTGTGTCATTCTCAATGAGCTGACGACACGTCCAACCACTTTCGTCAACTATTGCGGCCCGTTCACGCCCACGATGCCCGATATCTACCTCGATGAAATGAATTATGTCTGTTTGGGATGATCAGCGACCCTCCTGAACAACTTCTTCTTCGACGGTGCTCGCGCGGACTTGACCAAGGCCCTATCAATGAACCCGCAGTTCCAGGTCACGCATTCCTTCATGCTCGGTAGTCAAACGCTGCCGCCATCGTATAACTTTGGTGCGGTGTATGCAACAGAAAAGGTGCGCTTTTTGCGTGCAACTGAGTGTGGACAACTCTAACCATTCGTTTCTTCCGTCGCAAACGTTTATTCCGCTCTCGACGCTTGCTGGCCCTGCTTGTGTGATTCTAGCTACTCTTGCAAGGTGGTGTGGACAATGAAGGAAGTTTGAATGGCCGTATTCATCAGAACTGGAGCCCTGCTAACCTCAGTAAGGTTCAGCTTCAGGTACGTTACGACCTTCAGATCGCTATAGTGGTTCGCTAAAGCTCTCGACGCACGTTTCTGATCTGATGATAGCTTTCGTCAACACCGGGACACAGTGTCATGCAAGCAGAGCACGACTACCTTGGCCGTGACCACTCTGTCAACATCCGAGCCGCTAATCCTTCGCTCGCGGACTTCACGGGCATCTACACTGCGTCCGTCATGCAATCTGTCACTAAAAGTCTTGCCCTCGGTGTCGAGGCTATGATGCAGCGCCCGCAACCGGGCTTGTCTGACGTCGGTCTGCAGTATTACGCCAAGTACACATCGCCCGTCTTCAGCAAGGACCGAGGCTGGATCGCATCTGCGACGGTCCAGCCACAGGGCATGCTCGACCTCACGTACTACCAGAAGCTCAGTGAAAAGCTGGACTTTGCTGCCCAGCTTCAGGTCGTCAACGTCCCCCAGAGGAGAGACGCGATCGCCACGCTTGGCGCAAAGTGGGATCTGAGGATGTCAACCTTCCGCGCGCAGCTAGATTCTAGCGGGAAGGTCGGCGCGCTGCTGGAGCAGCGTTTCGCACCAAGCTTTGCCTTCTTGTTCAGCGGTGAGATTGATCACTTCAAGGTAAGCTGAGCGGAACTCTCTGTGTTAGGCCTAGCTGACTCCTTGGGGATTTCTCAGAACTCGGCGAAGGTTGGTGTGGGCGTGATGATTGAGAGCGCAGCGATGACACCCGAGGAGATGGGCATGGTGCCTCCTCCAGGTTACCCTTACCCTCCCCAGTAGTTGAGATGCGGTCCGCGCTTGTTTTACAGGATAATATCTGCTGCGTAACGCTGCTTGTGGTGGTTATTGTACAGATGCAATTAGTTGTCGCTTGCTCTAGAACTAGTCGATCCTTGCTGTTACACGAACATCGCTGCTCTCCCGAATTCTGCTGTGTGCGAAAAGACCACAATCGATGAATGAAACTGTCGTGCCTCTTTTCTGGATGGGCACAGATATCCCGGACGAACCAATACGCGTATGTTCCTACGTGCGATCTACGCAAAGGTCCTGGACATGTGTAGAAGCGACGAGCACCTGGTCGCAGCATGGCGAACGCGCTCGCGTCCCCGGCGGCAGCGCTAAATGGGCGCCAACTGCCACGTGTTATACGGGAATGGCGTAGAAGGTCTTTGGAAGGTGCGAGAAACGCAGAGAACGCAGGCATGTATAAAAACCTGGCCTCCGTCGCTGCATGGCCCTTAAGCTGTTTTCATCTCGACGCCCGATACCTCCTATCTTACGACCTTTCTCTTCTCTTCATCCCTTTTAACGATCCCCGCACAAAATGTCGTCCTCCAAGGCTATCGGCATTGACCTGGGCACGACCTATTCGTGAGTAGCATCCTGCGCTTTCGCTGTGCGCCGCGCGTACTAATATTTGTCCGTTCCTATACAGATGTGTCGGTGTCTGGCAAAACGACCGTGTCGAAATCATTGCCAACGACCAGGGCAACCGCACTACACCCTCATATGTCTCCTTCTCCGACAATGAGCGGTTGATCGGTGACGCCGCAAAGAATCAGGTCGCGATGAACCCCCACAACACCGTCTTCGACGCAAAGCGTCTTATCGGTCGCAAATTTGATGACGCTGAGGTCCAGGCCGACATGAAGCACTTCCCCTTCAAGGTCATCAACAAGGGCGGCAAGCCATACGTTGAGGTCGAATATCGCGGTGAGAGCAAGCAGTTCGTAAGTATTGTTTCAACCAGCGTCAATCCCAGATTTTAACTAATTGTATCACAGTCCCCCGAGGAGATTTCCTCCATGGTGCTCTTCAAGATGAAGGAAACCGCCGAGGCGTACCTTGGCTCGACCATCAACAACGCCGTCGTCACTGTCCCTGCCTATTTCAACGACTCGCAGCGTCAGGCGACCAAGGACGCGGGTTCTATCTCTGGTCTCAACGTCCTCCGTATCATCAATGAGCCTACTGCGGCCGCCATCGCTTACGGTCTCGACAAGAAGACGACGGGCGAGCGCAACGTTCTCATCTTTGACCTTGGTGGAGGAACCTTTGATGTCTCGCTTCTGACCATCGAGGAGGGTATCTTCGAGGTCAAGGCCACCGCTGGTGACACCCATCTTGGTGGTGAGGACTTCGACAACCGTCTCGTAAACCACTTCGTTCAGGAGTTCAAGCGCAAGCACAAGAAGGGTAAGCACACTCGCTCACTCGAACGCGTGCGTTTTTATTCTGACATGTTTTCCTACAGATCTCTCCCCTAACGCCCGTGCACTTCGTCGTCTCCGTACCGCTTGCGAGCGCGCCAAGCGTACCCTCTCCTCTGCGACCCAGACCTCTATTGAGATCGACTCGCTCTACGAAGGTGTCGACTTTTACACTTCGCTCACTCGTGCTCGTTTCGAGGAGCTCTGCCAGGACCTCTTCCGCTCGACTCTCGAACCCGTCGAGAAGGTCCTACGTGACTCGAAGATCGACAAAGGCAACGTCCACGAGATTGTCCTCGTCGGTGGCTCGACTCGTATCCCCCGTATCCAGAAGCTCGTCTCCGATTTCTTCAACGGCAAGGAGCCCAACAAGTCCATCAACCCTGACGAGGCCGTCGCCTACGGTGCTGCCGTCCAGGCCGCAATCCTTTCAGGTGACACCTCTGAGAAGACTCAGGATCTGCTCCTCCTCGATGTCTCTCCTCTGTCGCTCGGTATTGAGACCGCTGGTGGTGTCATGACTGCTCTTATCAAGCGTAACACCACTGTTCCGACCAAGAAGTCCGAGACCTTCTCGACCTACGCCGACAACCAGCCTGGTGTACTCATCCAAGTCTACGAGGGTGAACGAGCGCGCACTAAGGACAACAACCTCCTCGGCAAGTTCGAGCTCTCCGGCATTCCGCCAGCGCCCCGTGGTGTCCCTCAGATTGAGGTCACCTTCGATATCGATGCCAACGGTATTCTCAATGTCTCTGCGTCTGATAAGACGACCGGCAAGTCGAACCGCATTACTATCACCAACGACAAGGGCCGTCTCTCGAAAGAGGAGATCGAGCGCATGGTCGCCGAGGCCGAAAAGTACAAGGGTAAGCACTCTTCGATCGCTAACTAGCGTCGATACTGACTTGTTCTCTTCCAGCTGAGGACGAGGCTGCGGCTGCCCGCATCACTGCAAAAAACGGCCTCGAGTCGTACTCGTACAACCTCCGCAACACCTTGACCGATCCGGCAACGGCCGAGAAGTTCCCCGCGGAAGACAAGGCCAAACTCCAGGCTGCTGTCGACGAGACCATTCAGTGGCTCGACAGCTCACAAGAGGCCTCGAAAGAGGAGTACGAGGAGAAGCAGAAGGAGCTCGAGGGTGTTGCCAGCCCGATCATGCAGAAGTTCTACGGCGCTGCGGGTGGTGCGCCTGGCGGCGGCTTCCCTGGCGGTGCTCCCGGAGGCTTCCCCGGCGGCGCTCCTGGCGGTGCCTCAGAGGAGGGTCCGTCCGTCGAAGAAGTCGACTAAACACCTTTTTGTAAGGACATTGTCGGATAATCTCTTCTCTGCTTGCTATTGCTTTCGATGTCTGTGGCAAAATTAAGTAATACATCATGTATTGTACTATAGCATATTAGAGCGGCCTCTTTTCTCTATCTCTCAAAACAGCTCGCCGTGATCTTGTTGCCTCTGGCCTATGGAAAGCGGAGAACATGGAATTTAGAGAGTGGGACTGTGGACGGGTGCGAGGAAAATAGGTCCATCTACTGGGTGTTGGTAGGAGCATACATCGAGGGCGGTATGGCGGTCAGTACGCCGGAATTACGCAGCATTCCGTGCAAAGGGACGCGTATCGAGCTTAGTTAGTTCACTGGTGCGCTCACAGTTTATTCCAGGGCCGAGATATCAACACTTCATTAGGTGGTTGGATATTTATTGGTGTGGATATATGTACATGTTTCGCTTGTACCTTGGAAGTCCTGGCGATAGATAACGTGCAAAAGGGTACAAGGGCTACAATGCAAAGACATACATGCCACGTTTAAGACGGCTTGACGATACACAGAATCATCTTTCTTACACTGCTTCCTCAAGAATAGGCCCTGACACTACCTTCTCGTCGGATTCCAACACCGGCTGGTACGCATAACCCGTGGTGTGCGCGGAGGGCAGTGGGACAGCTTGCGCGGACGGCTTGGTTGTGGCATTATTGCTGAGACCAACTTGTACGACGAGGAACATCGAACAGACGGAGACGATGACCATTTGGAGGAACGTCCCACAGGAGTCTGAGATAGTAATTTAGCACTACAGTAGAGAGGGAAGTCCCAGTGAACCGCAGACACCGTACCTAACAGAAGACCTAGTAGAAATGCGCGGATGTTAGAGGACAGGCAGCAGCTGATGGGAAGAACGGCCCTCACCGAATGGGGGCGCGCCGTCCCAGAGAGCCCGCAGGGCAGGAATCGTCAAGATAACGCTGATAGGCAGGAGTAGTATCGATTCCGTGACCTCCTTGCCCACCCAGGCGGTGACGGTGATGAACACGACGACGGCTGTGAGGCCCCAGTTGACGATGAAGAGCGTCATGACGTACGTCCGCGCGAAGCCGGTGCGCGCGAACTTCATCTCCATCGTCCGCGTGCTGACGGTCGCACCCGAGGCATTCGTGCTCGTCGTTTGGTTGTCATAGTGCAGCGCCGGGTTGAAGTTGTTCGTGGACGAGATCGGACGCAGGCCGAGGATCGGAACACTGTCATTTGTGTCTGGAGAGACCGCGAAGAAGGTCGTGTCGAGCTGGTAGCCGTCGAACGGGAAGCCATACTGTTGGTCGAGGCCGCGCCAGGCGTACAGAACAAGAAGGTGGGTCGTCGTGAAGCTTTCCATGGCTTGAACACTGATGCGACAGTTTAGATGAGTATAGTCACGAAGTATTCTGAAACCCACAATATCGGTATATTACTGTTTAGATCTCTGGGATTGGCTTTGATGTCATAGGAATAAGTAGGCTGAGTTGCGCTGATCCCAATTATTCAGTCTACAAAATGATGAATATACTATCACACACCTACCCATCCACATAGAAGTCCACAGTGGCGTTTAAGTTACCGCAATGACCCTCCTTCGAATACACGACCGTAGGGGGAAGCCTGAAATTTCCGCAGCCCAAGATCAACCATGAAACGTCTACTTGACGAGCCGGTATGTCAATATTATAGACATGTCCCAAAAGCATGATCTACCCAACAATGAGCGTATGCGGTGGCATCATTTCGGGCGGGCACTCACTCCACTATCGTTGCCAACGATATCGTCTACCATTCCCGCCACCCAATTATCGCTGTGGTCCATGGCTACAGCCATGAGTCCTTCGCTAAAAACGACGGCGAGGACGATGACTAGGACGGCCAAGCCACCGAAGATTTTGACGCGCGGCGACACTGGCCTTTGCAATAACCTCTGAAATTGTTGTCCGGGAGACATCCTTGGGCCTGCATTGGCCCTCGCGGGAGCAGAAGCAGGCATCACTGAGAGGCTGAGGGGAGAATTTCAGGATCAGCCTCCATCAAGGTCCGTCATATATATGACGGCGTCACGCACACGTTTGAGCACACAAGTATGTATTCAATCGTGGGAAGTCAGTACGCGGGAGCACGAAGCCGCCCTAGCGACTGAACCTTAGTCGCAAGCTCAATCGTTAAGAGATATCGCCCCTTGATTGCTGCCCGAGGGCGCAGGTGATGCGTGCGAAGATGTTATGCATTGTGCTCAGGGCCTCGTTATCGAGCAAATTGGGGCGAGGATGTCCAAGAGAGTCTGTGTATGCTCTATGAAAGTAGGTAAGCGATCAGCGGCAGCCTGAATGTGTAATATGCTGTTCACAGGCACCTCGTTAATAATGATGAATATCTGAAACCAGGTGTCTCCATCCCTGAGATCGCTCGAAATGGTCCAAATGCAGCGCATTACGTGGACCCGTCTGTATTACTCTTGTGCTGCGACACCTGCGGAGGGTCGTCATTGGCGCCGTCCAGCTGTTCCTTCTGAGGGATAGGTTCCCGACCAAAGCCACTGTCAGAGCTATCAGAGCTAATGCTGTTTTAGAAATCGATAAGAGCTTGGAGCCTAAAACTGAGCTGAGTGTCTTCGTTCCTTGGCTCGCTATTTTCGGCAAGGTGTCTGCAACACGTTGCCGATCGAGTATTCCAGTGGGTGTCTATATCGCGAACTGAAGATGAGCGTGGTCTACACACTAATGAACATACCGGAATCTACGTGCTGGCGCGTCCGGCCGCAAACCCCTCGGCAACGAGTCTGCGTGGGATGGCACTATAAGCGGGAATGTCATGAACTATTCGAGTCAAGTACTCGGCACGGTCGTGCCGGGTCACCTAACTATTTACAAACTATGTCTATAAACTTACATTCATAGAGACCGCACGGTTAACGCACCCCGCATGCCCGGCGTTCTGTCCCTGCGGGACAGTAGAATCATTCCTAAATGTGACTTCATAGGGGGAGATTAGCGCCTTGACGAGTGGACAGAATCTACTTGAGCTCGCTGTCGCATCCTCTAGCGCCACGCAGCTACGTCCATAAATTACACAGACTTCTAGACCTTAGGAGCTCGGAAGGGCAGGACTTGAGGACTTGCTTTACTATAGCGCCATTGGTATGTCTTGGGAATGAGATGTTTATATAGGACGAATAATAAACGCGCACCTCCTCGTCCGGGTAAAGTACCGGATCGCATCCATCACAATGCGCACTGCATTATGTAGCAAGCAGATGTGACGCCATGGAGATCCTGTTGAGGATGAAGTTAGCCTTGAAGGATAACTTAGCCGCTCAGTGCTCAACCCGATTTTCCTACTTAGCGAGACTTTGCTACGTGTGGCGACAATCGCATCCGGTGCGCTAGTACTTTTCATCGTCACGCCGAGGCACAGGCTCGAGCGAGGATTGTCCGATATCAGATACGATGATAGGGATGGCATGTATCTCCGGAGGATGTATTAATTCCCTTTTGACTCGCCGACAGTTCGAAGTCATAAGAGACCCAATACACTCCCCGGAGGACATAACATCACCTCTGGCAATGCGGTCAGCACCAAATTACAACGGCTGTATTTTGCAACGGATCGAATTACACTGCTTGTCCTTGGTTCATGGGAAGGGGAGCATGAGACACCATCCTGGCGCTCGGAGTTCCAGAGCGCACTTGCGGCCGAATATGTATGAACGCCAAGGACCAACGGCACCGAGTGCGACAATAACGGCGCGCTAGCGACACTCGGAGTCGGTCCTGTGGCGGGTGGACAGGTCGAAATCGAAGCGAGGTGTGCACTGCCGCGGACGTTGACCGCAAGTACTCGGAAATGGGATCCTCAGCTGCGGGCACACTGCAGCTACTGGCTGCGCACACGCCTGGCAGTGTTGTCTACTGCGGGATAGATCACTTGCGCATGTCTGGCTGGCTGTAGAAAGTTGGACGAGCTCAGTGCCGGCGTAGTCGATGGGCCATACGAACTTGCCCGGATGATAAGCTGTGCCATCCCTGTGCGGAGTCGGAATGGCTTGAGTTCTGGATAGGCTGACTCAGGGTTGATGTCATTGCTTGCGATGCCTCTAGCCTCGTCTGCTGCACGTGTGAGCTCGGCGCGGAAATAGAGGTCTTGGCCTGAAGCAAGACACCCCGCTTGTGAGCGGACTCGGTGCGGCTGCTAACGGAGCAGGTCTTCGGGATAGTTGTCAGCCGTCATGGTGAGCAGCGTACGCGTCGGGTACTGGTGGTTGCTCGACGCGCTGAAGGCCGAAGGGGACGTTGGCGCGGCCGTGGGCGGTGTGAGAGCATGGGGCGGCATGAGCGGCAGGCAGTGCGGTGAAATCCGGGGCGGGTGCTGACGTCAGACCGCTACAGCGGGTGTGTACGTCGGACTCCAACGACTTCGCCCGCACCCTTATAAAGTCCTCCGAATCCGTTTCACCCCCACAAGCCCGCACTCACCCCTGCCTTCTTTACCCCCTCCGACCTTTCGCGCCACAACCAGCTGAGCAACATGCCTTTCACCGGTTCTGACATTTGCAAGGTACGTTTGCCAATGTTGGTTATACTGGATGCAGACTGCTCAACGCCTCCTCTTGTAGATCATGTTAGTGACCTATATTTCGTTCAACGTGCGGCCTACTGACTGTACACTCCTCCAGCTTGGCCATCGTCCTGCCACCACTCGGTGTCTTCCTCGAGCGTGGATGCGGCGCCGATCTCTGCATTAACATCCTGCTGGTACGTCTCTCCTACAAATGTCGAAGTCCAGGGGCTGACTCTTCCTCCAGACAATCCTGGGTTATATGTAAGCATTCGAAGAGCTAAACGCGAGCTCATCCTTTCTAACTGTCCCTTTAGTCCTGGAATCATCCACGCACTGTACATCATCCTCAAGTATTAGTCGCGTAGTGACCCCTAAGTCACTCGAAGCCCTTTTGCTGTACATTCACGACTTCATGCTTCGCTCTTCCGTTCGCATTGTACACGTACCATATTTTCATGACCTTACTTTCTTCTGTAATAGATAGCCCAGCGTTGTATGTAATCGATATACCCTTGGGTTGCCCATGGACGATTACGCACTCTCGTTCGTCCGAGGTCGGAAACGATTTAATGCCTGTAGCAGACTCCACAACGTCCCCGTCTGAGCTTGTGCCTGATCTTCTATGCTTCTGCCGGCGGTACTCTCGGGCTTGTCCAAATGCGTCGTTGCTCTTAAGTGAGCCGCAGGACAGCAAGGAGCATCTATCTATACAACGCCGCATATTTTCATTCTTCGTCTCCTTCCTCACTCTCCTCTTCGCTCTCCTGAGCATCAAACTGCTCAATTAGTTTCTGACCCACAACCCAACAGTACCTCACTCCCTCAAGAACTGAGGTCGACTTGACACCTTCACCCTTGGCAGCGGGGCTTACATGCCATTCTCGGATGTCGTCCTCGTCCACGATATCGTCCTGGTAGAGCGCAGCAAGGACCGGGCCAAATATCTGGATCCGAGGCGACTTCGCACAATGGTACTGCAGAAACAAAACAAAACAAAAAACAGGAACGAAATCAACGTTCGGGTTCCTGACTACAAAGAACCAAGGGCGGAGGCGTACCTGGAGGATTTCGACGGTCTCCACCGGGTCCACACCGCCAATCTGGTTGATGAGCGGCCCCCAGCGCTCGACGAGCCGCACGGTCTCGCGCCTCTGGACGGCGAGCTCGCCCTCGGCGGGTATGCGCTCGACGATCGCGGCGACGACCGCCTCGCGGACCTTGCGCAGGTCGACGTTGCTCGCCATGCGGAGCGTCTTGAGCTCGACCGCGGCGTTCTCGACGCTGTGCCCCTCCGCGAACGCGCGGTCGAGCGACTGCGTCACCTCCGCCTGGAACTCGCTCTCCGCCGCAGCCGTTGAGAGCGCGGCGATGCTCGACTGCGTCGCAGTGGCGACGTTCGAGACGGAGGAGAATGACGAAGTGCGTGAGAGCGGTGCGAAGGAGGAGACGTCGCTCTCTTCCCCTTCGTCCTCTGAAGAGTCCGATTCGTCGGCCTCTGCTTGGGCGAATAGATCCGCTGCGGTGTCTCCTAGGAACAATTAACCTGTTTAGTGGCGTCTCTTGTCGCCGAACATGGCGGAAACATACCAATCCGTATCAGCCGTTGATTGTTGAAGCGCTCAACCTCCTCCAGCTCCTCGTCATCATCGGACGGACCTCTCGGCCATACAATGGCTTTTGAGCCTTGACCCAGGATGGCGGTATTGTCGCCTTGGCCTGAAAGGCAGATGTCAGCGCGCAGGCTGCAGTGGTGCAAGCACAGCAACGTACTCTTCTCGACCTCTTCCCACTCCTCGTCACTCTCTTCGTCCTCTGTATCCCCTCTCCGTCTCGACACCCTTTCAAACGACCTTAGACGCGCGCCCTTTCCGAGAATGACGCCATCACCGACAAGGCACCCGCGCTCAATATTGCTGCCCTCGCCAATGCGGACGCCTCTGCCAATAATACTTTGCTCCACAGCAGTGTCGGCGTCGATGTGCGTATCATCGAACACATAAGCGCGCGAGAGGGTGACGTTCGGACCGATGGTGCAGCGCTGGCCGATGACGCTCGCGGTGATGACGGCACCGGGCGAGACGGTCGTGTGCGCGCCGATAAGCGTGTTTGCGTTAACTTTGCACGTTCTGGAGAGACGCAAGCGCAGTTAGCGACGGCGCGAGCGTCCGAGGCGGGCGTCGACGGGAATCTTGAGAAGCGCAGGCGCTCGAGGACTTACCGGGATAGAACGACAGAGTTATCCTTCGCGATGTAGGTGTTTCCGCGCAGATATTCGTAAGCGTGACCGCCGGGATGGTTGTCGTCCGGCACGAGTGGGAACGTCCATCGCGACAGTATGTCTTTGCTGCGGTGATCTCGTCAGGAAAGATTTCAATGCAACATTCAGAACGTAACATACCTGACAGAGTCGTAGCTCCGTGTGTCTGACACGCGGGAAGCGTACCCCTCTTTGATGACACAACAATAAATATCTTTCATGAGAAGATCCGAGGTCAGGACACCGTGTACGAAGTCTCGCCGAATGTCACCGTAATCGAAATTGTCTTGGAATAGCGAGGGAACCTAGGCATAAACGCCGGCTGTCAATTTGAGAGCGGATATCGGGAATGAGCGTTCTGATGAAATAGCGCACCTCAACGGAGCAGACGTCTATGCAGCAGTCGATAAGATCGTTGCGAATTTCGACCTCCGGATGCTCGGCAAGCACATCACGGGGGATCCGCACACGTCTCGTGGGTGGGTAGCCCACGGCGGCTTCGTAATGCAAGCACTGGGAAGTTTGAGAATCGAGCACAAAGACGCCATAATCTGCTCTTGACCTGGCTCACAGCGTCTGTGAGCGCGGCAAGAACATTCCGGACGGGAAGAGCGCACCTTGTCCGGTGCACCGCGCCGCTTTCCTTGACCACCATGGTCATGATTGCGTCCTTGTTGACTCTTCTGCGTTCTCTGTGTATCCGGACGACCTCGTCTATCCGTACATTGCTGACCAGATCGCCCATGACCAGCACGAAGTCAGACTTGATAATCCCATGGGTATAGATGTCACGCATGGCGTCTCCGGGAGTGAAGGTCTCTTTAGAGGTGATAATCGGCACAATCTTGATCCCTGCGGTCGGCTCAGACCATTTTGAGGCTCTAAGACGCGAAAAGTAGCGCGCGGCATCAGTAGGCGGCCATACAGGGCGAGGGCACAGCGAGGGCATACTGGATGGCACTCTTGACCTGTTCGGGGTAGGACCGGCAGATGACAAAGATCTCGTGCACGCCAGCAAGCACCAGACTCTCAAACGTCCAGTCGAGCAGCGTCGCGTTGCAAACTGGGAGCAGACACTGCCATGGTTCGTTGAACACTGAGAGCACGCGGAGGGACGGGGATGCTTACTCTCGGTTTGCCGAGGGTCAAGGGCCGGAATCGAGTGTTGAAGCTGTCGGCGAGGATGACCGCCTGTAGGTCGTCCTCTTCTCCGGCGAGGTTTTTGTCCTTGCTCGCGGACGATTTTGGAGGCATTCTTGTGCAGGCGGTAATGAGTGCAGATACGTTTTCCAGTAGGCGCCACGCTTTGACTCGGGTATCAGGCGCCTAATATCAGGCGTCGATCGCGTACTGATCGCGGCTGCCTTTTGTGGCAATCTGCCCGCCCAGGCGCTTGGCCGAGGCGCGCTGCGGGTGTCGGCTTGTCCTCGCCCTCGAACACGCCGATGGTGCACTGCACGCGTCTCCATCACGGTCTCCCACCGGCGGCGAAGCGACAGCGTCACCATCGACCGGTCTTTACGCAAAGCGGCGGCGGCGGCGCCAGGCGTATGTCGTCGTCCACGCCCTGTTCCAGATTGGCGCGAGGGACCCTGCTCGAGTCGCAAGAAGAGTCTATCAGGTGCTTATTGTGCCGCCATGCATCTCCGTTGCCCGTGGTTGGGCGCACACTGACGCGGGAATCTTGGCGCACATGTCCGGCGGCACTCCTGTGACCCGCGCTGGGAAGGGCGAGAAGTCAGCCCACTATTTGAAGGCCCAGTGCGGGCGGGGCCACGGGAGCCTGGCATTAAGGCGACCGTGGCACACGGTGCTTTCCCTCCAGGGTCGGACTCCTCGGTCGCAGACCAAAGATTGGTCGCCCCAACCTGGTGATTGAGCGATTTTTTGCTGCATACGCCGAGCTGAATTCTGACGAACCTTGAGCGACTCCGGACGCCTGTCTCAAACAGCAGGCCAGCCAGGGTCACAGGGATATTGTGGCGGCTGCGAGGCGCGCGAGACGCAGCCACCGCCGCGGTGTTCGCGTTTGTGCTGGAATCGGGCGACGCGCGGGAATGGAGATCTCCTCAGATGCCGTGCCCGCGCCCTGCGAGTGTGTTGCGCTTGGTTCGCCGGCGCTGTCCTCTACGCAACGCAGTGCGTTCGAAGCCTGCAGCGTGCGGGCGATCTCATCTGCTGTGCCCTGGAGGCGTCTGCGGCGCCTGATATGACGCCCTCCACGCCGCCGACCCTGACTGAAGCGCCCTCCGAAGCCTTCACGGGAGAGGTTGACGGGCGGCAGTGCCTGCTCTAGCGCTCGGTAGCCGTCCAGATTAGCTCTTTGTACCTCTCGAGCGCACTGTTAAGCGCGGCCGCGGTTTCCCAATGCGCCCCGTATTTATTGACCACCGTGGATGCGAATACTTCATGGCCCCCTCCTCTCCGACACCTCTCCACGGATTCCAGCAACGCAGAATACCCGTCCTTCCCATCCACTACGTCGGCCGTGGTGGCAATCTCACCACATGGAGCGTACTGGCAGCCCCGTCTTCGAACGACACCCCTCCCTCTACTTCCCCGATGGAGATATCGTCCTCTGCGCACCCAAGGCCAACGGCGACGTCCTCGCCTTTCGAATCGACAGAGTATACCTCACCCGCAGCTCGCCCGTCTTCCGCGAATTGCTATCGTCTCCACCAACGGGTAACATGACGGAGGTTTTTGAGGGAGCACCGGTGCTACGTTTGTCGGACGATGCTACTGAGCTTGCCAACCTTCTTGAACTCCTCTACAACACCGTGTGAGTTTCTTAATTAAAGACGTCGGGGCGCGGCTGTACGGTGCTGATGAGCCAGTGGACGTCTTTGTAGTACGGTGTCACTCCAAAGGCTTGATCCGAGCTCGCCGCTACGCGCCATGGGCGTTCTCCGCCTTGCGACCAAATACGGCATGGACCCTCTCCGGAAGATCATCATGCAGTGCATCCAGTCCGACTGGCCACAGACGCTACAGGAGTGGGACTACCTGCAGGCCTCAATCGCGCACGCGCGCGAGCTCAAGCACGCCGCCCCATCTATGATCATGGATCAGACCTCGGACGGCACGGGCCCGTGCCGGAGCCCGTACGTCGACGACTCGTACCCAGAGCCGGCGTCCGCGATCCGCCTCGCGGTCGAGTTTGGCCTCGCGGGCGTGCTCCCCGCCGCGTTCTACCAGCTCGCGATCATCGATCCGAGTGCGGACTGGGACGAGTTCCGCGACGCGGGCGACGCCGCGGCGGCGTGGGAGCACCAGTGCGCGCTCGCGAACGGCGGGCGCACCGCGCGCTGGACGCTGCTCGACCGCGCGAACCTGATGCGCTTCCTTCGCGGGCGCACGAAGCTCGACGAGTGGCTCAGCGACATCGAGGACTGCCTCACGTCGTACCTCGGCACCGCCGAGTGCGTCGACGTCTACCACTGTGAACGCGAGCGCGGCAACTGCCGTCGCCAGTTCCTGCTTGAGGGCCCCGGACGCACACGCCCGTTCGACCCGCTCCAGGCGACGCGGCACCTGGTCAACGTCATTCCCAACTACCAGCTCTGCGGGGCGTGCGCACGGCACATACGGAGTGAACTGCTGCGGGTACGGCAGGAGATATGGGATGAGATACCGACGATGTTCAATCTTCCTATGGGGCCTTCTTCATCGTCTGCGTCGTGACTCGGACCTTTTCAGTGACTTGTATTGTACATATACCCACGAACTGCTGTACCGCCCGTGTACATGTAGTCGCAACCGTGTCTCGTGTCTGCAAAATTATGGTAGATCTGTACAGTAACTAGCATTTCCATACATGTTACAGCTTGGATTGTTTCGGATTTTCTATGTATGTAACATCCATAATCCCCTGGCACGGAGTGTCAGAGAACATGCATGCACACTGATCAAGTTACACCACACACGTTCGGCCGGAACAGCCATCACTTCACATCCGCGCCAAATGAGACTTACACGAGCATATGAAAACAACAGAGTACACAAGCGATACCATGGGACATGCGGCACGATGCAGTGTGAAAAAAGATGAGGGTATTCAATAGGCAGAGTATCGCCAAATCGCAAACTATTAGGAGTGACTGACAAACGGATGCGCGAGTTACGTGCCTAGTAGGTGAGCGTACGATCATCATAAAAAGAAAACAGCGCCAACAGACAGACCCTCCGATGCTACTATAAAACATGCACCGGTAGCGTCGCCGTTGTAATAACCCGTCGTCGTAAAGTAAGAGCGGTGAGCGAATAATGGTAAAGAGAAGGCATGGGGAACAGCGGCGACTTGATATAAAAAAGGGGGGAATCGCAAGGCAAGTTCCGGAAAACCAAAGATAAGCTGCGAACTTGAGAGGAATGGGCATTAGAGCGATGGGACAGTCGTGAAGGGTCATCAACAAGAAAGGAGAAAGAAAGCGCATCGCAGGTATATAGCGCCTATGCGGCAGCAGCGACCTGGGGCGCGGCAGCATGGGGCGCAACAGCAGGGGCCTCAACCTTGGGCTCCTCGGGTGATGCTGGTGCCTCGGCAGCGGGTGCGGGCACAGTCTCCTGGTCCGCAGGGTTCTCCAGGGGCGCGACGGGAGCAGGTTCCTCAATCTTGGGAGGAGCATCATCCTCGGCCTCGGTGACCTTAGCAGGGACAGCAGGCTCCTTGTGTCTGGGCTTGAAGAAGTCACCGACACGCGCAGACAGGCGGCGGCCAACCTTGGGAGACTTGGGCTTCTCCTCCTTCTACCAGGTGACCCGATCAGTCGTCATGATAACAGATTGATAGGGCGCCAACATACCTTCTCCTCTTTGGGAGTCTCAACCGAGAGGGCAGGCGGTGCCTCAATGGGAGCAGCTTCGGCCCTTGGCTCCTCAGCAGCGGGAGTAGCAGTCTCGCTGGGGATAAGTGTCAACATGCGGCATGTTATAGCAAATAAATTATCACTCACGTCTCCTTCACGGGCTCAGTAGTCGCAGCAGCCTCCTCGGCGGGGGCGGGAGTAACCTCAGCAGGCGCCTCAGCGGTCTCCTCGGCGGGAGCAGCCTCCTTGGAAGTCTCCTCGGCAGCCGGGGCGGTAGCGGGAGTAGGCTAAGATAGCAATTTATGAGTGCGATTCATGCCATATGGTGTAAGTACATACCTCTTCCTTCTTCTCGGTCTTCTTCTTATCAATTCTCTCCTTCACCTTCTTCTCACCGTTCTTGAAGGGGGCAAGAAGCTTGGCGAGGATACCGGGGCTCTTTGGCCTGTCCGACTTCTCTTCCTTCTTGGGAGCCTCCTCAGCCTGTACTGAGGGTGAGCACACCCTGTGGCCATAGAAGAAGAAAAATCACATACAGGTTTAGCCTCCTCGGTGGCAGCAGCGGGTTCAGCTGGAGCGGCAGGGGTCTCGACAGCCCCTTCTGTGGGAGCAGCAGCAGTCTCAGCAGCGGGCTCCTGGAAGACTATGTCAGACATGTCTAAAGGTATGTCACGCGACATATGAATGCTCACATCTACCTGGGCGTCCTCCTTGGGAGCTTCAGTGGTAGCGGGAGCGGTCTCTTCAGATTTGGGCTCCTCAGCAGCGAGAGCAGCAGGAGCGGGCTCAGCGGCGGGTGTCTCGGTGGGCTTGATCTCCTCGACGGGAGCAGCAGCAACGGTCTCAGCAGGTGCAGACATTACGATAAACTAAGGAAGTGTCGTGAGCTAGATGCGAAAAAACGCGTTAGCTGGAGCTGGTCTGCGACAACAAAGAGGGTCGTTATGAAAGCGTCGCGACGAGCACGGTGGGTGAAAAGAGGAGAGTGAGGAGACTAGGAAGAAAAACACGCACGATAATGGGAATGGGCTGAGAAGAGAGAGACGGGCAGGGCTGGCCTATGCCTGAGGTAAGAAAGAGCGAGACGAGAGAGGAAGAGATAGGGAAACGAGCGAGAACACGGCGTCCTACTTATCCCAAAACGTGCAGGTCACAAACAAAGCGAAACAACGCATCTCACACGCTAGATCCCCTTTCGGCCATCTCCCGTCTCGTATTGACAACACAGACTGTGACTCGACTACCCTCGTAGGCCCTCCGGGCTACTCTACGACCGCTTAGGGTTGCTCAGCACGGACTCTGGGTTGTTTTTGATTTTTTCTGAATTTCTTTTGGCCGTGCTGCATGGTAGAGCAAAAAAAAGGTTTGTATGGTGGGACATCAGCTGTCGTCAGGTGCAAGACCGACAGAAGGGCCCCGACGTGTTCTAGCGCGGATCGCGAATCACAGCGGAGTCAAGCTCCGTCAGCACTTTAATGTCTGACTTTGCGATCCACCTTCGCCTCAAGCAACTCCAGCACGCAGCGCGGTTTCGCGTCAAGCCCGGACTGAGCAAGCCAAACTGAATGAGCTCGTCTTCTCAGTCGCTTTGAACACGAGGCGTTGCGCAGGCAACGGGAACGGCAGACGCTCGGGCCAATCGCTTATTCTGTTTTCCCACGCACCCTGTTTTGAGCCCGTGTCTCATCAGAAGACGTTAAACATAAAAGAAATATTCTCGAGTTCTTATGTCGCGCAGCTCCCTCAGCCTGCTCAACGTCTGCCTCCTCGCTCAACCACCTGCACGTGTCGTTTGGCTCCAAGTTCAGCATCATGGTTTACACACACTCTCCCCAATGCCCCACAATCAATGAGGCCCAGCGCCACCTCCGGTCGACCCATGGAAGCTTATATGCACAGCGGCTCACCTCCTGTGGTGCCCATTGCCCTCGCCTTATAACCCAGTCGTCTGGCTGCTCTACATCCCAGGGACAACCCTTGAAGCCATTCTCGCGATGTTCTGGGTAATCGCGCCGTTCTTGACGTTCTCTGCTTTTCTGCTACTACTCCTCGTCTCGCTCTCGGTGCCCATCATCCACAGCATCTATCTCTTTCGCCTCTCAGCGCACGCCGCGACCAGCTTGCTCGACGCCGCTGCTTCTGGTGTCGTGCGCTTTGGAGTGTGGGGGTATTGCATCTCAACAATTGACCTCTCGTAAGCACCTCTTCTTTCCGCACTTTATCCGCCATCAGCTCTGACGCATTCACGTCCCATTCAATATCATGCATGTACTTATATCTGGTCCCTGCATCTCTTCGGCACCGCTTATTATCCTGTCTTGTGATCCTCAAGCATCGTCGGTCTGAACGATGACAGTGCCGGCTCCTGTTCACATCCCAAACTCGGTTACACCTTTGACAGCAACGTACAAGCGGCGCTGAACGCCAGCGGAGTCAACGTGAAGTCCATCAACAAGGCTCTAACTGCGGCCTTAGTCCTCCACCCAATCGGTACGTGACCCCAGGGTCTCGGTTTATCCAGACGCTTACAGGTCATCCACCACAGCATGTGGCTTTAGCTTCCTAACCTTGCTCGCGTCGTTATTCATTGTCCGCTGGCGCACGGGCCTCTCGCGCGGGGCGTCATTCCTCACCCTTGGCGTCGGCTTGTTTACCGCCCTTCTCACGACTGTTGTCTTCCTCGTTGACGTGATCTTTGTGGCCATCGTCAAATCTGACATCAAGAAAGACACGGACGGCTCGGTGACAGGCGCATGGGGAAATGCTGTACGTCTCTCCGCGTCCCGAACTGCCCAGTGGCTGATTGATCTCCGCTGTTTGCACAGGTGTGGATGGTCCTCGGCGCGACTGTCGCGCTTTGGGCAGCCCTCGTGGGCGTGTGCGTCGGGCTATTCAGGGGAAGACGCAAGCCGCGGTACGCTCTCCTTCGCCACATGCGCCCATTTGTTATTAATAGACGCTACAGAGGCACCCGCTACTAGACGATTGCACGCTTGCGATAAGTCAAGCAAATCCACCATAGACCATAAATGACGACAGACCCGAGATAATCTTTGATCGGCGCATCGCGCCTAGCTTGTAACGATCACATGCACCAGACACCTACCCTCCTGCTACATCACATATTTTTGGACATGGACCACCCCTTGTTTGTGATAGACTTAGTGTTTTTTTTTTTGTTTCTGATAGTTCCGACGTGCATGCGAACCGGACTTCTGCGCGTCACCTCCATCGCCCGAACGTGGAGTGTACCATACGTATCGTGTTTTCCGTATCATGTACTTTTGCCCAGATTTCAACAGATCCGGGAATTACGACGTCGAAAAATTTGTGTCCAAGTCTGCGGAAGATATTGTGACGTATCGGCGGGCAACGTTCAGCGGCGTTCGGTGCCGAAATACATGTAATGCAGCGGCGACCGGCGAGCGGACACACAACTAGCCGTCGGTCGGACTTTGCAAAAACAGCTAAAGAAACGGACGCTTGAAGACGGGGTACAGCCCCGGAGCTTAAGTAAGGGTCGAGGGCGCTGAGCGAGATGCGGCGGTGACATGACACAACCTCGGGTATATGAAAGAACGGACGCCGTGCGCAGAGCTCACGATGATCATTGCGGTGCAGCTTCTGTGCAAGTGGTGAGCGAGCGCTACGTCGCACGGACGCCGTACCAGGCCTCAGACACGCGCCAACAGGGGTGTGAAGTAAGACGAAACCGATGCATTCGGACGACGATTTATGCCGCAGAAGCAGCTTTTGCGCGAGCACGTACGCGAAGGCCCTTGGCCTTCATGCTCTTCCGCTTCAATTCCTCCTTCGACTCTGCGGGAACGTGCAGTCAGCACTGTCTCTTGCATAATGAGCTCCACGAGCGGAAACGTACCCTCGATGATCGCCTTGTCCGCCTCATCATCGAACGCAAACGCCGACGCTGCCTCGCCCTCCGGCTCGTCCGCGGACTGCGCGGCAGCCTTCTTCGTGCGCCTCTCGACCTTGAACTTGGCGACGAAGAAGCCGTCCATGTTGTGCACATGCGGGTAGAAGCGGCGCGTCATGCTCACGCGCGGGTCGAACGTCTTGCCGCGGTAGCTCTTGAAGCCCGGCACGCCGAACTCGAGCCCGGTCTCGACAAGCTTCACGTTCGGCCGCTTGCGCAGCGCGTAGTCGACAACCGCCTCGTTCTCGTCGACCGTCACGGAACAGGTCGAGTACACGAGGTATCCGCCCGTCTTCGAGTCCGGCTGCACGCTGTCGATCGCGCAGAGGATGAGCTGTTTCTGCAGGTGTGAGAGGAGGGTGAAGTCGCGCTCCGTCTGCACGGAGATGATTCAGCGTCGCGCAGAAACTCTGTTTTACCCTAGACTACGCACTTTGTTGGTCTTGACGCTGGCATCTTTGCTGATAACACCGGTACCACTGCATGGCGCATCCAGGAGGACACGGTCAAACCCACCCATCACCTTCGGAAACTCCCGACCATCGTACGAGCATACGACGACGTTCTTGCATCCAAGCCGATGTACGTTCGCCGTGAGACTCTTCGTCCGCGCCTTGTTCAGCTCGTTGGCGAAGATGACGCCCGTGTTCTGCATGAGAGCCGCCATGTGCGTCGTCTTTCCTCCAGGCGCACTCGCCATGTCCAGAACACGCTCGCCTGGTTGCGGACCTAGCGCAATGACGGGCAGGAAAGACGATGCGGCTTGGAGCATGTAGTGCCCCGCAAGGTACTCAGGCGTTGCGCCAATCGGCACACTGCTTTCGAAAACTTGCAGGCCAACGTTGGTCCACTTGCCGATAGGCTCGAGATTCACGCCACGGTTGATGAGGGCCTGCGCAAGGTCTCGTCTGCGGGCGCGGAGAGTATTCGTGCGGATAGTGACGGGACGGGGAACCTCGTTCGCCTCGAAGAACTCGATCGCCTCAGAGACGGGAAAGAGCTGGAACAGCTTCTCGCTGAGGAACTCGTTGTAGCCGTAGTAGCTGGCAATGTCAGACATGAGCTGCGCCACATACTCTGACCTTGACCTGCATACATTAGCATTTAGCTATGCAACCAACGTGGGAAGTACACGATACGCACCGTCCTTTCGCCGCATGCTTTCTAAAGTTGTTCAGGATACGAACACATTCCCGCATCCGTCGCTGTACAACATGGACCTGTGGGCCACCCGCCTTCTTCTCCTCCTCCCGCTCTTCCGCAGTCGGCAATTGAAACTCGCCACCCTCCTCAACCTCAGCACCATCCATGTCGTCTTCTGGTGGCTCGTGGTCGCTGGCGAGCTCCGCTTGGCGCATCTCCTCGGCGTCGAGCTCGGCGTCACGCGCTGCCTTGGCATCCATTGCTCGTGAGCGAGCCTCCATGTTCGCCATCGTGATAGGGCCGTCTTCGTCGTTCTCATCCTCGTCAGTTTCAGAGTCGTCTGAACCAGTAGGTATAATCTTGGCAGGACGCTCTTGCTGCTTGGACTTCTTGCCTTTTAGGCGGACGGGAACCGCCTCTTCTTCCTCTTCTTCCTCCTCGTCCGAGCCGAGGTCAAGCTCTTGAACCGGTCCTCTAAGGGATTCATTCCTGTGACACTGATTAAGGAAGATGCAAAACAGTTTATGAGTGATGCAGACGCACTCGTCGTCTTCGTCTTCCACATTGAACTCGTCCAAATCGCCCGTAAAACTCTCGAGGCCCCCTTCCTCGTCGCTGTCGCGGAACAATGATCTTCACATACAAATTACATGAGAACATGACATAGAAAGACATGGGGACATACCTTGCTTCAGTCTTGACGTCGTAGCCGTCATCCACATTCTCCCAGCCCTCACTGCTTCCGCTCTCCATAACCTCGTCCTCATCCTCGTCCTCGTCCTCACTCTCCTCCTGCTTCTTCTTGACAGGTGCCTTGGGCACAGTTCTGCCCTTCTTCTCATTACCCTTCTTGGCATGTCCCTTCTGCGTCTCCAGCTTCGCCTCCTGCTCCTTCAGCTTCTTCGTTGGCCTTTTGCTCGCGGCGCCCCCAGCATCGTCTGCGTTCGCCTTGCGCTTGCCAAGTTTCTTCGCGGAGGGCCTGCCCGCCTGGCCGTTGGCTTCTGCGAAAGGCTCGGGATTTCCCTGCTTGTTCTTTGCGCGCCGCCCCATCGTCCTGTCCCAGGGAGAGCGAAATGAAGAATTCAGTAAGCGCCTGCCGCAGAAGAAATTTAGTGAAGGCGCCCGGTTTGGCAGGCGCTGTAGATCACGAAACCTTCGTGGCGCACTACAATTCACGGATGCCGACGCACACAAACGGGCCACGCGGAACCATCTGGGTAGAAAGGTTGCGCATTTCGATCTGGTACAGAGCAGAGAGCACAGGTAAAGTATTACACAACATACTATATAGAAAGACAGATATGGTAGCAGCGCAGCGTACAAATTTACGAATGCAGACATTTGCTGAAAAGAAGTCGTCTACGCGTTATGGTCGATAGCAAGGCTACATGGTTATATTTTAGGCCACCTCTCGTACAAAGACAGAAGACGTGCGACATACCTTGAAGGGCGCAAGTCTACTTGAAGGGGCAGGTGGGAGCGTGCTTGCCGCGCCAGCCACAGTGGCAGCATTGAGGCCCTTGGCCACTGCCTCCATTGTCCACAGGAACTTGGCAGTTGGTGGCACGTGCAGCATTGAAAGGCGCGGTAGTGTCGTTGACAGCGGCAAGAGTGATGGTGGTGCACATGACGAATAGCAATTTGTTCTGGTTGGGTTGGTGGGCTAATTGCGGATTCCGTGACGGGGGATTAGAATCGGAGTGGTGGGAGATGAGGAGCTGGGGGCTCGGAAGTACTGGTATATATACTTTTGCGAGCTGAGGTGTGGCCGTCCTGATTGCTAGGCCAATCACTCGTGGCTTGTTCACGCTTTGGAAGCGCGATATGCGAACCCTGAGTACCATTTCAGGACGAAATCGTAGCATGGCCTGTGCTTATGCTGCAAATGGCAGCCTGGGGCATGGAGGGACTTAATAGCCTATGCATCAACGCCCGAGTGTGGCATCCGAGTATAGTGGCTCTCGGGCGCAACGCCATATGATCGCGTTACCAGGAGAGTATAGTGTACCGGAGCAGAGGCCCTGGTGCGAGCCATGTGCTACATTATGACTCGCTTGCGGCGGTTACTGAGATTGAGAAGAGCATATGGGATGGGGGTAGTCCGACAAGATGGGCAGTTTCTCCTGAGGCCTGGCAGCGGTACTTTCCCACAGAAGTACCCTAGAAAGTGTCAGAACTGGGCGATTACGTCATTGCCCTGTACGGACTAATGGGGATACATCACATGACCCCCGATTATGTTGTAGTAATACGGACTAGATTACTCATGCTTACTGTACACGCTTACATACAGGTAGTACCATAGGTCCCTTAGCGGTATCAGGAGTCCTGACTCTCATGTATATATACTGGCCTTGTAGCACAGAATAAGATAAGAGTTCAGTCGCACTTTAACAGGTTATGAGCCCCGGCCTCACGGCCACTCTACCCCCACTCTACTAGTCTCATTGCTGAAGAAGACCCCTCGGGAAACCTCGGTCCCCTTCACCCAGTTTTAACAAAGTTTATCCACGCAGTTTACGAGTAAGTCTCGTTGCGTACTAGTGGCAGACGGAGCGCTCACGCGTTCACTCCTGCGTAATTTCTAGTGCCAAAGGATTTGCCCGCTCGTCCCCCTCACTCCGTTTTCCAACGGTATAAGCACTCCGCCGGCTACGCGCCTGCCTCCGGCAACGCCAACGACCCCGTCGAGACCGTCCCGTACGGTAAACGCCGCGGCAAAGAACTACGCCCGCCGACTCCAGCGCTCACTCTCCCGTTCCCTCCGAACTCACACGAGGGTAGGCGTCTACGTCGCGAACAGTTCCGCGAGCGCTACGCAACCGACAAGGCCGACTTCGAGCAGCGTCTAGCTGCACGCGAAATCCAACAGGCGCGCGCCGGTCCGTCTAAGCCGACACTCGAGCAGCGTCTCGCTGCAATCCCACCGGCAACACATACGCCGATCGCCCCGAAGCCGATACTCATCGACTTCGACAAGCACACTCCCGCCGACCTCGTCCGCATCTTCACACCGAAGTTCGACGGCACGCTCAAACGCCTCGACGTCTTCGAGACTCTCGAGCTCGACGACCTCAACTCCGATCGAGTCCGCAATCTCCGCCGGCTCATCGAGCAGCTCACGCGCATCAAGCGCTGCCTAGCGGACGTCTGCAACGTCGTCAAATACGAGGAGTGGCGCAAGTGGGAATTAGGGTGTAGAGAAATAGGGGATATCTCGTTCAAAGGGCTACGCAAGAACAAAGCCCGGATTGTACAAGCGCTCAGCGCAGTTTACGTGAACGGATATTTTGACGCGGTTAGGTTTTACGAGAACAAGTAGATACTTTGTATACAACGCTATTGTAACAATCAGAGAAAAGTTCTACTCGGAAACCTGACTACTGTGTGTTTATCCTAAGCGACAACAAGAGTCGTAGTTTAACTGGTTCCTTCGTCCAATCCCAACTCTATCCACCTCTCGGCTAAATCGGCTTAGCTGGGATAAGTGGTTCGCTCAACAGCGTTCACAATCACTACCTCTCAGGAGACAGATACGGTACCTGAAACCGTAGAGACAAAACAGGAAACCGTCGCAGAATTCAGACAGCGACTGAATATACTAGACGACATAGAAACAGACTGGGAAGCATTAACAGCACACGAACAATACGTCGAAGTGTTGCTAACCCCGTTCTATTTTCACAAGAACGTTCTATTTCAACAACCGCCGAGCTATAACGCTACTGCAGAGTTAACAAACCACGACGAAGACGTAATCCATTTCTTCTTCCCCACAAGCTCCGACACATATTCGGAACCATACGCTTGTTACCTCGACCAGGAAGATATTGCGGAAGATCTATATTATAGACCAATCAATCAGACATACGATCTCGCATTCTTGGAAGAAGATTGGGAATCACTTCGAGCGACACGAGCCAAATCATACGAGCTCGATCTCAGTGATTTCTTTTACGACGTCGGTTTAACTCCGAAAGAACGTGAAACCCTCTACGCATACACTCGCCTCCTCTTCGTACACGATAACAATGTCATCCTCTTCTGACCCTACCAAGCTCGCCACATCTACCATCCCGCAATTCGACGGAACCAACTATAAAAAGTGGTCCGACGCGATCCGAGCCTTCCTGCGCTACCAGGGCGTCTGGTACTTGATCCAGGGATACGGCTCCACAGCGACCGTTCCAGTCCCTGGTCTTGCCAGACCAATAGCTGCAACAGGTACACCCACGGCTACGGAAATCTTAGCTCAAGCTGCATGGGATGAGAAAAACGACAAGGCGCTGGGCATCATCCAGCTCTACGTCGCGCAGAACCTTCGTCATCTCGTCGATGACAAGTTCTTGGCCCTGGACGCATGGACCGCGATCAAGGCCGGCTACGAGAAACCCGGAGCGGTAGGCGCATTCGTCGCCTTCCAGAAGCTGTTCAATGCACAGCTCTCTGACAGCTCCGCGCTCGGCCCGCAACTCGACGCGCTCACAGAGCAGTCCAACCAGGTCAACGCGGCGGGAATAGAAGTAAAACCTCAGCTTCTTGCCCTGCTCATGATAAACGCTCTCCCAAAGTCGTACCAGACCATCGCTGGTACAATTCTCACCACGCAGACTGATGTTACGCTGCTCACAGCGGCGCTCATCAAGCCCAAGATTGTCGAGGAGGAACAGCGCCGCGTCGCGAACCGCACTCAGATTGCGCGCGTCTCGAAGGCGCCCCTCCTAGACAAGAAATGTGAGAAGTGTGGTCGCAA